TATATAACTCCTTATAATATAGTACTTAGTGTCCTTATAAATTTTACTATTAACATTAGCTTTTTCTAGTATAGATATAAGTTATGTTTATTACTATACTTTATATAAGGGTTAAATATATAATATGTTAAGTTATAGTACTATAAAGCTATAAGGTAGTTAATTATTAGTTATTACTATTCTTACCTTATAAGGTAAAGCTAAATATAAAATCTACTTATATTTGTTTTTACCCTATAGGGTAAAAACCTAGGCATCTAGCTATAGCTATAGGCAGTGCCTATAGGGCGTGTATAGGAGCACCTACTACTCTAGTAGGTACGTGAAGGCCTCGCCCCTCGCTTCTAGGGCCTCCTCCTCCCCCTCCCCTCCCCCCTCCCCTCCCCTCCCGCTCCTCTGCCCCCTCCTCCCCTCCGTAGCTTTAGCGTGGCCTATTGCGCTCGCTTACGCCTCGCCCTTGCTCGCTCTGTGTAGTACGTGGTATGGTTTACCGTTCATTATAGGGGGATAGGGGGGGAACGCTAGTCGGGCACCGTCTACGGTGGATTCGTAGACTAGTTATTGTAAAGATAGCTGCCGTTTTAGGTAAAAATCTCCAATTAAGTGCCTAATTTGGCAAGGCTCCATCCCTCACGGAAAATCTACAAATAAGTCCTGTTTCGAGCATAAATGTACAATAAAGTACCCGATTTAGCAAGTTTCGGCCTTATAGTAATGGATAAATTTTATTTATGGGGAACGCGCTGATATTAGGCAGTTGGAAGCAGTGTCGGTAGGGCGCTCTCCAACAACGAGCGCTGCAGTGACTCGTCCCCCCCTCTGGAAACTATATAAAGCGCGATTTCTCTCGATGGCAAAAGATATCCTCCTATTATAACTGCTGATTGTTACCAATATTTACCATAAGATGTCCGTGGATCAATTTGATAGCACTGCTGCCCCCAAGGCAGATGAGATTGTTGCATCTCTCATCCGCAATGGCGGCTGCGTCCTCCGCAACTTCATATCCGATGCCACAATCCTCGATATAATTGAAAGGGACGTCCGCCCGCATATCCAGGCAGACAGGCCATGGGAGGGAGTCGACTTCTTCCCGCCCGAGACCCGGCGAGTTATGGGCTTGGTCGGCAAGTCGCGCGTCTTTACTGACACTATCCCCGCCAACCGTCTGTACCGTGACGTATGCTCGCGACTCCTTTCCTCAACATGTCGCTCCTGGTACGGCTACCAACTAAACACGACAGTCTCGGAACCCCAGCTGAGCAACACAATCGTCTTCTCCATCGGCCCAGGCGCCAAGCGCCAGGAGCTGCACCGCGACGACTCGATTCATCATAACCATCTGCCCGACCTGCGAAGTCACCAAGACTATCGCATCGGGAGGGATACTAGTGTAGGTCTCTTTGTGGCCGGCAAAAAGACTACGCGTGCAAACGGGGCTACGCGGTTCATTCCGGGGTCGCATCTCTGGGGCGAAGAGAGATGCCCTGATGAGGAATTGGCTTTCTACGCTGAGCTGCAGCCAGGCGATGCGTTTATTATGCTTGCTTCTTGCTATCATGGAGGAAGTGCAAATACAACTGCAGATGAAGAGAGGCTTGTTTACAGCTGTTTTATGACCAAGGGATTTCTTCGACAAGTTTGTCCACCCTTACAACTGTATTGTTTGGTCCACTGCTAATTTAATATGGAGGAGGAAAACCAGTACCTTGCAAACTCCTCTGAACAAATCAGACAGTATCCCCGGGATGTGCAGATGCTTATTGGGTATTCAGTTAGTAAGCCGTTTTTAGGCTGGGTTAACCTTGACGACCCTCTTAAGGTTTTGTATGGCGATGACTTTGAAGGCCAGGGGATGCGGTGAAGTCTGGTTGCGTTGCCCTGTGCCGCCTTCAGCAAGTTGAAAGCTTAATGCGATAAAACGGCAGGTTGTTGCAGAATAGTATTAGGCGTCTTGTCGATCATAAAATAGATCGCTTATTACAATACATGCATCATCTCTCGAAGAATTGAGCTAGTGCGCAAAGCATCAAACTGCCAGCAGCGGCTTGCCGTCCCTTTCCCAGGCTTTGGCATTTTCCAGCCAACATCCCGGCTTGTTTTTCCATAGCTCTTTAAGAAAAGATATCACAACTTCGTAATTTCTAAAGCCAGTCTTCTTGATAATGTCCCCGTACCACTTTAATACCAGATGCTGCTTTTCCTCACAGCCGTGGCATTCAGTTCCTGCAATGAAAACCGGCCACGTCAAGTGTTGGATCAGCGCATCGTTACATGCGCAGTTTTCCAATTTCTCAAACAGCTCCTGCATAGTGAGAAACATCTCAGCATCTGCAGGTGTGAAGTTGTAAACACACTGGTACGCGTACAACAGTGCCGCAATGTGATGAACGTCAACAAGGTGGATGAAGTTTAGGCGAGTAGATTCATCGCCAAGAGCTGCTGATGTCGCCGCGCTCATTAAGGTGAGACCACGAGTCTTCTCAAACTGGATCCGCAGGGCAGCTGGAGTAGGAACTCTGTGCGCAGCCGTACCTATGTCTGTGATGTAGAGTGTGACTTGATGAATAAGTTTCATATACTCCGACAATAGGGCTTCCGGGTCACCATGCCTTGGTAGCACCACATCATCGATCCCAAGGTAGAGGCATGTCGTCGTTGACGCTAAGACGTCATGAATTGAAAACTGACCTCGTAGAAACCTGAACAGCTCGCTTGACTCAGCGCTAGAATCTGAAAATCCGTTGACGAGGAGGCGTGCACCGAGCCGATGCGAGCACCATGCTGTAGACGTGTCTCCAATGCACTCATAGTTAGAAAGGATGAGCATCGCGGCCAGGATCCATTCCGCAGTCTCTAGGTCCAAGATTTCTCGCGGCTCTTCACAGCCGACGCGCTCTGTGATTCTGGAGAGCTCTTGCGTTATTCTCAAAACAACCACATCCCGTGCCTTGGGAGCAAATGCAACGATTGATGGTTGTGTAGGGCCCATGTGCTCGGCCGATACAGCAAGTATCGCAAGCAATATGATGGGCGATGATCTCGCCTTGGGCACAACAAGCCGCCTGTAAGGATTCAAAGGCGAATCTACCCAAACCATGTTTCCAGCGATTCGTCTCGAGTAGTAAGAGACTAAATGCTCAATTTCGCTTGCGTTTGGCGCTTCGGCGGCCATTTTGGCTATCTTTGCAGCAGCCTCAGCCCAGGATGACTTTGACGGCACTGACAATCCGTCAGCGGGCACGACATCCTGAGACGCATCCTTAGGGTATTGCAGTCCTTTGAAACGGCCACGTACTGCTACAGCATTTGCCCATCGTAGGTTTCGTCCATAACCGGGGCATTCTATACTTCGCTTCATGCATTTGAGACAGGAGGGTGTGGTGCGATCACAGCGGATCCTCCGACGGACACAGACTCTGCAATCCATTGCGCTGCACCCGGCGAATGCACCTTTTCAAGCCTTCTGTTAACCCCTCATTAGAGTTTTGATTCCTTCTCAATCACGCCAGTGATCGCCGCTTCGGCCGTACCCCCTTGCTTAATCGCGACTATTAAAGTCTATTTAAAATTCGGAGCACTTAGGGCAAGGTTCTATAACAAAAGAATATAGCTCTAAATTTTAAAGATAGTTAAAGACGAAAATAATGCAGTCCGGGAGTTACTCTAGTGTAAGGAGATGGGCTAAAAACCACATGTTTTAGCTTTAGGATTTAGTGCTTATTAATGTGCATTAGTATAAATCTAGGCTCGCTATATTTTACTGAGCCACTATTCTTAGGCCTGGTTATGTGTGTGGCGTAGAGTGTCACGCGTGTGGCGTAGTAGCACACGAACTTTCTATAGGCAGGTGCGCGACAGCCACGCTAGCGCCTAGGCCTAGAAGCGCTCTCTCGTCTTCTTCTACATTACCATCGCAACGGTAGGATAATATAGACAGAGCCAGGGTTAACCTAACCCTATAATAGAGTTAGGGTATTTTATTTATATCTAACTACCTATAAGAGCTAGCTATTCTAGCATTAACACCCCCCCCTAAGTACATTTAAAATCCTAAATGCAAACTTCCCTCCTTATATTCTTACATCCCTACACCACCCCACACCACCCATCCGCCCCCAACCCACCTAAATCCTAAGCCCCTCGCAAATATATCAAAACCACTCATCCCTTAAATCCCACTACTCCCCCCACCCCCCACGGCATGCGCAAAAACCTTCGCTGCAAGCTGACTCAACAACCTCGCCTTATCCCCCTGCGGCAACTCCTGAAACACCGAATAAACACTCATCCCCCTCGCATCCCTCACTGCTCCCAGTCTATTCCCCGCCACCGCCCCCGCCACCATCCCCGGGAAATTCGCCACAATAAACCCCATCGCCGCACCACTCAGTCCACCCACCAGCGACCAGAACCTCCCCGTGGCCTGGCCAGCCTCATTCGCCATCCCCTCCTCCCGTAGCATCTCCTCGAACACATCCCCGAATTGCGCGGACTCGGCTTCTTCACGGTTGGGGTGCGTGTTGAACCCGAAGTTCTCCCACCAGTTCCCCCCGGCGCCGTCGGAGGGGCGCGGGATATCCCAGGCGTCCTCGTCGTCCGCAGCGGAGGGACCGGAGGTGAAGCCGCCTGGGGCGGGGTGGGGACGTGCGAGGTCGTATTCGCGGCGCCGGGTGGCGTCGGAGAGGGTATAGTAGGCGTCGTTTATGAGTTGGAATTTCCTCGTGCGAGAGGCGCGGTCGGGGGAGTCGGAGGGGACACGGTCGGGGTGTGTTTTGAGGGCGGCGCGTTTGTAGGCGTCGCGGATTTGTTGGGGGGTTGCGGTGGGGGGGACGTCGAGGACGGAGTCTGGAAGGGTTTGGTTAGAATGTGAGGGTGAGAGCTGGTGGGGGAGGGGGACGTACAGTAATCGGGGTTACTGGAGGGAGCCATGATGGTAGAAGGGTCGAGAGATGAAGGATTTGAATATCCTTCCTTTAAGCTGTGTATGCACTGAAGAAAGATGTAAAGTGCAAAAGGGATGCCGTCGCAAACCTCCCTCTTAGTCCAGGTTATCACAAGAAACCCAAGAAACTCCCCGTCCCTCGGCCACCATCGTCATAGCTGTGGCGCACCCCCAACCTGACATGTGGCTTGACTCACACACACACACGCACGCACGGGTATAATAATTCCGATGCCAAGAAATTTCCACGTGACTTGTTTTCGATTTTTGTTATCTTTCTTATCGCCTTTTTTTAGTCTAGGTCACGTTTTTTTTTGTTCTTGGACTTTTCTTTTCCCATTGTCACGTTTCTCACGCCGTCGCCGGTCGTAGCTGCCGCGTCGTTCGTTCGTCGGCAAAAGTGTTAGGAGAAGGTCTGAGTCCCGTGTGTACCCGAGTAAACCCGCTCTGCACAATCACCCCGCTTGTACCCCGCGGTGATAGGGAGGTGGTGAGTGACAAGTGCCCGCCAACAGAATTATAGTCACAGTAGTAGGGAAACGGCGGAGGAGTAGAAAAACGATAGCATATCCTCTTCGCTTCGCTTTTCACTTCTGCTCCTGCTCCTGCTTCTGCTTCTCCTTTCTCTCGTCCTCTTTCTCTTTTCCTGCGCGCTTAGATCGTCAATTTCTAAGCTGTCCCCCTTACGGCGGTCTTCTTCCTCCGGTATTCGCTCCGCCTCCCGTCGACGACCTCGGCACCTATCCGCACTGCGCCATTCTTTATATTCCTTTATACTGTATAGAGTGCACTCTCTCCCCCGGACTCTCTTCCTCTCTTCGCATACTATTGTATCAGTCCTATAATAAAACTACCCCAAGTTCCACAACCACACAGCCCCACCAATGGCCCCCGATATCTCCAACGGCCTCAACGGCCACCCCGCCACCGACGACTCCAATGCCGAGTTATGGAGACATCCCGACCCGACGTCGACGCAGATGCATGCTTTCAAGGAGCGTGTTAATGTTAAGTATGGGCTCAAGCTTGATCATTATGAGGAGCTGCATAAGTGGTCTGTAGAGAACATTAGTGACTTCTGGGGAGAAGTGTGGGATTTCACTGGGATCAAGGGGAATAGGGTTGATGAACCGGTAAGTGATAATTACTTTTATGTCACGTGGTTTTGTCTTTATACTTCCCTTTTCAGTATCATACAGATGTTGAGTTGGATGGGCATCTATATGCTTGAAGGCTTCTTCTCTAATGCAGCCTCTACTCCCTTTCAAATCTCTCAAGCTACCCTACTACCCCCCTTGCCACACATCACCCTCCCTCCCCCACCCCTCTAACCAACCCCCACCAACTAACACCCACACCAGGTCCTCCCCCCCAACGCCCCCATGTACCCCCGCCCCGACTTCTTCCCCACCACCACCCTCAACTTTGCCGAGAACCTCCTTTACCCTTCTTCTTCCCCCGACCCCTCCAGTCCAGCCATCATTGAGGCCAACGAGACTTCTTCCCACCCAATCAGCTGGGCCGATCTCCGCGAGCGCGTCCGCCGCTGCACCCTCGCCCTCCAATCCCTCTCCCTCGCCCCTGGCGACCGCGTTGCCGGTTTCCTCGGAAACACAGCCAATGCCGTCGTCGCAGCGCTAGCAGCAGCGAGTATCGGCGTCGTCTGGACGGGTGTTAGTCCCGATACGGGGGTCCATGCGGTGCTAGAGAGGTTGGTGCAGATTGAGCCCAAGGTGCTGTTTGTGGATAATGGGGTTGGGTATAATGGGCGCACGCATGCGAGTGGGGTGAAGGCGAGGGGGATTGTCGAGGGGTTGAGGGGGAAGGGGTTGATGGCTGTTGTTGTGTTTGAGACTGTGGTGGGGTTGGAGTGTGGAGTTGAGGAGTTGGCGGAGGTGATGGATGAGGGGGCGAAGGCGTGGGAGTATAAGGATTTTGTGGACAGGTATGTTTCGATTTTATGCTTATCCCTTGGGTACTCGTCAAGCTACGTCTACAGCAGAACTAACACACACCTAGCGTCCCCAACCCATCCGCCCCCCAAACATTCACCCCCCTCCCCTCTTCCCATCCCCTCTACATCCTCTACTCCTCCGGCACCACAGGCGCCCCAAAATGCATCGTGCACTCCGCCCTCGGCACTTTGATCCAACACAAGAAAGAACACATCATCCACGGCGACCTCCTTCCCTCCTCGCGCCTCCTCTACTACACTACCACAACCTGGATGATGTGGCACTGGCTCGTTTCCGCGCTGTCCGTCGGCTCTACAATCGTCGTCTACGACGGCTCGCCATTCCGTCCCGCGGGGGAGATGTCAATGCCCTACCTCATCGATTCGCTGAAGATTACGCATTTCGGGACGTCGGCGAAATACCTCTCGATACTGGAGCAGAAACACACGCAGCCCCTGCTCCCGCAACCCGATGGGTCGAACGCGGCTTCCCTAGCAACGCTAAAGGCTATCTACTCCACTGGCTCCCCGCTCGCGCCGTCAACGTATAAATACATCTACGCCAACTTCCCACCTACAGTCCAACTAGCATCCATAACAGGGGGGACAGATATCATATCCCTCTTCGGCGCACCTAACCCCCTCCTCCCCGTCTACGTAGGCGAAATCCAAGGCCCCGCCCTCGGCCTCTCTCTCCTCGCCGTCTCACCCACGGGTGACCCAGTCGCGCCCTCTGAACCAGGGGATCTGGTAGCTACTGTCCCGTTCCCTGCTCAGCCTACTACGTTCTTCGGCGCAAAGGGGGATGCGAAGTATTTCGATGCGTATTTTGCCGTGTTTCCCAAGGTGTGGCATCACGCCGATTTCATCTCCTTCGTCCCGCATACCGATGCTGGGCGCGCGGGTACGAACAACGCCGCGTCAGGCCTACTGATGCTGGGACGCAGCGATGGGACGCTAAAGCCTGCGGGTGTGAGGTTCGGGTCCGCGGAGATCTACAACATCCTTCTCGCGCACTTCCCCGAGGTCTCAGACGCCGTATGCGTCGGTCGTCGTCGCGCGGGTGACGCAGACGAGACGGTGTTGTTGTTCTGTATGATGGCGCCTGGGGAGACGTGGAGTGAAGAGCTGGGAGCGAGGATTAAGAGGGAGATTGGCACGAGGTTGAGCGCGAGGCATGTGCCGGGGGTGGTGTGTGAGGGGGGCGGGGTGCCGGTGACGGGGAATGGGAAGAAGGTGGAGGTGGCAGTAAAGAGGGTTGTTAGTGGGGTTGAAGGGGGGGTGGGGGAGAGTGTGGTTAATAGGGAGGTTTTGGAGTGGTATCGGGAGTGGGCGGGAAAGAATTAGATGGGTAGATGGGGGGGGGGAAGTAGATTTGAGGGTTTGGGTAATTAGACAAAAGAAGACAAAAGCGAAGATTTACCGTATCGAATAATCTCGAGGCAGGAATCAGTCGCCGTATGGCCATTCATCATGACCCCTCGTGATAACCCCTCCTCGTTGACGGTCTGGCGCTTAAGTGATACAGCGGCCAAGTTCCGCGGCAATGTCGCAACCACCACCAACCAACAGGGCTGTGATAGTATAACCACCCACCACATTTATGTTGGCGGGGCTGATTAGATGGGATGTGTGTGTGAGGAGGTGTCTCGGTGTGTTGGCTTTGGTGGTGGTGGTGATTGTGGACGAATATTGCCGCCGTTGTATGAGAAGGTGTGGTCGCGATGTTGGAAATGGTGGCGATGTGATAGCGGTGCTATGGTCGGTGTTGGATATCACTTTTTCGGTTATGAGACAGGATGGCGACCATTGCCGCCGATGTATGAATTGGGTGGTCGACTATCATGGTGGTTTCATGGGAGATTGATTCTATGTGAGAAAATATGGTACCTCGTTGGGTAGTTGGCGGCTGTGGTCTGCGATTTGAGGTCGCAACGACCGCGCCACTGTCGTTGGATACTTGGTAATTATAGAAGAGTCGTGAGGGGGTATAATCAATGTTGCCGCTGTTGGATGATTCGGGCGATGCCCACGATGGTTTCATATAAAAATCGAACATAGCGAGAAGCCTATAAAGCCAGTCGAAATCCTATCTATCGAATCTCAAAATCAGAAATCAGAATCACATCACAGATCAACCCATCGTCATCACCACATCACAGCAAACCACAACCTCAAGTTTCCAGCAACCACCATCATCATGATGTCCTAGCCATACCTCATGCCCGCCACTGCCGCCATGCCGACACCTACTAGTCTGTCTCTTCCCCCCTCACCCCCCCTTCCACCACAACACCACACCAACTAACCAACCCACTCCCAGCCAGCTCCGCACTCCCACCCCAACCAACTCCCGCAGCCCAGCTCCTCGCCTCTCTCACCCCCCCCCACCGCTCAGCCTTCGACCGCGCTGTGTCCCTCGCCGCGAGAGGGCATCGGCGGGAGGCGCTGAGGAATTTTGTGGATGAGGCGCGTAAGGGCGGGTTTTGGAGGGAGGGGAAGATGCTGGTTGATGTTAGGGATGATGTTAGTGAGGTGAACTTTAGGGGGGTTTTAATGTATTATTGTTGTTCGAAGTGATGGGGCGCGTGGGTGTGAGGTGGATGGAGGGTGTTGTGGGGGGGAGGGGGTTAGAATTGGGTATTAGCGGGGTTTAGGTGGTATTCTTAGATTAGGGAAGTATATATTCGACAGGTGCGGTGTATATTAGATGGTTGATTAGTTTTATAAATGCAGGACATTTTATTTCTACTATTTGTATTTGAATGATAAATTCTGTTTTAATAAATATCCTCATTTTAATCATAATTTCTATAAATTCTATTAATTCTAGTTACTATGCATGTCCCCCTTTCGGATTCTAGGTGGAATAAGTACTATATGCGGCATTTCAAGACTACTATATCCCTTTCTGCCCCTCCTATCTCGACGCTTTCGGAGATTGCTTGATTCTCCTCCTTTACCAGCACACTCCTCGACAGCTTGCCATCAACGTAAATCCCATATCCACCTTCTAGCAAATTTCCAAACGACAACTTCACGCTGTCATTAAATTGCAATTAGCGCGCCATTCCCGTATCTCAGCTAGAACCGAGGATCATAAAACTCACCTCGAACTCTGCTGCGCCTTCAACGTGCATCCCAGATATCGCCTCACGATTTAAGTCGGCGCAACTATGCCCCGGCTGACCTCCGAAGTTGCATCTCTGCTGTTTTTAGAAAGTAAATATCATTACTTCAAGCTTCAGCCAAGCTATGAGAATCACCGATTCTTAGAGCCCAAATTTAGAGAACTCAACATCGGATGGTTCTTCAGCTCCCTCACCACCCCCTCCCGTACTACTTCTAATGGCCAGTTCATATACTGGCGCCAGCTGACTGGCAAGGCGGATTGGATCCCATTGATTTCTCTCCGTCCTATATCACCAACCCACCAAACCTCCTTATATGCCACGAGAAGCGCGAAGTAATGCGCGAGCAAAACCAACGCTCGCGGCTGCTTCTCACTAACTAAATCGATATATAGTTTCGGAGTTAGGATTGGGAACAAGATCAACAGCCGCAGAACATCTCCAGAGTTCTTCTTGGCGTCGACTGCGCTCTTCGTTGTGCCGATAAAACTTATCACCTTCTTATACACCTCTTCGATATCTGCATTCCAGGGCTCATCCCTTTCGTGGTCTTGGTTTCGTTCAAGCAGGTGGGCAAGACAGTTTGGATTCTTGACGGTAAAGGGGCCCTCAAGCTCCCACGGTTTCTTGCTTGCCACAACGGCGCCGAAGGCGGTCTCAAGATCCCACGGTCTCTTGCCCGCGAAAACAGCGCCATTCTCAGTTAATTCTTTATTATTATCCAAAATTTCCCTTGATAACGCCAATGGGTCATCCTTGACGTATGGATATGCCTCGACGAATACGAATCCAGCTTCCTTCGTTATCAAAAGCCATTCTGTAGGAGGCGTATATGGGGTGGGCTCCCTGTCCTGTAATAGGACGAGAGCGCAAAGACGAATTACCGATGCTGTAAGAAGGGCCGCATCCGCGTTGGATTTATTAAGCTGGCTAACCTCATGCCGGTGAATTCGGATGGCTTGGCCGAAATAGGTGTTGGATGCTTCTAAAGCCTCAACGTTTAGAGGCTCCGTCTTAGAGAGATGCATTGCGGTTATACAGTATATGGAATATAAGAGCGAGTCATGCTTCAATGCTAGACCAGGCATCTCTGAGACCCATATTTCCCGCGATCTTTCACTAGTAGATCCACTCGATGGTATGGAAACGGTCCATCCAGTGTTAGTCATATACAGGTAAAGGAGTTTTAGCTCGAGCATGCGCCGTTTTTCTGCATGGGGGTTTTCTTTCGCAGAAACTGTCGCGTCGTTGGCTATCTTAGCCCTGGAGGTGGAGGCCGAGCTTTCATTTGATCTACTTGGCCCGGGCCTTGCATAATTGCAAGACACCTTATGCCGCTGGCAGCTTCCGCATAGAGGGTGGACTTCGTCACACTGTGGCAAGTTAGGCATAGTATCTATAAATGCTTGGCACGGCAATCCCAGCAATGGAGTATTGACTAAAAGAAATGCGGACTATACTTTAACGCGCCTGGCTCGGCATTGCTGGCAACCATATCTTGACTTCTTATGATACAGTCGTGACGGAGGGTTAGCTACGCCAACTTCTGGCTTCCAATGGACGAATTGGTCTGCATCCCCTCGGGGTGGGCTCGCGCTGCGACTAATTGGCTGTGGTGAGAAATCCGACATGGCTTGGTTTTGTTGTATCCTGTGATGTTGGACAAGTTATGATGAAGTACTTGGGGAAACGATGACGGGCCGCGTCAGCCGCAGGTGACAGGGATCATAACCCCATAGGATGTCTTCACGTCCAATCTTTGACAATAGTTATACTTGTGCTACCTCGAAGTAGAAAATGGGATATGTGTAACAGCTAGTAATTCCAGTGACTATCATTAAAATATTCCAATCCTCCACTCAATATACAACACTCATTTCGTAGTTCTCTGAAACTTATTTGCGATGCCACGTGTGCGTATGCCAGCAACCGAGAGTACGATGATCGAGAGCATCTCCGGAACGACACTGAGGCAAATCTTGACCGCAAGAGACGAAGTGAAGCTAGACGACGGTCCGTAGGATGAGCCTGCAGCAAATATTTCTCGTAGTGCGATAAGTGGAAGGGCCGCCGCAACCCCGTGGAGCAACTATCTGCGGTTAGCTGGATTCAAGTTGAGACTTAAATTGCACCAACCTTTGTGCCATCAGCGGGTGGCCCGCCAGCAGCGTATTCCTGGGATGATCGGAATGATAGCAGCGTCCAAACTGCAAGGATGGCCCAACAGGCTAGAACCACTCCCATGCCAACTTTCATCAGCACATTCCCGACGGAAGCCCCATCCTGCAACTTCACAATGCCAATAATGACCAGGACCATCGCTGCGATGACGGTGAGGTGGTACTGGATGACAAGAATCCATTCGAATTTCCGGTTGAGGGTGGGATCGCGAGAACGTCTCCTAAGATATGTTAGACGGTATTAGATAGGGAGAGAGGGTCGACCAACGCTTCATGGAGAATCCCAACCGCACCAAGAATCAGAGGTGAAAGTCCAACGCTCTGGAGAATTAGAGTAGCAACCCCCCCGGTGGAATGATTGTTGTAGGCGTTAAGTTGCACGGCGTTTCCGACTATGCGAATAACACAGAGACTGTGAAGGGCCATCCATCCGAGAAGGCCTCGTTTCCCATGCTTCCAGAGGCAGTATGTGACGGGTTGGAGAAGAAGGAGATATATCGCAAGAGAAGCTATGACGAGAGACTTCGGGTCGGCAACTCTTGGTGGATACATTGTAGTGAAATTTGAGAAAGGGCGCGCGAGATGGGGAGAAGAATGCAGGCCATGATGAGCTGGCCTTTCGAGTTATATACACTTAAAAAAACATAAAGAGATCATACTTACGCGTCAGCCTTCAATATAACGTCGAGTTCAATTGGGACGGTGTTAGGCAGTGCAGCGACATGTATCCCTATTATGGAGCGAATGCGAGAAGGAACAAGCTTTACGGGACCCACGTCTCATCCTTTGATGTGGATAAGCATTTTAAAGGCCTGTTTAGGTTTTTGTCAGATCCATCGTGTGGTTTCCAAATGCGCGACAAACATTACAGCCATCTTCAGCCTGCGCCTCAAATTGCCATTTACGGAACGAAAGCGAGAGCGACAGCAACAGTGAGATGACAGCCGCTAGTCAGGGGCCAGTCGTCGCAATTGTGGCTTGGTCGGTGCGGTCGGCTCGTTGTACCGGGAAGCAGCGATTGGTGGGAATAGTACAGTATGCACTTTGAGCCGTTTCGCATCGTGCGTGGCGCAATAGCTTGGCGGGGTTTATGGCGTTTGTAATCAAAGACGACATGTTGTTCTGATCGCGGAAATAATCGTTGACTGTGGCATTCATTGCTTTCCTATTTGAATGGCTGTATAAATTGCCATTGTAATACAAAATGCCAATCCAGCTCCCAGTTGGTCCTCTAGACCAGTTCCTTCTCTTCGGTATTGAACATGAACCCTGTTACTAGCTCAAACTGACGCTGTCGCAGGGGACAGCATCACCGAGAAATCCAATGACCAGGAACACGGATTTGCGTTTGCTTCTGCCCTGCAAAATGGTAGGGTTAAGCGCACCCAGTATCTTCAAGGCTAACACTACCTCCAGCCTATATGTTGAAGCTAGATGTGATAAATCGCGGGTTTGGGTAACCTACGTTCCCTTACAGATAGAAATTACTTCGACTAACATCCTCTCGTAGCGGTTATAACACAAATAACGCCTTGGAAATTCTACCTGCCATCCTACCCGCCCCTTCCCAGGCCCGCGTCCGGTTTCTCACCATCTTCTTTGGCGCCAATGACTCTAATCTTGGCCCGCCTCTTGTGGACACGCAGTACGTGTCCATCCCGGACTTTACTCAGAACCTTAGAGACCTAATCTCGCATCCCCTAATTGCTGCGCACAATCCCCCGCCGAAAATAATTCTCATAGCGCCTCCGCCAATCGAGGAGACGTTCATTGCCAGGGAAGACGTGAGGAACGGGTATACGGAGGTGATGAGATACAACCGTAATACTGCGCTTTACGCAGAAGCTGTGACGAAGGTGGGGAAAGAGACGGGGACGCCAGTTGTAGACCTCTGGAGTGTTTTCATGGCAAAGGCTGGGTGGGTTGGAGGGTACCATGAGGATGGGGTGTCGATGCCAGGATCAATTGCTGCGGGCTTCAGTGATGTTTTGAAATCATTTTTAGATGACGGTACGTTTTTGTCCTGTTATAAGGTTATAAGCGATGATGCTAATCTGCCAGGCCTCCATTTAACGCCAGCGGGGTATAAAATTATGTTTGAGGAGGTTCTGAAGGTGATTAGGGAAAACTGGCCAGATCAGACGCCGGAGGCACTGAAGAGTCTACGTGATCTGCATGGACTAAAATTTTGGTACGAGGTGGAATAGAAATTGGTATGTGCATTCTCTCTCGAGTATATATATAGTATGTGCATGAATATATACATCCGTCAACGGAATAGAACCGCTCCATCCACAGAACAGGCGTAGTTATTGCCGAATTGAATAGAACCGCCCAGTCCTTAAAGTAGGTCTAGGCATTGTCGAGTGTGTAGAACTACCCAGTCCACAGAGCAGGCCCGGGGATTTTATAACTCGTCATGGTGACATACGGGTTGAATAAAATACCTGGGTCATTACTCTTATAAAGGCTGGAAGCAACAGTTCCCACTGGGTTTGCTGTGCCAGAACCCGTCACGTCAATGTTCACGCAGAACGGATAGTTTTGCGCGCCATTGAGCGAAGTGCAACCGTGGCATGCGATAATTTCGTGGCGGAAGACATAATGACCTGCTATTGTTAGCAGAGGCCGGCAGCAAGGGGCCGGCTAAAGAAGAGACAGGCATACCTGGAGCAAGAGTCTTTGGCACTTTCGTAGTCCACGAATTGCCGTCAGCCATCAGCTTTCCAGCAGCCCAGACCTGACTGGTGAGGTCAATTCCAGACTCATCAATCTTGACAAACTTGAGCGCGGTCTTGTCCGCAGTTTTGCAGTCTCCGCTGCATTTGGCGACGTAGGTCAAGACAGGGCCGATGTTGTGTGGCCAGTCAGTCCATTGGAACTTGACGGACCCACCCGCAGCAACTGTCGCCGAGACGTTCGCGTTGACTGCATTCTTGTGGCAGGCGATGTTGGGGTTTCTGCTTTTGTTAGTCTGCACTTAGTTTGCCAGGACTGACATACTGATATTCATTTGGAGGGACGAATCCAAGGTCCAACGCCTCTTCGTACCATCCTGGGGTCTGGGGAATGGGAACATGATTCACTAAATCATACCAGTAGGAGACAAGCCAGCCTGAAGTGGTAACACCGTCTGCTACAATGCTGGAAACGTAGCCGTGCGCTGCGGCAGTGCCAGCCAAACCGAGGATAGTTGCGATCTTCATGATGATTGTCTTGCCTTGTTGCATTTGAATGAGAAATGCCAATCCTATATAATAGAGTTGGCCGGTTAAATTGATAGTGCCGTGTGACTACCATACTATAGAGTTGATGTAATTATTGGTGCGAAATGCTGTGAATTTTCCGAAGTTTCATAATTAAATTGCCGGGATTTAGAGTGCTCGGCGGCAGATCATCTGTGGGGGAATATAGTAAACACGCGACAGGCTACTCGCGCCGGATCGTCCAGAGTTAAGTGTTTGCAGTTTGAGGCGGAGTGCTCGCTCCGGATCGTCCAAGGTTTTTACAGTTCGAGACGGCTTCTCGCCCCGGACCGTCAAGTGATGGCGAGGCCAGAAAACCGCCAATCAAGATGCTAATCATGTAAAGAATGATAATTAATTGCTTTTCATTGTCATCATGAATCTCAAACTAACTCGTAGTAATTATAACCCCGCCATCTTCGAATACAAATCTTCCCCGCCACACTCCCTTTATCCCCACATTTGGCCTTGGCCATCACTAAGATCTGCCTTTGGGCACTCTAGGCGGTGAAAGTGCGCCTCACCTTAGGGGCCTTTTGGCTGTAGTTGCTGACCACGGCCTTGATCGTCTTGCTGAGGGTGCTACGCTTGTTCTCCAACAGACGGGGCTCAGGTAGGAACAGGAGTTTGGCGGCATCAGCGAAGCACTATTCCAACAGTCAGTCATTTGAGTGTGTAGTCTTGGAAGAAAACCTTACGTTAATAGCGGGCTCGAGCTCGTTGAGAACAGCGATGAGAGGATCAGCCTTGATAGGAATGCTATCGCTGAACTTGTGCGACTTCAGGTTCAGGACGTTCATGAGAATTTGCTGGTCGATGAGGAACTATGGTAGAGGTTAGTTTCTATCCGCGAGGAATCTTAGATCCTATACTTACATCATCATACGCCCAATCGATTGGGTACAAATCCTTCAACTCAACGCCTGGGAAGGCATGGGGAAGGCTGGCGGTCACCTCGTTGACCTTCTTCACAACAGCCTTCAATCCACTGACGATTTCCTATAAATCCTAATGAGAAACTGTTCTATATGGATAACTGGAAGACGACTGCAAACTCACAGGGAATTTGCCCAAGTTGTCCGCGAATAGAGGCCCATCAACGCGGGTGATAATTCCAGCAGGTCCCCAGATGGATCTTGTGGACAAAGCCAGGCCCTGAAGGTCCTTGGTAAGTTGGCTGGTCCATTGGTTGGCGGCTGAGGGGGTAGCTGCAACGAGGGCGAAGAGCGCGGTGGCGGTGACTGAGAAACGCATGTTGGATAGTAGCTTGAGCTGAAGGAGGCAGGAGTTTTAATATGATAAAAGTTGGAGGCTGGAAGGCAGATGAGAAGATGCTGATGTCTGGATAGCTGGTTGATGGAGAGATGAGGGGGAAATAGGCAACGCCTTTATAGTAATTCAGATACGAAATGTAGACTATGGACTCTTCCCCTATTCATCTATTCTCATCCGACTTGAAGCAGGGAGATAGTCAATGACGCAAGGAGATGTATATGCCACGGCTTGAAGCTCACCGTCAATCAATAGTTCCGTCGATCACGGCCCTTGCATCTCAGTTGGGACCCGGAGACGTATTTGAAAGTGCACAAGCTGAGCAGTGCACTTCTGAGGATGCATGCGATTGATTTAACATCTTGACAAACCTCGACTTAGCGTCGAGGCTGACAGCCACTGCAAAATAAATCACCAAGTTTGTCATCAAGTAGTAGATGCATCTCATACACATGTCATAAAACCTGCAGTCATACTATGAAGTTATCAGCATACACGAATGAATTACCAGCAAGCGAAGCTGGATCGACTCGCCAGCAAACCGAGGAACGGGGACGGGGACAACGGGAAGGGCCATTTCAGGAGTAGGGCCTGTCTCTGTCACCCAAAGCAATCATACTAGCGTAGAGGCCTAAAATAATATGTTATCCTCATTCACATCCCAGGGAGGCTGGGGACGTTTGTGAGGCTCCCGAGCGGCTCGTTAAGTTTGGAGTCTGAAAAAAGAGGCGTGATGGAGTTCGGTTGGAGTAATTTCATGCCAAGAGGATTCCGCCATACTACGTAACATCACGGATGAGCACCTTGGGCGCTGTTGAAGTAAGACAGATATACAAAACTAGTCTTCTGCATACATAGATAGAGTAAGAGTATATGGCGAATGCTCTGATCCTCGAAGCGAGGATATCCGACGAGCTCGGTTGCAGCAATCGCGCGCCAAGAAATGATCGCTATGCCAGCAACACGGACAAAAACTTTAAGTATACGTCGAAAATATGATGATCAGTTAGTTTGTACGTGGCGTAACGCTTGCTGGAACGAACTGTACGGAGTGTTGGAATTTGCGGAGAAGGGTGATACCCCCGGGTGCCCCGAAAGCCACCAACCCCTGGATCCAGCCCGAGGCGAGCTTCCGGCGCCGCTGGGATGGGGCAACGGGGCGCTAACGGCTGATCGCCGCGCTAATATCACAGTTGATAACCCAAAATAGATGCTGCCCCTGCTCTAGCTCCGCATCACACATCGTACTTCGTATACGCTTGACTTGGCAGTTGACTTGTTCCCCGAACCCTTACTCGTGCATCTTGTGGGGTTGGTGTCTAAGCCGAACACAGACAAATCCCGCGTGTTGTCTTTCTTTACGAACTTTGCTATCCCCTATTACGCAGGGAACCCAACCGAAGGATTATGATGTCTCGGCGGATGTTCATATGAAGTTTATCAGACGGTGCCCTTGTGTGATAGTCTTGCGGGGTGCGTTGAGTCGGATAGCAATCAATAATCGAGTGTCTGGCAAGTCTCCAAATAGGCCCCTTGCGTATAATTATATCTGCCAATAGGATTGAAATCCGAGGGGAGCTAGTTAAAAGGCTGGGAGGAGGTTTAAAGTTTGACGTTGGTGAGCTGAAAAGGTTCAAATGCATCTCGGGAGTCCATATCCGGTATGCGTAGTATATTTTATGCAGCAAACAAAAAGACGTGGATTAAGTATGAGTTTCTCAGCTTGCAAACAAAATCCGGATGGGCTAAGAGCCGATTCGCTTTATGGTTTTACTTGTTGATCTATACGCTATACGAGTTATCAGTATGAGATGACGTGTGACAAGGGATGAAAGGTCTGACTTGATGCTGGTTGGGAACAGTATGCTGGCACCAACCTATTGGCATGGTGTTCGGACTCAACGTCTCCACTACACGGATTGTGAGTGACAGATAGGGATATATTTTCTGCATTTGTAAATATCTGTCGAGGTAAGGGGTGTTGGTTTTGGCTATGAGACCGAGGAAACGACCGTGGAGTCCCAACCACCGCTGTTCATCCCACGTGAAAATGATAACACTGGCTAGGAAAGCAAGGAGGTATATGTCATATGGTATTGACAAGTGCAGAGAAACTATCAAGAAACTCGTCACACAACTCAAGCAAACATACACAGCTGTCGTTTGGACAAGTGAATGGATTATCCTTGGCACTTATTAATTCCAACAGCGGCCTTAGCAATAGTCATCTCCTTCCCCAAGAGCGCTGAAAAAATATACAGGACAATCCAAGCTCCCAGCATGAGCAGACGCACTTGAGATGCACGAAGCCAAACCGTATACTGTCAACTCCGAGACCAGCGGATGCCCCCGCACTCACTCCACAGCGCCCTCCACTTATGCCTCCGCCTCCCCAATGAAGTCCTCGAAGCTTCCCCACACGGTAAACTTCGTAGTAAAATGCGAGAACAGCAGCCTCATGAGCTCATTGGGATTCTTCATTTGTCTATACGATCCTCGCTTAGACGGTTCCATAGTGAGCAGCATCCATCCCAATGCAATCTTGGAGGAGCGATCGTAGTCTCGGGGGGGTAGATCGCGCTCCTTGAGAGTTTCAACGCCGAGAGCGACGGTGTCCCAGGCGTCAGGATCGGTGATCAAAAGGATGGCCTGCAGCTGGCTCCGCCATTCTTCAAAGTTGTCGGGGTTCTTGAGCTTGTAGATCGAGTATTGTGGGGGTATTGGGGACATCGTTTGGTGTTTGGTCACGCGTGCCTGTTCTTAATGGTTAGATAGCTTTTGGAAAGATATCCCTTGGTACATACTGGTTTGGGGCCCTCAAAGGTGGGAAAGGCTTCTGTAGCTTCAAGTCAAGGTAGACCGCCTAGTCGTTTTACTCCAAATGATTGGCCTGCTGACTACGTGAGGCGGATATGACGCATGGGACTGTGGAATAGGTGAAAGATCCGATGCCGAGAAAGTGCCAAAGGTGCGATTGTATCATATATTTACGCTGCTTTTGCGTGAGGGAGGAAGGATATGGGCGGCGTTGAAAGAATGAGAAGGGCTCCCCCACAGGACATGAGGTTGAAGAGAATATAGAATTATGGGGGCGGACTTCACAAGCGTCGAGGGCGGTGCTTGTGAAGGAGGATAATTTCTCGCGCTTCACAGCTCTGGGTAAGGTTATCGACTGTTTATCCGTGAGTTGTCTCCAGAAACAGCAAGAAGCACCATTCGTACCTGCCGTTTCAATCTAAATTAGGTAGTGTCAACTTCATATATTTCGTGTATCTTGCCGTCACTCACTCAAAATAATAATAAATTTGGTCAATACATCCTGAATGACTCTCTATTCAACAGATCTTATGCACTATCTTTTTATAATCCTACACTTCCTGCGTGTTGTACAATGATACACCTCAGCAACGCCAGAAATGCACTGGCATATCTCGTCACCGATCTAAAAGATCTTTTCGGTCTCCTCAACTAGATCCTCAACCTTGAAGGCTGGGTCTCCTTTTCCAAACAGCTCCAGTAGCCTCTTACGGTCAGCACTCTCGCTTCCAAACCCGTAAAATTTCTGCAGGCACATCAGCAGAAATTTGGCCTCGTCGACAGTGACTCCCCTGTTCTCAACCACCTGGCCTTGGACCAGAACCACCTCCTTCTCCGCGGCCAATTCCAAGTGGTGGGTAATAGTTGTATGCGGCTGTGCAAATTCGCCTCTTAACTTGAACTCTGCGAGGTGAGTGAAGAGGACAGTGACAGTATCAGGCGCTGGGAATGTCCACTGCAGCAGATGAATCTCTGCGCCCTGTCCTTCGCGGGGCAATGGTAGGATGAAGTGGGGGAACTTCTTTGCAGATGCTTCTATGGTCTTGTATGTCTCTAGCGGCACGGTCGCACAGAGTGACTGGGGGTTTGAGGCATGTCGGAGGCGCCATATCGTTTCGATTTCCTTGTAAGGAAGCTCTCTCGTCTTGGCGACGTCCAGGTACGATGAGAGTGTCCGCACACCAGGCGTGCTAGATTTTGAAGACGGAACTTTTGGTGGCGGTGGCGGGGGTGGGAATGGCGACTTGGCTGCAGCTTCGTTTATTGCTTCAGGAGCTGGTGGTGGGTGTCCGTCTATTGTGCCAGATGGAGTAGCAGGTTTCCTCTTCAGCTCCGTGATTTTATCCTTGTACGCTTCTTTCAACTCATTGACATCGCTCAATCCTTCCCTAACAAGAATTTTTGTCAGCTAAAGTTCACGATAATGGTCGACCAGAAAACATCGACTTACGCTTTTGCCTTCTTGGCCAGCTTCTCCTTATACTTCTCCAGAACCCTGTCTGGCTGTGCGTGAGTGACGAGGAAGCGAATGTCGTGGACCTGCGCCCATCTTCGCTGAGACGCGCGCAAATAGGGCGCGGCGCCACAGACGGTATACCGCAGTGCGTTTTGACAACGAAGAGCAGCCATATCGGCAAGTGGATGGTAAGATGGACCTTGATATAGACCTATCAATCTCACACTGTCAACGGAGCCGCAACGTCCCTTGTCCCTGGTCCCTCAATCGCAAATTGCTTACATAATGCGGCGCGGAATAACTTCCGGACAGCACTCGGCTTTTCTGTGCCGTGCCTCGGCCTGATCGCCGAAATCCTTACCTAAGCACCGTTTATCCTAGGCTCTACCAGACTTTAGAGCGCCCATTCCCCGAAAATCCCCATATTTCCCCGCATTCTCCAATGGATCTCAGGTCCAAGTTACTCGATGTGGCAAGTGGCATAGCCCTCAGTTGTATCGTTACCTACATCCTCAACATATATATTCCGTGGGCTCCGGATCTTGACATTTATCTTTTCACCGTTATTGTTATTCTCAATTCTGCCCAATTTTTCAGTTGATATCAAGCCCAGTCCTCTCGCCCGCCCCCATAACAATGGTTACCAAATCTAGGTGAGGCGTGCTCATCCAAAATGACACGGCGAATTTCCTCTAACGTGAACAGTTTCCCCGATATTGATGTGCCAGCTGTCGATGTCTGGGGCCTGTTATTTGAGAGGAAAGATAGGCCGTTTTCTGATAACAAAGGTGAGCCTTCACCCAAGTTAACACGGGCATGTCAGAACTCTAATACTGCCTGCAGTAATCTACGTCGATCCCGAGACGAACCGGTCATATACTTTTGCAGAGACAAAGAAGGCTGCGATTGAATTTGGCAAGGGTCTCAAGGCTCAATGGGACTGGAAGAAGGGCGATGTTCTTGCCCTCTATACACCCAACAGCATTGACACACCAGCGGTGATATGGGGAACCCACTGGGCCGGAGGAGTGATCTCTCCTGCCAACCCAGCCTACACTCCCGCAGAATTAGCTTTCCAGCTTAAAGATTGCGGTGCCAAAGCACTTGTGACACAGAAAGCATTCCTGGCGGATGCCCGAGCTGCCGCCAAATCTGTTGGCCTTTCGGAGAAGAGGATCATTATCCTCGGAGATGAAAGGGATGACAAATTCAAGCACTTCACTAGCATTCGGAACCTCTCGGGAGCAACAAGATATGTCAGGACACGGGTGAACCCTGAAAAGGACCTCGCCTTCTTGGTCTATAGCAGTGGCACCACTGGCCACCCAAAGGGTGTCATGCTGTCACATCGCAATATTGTGTCAAACTTATTCATGCTCGCCGCAGGGGAAGGCAATAATTTGAGTTCCGAAGGTGGACCCGATGGCAAAGGCGATAAACTACTTGCTTTCCTTCCATTCTTCCACATTTACGGTATGGCTTCCTTTCTACTTTCTCGTCCAACAACCACTAATATGTGCAATAGGCCTTACCTGCCTTATTCATTATGCATTCTTCAGAGGCCTCACCATATATGTCATGGCTAAATTCGATCTTGAGAGATTCTGCTCCATCATCCAGGAGAATAAAATTACCTTCGCCTATGCTGTACCACCAGTGGTTCTTCAGCTTGCCAAGAACCCAGTAGTTGACAAGTACGACCTCAGCACAATCAGAATGATGAGCTCTGGTGCAGCGCCCCTCACTCGGGAAATTGTCAACGCATTGTATGACAAGCGCAACATCAAGGTCAAGCAGGGATATGGCCTGTCCGAGACATCCCCTACGACACACTCGCAGCGCTGGGAGGACTGGCAAACGGCCATGGGCTCAGTCGGACCCCTTCTACCCAACCAAACCGCAAAGTTCATGTCGGCCGATGAGAAAGAACTTGAAGTCGGGGAGACTGGTGAGCTATGGGTCAAGGGACCTAATGTGTTCTTGGGTTACTGGAAGAACCCTGAAGGCACGAAGAACGCGCTCACCGATGACGGTTATTTCAAGACCGGTGACGTCGGTTTCCAAGACAAGAAAGGAAACTTCTATATCACAGACCGTGTGAAGGAACTTATCAAATATAAGGGATTCCAGGTTCCTCCCGCAGAACTTGAGGGCCTATTGGTTTCGCACCCGGACGTCGATGATGTTGCTGTTCTTGGCATCTACAATGAAGATCAGGCAACCGAGGTTCCACGAGCATATGTCGTGCCCAAGGCTGGCGTTCCTGGGACACCGGAGACAGGCAAGAGGATCGCGGATTGGCTGTCCAGCAAGGTGGCTGGCCATAAGCGCTTGAGAGGAGGTGTTAGATTTGTTGATGTGATACCTAAGACCGCGAGCGGAAAGATCCTGCGGAGGGTTCTGAAGCAGCAGGCGGAGGCGGAGGAAAAGAAGGTCAAGTCCAAGCTGTAGAGCTTCGCGAAATATTTGAGGGTCCATAGCGTGGTGTGTCCCTTCACATATAGAACCATGTATCGTATATCTGCAGCGCATATATTTCAAATAACTTTTTAAAGGCATTGATAGGTTGAATTGATTGATTTATTATTGAAATATGTTCGATCAGTTCTACAAATTTAACTCTCATCAATTCGACTAATTTGACAGCCAGATCTCAAGTTATACGCTCTTGTCATCATTTCGAACAACCAATCTCAACTTGTTAAGTGTTATTCTCCCTCTTGAGCTCTGTTCCGTTGGAACTTGAGCTGAATCCACACTGCAAAGTAAACAATTTAGAAAATAATGTAAGCAAACTATAAGTTAAATTTCTTTAGAGGGATGAGGGATGAGGGATGAGGGATGAGTTTAAATATGAAGTAATGCTGTTATTTGAAGTAGGTTTTTTTATGTTCGATCAGTACCATAAACTTAGCTCTCATCAATTCAGCCCATTTTGTGGCCAAATCTCAAAGGGACCATCTAGGAATGCTTCATCATTTCGAACAGCCAGCCTCAGCTTGAATTGGGTCGTATTCCCTCTTTTGAACTCTGTTCTGTTGTTGTGACGCTGCGAAGAAAAACAATTGGAAGGGAATGTGAAGTACAGTAACTGTTGAAGTTGGTTGAAGGGATGTATTTGGATATCGAATAATGCTGTTGTTTGAAGTGGGCGTTTTTTATCTGCTGTTGACGATCTTTCAAGACTCGCAGAATAATTTCAAGACTAGGGCCTCAACGACCCAAACTGTTCATCAGGCCTTATGTATCTCTCGTTGACCAGTCCAACTGGACGATCTCGAGTGTGTTCAAAGCTTTATCATCATCTGAACAGTTATATAAACAAAAAAACAAAAATAAATGCGAAAAGATAGAAAGAAAGAAATCAAACTGTTCATCAGTAAATGCTTCCGCTGTCCTCAAATCAATCCAAGTGGATGATATTGGGATTGGGTAACGGGATGGAAACATCATTTGAACAGTTCAATTCATATAAGCAAAAAGAAAAACAAGCAGGAATGAATGCAAGAAAAAAATATTTGAAGTAAATAAATCGAACTGTTCGTCAGTGGGTGTTTCCTGTTGCCTCAAATCAATCCAAACAGATGATATTGGGATAGAGAGGGATTGATACCATCATAGGAACAGTTCGATGTATATACAATAAAAGAAAAAAAAAAACAAGAAGTAAATGGTGAAAGATCGGTGAAATAAATAAATCAAACTGCTCATCAGCAATTTTTCAGGGTACCTCAAATCAATCCAAATGGATGATGTTGGGAACAAGTAGTAGTATTACCATCATCTGAACAGTTTGATTTGTATGCAGCAAAAACAAAAGCAAAGAAAAGATTGGAAGAAGTGTGGAAGAGGAGCTGTGGAAGAAGAACTGCGGGAGATGAACTGTGGAAGAACAACTGCGGAAGAAGGTCTGGTGTAAATACACAAACCAAGATCAAAGCCAATGAAGGATAAGATCAAGGCAGGGTATGTACAAGAAGGCAGAAGAATTGTTGTGCAATACACAAACCAAGATCGAAATCCAATGAAGGATAGACCGAGGAAAGGTATATGTAAGGAAAGAGGATAGAAGGTTCGACAGGACACCGCTTGGTGGCAGGACAAAAGAAAGAAAGGAAATGAGGAACAAAAAAAGAGGAAGAAGAACAAGAAGAGGGGGGGGGGAGGGGGTATTTATACCCAGGTGGCTGATTTCGAAATCGCTAAGCGCGCTGATATTCACTTTAAGCGCGACTCTCACGGCTTCATGTCATTGGACAGAAGCGAAAGGTGAAGGGCGGGCAAACACTGCAAACAATTGCTAGCTCCTGATAATTGTTGGAAGTTGTGGTTAGACCAGTAGCCTAGGGCCTCAGTTACTGAGACGTTGCGCGTTGAGGTGAGTTTCTGTCGCTGAAAGGGTGAATAGGGGAAATTTCGTGCTGACCAGCACAGACGGTGGGATATGTCAAGCTAAGGGTAATTTTGGAGATGCTACAGTGCAGTGTTTGCCATACTCGAGGTAGGAGCTCTATAGCCTTTACTTCATATTCTACAATAGATTCTTCTACACCATACAAGGAAATCACATACAAAACGAGGGTTTACATAAATAAAACAAACCCGGCTAGTGGCCTCCAAGGCTCATATTCTTATTCATGACCTTGTCAAAACACACAAAGGTAACATAACCACATCAAATGCACATCGATATCTGAAGAAAATATATTAAATGGGAAGGACCAAGTTTATAGATCTATGAATGCGAGCCACCACCCCCGAATTACTTGGCAAGGTTTGCTATCTCTCCGCCTTAATGATGTAGGCCCCGTCTACTATGGATGGCAGGTACAGGACGGAACACCAGCGCCACTACAATATCCAAGACCAAGATATCCCAGGATGAGGCCCACACTCTCTATATCGAACCCAGAAACCCTAAATTGACTTATCCAGAAACCCATGTGCCAAGCAGGGTGATCAGCAGTGGTAGCACCAGAGTAATAAATACCCGTGGGAGACGCGACCAGCCCAACTACCAACGCATACAACATGCGCATTCCAAACCAAACGTTGAAGCATATCGATATAGTAGCGTGTGTGCATAAATGCCACGCAGAGATAGCCAACGAAATACTGATGGGTCCTCCTCGGCCGAGTCCGAGATGGTGGCTTCGGAGCGGAGCATTACTATATGCAGTATATCGCATCAAGCAACACTCCATATCGCGCTTCTCCTTCACAAAGGACCCCGTTCGGTTGGTACCGACAGGTTTAAAGCGCATCGCGGCATAGCTGAATGACGAACCTCACGCCATGAAACCGCGCGGCAGCGTTCAGGTGGTGGTAAGAAGTCAGCGCACAATTTCTCAACAGCCGGCTATCGAGAGATCGGCTCTATGCGTTTCGACGCGCCCCCATCGTCCGGACGGCTCATCCACGATTGCTCGCAAATAAGCCATCTTTCTTATGTCTGCCTGCCTGATGACAGTATTGAGTTCTGGACATATTGGTGCCTTTTAACGTGATGCCCAGCACTAGCGGATTCAAGTGATTATTTTCTCTTGGACACTTGTAGTAGTTTGTGCCATATTAACAGAAAATGCGTGCTTCCCTCGTCCGACCCGCAATGGAACGATGTCCATCTAAAAAAGCGACTTACTTTGTAGGCTTTTTGCCTTATACTAAAGTCTGTTCTAGACGGGTTGCGGTTGTCGTACAACATCCCTGAAGGCTTCAGCCTACAAATTCGCCACTTGCAAGCATTTCCCAGGGCTTGCCAGTATCCCAAACGTTTTGGATCAGGTTCCGTGCCTTTCTAACCTTTGATGGAGTTTAGTAGTTGCTATTGTTACGGGATGGTTGTCATTCTTACCTGGCTCATCCCAATGCCTTCGACATTTCTCATCCTCTCCATTATAAAGCTCCGTTCCTCCGCATCCTGTGCATCGCACCCAGCACTAAACATGGGGAAAAGTAGGCATGCTTCTGCTGCAGACGCCTTTCTTACCCTGTGAAGAAGGCTAACAATCTCCCGCACTGCGGTTTGGACATCTTTGTCGGTCGATGGCTTGCCCAAAACCCGACGGTGCAAATGAATAAGACCAGCCCAGTGATATGCTTCATTTGTGGCAGCCATTTCGCGGCTATCCCACTGATATGTCTCTTCTTCTGACGAGTGTAGATGCGGACAATGCTGAATTAAAGAGCTAGTCCTTGCATGTTCGAGATCTTCGAGTAGCTGTTCGGCTTGTTGTCTGACATCGTCTGCTGGTTGCCACCCGAGCCGTTCATTGCAGGTATCGTCGAAGCGCCTAGGAGCACACAGTGCAGCAAGATCTGCAATCTTGGATAAAATGGATGCGCATCGGCTTGTAAAACCAAGAAGACAGACGATCTGAAGACCATGCTCTCCTTCACTGTCATAAGCTACCAGACCCTCTGTTATGGACAGGAAGTTTTTATGTCCACCAGTAAGCCTACCCAGAACGCCGAGGTAGGCAAACCACCTTAATAGAAAGCCAAAGGTAGCTGAAATTTCACTGTTGGGGTTCGCTTCTCCTCGAGCAACAATCAGCTGCCTTGCTACAGTTAGATGTTGCTGCCACGGAATTTCGACCCCGAAGGCCTTGGGGCATATGATCTCGAGAGAGGCCAACATTATGGCCCCCGCAAGACATGAGTCAGTAACGATTTTCTTAGGATCGTCGATGGCGTCGCGGAGATACGAAAAGAACCCCTGGACCCATAGAGAAATTCTTGTTATTGGTTCTCGGTGGTTCAGGAGCCGAGCCCGGTGAGATGCAGAGTATGCCAGCACCAACTTCATCAAATGACTGCACTGCAGTGCCATTTGTGGCAAAATCTTTTGGAATGGATTTGAGCTACAATGGTGAGGAACGAGAAGTCTAACAAATTAGCTTGATTCCAGATGCGAGTATAGTAGTACTCACGTCGCAGTATGTGAAATAAAATGGTGGAAATAAAGGACATTCATTGGGTTCTCTTGTAGTATCGGCGGCAAAGGGTGGAATGATCGAGGAATTTTGACCCAGACCGGACTGATGGCATTAGTTTTGCGCTTTTGCATGGACATGGAGGTTTACCTTTCATAGTAACCGCCCTTTTCGAAGGCAGCCACTTTCGTTTGCTGGCCAAAACTAAAATCAAGATTGCTATATTCTTTCGAGATGGCATTTGCATCATCGTTCTTTCCAATATCCAAATCTCTGAGCCCTTTGTCAACTCCCAAAGTAATAATGTCATCACGCGGATCTCCATATGGAAGAGGCGTTTGCTCTCTGCTAGTGGAGCCAGCAGTGCCCATGGCATTTGACATCCCAGGGGGACCAGAGAGCAGAGAGTCAATGGAAAGTCTTCGCCATTCGGACAGATGACTACCATTGGATGTGAGTGGCGCAAGCTTAACGGAGAGGCTTCGCTGCCCATCGTCACTTTGAGACGATGTTGACATTGGCGCGAAGGGCTGGCTAAAATGAATTCCGGTATTATAACGAGACGACGAAGGGATGGGAAGTGCCATCTCTGTGAACCGAGAGTGGATTTCACTACTGGATGGCCCATAGCGGATCCGTTTCGAGGACCGTGTATCGCCTGCAAAATCCACAAATGAGCTGCCCGTTGGACTTTCCATACCTGATTCCGAAGGTGATTTTATGCCATGCTCATCACGATATCTCTCATAGCTCTGCTCGAATGGTTGGGTATATAACGAGTTCAGAGACCCGTATTGAAATGGCGGAGATGCGCAAGGTTGCTGAGCATCCTGACCCGTTAATACGGGATCTATGGATATGATGTCTGTGGGTGGCTCCTTGATAGAGTCCAAACTTGGCGGTTCCATACCCCATGTTGCCAGCTTTGGGACGGTAGTATTCGAAGCCTTCTCAGTGCGGCGGTATGAGTCGGTATGAGTCGGTACCTGGTCTGCAACATGCTCTCGGCTTGATGGTCGTGTGCCATAATATGTTCCGCTCAGCGGAGAGATGGACGCTTCGACTTTTACGGCCTCTTTCGGAGAGACGTCAAAATCAGCAGAGAGTGTATTGACATGGAAAATCGTCTGTCTCCCGCCTGTCGTCTCAGCCTTCCTCTTCCCTCTCCCATCCCAGTTCAACCGCACGCTATAGTCGCACACCTCATTCTGTCGCTGGCAACTGAGACATGTCGGGTGCGCCTCGTCGCACTTAACTTTTCGAGCTTTGCAGGGCCTAGGCAGAGATGGTCAGCGGCCATCACTTGCATTTAAAAGGTGACACGCGCAACCTCGCTGACTCAGCACGAAACAACGAATAGAACGTACCAGCAACCATTTCTGCTGCGCTTCTTGGGCTCTGGCGCCCCAGGTTTCTTTGGGCGTGGCATAGAAAGCTAGCCTTGAGGGTGAGGCGAGGAAGTTTGCGAATATGGGGTGGTTGTCAGAGCCTTGTGGCTATAGGAAAGCATGGGCATCACTACTAGTTGGCGCCTAGGATCCACTTGGCCGTGGTAGCTTTTGTCCGCCTGTAAACTGGCTCTGAACTACCGCGCCGCCATCATATTTAGTATTCGAATGGCTCTCCCAAAAACAATAGTCGTATCATAAATCATATCAGTGAGCGGCTTGTCAGCAGTCCATGTCCATGGTGCCAAAGTTAGTTCAAAACTTGGGGTATTAGCGGGGCAGCGCCGGCTTATCGGAGATAGATGATGGATAAGAACCTGAGAAAAAAGGCGGGGAGATTTCAGTCGCGTGTGGGTTTATGGTTCACAACAAACGTCCGATTTGAGCAAGGGGTATCATATTTCAATATTTATGGAGGCTATAGTTCTATGCGTCCTCGCAGGAATGCCTATGTTATCGAGATGTTAATGATCTTGATGTCCTCTTCAGGCTTTTCTTTGTGCACTTTTGTGTTTTCGATCTTGTGAACAACATCCAAGCCCTGGATAGCTCTCCCAAAAATCGTGTGCTTGTTGTCTAACCAAGGCTATCCACGTGTCAGTTTTGCAATATACAGTACGGTTTTGATTTTCACTTACAGTCTTTTCAGTCGTGATGAAGAACTGGCTTCCGTTTGTATTGGGCCCAGCATTTGCCATACTCAGGGTGTAGGGCTTGTCATGCCTCAAAGTGCTGAACTCGTCCTCGAATTCTTTTCCCCAGATACTCTCACCCCCGGTTCCATCACCGAGTGGATCTCCACACTGGATCATGAAGCGACGTATGACTCTGTGGAAAATAGTGTTGTTGTAGTAGCCGCGCTTTGAATGTGTAACGAAGTTCTCCACGGCTTTAGGTGCGGCGTCTGGGAACAGTCGGACGTGGATATCGCCATATGTAGTATGAATAACGGCGCTCGTTCCAGTCTCTGCCACCTTCTTTTCGACTGCCTTAAGCGCATTGAGATTCGTTGGCTTCTCGTTTTGAACATCTCGTTCAGATTTGGATATCTCTTCGTCATTGCTAAACATGTAGAACCTCTGCTTCCCGACGCCGGTCTCGATGAGTATGGGATCCCGAACTTCTGATTCTTGCAGCAGCGGATTGTTGGAAGCGGCCATCGCGATAGTAGTAACGCCTTTCTTCTGGGGTTGTCCTTGGTATGTTGCAAGGTTCAAAGCTCTAAAGTTCTCATCCTGGCCATATACCTTGACCACACGATTCGTGTAGGTATTGATGACCTTGGTGCCAAGTATCGACCCATACAGTATGAAATGGCCGCTCTCATCAAAGACCACGTTGACCTTGTTTCTTAATAACGGAGTATCAATCTCTCTTTCTGTAGCAAGCCTTCGGTTGAACTCGACATCTTCTAGTTTCTGCAACGCAGTACCGGCTTGCTGCATCTCTTCGATAGTCTGTATCGATTCATCATACGTTCGGTGCAGCTTTCCTGACGGAAAATCGAAAACTCGAATCTTGCGGTCTGGGAATGATATTGTTGCAAACTGTGAACCGGTGGGAGAGACTGTAATAGAGGCCGGTACAGACTTTGCTTTCTTAAATTCAAAGAGGTCCGTGGAACTCTTGTATTCGAAGACGTTATCTGGCTTCTCATAGTTGCCGCCGGGTCTCCAGTACTCGAGCATGCCACTCTCATCTGCCGACACAACGCAGTTGTAAACATTGTTAAATGCCATTAGTGAGATAACGCTTCTATGGAGCCCTTTCACCGTATGGATCGGCTCCAGGTTGTCGCCCCTTCCGTCGTAAATTCGTATGGAGTGGTTGACCTCGTCCGATACCGCTAGCAGAGGTAATGAAGCGCCGCGCTGATGGACCCAACAAACGCATTTTGGCGTAAACTCCACAGTGAGCATAGTCAATAGATCGAATGTGATCACATCGAATATCTTGATTGTCTTGTCCGCGCCAGCTGTTGCGAAACTCCTGCCATCTGCGCTCACTGAAACGCTTTTAATCTCGCCATTGTGCGCGCGAAACTCCTTCACAAACTCAACGCCTTCATTGCCTTTCTTCCAGAACTTAACATAGCCGTCGATGGAGCTGGTGATCAGGAAATCGGTGAGTGGTGTCATCGTAACGAAGGCTACCTGCTCCTTGTGCATGAGGGACTTCGAGTACCGTGCCGAAGTAGGCAGTGCTGCGACGTAGAGCTTCTCGTAAGGGAGAACCCGTCTCTTCTTCTTGGGTGCTGCTGAGGGCAATTGGGGGCCCATGTCATCGTCCGAAGATTCTGTACAATGTTAGCTATCGTGGGCATTGCATGTCACACTTGAAGCTCACCATCTTCTTCGGCGCCGGCAGGCCCTCCTTTCGGAGAGTCATTCACAGCATTAGACTCATTGTATGGCCTCTTATTCGAGACCTGCGCGTTTGAACTCATGGTTAATCCTTGAGGTCAGGATTAGCAGAGGACGACTTGATGAGGCTGAAAATAGTTTTGGGTCGCGTCCTGTATGTAGCTGTAGCCTCACATCTTTGGATCGGTGGAAACGTTATTCCGAGACCGAACTGACCCTGGCCGATTTTCAACAAGGGCAAGGCTGAGGGACCCCATAAAAGCGAACGCCACTAACACCCCTGGACCTCGGGCGCGCCTGTCGTTTGGACATGTGCCGGATGCAGCTTATAGTATGTATTTAGTTGAGACTACATATATCCAGGGAGTCTCTCCCTGGTCCGTTTACTTCACGATTATAAAATAAACGGTATAAAACTTCGAGCTTTTTGGACCAACGCAATCATGGCAAAGTCAAAGTCTCCAATCTCTGCTTCGCGCAAGCATCCGCTCCAGCGCTTTGAGTCGCCATCCCGCGCGATATCATTTTTCTTGCACGCTCTGGGTCTCTGCTCTTTCTCTGGATCCTTCTGGTACATGATCAACTTCCCAACACAGATGAACCAGGCCTATGGCTGGCATTACCAGTATCTGACAATTATTGGACTCCTCGTGTCTACCATCACCTTCGGTTTTGGTCTTCTGGCCGATATCACCCTGTCGCACCGCCTCTTTAACATCAAGAACAGTCTGTCTCTGTGGTGCGCCCCGCTTGAGGTTCTGATCACGATTCTGTACTGGACCATCTCGGCCATCGACAGAGAGCTCGTTATCCCCCCGGAGATCAACCTGGACCCATATGCGGATATCAGCTTCCATTTCATGCCCAGCTTGTTGTTGGTCTTGGATCTCTTGCTTCTAAGCCCGCCCTACACCATCAAGAACCTCCCAGCGGCGGGTCTGAGCACTGCTCTGGCATTCACTTACTGGGCATGGATCGAGCATTGCTTCACTCACAACGGCTTGTAAGCGCCCTCGACCCCTAGCTAAATGCTATAATATGTTGCGCCGTTATGGTTCTAATGTTACTAGCTACCCATACCCCCTCTTTGACATTTTGTCGACCACCCACAGAGCGATTCTCTTTGGTAGCTCTGCATTGCTGATGACTGGGAGCACCATCCTCCTGAAATGGTTGTATGCAAAGATCAATGGAGTGGAAACTGGCAACAAGCGCACTACTCCTGCCAATATCAAGGGGGAATAATTCACCTTTTTTTGCCCAGTCGCATGTGATAGGCCGCTTCATGCTATTAGGTTACCATTTAACGAAGGCAGCAATGATCTGCTCCCAAACGAAATTATGGAGGAATGACTTAGACGTATCAAAATATCATTTGCAATTGGCTCCAATTTATCAGGCACGATTTGAATATGACGGAAATACCGCCAAACCATTAACTAAAAAAACTAATCTTTCGTTCATTTATTCTTTTGACCTATTGCCAGCGTGTACCATCCAACCCGGATACACCGATCAGAATGAGGATACCCTCTAGATCTCATGAGCTACTCCATACATATGCAGAGAAGGAAATAATAAGCGTGAGGTCGTGACGTTCTCAAGCAATGATCTCCTCCGTCTCCTCGACGATCTCCTCAACGATCTCCTCAATAACCTGGTCCTCGCCCTCATCAGTCTGCTTGATCAGGCCCTCTAGAGGATCCTCTGGCAAGCCCAACTCTCTGCGCTCAGCCAGAACCTCCTCCACAACCATCTCTCTCCATGCGAGCCACTCGTCAAGGAGGTTACGCCTGTGCTCAACGACGGCCAAGTCGGCGGACGCGCCGCGATCAGCATCTTCTTGGTCGAAGACCTTGCTGTACTCGCGGAGGTTCTTGCGGATCGCCTTTTGCTCGTCCTTCGTAAGGAGGGATGCTGGGCGGGGGCGCCAGAGCCATTGCTTGAACTTCTCAACTGGCTCTTCGCGTAATTGCTCGCCCTTGAAATCGTACAAGTGGTAACCGTTCTCCATCTACGAAGTAGTCAGTATAATGTCATCAGTGAGGAATAGTCAAACTTACAGTGTGTTTCCATACACTTGCGCTTGTGGCAACATAACGTCCGGTAGGGTCCCAGTCAATGTCAGTGACACCGAAATGGTCGGCAGTGTTCATAAGCATAAGGTTGGCAGTCAAATCCTTCTCGGCCTCTGGCTTCTCGCCGTCAAAGTCCATATCGTAGAACTCAAGGTCGAAGCTTTGTTGCGAGTGGACAGTCGCGACAATAACGAAACGTCCCTTTGGCGACCAGTAGATGGCGTTGCTGTTCTTTTTGTCGTATGTCCTAAGGTGCTTGAAGTTTCCGACGGCAGCGCCACCCTTGACCTTCTCGGGGCAGAAGAAAGAGACGGATGTCTTTGGGGGGACGGCAGTAGCGGCGACAACCTCAGCAGTGGTGATAGCAACGAACCTGTCACCCTTGGGCTCCCAAGCAAAGTTGATAACAGTGTCCTTGATCGAGTCAACGACCTCAACCGGGACTCCCTTCTCCTTCACGCGGAAAATCTCGAGACTGGTAGCGAGGGACTTCTTGGACTTGGAGTGACGGTCAACCTTAACGCAGAGGTATGCACCCTCTGATTGCCAGTGGAGCTTGGCATCCGTGACACTGAAGAGATTCAACGTCCTGACAACCTCTTTCGATGGAACGCTCATCAGTCCAACCTTGGCAGGGTTGCTGCCAATTTCCGGAGTCCAGTAGCAGAACAGCTGCTCGTAAGTCTTAACACCATCGCGAATAACAGTTGCAGGTGCCCAATCGAAGTCGACAACACCATCGATCTTGATCGAGGTCTTATCAAGAAGACCCATCCTTGGTAGCTCGTAGACGGAGATGGATGTGCCCTGGTTTAGCCTGGCGACGTACTGGTCGTCCGAGGACCACTTGAAAGCCGGCCACTGCACCTTGCGCTTGACGGGCTGTCCGGCCTCATCTAACGATGCACCGGGAACGTCCAGGTTTGCGAAAGAACGAAGCGGCTTGCCGGTCTCAATATCCCAAATAACGTAGTTCTTTCCATCGTCGTCCATAGACAGAGCTGGGTGACCTTCCTCTGGAATGGAGATCGGCTTGTTGGACCAGGTGGTGAGGTACTTCTCTCCAGGAGAGAAGTCAACCAAGTTGACGAAGGGATGGGGGAATCGCTTCATGCGAGTCCAGGATGGGCCACCCCAAAGTTGAACACCCTGCATGTGAACGGACGTGAAGAACGTGCCTAGCGGCGACCACTGTACGAAGGTCTCGGTCCAGTGGGCACGGTCAACGATGTTCTCGGGGGCATCCCTCTCGTTGTTCCAGAAAACGCCAACGTTATCACCCCTGAACATAACGAACTGGTCACGGCCACGTCCAGCAGGATCCGCGAGCCAGGAGCGGAGGTGCTCCTTCTCTGCGAACGGCTCGATTCTCGGTGGTGTGAAATCCTCGGGGACGGCTCCCTCGCGGCCGTAGCGCTCGATATCCGTAAGCTTGTTCACGCGCATCGTGTGCTTCTTATCAATAGCGACGCCATCAAGAGACTTGACTGCCGCGGCGGCCTCGGCTGGGGAAGCGTATTCGACGAACGCGAATCTACTGCCGTTAGCACCTGGGCCAGACTGTACAAGTTGGCCTTTCAACATACCCATCAGTTTGTCCACTCTCGCCAACTGGCATGAATACCAACTCCTCCTTTGTCTTTCCAACGGAGTTGAGCTTTCTTAACAAGAACTTAATCAGCTTTGGCTTCGTCTCCTCGGTAACTTTAGGCAGTCCATCCACACAGACGAAAGTATCGAGTCCCTGCTGAAGCTGAACCTCGAATTTCTCTCTCAGGTCGGAAAAGTCGAGTTCCTCCTCGTCATCGTACTCCTCCTCCTCCTCCGGATCCGGAAGGTGATCAAAGGACGGCGCCATGATTGCGGTTGCTTCGCTGTTCGGTGCTGAACCCCTCAGTGTATAGTGGGCGTGTTTCGATTTGTGCGATATCCTTTTGGGGGGCTTTTGAGCCTGGTTAGTGCGAGAACAACGAGAATAATATAGTATATATATGTGGGCATCGGCTTACTTGATGGGCTGGAGGATTTGCTGCGAGTTGGCTTCAGTGCTGTAATAGTATACCTTGTCGTCGCAAATGTTAGGATTCTAGCTGAATATTTGATCGCGATGTGCGTGGGGCTCGCGCTAATTTTCGAAATTCGCTACGGTGGCCGATTAGGCGTGAAGCGCGTTCTGAAAAAGTAGCCCGCGCGTATAAACACTTTGAAATTGGTATAGGAGAGGTATAATCATTCACAATGGCTTCTTTCAACCCTACGCAGATTTTCCAGAGTGATGTGACGGAAGAGAAGGGTGAGAATGCTCGCCTTTCTGCTTTCGTGGGAGCTATCGCAGTTGGCGATCTGGTGAAGAGCACATTGGGCCCAAAGGGCATGGACAAGATCTTACAATCTGCGTATGTGGACAGCTATTTCATGTGAAGGATTTTACTAACTGGCAGTAGCTCTACCGGTGAGATTATGGTCACGAATGATGGAGCAACTATCCTGAAGTCCATCGCCTTGGACAACGCAGCCGCAAAAGTGCTCGTGAACATCTCAAAAGTTCAAGATGACGAAGTAGGAGACGGCACAACATCGGTCACAGTCCTGGCAGCAGAGCTCTTAAGAGAAGCGGAGAAGCTGGTCGATAAGAAGATCCATCCCCAGACGATCATCGAGGGTTACAGGATAGCAAGCCAAGCTGCTTTGGCTGCACTCGAGAAATCAGCTGTTGACCACAGCAGCAACAAGGAGGCGTTCAGGAAGGACTTGTACGCTATCGCACGGACAACTCTCAGCTCGAAGGTCCTGGCCCAGGACAGAGATCAGTTTGCAGAGCTAGCATGCGATGCAGTGCTACGTATGAAGGGTTCGTCCGATCTCAGCCACATTCAAATCATCAAGAAGGCTGGCGGAAAGCTGAGCGACTCCTATCTTGACGAGGGCTTCATCTTAGACAAGAAGATCGGTGTAAACCAGCCGAAGAGACTGGAGAAGGCAAAGATCATGATTGCAAACACCGCAATGGACACAGATAAGATCAAGATCTTCGGGGCCAGAGTTTCTGTTGCATCGACAAGCCAGCTTGCGGAGCTAGAGAAGGCAGAGAAGGAGAAGATGAGGGCTAAGGTGGAGAAGATCAAGGCACATGGAATCAACTGCTTCATCAACAGGCAGCTTATCTACAACTGGCCTGAGCAACTCTTTTCGGATGCTGGGATCATGTCGATCGAGCATGCTGATTTCGACGGAATTGAGAGACTCGCCCTGGTTACTGGTGGCGACATCGCTTCCACTTTCGACCACCCGGAATTGGTTAAACTTGGACACTGCGATGTTATCGAGGAGGTTATCATTGGTGAGGATACGCTAATCAAATTCTCCGGTGTCGCTGCTGGCCAAGCTTGCACGATCGTCCTGAGAGGTGCCACCGAGCAGCTCTTGGACGAGGCCGAGAGATCACTTCACGATGCCTTGGCTGTTCTGTCACAAACAGTCCAGGAACCAAGAACCACACTGGGAGGCGGATGCGCAGAGATGTTGATGGCCCGCGCCGTCGACGCAGCGGCCCTTAAGGTTGATGGCAAGAAGCAAATTGCCGTTGCATCTTTCTCCGTTGCCCTCCGCCAGCTGCCAACCATCCTCGCAGACAATGCCGGGTACGATTCGAGCGACCTCGTGGCCAAGCTGCGAACCGCCATCTATGACGGCATGACTACTTACGGTTTGGATTTGATGACACCTGGCGGCGGTATTACCGATATGCGCGAGCTTGGTGTCATTGAGAGTTACAAGTTGAAGAAGGCAGTTGTGTCGTCAGCATCGGAGGCTGCAGAGGTAAGCCAGACCCGAACCCGTCCTACCGTATTTCAATACTGACTTTTGCAGCTTCTATTGAGGGTAGATAATATCATTAGGAGCGCACCAAGACGGAGGGAAAGACAATAGATGTGGCATGGACAGGAGAACCCGGCTGTATTATGAGAAGGGGATTGCTAATGGCGAAGCCACTGTACCATAACCTGCCTTAATCACTTCGTAGTGACAATGAATGCACTCATGGTCGGGAACAAGGTGTAACTTGCCCATACAGTTTACGTAGTAATGCACTGATAGAGCCGAGTACAAATACAAGTGTTCAGTATTACATGTGCACCAAAGTCCAGCGAAGAAGAAATGCATTAGGAAGTAGGCTGCCAATGATGGATTCAATTTTATTATGAAATTCCCTACTTGGGCGAGTAGACAAAGGCCCCAATTCTTCAGCATGTGTGTCTTTAATATTGAGACAGCACTGTGTGGATAAATTATAAAAAATTGTCGTCGGATGTGCGACTGCACTATAAATTCCGTGTTTTAAGGCTGATTGAAATACTACACTACACTGCCACGTCGGAGATTCAAGTAATTCCAGCAGCACAAAATCAATATTACAGATATTTTATAGAGTACGTAAACAATGTATACGGGAAGTTCTGAACCATCTGAAATTTGAAGCCTGTAGAATCGTAAGGAAAAGGTAATAAAGACTTGGGCTTCGTCAGCTCGCGATTCAGAATGCTAAACCCTGTCGCACAAGTTGAAACGCTCGCTCCCTCCCCCAACCTCGAGTTTATTTTGTGCGACACACAACACATACATTACTCGCACTCGAGTCGCTTTCTCTCCCCTTTAAACCATTGCTCGCAATTACCTATTGCTGTTATTGTCGAGAATTTGCGATACCAGTCCATCTGACGACTTCGAAGCCGCCGCTTGGGTGACCTGAGTCGATCTTGTCAAGTGCCAGGCACCGTACGGCGTGTTATTTCATGTCCCATCATGCCGCGACGGCCTCCCGCCGAAGGGACTGCCGCGAATAGAATCCTCCTCGCGGTAGTGATATTACTCTTACCATGGCTCATCGATGCTCAGCAGCAGCAGCAAAACGCGGGTCGTGATGTTGGAGACCAATACAAGTCACCACGCGAGGCCATCAAGGCGGACCCCATTGCGACCCTTGAGGCCACCACGCTCGGAAACAAAGCACAACGCCTCGAGTCGCCAGTGAACGCAGGTCGAGCGAAAGGCACACCAGGTGCAAATAAAAACAAAAGAGAAAATAATGGAAACGATGCGAGCGCTATCGCAGCTTTTGCTCCGGCGGGATCCGCCGTTCGAGCACCATCCACAGGACGATCCAGCATAGAGAATAATGCTGGGCTCTCGCCGCAATCTGCGCGGAGTCTTGAGGATTGGGATGTAGAAGACTTTGTGCTTCTTGCGACCGTCGACGGGAAGTTGTATGCCCGAGATAGGAAGACTGGGACACAACGGTGGGCCCTGGACGTTGACAGACCCGTTGTACAAACCACATACCACGAAAGGAACGGAACCGATGGCGAAGAGCATCAGCCTGTGGATGACTATCTTTGGATTGTCGAACCAAGTGCTGATGGCAGTCTCTTCGTTTATATCCCCAGCGGCCCCCAACCAGGGCTGGTCAATACGGGTCTCACCATGAAGAAATTGGTTGAGGAAATGGTGCCATACGCCGATACCGAGCCTGCTGTGGTCTATACTGGCGACAAGGTAACCTCACTGTGGACAATCGATGCCAGGAACGGAGCAGTGCTTAAATGGTTTGGATCCGCGGGCTCGTTCAGCCCAGGAGAAGCCACATGCGACCGCCCAGATGGTTTTCAAGATCCGGATGGTGAGGAATGTAGCACTCGAGGGACCTTGACATTGGGTCGAACCGAATACACAGTCGGCATTCAGGGAAAGGATGGTCATCCTATCGTCACTCTCAAATACGCAGAGTGGGGTCCGAACAATTATGACCAGGATCTATTACGCCAACACCGGAGCACCCTCGATGGGAAGTATATGTATAGCAGCCACGACGGAGGAGTGTTCGCATACGACTTAACTCGGTCGAAAGATAGAGGTGCCTTATACAATGCAAGGCTCCCGTCGCCGGTTATACGAGTCTTTGACGTAGCCCGTCCTGTGGATGCCGACACGAAGAATCCCGAACTTATCATCCTTCCTCAGCCAATACCACCCTTGGTGGATGACAGTCATGAAAGTATCCGCCATGCCCGGATATTTGTCAACCACACCGAGACCGGAGACTGGTATGCAATGTCTGGTAATAGCTACCCATTGGTTATCGACGGCCCCGAACAGGCACAGTGCGATACGGCGAATTGGTTGGAACGTGCGCGCTTCCATGAGCCGATGAACAATGCCCAGCTTCAAAAGGCACTTGTTGGACTTCACTCAATCGATGGCCGTAGACACGAGCCTCTGTTGACTATATCCGGACCAACCGATCAGGATGACAAATTGCAAAGCGAGAACGAAACTATTCATAAAGATGCAGTTGCAAATATGACATCCCCAGCGCTGGGCCCCAAACCATCAGTTCTATATCATGTCCGACAGCTTCCAACAACAGCAGTGACGAGTATAATTGAACTCGTTAATAATCCAATTACTACACTCCTACTCCTGACGCTACTGTTTTGGTACAACAGAGACATAGCCCGATGGATCAAGTCAACCTGCAACAAGTACATCAACATAATTTCAAAGCTCACGGGAAGGCTAGAAGAGGACGAAGACGTTGATGACTTCTCGAATATCGATGCGCCACTCAAACAGGATGCACCGGCTCCCGAAACTCTTCCGGATGTGGCAACGGTGGGAAGCTCAGACTCGTCGGACGATGCTAAGCCAACTGAAACGAAGAAACAAGATGGAAAACTAGCAGATGTGTCCACTGAGGCCCGCCGAGAACCGCTGGGAGAAGTTAACGCAAACGACGGTTCGCGTCCACCGAAGCAACCCAAGCCCGAAGGCAAAAAAGCTCACCGTGGAAAACGTGGTGGTCTCAAGCACAAGAAAGGGCAGAAGCAGACTCCGGTCTCAGATGGACCAATTCCATCATCTCCTGCTACCGTTGAGGATGCAGTCCGTGACGCAAAAATGCTTGGAGGGACTACCCGCATTGAGCCAGATGTCGAAACTCTACCTAATGGTGTCAATGAAATCTCGGGCCCAATCCTACGCATGAACAGCCTCGAGGTTAACATGGATAAGCTTATTGGGACAGGAAGCAATGGCACAATGGTTTTCGAAGGCAAATTTGACGGACGAGATGTAGCAGTGAAGAGGATGCTCATCCAATTCTTTGAAATTGCATCCCAGGAGACGAAGCTCTTACGAGAAAGTGACGATCATCCTAATGGTATGCACCCAACCAAGTTATATATTGACCTCAGCAAGCTAACAATTTGGCCAGTTATCCGATACTATGCCCAGCAACAAAGCCAAGGATTCCTCTATATTGCGCTTGAGCTGTGCTCTGCATCTTTGGCAGATGTTATTGAAAAGCCGCAACTTCATCGCGACCTTGCACAAAGCGGAGAACGAGATCTTCCTAATGTTCTTTACCAGATAACCAATGGCCTCCAACATCTCCATAACCTTCGGATTGTGCATCGCGATCTCAAGCCCCAGAATATCCTGGTCTCAATGGGTAAAGACGGCAGGCCTCGACTTTTAGTCTCCGATTTCGGACTCTGCAAGAAGCTCGAAGGCGAACAATCAAGCTTCCGCGCTACCACTGCCCATGCAGCTGGTACATCTGGCTGGCGTGCCCCTGAACTCCTCCTAGACGACGACCTTCGCGAAGGCTCGGTTACGGCCATGGAGTCCACCCTCTCTAGCAGCCACAGCACATCAGGGATACCACTTGTCTCTGGTGATCTAATGCACAATCGCCGCGCCACTCGGGCCATTGACATCTTCTCACTTGGGCTGGTCTTCTTTTACGTACTCACTAAGGGATCTCATCCTTTCGATTGCGGCGATCGGTATATGCGAGAAGTCAACATTCGCAAAGGCGAATATAAGCTCAGCCCGCTTGATGTTCTTGGCGACTATGCTTTCGAAGCTACCGACCTCATCAGGTCTATGCTCGAGCAGGTGCCAAAGGCTCGTCCGACCGCGAGGCAAGTGATGTCCCACCCGTTTTTCTGGTCGGCCAAGAAGCGCCTAAACTTTCTTTGCGACGTCTCAGATCATTTTGAAAAAGAGAAGAGGGACCCTCCGAGTGACGCACTTATCGAGCTTGAGAGATGGGCGCCGGAAATTACTCGTGGAGACTTTATGAAACCACTCGGGAAGGAGTTTACGGATTCTCTGGGGAAGCAGAGGAAGTATACTGGTTCAAGATTGTTGGATCTGCTGAGAGCGCTCAGGAACAAGAAGAACCATTATGAGGATATGTCAGACAAGTTGAAGAAGGACGTAGGTCCTTTACCTGAGGGGTATCTGAGCTTCTGGACAAGGAAGTTCCCAAACCTACTCATTGGTTGCTGGAATGTTGTGTATGAGGTTAGATGGGATGAAGTGGATCGATTCAGAGAGTACTATGAGCCAGCATTGCTATGAGATAGTTCTTTAGAACTCATAGAGTAGGACTCCAAAGCTTTAGTCACTTCGAGGAAGGCAATTGGCGGGCGGCTTTAGGCGCAGGGATTATATGAATTAGGATTTATAGTACTATGTAGCTCGCGACGAATTGAATTTATAGCAACCATTGAAACAGCCCATGCAATCCAATTGAATCTTACGGCGGCTATTCATTATTGGACGTGTGTATTTCTAACGATGGCATTCTCTGAAACTTAAAACGCCCATGACGGCGCTTAAACGCGGGAGCGGCCGCATCTAGGCCTTTGGTTTGGCTGATCGTGGTCGCGACGAACCATCACGCACCCTCTCGTCAACTACGCCACATCCGGCCCTCACAAACAGCTACATTCATCCTACTTCCCGACTTGCTTGCCGGTTTGCTTCTTTTGGAATTATATATATATATATTTCATACTATCTGCATAACAGGGCTGGTTCTCTGCCATCACATTTGGAAAGAGTCCTGGCGAAGTGCGAAGTTGAGAAGCTGCAGTCGCATGCGCCAGCCAGAATTTAGCAACCACCACCACCGACAATAAGCAAACTTCCATAAGATACGCTTCAAACTGCGCGTCAATTACACCTTGCCAAACATTGGGTGCCCTAAAGCAAACCGCTGTCATTTGCGCCAACTCTCAAACTCCAATACCGTTGAAACGAAAGTAATACATTCATAACCAGTTGCGTCACATTTCAGCAGTTTATCCGCCAACATGGGACTATCAGAGGAACAGATTCGCCAATTCAGCACCCATATCGATAATATTCTCAGCAAAAGCGACTTGGCAACTATATCAGTAAAGAAGGTCCGGAACCAGTTACAAGAGGTCGTCGGCCAGGACTTATCAGAGCAGAAGGTAACACAAGCCATTCCAGCCCAATCCCTTTGTTTTTACTAATATTTCTTCGATAGTCTGCAGTCAATGCCTTGATTGAAGAGCGCTTCGACAAAATCACTTCCGAGCCCCCGTCTTCGCCAGACGTGCCGATATCCAAAGGCCCGAGACCAACAACCAACGGCCACGTCAAGACCGAGGTCAAGGATGAGAGCACTCCGGATGACACAGACGGCGGCAGTGCCCCTCCGAAAAAGAAACAAAAGAAACAGTCGGCAGCAGACAGCGATGCGAAGCTAGCTGCTCTACTCCAGGCGCAAGAGAATAGCCGAGGCAGGGCCACAAGAGGCGGGGTTAATAAGAAGCCCGCAAAGGCGAAGTCGACAGTCAAGAAGAAGAAGAGCTCGGCAAAGGTTAAGGCAGCGGACGATAGTGATATCGAGCTGAATTCAGATGGGGAGAAGAAGGTGGTCGAACGGAAGGGAGGGTTTCACGTCAGTCAATCACAACATACTGGGGGGGATTCTTTGGCTAACATCGAGTAGAAACAATACGCGCTGTCCGAGCCCCTGGCTGCATTGGTTGGTGAGCCTCAGGTATGTAGATTGAGAACCGCCTTGTGCTGTAAGCTAACTGGTTCCAGTCGTCTCGGCCACAGGTCGTGAAAAAGATCTGGGCGCATATCAAAGGAAACGATCTCCAGGATCCGTCAGACAAGCGCCAGATATTTTGCGACAACAAGATGAAGCTTGTTTTCAAGCAAGACACCGTTCACATGTTCACTATGAACAAGTTATTGGGGAAGCACCTGTACGAGGTTGAGGAGCTCGCAGCAGAAGCAGCGGCAGCGCAAAATTAGCCTGTCCGGTTGAGAGGCAAATTGGGGGTCAATGGGGACAAAGGGCCTGGATATATGGCATTATTGGGACATATGGCGTTGTGCGTTGGCTCAAAAGCTATTATGCTGCATACCCATCATTAATTTGGGGGGAAACACTTTATGAATATTCACTTGGGGGGAGGATGATCCAGCAAACACTGGATATAGTGGCAGACATCGGAATTGATGATTTGAAATCGGACGGTAGCCGCTAGAACTTTGGCCGAGTGACTCCCATGTGATTCTACGCCACCCTCTCACACAGGGTAACAAAGGTCAAATAGCAAGGACATAAGATTAAAGTGAGGTGGTCGCAGAAGAAGACTTATTTCCACAGAGTCAGCCTTGGGCTTAGGCAGTAGCTGCGCATATGAATGACTCTGAATCGATCTGTGTGGCAGTAGCGCCAAGCCGCAGCCTCGTAGCCTCGCACACCGAGCCCTGCTATTAATGATTCGTCGACCCCACATCCCCACGCCCAAATTTCCACTCCAGCTCATCACCGCCGTAACCACAAACAGCTCCAATAATTCCAGCGTACGCCCCCCATACAGGACCGACGCAGAATACATTGAATCAAGGAGATACATGTAATATTTATATCAAAGATTGTGCAGTACAGCAAGGAGAAACATTATTATGGCGGACACAAACGCCACTGGCCCGGAGTCCGCCCAGACGACTGCCCCACCACGAGCACCCCGAGGAGATAACGCCAGGGGAGGAAGGGGCGGCAGAAGAGGACGAGGAGGAAGGGCAAACAATGACGGAGAAGGAGCAGCAGACAATAACCAGAATGAAAGCAGAGCGCCGCGGCGGGGGAGAGGAGGCAATCGCGGCGCTGGTGCAAGAGGAGGCAACAGCACATTAACGCCCGCCGACCTGGCTACGCGATTTGCGCAGAAAGCAACGGTAGCAGAGGTCCCAGCTGCGACATCTCCTAGGATATTGGAACCGAAAGATGAAGAGGAGGATGTCGATGCGGAGGTGTGCTTTATTTGCGCATCGCCCGTTGTGCACAATGCCGTTGCACCTTGCAATCACAGAACATGCCATATCTGTGCATTGCGGATGCGAGCTCTCTATAAAACGAAAGACTGTGCCCATTGTAGAGTAAGTTTTCTTTCTTAGCTGCTTGTGGAAGTTCAATTGCTAACCCGAACCTCTAGACTGAGGCACCATATGTCATCTTCACCGATGATGCAACCAAACGATTCGAGGACTATGCTGAGCGAGATTTTGCAAGCACGGATCACAATATCGGCATCAAATACCAGACGCAAGAGGTAATGGGCGACTCACTTATCCTTCTACACTACAACTGCCCAGAACCTACGTGCGATATTGCCTGTCGCGCATGGCCAGAATTGCATCGCCACGTAAGGGGTACTCACCACAAGAAGATGTGTGACCTCTGCACAAGGCATAAGAAAGTATTTACGCACGAGCATGATTTGTTTACGGACAAGGAGTTGCAGATGCATATGTCTAAGGGGGATGACAACCCAGGGGCTAAGGACCAAAGTGGCTTCAAGGGACACCCGCTGTGTAGCTTCTGTGGGCAGAGGTTTTATGGTGATGACGAGCTCTATGTGCATTGTCGGCAAAAGCATGAGAGATGCTTCTTGTGCGACAGGGCAGACAGTCGGAATCCCCACTACTACGTCAACTACGAGTCTCTAGAGAGCCATTTTAAGAAGGACCATTATATGTGTATGGAACGAGAGTGCCAGGAAAAGAAGTTCATCGTATTTTCGTCCGAGATGGATCTCAAGGCACATCAGCTTGAGGAGCACGCCAATACCTTGTCAAAGGATGTAAGGCGAGATGCTAGAGTTGTCGACCTGTCGTCGTTCGACTACAGGGCACCATACTACCAGGAAAGACGTGGAGGAGAGAGCCAGAGGGAATCACGGAATCGTGGGCGAGGGAGGGACCCAAATGCGGAGCCAATCCCAGCATCAACTGCGCAACCTCTACGTCGAGATGAACAAGCTTTCCAACGCCAAATGGCCATCCAGAGTGCACAATCAGTAACAACACGCACATTTGGCGGACAATTGACTGCGCCAACCCCAGCTCAATCGGCAGCAGCAACATCGGGCCGTAACACTGGCGCAATCAACTCATCACGTCCATCTACGGCATCACGAGCGGCCCCAGCAGCACAACCTCAAGCCCCCGCAGTCGCCGAAGCTGACCTCTCACCACAAGAGCAAGCCCGCCGCCAACACCACATGTCCGTCATCTCGAAAGCAACCCAGCTTCTCAACAACGACAACCTCAAAATCACCCAGTTCCGCAACGCCCTCTCCTCCTACCGCTCCAGCGCCATCTCCGCCTCCGCACTCATCGACGCCTTCTTCGCCCTCTTCTCCGACACCTCCAGCTCCGCTCTCGGCACCCTCATCCGCGACGTCGCAGATCTCTACGAGGACGTCAAGAAAGCAGAGGGCATCCGCACCGCCTGGAACGACTGGCGCGCCATCAACGAGGATTACCCCTCCCTCCCCGGCCCCAGCGGCATCACCGGCAGCGCCAGCGTAGGCTGGGCCGGCGTCACCGCCTCCATGCCACCAAACGTCACCATCGCCCCTGCCAAGTCCTCGCGCGTCCTAAAACTCAAATCATCGACGCAGCAGTCTTCGCGCTCGAGTCAGAGCAGAAACGGGACCTGGACTAATACTGCCACGCCGAGTAGTTCGAGAAGCGAATCTGCGTTCCCGACTCTCCCGCCTTCGTCGTCGTCTGTGCAGCCGACACCGAGAGTTACGACGGTCCCGTGGAAGCCGTCATCTGGCAACGCAAGTTCGTCACAAAGTACTCCCCGCGCCACACCCCCCACATCGCGCCCTGCATCTCGCGTGGCCGGTGGTCGTGGCGGAGCTACGGGTGGCGACTTCCCATCGTTACCGCCGGCGCCAAAACCTGTAAGCACGATCTTTGGATACGGCCGCGGGATGGTCCGGCGTGATACTGGACAGGGAAGCGGCGCCGGGGCTAGTGCGTGGGGAGCGTCGCAGCAGGAGGAGGTACAGCAGCAGCAGGAAGAGCAGGGGGGGAAGAAGAAGGGGAATAAGGGGAAGAAACAGGTTCTTGTGGCGTGGGGATAGATGAGTGGTTTTGGATGTGTGTGTGCGAGTTTTTAGTTGTCTAGCGTGTGTTGGGAAAAGTGATGATTAGATGATACACGCATAGCGAAGGGGTTTTGCGTTGTTATAGATTTCTGATGTTAAGATTACTTTAGTTTTACTCGTATTGTCTGAAGAGGCCAGGGTTCAAGGTTAGAGGAGTGTTCAAATGGGCTCCAATATATATATTGTTAAGCCTCCTCTCCTAGACATGCAATCAGAATACTGGTTAATATATACAGCCAGCCACCTTTTTTCCCTCTGATAGATGCAAATGCTGACTCCAGGTATTACCCATCACCTTCATCCTTACGCCCTAAACGCCCTCAAAACACACTTCAATCCCATCAACGCCACTATTCCCCCATCACCCCCCCCCATTAATTACTGCACCCCACCCCCCAAAAAAACCAACCCCCTAAGACGACGAACCCCTCCTCACAAGCCCAGCAACCCACCTCCGTCCCCTCTCCACAACGCCCTCTTCCGCCGGTGCACCTTCATTGTTCTTTCCCTTCCCCTTCAGCTCCTTCTTCTCCTTCACTTCCTTCTTCTCCCGCCCGTCCTTTTCGTCTCTCCCCTCCACAGACGACTCCTCCCCCTGGCCCCTCGTAGGCACCTTGACGATATTCGCCGCCCCCCCGCGCCCTACATGCGCACCCGCACCTTCTGATTCTCTCCTCGGAAGTCTGCAAAACACACCAGTTAGCCAAACCATCCACTCGTCCACTCATCCACCAGTAGAAGCAATGAAAGGGATAAAACATACGCAACAACATCCTGCGCCCTCCTCGCCCCGGCCTTCCCCGTATTCGCAACCATATTCCCACTCCCCCCGCGCCCCGTCGTATACACCTCCTCCTTCAGCGTCGGCGTCTCCAGGTCCGTCGGGGAGACTGGGCGCGGTGGCGCGGCGGAGATATTACCTACGAGCTTCGCATTAGCCACGACTCTCTCTCTGTGTGTGTGTGCGAGAAACGGTCCACCGTGTGCGTGGATGCTAGGGGAGGGGAGCTGTGTGAGGGAAGGGAAATTGTAGGAGGGGAAGAAGAAGAGGACATACCAGCGCCACCCCGTCCATGCGCCGCATACCGACTTGTGGAAGTCGAGCGTCGCGTCGCTTCTTCGTAGGGACTTGGGTCTGCTGCCTCGCTGGTTGGGGGTGTAGTTTCTGGCATTGTGATGGTGTTGTGGTGCTTCAATCGCTCGTTTGTCGTGGGTTGGGTTGAGTCAAGCTTGTGGTTGTGGTGGTGGTGGTGGTGGTAGTGGATGCGCCTCCGGTGGGTAGTTAGGTGTGACGCGGGGTTGAGCTTTAAAGGTCCGTCGGTGGTTGGTGTTATGACTCGACTTGAGAATTCCTTTGCAAATTCCACACTCAATTCTTCAGCAACAACAATAATAAAATAAACAACACAAGTAAAACCCTCAATCCAATATCAATCCCTTGTCGTGGTGGCAAAACAAGGTCCTAACCGCCGTCTTCGTCTTATGTACTCTACTATACCCATGCCCACCAGCCCTCCCTCTCCCCCGCCTCGCCTCGCCCCATCGTCGCCTGACTCAAAATTTCTGTACAGCGTGATCCTCCTGCTGGTCCTGCGTACCCCACTACGACGGCGGGCCAGGCCTTTGTGGGGATCGACGCCCGTGTTTGCCGCGTCTGGGGGGTCAACACACAACAGTTAACACCACTCAACTAAACCACAGGGCGCACGCACGCACGCACGCACGTACGCCACGGGGAGCCGGTGGGTATGGGGGAATTGGAAGGGAGAGGTATATCACGCATATATTCAAGGCTGGGATTGTGTGATTGTGTATATATCCCTCTCTGTCTGACAGACTGTGATGATTTTCCTTTTCTTTTCTTTTCTTTACGTTGTAAACACACGCGCCTTCCTCGAAACCGGTGTGCCCAGAAGAAGGAAGGCAGTAAAAAAAAAGGGCTGAGCCTCGCGCGGGCGCTTAAAATCTTTCACTTTCTTGTGAAATTTCAACCATACTCTCTCTGTCTGGCCTAACCTCACTCCCCCACGTACCTAGCTATAATTCTATACACAAATAACCTCCCCCCCACCCCATCTGCCCAGCGCCCACCAACATAGCATATCCCCCATCAACACCCCCACCATCACCGCAGTCTTCCCGATCACAACCCATCCATCATTACTCACTCAACTCAAAGGTAGAGCCCCTCCCCTCCCCTCCCCTCCCCTCCCCTCCCACCCATCCCCGCCATCCATCCGTCAACGCCGCCGCCCCGCTAGTCCCGCTAACCCCGCACGCACAACAATCACCTATTCTCATGCCAGACCGCCAGACGCAATACAACAATCACTCCATCCAGCCCAATCTATCCCCCATCAAACCCCACAAAGCCCAGCCTAACCCAACCCAACCCCCAAGCAACCCTTCCCACAATCCCCCGTCCTCCACGGTGAAAATAGGAGATCCCGAACCCCTTCCTTCAAACATGCCCGCCCACCAAACACGTGTCCCCCAGCCCAGCCCCCTAAACCCAGAAAAACCCCCCCAACCCACCCCCCAAACTAAAAAAGGGCCGTAAATAAGTCTATCTATATCTCGAAATGTCGTTAAAAAAAACCGAAAATAAAGTTAAAAAAAGAGGTTCCAGTTGATCTGGCCAAGCAAGCTCGGCTCGATTGACTTTTGGTTTGTCGGGTCGGGGAGTGAAGGTTGAGGTGGAGGTGGTGGAGGCGGGTTAGGTTGGACGAGCTCATTCAGCACTTTTGTTTTATGCTGATGAGTCTGGTGAGACAGACTAGCTGTCGTCGGCGTATGCCATACTACTGGCTACATCAGGCTGCGAGCGCTGCTGCTCTCGTTGCGCGACGACTTCGCGGGCGTAGAACTCCACGAGCATCGTTCCGTATGCCTCTAGTTCCTCGACGGGGACGGCGAGGCGGAAGTCGTTGAGGAGGAGGAATTGCAGTTCCAGGTGGTTCAGTTCTGCTAGAGGGAGACCGCCGACCTATTGCTGTCAGTATACGTCCTTGGGGATGTGACTGCGAGGGGATCAAAGGGAAAAGGACATACCTTTGCATATCGAGAATTAGTATAAAACGTATCCGAGAAGAACTTGCTCGCGCACGTCACTCCCGATATCAGTAGGCGGTGGATGTTATAGCTGTCCACCACAAAGTAGTGCGCTAGGTTATACTGCGGCGAATCCTCATCCGGCGGAGTGGCGTACTGTCCCCTCGCCGTGTCCTCAACGCTGCCATTCACGCTGAGCCCAGACATCGGCGTCCGTGGCATCTCCGGATCTTCATGCCGCGAGGTCGAGCGCCCAGTGGAAGGTCGAGAGGGGTGGCCATCAGAAGAGGGTGTCTCCCTCGTGCTATCTGTAGAACCAGCGTTCACGCGCTCCGTCATGCGGTCGAAGTAGACCAACAAGCTCAGAAACACCTCGTACGTCAGGGGACAGTACTTGTGTACCCGGCTCAGGTAGCTCAGGATGGTAATGCTTGGCACATTCTTCCCATGGAACGCCAGGACGCTCGTCGTCAGACCGGACATATTCGTATTCCCCTCCGACGGCGGCAATGGCATATGTAGATGCTCATGCTGCCTGTCGTTCGTCGTCGTTATCTTCGTCAACAGCCCCGCAACCATCTCAATGATGTCCGTCACCGGCATAGCGGCAATCTCATATTTCGGCGTCGCCTCCCTCCCCAGCGCCCTGTATTCCGACGCTCGATTCGTCAAGAACTCCTCTGTGGCGAAGCTCTGTATATGTGCCAGGTCCCGCACCTTTATGGTACTACTCTCCTGCCTCAATGCGTCGTCTGCCGTCCACACCGGCCGCGGCGGCGGGCTCGTCGAATTCGCCGGTGACGCTAACACCGACCCATCGTGTTGTGGGATGTAATCACTCCGCGCTGGTGGTGCATGCTGGCCTGCCCTAGGCTGGCCGTGCTGCTCAAAGTACTGCTGGCTCGCAAAAGGCTGCCGCACGGTAGCCTCGTCCTCTGAGCTGGAGTCGGTCGGCGGCCGGCGGGGAAACTGCCCCGGGCGATCGTAGGACTCGTTCGCGATGCGATAAGGGATTTCGTTTGGTTGCCTCACGCGCTGGGTCGGCGGGGAGCGGCGGCGCGGGTTGGAGGAGGATCGGTAGCGCGGCGGGGAGTGCTGGCGCTCATCGCCTCGTCTCATGGTGGGGAAGTATCGGGTGTCTGTGACAGTCTCGCTGATCACAGCAGCCATATTACACTAGAATGTCGAGGACTGCGCGAGGGATGATGTTAGTCTAGGTGTTCACACTGTGCATAGACGCGTGGTGGGATAATGGAAGCAGGCTGAGCTGTGCCGGAAGTGGGGTACACAGGCCTGCCTGCCCGTCACGTCACAGGTAAAGGAGGGGCGAGGCGGAGTGGCCGTGAAGCTCGGCGAACGCGCAACAACAGAGTGGCGCGCCCAGCTGAACGAGAAACCGGGTTCGTGGTGAGACCCTGCGTTTTGGACTTCCGGCCGCCTCTGGTCGCCACGGTTCCCATATCAACCTTATCCTGAGCCACAGCTGAAGAGGATGTGGGGTGGATGCTGCCTGTGACGTGTCGCGCATGTAGACCCACGTCTTGCTCTGACCTGCGAACTATGGGCTTCAATGCAGAAGGCGCAAAAAGCTTACCTGCAGCATTCCTCTGGTGGCAAAACTGCCCGGTGTGTTGAATGTAATCGTCTCTCTTAGTTGTAGCTGCGAGAACAAAAGGCCTTGTTCGATATTTTTGCCGGGGGTGAGCGCGCTTTTGTAGGGTGACGGATCGGGTGGAGCTGGATGTTTCGAGGGGATTATTCGAGGCTCCGATGGTTTCTGGTGGCGGGTATCAGGGGTATTTGTTGTTGTCGTGGTGGTTGTTGGGTCGTGAGATATGTTGTGGCGGTAATGGATGGCGAGATTTGGAGGAAGTCCCTTGGGGGTCGATATACGACGGACGTCACTGGCTAGCTTTAGTCGGAGCGGGCGAAAAGACACAGCCGCCCTCAGCGATAAGTAAAGAGGAGTAAGAGGTGAGGGATTTTGAAAAAGCAAAAACACACACACACAAATGAGGCACGAAATAATTAAGCAGCAAGAGGAATCAATTGCCAACGCCGTCTATAGATGATCGCGAATATAGGATAGCGGGCGGGATGCGAGCGAGAGAGGGGGAGGGGGAAGAAAGAGGAGAAAGAGAGAGAGGAGAAGGAGGGAGAGAGAAAGTGGGAGAGATAATGCGGGAGAGCCACCTTTTTACATGGGAAGAGGGAGATGGGGACGGGGATGGGGACGGGACGGAGACGATCGATGATTGTCGCCGCATAACGCACGCTATGGGTACAGTTTGTACTAAGGGTGTAGTATGGGTGTAGTATGGGTGTAGTATGGGCATAGTATGGGGGTATACAGTACATTAGGGGTGATTTTTGAGTATTAGCTGTATTAGCTAGAAAGGTAAAAAGTGGTAAGATAGTGGTAGGGTAGTTGGTAGTTGGTGGTTAGTAGTGGTAGAATGGAGAATGCAGAATGGAGGACAATTCATTGGAGATTGAGTGGTAAGTGGGTTGGGTTTAGGGATGGGAGGGATGGGAGGGAGGGGATGGGATAGATGAGATATTGTAAATGCATGATGGCCTATCGTTTTCTAATGTGGTTGATTATGGTTGATTGTGGTGTTAATTTGTGTATTAAAGTGTTTAAGGTGGTGTATTAGGTGTATTAGGTGTATTAGGTCTATTATTGTCTTGCTTTAACTTGCTTTAACTCGCAATGTCTTTCTGAGAGTGGTAGATGTATATTATCGAATAGACTGGCGTGGTGGTGGGCGTGGTGGGTGAGGTGGGTGAGGCGTGGTAAGGCGTGGATCGTCGAGGGGGGGCGTGTTGATGGGCGTGGGTAGTGGGTAAGAGGCGTTGTTAGGAGGCGTGGTAAGAGGCGTGGTAAGAGTCGTGGTAAGAGGCGTGGTGGTGGTAGTCGTCGTCGTGGTAGTTCTAGCAGTTACAGGATGAGAAAGATGGGCTATTGGGATAAGATTATTGGGATTATTGGGATTATTGGTTATGGGTTACAGTATTGGGTTATGGGCGAGTACTCGTTATGGGCCATAGGAAAGGCCATGGGATTGATAGGGAACAAGGACACTGATACAAGTATCACGAACCATAAACTCACCATAAACCCACCACCAAGTAATACAGATCAAAAGTACACAGTACAACCATCCCATCCCATCCCATCCCATCCCGTTGGCTGTGGATGCGCATAGCGTATTGTACCGCGGAGGTCTGTGTCTGGACCACCTTTTTTTTTCCCTTTAAAGAATCCCCCCCCTAATGCCTGCCAAAAACCACGCCTGCGAATCATATCCCCTATCTGATCCCCGTGTTTATGGTCCATCGAACGTCGTGCGTGGTCCTGGGTCAGTGGTGAGGCCGCAACGGACCGGGTATCTACCTACCTTCCTTCATGCCCGGCCACAGAAGTAAGACACGAGGAAGACCCCATCTCCATTACCATAACCAACAATTGCCTGTAATTCCGTGTGGTGTATACATACAGCTGCTGTGTTGGTATAGATAGACTTCCCGAATCCATGGCTGGCCCAGACCGAACGGGCTTCAATCAGCTAATCAATCAATCTCCTACCCGCCTCAACACCGACGTACCCCATACCAATTCCCATACGCTGCACACGCTACGAATCATCCCCTTCCCCTTCTCCTTGATCTCCCCTCCCTCCCTCCCGTGCCACCCCCTACGCTACCATGCTTACTTGCTCCCTCCCCACCACCACCACCACCCACAGCACTCCCACGCCCCTCTGTCACGCCCCTCACACGCCCAACTACCACCATACGCACCATCACCACTACACCGCCTCACATTCCATCATCATCGGATTTCACCATACCTGCACACATATCCCATTCCCCCTTCCATCCCCCTTGCTCCTCACCGCTTAGACCAGTACCGGACAGCACCACAAACACCCACCTCCCTTCACCACACCACTCACCCATCTCCCCATCTCCCCATCCCCGATCTCCCATAATCCCCATTCGCTGGCCCGTCCCGCAACTCCTCCCCTCCCCCCTCCCCGGCTCCCTCGCCATCCATTCAGTACCACCACGCGCCGCCGCTCACAGCACATCATATTTCCCGACCACGCCGAAGCCGAAACATCACACACAACGACACGTGGGGGACATGGGGGGGGACGATCGCAGCAAAACGCGGAACCATCGGGTGGATATCAAATCTATTTCCCCATCCCCGAAAAAAATAACAAACGCCTAACCGCGCGCCCGCCCACCAACATACTTTGCCATTCCACTCCACTTCCCCCTCCCAGCCTTACCCCCCCTGGTCGCTTGTCCATCTTCCGCCACACGCCGCGCCACACCTCCTCGATCGCTGGGCTCGACTCGCTCTCTAGACTCAGGCTACATTAACCTTATACCCATTATCCGGCAGGTACAAGTGCCTCACGGCACCCTTCTTCGTCAGCACCACCATGCGGATCACGCCTCCGGAGCTACCATCCCACTTGATCGCCTCGGCCAGCGCGCCCTTGACGAAATCCACCGCTGCCGCCTCCTCGAAGCCCTCCTGCCAGTTCGCGTCGCAGTATCCGTAGATGTACGTCGATCCGGAGCCGCCGATCGCATACGACTGCTTGTGCAGCGAGCCGCCGAGGGGGATCGAGTACACCTGCCCGCCGTGGCGCTCGTCCCAGCCAGCGATGATCAGTCCAGCACTATATCGTCTGCGTCAGCATTTGTGCCATCTCCGTCTCCGTCTCCCATATCTCCCATGATCCAGCTCTCTCTCTCTCTCCCCTTCCCTCTCTCCCTCGTTCTGTGTGCGGGTATGGATGTGGATGTCTGTCCTCACCTTAACCTGTCCTTATTGTTGTAGCACAGCTCCTGGAACATCGCCGCGGCCACCTGCGTCGTCGGCGGCGCCCCGTTCTGGATCCCGTACATCCCGAGCTGGTAGTGCACGATGTCCGCGACAGCCTGCGTGTCGGCCGCCGAGCCGGACCGGCAGCACCAGATCGTGTCGTGCACCTGCGTCAGCTTGTCCGTCACGCGGTTGGCGATATAGGCCCCGGTTGTGGTTCTGCTGTCCGCGCCTGTGTTCGTACGTCAGCCTTGCCCTTACTCCCACTCCTTCCTTACTGCCAGTATGTGTGCGTACCTAATATGACGCCGTCTTTGAAGTTGATTGCCATGCTAGTTGGGGTCAGTTGGGATTCGTTTGTGGTTGCTGGCGCGGTGAGATCAAAGCTTACATTGACGTTCCTAAGCTACGGAGAAGGGTCAGTTGATGGTACTTGAAGCTTCAGACAGCTGTAACTCACTTCACCTCGCCCTTCTTGAGCCTGTCCATGTCGACGTGAATGCCATCTGCAATGATCCTGGTCAACAACAGCTTCACCGGGGGGAGCAGAGCCACGAATCACGCACCCTCATTCAGCATTCCTGAGTTGCCGAACTCCATATTGTTGTGTTTTTCGGATTCTTATTTTCTTATTATACAAATGTCAAGGTCTATTCGTCGATTTGCGCGTGTTTGAAAGGGTGAGAGGTTGTTTTTGCTGTTTTGAGAGCTTCAATGTATGTTCCCTTGACGGGCGGCTGTCAGGCAGCTTGGTCTTCGTAACGGTTGGGGCTCCGAGAGAGTTATTCCGCTCCGAGATTCCAGGTTGGTTTGTTGATTACTACAATTACCACAAAGTTCCTTGCGCACGGGCCATCCTCGGAACTTTTGGGCGGCACGACCACTTGGGCGCTATGTGTGTGGGGTGCGGCCGATGTTCGGGACTGCAACCAGACTTTATTTATCCCCCCACCATTGGGACTCATCAGCCCTCATCAGCCTCGTCTTACTCACCGTGCTGCGTTTCGTTCCTATTTGTATACACACGAGCTTTGAAGCATATCTAGAGATTCTTTTTTGCATACAAAACTTGTGTGAATTGTAAATATATTCTTGCATTTTCTCAAATATCAACCCAAAATCTATCACAAAATGGTTTTCCCTCCTCCGCCAGTCGATACCATTGGTAAGTCAACCCCGCTTCAACATCACCGTCAGACCGAGGGAAGCATCCCCACGGCTCAAGAGATGCTCTCTTAGCTGTCCTGGCCTTTGATCCCTCTTCAATCCTCTCCCAACTCCTACATTACCCCTCCATCCCCCACCTTTCCCCTCTATCCGAGCAACAACTCACTGACCCGGCCCTCCCGCAGACTGGAACGACATCGGCTTCAAAGTCCGCGAAGTAAACGGCCACATCGAATGCCACTACTCCAAGAAGACCGGACAATGGACCGCCCCCAAATTCGTTACCGACCCCTTCCTCCGCATCCACGGCATGGCCCCCGGCCTCAACTACGGCCAACAAGCATATGAAGGCCTCAAGGCCTTCCGCACCCCAAACAACACCATCCAGATCTTCCGCCCCTCCAAAAACGCCCTCCGCATGCAGCACTCCGCGGACTTCATCTCCATCCCCCAGATCCCAGAGGCTGTCTTCGTCGAAGCCGTCCACGCCGCCGTCGCCCTGAATGCCGCGCACGTGCCCCCCTTCGAGACAGGCGCTGCGATGTACATCCGCCCGCTCGTCTTTGGGTCTTCCGCTCAGCTCGGCCTCAGCCCGCCGGAGGAATACACTTTCTGCGTCTACGTCCTCCCCGTCGGCGTCTACCACGGCGTCCACCCCGTCAAGGCTCTCATCCTTGAGGACTTCGACCGCTCCGCCCCTGAGGGCACGGGCAGCGCAAAGGTCGGCGGAAACTACGCACCTGTCCTGCGTCACAGTGATAAGGCTCGCAATGAGGGCTTTGGAATTACGCTGCATCTCGATTCGCAGACTCGCTCGGAGATTGACGAGTTCTCCACCAGCGGCTTCATCGGCGTCAGGACCGAGGGAGATAAGACCACCATCGCGGTGCCAGATAGCAAGAATGTGATTGCCAGTGTGACTGCCGATTCCGTCCTCGAGATCGCAAAGTCCCTCGGATACACCGTCGAGAAGCGTTCGGTAAGAAGCCCCCTATCTCACTCTTGTTCCATCCAGACCAGGTATCAGACCAACAGCTAACCCGCACCCACTAGATCAAATATGAAGAACTCCCCACCTTCACCGAGGTCGTCGCCGCCGGCACCGCTGCGGCACTCGTCCCCATCCGCTCCATCACCCGCCGCTCCCGCGACGACACTTTCCCCTACATCGCGGAGGAGACCGAGGAGCCGGGACCAGTCTTCACGAAGCTGCTCACGACGCTGCAGGATATCCAGAGGGGTAAGGCTGCGGATCCTTATGGATGGTGTGAGTTGGTGAAGGAGCCGGAGGCGGGGAAGTATGAGTAGGTGGGGAAAGGGGTTGGATATGTAGATAGGAAATAGAGGTGAGCATTGGGATAAATAAAATTATGTTGAATGCATGGTCTAGATTATTGAATCGGTGGTTTTGAGATTTATGAGCAAGTTGTGATGGGTATCGATCTTGGTGTTCTGAGTATATTGCATGACTGAAAAGATCTGCTCTTAGCTGACGAAATATGAGAACTTGTAAAAACAGCAGGCGGTCAACTTTACATCAAACTCATGTTGGACTGTTCAACGTGTATGAAAGGTCCTTTACTATTCATAATATGTGCTGTAGAATCCAAAACTGAAAACGGAAAGCAAAACTAAAAGAGAAATCGCTGTGGTGAAGGGAAAGAATTCCCTTTATAAAACCCGAGACTGAAAACGGTAGAGCGCAAGTAGTATTGCTATCGAGTCGGGCAAAAATTCCTTTCGTAACTTAACTTTCTTTGCTTACCTCTCTCCCATTAAGTGGCTCCTTGTACCCCCTCTCCCCCTTTGAGGCTATTCTACTCCTTTGAAGCTCCTCCCCTCCTTTGTAGCTCCTCTTCCCATTTATACCTCTACATGTCTCCTCTTCGTCCTCCACCTTCCATCTTCCATCCTCCACACCTCTACTACCTCTTATTTCGTACAGTAAATCTACTACATCTTCATTGAAACCAAGATCCAACAACTTCAAACATCACAACATGAGCACTCCAAATACGTATGTATCTTAGGCACCTAAATCGAATTATGCTAACAGAGAGATCTCACGGCAACAGCCAGCCAGAAACCTCAGCTGGGGCTGCTTCTACGGAAGGTGTCCTTGTGATAGAGGACAAAATAAAAATCTCTCACGAAGCTATAATCGACTTTTCAAGCCCCATCATAACGGATGAGGATGTAGTCTGCTCTCAGACGGATCGAGACGGATTCAAAGCTTTCGTCGAGGACCAAGGCGAGAGCGATCTTGGCAAGACTATTCGACTCATTGATTATATTGTGGCCAAAGAAATATACGAGTCATCCCAGGTATGTGATCTAATAAGTATCAAAGCTCAATCACTAACTGCTGCGTAGGCTGACTTGGTCAATGAACCTCGTTTCCATGGGGTTACGATCCAAGAAACAGCAACCCTTGTCGTGATGCGCATTCGGAACGAAACCTTCACAAAATTAAAGACTTCCGAGGCAGCCTGGGAATTGTTTCTGATGGCGTTACGACAAGATGGTGTTGCCTGTGACTACAAGAACGAAACAGAGGCCCTCATACGGACGCTAGGGGGCACAGTTCCCATGGACGTATGGGATCGGATCTGGAGACAGTTCATGCCTGCCTGGCGTGCCGACGTTTTCCGTGCTTCCAGTGCGATGGCCAATGATTTGGTGAATTTCATAGATAGTTAGAACTCTGGGGAAAAAAGGTTTCAGGCCATCTTGGTATCGCTGCCTGATTGGATCAAGGAGTGGATGGAGAAGACGCTCAAGAAGTAAAGAAGGGGGATGTTGCTCTGCTGTTGTTTTTCAAGTCGACGGAAGGAGTGGGATGGAATCGGATCTATACTTAGTTAGAATGGAACCAGGTCAATACTTAGTTAGAATAGTAGAATAACTTGAAAAAGAGAAATGCATCGCATGGCTCGCCATATTTTTGTTCTTGGTTGTGATGTTGACGCTGAGTGGAATTGCCTGTATGAAAGAGGGTGAATGCGTTGTATCCCAGTTCAACAGTTTGATATGTTGAGAATGTGACATGAGCACACTCCCACGGAGTTTAAATACCATGCAACAGTATCATAAACATTATTTGACAGTCAAATGATATCATGCTGCTGCCAAAAACGATATATGAAAGCTCCTGAAATATTCGTATTGGGTGTAATTTCAGATCAAGTGTATAAGACTTGTTAATTGGCGCGAGCAAATGCCCAAAACATAAAGCAGAGACCAGTCCCGTGAAAATGACTAACTACAGGCCAAGAATAAAGGTTTGTGAACTCCATAATAGGATATGAAAGCACCAGCAATAATAATCACAGCTACAAGCCAACCGAAAGCACCAGCAATAGATGGCCTCAGCAACAACCTCCCTGTACATCTAACAAAACCCGAACTTATCGACCGATATGCCATGTTCGACATAATCGAGAGCTATCTGCCGGATCGTAGCACTACACAAGCATCCGCCACGAGACGCCCATTCTTCATGGACCATATCTGCTATTCTCTCTGCTTCCGCCGGCGACGGCTTCGTGATTTTGTTGCCCGTCTTTTTGCGTAACTTCTCGAGTTCGCCAACAGCTATACCCACAATATCCTCTGGATCTGTATCTCCAAACATATAGAGCTCTGCATGCTTATGCGATGATCCATATCTGGGTTGACACTTGCGCTTCTTCGCTGTATTATGCCACCCGTTTTCTGTATCGGAGCACTCTTGGTCCAACTCGTTTTGGTACCTTTTACCACTTTTAGGTCCACCAGTTTTGCGTTCACAGTTAGTTTCAACATACCGATCCATTAGCGCAACAGCATCGGTGACTGTGCAGAGTGCGCCTGGTTCGAGCTCATTGGCCAGGGCTATTTCGGCCAGCTGGCTGAGCCAACGTGCGCTCACAACTTGCCCAATTGGGCCAGTATCCTCAAGTTTATGGGCCAGACGCCGGAGAGCGCACCCGTCCGTTTTATAATCAAGTGCGCCCCTGTACTCCGCACGTTTGAATGTAGGTAATTGGGTGAAGCGGCCCTCGACAACCTCACGTTTTATAAGCCCGTTGATACTTTGGCGTAGGATCTCATACCGAGCAGCCAAAGCAGGCTGGGGTATAATGATATGCCGACTACATCGATCGACAAATGCTGCATCAAGTGAATCGCTAAGGTTTGAGGTGCATACAATGAGCACATTGGCGTTATTCTTTACCATATCGAATCCGGTGAGAAGTGCATTTGTAGCGCGCACAGCATCGTGGACCTCATTCCTAGCGCTGGCTGTTTCGCGAGAGGCCGCAAGACTTTCGATTTCGTCAATCAACAGCACTATCAGAGTCTTCGGTTTTTCTGACGACTGAGACGCAAGGGCTTCGAAGATTGAGTGGATCTTCACGGCACTCTGTCCAAAGTATTGGGACAATAGCGTTGCGGCATTCAGCTGCAAAAGGATCGCATCTCCAAATGTCTTGTTGAGCCTTATGGCGAGCTTCTGGGCAAGCCCGATGGACAATGAAGTTTTTCCTCACTCGCATTAGCGCTACGTAATACATAAATGGGGTAAAAGTACCTGTGCCAGGCGGACCTGATAGAAGAACAAGTCGGTTGACAGTTGACTGCGGGCTTTGGCGGGGTCTGTATGAGAACCCAACTAGCCCAAGGGTTAGACTCCATAGAAAATGGTATGTATATACGTACTGAGATTCGTCATGAAAACCACAAGTTTTTGCTTTATTTCCTCGTCGAAGATAAGTCTGAAGCGAAATTAGCCATGTAGAGACAAACGTGGGCGATCCACTGACCTGTCCCAAGCATCATCAAATTCAGCACTCGGAAGGAGTATGGCTTCGCCACACATAGACAGAGCTTCATCGGTTTCTACTGTCTTGCGATCTTCCAACGCGTAACAATTGATCTGAACCATATACTCTTTCACCAAAATATATCGGCAGTCATCATCTGCGCCGACAAGCTCGACTGCTTTGAGGGACTGGAGGCAATCCGGAAAAAAACACTCTGCATCTACAAGATAATCACGTAAGCGCAATTGCATTTAAAAATATGGATGTATACCTACACAAGTCGTCGCCAATCAATTCGTGATCAAGCTCTACAGCATGAATACATTGTGATCGAAAGATAACCTCAACCTTGGTCGTGAGCTGCACAGATGTTAGCTATGGAAGTAAAGCTTAGAGCAGTAACAAGAATGATTGCATACCTCTGACAGGCTCCCTGTATAAGCGGGTTTCACCTGGGCCTCGATGTAGATGGTACCCATTCGGGTATTCGGGGAGTTGGCCTCGCCCTTGCTGGGCTGATGAGGTAGGTAGGCGTCAGAGCTGTCATCAGGTCCGTCGATGATCTCAAAATCACTCAAGTCCATGGCAACTGGCTTCGCCATGGGCTCCATCACTGGACCGAATAAGAGAAAACTTTGTCCAATGGAAATGAACGCGAAAAGTATTCAGTAGCTTGGAGGAGCTACTGAATTCTTGAAGGAAATATGAGAGAGACAGGTCGGAAATCAGAGAGAAAGAGAGACGATCATGTATTGAAACCACTACAACGATGAGGGATAAGGAAATCTGATGACGGAATATAAGAGAGAGGTACTTTTTTTGGAGTGGTGTTGAAATGAGGTGTTGAAATGATCGAAGGAAGCAGGTTTGTGAGATGGAGGAAATTGGATTGAAAGTCACAAACAAACAGTGAACTTGAAGGTCAAAACAGTCTGATCAAAGACAAACAAACAAACACTGAGAATCAGAATAGGAAATCCGATAATAAAACAGAAGGGACTGGTACTTTTCTGCAGTGGTAGTGAAATGGATGAAGAAGGAAAGAAGGAAGTTTGTAAGAGACAAGCCATCCTTCATCTTAAGACTGTCGGTCCCTTGCAGCCTTACCCGGCAAGGCTCCACCGGCAAGGCTCTGGAACAGAACCCCAGCCATCAGATCTGCGCGCGACGATACGCGATATAGTGCTAAATGTGAATAAAGCTCGGGCCTCAATTAAAGTCTGGAGGCGGGAGCTTCAACAATAAATCATCGACATTTTGCATTCAGCGCAGTATTCACAGTATTCGCATATTTACTTCCATTACCGTCTCAAGGGGTTTCAAGACGGATCCTGTCACTTCCAGTGTTTATCTTCACAATCTCATTCCATAGAAACTATCGCTTGCCACCTTTCGCACGAATTGTCCTCCACAATTTCTTGCGACTCCACCTTAAACCACCTCCCATAAAACATGCGACAGACATAAAATCACACTCAATGGATCCTCCGCCGCGGCCGTCGATGGATCGCTTCCGGATCCGTGTTGCTGTCTTTTCTCCAGAAGAGGCTCATAATCTGGAGGCAGTCCCGAAACATACTTTCGTTATTGCGAGGAGCCAGCATTTCCCCCTCCAAGATCTTCCCCTCCGCGAACTGCGTGACGTTGCGATAAGAAGATACAAGGACATATACCCCCAGGAGTCGTGAGTCCCCCCGTTGAAATTTTATCCTGCTGTGTCACTGATTTCATTTCCTGCCAGGCTGTTCCAAATCGCCCAGTCTACAGATGCTTATGGCGCCGACCTATACCTCAACGATCGCGTGGGCGACATATTCGCGGACAATGAAGTCTTGAGAGTTATCAAGGGCTCATCTATCAGAGACTCCCTGCCCCCAGACTACGTGAATGGGAGAGCCGGCAGTGTCCAGCCCAGCTATCCACTACAGCGAAAGCGATCCCCCGCCACTTCGAATCTCGGAGACAATTCAAGGGCTGGCAAGAGGCAAAAGGTTTACAGGCCAGACGATCCAGTCCCGTCACGCGAGCGCGACCCATCCGACTCCGAGGAGGAGAATGTACTGCCAGAAGACATACTCATCGACGAGGTCATCCCCGATTCGCAGGTAAACGAGGTCGAAGATGTCGCTAGGCATATCAAGCAGGAGAAGCCCTCCCAAGCAAGCCGGCCAAGTTATAACCCGCCATCTCCAGTCCTAGGCTACAGAGACGATGGGGGAGTCGTTATTTCTGACTCTCAGGGGAAAGAAACATCAGGACGAAATACCACCCGGCAGACCCGTCAATCACTTCGAAATACCACCGAAGCCCGGGAAGATCTTCAAATAGCTGCAAAAGCCACCCCAAAACCGAGCAATGGCGCAGCTCGCCGTCCGTCAAATAAAAGGCGCGAGCGGTCTGATGACATCTCGGATTTCGAAGAACATACGTCTATCACACCGACCATCACGCCGTCGCGAGGAATCTCAGATACTTATAGTGATTTCGAGACCGACATCGAACAGCCTTCCAGTTTTCTCAGGCGACGTGGCCGCGTTACTCCCCTGCGCAAAAACAAGAAGGCCTCACCGATCTCTGCAAAGCCGAAAGTAATACAATATGGAAAGAAGGCAGCAACTAAGAGCAAAGCAAGCGGTTCAGACAACTCAACACCTAAAGCAATTACACCATCCACTCCTGCAATCACTCCTCGTTCGGCAAGTATGGCAAACAGTGGCCCTATACTGCCAGGTATGACTCGTCAACCCGATAGTGCTTCAACCGACAACGTCGATGACAAGAGTGAGGAGGGTGTGGACGCAGGAGCCGAAGAGGCTGCACAAGAGGTTTCAAGGCTTACATCTGAATCGGCGGGAAAGAAACGCGCCGCGGAACTAGAACAGGAGAGTCGTCGCACAGGTCAATCCGAAGGGAGACCAGAAAAGGCAATGGATCAGGCTAGGATTGAAAGAGAGGCAGTCGAGAAAAAGAGTACTGCTACAGCCATTGCTACGGCAAAGATAAAGGCAGCTAAGAGAAGGAGAGTTGATGCTGCGCGAAAACGATTAGCTGAGGAGGAGAGGCTTAAGGAGGAGGCGGAGAAGGAAGAGGAGGAGGAGGAGGCGGAGAAGGAGGCTGAGAAGGAGGCTGAGAGGGAAGCCGAGATGGAAGCCAGAGCAACTGAGGCGAAGCTCAAACGGGATCATCTGCTTGCGGAGGAAGCCCGAAGACAAACGGAAGCAAATGAAAAGGCCGAAGCCGAGGAACGTGAACAAGCCAAGAGACGAGAGGCAGAAGCGGCAGCAAAGGCGGAAGCTGTGAAGCGCAAAGAAGCTGCCAAGGGAGAGAAAGAGGCCAGTGACAAGAAAGATGCAGAGGTAGCTAGCGCCCGCAAGAGGTCTACGTCTGCCATAAGCCCAGGAGGGATGCTTGGTAGGGCTGTAGCGAACTTCAATTCCGAGACCGCGAGCACTAGCCCTAGTGCAAATGTGGTTGATATGCCGCCACCTCCGGCAGCTGCCCGCGGCCGTCTATCAATGTCGCCAGCTCTTACTCGAAAGAGATCTGAAGATATCAGATCTACGCCAATTCTCCCCCCTCGCAGATCTAGTGACATCAGACCGGCCTCGTCTGTGGAGCTGGGTCCGGCTGCTCGACGTGTTTCCTTCGCAGAGCCATCGCCGTCCGTGGCGGGGAAGACGCCGAGCAGGGCCACTCAGTCTCCGGCTCCGGTTCAAACACCGAAGACTGTGAATGGGATCCCGAGCTTCCGTCAATCCAAGCTCGTGCCACCAGGAACTGGAGCCAAGTCGGTTACTCCCAAGGCTCCCACTCCTTCGAGTTCCCAAGCGCCACCGTCCGGGCAACAAGTTAAATCAACGCCAACGCCAACCCCGAAAACCCGAGCAGATATCACTGCTGCGTTGCTTAATACTATCAACAAAGGGAGCTGTAAGTTGCAATCCGGATCGATTATAGTATATTACTCAAACTGACTATCTATAGCATCAGCAGTGAAGGCGGCAGCGGCTGCAAAACCAAATGCCATCGCTATCTCCTCTGATGAGGAAAGCAGCGATGACGAAAGTGTGGGCGAACTAGAGTTGCCACCATTGCCTCCGCCTTCATCTCATTCGATTGCACAGAGTCAAATCGCAGCAAGCGGTGACAATGCTAATGACACGGCTTCCAATACCTCCCGTTCCGCATCCGTGTCGACAAACAGGTCGCAGCGTGAGAGCCGCTCACCCGTACGATTTGTCAACTCTAGCTTCCATTCCAACGCAGCCTCCTCTACCCAATCATTCGATGGATCCCGCCGAGCGCAACAAGGCCACTCAAATGGGAGCGAGACATCCGATAAAAGTACTTCGGGAGAGTCAGCTTCAGAAGACGAAGCCTCCGAGTCGGAACTCTCACCAACGAGATCCAAACCTACCATCCCATCTTCTCAAAGCGCCGCATCTCAGCGCATTCTCCCACCGTCGTCGAGGCTCTCACAACTCCGCGATGGCTCAACAACACCCAAACCTCAAAACGTCGGCGCTAGAAAGGTCAGCAGCGGAAGCGACGCAGAAACATCCGTCCAGAAGCTGCTGGATAGTCAGTTGACCGAAGAGTCGGTCGCAAGCTCTGCACCAGCCAGGGGTCAAGCGTCTCCAGCACCCAGCTCGTCGCAATTCAGCGCCAGGAATTCCTCTACGCCAGTGCCAAGGCCAAAGCTCACCAACGGCAACACCTCAGATAGGGGAACACCACGCACGTCCGAGAGACCGGCGGGAATGGCCAGCATGCCGTCCTTGAAACTACGAACAGAAGCCGCCTTGGAGGAAAGCCACAGGCGGGCCGAGAAAGCCCGCCAGGAGGGCGAGGCCAAAGCAAAGGCTCTCAAGGACGCCGAGGTGGCCGACGCAGAAATCACGGAAGAGTCGGAGGCCGAGTCATCTTCCGACAGCGACTCCAACTCGGATGACGGAGACGAGAGTAACTCGGAGGCCGGCTCGAACGATGACGTCGAGATGGGTGGGATGGGGACGCCGAAGGCCCAGAAGCCAAAGGCCAAGGTGAACTTCTCGGGACTGAGCAAGAAGTTTAGCAAGGGGTTAGCAGGGCGCCGCTAGATTCACGGAGTGTCTGTGGCAGATGCATTATGTATTTATGATTGGTACTGTTTAATGTTTAGACAGTTCGGATGTCCCGAAGGGTCGAAGCCGATTTTCTGTATCCGAGGGTCGGGTTGACGGAATCTCAGCCCAGGGTTGGCGAGAAGGGTCTGTCTGCGTTGCCGGAGAGGGGAGTGAGACATGTATTACATGTCATACTGTATTGGAACCAGAGCGGGCCCGGGTCATCGAATAGCAAGCAGGATGTCATTGATGATGAGCGACCGGTGTGATGGATGTGCCGTCATATGGCAGCGCTATGGAATGCAGGATGAGAGATGACTGGACCAGCAGCACGGAAGTAGACAGAAAGGACATGCAAAAGAAATGCAAAGAAATGCACCGCAAATCCCCCCCAGGGACCCTTTTCCTTCGTCGAACCCTGCATGTCCGCGAGCCTATCGTGCATCTCACATACAAAAATCTATCACATCTCACAAAAATTCGGGAGTAAATTCCACCCCACAGCCCAACATACGACACGGAAACACGGCGGAGAGAGGGGGGGACGGATAAAATGCGCTTTTCTTTTTTGTTTGCCCATCTACCACCAATCCTGCAGGGATAATCGGCTTGTACCTACCACATACATCGGCGCACCCTTTTTTTTTTTCGCCCCAAAACCAACCCTCTCTCGCTCAACCCTCGTCCCCGGCGGGCGACCAATACCGCGGCCCCGTCTCCCCGGGCCCGGCTCACCCAAGGACGCGTTAGTGCTGAGACGGCACTCTGGTTGCTGGCGTCGCGGGGGCGATGGTTACTGGTCAGACGCTGCTTTGGGACTACCGACCCGCTGAACTGGGCAGTGAGGCGCGGGTGTGTGGTGGGTTGGTGTGGTGGGAAGGGTGTGGTTGGTGGCTTGGAAGATTGGGATGGTGGGATGGTGGGATGGTGGAATGGGGAATGTGTCAGTGGGTTGGTGGGTGGTGGAGCTTGGGATGCTGGTGGCTGGCCATAGAGAAGGAAGCTATCTTATGGTATTTGAATTGTAGAATGAGACCTGCATATATGTCTCGTCTGTGCCGGTAAAACGGGTGAGGGTGAGGTTCTTGGGATGATTACTGTACGAACTGTGCTGTGTGATCTTTGTACGATGGCTGGAATGGATGCTGTCAGGCGGGAGATGTACGAGGTACACAGGCATGGAAGGGTTACAGCACAGGACGTTGTTGGGCCTATTTATATACGGGTGCAGGAAGGACGGTATTCTTAGAGTCTTTTTGCTCTTTTTGCTCTTTTTGCTCTTATTGCTATTTTGACGGTCCACAGCAGACCTCGAACAGACCCTCGATCGTCCGCCTTCGGTGCCACTATTCCACCAATTCCAGGTGTGACGTTTATGGCGTGAGTGACACCTGCACCGTCCAACCCGGCGACGAGTAACACCGTTGAAACTACTGAACTATACTGAACTATACTGAACTGCTTCCAGTGACACCGTTCATTTCAGTACCCGTTATGTAGCACAAATACGGTATAATAGTAGAATAGTAGTAGTATAGTAGTAGTAGCAGTAGTAGTGTAATTTAGTAGCAGTGTAGTAGTAATTATATTCGTACTATACAATTTGTACTATACAAGTGAAAGGCTCTGGTTGGGTTTGTCTGGTTTGTATGGTTTGTATGGAGTACATGCCATCGCAGAGTACTGTCCACAGCTGTGAACAGCTATTCACAGTAAACTGTTGTACCTCTCCCGCTAAGTTATAGTGGCCAGTACTTCCTCGCTACGACCTACTCAACTACTCTACCGTGCACTACCCGAACATTCCTAGAGGTAGATCATCCAGCTTGCCTTTTGCCTCTTTTCGCCTTCTTGTCTTTCCTCCCCCAAACTGACTGATCCATCCTGTGTGAATACACAATACTCTTTGTGTATATATATATATATGCGCACAAATTCTGTTCTGTTCACCTCAATTGTTTCCACTATTTCCAACTTCCTTCAATCTTCCTTGCATCTGCCGCAATAGGTCGTATACTATAGCTATACTATCTGCACTCTCCCTTACACCTACCTTGTCGCAGTGTGTGCCACTCACTATCCGATCCGAGTACTACCCTACCTATACGCATATACGCAGGTCCGCCAGGTTAGAGACAAAAAGACTAGGCGCCAATTTTAAGAGTCCGCTGAAAGTGGAGGTATGAGATGAGATGATGCTTGATATCAGCCGATATTGTGGAGCTGCTCCTGACTTTGGTTATTGACAGGTCCCCCATTCCAAATAATTTTGGATCGACAAAAAGAGTCTCATCGATCAGGAATCGCAATTGTAACGCCAGGAAGCTAGGACGACTTGAAAAAAAAGCTTCAAGCTTCAAAGTCTCCCATTATCGCCGCTCCTTCCCTCCTGTCAATCAGTCAGCCAACGCCCTGTGCGCGAAATCTTGCCAATCCAAAAGCACACACCATCATCCGCAGCATCCACACCACACGGACCTTTCCAACGAAGCTCCCCCCCCGCACTAGCACTGGCCGCTGAGTGAACACCACCACTCCTTTTAACGACCCCTCTGCACAGCAGATCTATATAACGCGGGCGACTGCTCACATTTTGTCTCGGACCCCGAACGCAGAAGAAGGAACTTTCTCTCTCTCTGCGCCTCGTGCTGATCCGTGTCGACCTGCAGAGAAAGGAGTCGGGTCGAACGGCATTACAGGGTACGTCCATCATTATTGTTGGGCTCCGTTGTGCAGATCACGCAAAACCTACCGCGCCCGCCAGACGACGACGTAGATGCAAAGAGAAGCAACTAGTACAGCGCGCCGTGCACGATAAGCTTTATATATAAACAGAAGGCGCGGGGATTGTCCTCAGCTACGGAGTGGGCACCATCGCATAGCGCCTTCCCTTACAGACCCCGACGCCCACAAGATTTCTTCGAGTCCTCCCCTCCTCGGTCATTGCTCGTGTCGCATCTTTCTTCTATATTCCCACGAACCCGAGTACCACCATGAAAGTATCGCACTACGCGCATGACGACCCTACCGGACACGGCGCACAATATAACATGTCTCCTCCCATGGGCAACCCCAACTATCGCCCGGATGCACCACAATATCAGGGGCACCAGGACCAGCCCCACATGCAGCACGCACCAAACGACCAGCAGCAGTACGGTTACAGCCCAAACCCACAAGGCCATCGTGCCAGCCAGAGCTCGCAAGGGCAAGGTGGCCAGCCAGAGATGCTGGGCCGGGTCCCAACGCGAGGCCCGAATCCGTTGATGCCACTCGATTCGCCGTCAAATCACAATGGAGCGGATGGCACCCCGATCCTACCGGCCGTGCAGCAGCAGGCTAGTGATCATCCACCGAGCTTTAGTATGATTGAGCTGGGTAGGAGATATACGTAAGTCCATTTTCGACCCCTGGATTCCAGTCGGCTACGGCCGTAGCACGGCTTGAAGAATCGTTGCTATTCCCTCTGCCTCACTTCCATAGCCCATGCTGGGGTATATTTTTTGGATGTATGCTGACTATGGTTATCTGACAGGCTTGAGGTTATGCAGCAGCCCAAACGAGCGCGGATGTGTGGCTTTGGAGACAAGGTAGGTTGTCGACGGCGCTTTTTTATGTGTCCTGTCACTAACTTTCCAGGATCGCCGGCCCATTACCCCGCCACCATGCATAAGGGTTGTCATAACGGATGTGGCTACTGGGAATGAAATCGATACCAAGTAAGCGTCGCGAGTGCAGGTATCCTGATGTACAGCTGCTGACAATTTATAGCGACATCGATCACGGTTCCTTCGTACTGACTGTTGATCTGTGGTCTGCCGATGGGAAGCACGAAGTCAATCTCGTCCGACACTCGTCTGCGTCCCCAGCCATCTCCTCAACTATCCCCACCTCGTACGCTCAGGCACAGGCGGGCGACCACCCGGTCTACTCAAACCCAATGCCAACGCCCACTGGCCCACCCAGTATAGTCCGCGATCCTCAATATCCGTACCATAGCAACCAACCGCTACTTCAAGGGCAGTACAACCCTTACCCTGGCCAGCCTCAAGTAAATGCATATGGCCAAACCCAGCAGCAATTCCAACAGGGGCCGCCACAAGGACAGTATGGCCAGCCCCAGCAACAAGGTCAGTATGGTCAAGGGCAAGAGCGCCAAAATTACCACCCTGGATCAGGGGGAGAGCCTCCAAACCATCACATATTCTACCATACGGGTGATGCCGTCCATCCGGTCGCCTCCAACGCGCCGAGACCATCGGAGTAAGTCCTCCACCCGGGTCCAATCAGCTTTCCAATCTCATATATGCTAACCAACTCCGCAGCAATCTGATGTACGACCCAGCCGTTGCTCCACGCCCACCTATCTCAAATCCGCCACAAGGCATGTTCACCCGCAACCTAATCGGCAGCCTCGCGGCCAGTGCTTCCAAGCTCGCGGACCCCCACGACAAGATTGGCATCTGGTTTGTCCTACAGGACATGAGCATCAGAACTGAGGGAAACTTCCGGTATGTCTGTCAATCTCCAATTTCTCACACCTCACTGACACGCATAGTCTCCGCTTCTCTTTCACCAACGTCGGCGGCCCCTCCAAGACACCCAACGGCAACCCCGCGAACCAGATGTCTGTCCTCAACACTGGCAAGGCACCCGTTCTTGCACTGTGCTACAGTGATGTGTTTACCGTATACTCGGCCAAGAAGTTCCCGGGCGTGGTGGAGAGCACGCCGCTCAGCAAGTGTTTCGCGACACAGGGCGTTAAGATCCCGATCCGCAAGGATGGTGGAGGAAAGGCGGGACAAGGGAGAGAGGACTATGATGAGGATTAGAGGCATAAAAGAGATGTGGGGTTGGGAGAATTATTGAGAGTTATGTAGAGAAGACGGTGGGCAGGGACAGTTTTTTATTCGGCGCTCGGTGGGGTCGGCACCTTTGCTGTTTTTTTTGTAAGGCGGTGGCTACGTTGCAACCAAAACTGGATAGAACGATGTCCGTGGGAGAGGTTAGCTCTAGCATTTTTACATGCGGGGAAGTTCATGAATGAATGATATTGTTGTTTGTGTCAGTACTTTGTTTTTGTCTGCAGGTGGTTTGGTGGGAGTGCTGTTATTTTTATGATTTCAATCAATTAAAAATAATAGATACCTTTAAATATAATAAATTATACCCCAATCCAGCACCTCCAAATCCGTCAAGTAGATCAATGAGAATATAGCAATGAGTCTGAATACTTACTAGTCTAAGTTCATTGTCAATTCATAGAGCATAAATATTTTCTCGACGTTCACATAGAAATATGAGAATGATTACACGGATCACGTGCAACCAAACTCCCGTCTACCCAGAAATCCTATTCCGAGCCAGTCCGGAGAAACGTGACTTTTTTTCCCAGCATTGACAATTACGTGACCTTTGATTGGCCAACACACCTGACATAAGCTACCATACCCATGCAACATTTCCCTTCCAGAGCTAGATACCACAACACCCGAGGTCCTGTGCCGAGCGAACAGCGACACACATCGCCAACGACATCATTCCGAATTTCCTCTCCTGCAACCGTAGCCACGGGTTTCCTTTTGACGCCAACATTCGATTGTGCACCTCGGGGGCACTAGCGATATTTCCAATCGCTCACACGCGTTGATCATCGCTCTCGCAAGCTCCTTTTCCTTACCCGGTCTCCCAATGGCTTCTCTCCGCTCCTCAGCACGCCTCGTGGCGGCATCGCGCTCCGCCTTCAGGCCTGCGACTGCTATCCGCTCCTTCGCATCCGTTGCGCCTGCAGCTACCAGCCCAGCTACTGCCCCGAGCAGTGAGCCGGCGCCAGCGGCTCCGAGGACCAAGACCTTCCACATCTACAGATGGAACCCGGATGAGCCCTCGACCAAGCCGAAGATGCAGGCTTATACCCTGGATCTGAACAAGACCGGACCTATGATGCTCGATGCGCTTATCCGCATCAAGAACGAGGATGACCCGACACTCACCTTCCGCAGAAGCTGCAGAGAGGGAATTTGTGGCAGTTGCGCCATGAACATTGACGGTGTCAACACCCTGGCCTGCTTATGTGAGTTGCACCGGTCTTTCAGCAGACATATGCTGGAATGGAGTCTCTTGAACATGTACTGACGCGATATTCAGGCCGCATCCCGACCGATACCACCCAAGAGTCGAAGATCTACCCTCTCCCCCACACTTACGTTGTCAAGGACATCGTACCGGATCTCACCCACTTCTACAAGCAGTACAAGTCCATCAAGCCATACCTCCAGCGCACAACCCCAGCCGAACACGTAAGATTGCCTCCGTCCGTTTTTTGGGGTCAGGAACTAACGCAAAACAGGGCAAGGAGTATCTCCAGAGTGTAGAGGACCGCAAGAAGCTCGATGGCCTCTACGAGTGCATTCTCTGCGCGTGCTGCTCGACCTCCTGCCCCTCATACTGGTGGAACTCGGAGGAGTACCTCGGCCCCGCCGTCCTGCTCCAGTCCTACCGCTGGCTCGCCGACTCGCGTGACGAGAAGAAGATGGAGCGCAAGGCTGCGCTCGATAACTCCATGAGCGTCTACCGCTGCCACACCATCATGAACTGCTCGAGGACATGCCCCAAGGGCCTGAACCCGGGTTTGGCGATTGCGGAGATCAAGAAGGAGTTGGCTTTCTAGATGGGGGTGTGAAAAAGGGATGAAAGTTGTTACTTGCAGCGGGATTTTTTGAAGTGTGCTTGTTGGGGGGTGGGGGGACTGGCTTTTGTGTAGAAATATAGGTGATAGTTTTACAGAGGAATGACGAGCATCCATGTTATTGTAAGGTTTTTCCTTGTCAGAGCCAGCCTGCTGATACCCCTTTAATGTACATGCATCCTTCGCCCACGTAAATATATATACACATTACGCGGAACAAACTTGGTTCACACGCTATGGATTGTCCGGATTCAAATAGATATCCTGGACGACTACTTTAGTCTCAACCCCCTCGAGTAAGCCTATGTTGATTAGCATCCATCCGCTGTAGTGTGTCTAGAGAAGAGTCTTACCCTCCATCCTTCTCCAGCTTCAGCGGCGTAAAACTGCCCGACCCAACTTTGGGCTTTGTCGTTGCCACCGCCTTTTCATCGTCATCCCCACCGCATCCACAGTCGTAGAAATCCCCGATCTTGGAGCAGTCGAACAGTTCCTTCTCCAGACGAGTATTCACCTCGTTATGTACATGGCACGCCCACGTCGCTGCGCTCGACCGCGTCCGCACCTGCGGCGGGTACTTCTCTAACAAGAGCTGGAAATGCCGTGCACATTCACCACATGGGTATAGTCGTGCAAAGAGATAGACAAAGGATTTGAGCGACGTGCTGTCTTCTTCCGTCGGCTGGTCCGGGAATTTCGCCATCATGGTGTGGAGCAGCTTCCAGGCTGCATTGCCCAGTTCGGCTCTGTCGATTGGGTTAGCCGCTGCCATTAGAGAGGTGCGACAGTGTCTTACTTTACTGTTGCATTCTCGAGTTTTGGCGCCGTTGCGACGCCATGGAGCACACTGTCGCTGGGGACGATACTCGTATCAAAAGCCGCACGCTGTTGACCCCCACTTGAGAGGAGGAATGAGAAAGCGATGAACGCCACGATGGCGATGAGTGCCAACGTCACATGTCGCCGCGGAGGCATTTCATAAAGTTGGACCTTGCAGATGTTGTGAGTCGATATGAGCCATGACACATCTTACTATGGTCTAGTTCGGCCTGAAACTGGGGATGGATGGCTATGTCGTCGCTAGCCTCGTTTGGTAGCCTCGCAGCCTCGCCACAAATCAACACAGCCCAAGTTCGAACTTCTACCCCACGTTTGACTCATCGTCTACATTTAAAATAGCGATCAGGTAGTCTCTTGCTCTGCATCTGGGATCATTTTGTTAGTACTGACGAGCGCTTTGTCCTACTAATATTCTCTTTTGCATTGATTGTTTTTTGAAAACGTTTGAAGTCGCCATATTTCGAAGGCGCAAGTTATTTAATATTCAGTCTCTGTTCGCCACCATTCAGAGAAGAGAGACCACCACGAGACAACCTTAAGAACAGCAATTACGAAAGTGGCGACTGCGATTCCTGCTACGTATACAGATAGAGAAGAAAGAATGTCAACACCCAGCGCACCACCAGCACAAGGTGCAGGTCGAGGCGGAAGACCTCGACATTATAGAAGACCACGGCGAGGAGGCGCACAGAACGGGACTGCTCCTATCCCAGGAGCCCCACGAGACACACCAGCACAACCGACCCTTGGAAACGCAACCGCTGTTCCTCCAGCTCCAGTGGCGCAGGCAGCTCCGGGCTCAAATCCGAACCCAAACCGAAGGAACAATGGGCAATCAAGTCGGGGCAGAGGCGGAAGGCCGGGTCAAAGAGGAGGAGCGCCTAGGCATGTGATGGGAGGTGCGGGGGGAAGAGCGTTTGGCGGGCAGCTCACGTCCGCGGGAGGAGCAAGCGGAGGCTCAGCACCTTTATCGCTGCAGGCTGACGCACCGGCGTTTACACCTGGCCAAACAGTAGTTCCCAGAACCACCGCCACCCACAACCACCCTCCGCCAAATATCGGGAGGCAGCGACGGTTTTCGAAGTCGCAGGCTGCAGATATTGCAACCCGAACACACGAGGACATCCTACACGGCTTATACGAATGTCCAATATGCACTAGCGAAGTACTCAAGAACTCAAAGGTATGGTCGTGCAAGACCTGCTGGACCGTTTTCCACCTGTCGTGCGTAAAGAAATGGGCGAAGAACGAGGGGTCTACGCAGCAGAACCGCCAGCAACTACAGGAAGGAGAGCTACCGCCGGCAAGGCAGTGGAGATGTCCTGGGTGTAATCTACCCAAGGATGATATGCCAGAGTCATATACCTGCTGGTGTGCAAAGGATGTCGACCCGAAGGCCATTCCTGGACTACCACCGCACTCATGTGGACAGACCTGCGGGAAGCCTCGAGCACCACGGAATTGCCCGCATCCTTGCGACCTGATATGCCATGCTGGACCATGCCCACCATGTCCTCATATGGGACCTGTACAAGCTTGTTTCTGTGGGAAGGACGAGGTTAGTAAGAGGTGTATCGACACTCATTACGATAGTGGCTGGAGCTGCGGCAAAAAGTGTGGTGATATGATGCCCTGTGGGGAGCATGAGTGCGTGAAGGGCTGCCATGAAGGGCTCTGCGGAAGCTGCGAAGTACTCGTCGAATCGCGCTGTTATTGCGGAAAGGTCGAGAAGATGGTGCCTTGCTCGGATAGAGGCGACGAAAAGGACAGTAGCATTGTGAAGGATGACAACGAGGTTGACAACTGGACCGGATCATTCGAATGTGGGAACGTTTGCAAACGCGCCTATGACTGTGGACGCCACTTTTGCGAGAAGAGCTGCCATGAACAGACAGCCGATGTACCACATTGTCCACTATCGCCAGATGTCATCACCCACTGCCCTTGTGGAAAGAGTACTTTGAAAGACCTGGACTGTACGAGAAGTTCCTGCGAAGAGCCCATTCCGCATTGCCAGAAGCTGTGCTTAAAGCAGCTGGCTTGTGGACACGAATGCCAGCAGAAATGCCACGAAGGAGAGTGCCTGCCTTGTCTCAAGGTCGTGCCCATTGTCTGCCGATGTGGACGAACGACGTCATCAACCATCTGCCACCAAGGTACCGAGGCTCTCCCGCAGTGCATGAGGATTTGCAAGACAGCCCTCAATTGCGGACGACACGAATGTGGAGAGCATTGTTGTCCTGGCGAGAAGCCTGCTGGGGAACGCATTGCGGCGAAGCGAAAGCAGAAGGTATCTCGTGGGACAACGGAAGACTATGAGGCAGAGCACATATGCACGAGAGTCTGCGGGAGAGATTTGAAATGTGGGAACCCAGAGCATACTTGTCAAGAACTCTGCCACCGTGGCGCATGCGGTGCGTGTAGAGAAGCCATCTTTGATGAGATCTCTTGCAACTGCGGTCGGACTGTGCTTCACCCACCGCTCCCATGCGGCACTCAGCCGCCTCCTTGTCCACACCAATGCAACAGGCGCACCGCATGTGGCCACCCGGCAGTAAACCACCAGTGCCACGGCGATGGAGAGTCCTGCCCCAAGTGTCCCTACCTTGTGCAGAAGACATGCATGTGCGGCAAGAAAATCCTTAAAAACCAACCGTGTTGGTCTACGCAGATATCCTGTGGACAGACTTGCGGACATCGCCTTCGTTGCGGCATTCACTCCTGCCAGAAGCCATGCCATCGGGCTGGCGACTGTGAGGATGCTTTACTCACTCAATGTCCCCACGTCTGCGGTAAGACCAAAACCACACCAGGTTGCGGCCACATCTGCCTCGAGCCCTGCCATGCGCCGTATCCGTGCAAAGAAGACAAGCCGTGCCAGGCCAAGGTTATCATAACCTGCGCCTGCCAGCACCTTAAGCAAGAAGTGCGCTGCCTAGCCACCAAAGCGACGCCAGTGACTGAACGCAAGACCCTGGCCTGCGACGACGAATGTCTCCGCCTTCAACGCAATGCCAAGCTTGCTGCCGCCCTCAATATCCCATCCGACCACACGGATGACCATATTCCATACTCCGCGGCGACTCTCGACTTCTTCAAGGGGAGTCCAAAGTGGTGTCAGACACAAGAGCGTGAGTTCCGTGTCTTCGCTGCCGACACAACTGCCAAGCAGTTCCGATTCAAGCCCATGTCTGCCGCTCAACGTGCCTTCCTGCACTCCCTCGCGGAAGATTTTGCTCTCGACACCGAATCCGTCGACCCTGAACCCCACCGACACGTAGTCCTCTTCAAGGCGCCACGCTTTACCAGCGCACCGATGAAGACACTCAGCCAGTGCCTCAAGCTTCGTCCTGTGGTCGAGGCACCCAAGAACGCTCCTGCAACCACGGGTGTTCCGTTCAATGCGTTGCTACTCGCCAACCCACGCTTCGCACTCACCCTTGATGAGCTCCGCGCTGCTGTTGCATCCGATCCGGCGACTGCGCAGATCGCGGGGTGGAAAATAGAGTTCCTCCCTAGTGAGGAGATCGTGGTACGCGCGAGTCTCGCAGACGGCGTCGACGAGGCAACTCTGCAGCGCCTCAAGCCTGCGCTTACCAAGGTGGTGCTCGAGAAGGAGCTGGCGGGAGCTGTCGCGCTCTGCGCCGTGGACGCGAGTTTGAATGTTGCACGGAGAGAGGATACTGGATCTGCGGGAGGGTGGAGCCAGGTTGTCAAGGGTGCGCCTGTGAAGAAGAGAGTCGTCGACGAGTGGGCTGCCAGTGGCAAGAATTCGTTCACGGTTCTTGGAAGTAAGGCGGCGGGGAAGAAGAAGGAGAAGGAGAAGGGAAAGGAGAGAGAGAGGCAGGAGAGCGTTGTGGAGAATTGGGAAGATGCGGTTGGAGCATGGGAGGAGAGTGCCGAGGGTGCAACTGGCGCAGTCGTTGCTGGCGCAGTTGATGAAACTGAGGTTGCAGATGCGAGTGCAGCAGAAGAAGCGCCGGTGCCAGCCAGTGGCCAAACGAAGATGCCAGATGTGGAGTGATGGAAGAAGTAGCTGTATTAGAAGCTCATTTTAAAACCTTAAACACGACTGATTAAGCATGACATGATCATTAAATTGTGACACTGCCCTGTGGCATATATGGCCTCTATATGACAATTATTTGTAATATTACAGCTCGCCTGGGACATCTCTAAGCCTAGTTATGCGCCCCATCACGACCTCAGCGGCAGAATGTGCTGCGCCAGACAGCCTCTCCTGCAAAGCGGGCATTCTGGCTTCTCCCTCACCCAGTCTCCAATACACGTCCAGCAGAATACATGTCCACACTGCGTCGCACTCGGATCCTTCAGGTCCTCTAAACATAATGTACAGCGCCGTTGCTGGGCGCCTTTAATCCACGCCATCACATCATCACCTTTAAGCTCCACCCTCGGGACGCTGAGAACGGGTGTATGCATCGCCCTTTCGATATTTATGGTAGATCCCGCGCCCGTGGAGGCATCTAGGAGCAGCTCGCTGCTAGAAGTGAATGAATTCTCGTTGAGGGAAATCTCGACCCCATTGTCGAGGACAGCAGTGCCGCTGCCCTGGGCATTCGCGGTATGGGCCGGCTGCGAGAATTCGGCAACCGTCGAATTAAGGTGTATCCAGCTCTGGACGGCGATCTGGAGGACAAGGAGGACACCGAGGACTTCGTAGCCGATGCGGGCTTCCGATTCCCCGATTTTCTTGGTGAAGATGTAGCGCAGGCCCCAGATACGCTTGGAGAGCTGATAGTACGAGCCGGTGAAGTAGAAGACGGTGAGGGTGGCGGCGTGGATGGGTGACGGGGAAGTGATTGCGGCAAGATGCCTTAGGATATATGATTGGAACTTATAGGATCGCGAGGATTGCTGCTGGTCCTTCGATAAGCGGCGTAGGTTGCGCTCGAGCTTGGCGCGGATCCGGGCGCGGAATGAAGGAAGGAGGCGGTTGAGGGAGTATGGGAGAAGGATGGCGGTTAGGATGTAGCCAGCTCGGCGCGTTATGCTGGGTAACCTGAGGGTGTCGTCTTCAATCTGGATGATATCGCAGTATTCCTCGCCGAGTGTGCGGTTGCCAATGAGAGTTGTGAGGGCGAGATATGAGAGGTCGGCGAACGTGCTTGCTTCGGCCGTCCACTTGTGGAGGAAGCGTGCGCCGTAGAGTTGTCGCAGTATGTCGGAAATGTGGTTCATGAGGACGCCCTCAAAGTATGCATCTTTCTGATGTGACCGAATTATGTCTGGTGCGGCAGCGAAAGGGTAGTTGAAGGACGTGGAGGGCACGGATGGAGCTGGGCGAGCTGTCTTGGACACATGATCGGACATGGTGGGTTGAAAGGCTCAGGGCCCTTCGAGAGGTATTTCGAGCCAATTATTGAGGTCGCCAACTAATACAGATCATATACTGTATGCCGTGGTAGTAGAAGCTGATCTGGTTCGAGGAGGTTGTCGAGAAATGAAGCTGCGGCTTTGTAAAGTCGATCATGAATATGACGGATATGAAGCCGAGGCTGGACGCTGGCTGTAGTGGGGACCACGACCCGGCACTTATCAAATAGCGCCTTTCCTATCTCGGGGTCTTGGCGGCTTTTATCTATGTTCCATGTGTCACGACTGACACGCGGTCAAATCAACATTTAATTGTTTAATTGTATTAATAAATTTATTTATTTTGCAAACTTGGCGACCTCGACATATTTTGTCTTTACCCTCACATCAGCAGGATATATCTTTAGAGATTGGAAATTCTATATCGCTGGCCTCGATGGTTATTATTTCACAACGCTACCATGGATGGAGACCCGTCTGTTGAGCCACAGCTCGACTCGTTCAGTCGGACGCTGCCGCTGCCATACAGATGCGCTCTTATAATTGTTGCTGGTACGCTCTATTCTTCTGCCATTGATACTCTCCTGCTGACATCCTCTAGCGGTCTGGGCCTGGGGCGCCAACCTGCAGTACCTGTCCTTTCTTAAAATCGTAAGTCGACTGTCCACTCCGTTGAATGCCCTCCTGACGTCGTTGCAGGACGTCCCAGCCCTCATAAGATACCCCGGCCGACAATCTTTGACCGAAGCCGCGCATCATCTGTCTACATACCGTCTGGCGACCATCCTCTCCGGCTCCCTCGGCCTGTCACTCGTTACATTCTGGATCTTCTCCCACCGCGATGCCGAACTCGTCATCTTCTACGACTGGATGCCGATGACCTACCTGCTCTTCCTCGCCCTCCTCTTCGTTCTCCCACTACGATACCACTCCACAACAGGGCGATACCACTTCCTCAAAACCCTACGCCGCGTCGCTGTAGGCGGAATTGCTGAGGCGAAAGATGGCAAATTCGGCGATATCCTCCTCGCCGATGTGCTCACCTCCTATTCCAAGATCCTCGCAGACCTCTTCATATCCGTCTGCATGTTCCTGACTACCAATGGATCAGCGACAGAGCAGCCCGATCGCCGTTGCGGCGGACGTTTCTTGGTGCCGCTCATCATCGCCATCCCAAGCGCCATCCGATTTCGACAATGTCTAATCGAGTACGGTCGCGTGCGGGACGCCAACCACCGCACAACAAGTCTGGTGTCCACTGGATCAGGCGGCGTGCACCTGGCTAACGCGCTGAAATATGCCACCGCCTTCCCCGTCATCATTTTGAGCGCCTTGCAGCGAAGCAGCTCTGATGCGTCAACCACCGCTACTGCTGCCGAGACATCACTGTACCGACTGTGGCTACTGGCGGTGATTGTCAACTCGTCCTACTCATTCTACTGGGACGTAGCTAATGACTGGGACCTCACTCTCCTGTCGCCTGCACGCTCCAACCCAGAGCACCCGTATGGCCTGCGACGCAAGATGGTCTTCCGGGCAAGCGAGATCTACTATGTCGCTATAGGTCTCGACTTTCTCCTGCGAATCACCTGGACTCTGAAATTGAGCCCCCACCTGGACCAGTTTAACGATTGGGAGGGTGGCATATTCTGCATCCAGGCTCTTGAGGTGTTCAGACGCTGGATCTGGATATTCTTCCGTGTCGAGACCGAGTGGGTGAGGAATACGAGCACGGGATTGGGCCAGGATGATATCCTTCTTGGGGACTACTCGAGTGGAAAGGACGATGACGATTGAACGTATATGGGAAATGATATACGGGATGGTTATTCAATTGCCCAGGCGTCTAGGGCAATAGACTAGGATCTCTCTGTGCACATAGAACGTGTTTAGTAGGGTGTAGATGACAAGCAGAATAATATCAATACTATATATAACAAGTACAGACGCCCCCAAACTGACCATGGATATCGCTCCGTAGCCAGACGGAGTAAGCCCTTGAACACACCATACATAGAAATCCCACGCCAGAGAAAATCTTGGTATCTATTATCCATGACAACGAAATGCATCCGAACCCCGGGTGGCCCTAGACCGTACAACAACGCCACAGCCCCTTTCAATGCCGACATGCCAACCGTTCTTGCGCTGAGTGCCAGACTTGTTCTCTCAACACAAACACGCAAATGCAAACTCACAAAACGTGGATGAAAATGTTCGAAATTATTAAACGGAGGTACCAAGAAGCGCACGCTCCAATGCGTCGATAACCCAACCCGCTCGCACGAATCGTGACGATGATAGTACTAAAGAGATGTATACACAAGAATCAAACTTTCGATCGATCGGTCGGCCGTAAAATGCTTTCCCTCGTCCATTCGAAATCTTAGGGATCCTAGAAAAACAACACTATCTCTCCCCGATCATTCTTCCGCATCCTCAAGCTCTTCCACAGTTCCTTCTCTTCTGCACCCTTGCCAGCTCCGAGTCCGCTGGATGCCCTCATGCGATGATACCTCTTCAGAGCCTTGTTCATGCTGACGCCGCGCTCGCTCCCTGGGCCTTTGCTCACGAATCCGAGGAGCATCCCTGCGAGCTCCTCCGGGCCATCAGACGCCTTGAACACCACCATTTGGCCTGGGTCTTGCGAGGCGCCCGCCGAGGACTTGTACTCGATCATCTTCTGGTCGGCATCCCTGTGCTTGGTTCGCGACTGTTTCCTCGGGCGGTCCTCGTCGTGTTTACGCTCCTTCTTCTCCTTGTGCTCTTTACTGCTCTTCCGCGGCTTCTTCGTGGTGGTAATCATTTGCATGATGGCTGTGCCGAATCCGCCCTCGCTATGGTGCTTCTTGGTCTCCTTGGTGCGCTTGGAGCGCTTGAGTGGGCTACCTGGCGATGCCTCCACGTTGTCACCTGAGTAGTCTGGGCTGGGTGGGAAGGCGCCATCGCGCGCCATCATCTTCTGGAGGCCGCCGGTGAGACCTGAGTGCAACACTGGTGGTGCGTCGGTCATCTCGAGGTCACGGTCGACGGATGAGGTTGCTGAGGTATCGACATGGAGGCGCTTGCGCTTCTTGTCGGATTTGGAGGCGGAGGTGACCTTGTCCTTGGACTTCGACTTGCGTTCCTTAGGTGCTGGTGTGCGGACGTCAGTTGGTACTGGGCCAGTGCCGTACTGGACGAGCGCTTCGGAACCTTCATCCTCAATCTGGCTGAAACGAACAACAGCTCCGGAGCCGTTCGCGTATGCTGGACTCGGGGTCGGAGGCGCAGCGTCTTCGAGGCGGCGCCGCTCTGCTGCGGCGAGATTGACGGTCGATGGGTTGGGCGTCTCCGCACCAACGTAGAAATCGAAGACATTTACGGGTTCCTGGTGCTCGAAGTCTGGTGCGGCTGACGGCGGCATTGGGGCCTCCGGAGGCGCATCCACGATAGCGATGTGGGAGTTGTGGTCCTCAACCTCGGGAGCATCCTCAATATATGCCTTTCTCGCGCCATTGTTGTTATTCTTTCCCTTCTTCTCCTTCTCGGGTCTGTAGAGCGCGCCTTGGTACTTTTGGGCTTCAGAGATGCAGCTCTGCGAGGGGGTTAGCAAACGCGACGAGGGTTTTGGGATAGGGTAAACAACGTACAGTATGGCTGCGATACTCGGTGCCCCAGAAGTGCACCATGCAATCGAGACATGTAAATGAGGCACCTCGGCACTGGTTCACATGAGAGTCCAGTTTCTTCTTTGTGAGGACATCACCACAACCCTGTAGGCGCAATTAGTGAGGGCCATAAAATGAGGCCCAGGATGAAGGAAAGGGCCTGCTGGGGGGGTTGAGTGGGGTCTGTGTTGTGTGTACGTACCTCGCATGAAAACGAGACCATGTTCGCGTGAGCGGTGTAACAGAGTGGACTTTTTATATGATGAATCTGTCTATGGAAGATGTCGGATGGCGCGAAGAAGGATGGTTGTGGGGTTGGGTTGTCGGGGGGTGGAAGGATGTGAGAGAGGCGGTGAAGATTGAAGTCGGAAAGACGTTGTTGTTGTTAAAATTGGTGTGTGTGTGTCTCTTGTTGGATAAGATGTGATTGTCGTAGTGTAATGTATGTTTTGCGACAAGTATATGGGGGGGAGAAGGGGGGGGGGTGGAGGAGGAGGAGGAAGAGTGAGTGTTGAAGTGAGACGGCGGTTCCAGATTGTCGAGCAGGTGCAGGCGCAAAGGGCAGGATTGATGGGTTTCTTGGGTTTTTCTTGGGTTGTAGTTGTGTCAGGTTGTCAGAGGGGAGGAGGGGGGAGGGGCAGTTGGGCCAACGAGAAGCCTGGACAGGGATTTCTCCCCTGGGAAAAATGGTGGAAAATGGGGATTTTTTTGGTACGTGATGCGTTTGGGAAAAAATAGAAATAGATAGCTGATAGAGATAAATTCATAAATAGAATTTATGGCTTTATGCTTTATGGCATAGTCTAGCCGCCCATCGATAGGGATTTGGATTTATGATTATTGCGGCACATCGCACATCGCACATCGCAAATCACACAGGCATAGGCACAGGCATAGGCACAGGCACAGTCAACATAGAGTCAATATCAATATAGAGTATAATAGAGTGTATTAGAGAATATTAGACAATATTAGAGCCCAGTTATTCGATCGTGCTATATCATTTTCTCTCCGTTGGGCTGATTTACATGCCCATTGCCAGCATATACTAGCATATTTAGGCATATTTACTATATTAACGCAATTAAAATGACCAGCCGTCGGGTACCTACATTAACGTAGGGCTTATGGCGTCTCGCCAAGTACCCTTTTTATCCAAAATCCCAAAATGTACACCCACCCACCACCCACCCTTACCTTTCCCCAGCACACAAAAAATCTCCACAATCCAAAAAAGAAACTGTACAGTACAATACAATATCCCAGTACAGAAACCAGCTCAGCAATCTGCAACTCTTCCCTTTTGATCTCAAAACTCAAAACCCAAAACCCCAGGGCGGGGGAAGAGGCTCACCTGATGCCTGCTACCTGCTACCTGATGCTCCCGTATCTCGTCTGGAACTTAAACTTTTAGTTCATTTCTTTTGTCTCAAGTCTCTCCCGCTCTCCCTCTTCCTCCTTCCTTCCTTCTCTCTCTTCCTTGCTTTGCCGTGAGATGAGCATGTCCGCTCATGGGTCAGCAGCTCCTTCCTACTTGGAGCTTCTCACGTCCTTCGGTGTGACGTGTGCTTCCTGGATGCGTGTCCCGGTGATAGTCTCGTCAGTCAGTCAGCCTTCATCCAACGCCCAGAGAGGTACGGCGATGCACCAGCCTGCTAATCTGTTTCGTCATAGGGCTTTGCCGTCATATTGAGCTCTGCTCTCTATTTCAAACAAAAGTCAGTCTCCATTCACCCCCCCCCCCCAAACACCCAATTCAATGCAAGCTGACACGCGACACTCTCAGAGCCCTCATCTACCCATCGCACGTCCCCGGCGATGCCCGTACCAAGGTCCCCAAGCCGAGCCACTACGGCATCGACAACTATGAAGACCTCCAGATCCCCACACCCGACGGCGAGAAGCTCTCTGCCTTCTTCATCCGCGCACCGAACCAAGCCCAGGCGGTGCCGACGACGGTGCTGATGTTCCACGGTAATGCCGGAAACATTGGACACCGTGTCCCTATTGCGCAGATGATAGCGGAGCTGATGGGCTGCAGCGTATTCATGCTGGAGTACCGCGGCTATGGTCTGAGCACAGGTAGTCCCGACGAGAGGGGACTGATGATAGATGCACAGACCGCTCTGGACTATCTGACGAACAGGCACGAGACCAAGAACAACAAGATTGTAGTCTATGGACAGAGCCTGGGAGGTGCAGTCAGCATTCAACTGGTCGCGAAGAACCAGAAGAGCGGGAAGATCTCGGGGTTAATACTTGAGAACACCTTTCTGTCGATGAGGAAACTCATCCCTTCGTGAGTTGCTCTGGTCCCCCATTGCGGTTGTACGTCACTGACTGTTTCAGTGTTATCCCACCAGCCCGCTATCTCGCCCTCCTCTGCCACCAGATCTGGCCCTCCGAAACCATCATTCCCACCATAACCGAGGTTCCCGTGCTCTTCATCTCTGGTCTCAAGGACGAGATAGTCCCGTACGTCTCCCCCATTTCATATCCATCCCCACCGACGAAATGATGACTATATTTCCATCCACAAAACATGAGCCCTTCGGGTCCCAGATTATACAAGACGTCTTATGACAACTCTGATCCTTCGTCCTTCGCATCATCATCATATATGTTCACAGCCGTAACCTGCTACATCAGCTGACCACATACATACAGTCCCGAACACATGCGCAAGCTCTACGAGCTCTGCCAATCCCCAACAAAGATCTGGAAGCCCATCGAAGAAGGCGACCACAACTCTTCCGTCCTGGAGCCGGGTTACTTCCATGCTATCCAGTCTTTCATGGAGAGTCTTGAGGGCCATGGCGACTTCAGCCAGATGGAGAAAGATCGCAAGAGCGTACAAGTCGAGCGAAAGGCTTAAAGCGGGACATTTTTTGACATACATGGGAGCGGGCACGGTTTTATAGGCAGGCGTTTAACTGATACTGGAGCAAAGCTGTTACAGGCTGGCGGCGTTTGGGGGATGGGCCTTGGTATTTTACTCTACGGAGAGGGATGGTCCCCAGAGAGCTTAGATTATGAGCTATATCTTTATGTTTCTTGGATGTATCAATTATCACACTCTTCCATTGTTCAACTGTCTATGTTCCACCTACTCATCATCACGGTATACCTTCCGTCAACTCCTGTCATCGCCCCACCCTTTTAGTAATATATAACATGATTTTCGCCCCGTTTCGCCCCGAATCAACTCAAATTGACTCCTATCCCGCTATCCGAGCCTCGTGTAATATCATCCCATCATAAATACAACTGATATTCCGAAAGCCTTTCATGAGTAAAGCAACATAGAAGAGTACTGGAGGTATAAAGCCAAAATGGCAAAGAGCGCTAAAGGGAAGAAAAGAAGAGAACCTGCAGAAAAAATGGCTGCCAGTCTCAGCCAAAACGCCGTGGGGAATACCAAAGTATATCCACAGCAAGAGAAGTAAAGTGGCGTTGTAAAACGCGTGGATAAATCCCAAAGGTCAGCAATCGAAGGAAAATTGTCTTTGCCAGATGTGACGGGAGGAACGGATCAGTATTCCACCATCCTAGCAAAATGTTGGTTCCAAATCCAACCGATCGTTTCCATTGGGTCGTCTTGATTCTTTGCGAGCCATAGCTCGCCCTTTTCAGCAATCACGTCAAAGATCTGCAAAATGGTTAGCTGGCTGATGTTTGTCAAGGTGGAACAATTACAAACCTCGCCGTCTTCATATGTGAGGTAAGGGTAGCCCGCCTCTGTTTTCGTAGCCTCAATGTTGAACTCGTGGAGACTGGCGACTACATAAAGAATCTTGTAGCTGGTACGAGGGATGTCCCGGTGCTCAGAAGGGACCTGAGACGACCGCCTGCTTGCGTCATTCTGAGAGGAACCGTCGGTATTGGACCATGGGAGTGCAGAATTGAATGCGTCAGAGAACGACGGTTCAGGCGGAGGAAGCCCCTCAGCCCATCGTGTAGGAGTGTATGGCGATTCAAACAGCGAGCGGTGACCGCTGTTCGCTGACTCCCCGCTTGGTCGGGGCCTATCGCTGGATTCGACACTGAGCCGAGCATCTGGACGACCTCCCAGTGCAACAACAGCAAGGCTGGCTGAGTTTGCAACGAGAGATGCACGAGGTTGCTCGCTAGATCTGTGAGTTTGGTCTGTGGCTTCGCTTTGGGTTGACAGGCCGCGAGTACGGTTATTGGTGGTAGACGCCCTACTCTTTGACTTCAAAGACACCTCATCGTCCCTTGCAGTCGACTGTGAGAGCCGGCTTCTAGCTGATGCCACTGTGCTCCCATTCAGAATGCTCATAGCCTGTGCCCTGGCATCTTGGTGCTTGAAGTCGCGGTTGAACTTGTCGAGGATGTCGTTGACGTCCTTTGGTAGCTCGTTCTGTTCGAGTACGGTCTTCAGCTTATCATTCCAGATGGAGTACCACGCAACTTGTGTAGTAATCAAGCGAGCCAAGCAGAGGTCCTTGAGGTTTTCATTGAGAGACGAAAGTTTTGGCAGTTCGAGCTTGAGCGTGTCGTTCAAGGCCGTGTATTGCTCGACTTGCTCGGCGAGCTTCTCATCGATCTTTTTATTTTGGCTCTTCAAAGTCTCGAACCTCTGGAAATCAGGGCGGCGTTTGTTGCGCTTCTTCAAAGCTGCCTGTGGTGGAATGTACGCCTTGGTGAGGCTGGAAAATGGCTCTAGGACGTGTTCCCGAATAGCAGCTTTCTGCTATGACATTAGTACAATCCCGGTAGTTGCGTATTAATGAGAGCGGCACTTACGTGTTCTTCCAAAGCTACTTTCCCCACGTCTCTCATAGACAGATTAAACCGGGCCCATTTACTCTCCAGCTCGGGATAACTGGACGGCGATGCTCGGACTACCAGTTCGATTGCAGACAAGTAGCGCAAAAAGTCGTCGACCCAACGAGTCACATTCTCGAGGTAGAGGTCGATATCTCGGATGATGAACTGCAAATGAATCCACTCGGAGTGGAATTTGTCGCAGTATTTGAGATACTCCTGGTCTTCATTCGCCCTGTCGTGTAGGACAGCTGTTTCTGCTCTCTCACGACGAGTAAATGGATTCTTTAGGCCAGATCGGATGTCCGACTCTTTCCTCTTGCGGCCAGTAACAATCTCATTGACTTTGTGAATGCGCTTCTTTTGACCGTCTATGTTGTCAAGGAGACGCTTGATATCCTCGAGAGATTTCTGAAGTGACGGGTAATCCGGATGTAGCTCTGGTGTGTTTTTGACAATTCCCGTCAGCAGTAACTGATATCGTGTGATACGTTGCACCGGCTTTACTAGCAAGGCATCCAAATCCCAGGCGCCAGTCAGGTCTTTTGCAACCGCATTGCACTCCTCCAGCCAGACATTGACCGTGGGGTCTGCCTGCAGCAACTGTAGGCGATTTGTCCCTTGCTCACTGTTTTTCAGGAAATTGGCATACACCTTCTCCATCTCTTCGATGTGGCGCCCGAAATTTTCGCCGACCGTGGTCTTTTGGTCCTTTGCCCAGTCACTCTCGTCTTCTGCAAGCGACAGAGGCCTGTCTCCGGTGTCTGTAGATTCAACAGATTTCGCTGCGTCGGCCTGCTTGGACTTTGTCGAGCGAGGGATGTAGATTGCGGTACTGGAAGCCTTGATATCGGCAAGGAATCGCTCGGAAAATGCAATAACCTCGTCGCTGTTGCGGAATATGGCTTTGATATCGCCAGTGCCCAGTTTTGGGCAAGCCTCTGCTGTGCCTTGATAAATCTCAACGACCACGTTCATATCCTTGAGATAGACAGCCTCCGTATCAATTAACTCCTGGATGAGCATTTTTCGATGGCGAAGTGCCGCCGCGGCAGCTCCAGGAGCCACACTGTCGTCGCTGTTCTGCGGTGCATCGATGGAGAGATGGTCTGTGCTCGAGAGCGATGTCTCACCGGCATCCCCCTCCACAGAAATCTGGGCGCTGGATCTGGCTGTAGAGGTAGATGGCCGATAAGAGTACATGTCATCTCCGCTGACACGTCTGGACTCGGGGTCCTTGAAGCTATAGCGATGCAAACTTGGCGGTGGGTGACGATTCCACACGTTTGAGGGTGGGGGCGTCCTTCGTCGCGTGGTAGAATGTGCAGGCGAAGACGGCGCCCCAGCAAGCCACGGCGGCGGTGCTGGTATTGGGGGTATTGTCGACTTGCTCCGAGGCGGTTTGATAGTGCGGTTGATCCCCGTTAGATCCGTCATTGACGAATAGAACTCAGAGGAATTGTCATAACTTTCATCTCCATCGGGTCTTGGGGAGAAAAGCTCCTCATAGCTTGCTGGTTTTGGAGGAACGTCTGGTTTCGCTGGAAGTATAGGCTCCTTGGGAGGCGGTGGGGGTGGTATAGACGGTTCTTGAAACAAGCCCGACGACGAATTTGTGTTGACATACCAAGACGATCTATTGCTGGCGTCGACGGTAATATCTGACCAGTTCGATGGATGGCTGGCCCTTTGATGGTTGTCATGTTGATCGACGTCTTCAGCTTCACCTACGCTCCCTGAGCTTCCATAGTCGATCTCCGTCACTGGCGAGCCTTCAATATCAGGTGGATTGGGAGACTTTGTGGGTGATGAATATAGTAATGTATCTAGTTTGGACAAACCCAAAGAAGATCGGCTTGGCGAGCTGTGACGAGACGGCCAGGATGTCGGAGGTGCAAACGCGCCAGTGTCGGATTGCACAGCCCCATCGTTGTCAGACGTGGTAATGACTTCGCTGTAGGACATGGAATGGTCTACCTTAGGCAGAGCAGCGGCGTCATCTGGGTGGACATCACTTATAATTGGCCCTGGTTCGAACTCCGAGTGAGGAGATGAGGCCCGGACAAATGACGTGGACTCTGTCTCTTGCTCATAAGGCTGAGGGGCAATATCCACAAAGGTAAGAGGCTCCAATTGGTGCTCACCATCCAGTACCTGGCGCTGGCTATCGGCAAAGTCTGGAAACTGGGATTCCCCATTCGACGCATCATCCAAAACGATTTGTATTGAGCCATCGTTGGCGTCAAAATAGTCATCGGGACTGCCAATGGAGTCTCGCTGAGATGACAGTGGCTGCGGGGTGGAATCTTGCGGGAAATTCGAGGCTGAATGATGCTGGGCCGGTTCCGTTTGCAGTTCGTTATCGAATAGAGTGACAGCCGTCACGTTAGATACTGCAGAGGATGGCGATTCGTCGATTTCAGCTTGCTGCCGAGGAAAGCTTCCGGGCATGCCTAAAGTTGGAGAGTCTTTCGACAGTGGCGCTGCTGAGCCGGAGAAGCTGGTATCGACGACTAACTTGGGTTCTTTGACATATTCTGTGCGCTGGTCAACTGTTGACGGGCCCTGGAGATCCGCTTCGTTCTGTGTGGCAGCTCCTTCGAGAGGTGCTTGATCATTCTCTTTCTGCTCTGTCTCTTGTATTGTCTTCGAGAATGCCTGCTGTATCCGGGCTCGCTTTGCCGCGTAGTCCACGGGCCCCGCGGAGGCTAGCCTGTTGATCCGAGCCTTCTCCTGGATCCTACTCTCTGCGCGGTTGCTGAAACTAGAACTCGCACGTGAACTGGCATCGGAGACCTTATTTCGGGAGCTTGCGGTAGTAGCCGCTGAGACGGGCTGCCTTGGCCTGGAGCTCCTGAGGGGTGGAGATTTCATTGGGGGTGGTGATGAGATATAAGCCTTCAGGCTGGCATTATTGGTAGATATTTTTGCTGGACTCCTGCCCTGGCCACGAGCGGACAGTCGACTGCCTGTGCTTCTGTGACCTGGGGGGCTCCACGGACGTGTATCAGGCTTCTTGTTGGATGCAATCATTTTTGTCGCGAACGGAGAGGAAGACCGAGTGCTGGGAGTAGAAGAGGCTGAAGAATGGCTGGTGCGCTTGGAGCTTATGGGCAGGCGTGATTTCGACGCTGCCTTAGGTGTGGATTTTTCGTCTGTTTTTTCGTCCAATTTCATGAATGCCATTTCATTAGACCCGACGAGCACGCTGGAAGGCGGAAACCCAGAAAAATCGCTCTGGGATCGGTTGTGGGTCCTGGCATGCTTTGGAGCAGCGCCCATCCCGAGGTCATCCAATTTTGGGGTGACGCCGAGATACCAAGCAGTTGGAGACGTCGGGGATACGTCGACATCAGACGAACTTCGCCGGTGAGACCAAGATTGTGACATGAGGCTGGAATCCGAGGTTCGGCGAGCGCGACTGCGAGGATCTGAGATGCCGTACGCTATTTGAGATCCAGATTCGGTGGGGACGATCTCTCCAAAGAGTGGTTTTCGTGTAGCGTCTGTTGCAGCGGGCTTTGGGGGGATAATCGAAATGGCAAGATTCGACACAGACCGAGAGCCGTTGGTGAACTCGCCAAACTGATTCTTTGCATTGGGGGAACGAGCCGCGGAAGATAAAGTGTTGTTTGAACGCTGGTCTTCCACAGCGAACCTATTCCGCTGTGTGGTCCTCGATGGAGGCGTTTTCGCAGGTCCGGCGTATGCATCTCTCGTAGCCTGGCCAGGTCTTATGCCTGGTTGTTGTTTTTGAATTGACGCAGCTGGCCTATATCGGTTGGAGGCATCGAGAGGCCTGGCTGGTGGCTGTCTGGGAGGAGTTTTGCGTGGGAGTGAACTTGCCTGCTCGCCATTGGGATCGAAACGCTTCAACAAGTCTCTAACGCTTGGCTGTTGGCTTCGAGGCACGCCTTTCAGAGCTGGCGCGGGTTTTGCACGGCCGTCATTCATTGGTGCGGATACGGATCTGAATGATTGCTTTGCCGCCGTGTGCGAGCCAGCTATGACTGGGTACTTTGCTGTGGTACCATTGCTGTTCAGTAACGGAGTGGAGCTGATTCTCTGGCCAGAAGTAGGCTTGCTGGTCGGAATGCCTGCGGTTGTATCCAGCTTCCCTTGGAACCCCTTGTAGAAGTCGTCGGGCGAATCTACAAGATCTGCTGCCGCGCCGCCGCTGTTTGTGTACCCAGCCATACCCATTGGTTGAAGACTGTTGTTCGCAAGTTCTTTGTTGTGGTCTGCGTCGCCGCTGCGAAGTTCAGACGAGGCTCCCGAGATGAAGGCGGTCTCGTTGTTTTCATCCTGGAAGGGCTGGTGCAGGTTCGATTGCGCATAGAAGTTCTGATCGGCTGTGAGGCTAGAGTCCATGCTGGCAAGGCGTCATGGACCTCTCGTATCTAGCTTTGGCCGAGTCCTGGTGAAGGTATATTGCCGAATGCGTGGTGTGTCCTATAGCATCATCTTCGTAGGTCGGCTTGTTAAATACAGGCAGTCACAAAGCGATTGACGAGGCCGCTAGGTTCCTGGGCTTGATAAACGTGGAATTCGACGGTTCACGAAAATAGTGACGCAGTAATCGTCGATCTTCCTCCAGGGTCCCGGAAGGAATGAGTATGGAGCGTCCGTGGGCTAAGGTGTCAAGTGAGTGCGCGTTGAGGTTATGGCGGGATTGATAGATGGTGTTTCTGCTCGCCCTTTGCAGCCCAGGACAGCGGAAGAAACGAGTGGAACGGGCGAGGAGTGGTCGTCGATGAAGTTGTGTATGCACGGAGGTGTTGTAAGTACACGCGAGTGCTTATCCTTCCCTGGCCGCTAAAATTAACCTACCTCCGCCAACTCAGAGGTCATGCAATTGGCCGCTGACGATCGGAACTTGAGCCACCGCCGCCACAACAACAACGCCGCCCAGACGTCGCGTCTGCCACAAAAAGGACCCTTACACAAGCGAAAAGAACCGCGTTGGCGTTAAGACATCACCTGTACCTCTATAGTAATTATAAGCGTGTGGTTCATCCACAATCAGAGAGCTGGTGTTTTACTTTTGGGGAAGTTGCTCTGTTGTCATGGCATAGCAGGGATACAGATGTGTTGAGTCGCAGAGGCAGTGATGGTTTATCACTTTCACACCATGGCTCGCAGGAGAAAGAGGCACAGGGCCAAGGTGGCCATCGATGAGGCCAATAAACGTCCCACTCTCCCGTATTCTTCCCATGCGCCAGTCAACGTGGTACAGCAGTCCCTGCTCTCTCGATTCTATCCTGAGGTCCTCACGCTGAGGGAGTATCTGCTTGTGAAGCTTCCTAGCAACTCTAGGATCCGAAGGAAGAAGGTGTTGACAGCTGGCAGAAGAGATCGCGACCAGAGTGATAGAGAGACTGCAATAGATGATGCAGATAGCCTTGGGCCGTTTCTTGACTCAACCCTAGTTGGTATACCTCATCACAACCCACAGAGTGAGCAGCGGACGACCAGGTGGAATTCCTTCACGAACCAGGCGGATTTATCTGGGTTGGACGCAACTATGACCTCTATCGACCTTGGACACTCGCAATCTGAGGTGCGTCTGTCTATTGAGAGTGGGTTGTATGGCTAAATAATGTTTTCAGATTGTCGACTTTGCAGTATGGTTGCTCTTCAACAACAGCACGAGGGAAAACACCTCTATCAAACACCTCCTTTGTCAAGGATTTAGCAAAATCCCGTCTGCAGGGCGTATGGATGCTAACAATGCAGCTGTTCGCAGACTTGTACCAGTGTTTCCCAACAAGCACTTCGATGAGCTCAAGTTGGACCCTTGGCCGCAGGTGCTAGGCTTATTGGGAAAGGGCGGAGACCGTGTCATGATCGATTTGCTAGTTGACTGTGGGATATTTCTTGCTGCTGGTAATGGGCGTGGCAATTACTTTCAGATATGCGGTATGTATTTGCATGCAGAGGCACGGGAGGTTACTGAATTTGAAAGGTTTGCCGCTCGGAGACCTCCAAATCCTGGATCAAGGTGGACGAAGCGAACTGTCAGGCAGGACACCGACCCTACCGATAGATAGGAACCCTTCAAGCATAGCCTTCCTACGAAGCAAAATCCTTTATGCACGGCCAACACTGAATTCTAGAGGCGCTGTGACATTCGGTCTGCGCCATATCCGTAAGGATGTTTATCTGATTTTTATGGCTACGCTGACTGTTTGAGATGTCCTGAACCGTTATCCCTCAGCCTGTTTGGAAGAAGGGTCCATTCATCGAAACACGCTCCAGGTCATAAAGTACATATTCCCCAGGCAGTTTGGCCTTCACAATGTCTTTGATTCTGTCGTCGATTTCCGCGAGACTGTCCACCCGTTTAAGGATTATACTCTTCGTGAGGACGAGATCCGTAGGTTGCCTCCAAACCACAAGGGCGCATCTTCCACCAGAATTCCCAGGCGACTGAGAGGGCCATTGGTGAGCCTCGTGCGAAAACTACAGATATTACACGAAAGATGCCCTTATGGCCAATTAGTTGCACATTACTGTCCATCAAATGTAAGGGACTTTCTGTTCTGTCAGCTAGCAGGACTTATATTCATATAGGCACTTGCAACCTTTCCGCAACCCTCGAACGACGATGCTTCACGGAACTTTCGAACCCAGAAATCAACACCAGGAAGCCATAATGGGACTGGCCCCACGCTGGTCCATCTCCCTAAGAAACCAAAAAAGGATAGCATCATGGAACTTGCCACCCCCAGTGCAAACGTGTCAGCATTTTGCCGTGCTGTGCTGGGAAGAGTGATTCCAGACGAGTTCTTTGGAACTGGCGAGGACCAGGCACACAATATACAGGTGCTGATGAGGAACGTGGACCGATTTATTGAACTGAGGAGGTTCGAAACAATTTCTCTCCACGATGTGACGCAGGGAATGAAGGTACCTAGCCCATCCCATGAATTACAAATTATACTGACAGTCCAGATTTCCACCGTTCCGTGGCTAAACTCGGAGAACATCAACAGCTCACAACCAGACACCCGCAAGAAATGGGATATGTTTTACGAGTTCATGTATTACATATTCGACTCCTTGATCATCCCTCTGATTCGATGCAATTTCCATGTCACGGAATCTGGCGTACACCGCTATCGCATATTCTTCTTCCGACAGGACGTCTGGCGCAATCTGGCTGAGCCGGCGATGACATCATTAAAGCTCGCGATGTTTGAAGAAGTCGATATAAACATTGCTAATTCAGTATTGGACTCGCGCACCATTGGCTTCAGCCAGATCAGGCTCCTACCAAAAGAGAAGGGTGTCAGGCCCATACTGAATCTTCGACGACGGCAGCTTCGGCGAGACTCGAAGAGATCACTTGGACCTAGTATCAACTCGACATTGGCCCCGGTGTATAATATGTTGACTTTTGAAAAGGTGTGTACTGGCGATTGTTTCCTGGCTGATGCTAATACTGCCAGAACCTATCACCCGCGAAGTTTGGCTCTACTCTCTTCTCTGTCGGCGACCTGTACAACAAAATCAAAAAGTTTGCGGAAGCAATCAAACCCGTGAGCAATCTATACTTTTGCAAAGTCGATGTGCAATCCGCATTCGACACGATACCCCAGGCAGCTGTCGTCAAGCTCATATCCGCCTTGCCAACGAGCGACGAATACCAGATCTCCAAGCACGTCGAGGTAAAGCCAGGAGATGGATATCGGCATGGGCAGGCGAAACCGATCCGCAAATGGACTTCTCTGGCCAGGGCGGCAGGTGACCAACCGTTTGACTTGATGACCAACGGCAAGAATACCATCTTTACTGAAAATCTTGCGGTCCAGAGCCACAGCAAGGACCAGCTTCTATCTCTGCTTTCGGAACATGTCCAGAGAAACCTGGTCAAGATTGGGAAGAAGTTCTATCGGCAAAAGAAGGGGATTCCCCAGGGATCCGTTATATCTTCATTGCTGTGCAATTACTTTTACGCCGACTTGGAAGCGAAGCATCTGTCATTCCTTAATCCCGATGGAAGCTTGCTGCTGAGGCTTATTGATGACTTCTTGCTAATCACGATCGATCCCGAGCATGGTAGACGGTTTATCCAGACGATGCACGATGGGCTTCCAGAATACGGGGTTTCTGTTAATCCCGAAAAGACCCTCGTCAACTTTGAGACATCCATTAATGGTCAGAAAGTCAAGCGACTGGTCAAGGGCAAAGAGTTTCCGTACTGCGGCACGTTTATTAATACGAATACCTTGCACATATCCAAAGATCGAGAGAGACATAAGGACCTGGCTGTTGTCGACTCTCTGACAGTTGAGTTTTCAAAGACGCCGGGCAAGACATTTCACCGCAAGGTCCTCAACTCGTTCAAGATACAATGCCACGCTATGTTTATGGACACAACGTTCAATTCGCCGACGGTCGTCGCAAGAAACATATTTGAGAGTTTCGTCGAGTGTGCGAACAAGATGTGCGCATACACGAGATGCCTTCCAACGCAGAAACAGCCTGGCGCGGATATCATCATTCGAACGATTGTCGGTCTGGTAGATCTCGCGTTTCTTTTGATTAAGAGCAAAGAGAAGAATCCGAAGAACTTGGCTTATCGATGCGCGATATCCAAGACGGAGATTCGATGGCTTGCCCTGCGAGCGTTTCATAGCGTTTTGAAACCTCAACAGAGTAGGTATAGGGAGGAGATGATGTGGTTAGATGATCAGTTGCAGCCGTGGGCGGCGAGGAGGGGATAGGAGGCGTTTAGATGAGGAATATTTAGGCGGCAGGAATTACTGTCCCCTCCTCAACATCTTCTTAATCAGCCGCTTGAACAGTCCTTTAAATGTAGACCGAAGTCCGGGTAAATGGTGGTAGTGAGCCGCTCCGGCAGCGTAAGTCATGGTAGCAAGTTGATATCGGAGGACGTCAAACCACTCTTGGGCCGGTTCCTGGCTTCCCATGTGCCTCCATTCCCCATCTAGCTGCGCTGACAGGTTGTGGAAATGTCGTTTGTGACTAGCTTGGAGTTGGTCTAGTTTGGGGATTTTATGGGTAGACCGCGGTCTCCTGTTATCGATTTACGGCTAAACACCAAAGCTGCAGAGTCTATTTTGTGGGAAACGGGTCTTTCCACATTCTGTCCTAATTTTATTTCCTATCCGTAAAGTCTATAGTTCTCCATTAACTTACCATCGGCTTTGTTTTCCTCCGAATATGGCTTTGCTTTACCAGTAGCTGGAGACCTAAAAAACGGTTCATCAACCCCTTTTACTTCTTTTAACTGGGGGAGTAGCCTTCCTCCTTGAAAGTCCGCCATTAAACCCGACAATAACGAATCATGCCTCTCATCATAGCCATAATGATACCCGAGGATGCAGAGATGCTCTAACTTTGGCGGAAGGGATTCGATTAGAGTTTGATACTTTTCGTCCCTCGATCCATGCATATGTTTCGCTTCTAAGTCTTCATGGATGGCCGTTTTGTTATTCTGCTGCGACCTTTGTCCTGCTCTATCCCGGTAAGAATATCTGGGACTGTCATGGTGGTCTTGCCCACTCCCACTCACGGGCTTATCGCCCATGGCCAAATAGAATAGAAGCCTCAAGTTGATTGTCAGGCGAGTCAAGGATGTGAAATGCACCAAAATCCTTCCAGTGCCCATAAGATTTTCGATCGAAATATCAGATTGAGCACGGCAGTTTCTCTCACCCAGAGATGGCTCCAGTGGTAATGGTAGCTCCTCGGTATCAAAATCCGCTATTACATCACCTATTTCTACATCGAGCACTTCGAGGCTGAGCCGATGCGAGAGCAGCGCCCTAGCTAGAGTCTTAGGGGCTATTACACCAATCCCACGAGGGTTCGGATGATTAATATCCAGAGGGGGTCGTGTCCAAAACGTGAACTCCGTAAGTCGCTTACAAACGTCGATAAGACGCTCTAGGTATCTCGTTGTCACGTAGGAACTCTCAAAGTAGATTTTGCTGATATCAGATGAGTTTGGACGGGGCGTGGAGAATTGTCCGGCGTCGGCATTCTCTATGACGAAACCACCAGAGCGGTTTTCTCTCATCGCCCCGACACGAATACTCTCGAGATTTGGCAGCTGGTATACCAGATTGAGATTTTCTAGAAGGGCAAAACAGCGATGCACATACCAGAGATCTCGGTTCTTGAGGATGAATGTGATATGTCGGACACGCTGTAAAGCTCCCGTCTTCGCAATATTCACATTTATCCGGTCCAGAAATTCCATTAATGGGGAACTGGGCACAGGGTTGTTCCCAGCTGCTAGAACCATCCGCGTGGAAAATATTCCTCGTGTAGGATCGACCAACGGACTTAGACATAGCGATACCAGATTCGGCGAGACTGAGATAAACAAAGCGGCTAGTGCCTGGAGTTTTAGAACCACGGGGTTGTCTTCCGAAGACAGGCTACTATTGTAATAATTAGGTTATTCTTGAGCATCTGTCACCAGAGGTGGATTTTCCCTCACTATATACCGCTGTATCCACGGGGTAATTTGGGAAATTTTTCCGCTTTCTTAAGAATAAACTCTGCAACTCGTCGCTCCTCGGTTCCGCTGAAGCCAGCCTTTCTCGTGGCTGAATATACTCTAGCTGCATCTTCCTCATCTTCATCATCTTCATCATAATCTTTTATCCAACCGTTTTTCTCCCGAGTATATTCAGCCTCGGAAAGATTGGCGCAAAATTCAAGATCGCGCACATAAGTTCCTAATATCGGCTTTCGCAGGATACTCAACAAGAGCTTGGTGAGTTTCCGGAGGTTGCAATCTCCATTGAGTGAGATACGATGGTACATCTTCCTAGTAGCCATATTGCATAGTCCATAAAGACGCTGACACTGCACCGCAAGAGCCTCAATATCCCTGATGGAGTGGACTTGAGAGATGATTACTTCGAGCACCTCGAGGGGTAAGTCTAGGAGGGTTGGCATGGTTGTGTTGGCATCAGGCAGGAGAGCGAGATGTGTGTATTTTCAGAACGCGGTAACCCATTGACTTGATCAATAGAAGCGGGTGGTCTGGCGCCTTCGCTGTTTGTATAATTATTCTTAGGCTGGTCCGCTGGTAAAATATGAGAAGTGGGGTAATGGGGTAATTACTTGGCGGGCGCACAGTAAGTTGCTATTTATAGGTGCGATTCAAACTTAACATGCATTGATATAAATATCGTTGCCTGTTCATGTTCGAGGCATCCTAGAGGATCTTCGAGACTATGCTTCGTGATTTTACCTTTAATACTATACTTACACTACGTCCTAGATAGCCTCGACGGAGGTGACCTTCTCCAAGTGGTTTGAAACTCATAAACGAAACAGTTGAGAATCTATACAGCTGGGGGGGTGCTGCAGATAAGTTGTTATCGCACTTTGCAAAGAAATAATGTGCCTTAAAGAACATATAGTTAATATGTGAACCATGGTGTTGATTATAGTCGTTTATAAAGCGACCTAACAGTGATAATTACGCACCATAGCAAGAAAGCTGGCGCGGATTGGCGCCAATGATAGTCAGTTATTGAATGCGGCGTAAAAGTACACCTTAGCCATAGACTGATGACGAAGTACATCAGCGCTGGCTCAGACCGAGAGTATATAATCATCCGTGGCAGCCTTGAAGTTTAATGATTTGTATTAACCGTTCACTCAAAAGGGCTCCCAGGCACGGGGCTCTGAACCCCTCTTTTCTTTAACCAGTCATGAATGCCGTACTCCCACCTTGCAAAAAGGCTCTTCTCCTCCTTTGCCACCACACCTTCCCGAACCCATACCGCATAGGCCCCCATACGATTTGCAAGCACGACATCGGTCGCGAGGCGGTCCCCAACTATGGCCACCTCTTCAGGCTTCAGGTCGCGTAACTCAGCGTGGGAGTGGAAATAAGCCATTATCTCCGCGCTGCAGCCGGGCTTCTTGGTGCGGTGTGCGAGGACTGGGACGGACGTCGCGGCGGCGAGGAGGGCGGAGGAGGTGAGATCCGGGTCCATGGAGGGGGTGCCGGCTGTGTTGGAAACGATTAACATAGATGGGTGCGGGTAGGCTGCGCGAAGGCGAGTGAATTGTGCCTGATTTGTGGTTAGTTTAACGTTCATATATGGCGGGGAGTTGTCAGGGGCAATAGGGATAGGAAAATAATCACGTGAAAAAAGCGACAAAAAAACAACAGAACAGCATCCATTAATTCTCAAATGGATATTGACAATAAGAAATCAAACAACATACCTTGAACTCAGGCGCAATCTCGTTCTCGCCAGGCCTGGCGAAGCAATCATCTTTGTCCAGAACCACGGCCCGGATATTCACCTTCCCAAAGCGCTTATCGTTGTCGAAAGCACGAGATAAGGGAAGGGGCAGATCATTGAAGTTCCGGACAACCGCTTGAGGGATGCATTGTGATGGGCGGAAGAGGAGGCTCAGCGCCGAGAGCGTGCCCGAGAGATTGAAGGTGCGAAGATCAACCATCGATGCGGTTGACGGAGAAAAAGGTACTTAAAACAGTGTGGTAATACAAAAACAAGGAAAGACTATTATATATTTAACGCATAGCTCACTCCAAAAGATTCGAGGCGCACGGAGACTGATATTAGAGCTGGCTTCTTTATATCAGAAGCCAAAGTCGTGGTGAGATAATCGCGGCTAAGGTCACATGACGTCGCGTGGGCCTCAGCCTTGCGCACAGAAATCTCGCAAGGCGCGCTAGCGCCAATGCTTCAAGCTCTATCTGGGCCAACCTCAACCGCGCGGACCTCGTCTGCAACGCCCACCCCACGATTCCACACAGCCATATCCTCACCCCTCACGCACAACCCAGGTCTTCATCATTGTCATTAAGCGCCGCGACACGACGCCAACATGACGAGCACTATCGGTATTCCTATTAAGCTGCTGAACGAAGCTCAGGTACACCATCCAATTTCTTCAACCCTACCTCGCCCTCTGGTATCTCGAGCAATTGCGGGCACGACAAGACGAGCCGGGGGGATCTAGCCGTAAGACTAATCATGCTAATATGTTTCTGTTGCAGGGTCACGTTGTCACACTCGAAATTACGTCCGGACAAGTCTACCGCGGGAAGCTGCTCGAGGCTGAGGACAACATGAATGTGCAACTCAAGGATATCACTGTGACGGCCCGCGATGGACGCGTGTCGCATTTGGACCAGGTGTACATCAGAGGGTCGCATGTGAGGTTCTTTATTGTGCCGGATATGTTGAGGTAAGATAACCAGGCGTTTGGACTGTGGGGGATACAAGGACGATGCTGATGAGATAACAGGAATGCTCCGATGTTCCGCTCGAGGGGCGTAAAGGGACGCGGTGTGGGATTGGCAAGAGGAAGGGCAACGGTCAGTCGGGCGAGAGCAAGCGGGAGAGGTGCTCCGAGGGGTTAAGCTGGGATAGGTGGAGATGGATTTGGACATGGTGATGGCGTTCACGGAAAAGCTGCGGGATATGTTAGGGTCTGAAAGAATTACAGTGATCTTTCCCACTTTCAGGTTTTGTGGGCTGTATTTGTATTGTGTTGTGACTTTAGATTCCGTGATGTTTTCTCGAAGATGTGAATTTATCGCACCATTTATGGGCCGTGGAACGTTGACGGATAGTTTGTTACTGTTAGGCCTCTTCCTCATATCCCATGGTTTCAGCAACTACTAGCAACGAGGATAACTAGGACGATGAAGGGGAACAACAAGTGCGTGTCAAATATATATGTAATTCACTACTTTCTAACCGTGGTATCCTGTGCAGCCGCTTCTATCGCCCTCTTATGTAACAGTTGGCTCACCTCCTCCTCCAACCTCCTTTTCTCCCGCTCCTCCTCTTCCTTCTCTTGCTCCTCTAATATTTCAGCCTCCGTCGCACCCTTCGTCCCGCTCAGTACATCCCTGCACGCCATCTCAAACTTCCTCTTCATTGCCTTATCCTTCTCCAGTTCTTGGAAAACATCCGTATCAACCGGCCAGAACGTCTTGCGTACGCTGGCGACCCCAAACTCGAAAATCAGGAACGCCGTGAAAGTAACCACACCAGTTATCCACCATGGAAGCGACCCCCCAAAACTCTTGATGAATCCATTGCGTACATTATACGCTAGCGATTCTTTAGTAGCGTATATATAGTTAAGAACAATATTCCAAAGGGTCCAGAGGGAGATGGAAATAGTAAAAGCGAGTAGTGAAAGGAGAGTTTTATTCTGTTTCTCAATGAACCTGTAAAGTCACGTTAGCTTTGTGCGAAGGTTAGGAATATGTTGGCGTGAACTTACAGGAGTTTCGTGTTGATGATAACGACGCAAATACCGAACGAGAGATCCCCCATCGCAAAAATCCCATCGTCGCCGCTAATAGCAGGCCACGAAAACAGGCTGACCACCATGAAATACACAAGGCCGGCTTCAAGGGTAGCCATGAACATCCATCCGAAATATTTCCTGATGTTGAACGCCTCGCCACGCTGGCCCTGAGAATACAATTCAGGCACGGCGAGTAAAGTCGCAGCACTCAAATCCTGCTCGAGAATACCCAAGAAGATGACAGGGAGCGACGTGAACAGCGTGTTGAACATACTCAGACTCCAGGATTCGTAGAAGGAAGTGCCGGAATACCCATTCCAGCGTTGGTACAGAGCTTGAGTCAGATAAAACAGCATCTCCTTCCAGAAAGTCCCCAGCACGTACTTTCCAGTACGGACGTAATTCCAACGGCCGTGGACCAGTAACAGCTTCTGGAGGAAGCGAAACTGAGCTATCGAGTAATCGGAAATGCGCGCTGCTTGCAAGCCCTCCTTTCCTGTGATACCAATACCAACGTGGGCTTCTTGAATCATAGCGATATCGTTGGCGCCATCACCAATGGCAAGGGTGACAGATCCATTGACACGAAGGCGGATCTTCCTAACAAGAAGCGCTTTTTGGGACGGTGAGGCGCGGCAGCAAATGACGGAGTCGGCGTGGACCGCAAGACTGAAGAATAGCTGGGATAATGTCTCGTTGGCTTCAATATCGCTGAGCGTTTGGCCATCAACGACGACAACGGAATGTGCAACTGAACCCTGGCCAATGTCCAAAAGTGACGTGGCCATGAGTTGTTCAACAGTACTTAAAGTTGTGTCGAGAATTATCACCTTTGAGTAATCCTTAATAAGACGGCAAGAGTGGCCAATGTTGATGGCCGTCTCGCGCTTATCGCCAGTAAGCATCCACAGCTTGATATTCGCTCGTCGAAGTTTCTCAATCGTCTCGGGCACTCCCTTCTGCAATTTGTCTTCAATAGCAGTAGCACCTGCTAGGTCGAAATCCTGCTCTATCAAGTCTCCAGCTGCTTCGATCAGTTCCTGCCGATCTACGAGACTCGTAGCCGCATCGTGGTATACTTTCTTCCATACGTTATACTCCTGTTCATCGATAAATTTGTATCCGTAGAGCAAGGTTCGAAGACCTTCAGTCGCGAAGTCTTCGATGTGTTGAAAGCAGCGCTCAAAAACCGCCGCCTCATTGACAGCTAGCGATTCATCGACCATGTGGTCAAAGTATTCGTCTTCATCGATGATCACGGAAGCGAATGACTTCCTAGGCATCTGAAGCGATGTTTTTGGGCTCGCATATTCAATAGAATTGGCGGCAGAGTGAGGTTCGGTATTAGTTTCGCGGTCCTCAAGCCAAGACTTCATTTCTTCGCGGAATGGCCTGAACCTGTTCCCAACTCCACTTGTCCTTGGGGCAGCACCTAGACTAGTTCGCGCGAGGTCTAGACTCCTGTTCAAGTCAATGCTCATGCTGTTCCTTGGGCTGCCATTGTATGCATCACTTCTCCGCCTTAGAGCTTGCTCCGCATCCATGCTCTTGCGCATGCTAGACCTTCGCTCAACTTCCGCCCTTTTCTGTGTGGCGAGGTGGCTGAGCTTCAATCGCTTCACAACCGCCGAGTCTGCTCCCTTGCAGAACACGCATCGGCGGCCGTCGGGAAAGCGGACTATTATGGACATGCGCTTCCTCTTACTGGTGAACTCGATCACATCAAGAACGGTATAAACCTCGACAGTCTCGGGGCCAGTAGATCCGTTAGGGCGGGTCTTCAATGTAATCGTCTGAGCAGCTCTATCAATGACCATGTAACCAAGATCTTGAGCTGCCCGAACAAGAGCGAGTTCATCCGGTGAGGCGGCTTGAAAATCGATGGTTCCATCTTCCTGTGTCTCAGGGAGACAGGTGTGGCAAAGTGCCAATGAGAGCAAAAAGAATCTAGCTTTTCGAGCAAACACACCATGCGGCTTGTGGCGCAGGTATTCTAGTAGCTGTTGTGTCTTCAGCTGGTCCGATTGCGCCCTTATCGATCGTGCTGCAGTTTTCAAAAATTGGGTGCTTGCAAGGGCTCTCTTTCCATACTCAGCTTCCGAGCTTCTATCATCCGCGCTCGTCGAATCGATGGTATAACGGGTTGAACTCGAGCCTCGTGACTTCCTTGCCTTTTGTTTGCCTTTGCCTGTCGCTTTTCCTGCCGGCGCCGCTAAGGCAGCTTCCTTCTGAATATCAAAATCGTGGAGCCAAGAGACTCCGGCAACGCTCATCTTACGGAAGCGCATGACGTTATCTGTAAGAGTTCCCGTCTTGTCGGAGAAGACGTAGCTGATCTGGCCTAGTTCTTCGTTGATAGTTGTAGTATTGGCTTGCATGGGTGTGTCAGAAATCGGGTCGTACATGTCGATGTCGTTCATGAGTAACAGTTGCCACAACTTAATAATCTCCAAGCTCACGTACAACGAGAGTGGGATCATAGTGTTGAACATAATGATGAAGCTGGATAGAATTTGCCCAGCTGGTACTCTCGCGCCGGACAGGTACCACGATTTTGACTCGACGTTCTTTGACCAGACCTGGTAAGCAATGGTGCATATACTTGCCAAGCCAAGGACGAAGAAAACTATAATGATGACAACTCTATTGACAACGAATTGCATGGTAGGCGCCTTAATTCTCGGGTTTTTGTTGGCGTTCATTCGAATTTTGCACTCCTCTCCAGTATTAACCACCATGCCAATGGCAGTATTTGTGTTGCGAAGAACACTGCCACGGTAAACAATCTCGGCGGTAGTAAGTGGTAGGGTGTCGCCGTCTACCGTGACTCTGCCCTCAAAGTTGTACAAATCAATATTAGGATCCTCAGCCACAAAGAGCGCATCGCACTTTGCTATGGCATTCGCATTTTGACACTTGCCCGCCATATTGGGGGACGGTTGCTTGGCTTTGAGGTTGGTTTCGCCGTCCAGCGCCATGGTCTCGATATAGGCGATATTATTCACGCCATCAGAATGGAGCAGTACAATATCCGCCGGGACTGCATCGTTTCTGGAAAGTTTAATGATGTTCCCAACCTTGACATCTTGCCACTTGGTAGCCACCCAAACATCCGAATCGTCAGAGACAGTTTCGGACTCGGAAACCTCGCGCATAACCTGGGTCTCTCTCCTGTTTTCCGCCTTATCCAACTTATAACGGCGGACATCATCATAACCCTCCTTCGCCATACTCAAAGTGATGAAGACTAACAACGGAACGATCGTCGTATATGTACCGGTGGTACTCAGTCCTGGGATCATTTGAAGAATTGAAATAATCAGGAAGTAAAAATTGGCGATCTTCCCGAACTGGAACAAAAGCTGTCTCGGCAAGAAATTCCATAGCGTGTATCTGGAAGAACGTATCGAGTTTCCAATGTAGTCCTTGTTTGTTCTTTCGTCCATGCAAGGCCGTCTCCTCGACGGGTCCAGGTATATATGCCGTCCATCTTTACTTGGTGGAATATCTTGAATTCTAAGAATGCGTTTTCTCAATTCCTTGTATGTCTTCTTGCAGTTCGTCTCAACTTTCGAAATCAGACCATGTTTCCTCTGCTGTATAACCCATTGTGAGTAGTTTGGTAGAGAATCAGTCATGAAATTGCTCTTTGACTCTTGTATTGGAGGAAGATCTGCCGCAGGTGCCGCAGCAACTTCAGATCTTGTATCTTCTTTCTTCTCCTCGATTGGTGCCGCGGTTGGTGGGAATGGGTAGCCATCTTGCGGTGGTTGTGGCGGTCCGCTTTCCGCAAGCTCGATGTCTTTCGTGGCGACGACACCTCTGGTGAAAAGAGCCCGTCTCAGCGAGTAACCTCGATCGCGCCCGGTTGGAGATATCGGTGACAACGCTGGCGATACGGCAGGCTGCCATGGTGGTATAGGTGCGGTGTTTGCCCTGGGTAATGGGGTCCTGGATAATGGGCTAAGAGGCGACGGGGTCCTCTGCGCAGAACTTCCTCGGCCATCAGCTGCCCTGGTGTCTATTGTCAAGTTTTGAGGTGGCGCATTGTTTTCCACGGCGGCAGATGGAGCATCTGCCTTTGGCTCATCTGACATGCTTCGTATGAGCCGATCCTTAACGCCCTTGGGCCTCCTCCTTCATACGGAGTGGCTTCAGCCAGAGGATTTCTCCAGCAAAGAAGGGTTCCGCTGAGGGTCGCGCGGGAGCCTTGTCGGTTGTCGGAGAAGAAGGTTGCGCACTCTAATGAAGATGATTATATTTAGTTGGCCGCATTGAATCCCCGGCCGACTTTTAACAAGAGCGCCGCGTCGTGTCGAATTGGTTGGCTCTCGCTCTGGCTAGATCGACCGACTCGATGTAGGTCGAATACTAAAATCGTTGTCTGAGAGATGTGAGATCCAGCATTTGAAGCCGCGAAAACGAATGACTTTCGACTCGAGAATTTCGAAGTAATAGTGATAAATAATAGATTAACCCTCAAGAGTAACCATGTAAAAGCGGATTATTGTCAGGGAGCCAAGACCAGCGACAAGGTAAAACGACGGCCTTGCCTTCCGACAGTCGGTTGGATAGAGTTGTGGCAGTGCTAAGCCACGTGGTGGCTGACTAGTAATAGAAAAAGTGGCTGTTCTAGAAATAGTTACTTATTAGCCCCCACTGTCAATTTCCCCGCAACCGGTCGATTCAGCGCCTTCTTTTATATATCAGAGCGGTTCTCTCTTTTGAAAATAGTCGTTTCTTACTCTGATTGATCACCATCGATCCTAATTGATCTCCGTTGATTTTCATTGATATTGATCCTCATTGTTTGTTACCATGGTATGGTAGGTGACGTACGCTCCACACAACACGAGTCGTCGACACGTCGTCGCCCCCGCAAGTTTACACAGCCCCACGTCCACCAACGCCCACGAACGCCCACGAACGCTCACGACAGATCGTTCTTTCCTCGTTTTTTGGTTTTTGGCCCACAAAAGTCATCCCCGCCTCCCCGTATTGCGCGAGTATTGTGCCGTTGTTTTCGCCTGAGTAACGTTTTTCTCTCGTCATGCCCCCTTCCAGGTGTTTATATGTCTCACAACGCTCCAAAACCAAACTAGAGGGATTCGGTCAGTAAACACTGGTTGCATAGCACCAGTTGGCAGTAGGGGTCCATGTAGCAACGTTTGAACACAGCGTTGTCTCGGAAACTTTATGCTCCTGCTTGCATTCGCGCATTGTGTTACAGTGGGGGCGATTTTGGGGACTGAATATCGCCCGGCACGAGACCAAAATGCCAATGATTGAGGGCATGATAACCAAGATGATAACCAAGTCCAGGGCAGTTTTGATCATTATGCACTTATTTTCTACATCCAACGGGCCGTTGATGATTGATGATTATCAATATTAAAATATTATCGCCAATCTATCACTAATATATATCGTAGAGGCTGAAGCGTCCCGTCTTCTCACAACCCGTGCCTCAGGGGTCCTTATTAAGAACCCAATTTCTATATCCCGTCACTGAACAGGCTCTCCCAGTCATCATCATTTATGCCATCCTAAAGAAGCTACCATCATCCGAACTTCCCTGCCTCATTCCCGTCCTAAATCTAGGAACGAGGGTTTAAGGTAGCTAAGAGCATGGTCAGTTTGGCCTCCCGTTCATCGACACCAGGCACTCCCTGTCATCACTATTTTCAGCTACATCTCCCATCTGTCTCTAACCTCACCATCCTCGATTTCTGGTCACCAGCGTCACTGTCAGACACCTCTGAAACCGCATGACAGCGCTGCATCACGCTCACTCACGCCCAAAATCCTGTGCCGGGCCGTTCGTTGCCGTGCAATAGGTACTTCTACCATAGGCACACATACAGCCGCTCAGCACTTCGGCTGTAAGTACTTTCTCACGGCCATGCACGAAGGGGAAAAAAGAATCTGGACCGGCCTCGGGCCAGTGGAATTAGGGAACAGGGGGCAAGAGCCCTCGGAGGATTTCCGGTTCATCTACTGCCGACAGGCCTTCGTACAATCCCCAACCGGCCATCCGCCGTGATAGACCCGGTCTGAAAGCCATCGATCGATGCAAGTGGACGCATCGCGGGCAAAAAGACACAGAAAGGCTAGACCTCAACGACCTTGGCGCAACGTGGCGAATAGATTGGAGACACCGGAGATGTTGGTTGTTGATATATGATATACTATCGGGGCGGCGAGGGCACATACCCCGCACTGAAACTTGTGATGATGTGTATGAGGTCGGGAAGTTTTGGGAAGGCGCGGGGATCATATGGATAATCCGCGCGGGCGATGTGTTTCGGGAGTTACGACAACGCTTGGCGGGCGTGTCGCCTCACTACTCGAGGAGCTGCGTGGCTAGTTTATTAAGATGGCAAATATACTCTAGGGGTAGCACTGTAGGTGCCCAGGGAGTGTTAGATTGTGGCTCGTGGTCCTGTGGTCCGTAGGGCAATCTCAAGAAAACACCTTCCCCTTTAACGCTGACGACATTAGCGATCGCAGGGCGGGAAAGGACCTGGATTGGATTTCAATAGTTCCATATAGCTCCGCTGCCAGTCAATGGATTGGGCGTTGTGCTCTTAGGCACATTCCTGAAGTATTCGGCATCCCCTGTCCGCGCATGAGGTCCAGCCTGGCCCATTAGAAAGTCGGTCAGTGAGGTAGGTCGTGTAACAGCTGTGAATCACCGCATGTTGTCAACAGCCCAACAGTTGTTAGAAGAGGAGTGTTCCAATTAAAGTGTTTACAGTCTATATAATTCTACCTGAAAAGCCAAAAGATGTGCGGCGCGAGCCAATGAACGCAAAATTATTACTGTAGCTCGTAAATTACAAGGTTGACCATGCCTGTCTGGAATACCGTAGGAAAATGAAAATGCAAAATAGTGATGCGATTGGACCGAAGGGGGTATTCCGTTCTATAACCTGTTGTCATATCGCCCATTCCTCAAAATAACCTCCCTCATAAACCGCGTAGCGAATGTTATAGACAAAGGAAAGAAGTCGAGGTCCTGCCCGAGCGTATTATGTAGTGTGCGGCGAGATTTGAAAATAGTATGCGTAGCTGTCGTCGTCGCCGTCTTCGTTTCCGCCTGTGGATGCCCATATATGTTTTTTTTTCCTCCGGGCCAATTTGCCATCTATCCCATTCAATTCGTATTCACTCTGTCATCAACCAACCGCCAAACTCCGTATCCGTGCCATCATATCCTAATATCCCCTAAATACCTCTCAAGTGAAAGATCCCTAAGGTCCTCCTCGTTTCTAGAATCACCACTCTCACTGTCATTGTCGCTGTCGCTGTCGCTATCCTCAGCAAGATCTGAATACCCTTGATTGTCCCCGAACTCAGAAGCTTGCGCTCCTGTTGGAGACGCTGACTGCTATAATTCATCTGCCTTCTCCCGGCACGCTGCCGGCGTAAAGCCTGTCCCCACCTTGCCTGCAACGATACGCCACTTCTCCTGCTCATAGTCTTGAAGTGCGACACGAAGCTTCTGAACCTAAAGTAGAACAATGTTAGCTAGTAAATTTGCAAAGGCGGGGTTATTCTTACGGTTTCATCGGTCCACTGCGTAGTCTTAGCTTTGAGCTTCGTACAGTAGCGTACTTGCAGTGTTCCAGATGATCGTCCAGGGAAAAACTCGGCAATTTGCTTCCAGGTCAAAGATTTGTTCTCTTTGAGGTCGACGAGCAGTTGGTCATCTTCGGGTGTGAACTTCAGCTTCGGTCCGCGCGGCTTCTGAGCTGGCGATGGCATCCCGGGTTGGCCGACTACGCTTGGGGCGCCTTGAGACATCATTGAATCATCAGCACCATGTCTTGACATTTTCGACGGCCGTCCCGAGTCCGGAATGTGATGGTGATGATGGTGCTGCGGGGGTGGAGGCTGGCCGTACCCCACCATACTTTGCTGTCCCAGAGATTCCAGGCCATCGTCCTCCAGTCCTAGATTCATATCCAGCTCCTCGTGTGGCCGCACTCTCTTCAGACTTGACGGGCGCTGCTGGCTTGGAGTACCGTATGTTAGATGCTGACCGCTTCTGCTGAAGTGCGGCTGACCGGCGAGCTGGGCCATGGGATCTCCAAGCAGCATGGGTTGGTGGTGATGCTGCGACTGCTGCCCACCAAGGTCTTGCAGCGAGTCATGGTTTTGAGCGCCAGCGTGTTGGAGCTGTTGATGATGCTGCTGTGGCTCGTACAAATGCTGTTGTTGGGTGCCTTCGTCCGCATTTGATACTTGTGCAGAGTAATTGTAGCCCGGCACTACTCGATATGGTGCCGCCAGTGTGCATGGATTCTTCCAGAGCGGATCGCTCTGGCAGCTTGCCGAAAATGAGAAATGTGGGAGAAGTATGGTGCTTGTTTGGTGATGTTTCTGAATCTCGCGAAGCTTATCGCGTGTGTTTGGTGTTTTCCACGGTGGGTGATTTTGTTGTGGTCTATATCAGACTTTATTATAGGAGGGTCAACCGAGTTTGTTTCCTTTCACGTAAACAAATAGGCTGAAGGATGTGCGGTAGGCGGGAGTAATATAGATATAGCTAGTATCAAGAGCGGAGGAAGATCGAGGATATGGCAACTTATTATATGGGGTGGCCCTTGATCCGATATTCCACATGCCAAGCAGACGACTGAGAGATCTCCCCCATAGAGTACAACGATCTATGCGCCAGGCGGATAACCTAATTACTGGCATTAAAGCGAGCCCTCGAACTCGCTGGGGAGCTGGGATGAGACAGAGCCTGATGGTGGGTTGTGGCGTGTGTGGCTATCCTTGGAGTACCGGTCATGGATGCGGTGGTTCTTGGGCATTGCCGTATGCATAATCCGTGGATCCCCTCCTCTAGGGTCCTGGCCCAAAGTGGACTCTCTAACTATGCTGGTATCCATTGCAATCCCAGGGCTTCCAGGCACCCGCTGACCGCATTATTGTAGGGCAAGCAGGGGGGAGAGGGGCGATGATCAGATTGGCTTTTCCCGATATGGGGGTCAAATTGCCAACTATGTGAAAGAACAGGAAGGGGTTCCCATCGAGCATGAAGTCTGGAAACAAAAGGGAGGCTGATGCGACGCGGCGGGGCAACGGCATCGAAGAATCTGAGGGAGACGTGTGTGGCGTGGGAGTATGAAACCAGTGCCACATTGTGACTCGGACGAGCAGAAAGGGGGCAGGAGACACGTGGGAATGCAAATACTACCGCGGCCTCCAGGCGGCTATCGGATAGAACACCATTCCTTCTGTCACTTCTTGCTTATTCCTCTGCAGACAGACACACTCTGGTCCCGTGTAAGGAAGGTACTATTGAATCCCACGCCGGGCATACTTTTCGTCCTGATTCAGGGAGCACCGTTGAACACATCCCTGCCCCCCTAAAGTGTAGTTAGCAACAATTCTGTAAGGTACTGGTGCTAGTGAACGCCAACGCAGCCCACACTAAAATTGGTGATGTACTGAAATACAGGTACAGTGCAAATTCACACGGGTGACATGGATGACAGGCATGGCCTTCTCCTTTTCCACAGGAACGCGGCGAAATATCACGGAGATGACGTGATGAAACGGTCCAATGGATACTTAGGGCGGAGAATTCGTCCCATGGGGTCTAGGGTTGGCCGTGGAGATTGTCAAGGCTTTTTTTGCTGGTGGCCACGTTGGATTTCCCTATGGAGACAAGAATAGCCACGAGAAGAGTTATCTTACTTTGGTAGGCGTAGTGAGGCACGAGAGACCCAGCATTAATCCCACTCAATCCCGCCTCACTAACGCTACCGAGCCGTAGTGAGACATTACCACGAGGTCCGATGAATAATCTGGGGACGATGATGGTGATCGCTACCTGCCTGCGCAACATTAGGGCGAAGTACCGAGTTAACCCCGGCAACATAGAGTCCAGTAGTTTCTCATTAGTTCAAGTAGTTCAAGTAGTTCAGTCTGACCAGTCTGACCAGTCTGACTACAGTTGTTCTGGTGCGAATCTGGTGCAAATTATGTATGTACAAAGCATCCAAACGCCACAAGTCGCATGCTCCTAGTACATCCAGTATTGTGGTTATTGTGGTTATTGTGGTTCTTGCAACGCGTATACAGGACGCCCTGCCTGTAAAATGAAACTATTGTCGAATGAGCATCTTTGCGTCCGAAGCTACTACGTAGCTGTGGTTCATGTGGGCAATCGATATCCTTGGCCTTAATCTGTGTCGGTATTACCGTCCGCTCGCCGTCAATGCCATACACGGCGAGTTTCATGCGTGCTAATTTCTGTTAAAGCATAGTCCGGTCAGGCGTCCAAACAACACGGCCCGTACCAAACAAAAATCGGAGTTCGATCATTACTGTTAAGATTGCGTTTACATGCGCTTCAATGGAAGTTCAATAGAAGGAAAAGAATGACGGAATGATGAAATGACGAGTCGACTAAAATCCTATTCTTGTCAAGCCCCTGTCCAGCTATTTCTGTTCGCGCGCACGCCCGGAAATTTCACTACCGTTAGAAGAGGTCATCACCGTCAATGCATACACTCTGGTAAATATCGTCGCGTTCCAAAATTATGCCCCTCCAGCACGGCGTCAAGCCACCGCGTGCTCAATAATGACTTATCAATCAGGTTCATAATCGATAGTGCGCTAGAGTGTGTATATTTTTGGGAATCTAAACCGAATTCAATCAATACATATGGTAAAGTACAGTACACAATATTACACTACAGCCCTGCCCAGGCGCCCGCAAACGCCCCTTAAATTGTCATGTCCCATCCCAAGCCACAATCCATGCCTTGACGCGTAGAACGATCCAAATTGCTTCTAGAAGCTCGCAATCTTATAACCATTAAGCAAAATTATCCGACCGGTCCACCCAGATATCTTCCAGTTCGGCAAAATTCTGGAAGTGTAGGGGTCGATGTTGGTCGTTGTAAAAGGGTAGGGGTGTATCAATTTTCACGTGAACTGGCTTCTTCTCGATTCCGCCGAATGCGCTTCCCATGAAGCTGTAATTCCAGGTGTTGTTCTCTGGTACGAGGAAATATCCTCGGATCTTGTCGGATAACAGCAGTTGGCATTTCTCCCCCATGCTCGTACTGAATCCTTGAGGTTGTTCGCTACCGAGGTCCTTGTTCTCAGCTCCCCATTTGTATCCTTGCGGAGTGAGTGCCCACGACGCGAGAGAAACACTTCCTGGTGTGAAAGAAACCGTCATAGTGATGGTTTTCTTGTCCCATGAGTTGTGAGAATTCATGAGGCGCGCATGCTGTGTAACATCGGCCGCAGTCATGTATGGGGGCTCATTTCCAGAAATAGTGTGGATAATACCGAGCGGCTCCAGCTTCTCCAGGTACTCATGCTGGGGTAACTGATGTGGTAGTTGGACATCGCGAGTATTACCAATCTGAGGAACCATAACGATACAGCGAATCTCCTTAACTTGGTCATTATCAGGCGGGGATGATCCATACAGGTACCCAGCAACTTGAACGCGCAGATCCGCAATGGTGATGAAGCGCTTCAGTACATTTTTAGGCATGATATAGGTAAAATGATCATCCTCCTTGATGTCATCCGAAGAGATGTAAATGTTGTTCGCACGGGTTCGTAGATTAGACGTGGCAATAGCCCTCGTACGCCACTCAGTTTTCGATGCGAAGGTTTGCTGCTCGAACTGGGATGTGGTTGTGACAATGATATCCTCTCCGTGGACATTTTGAGTCTTGGTGGTAACGGCAGTAAGCTGTTGCTGCTCCTGTTGCTGCTTCTCGATTTCCGCTGCCTGTTGACGTTGCATGGAAGGAGCACTGATCTCCATACCCAAGATAATATCACGGACTTCGCTACTAGTCAAACTGGAGGTGTTGACATTGTTCTTCTTGCCGTAATCATTCAGGATGAGATCTCGGAGTTGTGTTTCAACCTTGATCCAATCCTCGTCTGACAAGCTTGGCCAGATATGATGCTCCTGAGTGATGACGGTTTTGTCAGGTCTCAGCAGAAGCTTTGTCTTGTCTGCATTGACGTGGAGCGCACGCAAGATTAAGACGAGACGAGAGAACGCCGTGTAAGACGAGATCGTCTTCAGCCAGTCGTCGTACAGATTGAAAAGTACCATCTGAGGCTCCGTAGCTCGAAGAATCATGTCGTTGAGCTTTTCCAACTTGATTGCAGATTGGAACGGCAGCTGCAACTCGGAGGCACGGATGGAGATATTCGGGAAGTCGAGTAAATGGACCTCTAGAGGATCCAATAGACCCTTTCTGGTCACAATAAGTTGCTTCGGCTGTTCTTCAACTGGGAGCGAGCGGATGAGAGCAGCCACTTCTTCGGCAGTTTTCCACTTCGCTAGTTGACCTAAACGCTTCTGTCCTGCCCAAACACTGGTATGGATGATCTTCAAGAAGAGCTGGCCTGTCCGAGGATTGAAGATAAAGATAGCGCCGTTGATAGGTTTTGTTGTCAAGTTACCCTCGAAAGTCTTGTGAATGGTGACACGGTAAACGTTAGTGTCGTCAATGAAAAGCTGAATTTGGTTGCTAAACAGCTCAGAGTAATTCTGAGAGTTCAGGAACTCTTGGTTGCTCTCCGAAGCGTAGAGCTGAAGACCCTTGCGGATACGTTCTCGGAGAACGTACAGGGCCGGGTTAGCCTTCATGATCTTGGCCATAGCTTGCTGAACAAGCGTTTTCAAACCTGGGAAGTATTGCCCATAGGCCGAGTATAGATTGTATGCCAAGTCAATACCAATCATGAGACCTGTCGCCGAAGGGTAAATACTCATGCTATCAGTCGTATAGTCCAGGTACTTCGCACGGGTGTATCGCTCAATGTCATGAGAATCGTAGTCACCATAGCGTAGCTGTACATCGACCCAGAATTTGTTGGTTGTCGTCGGCTCAATAACATCCTTGGTATCAAATAGAATTGATGGTCTCGTTACGTTCCATTTGTGACTCGCGAACAGGAGGATATCAGCGCAAGAGCTGTTCATCTTGTAAGACTTTCTCGGATGAATCGTCTCCTTTTGAACCGTCTCGATTCCCAAAGACTCCAGCTCTTGATCAAATACTTGACAAAGATCCATGACGACGTTCTCGTGGATCTTTTGCCACAAATGAGCTCTGAAGATTTGGATAAGAGAGATCTTCAAGGTGGGAATCTTTCCGTGCAAGAAAATACCAGTGAGATCCAGCTGTACTTGGAAGCCGACGTAGACGTTGGCGCGGTTGATAGTTGGCGACCACCACAATGTAAATCGACGGTTGGGAATTTGGTTCAAACCAGACCGTTGAGCGTTGGTCAGCTTCTTAAACTTCATCGATTCTTCGAACCCACTGGCTTTCTCCCAGAAAAGGCCTTCCCAAGACGGGAAAGCTGTAGCCTTGAAGAGAGTATGTTCCAAAATAGTTTCCACGCCGCCAAGCGCCTGGATAACATCTGTTCGGTATGCATTCAGGTTCCACAGTTTACCATCGTGTCTTTGACTGGTCCACCAGAATGGATTACTCTTCATAAGCTGGTATGTTTTGAATTCTGTGCGAGCACGGAAACCTTTGTCAAAGCTCAGGGTACTCCTATCCTTCTGGAACAGAGTATTGATACGGGGCAATCCTCGATCCCAGCTGTCCTCGAGATCCTCCAGTGTTAAGCGTCGGTTTTGCTGGTTGGCTTCAAGGCGCTTCTGGGAGTATTCGGTCCAGACTCGCTGAGAATCTATGAATTCTGCCTCCCAAGGGATAATATATCGGAAGATATTTGGAATCAAAGTATCCTCATCGTGGGTCATACCAGCACGGTAATGGGTGACACCAGTGTCCGTCTGCTTCGACCAGCGCTTATCACTCGTTGGGATCAGGATATGCGAGCCGGATATCATGCCTAAACCACCTAACTCCTTCGGCGTGTAGAATACAGCTGGCGGGAACCTAGAAGGCATCTTAGAGTTCAATCCGATCTTGACTCTCGTCTGAATCTTGGTTTCGCATTTGACAATAGTGTCGAGAAGATTGACCGTAGAGACGGCAGCTTCTCGATAGTATGTAAAAAGCGCAATCAGACTGGTGTTCCATTTGTTGGCAATTTTCGTGAACGTTGTCGAACCAGAAGACATCAAAATCTGCCGAATGCGATTATTGAACTTGGCAATATCTTCCTCGGTGACCTGCAAGAAAGCATGTGCAGTCCTCTCTTTGCTTGTATTGTCGACCAGCGACCAAACACTGTCCTTGACTGGGAACTCATCGTTCATGTTTCTGGACTTCGGTAGGATTCGGACCTCAAATCCACACATGGAGAATAGCAAGTTCGGGTTGTCCCTGCTGTAAACACTTGCGAAAGTGTCGTCCCACTCAATAGTGGTAACTGAGCGTGGCAATCTATTCTTCAAGTCCCAGAACACTGCCCGACCGAGGTTCACATCGTGCCTCATTAAACGCATGCGAGAATCCCTTGGCCAGCACTTTTTATTGCGATATCCAATGACATTCTCAAAGTTGGGATCAGGCTGCTCCGTTAAGAAGCGCTGAATAAGGTCTCTCGACTCGTCGGCTGAGAATCGGAAAAACACCCAAATTCGGTCGATATATCTCGTGTAAAGTCTGATAGGATGCCTGGTCTCGGTCTCTCGATCTCTAAATTGCAAGAAATCGTTGGGGCTTTGAGGGGGGCCAGCAATCTCGCTGGCACGCTGCAGACCCAGCAGGAGCAGATCCAATACAAGGCCATAATATTGGAAAACAAATGCCGAAAATTGCAGGCCGCGGATCATACCATAACTGTTAACATGGTTCATGTCCTTGTAGGTCAGTTGGACGTTGTTCTTTGACGTGATGTAATCTGCTAGATTGTGGTCCATAATCAGGCGGAGAAGTCGGTTGAGAAGCGTCAAGTCAATCTTCTCGTACACTTTAGACAACTGAGTTTCAATCATTACATCACATTCTCCATTCTCAGTCTCCCAGACTTTATCAAGGTTGTTGATACCTTGCGCCCATTTGTAGGTCAAAAGGGGTGGGACTTCGGAGTCAGAAGGCTTGATCCAAGCCGGGAACAAATGGCGCTGGTCAGCTTGATACCACAGATATTGGTCAAGGTATGCATCGCTGATTTTCTCGACCGGCTCAATATCGTAGACTGGGTTTATAGTGCTGTAATTGTCGTTCATATCAATTCCAACTTCCTTAAATGCTCTTTGAGTAAGCAAGAAACGCTTAATTCTCTCCAGTGTAGTTCCAGGGCTGTCATATGCTTGCTCGATCAACGCAAGCTCTTCGCGCTGGCTCTGGTTCAGCCGACCCTTGACGGAATAAGCTTCCCGTAAACGTTCGAGGGCAAGGATTAGGATTTTGGTATCATGCTTGTAGGACACACTCGGGAATGGGATAGGAGAGAACTTTCGGGACTCCAGCCAGTGAACAGTTGTCGTGTAAATGGCGACAGCTTCCTCTGAGGAAACATAAGGTCCATCCTTCATATAGTTGTGCTGCCTCTCTTGTTCTGCCTTAAGCCAAAGGCGTGTCAACCTACCCAAGTTCTTCTTCGCGACTGTTTTGTCGACCGTTGCGCCTCTGCGAATACGTTCGCGGTTGTAATGTGCCACAGAAATCCACCAATCTGCTTTGCTTTTAACATAGCGCAGAATAATGTTCTCAATTGGTGCAGGTAGGCCAGGCACCTTCCAGGGAATGTTACTCTTCCAGCATCTCCATGCCTCGGACAAATGCTGCAAAACGGTGTTGACCTTGTTTTGCTTAATTCCCTCCGGCATCATGTCCATTAGATCCGCCATAACTGATGCACGAAGTTCGAGATCAAAGTGAGACTCTACACGTTGCTTTGTGACGGTCTTGGCAACTCCCTTGCTGTGCCTCCCTTCGAATTGACGAGAAAGCAAATTCCCAAGCCACCTTTCCAGGAGTGGGATAATACCACGCATGAAAAAGAGCCATACTCTCCACGCAGGCGCCCAGAAACCACAGCCAGGACCTTTGCCAACTGGGCCAGAGTTAAATCGGTAGTAAATGAGATGCTTTAAATCCTTGCAAGAACGGATTTGATGCATGAGCTTGTACTTATATCGGTACATGCCGGTCAACTGGCCCACGTGGTTGAAAGCATACAGAATTCCATCTGCCAGTTGGAATGCATCGATGTTTCCCAGTCGATATTGGACTTGGGCATCAACAATGAGCTTGGTGAGTCTCAAAATTTCTCTCATCAAGTGGAAAGCATTTCCGAAGCGCGACTTCTTTCGCTCCTTGGTGGTCAGCGTCTTGACGGGCTTCAAATTAAAATTGTAATCGAGATGAAGGTACGTAAGGTTCTTTCTGTGTATCAGGAGATTCAGCATGTTGAAGCCTTGGCGACAAACTTGAAGACCTGCTTCGACCCAGTCGATTGTGGTCTGTTGAAAGAATTTGGTCTGCTTTAGCGATTTCATAAGATTTTGCTTGTTTTGGGCTTTGGGCTTCTTCTTGTGTAGTTCGTTCAAAACGTAGGTCTTCAGTAGCTTCTGGTATGAAACACGGACCTTAACCGGCTGGCCTTGGGGACAATGCTCAAGGTACCACTGCTTGACAAGGGGCACATCTTGTGCCCGAACCATTCGGCCTGACCTTCTATCAAAGGGATAGGGGGCCCACCAGAGCGCAATCGCCGATGCTGTCTCACTAGTATACAGCTCCTCATCCGCAAAAAACGGCTCAGCTTCTTGCGGAAGTACGAATGCGTCCTCCTCCGGTTCCTCATTATTGCCATATCCAAATAGCTCGTCCTCGTGGCTAACCGTGATGTTCTTCGGCGCCACTGATCTAGACGAGATTGGATTGATAACGGGGTCGAAATAAAATGCTGGCAAACTCGGATCTTCTGCCCGCACATATACAATTTGTGGGTATGAGTAGTTGCTTATATGAACGCTTCGTGGTAATGAATTGTACAGGAAGGGAAACTCGACGCGGTATTCAGTGCGGATAGGTGCCCGGAATATGATTCGGTCAATGGCATTGAACTCTCCAAAATCTTCGTCATTTGGATCGACATCCTTGTACAGAGGCTCGAATCTTGGGCCACCTGGAATGGCGACATTGAGAGCCTTTGCGGTGAGGAAAGACTTCAGTTCGAACATGTGAAAGTAGTTCTTGTCAACCAAATCACTCAAGAGTTGGTGGCTTAATCGGTACAATGTTGCCATTTGGGGTAACGTCAAATTCCACTCCTTGTAGCTTGGGCCGTTGACATGAGGTGTGTCAAGTAACGGACGATTCTCGTAAAACCATTCGTAAACAGCTGCATCTTCGTTTTCGTCCAACTCCATCTGGATAGGCTCCAACGGCTCAACGTCCTCGATATTCTCAGACCAGGAGAGAGGCGGCTCCTCATCGTCGAAGGGCGGAAATCGCATTCTCTTAAAGTGGCGTCGATCGCTCTTCTCCCTTCTCATAACAACCCACATCGATGCCCATTGCGCATGGAATACGGGTTCGATAACTCGTGGTATCTCGTTCACAAGAGTCAAACAGCCGTTGACGTGGTATAGAACCTTGACTTCTCGTGCGGACTCCCAAGGCATCGGCATGTTCTCCAACAACTTCATAACTGCATGCGGCATATATTTCAATGCCCCCAGATAGCTACGCTTGTCGCTGCTGAATTTCTTTTGCGAAACATCTCCTATGTCCTTGACGATCTTTCGTAAATGTTCGGGCGGCATATCGGCCTTTTGCGTCTCTACGAAGCCGCCTTTGCGCTTCTCCCCGAATCGGTTCTTTTGTGACCGTACCCAATCTTTCTTCTTTTGCGCAAATTTGGCGACATGGGGATCTTGAGGTGGTCGGTATCCTGGGGGGGGAGGTGCGCCAGGTGGTGCGCCCAAAGGCTGAGCTGGCTGAGCAGATGAGCTCCATCCGGGCGGTGGGGGGGGAGGTATAGACGACATCGTGAAATCGGATCTATAATGACTGTATGTGGTGGAGTCGTTGAAGTCGTGGATGCCGTTGATCAGTCGATTACTTCCAGGTTGCAGTATCCATGCGTTTACTGCACCCCTCGAGACGCGCCGAACGCGACGGCAAATGAAAGAAAAGCGCGATCACAGAATGCGCAAAGGAAAACAATTATGCGACAGATTTCGAGTATCTTTTTGTTCTCGCTCCGATGCAAATTGGAGGAGTTAAACAGGAGCTGTCGATAGCTTTGCCTCGTCGACTCTTGTCAGGTCAACATCATTATTTTTCCGAGCCACGGTATAATTGACGCTAGTATAATTTAGGAACGACATCATGTGACCATGCGCGGGTTCCATTCATCGCACTAATAAAATTAAGCGAACTCTTAGCCCGCACAACCCCAAATTTACCAGAGTGAGAGAAATCTTGAGATCTCTAATCGTCGACAACACCAAACGCACGACTTCCCGACAATCGAGACATCACGAAGTCACAATGCCGTCCAACAGATTGACATACGTACGTTGCCCGTCATTTCGCCATATTTCGAGTTCAAAATACTAACAATTGCTTCCTACAGAGACGGAGGAACCCGTAAGCACACCCGAACCCATACCATCGTCGCGCTGTCGCCATACGATACGACAACGATGGGCGCGAAGAATGCGGCATATGGGCATTTGCTGATACTTCAATAACAGGTACAACACGACCTCCAACAAGGTCCGCGTTATCAGGACTCCAGGTGGCAAGCTCCGTTACCTCCACCTCAAGAAGAAGGGTACCGCACCCAAGTGCGGTGACTGCGGCATCAAGCTCCCAGGTGTAAGTAAACCATCTCAATATTTGTCTTCCTGGAACCGGTCCAGGGTCGAAATGGGTGGATAAGAAAACTTGGAGGGGCTTTGAGGGGGAAGGGTGGTGGGGTGCAAAATACTCGGAATCAGAAAACAACTCGACGGACAGACACTCGTGCCATCGCAGCGCACAACCAGGCAGACTATCACCAACGTTGGAAATGCGCAATAAACCTTTCGAAGAGTGGAATATGAACAGGGAGGGAATTGGCGATACCAGTTTCCACTCGCATTGTGGCACAACATTCGGACCTGGAAAACAAATGCAAGGCTTGCACTGAACAGTAACTGACATTTTGTCTCACAGGTCCCAGCTCTCCGCCCTCGCGAGTATGCTCAAATCTCCCGCCCAAAGAAGACCGTCCAGCGTGCATATGGTGGATCGCGCTGCGCCAACTGCGTCCGTGACCGCATCGTCCGTGCTTTCCTGATTGAGGAGCAGAAGATTGTCAAGAAGGTCCTTAAGGAGTCCCAGAAGGCTCGTTAAGTGTGTGGATTGGGCTGTCTTTGTTATGGGGTGCAATATCTGGGCAGGGCGACATGAATCAGCATGGGGTTGCTGTATTTAGCACAAAGCTTTCTTCGTTCCTAATTCAGAAGAATTCACGACCATGACACTTTACGCCAAAGATTATGTTCCATTTGTGATTTAGACTTTGTCATGTGCGGAGTGTCTGGGCTGTATTCCTTGGGAAATCTTGGCGCGTGATGTGTAGTAGTACAGGACCAGTCAGACATTGTAGAGCGTGACGCCCAGTTGTAAAATACCAGTCAGGCACATTAGATCCCCTAAGCGATACCGATAACAGATGGACCTGCACCGTAAAACCAACGACCATCTTCCCTATTCGAGTATTGCAAGCTCCGTCGAGCGAATTTGTCGGCTACGACCGCACTATTTCATTCATTACTGTGTTCTCCGGGCGCAATGTCGTCCTCGAATAAACCATTACTTGCACCAGATCGACCATCCTCGGAGCATTCGTTTGAGATGTCGGCATCCGAAGAGGATACACTGCTGACCGGCACTCGTGCCCGAGAAGCTTCACCTCAACGCCGTTCTCCCTTCTGGAGAGAAGTTGGCTTATTCATATGGGCAGTTGTAGCTACAGCTGCCGTCATAATTCTCGGGGTCCTTACCCAGCACCGACGAGAGACAACTCCTGGCGATGTCGGGAACAAACCAAGTGGGAAGCGCAACCTCGTCTTCATGGTTTCCGACGGCATGGGACCTGCAAGTCTTTCCCTGACACGAAGCTTTAGGCAATACGAAGGGAAACTGGCTATCGATGATATCTTACAACTGGACCAGCATCTCATAGGGCAGTCACGCACCAGGTCCAGCAGCAGCTTGGTTACAGACTCGGCAGCCGGCGCAACAGCATTCTCCTGCGGACTCAAGAGCTACAATGGAGCCATTTCAGTTCTACCAGACCACACAGCGTGTGGAACCGTGTTAGAGGCAGCAAAGAAGGCGGGATACCTGACGGGACTAGTGGTTACGACAGACCTCACGGATGCGACACCTGCGTGCTTCGCTTCCCATGTGAACTTGCGTTCAGAGGGGGACAGCATTGCCGCACAAGAAGTCGGAGAACACCCGCTTGGCAGAGTTGTGGACTTGATGCTCGGCGGTGGCCGCTGTCACTTCCTGCCCAACACGACAGAGGGGAGCTGCAGAAAAGACACCAGAGACATCACCAAGCTCGCTCAAGAGAAATACGGATGGAACTACATCAATGATAGGGCAGGATTTGATAAGCTGAAGCTCGGAAAGGACGTGAAGCTGCCGCTGCTAGGGCTGTTTGCTGGGTCTGACATTCCTTATGAAATCGATCGTCGCAATCAGAACGATATCTACCCATCATTGGATGAAATGGCTAGAACCGCTCTCACTGCCCTGGAGGCAGCCACCAAGGACAGCGATAAGGGATTCTTTCTCTTGATCGAGGGAAGCCGTATTGATCATGCTGGTCACGGTAACGACCCAGCAGCACAGGTCCACGAGGTTCTTGCCTATGACAAGGCCTTTGGTAGCGTCCTGAAATTCCTCGCCGAGAGCAAGGATGAAGGAGTTGTTGTCGGTACTAGCGATCACGAAACCGGCGGCTTGTCCATCGCAAGGCGTAAGTCAATCCTACGATTTCCACTAAGCATACCTAACGTCTCGCAGAAAACAACCCAACCTACCCGGAATACCTCTGGTACCCAGAGGTGCTCTCCAAGGCCACCCACTCTGCTGAGCATCTCGGTTTTGAACTCTTCGATCGCGCTGAGGCAGCTAAGTCTACATCGGAGGATATCGAGAAATTTGTTCGCAACACCCTTGTGAAAGACGGCCTTGGTATTACTGATGCTAAAGACGATGAAATCCGTGCCATTTTAGATAACCCACTAGTGGCCTCTCCTCTCTTCGCCAACATGATCAGCAAGCGGGCGCAGATCGGCTGGAGCACTCACGGCCACTCCGGCGTGGATGTGAATATTTATGGGTCGAAGGGCTCTGAGAAGCTAATCGGCAACCATGAAAACACCGATGTCGGGAAGTTCCTGAGGGAGTATTTGGACGTCGATGTTGAGGCTATTACAAAGGAGCTGAACAAGAAGTCCAGCGCGTTCGGGGTAGCGAGCGTAGGAGAGGGGTGGACTGGGCCTATTCCCACTGAGGAAGAGATGTTAAAGGCAGCTGATCATTACGATGCTTCTCTGAACCATCGCAGACATTGAGGCTTAGTCCACAATATAAGGCGAGTCCATTATTGTCATTTCAACACTTTTGTTTAGCCTTGTGCTTGTCATGAATACCTACGGGGTTATCATTTCAGAGTTCAACGGTCGTTTATGTAACAATATACCCATGAATTTTATCTCTCTGTATTCTGCTCACTGACCCGTATCTTACTTACGCAGCGCAATCTACGTTCAGTCGTCAATAACACCAAATTTTATTACAACTGAGCCCGGGCACGTGATTACAATAGGTGCAAGAGGCAACAAACTTCTCACAAACCATCCCAGAGTTTCACGAACCCGTAACTCATTGTGGATCGGGTAGTCGTTTGATTCCACGTCTCTATAACTAATTTTCTGGGACACAAACGCGTCTTTTTTCCGCTTTTGTCCGCTATACAACCCCAATGTTCCGGTAACCTTATTCTCGTCCCCCGGTTTGCCTCCGCATGTCAGCCTTAGTATCAAACAACCTCAAAGCACCATACAAGTGTATGACTACGCCATGGCAATCGCCACCAGAAGGTTGCCTGGTGGGTACTAGCAAGAGGTTTGGGCGGGGAGGCGAAACGATTTTGGAGAGATATGGAACGCAAAAGTGATTCCAGACAGGAAATGATTGTGGAAGGAGTCATATTGTATACTTTTTGCTATGAGGCATATGGAAGTAAGTCAGGCTTGGGATCCAGATGACACGCGGCTCTTGGTGAGATGCCATATGAATCGAGGCTTTGCTGCTGCTGGTCTGACCTGGGTTTTGGAAGTGCGCCCTACCTCCAAGACCAAAGCACGATTAAAGCTTGGAAATAAATCTTGGATATAGCTCTGGATGCTTGCAAGATCTGCCCTAGAAAGTGCAATTTCATACTGAGTTCGTCTATACTCTCTGCTGGGAACTGGGTCCAGGTTGATATCAAGGACGCCCATACATCTTCAGCACACAGAACACCCAAACACAGCTGACAATGTGCAACTATCACCTACTGCATTACCTTTGCGGCCACACCTCTCTCTGGGCCGGCAGCAACTGCTACGACCTCTACACACAGCTCCAGCGCATCAACGACCCGCTCTACTACACCTCGCCGTACGCCCACCAGGTCCCATTCGAGATGCTGAGGCAGTGCTTGCCGAGTAGGAATAATATCAGACAGCAGAGAGTTGGAGAGTGCTGTGGGTTGGTCGAGTGTTCGAATGATATGGGGTCTCTGTATGCGAGGAGATATGGATGCGGGACGGAGGATGCGGCTTGGGGGAAGAGGATTGGCGTTGGGTGGAGATAGGGGGAGGTTTTGTTATTCGAGTTGGAATGCCAGAGCTGGTAGAAATTGGGGGCTCTCTTGTGGGCTCGGAAGGTGTGAAAATGGTTGGGTGTGGCATCTGTATTCGTTATTGAAGATTTTCAAGCAGCTCATATTTATGGAGGCTTATTGACGGAGGAGTAGTATTTTCTCGCAGCCTTCTCCCTTGGCCCATGACAATACAATGACTTTGAAGGGTGATATATTCGATGATATATTCAAGGTTTAATAAATTTTACACGTTATCCCATATATTCCCCAGCGGAGACGTTAACGGGCGGTCTCCTCTTGTTCGCATATCTTACAGTCGGACTCTCCATTCAACGCTTCGCAGCTGTCGCCTTTCCAGACACAACACCAACACCATCTCTCCACCCCAACGGCACTAAAGCGGCTGCCACACTACCCAGGCCCCTTTCAGTTGCCAGCAGGTTATACTGTGCAGCCGCATTCCTCGTGTCTTGTATCTCAACCTGGATTCCAAGTGAATTAATCGCCTTCCTCGTCGCCGGACTCAGCGGCATCATATTCGGTCCCAATCCTAGAATCAACAGATCTATGGCATGTCAGTCTCCCATTATAGCTCTCAACACAAGTTTCGGTAACATACCAGGTTTCGGCCACACCATTCCCAGAACTCCCCAACTCTCGTCCCCAACCTCCCACAGCCCTTTATCGTTCGCCAGTCTCTTATTCTCCTCTCCTTCCGCCCTATTCGCATTCCACGGCTTCCATGAAAACACCTCCCCATTCACCAGAAGTACACCAGCCCCATTCGTAATCTTCACTCCGTTATTAAGGTGGAACCCGTCCCAGAGACACGCGTCGATCGCGGTACTGGGCACGGGTGTGCCGCCGAGGACGTCAAGGTTGGAGAAGTCAGTCTGTGTGCTCTCTTCACTAACTGGGCCGCGGTCGCGGGATGGCGGTTTGTGCATTGAGACTAGTGTAGTAGATAGAGAGCGCGAAGGCGACGATAGTGCTCGTGGGGTAAGGAGGGAGGTCGCGGGGCGGCGGGTAGAGTAACAGCGGGAGCTGGGAGAGAGGATCGAGCGGGCGATTTCATGGATGCTAGGACGCGCAGAGGCGCGTTGAAGATGTCGGAGAGGCTGCATCATGTTGGTTGAGCCCGTACGACAGGAATTAATGGGTGAAAGGTCGTAGGTTCTTCGGTTAGTGTTGGCACTTCGGAGATGGAGCTGTCAAGTTGATATATTTTTAGCGGCGCGCGATAAGATTACAAGCGCCGACGTCACTAATTCCAAGGGTAAAATTCCAGGAACGGAAGGAACGATCTATCAATTTTGATAAGATGGCTTTGGAATACAAAACTATTAATCATGAGAAACTAATCTACGTAGCTATTGTTAAATTATTGTTCCTCCTGAAATATTGTGGTTACATTGTTCACATAGTATATTTATTTTAAACGCTAATTATTTATATATTTATTCATTTTTATAACATCGTTGCACTGGGATATTTACAATACTCTACTCCTAACTGCCGGACAATTCCAACTATGTGTTGCCCTATAATTTAAACTACAAAAAACAATCCCTCTAGCGACCTCTATAATAACATCAATTTACAAAGAAGAGTGCAGCTACCCGTCACCGATGGATTCGCCGAATAAATAAGCTGCTCCCTGCGACGAAATGACCCAGTGGCTTAACCACCAGCCTTTCCGAGGAAGGCACGACTGGCCGAAGGGAAAGAAGGACCAGATACCGGAGGGAAGGCATGATTGGCTACTTAGGGAAGGAAGAACCATATACCAGAGGGAAGGCATGACTGGCTGCTAAGGGAAAGAGCGAAGGGCAACCCGCTGTGGAAGGAAAGAGCGGCCAGCCAACGGGGAAAGAACGACCAGCCGAGGAGGGCATTGCGGACCGGCTTCATCTTCTAAACTCGTTGGTTTGGCTTCCGTCTACTTGCAGCTGTACGCGTACAGTAACGTCCCTACCAATTCCGCGGACAGGCTATCAAGAGCCCGCAAATATTCTCTTGGAGATACGGAACGTTTCGGGAGTCTCTACACACAATACGGACATCACGACCATCGGGAAACTGAAACTAGACGCGACGAACAATTCCCAATACGATTATACGGGAAGCCATCATTAATGCAAACTTACGCATGACTGATGGGGTAATGCATCCATTGAGCCAAAATGGATCGTCGCCTTCCCAGGCCGAAGCCGACTAATTCATCTGATATTCTGCCCTACACGATATACCCCGTATAATACTATACGTGCATCAGTGTCGAACTTATCCTTTATTCCGAAGAGAAAACAGATAAAATTAAGATTACCAGTTTGTTATTGCAGAAGGAAGGGGATAGAAAATACGAAAAGAGATGTGGACCCTTTTTTTTCGCGCCCAGAACCCCGGAACCATGCAGGTCCATAAGCGGCGGCCTCTAAGCGGGTGGTGAGACAAGATTGCTGTCTCAGGTCCACTCGGTAGCGACGTTGAGAGTTTGACAACCATCAAGGTGCAACGGGCGACCACCCAGACCGCCACCTGTTTCTGTTCACCGCTGGTGTACTACTCAATGCCACGTTCTGGGCTTCTGTGCGTTGTGGAAGCCAAGAACGGATGGATAGGATGGATAGGATGGATAAATGGGCGCAAATGGGCGCGAAGCCCGGGTGCATGCTTTGGGAAACTTGGGACGAAATTTGTCAGAAGCCAAAGGTTAGCTGGTACGCCGAAGCTGCCGGGCAGCTATCCTTCCGGACTCTTCTCATCTCGTTGCCCACTCAACCGGTCCAGTCCAGAGGAAGAAAGGAGGATCGCAGGATACTCATTAAATTTCTGACTGAATGCGTCGTTGGCGCGTGACGCCGGCTATTACCCTCTCAATCAGTGAGCGGCGGTTATGAAGCTGATGATATCAGGACTCGCGTGTTGCCAAGGACAGGCTCTACAGCAAGAATGATGCATCACGGAATAGGCGTGGGCCGAATGTTTTGGGGGAGCCTACAGGGCTATCTTGAGTCTGGTCGGATTAGTTCGCAATTGGGGTGTAAACAAGCTGATTCAAGCTCGATCTGTACAGGAAGTTCACACGGTCCATTGATCAATCATAATAGGCGGTAGGTGCAGAGTTGACATCTGTAGGGCTCTTTTAACCTCAGGGGTCTTTTTGCTCTTTTCGTTCGATCAGTGGGCGGTTGGTCCACCCTGAGCCCGTGCCCAGATGTTTCTTGTCTGGGGTGGCAGCTACCAATTTGATGCCAACTCCAACAAGCGAGTTTCAACATCGCGCCTCAAAATGCTCGGCGGGGTCGGGCTCAAAGAAAGACGCCTTTTGTCATAACCCATGATCCCGATTATAGCATCAATCGAAGAAGATCAGATCGTCTGTGATAGAGTACTTGATCCGTGGAGCCGCAGTGAGAACATCTCACATGGTGTGAATCTTCAGACAGGCCCCACGGTCGGCGTTTAATCCGATGACATTCTGTGGCTCGTGAAGACCGGGGTGCGGATTCTGAACACACTTGTAACATCAACGATACTCGCCCTCAAACACCAAACACGCATATGACGAAAGCCGCGCTCGCCAGCAAACGCCCGCACGGCCCCGGAAACACCGTAGGCCGCTCGTTCTGGCCTGATAAATCCCACATGGACTATGCTTCAAGCCCATGCATGATTAGAAACTGATCTTTGCCTCCAAGTTTTACCATCCTAATCATCGCTATGCGGATGACTAGAGCAGATCGTGCAGCTGCACGGACCGGGGCCCCGTTGAGGGTGGATGGTGGGAACGTGCATCTATATAGCTTCGTCGTCTCCCCGATTCAGGATCCTTTCTCCTGTTTCTTGCCTCTACAACCTGTTGACTACTCTCCTTAGCAGTCTCATTTCGTACTCTCTTTATTGCCCAACTGGCTTGGCTGCTTACGTTCTTTACATTTAATATTTTATCGGTGTGCTTTATTTACTTTTACAACCCACCATCCTCAGATATAACTTCCTTCGAAGTCCATCTTCAAAACCGCAATTTACATTCTTCAACAGCTCGGCCTGTTCCATTTTATAACTTTCGATTCTTCATCTCCCCGTTTTTTGGGAAACCTCTTTATCTACTTATCTTCATATCACTGTCGTCTACACCACCGAGTATAACTATCAAACAACCCACACGATCAACGGCCATTATGTCTCCAACTCTGATGAACACCTCGATGCACATGGCATCCAGCCTACGCACGACCCCTCCCTCCGACTTTCTCGACCGTCATGAATATGGCGTAATTAAGAATCGCACGAAACCCGCCTCCACCGGCGGCGGCCGCGCATGGAGCGAAGAAGAAGTTCGTGTTCTTCACCACCCTATCTTCTCAACCACGCCCACTAACCGCTCACTTGTAGGAAGTCTACCTGCTCCAAACACGCCTCCAAAAGATGCCTTATAAGCACATCGCTGCGCACCTCAAGAAGACCGAGCTCGCCTGCCGCCTGCACTACCACCAGCTCTCGCACGGCTCCAACCGCCGCAAGCGCACAGCCTCCATGTCCTCTGCAGCTTCGACAGCTTGTCTCTCCCCACCGCCCCCAACAATCCCTTCCCCTATCCGCGAACGCCCTATCTCGCCACCATCATACTCTACATCCCCCACCCCAACTACGCCCCTCATCACCCTTCCCCGCCTCCTCCCTCCCGTCGCCATCCTCCCCAAACCATCCCCCGCCACCACCACTCCACTCACCCAGCACGCACCCCCACCCCAGGCTGCACTCCGCCTCAACTGCTCCGTCGCTGCCTCCGCAATGACGCCGAATGACATCGACAAAGAACGTCTGCGCCGCATCTACGACAACCATCGCGCGGCCTTCTGGTACGCCATTGCGGCCGAGTACGGCGCACAGGCACCGCCCGCGCTGCTCGAGGAAGTGTGGCGTAGGGGTGGATGGTGTGCGCCGCCTACACCATGTGGGAGCCCTGAGGGGGACGTCCGCGATACGACAGAGAAGAGGAGGTCCAGCATTAGTGATTTGTTGGGCATCGATGCGAGTCCCAGAAGTCCAAGGGAAAGGGAGCTGATTAAGCGGTTGGAGGAGGAGGGAAGGATGGAGATGGTTTAGTGGATGGGTGCTGGTCTTGTGGGGACGGGGAGGAAGGCGTTGGTGTTGGTGGTGTTGTTTTCTTCTTCTTCATGTTTGTTGGGTCCGAGATGGGGTTGGGAGTTGGTGGTGGGATGACGTTCAACGAAGGGAATGACTACGGTGGATTCAAGGATTTATTCTCTTCTATCTGATGACAAGGTTTTTGGCGGGTGGTTTGGTGCGCTGTTACCGGTATCTGCGTCGGAGTTGTTGGCGCTGATGATGGACGGTGGGGGGGGGAGAGTAGATTTCGTGGTGGTTTCTTATTCATGGTAGCCTTTTTTGTCGTGGGGTTCGTTGGGGTTATATTGTGCTGTGTTTATGTCAATGATTGGAGTTATGGCGTATTCTTCTGTGCTGTTGTTTCTACTTGATGTGCTCTGTGACTACCACCACCATCGCCATCACCGTAAAACCCATTGGAGTAGGTATACTCTACCTACAACGTAGAAACGAGCTTTCATAGACTCAAGGGAAGCGGGTACCTATGGACACTTGTTTGGGGGGGTAAGGCTGTAGCAGCGACAATGTAATATTATTGTTTTCTAGAAGTATCTCTGCCACTCTTTCGAAGAAACCTTTCTTGCCTCTAGAGAATGGCGACCCAACCCACTGGAGACTGAGATCTGCCGATCATGCAAGGATGATGGAACGTTTAATCCCATTGGAACTTGCTCAGTTATTGTTTGCGACCTAGGAGAGTGCCGCTGGTCATCCAAAAACTGCAAATTGGCTTCCCCGAGGTACGAATCGTACACTCTCCCATCTCCTTCTCTAGCCTCACCCGTACGTTGTTGTGATGATCTATTCGTCCAGGCATTCACTACTGGAGTCCTTTGGGGCGTTTCAAGCGTTGGCGACGTATAATTAGGGCCAACTTGCAAGCTTTCATTGTCATGCATCACCGGCTGGTAGTCGGCTTGAATCACCTCCTGGTTTCCTTGTGCGTTTTCACTGTGGGCAAGGGACTGCCTTCGTGGATCAAGCTGCTCTTCGTTATGCCGAGCAAACAGAGTCGGAGGCGATCCCGGCCATGGATGTTCTGTTTCCTGAGATCCGGGCGACTCCGAGATAGAGTCATTCCGATAGTCCGTTCTGCTTGCGACGTGAAGTTTCTCTTGTAACCATGCCTTCTGCTGGTCTTCAAACGTTAACGGAAGGCGCTTCCATTCCTCCACTTTAGCTTGTTTGGATAGTGCCGTGCTGTGATTTGTGAATGCATCGTGGTATTGAGATGGTTCAAATTGTGTATTGCCACCCTGGTGAAAATGGGTATTGATGAAGGACAACGCCTCGAAGAGGGCGATCTCTGTTTCTATAAGCCTTTCCTCTAGGCTAGAGATATATCCTGATGGAATGCCTCTATTGAAAGTCAAACTATCAGTAAGAAAAGAACATTGAAGACAAGCGTACTGACCTCTTGTTGCTTTGGGGATATTGACAAGTAGTCCCTGCAGAACTACATGACGAGCAGGTTGGTCTGCAAAATTAGACACGGCGCAATTAATTTAATATCAATGTAACCTGAAGTCTTCTCACATCTTGCGATCACACTACGCGTCGGACTCATCATTAGCATAGTTTCTAGCATTCTGTCGGTTAAATCTCACCTTGCATTTCTTCGTCCGACAGTGCTCACAGGCGATAGGGTTTAGTTGGCTTTCCTAATTTAGCATCAGCATTGGTCCATGTGAGATCATTAAGAGACTCACCATAGTTATGAGGGAGTATCTTTTTCTCCTGCAGGATGGACAATTATAGTCCGGAGACTCCTGTGCGGGGTAACGAACATCCTAGGGTAACAGGGGTACTTGACGCCCCACAAAAAGCTCGATGGACAAAACCATCGTCATTGCTTCTCGGTCAACTTCAGTTAGCTGTGAAAAATGGAAACAATGAATTCCTGTTACCCCGCATCCGAGCACACGAAAAAGTCCGAGTGGTAGGCCTTGAAGTCGGCATTTTCCATCGCTGATGAATTATCAGCGGGAAACTGGGCCGCTTGGTGAGGAGTACCCACATGACTCGATGTCCATTGTGGAAGAAAATGCCACTAGTTCGCGGGCCATCCCCATACATTGCTGTAACTATTGGATTAGCGTAGGTTCCATGCGGGGAAAGGCTTCTGGGACCATTTTCAGGACGTCGTTGGCTGAGATTGGCTTCAATGGCAAGTCTTTAAGCCTCAAATATTGACAGACACGCGTTTACCAATTCCCCGAGTGTGTCGATCATCCAACTCTGCCTTTAAACCTCTCTAGACGTTTGGTCGGCAAGATGTTAACATAATAAAACAGCGCATGCTGATCTATCCCGCCAACAAGAAGCCAGAGAGACGAGGAAGCATCATGGCGCCGGAACACTCCCCTAACAATCGGCTGATGCGGGAAGACCAGTCAGAGGACACCGTTGGAATCACGGACGACAGCAATATGACAGTTGAACCTTCTGCCAAAAGGAGGAGGGTATTTTTGCAGACTATGGGCCAGCAGCTCCGAGAGGTGGGCGTGTTGCAAACAAGCCCAAGAGAAGTCGCCTCGGATTTTGTTAGTGGTGCAAGAGACGCATCGCATGTCCAGCCTCTGGACGGGACGCCTAGAACAGGTGGCTCACAGCATGTAAATGTGCAGACCCAAACGCCGGACAGCGATGCTGTCCCGGGAATGGATGACCAGCCTCTAACTGGGGCTTTAATGAGCGCGTCCAAGAGCCTCTGGCTGCCTGGCGAGATCTTGACTGTGCCTATCGAAGAAGGGGGCGATACCTTCACGTTTGAAGACCTTCTGTCCTGGACGTGTAGCTACTTTGATAACTGGCATCCGGCGTATCCCTTCCTCCACGCCCCCTCTGTTCTCGAACATTTCGGCCATGTGATAGACCACGGAGTATTAGACTCCACGGATTCATTAAAGCACAAGCTTACAATCCTTCGATCCATCATGTCAGTGTCACTTATAGATCGGAGACAAACGGCGACAACGATGAGGCCTGTGCCATCACAACTGGTTTTTGCTTCCCTCAACGATGCTATTCAGAGCGTTCAATGCATGCTGACGGACGAGAGTTCGATCGTTGCATTGCAAGCAATCGTTAGTGTGCAACTTCTCTTCATTTCTATGCTGCGATATAATGCAGCTTCTCGGCTGCAAGGCCTTGCAGTCCGTATGGCTTTCCACTTGGGGCTTCATCGCTGCCCAATGAAATTCTCGGATTTTCCAAGGAAAGAAGCGCGGCTGAGGCAGCGATTATTCTGGTCAATCTATTGTATTGATCGTTATATCTCCATTCGACTTGGTGTTCCCCTCGCCATTCGAGATATAGACATTGAAGCTTGTTTCCCTACTTTAGAACGACATCTGGAGGGGGTCCAGTCACAATCAGGTTCGCCTCTATTTCTCTTAGCCTGTTCTATCAGCTAACCTCTACAGATACTGATGGACGACTGGACTTGTTCGGATTTCTTGCAAGACATGCCGAGATCAGAGGGTCGATTACGGAGCTGCGCAACAAATCTGTCTTGTATAAGCAGACTGAAGTCGACGACGCCACAGTCATCGATGCGAAGCTTAGTAAATGGTGGAATGAAGTCGATGAATACCTTGAATCGAATAGCCATGAGTCGCTACCAATAAGCCAATACCACCAAGTGACTCTTGTTGTTCTCAGATATGAGTCAATCATCGCCCTCAATAAGTATACTGTGGCGACATCAAAAAAGGGTTCAGTTTATGATGCGGCGCTACAAAATTGTATTACTGCGGCAAGATGTATTATTAGCACATTGCACAAGGCATTGGAGCCTCAAGATGTTGGCTTCTCTACAACACACGAAGTTGCCGGAAGCTGTGGCCTCCTATGGCCATCATTTACATGGGCTGTATGGATGAGCGCATTTCTTATGGTATACGCAGCAAGGGAAGGCCAGGTTCCCCAAATTGTATCTACTCGGTATGCTTTGTTTAATCTTTGCCATTTTAGCACAATCGAATATCTCTAACTGTATATAGACTCGTAGACAGGGCCTTTAAAGTTCTAGAACACCTTGCACTACGAGGAAGCATATGGCCTAATGCATGCGCTATAGCAATCCGAGACTTGCGCGCACAACTTGTTAACCAAAGAATACACTCGAAACAAACATATACTCGCAGCAACCACTCGTATAAAAATGATCAGAGTAGAAACATCCTCCGCACTTCCTCGGGTTTCATTCCTCCTCGATCTAATAGTGGCAACGACTTCAGCGTTGGCACTAGCAACTCGACTAGATGGCAGAATCCGGAAACCTCTGGCGCTGGATCGAACCTTTCCCGTGGCAATCACGATATGGAGAGCAACCAGAATATGCCGAGCATCCAAGAGGATTCCGAGCCGCCGTCCACAAACCGACTGTCATCGGTGAACTTCTCTGGCGTGCCGCAGTCTCCCATGAACTCCCATAACCGGATGTTTTCGGAGCTTTCGGGTCTTATGCCGAGTTTTAGAGACGCTGAGGGGAATGGATATGTGTATAGGATGGGAGGGGAGTTGGGACTGGATCTACAGATGCCAAATCAGGACGGAGTAGAGCTGTTTTACGGGCTAGATACCCCGTTTTGGCTTAATGGCGATCAGTGGAGAGGTTTAGGCGATAATCCTTAAGCGCAATGTATGGTGAAAAGAATTAGCTAATATGGTAAGAGAATGTGTAATTTAAATGGATGGGGCAGGGCTATATGGTATTATGGAATGAATGTTAATTTAAGTAGGCAACTTGAGCACCATGGGTTACTACGCAAGTCAAGAGTAAGGTGCATAGATTGAAACAAGTTATATAAATTCATTATCTCTGCAAGCCGTCTTCAATGCCAACTCAGTAGGCGTAAAAGATGGTGCTATATGGATCCTGCTCCTTAAGCCTCTTATTAATGCGCCCCAGCCAGATCTTCATGCCCCAAGCCGCGGCGATTGTCATAAATGAGAAGCACGCATTGCTCGTCATGGCGGTGACGTATTTTGGCGCATCGCTATTAGGATACAGGTAAGGTGTGTATATGAAGGATGCCATTGACACCACGTTCACCAAGGATAGTGACACAGCTTTCTTCTCGGGTGTCTGCCCAAGAGTCGCAGAGACCCAGCCTAAGATAACAGAGTTGACACTGTACACGCCCGAAGCGAAGAGAAAACAAGAGATATAGCGTGCCGCCACATTGAGTGTAACACAGCTTATGACGAAACCAACCATTGCAACCCCCATGCAAATGGTGATGTGCCAGGTCCGCTCATTGTAGCGACCAGACGACCAGCCGATGAAAACTCCAAACGCCCCAGCAAAAATAGTGGGTGGAGACGTGAGGAGCAGGGTGATTATGGGGTCATATTTGAGAGCCTTGACAACCGACGGAAAGAACTGGTTGAAAGATGTAGCGCTGAGATGCATATTCTGCATGAAGGCGAAAAGGTAAATCCTCGGGTCTCGAATCGCCTCGAGAAAGCCTGCGCGGACTCCCTTGCTCTCCTCCAGCCCGGCGGTATCCCTACGAATTCGGCTTTCGGCAAGCTCGCGCTCTTCGACTGTCAACCATCGAGTATTATTTGGGTAGTCCGGAAGCATGTATATTGTAAAAAAAGCGACACCGAAGGTTACGGCGCCCTCGACAATAAAGAGCCACCGCCATCCAGCAAGACCGTGGGCGCCATCAAGAGTGCTAAACGTTGCTGCGGCAATAAGGCCTGCGAAAGCGACGGCGACAATGTTCCCAGCGTAGAGTATGGAAACGCGGGTGGCGATCTCTTTGCGGGTGTAAAAGAGGGAAAGTATGTAAAGAGCCCCGGGGTAGAAGGGAGCTTCAACGGCACCTGTATTATATGTTAGTCTTGCGGCCTAGAAATGGCATCAAAGTAGCAAAAAGGATTGTGGGAATAGCTTACCAAGGAAGAAACGAACAAGGACAAGGCCAATGTAATTTTGAACTCCCGCAGTGGCTGCTGCAACTGCTGACCATGCCATCATACAGACGCCCATATACACTGATGGTCGGACTTTGCGGGATGACAATAACATGTTGGAAGGGATTTGCATGAACAGGTAGCCAACATAAAGGATACTTATGGCAGTATTGTACTGTGTGCCATGTAACTTGAGGTCTTTTTCGAGAGTATTCAGCTTCGCATTAGCAAGAGCATTTTGATCAAGTTTGTTCCTAGTTGGAATGCATTAGCTTCCTATCTTTAAGATTGTTATATTCTGCGATGAACTTACAAAAAGTACATGCAGAACAGAGCGGGCATGATTCGCATGTCAAGCTTGCGAACAAGGGCAATCTCTGCAGCGTCCGTCTTCTGGACGGCTCCAGAATAATCACTTCGTTTGTTTTTCTCATCTTTGTTCATGGTAGTTTCCTCCATGTGCGCTGCAGTTGCAGCTTCTTTCTCCGCCTTAACTGACATTATCAGCGTAGAGCTTCGAAATTGTAAGAATTTTTTGAGTGAATCGATGCCAATTGAGCAAGGTAGAGTAAATCTCTGCCCAGAAACTCTAGAAATATTAAAGAGAAAAGACAACTCTTAAGAGGGCATCTCTACTTCTTGTACACAACCAGATAGGGCGTCTTACCTCCTTACTTATGAGTCCCCCGTAAATCCCCAGACTCCGAACCTGGAGAAGTTGGGGAAATAGTGGGGCAGAGTGAGAATACCAGAGTTGCTCGGATAGATGCCGTGTTGAAGGGGCGGCTAGCACAAACGTTTGTCCGGGTGCCACTTGTGGTTTCGTAGAGGCGAGGTATACAGCGTCCGCACATGTCTTTGTCCGACCGGCCGAGTAGTATGATAACAAGAAAGTATCATGTCGCAGTTTTATTTGTCCGTTCGATGAGCGGCAGTCGTCCGAAGGCTCACACATTCACCAGAATCATCAGTTAATATTGTATGTGACACGCTATGAAAGATGCTCGCCCCACTCATCTCGAACCATCATAGCCGGATTGTACAGTACAATATCTTTATATAAGGACATGCTGCGCTGATGCTGAACTTATCTTGTTCCATTAACTCACATCTATCATTTACATCAACTGAGCAAGAATCGAAATTAACAACATAGACGTCTTCTCCAATCGTCTTATACGCACCATTACCTACAGTCAAAACGACAACGATCAACATGGGTTCAGCATCTACTACAGCTTTGGATCTTCGTGGTCTCACCCCTGCTCCAGTTACTCCATTCACGCCCAACGGAGACATCGATTACCCCGCCATCCAGCGCATCGGCTCTTGGCTAGGCAGCATTGAGGGTGTCAAGGGCTTGGTTGTCCTTGGCCACGCCGGCGAAGGCACCTTTTTAACTCAAGATGAGCAAGCCGATGTCATTCGCGCCTTTGTCAAGTCAACCAATGGCCGTGTTCCCGTCATTGCGGGAATTACAGCCGAGGGAACCAAGGTAGCGGCTCTTGAGGCTCAGCGTGCCAAAGCCGCAGGCGCCGCAGCTGGTCTCCTCTACCCATCCCACGGCTGGCTACGCTTTGGTTACCAGGAAGGCGCACCACAGGACCGCTATAAGGTCGTTTATGAGGAGAGCGGCCTCCCCTTGATTCTATTCCAATACCCGGACGTCACGAAGGCAACTTATAACCTTCAGACCATGCTCGATATCAGCGCACAGCCAGGCGTCTTTGCCATGAAGAACGGTGTCCGCAACATGCGCCGCTGGGACGTCGAGATCCCTATCATCCGCCGGGAGCGTCCGGAGCTCCAGATCCTCTCTTGCCACGACGAATATCTCCTCCATACTGCCTTTGACGTGGATGGTTTCCTCGTTGGCTACGGAACTATTGCCCCAGAGCCCCTACTTGAAATGATTGCGGCTGGCAAAGCGAAAGATTACAAGAAGGCCCGCGAAGTCCATGACCGCCTTTTACCGTTAACCAGGGCTGTCTACCACCGTGGCTCGCATATGGAGGGCACTGTAGCATTAAAGCACTCGTTAATTGCTCGTGGTATTCTAGAGCATGCTACTGTGCGGTCATCGCTACTGCCTCTTGAAAAGGGTGCAGACAAGGAAATATATGATGCAATGAGCTCAACGGGACTACCAAAGGCTCCTAAAGCATACCAGGCATAGATATAAGGGACCCTTCCAATTCAAGGGGTAGAACGAGTGGGGATGGATAAGATTGTAAAATGTGGACACACATAATATAGCAATATAGAAAATTACTCTGCTGCATGTTTTTGGGACCTTTTTCCCGCTTTTATTTGTTGGTATTTTGTCTTCGTTACAAGGCAAACATAAATGCTAGAAGAGCTACCGAGCCTAGGAAGCCCCCCCGAATCTTGGATGCAGCACTAGTGTCCTCGGGCGGCTTCACTTGCTTGAGGGTGACGCTTCCCTTCTTTGAATTACACGTTACACCAAGACCATCGTAGTTAGTCGCGTTCACAACGCTGGCTGCAAAAGCATTGCAATCGAGATTTCCAGTCGAGTTGACACTAATTGAATAGCCCGTTCTATTCTCATACGGGAGATCAAAACTGGAATGTCGGATTAGTATCATCCGCTTGACAGCGAGGGGGTTATAGTATAGATGGCACTCACGCCTTGGCTTCAATCCAAATCCCCGTACTGTTTAGAGCGGGGAGATCAAGACTGGAATATGGGATTAGTATCATTTGCTTGATAGCGAGGGGGGCATAGATGGCACTCACGCGTCGATTTCGCCATGAAGTTGGATGCCGACACCGACATCGATCAGACTCGGAAAAGACAAATTCAGAGCTGGCCCTCCTGTAAAGTTGAGCTGTAGGATGGTTGCGACATGTTTGAGCTTCGGTACGTTCAAGCTTGAGATCGAAGCTGTATTGTCGATCACGAACCCCCACCTGGTGATATTAACAAGATCTGGTAGATCGATGGTGCTAATTCTGGTGGCTTCTATTGTAAATTCGCCGGTCGATTCGTCTTTGACATAACCACCCCGGAAAGCAATCGAAGTTAGTTCGGTTAAGCCAGGCATCGCCAGCGGCCCACTGAAGGCGGCTGCGGTCTGTAGGTTATATAAGTCTTTTTTGCAATCGGCAGGAACAGGTTCGTTTGTGCTATTGATTTTGAACCATTTTCCACCGTGGATAGTGCTATTGCACTCGTAGGTGGTTTCTGCACAGCGGACAAAGACGTCCTCAGGTATAAGTTCATTGAACTGTATGCTACCAGCAGCGCTACACTCCTTCGAATCTGGTATCCATAATTTAGTGGCGGAAATGGAAATAGGGTAAATAAGGGTAACACACCATAGGGAGTGAGCGCCGCCGCGAGGGTCACGATGGACACGTTGACGAGAAAGCCGGGGAGCCTCATTTTTCCAGACCTGTAAGCCGTCCTTAAAGATCAACCGCTCTGACGTGATATGTTATCTAAAGTCCCACAAAGTGTGAAGGGGATCACCCCACCTTTATCCCGTTGCGTCCATCGATAGGTAACAGAGTTAACCTAAGTATATTAATTCCAAACATGCTATAGTGGTTGGGTATGGGGAAGTTAGCGTCCCATGTAATCTGGGCAAGGCTGGGCGTTGGGGGCCGTTTGTAGTAGGGGATGGGAAACTCTTGGAATATTGGGATCAGACGACCGAAAGAGGCAACTAGTCCTTTGAGCTTGGCGGGAGCCTATTCTCTCCAGCGCTCATCACCTAGCTCAATTGCCGACCATAAAATATCTTTGTGCTGTTTCCGCTTCATTTTTACCTAATACTACCAGGACCCTGTTCAGGCAAGGGTTCCTCTGAGAGCCGCAATACCAATGTCGCGGTGAAGCGCAACGTCAAAAACGGACCCACTTTTTAGATGGCGGAGGTGATCGAGGTGGTCGCATCTCAAAATATGGGAAAAGGCAGCAACGTGCCCCACCACTGTATTTATGCTCACAGGCACAACACCATTTACAACACCATTCACAATATACCGTAAACCACAACTCATACCAGATGCCATGCTTTATTTCCCGCAAATTTGTTCATGAGACACCTAAGCGGAACTGGCAGAGGTCCCAAGTCTTTGTACTCGTTGTAGCTGACTTAAAACACTTGCGCAGTCTTATTGAGTTCACCAAGTTAGGTTTTGAGGGTATGCGACTTTGGTGGTACCGTTGGTAACAATGTCATCCGAGCTGGTCGGTGCGAGAAAGTTGTTAACTGCCAGCCGTGCATTATCGGAGATCTTTACTTGCTTTACTAACAAATTCTAAGACATTAACAGACCTGCGGGAACTTTACATTCATGTCAGGTTTATACTAGTGCTACCTCATTAGACACCGTATAATGTTAGTTACACGTCAGAGTCGATAGTTTTTCCCAACTGTCTCACTTTAATTGGAAGCGTAAATCAACCCCTCTATAGCTCATATCTACATATATAATGGCGAGTGTCAATACAGAAAATGCTTCCATTTTTTCGATACAGTTTCACAGCACAGAAACCCCATATAACACTCTCTACCAGCTCTTGTAAGCCACAAACCGCTCCCATCCTTACATGATAATTTATTATATTCTAACAAATCATCCATTCAGCCACCCTACCTCGATCAAACTTACACTACAATGCTATTCCTCAACTTAGCAGTGCTTGTCCAAGCAGCAACAGTGGCGTTGCAGGGGTTTCCTGACAAGGGAGCTCTATGCACTAACAACAGGGACTGTGGTCTGAGGTGCTACGAAGGCATATTCAATGTACAGCTAAATGAGGGCGAAGTCTCCTTTGTCTGTGCAGCACACAACCCTAAGAATACTGCGATATATTTTATAGGAAAATGCGAAAACCTTGTATCTGGGGGAGGTCCTGGAGATGCCTGTGACAGTGTGGAGGGTCAAAGCTGCCCGGAATCGACTGGCTGTCTTCTAGATCAGGGCAATGGTAACCTTGAGACCTTAAACAGCAGATAGTATAAGGAGTGCGATAGAATGGGAGGGGATGCAGTGAAAATAGAGGGATCTACCATTGGTTATAATGAGGGAATGGAGCAGATAGGGATAGGCTGCGAGAATTGGCAAGCTGGATCATCAAGTGACACGAGTTTACATTCACTTCACCTATCCTCATCTATCAGAATTTATTAGCCGTGAATCATATATCAAGGTCTACGTCCTCACTTCTCTCAAACTCCATCCCCAGCAACATCACATCCGACGGATCCCTCTAGAAATGGAGCATGATTAGAGCAAAATCAGTTGAGGGGGAGAGGGAGGAGAACATACAGAGCAACATTATCAGCTCCCATTCCACCCATACAATCATCATCCACCATCCTCGTAAACACCTTCTCCGCAATCCTCTGAAACCTCGTCTCTGGCCCTGCCTCGCCAAGCCACTTATCCAACAATAAGTCCCATTCCACGACGAAGCGCTCGCAGCGGGCGTCGGAGGAGAAATCGGTGCAGAAGAGAAGGAAGCCGAAATCTTCGTACTCAGTATCATCGATGAACTTCACTAGGAGTGTTCTGTTTCTATTAAGAAACGTGTGTATTGTTCTGTCTAAATATTGCTGCCTAAAGTTACAAGAAGTGAAGCTAAGGTCGTGTGACCATATTATAACACAACCCCTACCTCTTCCGCTAGCGGTGCCAAGGCCGAATATGGAAAAAGCAGACCTCATCTGCAAATAATTGATTCTGCATCGGATGATGAGCGTACCTTTTCCTATTAGGATTATTGCCGTGAAACATGTGCTTGTCCTCGAAAAGATCCCAGATTTAATTTGCATAAGCAAATGTACTATAACATCAACCTCCCTAAATAGCACCTATCAGCCACCACAACGAGCTAGCACTCCGCTAGTTCCTCCTCTAGATTCTCATCAAGATACTAGATCTCCTCCAGTTCCTTCCTATCAACTATGCTCGCTTCTAGCCTATCTGGGTAATCGCAGAAGGCCTCTCGAACATACGGGGGAGTGACTCTAGTGAAGGTCTCGGACTCACCAGAGCGGTCTGCAAACCTGCTCTCATTCTCAACCACCCATGGTTGATCGACATGCCCTTATGTCTCCCCCTCCATCACACCCTCGCACAAGCACGCATACGCACTATCAGCATCCTCCGTGCTAACCTCCTCATTACCTAACCGTATCCTAATCTAGAACAGACTCGAGACCCAGCTTAGCGCCTGGAGGTGCAGCGGGCCGAGCATATCCTGCGGCACACCCCGTGGTACCTTAGCGAGGCCATCGGGTGGACAATCCGCCATGCGCTAACGGAACGGCTAGAATTCTTATTTCGATTATCAAAGCGACGAGTAGGCCAGATGGAGCTTACGATCCTCCCACGTCACCAAGTGCGAGATATTCGCGCATGAGATCCTTCTTTTAGTCATCACGAGGTTTCCTGATGTGGGGTCTAAGTTTTCTTGCATGATTAACCGTTTATGTTCTGTATATGCCTGCTGCTTTTTTTACTTTGCTTTCTGGTATCATAGTTGTTTAGGCGAGTTTACAGGCAAGTTTTCACGATGGGATAGAAAGTCACTAGATGGAAGGAGTTCTTATGAATTTTGAAAGGCGCATCGTTTTTGACTTTTTTGTTTTAGGGAGGTCTATTAGCGTTTAAAACGAAAAGTTAGGCGTGTATGGATTTGTGGAGTTGGAAGATAATGAGTGATGGGTGTGAATCCTTCGCGGGGGCGAGATCTTTCTAGGGGCGGGATCTTTCGTAAGGCCGAGATCTTTCGCGGGGCCGAGATCTTTCGTGGGGGCGAGATCCTTCGCGGGGGCGAGACTCTTCGTGGAAGAAAGATCCTTCGCGAAAGCAAGATTAACAAGTGCATGTATCATTAAATACTATGGACTGTAAATCTTTCGCGGGGCGAGATTGCTTCCATAACGCCATGTCTTCCCGAGTTAATCAGCCGTGCCGCTTCTCATCGCTCTATTTGCCAACTTACATATATCCTCTACATATCTAACGCATAACATTCATATGTAAGCCCTGGCTTAGGTTTGCTAGCTAATGACTATGCTTCAAAATAGTAAGCACTATATTATATAAATAGTTAGTTGTTAAGCACGGCGCAGAAGAGTATGATGGGCCTTAGTAAGAGAGCAAAAGGGGGAATGGTAGGTTACGTAACAGCCCAAAATTAACCCCTGTAAATGGATGCGATGGACGAGGCGCATATGCAACAGAGTTGCATCTGTAGAAAGGGAGTCTGTTAACTAGGCTATTTTGACCTCTACTATCATGCCACCATACCATCAAAAGTCCTTCCAGAGAATCCTTCGAGCTATACGCACGTATAATTAACAAGGTGCTAGTATCCCCCGTCATCTGTTTAACTATAAGAGCAGCGGATTTCGCTCAACTCATCACACATCTAAGAACAACAACCTCAGAGAACAGTTCTTCTTCCATTTCCTCACCTTTAGAACATCATGAAGCTTCTCGATCTCCTCTTTGTTGCTTTTGCACTTAGCGGTGTCTCTTCCGCTATTCCTACGACTCAGGAGAATACACTAGAACCTATCACCGGAACTATTATTTCTACAGGTGTCACTGAGAATGGTGAGCCCTACACTATCACGGAAGACTTCGTTGATTTGACCGATGCGGAGTGTAAGTTGCCTATTACTTGTTCCACTAAGACAGAGCCTCCAACCAGTTTTGAATCTAATGACTCTCATATAGTGGCACTTTTCGAGAACTACCCTGGAAATAGCACCTCTTCCCTCGACAAACGGGCAAACGGCACCAATGGGAACTGCAACCAATGGCATAGCGGTAAATATTGCTACTGCGGCGGCGAAATTTCGAACCGTGGGGATTCCTACCATGGTAGCCAGGATTTCTGCAAGAAGATTAAGTTTCAGAAATTCCGGAACGGATCACTCCACCATGTCAAGTGGCTACCGACGGTCAAGATCGAGTATTGGGTTACGAACAGTTGTAACGAGGATAGATCTGTTGGAGACAACTGTGGGGATATCTTTCTTGCCCTCATCGATTGGTGCGATTGGGGCTGGATGACTACTAAGGGAGGACATCACAAATATAACACCTGTCTTCAGTTCAGGTTCGACGTGAATAGTCGTTAGAGTAGAGCCGGAGACGACTGAAGGAAAAGAGTGCCTTATTATCCAGGAGCTTAGATAGCACAATAGCATACATTTCCAGTCGCCTGCCGCATAACATCTATCCCTAAGTGGCGAAAAAACCACGGTGCCGAAAAAAATGATGGATACTTCTTCAACTTTGGGAATCTTATATTCTACACACTTATCGATATCCCTTACATTGCTGCATAAATTGTATTCTATAGCTACTCTTGAACACCCTAGACCGCTCTTTTAAGAAAATTATGTCTGCGTTGTCACTATCACACCTGATTTATAGAGGGCATGCTTTTATTGCGAAACAGGGTTTCCCTACTATAGCTCTACTACTTAGCTCTTACTACTCCCAAAACATATTAAGGGATTGTACCTGACTATACCAACATCTTCAACGCTCACAGCCGAGCGGGAGATCGTCGTCATGCATGTGGTGCCAGCGCGGGGCAAATTCATGCATGGTTGCCATAGAAATAAGGGCAAGAGATCTAAATACCCTGCACAACCTAAGGTGTGACAGTCCAAAATTATGTCATCAGCTTTCCTGCTCCTTCCGCTTTCCCTCAGCGACAAGTACAAACATGGCTCATTTAAGCATAAATTTTGAATATCTCATGCCCACTATGACCTTCAGAATTCTTGGGATGGGCTCGAGCAGTAGGAGGGTGCCACATCAGTCAAGCACTCATCTTAACCCAGTTAGGCAGGAGCACAGACGATTTTCGCGCCTGGAAGCCGACACATCCGTATAACTCTCAAGCCAGAGAGGTTCTGTGATAATCACAGTCACTGGTGGGAAATCCGCAAACTTGTGCACCAAGGCATTGAATTCCAGAGCGTTGTCTCAACATGAAGCGGTAGAGTTACTCGGAGCCATTGAAAGGGGGCACTGTTCCAACGACGGAACATTAGCATTGGCAGAGAACATTGAGTACTCGAGAACATTCGGCATGACAGCTGACGTATACAGATGTGGAATTGAATAAGCTCATATACACCCTAAGTCTCATCCAACCCTTGTTTCTGCCAATCCTACAGTATGTCCCTGTCAATTTGAACATATAAAGTAAGCCCAACTTTCTAGGGCTTACTCATCCCCCTCATTGTAGTCCTACAAAAGTCCTCAGCCGCAATATTACTCTCCCCCGCAGTTAAAAGCACCCCACCTCCCCCCAAACAAACCATCACTCTCTCCTCAACCCCCCCCTGGAACCCAACAATGGCCGCCCCCAAACCAACCCTCTTCCTCGTCCCCGGCGCCTGGCACCCAAACACCTGCTTCGCCCCCATCACCACCTACCTCTCTATCGCCGAATTCCCCATCCACCTCGCCACCCTCCCCTCCCTCAACCCCGCCTCCCCCACCATCTCCGCGACCTGCACCGCCGACGCCCTAGCCCTGCGCGTGCAGCTGCTCCCCCTCATCGAGGCGGGCAAGGACGTCGTCGTCGTGTGCCACTCGTACGGCGGAATCCCAGCCGGCGGCGCGGCTTCCGGTCTAGCAAAGACAGAGCGTGCAGCGCGTGGCGAGGAGGGGGGAGTGCTGGGGCTTATCTATCTGGCTAGCTTTGTGGTTCCTGAAGGGGTGAGCCTTGTTGAGTTTCTCGGGGGGCAGCATGCGCCGTACGTGCAGCAGAATCAGGTACGTGGTTTTTCAAAAATTCGTTCTTCCTTCTTTGAATTACTACTCTCTTCCTTACCATCTATCAACCCACTCCCTTCCTACTATCAAACTACCACCCGACTAACCCCTGCACCCCAGCCCTCCCCCGGTCTCTGCGAAGTCTCCCCCGTAATCCCCGTCCTCTACGCCGACGTCCCCACCCCTCTAGCCAGCACACTCGCGGCGTCGCTCCTCCCACACTCGCTTTCGGCGTTCGATTCCGCGGCGCCAGCGCCGGCGTGGGCTGAGCCGGCGTTCGCGGGGAAAATTGCGTTTCTGAAGTGCCTCGCGGATGCAGCGCTGCCGACTTTCTTGCAGGATCTGTTCATCAGTAAGAGCGGCGTGCAGTGGTTGGTGACGGAGGTGGAGGCGGGTCATAGTCCCTGGGCAAGTAGGCCGGAGGAGGTGGCGGGGATTATTGGGGGGTGGGTAGAGGTGTTTGCTAGGTAGAGGTACAGAGTGTGAGAGATTGAAGTTGAGGGAGCAAATTGGGCAGGCGGAGCTTAACGCTCTCATTGCTTCCATACCTACAGCATGGCAGCTGTAATTGCTGCAAATGGCTTACACGCAGAATATTAAGCATCTAGTATGGATTTATATAATCAATTAGGTACCTACTTGACTCTCTATTCTACTAAATTTATTGCTCTCATCCTCGAGTGATCGCAACGCGTGAGAAATAGTACTTTGGTCAATAATTGCCAGGCCAGCCTAGTTGTTTTCATACTCCATAAATCGGAACTCTGATGTCCGAGCCCATAACAAGTGATGTTGTTTCGGCTGAATATAGTAGGGGACGTGAAAGATGCCGGGAAGTAAGTGCAGGGCTATCAAATGGCCCTTTATTACTTTTCTTCTATTTCGCAGCTATAATAACGCTCTATTGCTAGCTCATTAACCCCGCAATTTACACACTTGCTTATAAGAAGTAGGTTGAGACGCCCCTGAGCTGATTTCTTTTTCTTGGTACTACAAGTAGTTTCTTAGACAGGCCTCTCATTTAGCAACATGTTTTTCCAAGCTCTACTGTTATTCCTCCTCGAGCAGCTCCTGTCCGCAGCATCGTCAAGCGAGATAGCACACGGTTTGACGGCTGCATTTTCAAGTGCCTGTATGAGTCTAGCTACTTCTTTAAAACTGCCAAATGTGATAGTCAATTTCGCGCATTTGTAAGTTTTGTTCTGAAATCTACCATTGTATTACAGTTAACGCAACTAGCGTGCCGGCTGGGACTGTTCTCCAATTTCAGCAAGATGAAAACTGTATGTGTATTCACGGCCTGTAATAATACCGTTGGCTGCTTGTAGTTACTGAGATAAAACTTAGTGGTCACCTGCAATCGCCCGAACCAGACTATCGCGTCTGATATCTGCCGAGTGGCCATGTATGTGTCGACATCAAGTCGGTCAGGAATTACTTTAGAAGCATGGCTGCCTTCTACTTGGACAGGTATGATTGACTACCTACCTGCTATGGTTCGGTATGCTTATTAGTACCAGGTCGGTTTTTAAGCACCGGAAACGGTGGCCAATCCGGCTGCATCCAATATGAGGATTTAGGATATACCTCCAGTTTAGGATTTGCAGCTGTTGGTATGTAAAGACAGCTGAGATATATCTACGGAGTAATTTCATGCTGATCAAGAAACAGGAGTTAACCATGGTCATAACGGAACTAGGTAAATTCTAAGATATAACCTTATGTACAGTACTCACCATTATCAGTGGCTTGTCATTTTATCACAACCCAGACGTTTTAATCGACTTCTATCGCTCGTAAAGACATCCCATTTGCAATTCTTCCTACGCTCACTCTACTATGGACCACAGTCTCAAGGCTTCAAACCGGCGTCACAGTTGGAAAAGCGCTGACTCAGATCTTCTATAAACGCGCACACACGAAAAGCTATTACCTAGGCTGCTCAACTGGTAGTAGACAAGGCTTAGAATCGGCACAGGTATTTCCCGAGACCTTCGACGGCATTTTAGCCGGCGCACCGGCAATTGACCGCAATCGTTTAGTTGCGTGGTCAGTTTTTCTGGTATTCGCAAATTGCACGAAGAATAACTGGTTTTAGGAACGGTCACTTCTTCGGCATTATCGGCACTGCGAACTTGTCGGATTTCATCTCGGCTGCGCTCTGGAATACTATCCATATCGAGGTCTTGCGGCAATGCGATGGACTTGATGGCGTTGTCGACGGCATCATAGAAGATCCGAGCCTATGCAGTAATTATCTCCATCTCTATATCTTTTGCATTCTATGGAATTGACCACGAGCTCGTAGATCCGAGACCAGAGGCACTACTGTGTAAACCCCGGAACTCTATTAATTGCTTGACTCCAAATCAAGCGCAGATTGTCCGGAATGTATTTTCGGATTATATTGCAGAGGATCGATCATTAATATTCCCGCGCTTGCAACCGGGTGCAGAGTTGACGTCTGTGTCTGATCAATTCTCAGGTAGGAGATCCATGCAAGTTATATGATAATCGTACGACACTGATATGATAATCAAGGAATGCCTTCAAAATATATAGGGGTCAGTAACATCGATATCTCCATGATAACAAACAGAAACTAACTAGTGGTAGGATTGGTTTAAATACGTAGTGTGAGTACAAGTACCGCCTGCTTTTAATAGATTAACTAAGAAAATATCACTAACCAACTCTTACGTCTGGATACGAAAATATCACCTGGGACCCCTCCAGCTTCAACATCAAAGACGCCACCTACTCCATCGCCCTCAACCCCGCCAACGTCGAGTCCTTCAAAGGTCCATCTCCCCACCCTCCCCCAATCCACCCCGCCAAATCCAAACTAACCCCTCCTCCCAGGCAATCTCTCCGCCTTCCGCGCCCACGGCGGCAAAGCCCTCATCTACCACGGCCAACAAGACTCGACCGTGACCTCGCCCAACACAGCGCGCTACTACGACCACGTCTCACGCACGATGGACCTCGACTCGTCATCGCTCGACGATTTCTTCCGCTACTTCCGCATCGGCGGCATGAGCCATTGCTCTGGGGGACCGGGGGCCTGGCGTATTGGTCAGACGGCGTTGGGTGCGTTGGGGGGGGAGGGGGGAGCTGGGTCAAATGTCTTGGCTGCGCTGGTGGAGTGGGTTGAGAAGGGGGTGGCGCCGGAGACGGTTAGGGGGGTGGGGTTTGTGAATGTAAGCTGCTGGGTGCGTGTGGTTCTGGTAGTGCAGGGGCTAATTGTGTAGGGTACGGTGGCGCTGGGAGTGGATTTCGTGAGAGAGCATTGTAGATATCCGTTGAGGAATGTTTGTGTGGACCCGAAGAGGTATAAACATCCGAAGAGTTGGAAATGTGTTTAAGGAGAAGAGATGCATTCATGTCAATGTTTGCATTCTTTAACGATGTTTACATTATTTCCCTCTATCCAACTACTCTAACCCCTATCACCTTATCACCATCTACTGCGCCTTAAAAATAGCCGTAGAGTTAGCCAAAAAAGTGTCAAACGCTCCATCACCCGTAGTCGGGGTAATCGAGTTGGGGATGAACGTCCCATTATCACTGCTATCATTAACAGTCTTCGCCAACGTCTTATTAACCCACGCCTGCGCGACATCAAACTCCCTACCAGCCTTCCCCTTATCCCCCTTATCAAGGGCATCAAGCATAGCGATCAAATGCTGACAAGCAGTCGCCCACTGCATCGCCACCGTCGACCAGGGCGCCACATCCGCCGCGAACCCCTTCATCGCCATTCTTGGCAGAACACCGGGAAGCGTGGTCAGCAGCGCGAGACGGTTTCGCAGCGCCGCAGTACCATCCTTCTTCCCATTCCCCCGCTTCGACGACGCCTTGCGCGCGGTCCAAAACGCCGCAATATCCTTGTTAAGAAGCGGTGCATTGACAATGGCGTCGCGGTATGGCCAGTTCTGGTTAAGGTCCGCGAACGCGATGACCGCGTCGTGGACACCTCTCCCGCTGCCCGCGAGCTCCTGGAGGATGGCAGCCATAGAGGCGTCGGCGTCGTAGGCGGGGCCGTTCCAGGTGTAATCTGCGTAGTTGGCGAGGGCAGGCATGGACGCGTATGCTTCTTCCATGGGGTTGGATGTGAAACCGATGAGGTTCTTGTAGAGCTGTGGGTCACGGCCGGTGAGCGGGTTAAGGAAGAGGCGGTTCCTCCTGCCATCGTTGACGGGGAAGTTGTCCCAGATGTATAGGTTGTCAGTAACGTAAGTCTTGCCTGCCTGGACGACGCTGGCGACGGTGATTTGATCGCTAAAAACGCCTTCGCCGGTCCATTGGACGCGGATTTTCTTGTCGAGCATGGTTCCGAACTCGCCTTTGTAGGGGTCCGGTGCGCTTCCTGCGTAGTTGGTTGGGACGATTTGGAGGTCGTTGAGGGCGTTTGGCTCGATATACTCTTTCTGGATACGGTTCAGGTAGAAGGCTTGGGCGTCGGCTATCCAGTGCCAGTTGCCCGTATCGTTCCACCTCTGCTTGTCTGAGTCGCAGTGGAACTCCAGAGGGATGTCATCAAGTGCAATGTAGAAGCTGGTGACACCCAGCTCGCGGATCTGATCAAGCTTGGTGGTGGTTACGTTCAAGTCCGCGTCGGAGGAGTAACACACGTCCCAGCCTGGTGAAAGCGCAAACGTAAAGTCAACGTGGTTGGCGTTGGCCGTCTCAATAAGCTCCTGGAGCTGGGAAAGCGCGTCGCCGCTGTAAAGCGTGCGCCAATTAGCACGGAGTAGGGGGTCGTCTTTAGGAGTGTAGATGTAGGTATTCATCTTATGCTTCCCATAGAAGACGAACTGGTCCAGCCGCGCCTGGTGAGACCAAGGAAGGCCATAAAACCCCTCAATCGAACCACGGATCGACATGAGCGGCCAATCCCGCACTTTGACGCCTGGAATACAGTGCCCGGTAACAAGCTGACGCAGCGTCTGCGACGCGTAGAAAGCGCCGCGCGCGTCTACACCGTTCAGGACAATTGTCGGCTGGCGCTTGTAATTTCCAGATGCGAGGACATAGCCATCGGCGACGAGTCCATCCGCCGAGTTCCCCGTGAGCGCCTTCGCAATAGCGGCAGCATCTCCGTCGTCCGCCTCGGTCCCAATGAAGATTTGCGTACCATGATTAGACGGCTTAGACGCGATGACGGGTTTACCACCAGCGGAAACCACAGCAGCCTTGACTGCGTCGATTGTAGCGGAGTCCGTGGCATTGCCGGTCACGATTGTTACAGGGCCGTTGAGCGCGATGTTCGATCCGGTCGATGATATCTGTTGTGGTGGGGGCCAGATTGCGGGGAGAGCTTGCCGAGTACCCCTGTCGACGCGGCCGGCATTTGCAGCATCAACCGGGCCAAGAGTGAGGAGGCCGACGAGAAGCGCCCGGAGGCACGTGATTTGATGGAGATGAACCATGGTGGTGTTGGAGGCTTGGAGAGTCGGAATAAAACATCATTACAGACATGTGCTATATATACTAAAAGTAAGTAGGCAGGTTGAGATTTACAACCCCGCATCCGACAGTTGACGGGAGTGCCTGTGGGAGCGGCCAGACCACTACTACCCCGCTACGGGAATAATCTAAGCATTTCTTTAACTCTCTCTCCTACTGTAAAAGGTATAAATAACAGTTCACGTTGCATCCATTACCCTCCCTACCTACAACGTTGCAATCTCAGTCAAGCTTGAAAGCTCATAGACAGCAGCTATTGCAGTGCTAGCAAGGGTAATAGTGAGGATCTTCAACTTTACTAACTAGATTTATTCCTCCGTACGTCATTCAAGCCGTCCGAACTGCCCAAACTAAATTCCCCCGAAGGCCCTAATTAAGAAAACCAATAGCTCTAAGGTCCAAATATATGCAAGTGTTATAGCATAACTATCACTTCGGTTTTATGTTGTATTTATCATGAGCCGAAGGCCTGATAAAAACCCGGAAACTCGGCTCCGCTGTCCCCGCCGGGCTGTTGGAGGACCCCACTTACAACCTCATGTCCCGTTGATAGATAAAATGCCCACAGCATTAGGAAGTACTGATAAAGCAGTCAGACCTTGAATAAATCATGTCCTTCGAAGATATACCAGCAGCTAACATGCATATTCACTAGACATGACTCAGTGAAACGTTATTCCAACTACCCCTCTTTTCCCACGTCTAAATCACCAACATCCTCTATCTTCCATCACTTCAATGCAACAAACGAAGTGTTAGCATGTTAGCATTGAGATAACTAACACTCAATACCCGAAGCCGTAACCGTAAACATCAAACTATTAGCTAAACAGCTTTCCAAAACGCAACGTTATGGCAAGCTAGACTAGTTGTCTGCCGTCCGCAGGAAATATTCTTCCTCCAATTATCCAGGCTCGGTGCTAGAATCGCTGCCCGAATCTAGGCATAGCTGATCGCTACCATTGACAGATGCCACTTGATAGTAGCAACGTATGTTTTTCCCCTCCCGTTCGCGGCCCGTGGAGACGACGTTGGCGTAGGCTATCGAGTGGGAAGGCGGCGTAGAACAGCAGGCCGGCCTCGACCCCCTTTGTTTTAGCCACTCCCACCTACCCGTGTCTGCCCCCGCTGCGCCCCCTCTCTGCGAACCCCTCACGACATGCAACGTACAAGAACCAAGAACAATACTCACGGGGGAAAAAAAAGAATACTAATATTACCCCATCCTATCCTATCCTATCCCTATCCCCATCCCAAACAACGCACGCATTAAACAAAAATGCATATAGCATACTCTCAAAAAACCCCACAACTGCTCCTGTCATTACCCCCCTCATTTTTCAAACCCCGACCCCCACCCCCTCTCCCACATCCCCTCTCCCCCAACAAAAAAAAATATTGTATGTATACCATCCTCTTTCTCACTCTCCCCTCACAGCAACCCCATCCCCAAAACCACCCCCCCAGCAACCACCGCCGCCACGACACTCCACGTCTTCCCCGCAACAGCGCCACTCGGGTTCGTCTCCAGTCCCTGACTAAACCCCGTCTCCGTGCTATCCGCCGCATCCGCCGCCGTCCCCGACCCATCCTGCCCATCCCCGGACGAAGTCGTTGATCCACTCGCATCCGGATGTCCATCCGTCCCCGGTCCCGCGCCATCCAGGCCTGGGATGACCGCCACGCCCGAGCTGGCGGACGGGTCGGCGCTGCTGCTCCCCGAGTCTGCGTAGTTGGCGTTCATGTCTGTGCCGGTGCCGAGGAGGGATTTGAGGATCGTGGGCTTGTCGCCGTCGACGACGGTGTCGTTGGTGCCGGCCTTGTTGTTGTAGGTGTACGATGTCTTCTTGTTGGTGCCGGGCGCGTTGTCGGCGTTGAAGCACTCGACGCTCACGCTCTCGAATTGGGCGTAGTAGTACCCGTTGGCCTGGATGTCCGGGCCGGACCAGTCGATCACGCCGCCGGCCCAGTCGATGGTGCCTTGGGCGTTGGAGGCGAGACCGCCAGGCCAGATGGAGATTTGCACACGCGCGGGGGTCTGGGGGAAGGCCCATTGGTTGGAGGTTGCGTTCCAGGTGTCCTTGCGGAGCTTGGTGCGGCCGACTTGGCCGTCGACGAGCCAGGTGATGGAGTCGGGGGTCCAGCGGATCTCGTACTCGTGGTAGTTGTTGAAGGTGTCGGAGAGGGAGATGTTGCCTCCTTCTTTGTCTGGTGGGGGTTAGGATTAGGTCGAGTGTGGAGCGGTTTGTCGAAGGAGACTTACAGTTCGTGATACCCTGGTAATAATAATTCGTCTGCGCCGTCTTGAGATCAACACCAACATACTCATAGTCAATCTCATCCTTAACATCCGACAGCAGAATAAACGCCGTCACCACCCCCTTCCCCCTCCCCGTCTTAAACTTCGCCTTCACATTCCCATACCACATATACCTCGACGTCGCCAGCACCGTGCCCACCGTACTCGGCGCCATCGTCAGCAGCAGCGAATTCTTATATGGCACCGCGCTCCCATCCATCACCCAGTCCGTCTTGGACGGGTCACCAAGGTACTTCGTTTTCGAGGTGATGCCGGTCATGTCCTTGAATGTGTATGTCTTGTCCTGGCACACCGGCGCCGGCACGCACGAGTCGAGGCCGAAGGAGGAGAGGGGGTCGCAGCCGCCGAGGCAGTAGGCGCCCTTGCCGCAGTCGCCGTATTCTATGGGTGGTCAGCCAGTCGGTCATGGTTGGGTTATTCTAGGGAGTAAGTAAGAAAACTTACGGGAGCAGCAGGGCTGGGATTCCGGGCAGTGGTTATCCAGATCGCACTTCGTCGCGGCATGTACCGTAGCGATGGCCGCGAAGGCGGCCAGGAGGAGTGAAGAGCGGACCATGATGTATTATGTCGTATGGTTCCGCGGCGATTAGTTGTATATATGTATGTACGAGAAAAGTGTCGCTTCGTCCTTCGCAAAATCGAATTCCGAAGCAGCAGCCCAATTTATCCGTCGTCAAAAAGACCGTCCTCAGACACGTCGAGCAGCAAACGGAGACCCTTGACCCTTGAGATATATGTGAACCCCCAAACAGCTTCAGACGCGAAATGTAGTGTTCGCGTTTTCGTGCCTTAGTCGTCGGGCTTTCGCAAGTATTATTCAATCCCTCTTCTTATCCCTTGTCCTTCTCTCTTTACACCTCTCTCCCTCTGTCTCTCTGAAATCCAAAAATTAAGGCGTATAAAACGAACAAGGCGCTAACGAGTGTCGAGCCACAAACGAGTGTATTGGCGTATTAGTATATATAAAAACGAGAGACGCAGGCGACGATGCCGGGGAGAATATCTCGTCGTCGTCGGAATGTTGTGGGATGGAGAGAAGGAGGAGGAGAGGAGAGGAGAGAGATTCGGGGTAGAGGTGGGAGGGTGAAAGAGGAAGGCGCACCACCCACCCGCTGTAATAGTAATGGGTAATCCAATCCGTGCACGCTGGGTCGCACTTGCACCAGCGATTTACAGTAGCACGGTAGCACGGTAGCACGAGAAATAGTTAATTTGCCTAGAGAAGAGACGCGATACCAAGAGAGGTGCGATGTGACGAGAAGGGCTTGGGGGGGCTTGGGGGGTGGGAATTAGGTATTGGATACGGGCAAATGCACCTTCGTATAAGCCGGCACGAGGCGTACATTCTACCCTCTCTCTCATCTCCCTAATTCTGCCTTACGAAGACGAAGAAAAAAGAATCTCATCTCCCCCCCCCATCGCGTGTGTAACTGCTTCACTTTCCCCTTCCCCTCCCCCATGCCCTCACCGCTGAACTTTCCACTTGTGCTCCGTACCACACGATAAACACCAGATGAAGATCCCCATATCCCCCTTCTCCATCATCCACCCCCTCCCCTCCTTCCTCACTAAACATAATTTACTACACTAACCACAGCTCTAGCGCGTTCATACTAAAAGGACCCTTCACTCTACCCCAAACCCCCCCACATCTTGACATTCGACAAGCCGAAGCCGTCCAACCAGCGGCCACCTATGCCAGCTATGCCCACCTTTCTGTTCCGCCCTAAAAATGGCATCGACCCGGCCGCCCGTAATTCCGACAAATTTTGTTACTGGTGCACTGTACTGCTATTAGGTTAGTTAGCGGATACGAGGTGCTGGGTGGGGTGGTCATGGCGTATGTACGGGAGGGAGGCCCAAGTCACGGCACGAAGTCAAAGTCACGACACCTGGTAAGCACGGGACTGGTACGAGGTACGAGGGATTTGCTGTACTGTCTGTGGGTTGGTGGTACTAGCACTAATAAAGTAGAGTAGGGCACAGAGACAAGCAGACCAGCAGGACAAGAACACGATGCCATAGGACAACACCGACGACGACAACAACAAAGACACCACGCCTGTCTGCCCGCCTACCTGCACAATAGCCTAGCCTTCATGCAAGTCATCGCCCTGCATCCATCCATCTCACCACCCGGTATTCCCAATTCCCCAAGACACGATCGTCGGGTTAGTAGTAGTTGGTAGTCTGTTGTGCTTGCTCCTCGCTCCAAAAGTAAAAGTGCGTAGTAACACAGAAGCTAGGGCTTAGATCAGATCATCCCCAGCCCGGTTCGGTCGTTTGTGAGTGCGTCGTTTGTCTCTCTGCTGTGCTCCCAACGAATTTATCGGTATGTAATCAATCATACGACCCAACGCAGCGAGGAAGAGATGGGGGGAGAGAGAGACAGGCAGGCTGGATGCACACTCAACGCACTGCATTCCAGCCTCACAACAGGAAAGTCAACTTCCCCAGTCCAGTCCCAGTCCAGTCCCAGTCCCTCCTCCCACCAATCCACCAATCCACCATCTCCTCCCTCGCCGCCTCGCGCCGCGCCCGTCGCCCCGCGGTGAATTGCAGCAGTATGTACGGTACAAATACCCATCCTTCACAAGTACAGTGAAGGTGCAGTACTCACCCCCTTCTCCATATGTACGTACAGTACCACCCAGCGCCTGTGCGTGCATCATCGTCGGCAAAGGTACAGTACAGACAGGCGCTGTACAATACCTCCCCATCGGCGGCTAGTGCTTTGGAAGGGTAGCTGGTAGTGGTAGTAGTGGTGGTGGCCCATGTACTCTGCGTTACAGCGCGGGTACAAAGCTAGTGGGCGACAGGTACTGGGGAGTTACTCGGGGAAAGGCACTTTACAACACTATAGCTGTGGGTTGGCTGGTAATACTACTAACGCTGGTGCGTGTACTTGCGGTTGATCGACCATGTCCAAGCTCCTCTTATAGCTCGAGAGAAGCTTGAGGATGTATAGAGGGGAGATGTGTGAATTGAAGAGGGAACCCCTCGTGAGGATGGGAAGGGTGTGTACCCCGCCATCGACGGCGACGACACCTCAAATCTCCCCAACTTCACATAAATGCCTCCTGTTGACGCCGAGATCCCCAGGGCAGGAGGGAGTTCACGTTACTTCATTATAGAGGGAAAGCGCGAATGACATAACACAACTCCTCCATAGCGCCTTCCCGACAAACTTTAATCCCCTCGTCGTCCTCCCTTCACGCCACGTCCGTCCGTCAGTTCTGGAAGGCGCCGATGAGACAACCTCCCCATAGCGCCTTCCCGATAAACCTTAATCCATCCCATCCCAATCCCATCCCGTCGTTCCTTCCCTTTGGTCTTTGGTCAAAGTATAATAACCCCCCGCGCCTTCCCCTCCACCTCACCCTTCCAATCGTTTCGCGGCTTCCTTCCCCCCCTCCACACGCCCTCATCCCCGCCCTTTCACGTCTCGCCCCCCCCCCTTCCCCTTGCGTCATCCGCCCCAATAGAAAAGGAGTTTCGAGTAGCCTCAAAAAACGGCCCAAGAAGGTACATCATATAATATAGGGTATACATCATGGGACCAGTATAGTAACTTCACGCCGCTTCACGCATCTCTATCACTCTTACGACTTTCGGCAGCCTCAATGAGTCCCATCTTGCTATTTCACCATTCTTTCGTTTTACGGCCTACTTTCAATCCACCTGATCCAATCAAAAAAAAATCAAAAATCTACGAGCACCACGATCTTCTCTTCTTCTGCCGTCCTACTTTCATATCCTTCCCATACAACAGCAGCTTCACCTTCAATCCCATTCACTATCCTCCTCTCATCATCCTCCTCAAGTGGTAAATAAACACGCGTCGTCCGTACTTTCGTCGGAAAAAATAAAACAAAAATAACAGCATGCATTAAAAAAATAAAATACTCGAATACAAAATAAATAGATTTTACTCTCAATAAAAACGGAGGGAAAATAAATAAATCACATCATTAAAAACGTCCACCACCGCACCGCCATCATCAGAAAAAATAGGTTCAAAGTAGGCACACAGAAAGGGTTAGTAAAAAAAGACCACACATCTCTCAAAAGAAGAAAGTTTTTGTTTTTCTCAAAATTCTCCCATTTGGATTCCGCATTTCCCATATCAAAATCCCCCATCATCCCCCCCCAGCCTATCCCTAACCACCCAACTAACTCAAATCGTTTCAACAAAAGCATAATGAATCCCCATGCCCCCATCAATTCCGCCTGCCTTCCTCCATTCCTCCCATCCATTGAACGAGAACTAACTGCCAACACGAAAAAAAGCAAATAAACGAAAACAAAAGTTAAAAATCAAAAAGACCTCCCTCCCTTCCATCCCATCCTCCCCAATTTTTGCGAAGTGTTGTTGATCGTTCGTTCCTCAGAAACCAATGAAAAAAAGGGGCGAGAAAAATAAAATAGAACAATGGAAAAAAACCAAATTTCCGGCGCCGAGAAGAACAATTTCCGAGTAGACGTGAAGTGACGTGTGTTTGTCAATCGAGGGGTCCAAGTCGAAAAGGACAAAAACAAAATAGGAAAAAAACGGTTGATTACAACGGGATGGTCCTTTGGACACGCCGGGAATGAAAAAGGGGGCGCGTGACTTTGGAGGGCGTGGGCAAGATGTGTGTATATATAGCGTCTGACGAAGGGGAACTTTAAGTCTTGTTCCCGAAATGCTCCTTCGCGTATTGCTCGCATGCCTGAGAGGGGATGTTAGACTCTGGTTTCTGTTCCCCTGCTGGTGATGGGGGTATTGAGGGGCGGGAAGAGTCGAGTGACATCCACAGGGACAAACAACATACCTTTGCGGGCTTCCCGACCTTCTGTCCGATGACCTTCCACTTGTTGGTCTCGTATTCCTTGATTGCATTCAAGAGCGCGGCGCTCTGCTATTAAGTCAGCGCCAGGGTTACGTGTGGGTGGGGGGATGTGGGCATCTACCTCATCTTCGGCAAACTCCGCATAATGCATGTCCTGGAAATCGACGTCAGTTCTGGGGGTTCTCTAAAAACACACACTCTCGGGAGCGTGCAGGGGCAAACGCGGGGATGACAAACCTTGTACCAATGCTTCTTGACACTACCCTCTGTCCTGCTGGGGAAGGTCTTTGCAATCTCAGCCCAGCTGTTGCCCGCCTCGCGCATGTTCTTGAGACGCTGCTCCTCGGCGGCGGTCCAGGGGGTGTTGGTGCGGCTCTTCTTGGCCGGGGGCTGCATGGGCGGCGGGGCAGCGTTAATGGGCTGCTGCTCCTCCATCACGGCGGTTGGCGGGGGTTGGAGGGGCATGTTGGGGCTCTGCTGCGGCGGGATGAGCGGGGCCTGGAGGCGGCGCTTGCGGGCAGCCGAGGCGGACAGGTGCTCAGGCGGGGGGAGGAGCTGCTGCTGTTGCTGGGCCGCCTGTTGTTGTTGTTGTTGTTGCTGCTGCTGTTGCTGCTGTTGTTGCTGATGCTGCTGCTGCTGCTGATATGGGTTGCCCATGCCCTGGGGCTGCGGGTAGCCCATCTGACCCGTCGGGTCGAAGTCCATACGCTTCGACATCGAATGGCTGTAGGCGTCCGGTATGGTGTACTGGGGGAGTATCGGGTAGGTGTGTTGCGGCACACCGGACGTGCGGTGAGGACGCGTCGGTGTCTGGCGCGCGAGGTTTGGTTGAGTCTATACAAACACATCGTGTAAGTACATTGAATACCAAATACTCAAGATGCCATATACCATCTACCATATGGCGAGGTACAAAGGTACCAGGCCATAAGGTGAGGTCAATGGGGGGATGAGGGTGAGGAGGAAAGGTACTTACGACTTCGTGTTGTCGATGTTTGGAGGATGCGTTATTCGGCAGAGCCAAGCCGATGTTGCTCATATCTCTCTATTGTTTCTGTTACCATCCGAGTTTGAAAGAAGGAAGAGTTTGACGTTTTGTCAAACGCGACAGTCGGCCGAGTCAATTGTGACGCGGGCCTTGGTGACTTGAAGCTGAGAGTTGCGTGCGGCCGACTTCCACTCTCTTGTATGGCAAAAGAGCGACGCGACTGCAGCGACGAGGAGGTACAGCGTGTGGGGGGAGGGGCTGGAAGTGAAGTTCCAGAATGAATATGAAGAGAGGCACGTACGGTTGTTAAAGGTGAATGGAGGTACTTGACCGGTTATAAAGATGGAAAAGAAGCCAAAGGTCACTTTGGCGCGTGGCGGAGGTTGAGTGACAAGGAGTGAGTTGTTAAGTGCAAACAAGAGGATTGTTCGTTGGATAGAGCGCGTAGAGTGTTGTTAGAGTGTGTCGAGGTGTGTTGAGATGTATAGTAGTAACAAGAGTAGTATAGTAGTAGAGTAGTAGAAGTAAAGAAGTAGAGGATGTAGAGATGTAGAGATTGTAGAGTTGCAGGAGCAGGAGAGAGGTATACTGGTAGTATATTTGGGTGGATCAGGTGGTACCGTGTCGTGGTCTGTGAGTGGGAGTACAGGAGGATCAGGGCCTGTATGTTTGGTGTGGTGTAGTGTGTAGTAGTGGTGTAGTAGTGGTGGTGAAATGCAGATGCCTGTATCTCTGTATGGGTGATGCGCGGTATGCCTGTTTGTGTTTTTGTATACTGCAGAAGGAGTATAGAACGGTGCGGATAACGACTTTTGGAGCTTTGACGCAAGCTTAGGAGGGTAGAAGGATAGAAGGGATGATGGAACGAAGATGAATTAATCCGTGGCTGGTGGATTGTAGATGGATGACTGGATTGATTGATTGATTGATTGATGGATCTTGATTTGGGGATGGGGGATGGTGGATGGGGGAAGGGGGAGAAGAGTGGGAAGTATTGTATTGTATGGATGTAAGTATGTGCAAGGTCAAGAAAGGTAGAGTAGAGTAGAAGGTGGGTGCACTAAAAGTAAAGGAGGTTAGTAAGAATTGGGACTAGTGTGGAAAATGGATTTGAGAGGGAGGGGAGAGGGGATGGATTGGGATTGGGAGGGATTGGATTGGATTAGAAGGGGGATGGGGATAGGGATAGAGTGGGAAAGGATGATGGGTCGGAAGGGAAAGGATGGGTGGTGGTGGTGGGAAGAGAGAAGAGAGGAGAGAGAGAAGAGTACGGTACGGAAAGTACGGAGGAGGTACGGGGGGTACATATTGTTGAGAAACGGGTAGCACGAAGAACGCAGGGTTAAAGGAGGGCTGGATGAGGGTGGAGGAAGTAGAGGTACAAAAAATCAGGTTGAGGGAAATAGTGAAGCGTGGTGCAATAGTAGAGAGGCGGCAAGCGGTAGTGGTGCCTCTCCCTCGATGGAGTCGGTGGAGACCGGCGGATCGATGGATGGCCGGTGGATTCTCTGGTCTGTTGATGGACAACGCTCGGCGGGCACTTGGTGGTGGACTGGATTGCTTGGATTGCTTGGATTGGCGTTAGATTGGGCAGAACGGTGGAGTCGGTGGATGCGGACCACCATCAACTACACTCGGTGGAGCGAGAGAAACGCGAAAAAAATCCCCAAAACAGGCGGGGCGGGCGCTAGTGCGGCAGGTGGTCATGTACTGCGCCGTACTGGGTTGTACTGTGCGGTACATGTAAGCGACGATCGGGGAGAGGCGACCATGGTGGGAGGTGACCAGAGTCAGTCAGCGACAGGCAACTAGAGTCAACCACAGTCAGCCATATAATGGATTATACAGATACAGATATAAGAGGGGATATAAAAGTAACGCGACCAGGGACGAGGGGCAGACGCAGCGATAAGTACGGTACACTACACCACAGTACTGTAGAGTACAATACAATAAGAAAGCTTCACTCTTTCCCTCTTCTCCATCAAATTGACTCTAGAGCTTACTTGCACAGCACAACAGCATGGCAGATACATCCCCAACACCACACTCAGTCAGCATGCCGCAAGTACCCTCTGTGTTCCCTCTCTGCCTTCCTGTCCCTCCACACTACACACACGCATACTCTACTCGACTGCCATACAAGCATCCTCTGATCTCTCTACTACACGCATATCTGGTCTACCCGACTGCCATACACGCAACTCTAGTCTACTCAACTGCCTCACACGCATATCTGGTCTACTCTACTGCCGCCACACACTCATATACTCCAGTCTCCTCTGCTCACCACACACGCAATTCTACTTCTCCTCACCACAGACACACACATCTACCTCTCCATTCCCCTCCCTCCTCCCATCCCTCCTCCCATCCAAGTCCCCAAAAAGTACCTCACCGTACCACACCATCCCCCAACCAGCCCCCCCTACGACCCACTCCCCCCTCCCTTGGCCGTACCACCCACCGTACCATCCATCCACACTCTACCACCCACCCACCGCACGCTCATCTGCTTGGTGGGTGTATCTGCCGGCAGAGAGATACGTGGGTACTACTTCCCTTCCCCTTCCCAGCCCAGCCCCCGTCGTCCGCGGCGGATGTTGGCGATGTTATCGTCGCGGTACATGCCGGGGTGAGTAATCGTGATCGCTAGAGAAAAGGTAAGGTAAGGTAGGTAAGTATACCTCATCACCGTCAGCACGCGTGGACAGACACGCGATATCAATTATAAACCCACTCAACGTCAACAGCCCTCAACACACACCGAACTCACAGAAAACTTACGCCACAGAACAAGAAACGCGCCCAGACGAAAGAGGCGACGAAGAAACACGGCAGACCGGACACGACAAACCCGCCACCACTACACCTCCTCCTCCTCTCCACCGGGAGGCGACCTTCCCGAGCCAGCAAGCACGCACTTGACCTTCCCTTCCCATCTCCACCCACCACACACACACACAAACCCATGTCCGGCGTCCCCCTCCTCTCTCTTCCTAGCCATAGCTACAGTACAACTACGTCAACACCAACCCCCTCCCCTTCCCCATGCAGCCGCGTGCGCTGATCTAATCTCCCCCCCCCCAGCCATCTCGGCGTGAAAAGAGCATGGGAGTGGTGGTCGTGGTTGTGGCTATTTCGAGATGGTGCCTAGGCTGGTCGGAAATGTCGGAGGGAAGGGTGGTGGTGAGGGTGCTGGGCGGCGTCTCGGCGGGGGGGAGGGATGGGAGGCAGGAGGGATCCGGCGTGTGTGGTTGTGGTGGTGGTGTTGGGTTTGTTGTTGTGGCTGGTTTGGTGGTGGTGCAGATACGGAGGCGCAAGGAGGAGCGGGTGGTGGTGTTGGGGAACGGCTCATACGAAACGGCTCGTACGGATGGGCATACATTCCTTCCTACCTTCCTGTTCCCTCTATCCCATTCCAACCGACCGTTGGGGATGGGTTGATTAAAGACTGATAACTGACTGAATTGATATAACCACAATCACCAGAGTAGCCATTTCAGCCAAGCTTACGTGCATGGCTACGTATGAATTTGTACCATCCACCCACAACCATAGTATACAGAAAGTACACACCTGTACAGCGCTGTACACTATCGCTACATCCCCGACCACTACAAAAGGCTGTATCCCCCGAGTACCAGCTAGGAACGCACTGGACGCCGTCTCTGTCGCGATGGGTGGACGATCACTTTTAGCTGATTGCGGGGTAGCGGCGGTGGGAGGGAGTCGCGGTCGGTACTTTGAGTTTTGCTGGTGATGCTGCATTATAGTATAGTATATTCCGTGTCATCGTGTGTATGTGTGTATGCAAGCACGACCGAGACGAAACATCAACATCAACATCACCCATCCATCTGCCATCTCCCATATCCCATATCCCAGTTCCTCAGCCACAATCACAATCACTATCACACACATAATCACTCAAAATCCCAACACCCATCTCATCCCGCTACTATCCCCAACCATCTGCCTAATCCCCCAAAATAGACTTCCAGCCCCGGCCTTCCTCCTCTCCCCCCCCTAACCCCCTTGCTGCCACACACAGCGCACGCGAGCATACATACTCGCATATCTGGTTCGTCATGTGTTTGTGCCTGTGCTTCTGCTTCTGCTTTTCTCCGTCTGCGCCGGCCCTTGAGTCGCTCTCCCTTTTCGTAGACGGGGAATATGGACACACCCACGCACGGAGGAAGGGGGTTGCCAAGGCTAGTCCAGTACAGTTTGTTTCTTGTCCCGGATCTGCCCGTCTACGTACATGCGTCGTTCCTGATGGCCCCCCGGACGGACGCCTTTGGTCGCAGCACCCTTGGAAGTGCTACTTCAAGGGGCAGGGATATAAAAAAAACACCGGGCTGCGCGGCTGGGTGATATATATATCTAGACATGTAAAAAAAAAAACGGCAAAAAAACATACAACAGTGGGTATTCGCTGGTGGTCACCTACCCAACTACTAATCTACCGATCTCAAGCAATCCTCTGGCTAATAGTTAAATCGGTGCCATCCGGCCTAGTGGGTGAGCCTCGCCGCCCTTACCCCTTGTTTTGTGATCGCAACCATCTCAACCACCCCTAAGTCTGTGGACTTGCACAGCTTCATTACATATCCCATATATAATGGCTACCTTCCTGTAATGGGCACAGTACCGCAGTAGGTGTTACAGTAGGCGAAAGAGCAATGTGCAGTAAAAGACAGCACCGTGATATATAGAGTACCGTATCGCTAGCAGCACAGAAACCATGTACTGTAATAAAGTTTGGTTACTGTAGAAGTTAAAAGACACCACACAGTAATATTTACAGTACTACATTCAAAGATGTAAGCGGCGATTACTATGAATTCGCGTGATTTCAGCCACTCACAGATCTACGGCTCCTGCGCTTAAAATTCGATCCGATATAACTAAAGCAACACGGATAAACAGCGACGCAGCCAAAATCGTGTGAGAATCCCCGGCTACCGTAATCTTTCCCTTAGCACACGGAACAGGAAGCTTTACAGTAACCGCAGTATATAGGACTAATTAAATTACTACACTATTCTACAGGGCTTCGTACAGTATATGTAGAGCTTAAGGGGGGCCACAGAACCCTGAGTAATCGCCAGCTAAGCTGCTTAGAGCTCAGCTGTGATTGTGGCTACATCTTGGGCAGCACCACAGCCGCACCGAGCCATCCTGGGAGGTGGACGCTGTGGCTGGGGAAAACCTTCGGTTACAGGGTTAATAACCCACCGAATCCCAGTCCGCATGTCCGCCTTCCTCCAACAGCAACCTAGATCCTTCAGAGGGAATGCGCCTTTAAATCTCAAAAATTCACGTAATTGTCATGAATGTAGTGACCAGTGTGCTGTTGCCGCTAAAGTAGCCACTTATATTGGAACGCGACAGTACAAACAACAGTAGCCCGTCCTGGAGACTTGCATGAGCTCAGCCTCGTTCTGTTGGCATCGCGCAGTCCACATTCATTTAATCCGCCATGTCAGCTTTTTCGTCACCTAGGCTTCGGAGTGCTTTATTTTCTGACAGCTTGCTTCATCCTCTAACGTAAGGTCATCCCGCACAACCATTTTCCACTTCCATTTCGGATGCTGATGATTTTGACAGATTGTATCGTTCCACAACTATTGTAACATGGAGGCCATAGGACTAGCGGTCGGAATCGCAGGATTGGCGGGCCTGTTCAGTACCTGCCTTGATCTTATTGACAAGGCTAACTCTTACAGAGACTACGGTCCTGAGTCACGCTCTGTTGTCGCACAGTTTGAAGCTAACAAGCTTCTGTTTAGAAGGTGGGCTCAAAGTGTTAGGATAGAAGAAGGCAATCCCAAGAACAATCATCATAGTGCTCTAGACAATCCCGCGACTGCTTTAGTGGTATTGAAAATTTTGTCGAGCATACAGGAAACCTTCAACAAGACCGAGAATGCCCTGTTAAACATGCAGCATGTGTCGACAGCCGATCCGAGCTCTAAGAGCTTTGACTATACGCAAGGCTCGAATCAGAATGTGGAGTCCAAGGTATCGACGTCGAAGCGCCATAAGATCGGATGGGCCTTGATGGGAAAGGCGAAATTCATCCAGCAAGTCCTTTAGTTTGGGGCTCTAGTCCAGAGACTGAATAGCTTAACGTCTGTAGATCACTTAAAAGGTATTTCTTCTCCTCTTAGCCATTGGGTTTAAGTCACTCACTGATTGTAGAAAGTGATGTTGCCAACCCTCGAGATTTTTCCAAATCGTAAAGCCTTCTGACTGAAGCACTAAAGTTGATCGAAGGTCAGATTGCGGTAGAGATCAAAATCGAAATCGAAACCTAGCTCGGTGCTACCTGGACCAATGGACTTTATGACAACTTTACTCGAAGTAGGCTAGACGGAACTTGTGACTAGATCTTAAGTAGCCCTTCATTTTTGGAATGGGTCTCCTCCGAATTCCCGTCAGACTCTTCAAAGGTGCTGTGGGTCAACGGGCCAGCAGGATATGGGAAGACGACTATCTGTGCCAGGGTCGTCGAACATCTGTCAACGATACTAAAATCTCCCCTCGCATATTATTTCTTTTCAGCCGACTTTGAAAGCCGAGGCGACCCCTTTGTCGTTATTCGATCCTGGATAGCACAATTAGTAGCGTGTAATCGAACTGCCTTTGAAATCGCCCATGAAGAGTGGCAAGCAAAAGATGGCCATGTTGCATCTCGGACTGCCATCATGAACCTCTTTAAGCTCATCGTTAGCAGTCTACCAAACTGCACATTTGTCCTTGATGGGCTCGATGAATGCGCTTGGTTAGAGGCGAACCCAATGGCTACGGATGGAGATGGCCGCACTAGTTTCCTTACATCTCTGATCGATACCATTGCAAAAACCACCACCCGAATTATGGTTGTTAGCCGTGATGAAGCTGATATTCGCTCGGGGATATATAGCATACACCCCAGTCAGGGCGTGTACGAGCACAAGATTTCTCCCGTAGATGTTCAATCTGACGTTTCACTGTTCTCGAAGAGCATTGTCAACAAGAAGCTAAAGAACAAAGATGAAATGGTTAGAAATAATTTATCACAGAGAATAGTCGACCGCAGCAATGGGATGTTCTTATGGGTGAAAATGCAGGAGGGTAACTTGCGCGGGGGTAAAAGCATATTGCAACTGCAAGAAACAATTGATGAAACCCCGACAGGCCTAAGCCATCTTTACGATCGAAATTGGAAGAAAATTATAGGCCTTCAACAGAGTGATAGAACTCGGGCGCTCTTAATTTTACGTTGGGCAGCGTTTGCGATGCGGCCTCTCACTGTCCTGGAAATCACAGAAGCCCTCCTTGTTATGGATGATGACGGCTATGACAACATCCTGGTAAACGGTCTCCTAGATGAGATTGATGAAGAGTACGTTAATAGTGAGATCAAGGGTCTCTGTGAGTCGCTTGTAGAGACTCGAGGAGCATCCACTAAGGGGAGTTTCGCATCAATGACCGTTCACCTAGCACACTTCTCAGTCAAGCAATATCTCCTACACAACATGCCAACGTCTAGCCTACTAGGAAACAATATATCTTTACAGAGTAGCGAGGCCATTCAGTGCAATGAGCTAGCTAAAACTTGCCTGCGCTACATCAATTTCCGAGATATTTGGCAGCAGCGCGTTTGTTCTAAGGACAGCGTTGATAGCCGGCCCTTCCGAGACTACGCAGCTACTTCATGGCATCGGCATCTTTTTCCTGCAGGAAAAAACTACACCGATGTACTTTCCCTGGTAAATCGACTGTTTCATCCTGAAAATATCAATTGGCAATCATGGGCAGCATGGTTTGATTCTGTTGAACCATTAGTGCCTACTAAGGATTTAAATGAAACAAGGTCGATGAGCCCACTGTACTATGTGTCACTTCTTGGCATCTATGATGCTGTTGTGTACCTAACAAAGGAGTTGAAACTTGACCTGAATTACGTTGGTGTAGGGCATAGAACACCATTATATGCAGCCTCATGGAAAGGCAACATCGATGTGGTTAAGGTGCTACTGGAGCTTGGAGCCGATGTTATAGTTGCGGATAGTAACGGAGCAACACCGTTAAAGCGTGCGTCACAACACGGGCACGTCAAGGTAGTCAAGGTGCTACTTGAGCACGGGGCCAATGTCACTGTTGCTGAAGAAGGAGAAACACCGTTATATATTGCGTCATACAATGGGCACGTTGACGTAGTTAAGGTGCTACTTGACTATAGAGCCGATGTCACAATTGCTCTTAGAGGATGGACACCGCTAAGTGCAGCTTCTAGCGGTGGACACGTTGATGTGGTTAGGGTGCTTCTTGAACGTGGAGCTAACACAACAATTACAAACAGCGATGGAATGACACCACTATATTTAGCATCAATTTATGGATATGTTGATGTGGTCAAGGTGCTACTTGAGCATGGAGCTGATGTTACAGTTGCAAACATTACTGGATGGACACTGCTAAATGGAGCATCAAGCAGAGGACACGTTGATGTGGTTAGGGTGCTTCTTGAACATGGAGCTAACACAACAATTACAAACAGCAATGGAATGACACCACTATATTCAGCATCAATTTATGGATATGTTGATGTGGTTAAGGTGCTACTTAAGCATGGAGCTGATGTTACAGTTGCAGACATTAACGGATGGACACTACTATATTTAGCATTAAGCAGAGGACACATCAATGTGGTTAGGGTGCTTCTTGAACATGGAGCTAACATAACAATTACAAACAGCAATGGAATGACACCACTATATTTAGCATCACTTAATGGATATGTTGATATAGTTAAGGTGCTACTTGAGCATGGAGCTGATGTTACAGTTGTAAACATTAACGGATGGACACCGCTAAATGCAGCTTCTAACAATGGACACGTTGATGTGGTTAGGGCGCTTCTTGAGTATGGAGCTGATGTAACAGTTGCAAACAGCGATGGACTGACACCGCTAAATGCAGCATTAATTTATGGATATGTTGATGTGGTCAAGGTGCTACTTAAGCATGGAGCTGATGTAACAGTTGCAAACAGCGATGGACTGACACCGCTACATGCAGCATTAGTTAATGGATATGTTGATGTGGTCAAGGTGCTGCTTGAGCATAGAGCTGATGTTACAGTTGTAATGGATAATGGATGGACACTGATAAATTAGGAATATGGAAATATTTTGGGATATGCCGTACATAATGCTAAGGCATCATTGGTACAGCTTCTGCTTGAAGTGGATACAGACACAAACCTTAGCAGCGACGATTATGGACAAGCCTTACAACTTGGATGCATTAATGGTAATGTACCTATTGTCGACGCACTAATATGTGCCGGAGCAGATCCCAATAGGGTAGATGAGCATGGATGGACTTCACTATGGTGTGCTTCACAATTTGAGCAAGATGTTATTATGGAGCGGCTTGTTGCATGTGGAGGAGATCCATCTTTGGCCACACGAAATTCGACACTCGCACTAACGTCGTGGAGTTTAGTAGATAAGTCTCCTCGCCTAGTTTTAAACGAGGATGCTATTACCATTAAATATGCTAGTAAGTATTCCCTACGCCCTGAGAAATTCGCGTTACTGATCAAAGTAATCGCGAAGGCATAGAGGGGAACGGAAAGGCGAATGCGGCAGCAGCTCGAGCGAACCACCCAATTTCTCTCTAGAATGCTCCTTTTTACTTTGAGATTACAGTCCTGGATAGTGGTGATACAGGGTAATCCGTCTCTCAAATCTTTGCTGCGTGTGCTAACATCTTTTTCTCCTAGAGAGATTGGGTTAGGTCTCTGTAGTGGGTATGCACCCATTAACGCTATGCCTGGGTGGAACCTTTCATCGTGGGGATATCATGGAGATGACGGCTACATCTATAACTCATTAGATACAGGGAAACCTTACGCTGATGTATTTGGGACTGGGGACGTCATTGGGTGTTGCCTCACCTGTGATAATGAAATTACTTTTACTAAAAATGGGATTTCCCTTGGTAAGTTAGTTAATATCTTTTGTTGGCTATAGACAAGCTAATACTACAATCTAGGAAGTGCAATGAAGGCCACAGAAGGCAAACTATACCCTGTTATTGGCATGAAAAGTTGTGGTGCTTGCATTCGAGTAAATTTTGGCAATGAGCCTTTCCAATGTGATTTCGCGCTAATCTAAGGGGCGACCATTTTACTAGAGTGGAAAGCTTGCAAGAATTGGAAAGGATGTCTGTTAACAGGGTGCGAGCTGGGGTGCCTGTTGACGAGTTCCCTAGATCTATTGTTGGGGCGAAATCGCTTTCTAGGGCTTACGTTTAGATGGAGATATGCTAGATTTCAATGCAAGTCCACAGGTCCCATGCCCCGATTCCGCGCTATGCCTATTGGCACGATTGAGACTATTAGCCAGAGGATACGCAAGCTTGTGTATGGCAGAGCGGACGGGATGCCCAATTCCCTTAAGTCTATGGTCGTATGTGGGAGTTGTGCAGTTGTTAGTGGTGATATATACTATCCCCCCTCCCCCACCCGATATAGAGAAAAAAGGCGTAAATAGTTCCCCTACCTAGATCTGCCTGTCTATGTACATATATATAATAGTAGGTATTCGTAGGAGGAATATAAAGATTTAGATGGGTAGATTACGATTTCTAGAGATTCGTTGTGTGATTCCGTAAGCGTGAACTAAAATGTAGAATTATATAGTACGATGGCATTTACTTACATAGTAGCTCTAGAGGCTATTCCGCATGTTACAACTAAACAACTAGTGCATCGAACTTAGCAGGGTCTTCCTAGGATAACTCTAAATAAACCCCTAAGTAATAGGACCAGCGCCGCCGCCACCACTGCCGCCGACTCCGACGCAGACCGCACGGCTGTCGCTTACGCCAAGACCAGAATACACCCCTGTGTCACAGTTAGTCCCGATCCAGGGGTTCCAGGATGTTAGTTGAGCAGGCGTGATATCGAAGTCCTCAGCGATGTCAGAGCAGAGCTGTAGTCCGACAGACCGGCCATCGACGGCCGTAAAGCAGGTACATGTTGATATTATTCCCGGATGCGGGTGGTCGGCGTAGTATTCAAGGAAATCGTCTTCTATGATTAGGGCTGAGTTTTTAATAACTCATGTTAGCTTTGCGAGGTGGTTTAGTGTGTCTAAATCGTGCTCACGGACGGCATGGGGTCCGACTTACGGGGCAGAAACGAAGTGCCGTTTAAACCGCAGTACCTGTATCCCTCCTGTAGCATGCACGGATCTACAGATGCTAGGCTCGGGTTCCATGAGAGGAAGTCGGCAAGCGGAACCTCAAAGACCGTCGTGGTGTAGTCGCAGGTATTAGCATTATTGATGATGGCGACTGTATCCGGGTGTACACTCTAGTCGGTGATTGCGGGGATGGAGAAGTGGTCGATGTAGCCGTCGCAGTCGGATGGGGTTCCAGGGGCGATTGGGAGTTCGACTATGGGCGTTATGATCGGTTCTGTAGTTGAGAGAGGTTGCGTCGTAGTAGTGATAGTGCCGTCGCCTAGGTCGTCTCTAGGAGGACTGACGCAGATTAGAGTCTCGGCGAGGGGATCAAGATTCGTGCAGAGCTGGTTGATATTAGGGTTCCAGTTCAGGAGACTAATGTCGTTCATGTAGCTGTGCTGTGCCAGGATACTCTCGCAAGTCTCATTATACTTCACATGGTATAGATCACAAGGACTTGCAAATTCAGGGTCGTAGCCAAACGGCTAGTTTAGCTGGGTTTGCACGACCCCAAGTATGCAATCAGAGAAAGTTTGAGCTAATGACAATGGGCCGGATCCCAACCAAGAGACAAAGATCTCATCGCAAAACTGGCCTATAGAGCTGCCGTTATATAATCAGCGTTAATGACTGATCGGAAGCGGTTTCGACAGAGGGGGGGGAATCAACAAGACCTACGTGTCTTTTCTACACGAAAGATCGTATGTGTATAAGAAACGATCAACTACATAAGTAGCTGTATACCAAATATAATTAGCTATAGATACTTATTAGGCAGAAACAGACCGAAGATGATCGAGCTATAGATGTCTAGACGGACCAGGCTAAATGACGCCGTCAAACTCAACAACATCAGTGTCTAAATTGCAGCCCAAGGCAATGGTTTGACGGACGTTTGTTAAAGCTGTACAGCAAGCTGGAGTGCATAATGCCGTGAACTGCTCTAAGTCGAGGCGCGGATTAGTAGCGGAGACGCCTATCAGAAAGCTAGGGCAGTTGGGGGCAGTCGTGTTGAGAGCTTCCATGCAGTTTTCGCTAACTCCTAGATAGTCTAACTCCATCGCCGTATCTTTAAACTGTTAAGCGTTAGCGCTACTGGCTAGATGTGCTAGTAGTAAAAGTGATAATGAACAGGTGAGTGTCATGGTGCCGAACGAACGAATTCTTTATCAAAACTGCCATTCTGACCGTCTAGGACAATATTACATCTAATTCCAATATCTTTAGCTCAAAATGGTCTAGTTAGCGGGATTCTCCTCGCGATTTAAATTGAAGCTTGGCGAAGTGTTAATATCCATGGGTTGTCCTGCTGCCGAGCCTTAGTCTAAGCTGAGATAGCTGCCAAAAGAAAAATGAGGATTCTATTTCCTATTTCCTGTTTCAAGTGTTCAATATTTAGGATCCATAAACCCGTAGGACAATTAGCAGTTAATACCGAGGTTAGTGCGCTCTATATATGTACGGATTTAGTAATGTAAGGTATGCCGTATCTTCCGCATTGCCTTGGTTTTTTACAGCTACCAGATTGTTCCATGGTCAGAATTTACCACATATCATCTCCAATCTAAGGATTGGATTTTCTAATTCCTAATATGAATTTCCTCTTTAACGGACCGCTGGCGCATGCTTAGCTACCATTTCTAGGTCTCCGAGTTGTTATCATCCTTAGTCCGAGCCTTCAGGTTCTGCTTCACCTTCCTTGAGGACGGCATACAATTCATCTGATCTTGTTAAATATAGTGCAGTTAGGGCCTTTAACGATTCCAAACCACCATCAGTTTCATCTCTCTCTTCTTTGTCTGTTGTTCCCCTACCCGGATCTGCCTGCCTACGTACATACATCCTTCCTGATCCTCCGGACCCTTCCGCGCCTATTCGGAACGTCAACCTTTAGAGCTGGCCGGGCCGAGTTTATGTATTAGAACGGCAATACAAAAGAGGCAAAAAACATACAACAGGGGGTATGTATTCGCTAGTGGTCATCTACCTAACTACTACTACTAAAAAATGAGCTTGCTCCTGTTAATTAAGTCCCGTGGTTTATATTCGTTTGTGATAAATGTACTATGGGACAATAGTAAATGTTATGAAACAAAACAGCACTTGGGACATAGAACTTCTTGATGGTGATAAAAGAGTGTATTGGGTATATTATCTTTCTAGCTTTACAGACCAGCTCTATCTATATAAGAAGCCAGTCATAGCCCAAATGGCCGACACTAAATATCCACTGCGGCGAGGATAGCTCCCCATAATCCTCCCGTGTCCAGTATTCCTGCAAGATCTTAGAGGCATTGACCGCATTCAAGCAACTTGTTTCCGCCCAAAATTGCGCCAAGCAACTGGTTAGAAAATCCCTTTGGGCTTGCGACTGACACTCTAGGCCGGCAATGAAGATAGGCCAGAGGATACACTTGAACAAGATTTGGTCGTCCTTTAGTGCCTCGATAACACCTAGTAATGCACAAACCAAATCATCCTGCGACGTGACATTACCCGTGAGAGCATCAAGTACACGCCTGCCATATATGAGAGAGCCAAGCTGGAACGATTGTGACAACTTGCAAAGCTTATCTATACCCTGCATCGAAGGCGACGGTAGTTGCGGGAGCAGGCCCGATGCCCACATGTAGGAATCGAAATCCCGTACAGACTCAAGCATGGTAGTGATGTGTCGGGTGTGGGAGAGGATGGCGGTGTCGTCTGATGGCGCCTGGTCTGCGATGATGTCTCGCTGGAGCGAGAAAAATTGTATGGCGTGGAGGAGATGATCCGGACATCCGAGAAAGGATTGCTGGACCGATTCCTGGGGCGGCGTGCCAGACTGGTCTAAAGAGATCGGCTGGGATAGTAGCCTAGGGCGTGCAAAGGTTGCTCCGAGTGTTTCAATCCTAGTATTGTATTAGCAATTCATCTACAATCTATGCGAATTGATAGTTCTGTGCGGATATACATACAGATAGATCTGTCTGGTGATGAAACTACGTATCGCCTGGACAGTTCGCCCGGGATCCAGCTCGTTGGCAGTTTCCAACCCAGATGATGGCCAAATGGACGCAATTAAGTTCTTAGCACCTTCGAGATGAAAATTCCATCTATCACAGCCGGACTCCAAGAGGTCTAGAAACACCAGGAGGAATATACTAGCCGCTATGGTGTCTTGCCTACGTGATACTGCATCGTTTAACGCAAGTGATAGCGCTTGAATGGCTTGACATTTGTATAAAAGCGCATCCTTGTCGGAGGTGCTTGAGGCAGGAGGTGTCGCTAGCAGAGGCTGCTGGCGGAAGAGATAATGTCTATTGGCGTTATGCCGTGCTGCAAGGGCTAGAATTGCCTTGAGTAGAGTTGAGTCACCCAGAGCAAGAGATATTAGGTTCCGAAAAGGATTCTGGTCACTGTCGTACACAATGAATAACTTGCATATGCATCTATTGTCTGCATATTGATGTTAAATCCCTTCTGGGAAATTTGCTAGTGGGATTGAAAACTTCTATACTTACAGTAATCTAGGTAATATCCGGAGGCTCTGTCCAAGCTTGAAACAGAAGGATCTTTTAGAGATAATGGTAAGCTTGATAGGGGGCCGCTGATATTATTGGTATCTGATTTTATTAGTAATTAAGTCCATTTAAATATGATACCGAGGAAGGATTTTTCTCGAGTAACATCAAGATCAGCTATAGTATTACAGATTTCTCACCATTGTACTTAAAACCATTCGTCACCGGCAGCTTTGGGCGTGTAGCAGAGGACTTGATTAAATCACACCTCGTGCCTGTTGATGTCCCATTGAAGTTTGCTGCTGCAATCGAGGCGTCCTGGACTGATAGTCCTCGCATCTTGCCTCGAACGGACATGCCTTTTACCCATCTGATGGGCCTCTTCTCGGAACATTCCAACCCCGCCTTTTCACATTTCGCACAGGGCATTCGGGATCTGTCGCATTCAATGTGCCGACGGCGGCACGTGTAGCAGGGAGTATACATTGCGATTTATACCAGAGAAATCAACAATGGAAGGGTAGCCATGTACAGCAGCTGCAACGCAGGCACTATGACGTATTCACGCGGAATCCTAAGAGCTGGGTTGCTATTGTAGCAGAAAATAATACAAGAAATGTAAAATGGGAAATCAAGAGGACAGACAGGTATCAAAGAGTGGTCTGCCGTTCGCCTTCGTTGTCAGATGGGATTTTCAGTGGCGAGAATAACTGATGGTACCAAGTCCCGATTACTAAGCAATTCTTGTACATTTATCGGGACCCGCCAAACTTTAATAGTTGAGTCACATAGTTCACAACCTATGCAAGATCGTGGCAATTTCAGATTGTGGAGGACTTGCTATCTTAAAAGTTTATATGACAATCGCCGTGGGCCCTGGGACAACGGCATCAAGTCATCCCCGTTTATGAGAGTCTTTCAGCTGGCCACGTTCCCCAACCGTCTTTGCGATTCCCTCACCAACCTCCGTCCCCAAATTCTCAAAGCCGTTGATGACTCCCTCCCGATCTCCCTTGCTAAGCTCCTGACTCATTTTAAATTTCCCCCCCAAACGATCAATCCTGATCTCGATTCCGATGATATTCTTCTTCATAATCTCAATATAGGGAGACGGCGCGTCGGACACCTCCCATGGCGACGACTTATCTCCTCCAGTATAGCCCATGATCAGCGACTCGGATTGCTGAGTCAGGTCTCCGAGTTGCTTCCGTAAGAAGGAACTCGTCTCGTCCGACTGGGAATTGCAGTAGACCCTGACCTTGCCGTACACCTCTACCGCAGAATAGTTCCAGGTAGGAACCACCTTCCCGGAGTCTGGTTTGGTTTCAACGTAGAATTTAGGCGTGACATAGTGGTGGTGTGGTCCATTGAAGAGAACCAAGACTTCATCCAAGAGCTCAAGTGTATCGTGACCCTGCTCCTTTCTAGCTGCTACCGCCTCCATCAACACCTTCGCTTGCGGATTTTGCTTTGCAATATGACCCCGCAGTATTCCATTTGACAATGTTCCGTCCGCGGTCTCGGGAACATCTAATACAAAAGGAATATGACTCGCTAGGATCAAGGGATGCTGTGGTGATCTGATTGCCGTCGTCAGAATGCCCAGGGGATTCTCCCGGATCAGTTGTTGTAGAGCGGGAATATGTGCCTCCGCGTGGATCCCTCGGAGATACATTGTGAGTGTTAAAGAAATAGATAAAATTTGCGAACACTGTCCGCAGTCTAAATGTGATGCTCTGCTTCCCGAGAAGTATATTTATTCATCAAGTATATCACGGGACTTGCAACTTCAACTGGGTATACCTCGGGAAATACGTTAGTGTGGTTACTTTTTTAGGAAGTTAATGGGAGTGGAGCTGTCAAAGCGATGACGCCAACTCCTACAAGGATAAAGTCTGTTTTGGGCAGTTAACTGGAGTGGGGCGAAACTATGGAGATCACCACTAACGAAATCGACACCAAGGTAATCGAAAGACTAAGTAAATAGGCTATCTGAATATAAATATCAGTATTGATGCGTAAAGAGAGCAGTAAGATTCATTTCTCCCTCTATTTTCTAATTTTTTTCTCTTGAAGCACTTTCTATTCTATGACCTCAAAATGCCAGTACAAGAGCATAACCACCCCGCTACCCGAGCATTGCATGCGGATGATCCGTTAAATCTAGTAACTGATGTCGCACCGCCAATGCATTTGTCAACGACATTCAGGTATCCCAGCGAGCTCGAGAAGCTTATCCCGTCAGAAGATCCAGTCGTGGGTTCCCATCCTTACCTGGGCTTCTTGCCCTATGGTTTAAACAAGAAACTGATAATGTGCCATCTAGGCAGAATTTGATGGGAAAAATTATGTCTACTCCCGGGAATTTGCACCGAATGCAACGCGATTTGAAGCCATTCTATCCTCTCTTCTCCAGGGCCACGCCGTGTGCTATGCCACTGGATTGGCCGCCCTTCACGCTGCACTATTACTCCTGAATCCTCGTCGCGTATCAGTAGGCGAAGGATACCATGGAAGTCATGAAGTAATATCAGTTATTTCCCGTCTCTCGGGGTTGCAGAAATTGGGTCTTGACTGCCCGGCAAGCGACTTAGAAAAGGGAGATGTAATCCTACTTGAAACCCCAATCAACCCACTAGGGACTGCTTTCAGTATTGAGGAATATGCTAAGAAGGCTCATGAGAGAGGTGCCTATCTTGTTGTAGACAGTACGTTCGGTCCACCTGGCTTGCAAGACCCATTCTTGTGGGGGGCTGATATAGTCATGCATTCGGGGTCGAAGTATCTTGGGGGCCACAGCGATATGTTATGTGGCGTCCTCGCAACGCAGCGTCAGGACTGGACAAAGCAGCTCTTCGAGGATCGCTTTGCCCTTGGGCATGTTATGGGAAATTTGGAGAGTTGGCTGGGTGTTCGGAGCTTGCGGACGTTGTCAATCCGTGTGCAACATGCCAGCCGGAGCTCTGCAAAGCTGATTGCGTGGCTCCACGGTTCTCTCAATGAACCGAATCCGATTCCTAACAGTGAAGCGCATGTTGTACAGGCGGTTCTTCAGAAGATTTTTCATGCGAGTCTCCAAGATGAGCCTTGGGTACGGAGGCAGATGCCGAACGGCTTTGGCCCGGTCTTTGCTCTCGTTCTGCGCAACGAGGAATTCGCTCGCGGATTGCCAAGAAAATTAGCCTTCTTCCATCATGCAACAAGTTTAGGTGGAGTGGAATCTCTCATTGAGTGGCGCGCAATGTCTGATGCCAGGGTGGATCGAAAGTTGCTGAGAGTTAGTATTGGATTGGAGGATTGGGAAGATTTGAAGAACGATCTACTGCAGGCATTCCGGTCGCTAGTGGAAGAGCAGTGATTGTTTTTTGCTTACTATATCGAAATCCAAAAATATGCAAGATGAACTCTCATCGCAATATAGTTATCTCAATCTTCTTATGCACCACCATACATATCTATCCACGGTCGCTACGTAGATAAATACGCCAATTCAGCTCAACTACGGATGGGCCATATGTATAAGCTGGTCACTTGTTGGTTAATATATACCATCACCACCCCCCAATGATTATGGCTTCATTGACTATTTTTATGCCGGCAAAGCTAAGATTCTCATCACGACCAACAACCTCCTCCGTGGTCTCAGCTTTGAGTCAGTATCGCTAGTCATCTTAGACCATATTCCAACGAATGGCCGGGTCAAAACAGATCCTGACTACGATACCTACCTGTATCATATTAGTCGTTTATTTTGTCTTGGATCAGAGGGGAAAACATCGTCTAACCAGACCGATGGACCTGACATGAACGCAGTTCGAGCCACAGGAAGACTCAAGCCAGAGATGGAACTATAAAACAAATAGCCGCAAACCCCTGCCAGCCCCCAATCCTTTTTCCCAACTAACCATCCCATGCGCCCTAGTTCCTGAAACAGGTGATCTTGCTTCAATTGCCGACAAAAGGACACTGAAAGCTTAGAGAGATAACCCATAAGAATACTTTCTACTAAACCCCCCACAAGACCCCGTAGAAAGCCGTTGAAAGGACTATAATAGAGATCAGGGAACACTAGATATGGACTATATATGGACTTTCGGGAGACATAACAGAAGAGAAGGAAGTAAAATCATCTGGTAGACTAGTGCCCTTCAGGTTTAGAGCCGGGCGAATAGACCTCATTCATTCCATCCACTTATAACTCAGATGTAACATGATTAAACATTTCCAAGCGTATTGCATAGATCTATAAGTGACTGCACTTCACTCGGCTCAATTTCGTACTAAAAGTAGGTGCAGACTTAGTCCCTGTTCTTTCGGGGAGGTTTCAGGAGGCTAGGGGAGAAATAATATCTTAGAAGCACTTGCTCTTAAGGCAGTCAGGAAGAGGAAATCAGTGGCATCTCAGACGTACCACAAAATTAGGCGTGGGGCTCCAATACCAAAGGCTGACCATCGCGTTGTCGGAGTAGCCATCAATGTACGTATCCGCGCAAGCAACAGTAAGTTGATTATTCTCGACATAGTCAGTGTATGCGATCGCAACGCCGTCTATGACGCCAGAAGTGTCATAATTCAGTTTTTCATAATCAAGCCTGCACGAGGATTAGACCAAACTCTAGATAGCAGACATTTCGTTTACTTACTCAGACTCATCTACATCGCCCCAGTAAATATATGCGGACCAATCAATTTCCCCATCACTTCCGTCCCGCTCTTATGTTCAGAGAGTATTAGCACTTGCGTGTTTATCAGTAATTTGAGAGTTGAGAAAACAAGGGTCAAAACACTTACCATTGAAGTCTCCCTGATCTTGCCGTTTATTCTTTGAGGACGCGTGCGAAAGTGTAACATTTCATGTAAATTTCAACCCGCGAAGATTGCTAGCGCTGTGGCGGAAATAGTGCAAGTGGTAGAAGTTACCTGGTGTTGTAATGTTGCTAATAGCAGTAAATTCTGAAATGGGAATTAGTCTTGTTTATCAAAACTATAAAGGGAAAGAGCGAGTGCACAGGCAAAGAATCAGCACGCCACATCCAGAAAATTCCTTAGTGGGAGATGGTATGTTCTTAGAGATATATGGTAGTTGTGGACTTACTATCATGGGGAGCAGTAGCTGCCAATGTGCTTCTCAAGCTGCTGTTGACAGTTGGGATGTACCTAAAGAGCAGAAAATCAGTAAATGCCGATTTGAGGGTAAAGTGTGGGCATAAGAGCATTGGAAACTAGAAATAGTTTGACCACAAAGTGCTTAACTCATCAAGATCAGGGATTGAAAAAAGGAGAGCTAATATTCTTACTGGGGGTCTAGAGACCACACGACTTCATCAATAGCCCGTTTTGTAGCTTCCTAGGCAAAGTAGTTTGCTGCTGCAAATGTAAAGAAGAAAAGGGCCAAATTAAGAGCACAAGCCCCTCCAGCGGTAAGGACTCCACCGATATAGCATGAACCTACCAAACTCTTTGCGAAGCCTGCAGCAATACCAGCCCAAACGGCAGCAAGGACGCCATTGTTAACACGCTTTTCGTGTTCTAGGTAGGTTGAAACGCCGGTTGGACCACGTGGTGCAATGTCAAGGTCACGAGTAGTTGCTGAAGATGGTGCGTCCCATCGGGTGATATTAGTCAATCTCAATGGAGATTCGATCTGGTCGAAAGCGAGAGATCGGAACTTCAGGTTTGGTGACATGACTTGGACATCCACAGAGGCTTGGGTAAGAGCGACGAGGGCGAAGGCCCCGACTGCTAGCAAAGGCAAGTAAGTCTGCATGTTGACGTGAATAATGTGAACAGGAAGTTGGAATTTTGTCTCCAAGAGAGATGCTGTCCTAAAAATGGAACCATGCTGCGTTTATATCTTCGAGGCTTCAAGGTTGAGGAATTTAATTGTTGCTTCCCTTCAATCCATGTTGGTTTCGCCGATTGGGTTGCAACTTGCAAAATGCCATTGCTGCATGAGACTGCTCGTATAAGGTCGCAAGGTTCTCATCCTTCGATAACATCCTAACAACGTACTTTGTCCCATGTGCGCAGGGGACTTGACGCTCGTTCTCTTCGGACTTAGACCGCACTTGCTGACTCTTGGCCTGGCTTCGAAATGGGTTGAACAACTTTGAATCCTAGCATAGCTGGTACTCGAGATTTCTAAAAGTATTTGCGTATATTTCACCCATGCCTATATATCCGCAACTAGCTCAGGCTCATAACTCGGCGAATTGAATGTAGTGCAATCTCGTTATCTGTACTAGGGTTATTTTGCCGGTGGTCGCCCCCAAATCCAGGGGCCTTGCATTGCGCACGGACATTCCGTCCATCAAGCTTTCTGCGAAAGCTTGATGACCCGTCAAACCAGTCTCCCACTTTCTTTGTCAACGATTTTTCACGTCTTCAGCGATGTCCAGAACCATAGAGACTACAACAGCGACGCCGCCGCAGCGAGATCCATCGCAGTCTCATGTCGTGGTATCAAGATCACCTCGGCAGTCAGCGTTCTGTGCCATTTTCACCATGCTCATCGCCGTCCTTCTCTTCAACCTCGCCGCTTACACCGTCACCGCCATATACACTTCTCTCACGAGCACGCCCACTGTCTTAAGCTCTACCAAACTCCGAGCAAGTGATTGCGAGTGTCCTCTCCCTCAACAGCAACAAGACTGGCTCGTCCCCGCACCAGCAATCACCAAACTCTGCTTTATAGCCAACCTGATGCTAGGCATGGCGAGCGGAGCTCTGCTGGTGGTTGCGTTCCTCTGGTGGATGACAAGTGCGTCAGAGGTGTCTATCTCTGTGAGGAATTATGCACTAAGATGGGGAATTGGGGCTGGAATCGTGGGACTTGTGTTAGTGCATATTCTGTTTATGAAGAGGTTAGTGGAGGGCGGTGGATTGGTGATGGCTGTTAATACTATTCTGGGCTTGGCTTTGACTGGATTGGTATTTGGTACAATGGAGTGATCTACATTTAGGAGCTTGGACTCGATCTAGAATTCTCTAGAGAAAAGGAGGTGTTGAGATGGCTCTTCGGGTACGATAAAACTGGCTTATTTAGACAAGCATCTAAAACCCAAAGAATCTGCATTATCCTCAACAAACCCACTCATTAGTGTATTGAACCTTTGCCACTCCCCAAACATCACCTCAGTATGTAGATTAAGCGGATTGGAACAGACAGCACACAATGTATGTTCCTGCCCATGAGTGGGAATAACTCATGGCTGGGCCGCAACATATATTAATTCTACAATGCCCAACTGCATTGCAGATGCGTAATAAACCCTGACCCTAAAATCCAACTGCATCATAGGTGCCTGATAGACCCTAGCCCTGAATAATATTATCCCAATACCTGTGAATTTGCCATGGCTGTCTCGGTGCTTAGTAAGATGGATCACCATTGCGGCAACACATAGCTTTTATACCCAATGATATGAAAGCTGAAAGGACGGCAGGCGTTCTGCTAAAAATGGATTTGGAACAGCCGCAGCCGCTGGGGGGTTTGCCATCTATGGCCATATTTGACGGCAGATTCTCCAATCAGTTAACCAGCACTTTATCCAGTGGTCCAGTGTGACTAGACCATCGAATGGACCCTCATGGTGGGGCATTATGGTGCAATATGAACAGGGCCTACCCCGCTCCTAACAATGTGGCAGCTACAAGTAATATTTTCCCGGGCTACATCCATTAGACTAAATTGGTTCTGCTGTTGGAAATCCATGTCCCGAAGCCCAACAACATCGTGAGCATATCATACCTCTGTCTGATTCTAGTTCTGAAATCCAACACCTTTTTGAGCATCTCATACCTTGATCTGATCATAACTCTGAAATGCAACCTGCATCTCTAACAATACAGGATCTAGCCGGTATTGGTTTCAAAATCCTACTGCATGGTGAGTACCAAAATAATTTCAAGGTGTAGATCCAAAATAAAGCAGATCATCTAATGATAGTTCCGAAATCGACCAGGATAACAAACCTAACTAGATGGCTACTGGGCATAAACGACAATTATATATAGGTTAGCTGCAAAGGTCATATAATAGTAGATGGCGGTTTGAGGTAGAAATACTCAACGCTGCCTTATGCCTCAATTGCTCACGGTTTAGGTCAATAGATTCGTACAAATAAACATACAAACCATTCTTAAGTATTACAAAACGCCCCTGTTACTACAGACTCTGCTCGATTGGCCAGTATATAGCGCCCCTTACACAGTGCATACGGAAAAGGCTGGGGGCGTGGACACCGACCGAGATTAGGGGCCCATGAGGTTGTTGGCGATGTTGGTTGCAAGGGTGCTAACTCTGCCTAAGCAGGTATTAGGTTGAACAGGTGAAACCTCTGAGAGAATAGACCCGATATGACTTTGTTGGTAAAAACTGCAGGCCTAAATGTGATTTTTAACCGTGTATGCATGCGCGACGCGGTGCTGGATAATATCTTGCAACTCTCTAGTACGGGATACGGGACAGGGGTAAGCAGCGTTTAATCATACCAGACTACGGAGGAACACCCTGCACCTTTCTCATTGTGAATGCTCTCCGACCATTTACCCCAAACCACCAAACACCCACCATCCACCCCTGCCATTCTTTCGGCCATAAGCCCCCACACTGTTTCGAAGATTCAGGATCGATCATGACATATGCATTTCCTTAGTATCCTAGCCAGATCTCAACTAGGCGGGCAACTGGCGTTCGACGGGAGCTAATGGTAGTAAATCTCCGTGTTGCCCTGTGATGGAAAAGGTGGTAGAGCTTTCTGAAAGATCGTGTAAAAAACTCGTGCCCAGTGGGACAAAGACCATAATGAGATTAAGATTGACGACTAGAAGAAGTTGACAAGTCCGTGAGAAGCTCGAACGTCGTCAAAAACTCCAAGTTACGTGAGATTCATAAATGTATGTAGTCACCGCTGCTTTATATTCTGCCACTAACTTGAACTTTTGTGTTTTTGATGTGGTAATTAAATACTTTCGGGCATAACGTGCCTCAAACTTATGGCTCACAAATGATTAAATTGACTGGAAAATAAGATCAGGACACCCTTAACATGGTATGTAAGCTACAAAAGCCAAACTTCGGTGCTGATACAAAAAAATGGCACGAAAGTGACGCCAAATTGACACGAAAATGTTGCTTCGCCTCACCCACACTCGCTCTGGTCACCCCCCGCGTCACCCTTCAGGCTGAAAAGGGCCTCGATTCTGTTAGCACGATTGAGACCATTAATCTGATGTTACACAAGCTTATGTATGGCAGAGCGGACGAGATGCCTAATTCTCTTGAGTCTATGGTCGCATGCGGGAGTGTGAGGGAATGTTATATTATGGTGATATGACTTATAAAAGTTGTGTGTAGAGGAGGTACTTGTAACATTACTAACAGCAGCTGGCTATCTTTATATTCAACATCGTCGTTATTCTTTGACATACGAACGCGTCCCATAATTAAATTTACCTCATAGACGCAATAATTTCTTCCGCCTGAGCAAAGCTCAACTCTCCTAGTGTCTCTTCCCAGATCTGGTCTTGGGCTATGCTCCCTTCGGCGGTGTAGAAGAAACTTGCAAGTCTACCAATAGTTGCCAGCATTAGCGGTTTTCCCAAAGCTTGTCAGAAACCTTAGGGTTTAAATTTGTTTTGGAATAGGGATTACTCACGGTGAGATTTCCGTGTTCATGAGAAAGCACCCGTGCGATTCCTTGCCATGGCCCAACAACGCATCAACATATGTAGCAGCCCCTCTGTCAACGGGTCTGCCGGTAATGGCAAGGAATGCTTTCATGGCTACTAACAACGCACCCTTTGCATCGCGAAACAGACCTGTGCCTTTAGTAAGGCCCGGGTCGACCATGTTGATCACCACATCTTCAGGTTTGATATGCTCTGCGAGCTTGACCAGAAACAGTTGAGCCAGAAGCTTCGACACGCCATATCGGTTATTGGAATCCCATGGGGTTATAGTGGTATTATCGAAAGAAGGCAGGAGAGGGCGCTGGTGTTGATTTGAGAAGTTGCAGAGATGTGCGGTGAGAGAGTTGACGACGGTTAACCGTGCTGGATTGTCTCGGGTCGATTTAGCCTTGAGAATGGGCAGCAGGAGAATAGTAAGTAGAATTGTGCTGGTGTGGTTGACCTGAATGGTGGTCTCGTGTCCGGTGGATTGAGTTGTGCTGAAATTTGCTGGAGCGAGTCCAGAATTCAAGATCGTGTAGTCGATGCGTGAGAGCTCGGTATTGCATTTGTGGACAAAGGTCTGGATAGAGTCATACGACTCCATGTCCAAGGGCCAGACATCGATGGTTGCGGAAGGATTGGCCAAGGTAAGTTGTGAAGCTGCATCTTTACCTTTCTTGGTGGACCGCACGGCCACTATGAGATGGGACAGACCGAGAGTCAGGAGCTGCTTTGACGACTCGAAGCCGAGGCCAGTGTTGGAACCAGTGATGATTGCGACTTTGCCCTTTAGGCTGGGGAATTCGCTTCGAGTCGGAAGCTCAATTTTGACCTTGAACTGATTATTCCAGAAAATCTTGCCGGAATTCTTAGGCAAAGGGTGCATGTCCTTGGAGGCAACCATGTTTTCGAAATAGGGAGGGTGAGGTTTTTTATATGGATCAAACACAAGTCAATGGATAAGACAAGTTGCTGTAGGCCTGTTTATATTTGCCAGATGACAGTTATAGCTATCACAAAAATAGGGAATCTATACTACTACTTATATTTGAAAGTTTTGGTTCACCTTCGCAATTTGATTTCAAAAGTTGCGCAAGCCAGCATCACCTCAGTCCCAAAGAGGAAACCCCACGTATCTTGGCATCAACTGCACTAGCCTCAAATAGGACACCCCACAGTCTTGGCAAAGCTTCTCCAACAACTCCGCCACTTGATATCGGTGATATCGGCTTTTGTCACTCTCCATCCGTGACCTCCTGCAATCGATGCTACAAAATGGTTATTCCGATAGTATTGCCAAGTTTCTTTGACTTCCTGATTTAGTTAATCAATAGATGAATTGACTTCCTCCGGATTACGAGCGCCGATGTCAGACAGTGCCATGTCAAAACCTCAGTGTGAGTAATCCACGTCTCATTACGTGCCCTCTGCCGCCTATGACAATAGTCGTCATACTTTGCACTCTTTGCCGTGTATCTTTCGGAGTTGGGCTGAGTTGATCATGATAGATGCCGTCGGATTTCATTTCGTCGTTAGCACGCCCACCCAGACCCAGGACAAGCACGTTCGGAGAGCCATTAGGAGTCATGCGACAAAGGCCGGTGGTGGAGCACGCCGACAGGACGCAAAACTGCGATCTTGGATATCTCCTAATCGGGAGCTTGGATCGCTCAAGCTAGCTATGCCTGGGGAGGCACCAACCCCAGCTCCCACCTTATCTGTATCGAGTCCACGGCGGATTGGCTCAGATTTCTCGGGACTACAACTACCGCTAGGAATAGAATCTCACATGATTCAAGAGCTAGTAAAGTGTATGTAGAGTCTCCGTGTGCCTTGTACTCCCTAACATATCAAATTGAATGACAGATATATCGAAGAGGACCTAGCTAAGTTAACTCTTAGTGATTGATATCAATAGTCATGGAGTTTATCCCTACGAGATTTGCCTTGACGTTCACCCAGTGGAGAGGGGCTGGTTTCCATATATGATCAGCGACCTGTGCTGCCTTCATTCAATGATGTTCTCGATTCAGGCTTTTACCGATGGGGGTTCGTATAACCAGCTGAGTCGCCGTGCCTGTCTCCATTATGCCAAAACCCTTCAGCTTCTTCAGGCTCGTCTTAATGAGATTGATCAGACAGTTGCGACATCTGATACTACGATTATGGTTGTGTTCTTTCTGGCCTCAGCTGCAGAGCTTATGGAGGATTATGCTACAGTGGAAAATCATGTCAAAGGGTTAGAAAAAATCGTTAACCTAAGAGGTGGAGTTCAGGCGCTGAATACGCACAATAATATGCAAGCCAAGGTCTGTCGGTGGGTTTTCCATCTATATTTACCAATTACTGTGATTTGGGTATAATATTGATATGACATAGCGCCGATTTGTCGTATGCCTTACTGTCTGGGAAACAACCACGTCTCTTCAGGGACGAAATTCAATGGAGCTGCTTCATTGCGGATCGCAACTTAACTCAATGCAGCCACCAGCCACATGATATTTATGTACATGCATTTCTCGGGGCTACAGTGGACAAGAGATTACATAACGCCTTGAGAGACCTCCACGCTTTCTCTTGTATCAGCAATCTCGCATACCAGACTACTCGAAAGCTCTCACCAGAAATCTATAATGAGATAATGATTTCCATCCTCTATCGACTCACAAACCTGTCATTTGAGAGCGACCCATTCCAGGAGGCGCTTCGAGTCGGCTTGCTAGCAGTTTCTTCGACCCTCTTTATGCAGCGGCAATTTATGGAAAATCCTTACGATCACCTATTGAATCTGCACCGCAATTCATTATGGAAACTGCGCGAATCTACTGACATTGGTATTCCCGTACCTATCGTGCTTTGGTTGACAATGTTGCTACACGTGGTGGAGAATAGGGAGCCTTCTTCTTCGCCGGACTGGCTTAGTGTTTGGCTTGACGAGGTTATTTTTCGCGCTGGCATTGATTCATGGCACCAAGCGCACGAGATACTGCGATCTATGGTGTGGGTAAATTTTGTCCATGAAAGTTGCGGGATGCTAGCCTTTGAAGCGGCTATGCTTCGGCTGGAAAGAGGAGCGGGATCTGAAGTCGAAAAAGCTTCTTCATAACAGCATGCTTAATTTTAACTCCATGCCTAGATAGAAATGTAGCATAGCTAGTCGAAGTTTAGGCCCCATCAAGATTCTGCACAATTCTAGTATTTTCTCCAGAGCTGTGCGGTGGCCTGGGGTCCAGGCACAGCTGGGGCATGCTGGCGGGTTCTTGCGGGTTGGGGATAGGGGTAGGCTTCGCAGCAGCCAGCAGAGGCTAATCCGCCATTAAAAGGGACCATTAACAACGAAAAACATATATTTCAAAAATAGCAATGGGGTTTGACGATTCCATTTAGATTTTCTACAGCTAGGAAGAGAAAGACTTGTCAAAGCCAGAAGGGGCCGAGCAGAGAATCCATGCCCTACACCTAATAAGCCGCCTGTATCAACGGCCCCACTGTCTCGACTCCATATAACCCCTCCCGTACCAACACGTCAATCCACCAACCTTTCAACTTTAACCTCCCAGCCTAGGTTCCTCATCTCGCTATCCCAGATACCTGCGCTTCATCTCCCCTGCTTATGTTTTATCTTTTAGGTGCTGAAAACATCTCGATGCGTTTTAAATTATTTCTTCTCAACCTTGGGTCCTTCGCGTGGATTTATGCAGGTTCGACTTCTCTCTACATGTTGCCATCATTCAGAACACACTGCCATTGTCCCTTGAACGACTCTCCAGCAATGCAGGCATTGTTTCCCGGAGCCCAATAGCAGTCCCCGACATTGTCAAGTCCATTCCTCATGATCCATAGACCATCGCCTCCACAGCCTTGCATGCTGTACTGGAAGTCGGTGTCGGGCACAGAGAAGCGGATATTGCAAGGATTTTGGTCGCCTGGCAGGCTTTGTCCTGTCGGTCCTGGGATGTAGGTCTTTCTCTTACATGGATCGACGCCGTTTGTCCAGGCTACCCAGAGGTTGTTGTAAGTTCCGAGGTTGATTTTGTTGGGGATTCGAGCCTGTCTTTTTGACAGGTTGGCGGAAGCAGGAAGTGTTGCTGCGGTGGCTAGGGATAGGCAGAGAAGTATTGCCTGCAGGCTGGTTGAAAAGTTGAGTTGCATGATGGTAAATATATTTTTATATGTTCTGATAGTTGAGGCGGGCACACGGGTAGCAAGTTGGATGTAGGCGGGTACGGATGTATGGAGAAATTATAGTAGCGGGATCCTTGATATATATTCTTTTGAGGCCAAGTGGGTAGAGAGGCTATGACAACCTTATTATCTGTTGCCCGTCCGAAGTAGAGATTGGAGGTATCCATTCTCGTTTCCCATTACAGCGTCTTGAATTGACGATCTGAGAACTTTTGAAGCTACGATGATCCTTTCTGCTCGAATAGTATGTTCTTCAAGAAGACCTGCCTAATGGAACGACTCGGTGAGAAATATGCGGCACATGTTCCCAGACCTCTGTGACCAGATTCTCGTATTCATCCCGTCCGCACTTTACTTGGAACGGGGCTGGTTTTAAATGCTATCGTTTCAAAGCAATCAACCCTTGGCCAAATGCCATGAGACCAATTAAAGCTAGTCAAGTCTCCTGGAAGGAGCCCTAAGCTTCTTAAAAGTTGTAACGATCGGCAGATCTTCACTTAGTATACGTCATGAAGCTGCTGACTGGTCGAATGCGGCTTACGCATGGCGCTTGGCGGATTCTATACTCGACCCAAGAGAGGAATTGAAGTGGCGCTCACTAGTATATACTCAATTCGGCTCTGTCGGCACAGCCCTCCAGAATTCTAAATTAAGTTGTTCTACGGCCCGCTAGCTCTATGTTCTTGCCGTTTGACGTCATTTGTACGCCTAACGGTAACTAGGGTATAAAGCGAAGGATCTAGCTATTAGATCGGCACATGGTAATGATCTTATTATGCGGGAACAGCCGACGGTCAAGGAAATAAGCGTCCGAGTACGTATCAAATAAGAGAATGTCAACTCTCTGGCTTGTCGTGCTTGCTTCATTTGGTTTCATCATTGGCGTTCCTTCGATTTCAGCTTGACTACCTGGTATTGCCCCTGCTTTGTTGTGGTATCATGGGCGAGATGACGGGCCGCCAGTTGCGCGTTAAACTTCGACACAGTCATGTTTAGGTAACTCTAACTTGTTATCTTAAACCTGTATACACATTCTCGTGTATGTTCAGTCCTACCTATCGCTTTTGCCGTCATGACAGGCTCCACAAAAGAGGCCTTAGTAAACATCAACAATCATTGTGAACCAAGCTGTTTAAAGCCGCTATACTCAAAAGGGATAGTGCTACTAGGTTTAGAGCGCCTTTTACTCCAGCTGACGAGTTCGGTGAGGATTGTCATCCCTGTGGCATGGAAGAGGGCGTTTGGAAAAGCAAGTAGAAGCAAATTTGTGTCCCAGAATAATCTGGTAACAAGCTCATCTGAGGAAGGTGGGGCACATAAACGAATATCTGAGTACGAGATAGTTGACGATCAATGTATCGGCAGGATATATAAAAGGCAAGAGAAGGCGCTGAATTGGCTTACGATCAACTCGGATTCCAGCTCATAATCACCACATCACTATTTATCTAAAATTCCACTTTACAACTGCAACAATGGGAGACGTTCTTCAGGCCATCGGGTTTGTTAGCTCTGCGTTGGGAATCTTCGGCTTTTTTAAGGCCAACCTTCCTTCGAATGCACCCAATGGTGCTGTCATTCGAATGAAAGTTGGAAATCAGGACTATGACAGTGAAAGTTACGTAGGTCTTCTAGATCCGTATATGGGATGTTAGTAGCCACTGATATTTAAACTAGGGAGGAGGAATTGCGCGTGTGATCGGCTATGACCAGCAAAATAGAATTGTTGGCAATGCTTACAGTATGTTAGCGTCCAAGAATACAGACAGCCTCTGATATTAGATCGCAGATAAGAAAATCTCCAATGGTGATTTCCAAGACATTACTCTTGATCAAGAGACAGACGGCATCCAGTCAAAATGTAAGTTATATTGATGTTTATTTGCTTTCAATCTTACGCAGTTATGGTTTGGCAATAAGCAGTTGTAAGCATCGTATCTAATTATCCTCATAGACATCGGTATCGTCAGCACTGGCGACGCCATCTGTCTTTCCTGGATAACTTTAAAAAACCGAGATGGTGCAAGTGACTCTGCATGGATTGGCGATATTGGAAAGTCATGTGGTCAAAACTGGGCCTGGGGAAATCAAGAAGCTGGATATGTTCAGGACACTGGCGAAAGAATCAGTCCATCATGCACGTGGCTAGACGCGGATCACACCAACGACATTGCATCAGGTGCTATGAAGATTAATTTTTCGGCCTATGCAGACAATTTGAATGATGCCATCAGCAGTGGCCGAGCATGCAGCGCGACATCGTTCTCGTACGGCGCTGGCGAAATCGATGGTACTTATTCCCACCAATCTTTACATGGTAACTAAGCTAGTGCTAATTTATGCTCAGGAGCCCCCGGGAAGAAGCGTGACGTTTCACTCAAGCCACGCCGTCCCGAATCGATGACCAAGCGCATTATCATCTCCACGGAAAATCCAACACATAATGCCACAGAATTGTGCACACACCCCATGAGTCATAGTTCAGATGTTGTTGGCTCAGATGGCTACTACTGCAACATGGAGACCCGAGAGCTGCACCCGCTTTGTTCTTCGTTCAACGTTGACGGGTGTGTAACCGTCGACATTGAAAGCGGAAAGATCCAGAAGAGGAAATCACTCGGAAAGCGTACCGCTAATGTGCACTACCGGTCATACGAGAAAGTATCAGTATGGTAGACTGGGAGGCCAATTTTACAGATTGCAGAGCAAAGTCAAGGGGTGTGTAACCACACTATAGATGGTAGTCTGGGAACTTCGCGGCGCACCTATCTGAAGGGGCATACAGCAAACTCACTTGTACAAGGGTTGCTGTTGCATAATTACAATACATACTCTTAAAGTCTAAACACAAGAGCTCTGAAGATCCTCACTATCTCTCCTGCTCTACTGGTTGCGTTCTCTTATTTTATTCGACATGTACTCACCTCTATTTGCTCATGGGCAACTCCTATTCCCAGTCAAAACGACGAATAATGTTCTTCAGTTCAGATATAAAATCGACGTATCTACAGCATCTAAATTCCTACTATGCATGAGAGTCGTTAGGTCCAAGGACGATAACAGGCCTGCCATTTCCATTAACCGCCTTAGTATGTCAATCTAAACACAATCCCCCCCCCATTTCAGGCAAAGAAGGTATTGTCACTAAACCATCAATGGCCTACATATATCAATACTACTTGGCCCTTCTTTTTACAACCACGTAATCTACGTCATCCTCCTCCTGATACCCACCTCGCAACAAAACCCCTTCCTCAAGAACCCCTCCCAGGTCTCAAACCTCTCCTGATAGAGCTCAAAGTCATATCGCCGGACCAACGTAGCCATCGCGAGCGTCACTTCCATTTCCGCGACGTTGCGCCCCACGCACGACCGCGGCCCGTGACCAAAGGGCACAAACGCCTTCTTCTGGTCGTCGGTCAGGGACTCCCAGCGCTCGGGCCGGTACTGGTCGCTGTCGGCACCCCAGATGCTCTCGAGGCGGTGTATGGTGTAGTTGGGTACGGAGAGCACAGTGCCGGGTTCGAACGTGCGACCGCAGATCTCGATGGCGGGGCCGTCGATGGGGACGACGCGGGGGAGGCCGAGAGCTGAGGTGGAGTGGATGCGCATGCCTTCGTTCATGCAAGCTTTGAGACTGATGGATGTTGTTAGCTTGATCTGAATCCACGCAGGGAGGGAAGGATTCGTTACTATGGGAGGTTCTTGACGGTTTGAAAGGCGACCTCATCAGTTGGTGACAAAATAACAGTGTCGACTTCGGCTTGTAGCTTTGCAAGAACTCCTGGGCTCTTTAGAAGCCAATAGAAAATGCTACGAATATTAGATTATCTGCCCAGAGATGGAAGATTGGAAAATCCTACCCAGTCAGAGTATTGGAGGTAGTGTCACTCCCGGCAATCAGTTGCGTTAGGGCCTCCGCCGTGAGTTCCTCACGCCCTAGAGGCTGACCTTTGACGTCCTTGCCCTCCATCAATCGAGTCAATATGTCCACACGTTCTGTCCCCTTCGTCGCCGTAGAAGCAAGGCGTTCGCCGACGCGCGCAATCGCAATCCCCGCGACCTGACTCCCGGAGCGGACGCCATTTCGTAGAAACGAATCAGGCAGGAGATGGCCTATCTTCTTCAAAAACGGCAGGCAGCCCAGCACTGCAAAGGCTTCGCCGCGTCGGCTCAGCGCGTCGACGGCGTGCATGTACTTGGAAGGCCCGCCGGGATAGTCCATGTATTCAATGGTGTCCTGTCCATTCTTCAGCATCCCGAATGGCGAGCCGAAGGCGAGATCCCCGATGGTGTCAAAGGTGAGATAGGCAAACCATGGGAGACAGTCGAAGCGCGCAAACTTGGAGTTCGCTGGGGCTTTCTGGCAGATTAGGTCCCACTGACGGAGGAGCTCGTTCAGATTCTGATGCATATACTGCTCAAACTGCATCACGCTCTTGGCTGAGAAGGTATGGGCAACGATCTTGCGCTTGCGGGTGTGGTCGGCGCGGCTGCGAGTGCTGAAGAGACCGCGAGACACTGCCACAAAGGCGTCATAAAAGTCGCTAACGTGGATATTAGTCATGTGGTATAGGAAATAGATTACGGGATATAGAGATCTTGCCTCTTAAGGAATCCATTTCCATGGCCATAGATGGCATTGATTGCATTGACATTGGCGATGGAGACATGATTAGGCTGGATTCTAACAAAATCTCCATGGGTCTTATGTGCGTCGTCAACTGTAAGATAACGTCTCCCGAATCTTGCTTCCCGGACTAGCCAGAATCTCGTCAAAGCAGCCCATGGCGAAGCTGCCGGTATATCAGACAAACTCCTATTCTGGAACAAGTATCCGCCGACATAGTAGACGACAAGGAGGCCGAGGGCCACCAAAGAAGCAATCATGACAAGAGGAAACATTGTGTAGGGAAAGAATACACAACGAAAGATAGAAAGCTATAGCCTATAATGACAAAAATGAAATCGAGAGGACTTATAATAATCAGTGATATGCTCATTGCCAACCCAGTGGGCCATCATATGCTCTATATCCACCCTTGCCGCATCAATTTACCAGAAGAAACTGGGGGTAGATCATAGCTACCCATCTAACGTCTCCCACACTTGTATACATATAGGTGATATTGACATGGATATCATCATAGTATCGGTATACCCGGAATGGATGGTGCTCCCGAGTGGTGTGGGATGGTGTCGTGTATGCACGGATGTTGCACCGGATAGTGCACCGAACCGGACACGGCGCTTTTTTCCGCCAATGCCGCCATGTAATACCGAGAGTAAGGAAGGCCCCCACTGATTTTAAACGACCAATAAGGGTACGGCGCGGGGTAAGTACGGCGCGGGGTAAGATCTCCACAATGGAATCATAAGCCAGCCTCGTCTCTCGACATGCGATATGCAGGTCTACCGTGATCATTGCCGTGAGTTAACGTTATGTACAGCTGTGGATGTTGCAAGATGTAACTATAGCCGCAGTAACCTAATGATTTTACTTTTTTTCTCGTCTTATCTCGCGCACTATTTCAGCTTTCACGATATATATCCTTTCACGGCACTGATCAGTTTATTGTCGTGTTTCACCACCTTTGCGTTTCCCTTTCATCGAATTCTTCGTAACATACCTCCAACATGTCAGCCGACGCCCAAACCAAGCCCATCCACCCCAATCAGCAGCGCCTCATCGACCTCGCACGCGAGTTCTTCGCCGAGGTCGAGAACCTGTAAGGCACGCATGTCTCCCTCTCTCGCTGACGCTAACCCCCCCCAAAGAACCCCCGGCAAAGACCTCGAGGCCCGTCTGAACACCGATTACGGCCGCGGCAACCGCTACTATGATGGCTTCTGCTCGCTCATCCAGGGCGGGCTCACCAATAACGAGGGCTGGGTTGCCACCGACCCCCTCGATGGGCCCAAGTACCGCCGCTCCAAGGTTGCGTGGCCGAGCGAGGAGAACCGCTTCTTCAGCATCACCACGGTGTACATGGAGAGCATCGAAGAATACCGCGGCCAGTACCATCAGCATCCATATGGCGAGATTAACTGCGTCATCCAGCTGACGCCCGGCGCGGAGCTGATGGGCATGAATGGCTGGCAGGGAGAGGGCTGGACGAGCCCTGGCCCGGGGACGCACCATTATCCCGAGGTGAGGGGAGGGGCGCTCATAGCATTGTTTTTCTTGCCGGCGGGGAGGATTAGTTATGAGGCGAAGCCTGGGATGCCGCAGCCGATAAGCGTGTAATACTTGACAATGCCATTGTCAGAATGGGGATGTTCTTGATTGTAGTAGCCTAGGCGAATTGGAATTTAAAGGAAATTCACTTTAGAAATAGGTATACTATACGAACATTTTCTTTGGTTTTGTTTGGCAATAAGTAAATAAATATCACCCCTGGTAGTAGTTATCCTGATCGCCTTGCTAATATGTGCACCGCGCCATCTTACACATAAACCACAAGGGGAATGAAAACTCGTACGTAGAATTCAACGCTCATAATCTATGGCCTCCCCATGGCTTGCTCAATAACTTTTAAGATAGCCAAGCACTTCTCGTCCTCAAACCTCCTCGTCACAAGCTGCAGACCGATCGGCGCATCTACATACTGCTCCGGAGAATACAAGTCGTAATTGAACTTGTCCTGCTCATTCATCGGCAGATAAGTTGTATCCTTCACGTCAATTTCTGGGTCGACGACAGACACTGGGAACCCTACTCCTGGATATTCAAGCATGTTCCACTGGCTTGTATAGCTCCAATATTTTGAGTTACCATGGGGTGGCGCGCAACCAGGTGCCGCAGGGAGTAGGATGGCGTCAACAGGGTGCCCGTCATCTTTTCCTGTGCTCAACCATAGTTTGTTATACTTGAGACGGTATCTATCGCGACGGACCTTGAGCTGTTGAGAAGTGAGTGAGAAGGTATACGGAATGATAGAGGCAGTAGAAGACATACCGCACAAAGCGACTCAATACTCTGATACTTAACGTTTGGGTTATCCTTCACCAGCCATTCGGTGAGTGGTAGCATGTCCTCGCCACCTTCTGCGTTAACTCTATCCTCTGCTCGGCCACCATCCTCAAAATAGAGCGCTTGGGTAATGTTCCAGCATTCATCATGCTCTTCAGGAACCCAGTCTACGACTTCATGCCCAGCATCTCTGATAGACTTCGCTACTTCTCTTAGTGCTCGAGTTATCGGCGGATGTGGCGTGACGATCCTATCCGACCACATTACTGCAATCTTGAGCTTAGGCGGTAGTTTAACTGATCTCCACGGGATTGGAACAAGATAATCATCCTTTATCCACGGTTCATAACTCAGATACGCATCCATAAATAGTGATAATCCAGACAGGGACGTAGACATGGGACCTCGCGTGGGCGGAATTCCTTCTTGTCCGAGCATTGCTAGCTTTGTTCCCACTTTTGCCAGGCGACCAGGTGTGGGCTTAAAACCGTATATGCCCGTATGTGCTGCTGGACAGCGGATAGAACCGCCAACATCACCACCGACACCCTGAATAATTAGTGATGACCAAGATATAATGTGTTGAGTCGGACGTACAAGTACACTGCCACGCATTGCAATCAATGCCGACTCGCCCCCCGAGCTTCCACCTGGGGTTAAGTCTGTATTGTGAGGATTGAGAGTAATTCCATATATATTAGAAGCTGTTTCCAGCTGCATAACTGCCTGTGGCTGGGTGGTACGTGCGTAAAAAACGCACCCAGCTTCCCAGAGAACGTCATTAACGCTGACATCTACGGCCTGTTGTTGTCCAATAAATGCAACATATGAGGCATGTGTTGTACATCCTTTCATGCCTTGGTGTTCTTTAACTGATATCGGAAGGCCATGGAGTGGTCCGATAGGCTCAGGGAGAGAATCGAGATATCTCGCCCGCTCAATGGCTCTCTCTGGAAGGAGTTCGGTGATGCAGTTGACCTGGATATTGATTAACTAACTATGCTTATAGAGTAATACGAAATATAGATGAGAAAGTGTAGTGAAGCCTCCTTGTAAGGATTATTTTGATGATTTATAACTCCATATCTAATATACTTAGAGAGGATTTACTGCAGCGCGATAACTTACAAGTTTCTGTGCTAGTGCAGCTCGACGCAGGAAGGCTCGAGTTACAGCCTCGCAGGTGTAGGACTTATCGCGTATTAGCTTAACCAACTCCGGCGCATCGAACGAGGTGATTTTGAGTTCTTCATTAGTGAGAATATCATCTGCGATACGAGAGACATTCTTCGGAGGAGTATTAGGTATGCTGAATAGGGGAGGCTGGACGTCTGCTACTGAAGCATCGCGAAAATGGAGAGCTTGGGCGATCAGCCTTGCAGACATGGAAGATCGTTCCTCTGGAGACAGCGATGATGCAGGTGGCGTTTTATCCATGTTAATGTTAGCCTTTGAGGGTTGTCGCTGGTGGCCTTAGCTTTTTTTTGGTTAACTGATTTGCGTCTACAACCAACTGTGGATTTAGAGCAGAATTATAGCTCCCTAAACACAATTAATCGATGAAGGCATTTTCGCAGATGATCGATACCTTGGTAATCGACACGCTGGTGAATTCCTAGCTTGTTTAGAAAGTGGCAGCGGATGTGTTCGGACATCGGATAAGGGCCGGGTAGGGACTCGGATGGGACCTACGCACTGTACCTTACAAATACACGCTAGTTTTTCTAACCCACCGCACCGGGTGGACACTACTGGCGAGACGAAGTATGTCCGGGTACATACTAGTATCATGGGGTCGTATTCCGTTGATTTTTGTTAGTATGGGGTAAATATAGAGCAAGGATGATCATTGTTAACTTCAGCCGTAGTTCAGATAAGGAGATCGGAATAGGTTACATACATGCGTTCATTAGAATGAGCTTTGTTGCTACAGTTTGCTCATGGCCCCCCTGTTCACCAACCTGACACATACCTTATCCGTCCCGACTTTGGTGGCTTTCTTAAGTCGCAAACTGACCCACAGCCCCATGGCATTATTGGATATCGTATGTGAGCTGGTCCCTTATCGGTTTTCACTCTTTTAGCACTAAGGGTCTGGTCTCGGATACAGAATCCCCTGCTATATTTCCCCTCATTTCTAATATCTAATCTTAATAATTGTACAGTATGTAGATTTCCTTGATAACTGTAACTAGAGTCCGCCACACTTTATTGAGCGGTCGTATTTTATTATATATGAGACTACGTCGGTCTCATCCTTACCTGTAGCAAGTTATTATCTATTCTATTCTAGCTAAGTTACTTAAAATGTCTGCTACAGATCCGGATTTTATGGCGGTCGTTCCACCAAAGACGTGGGTTAGACTCAACAATCCTGCTATACAAAACTTTATCACTGGGCTTGTTATTGCCTGCTCAGCTGGTATTTACCTTGCCCTCACTGGTCTTGGCGCCGGTGGCGGCAAACCCAGCTCACAGTATCTTGCGTCGACATCAAACTCGTGAGTAACTTCTTGCATGTCCCAATCTTCCGATACTTGTCTAAATGTCAAAGGATCCTGTACGCCCTGTTTGCAGTCTCAGGATGGGTCTCAGCTGGGTTTCTGAATGCCTTCGGGCCTAAAATTACAATGTAAGTATTGCCCCCCGATATACACGGATGTAACCTAACAAGAATTCACAGGGCTATCGGTGTTCTTGGATATCCTTTATATGCTGCAGGATTGTGGTATTTTGATGTTTCCGGAAATGAGTGGTTTGCTCTTTTCGGTGCCGTCATGAACGGTATTGGAGCCGGCCTCTTGTTTACAGGTGCCGGGTTCGTTCAATTCGCATACGCCGAGGAGAAGGAGAAGGGCATGGTGAGAGATTTTTCAACTTCTATAGGCGAAAATATATTTACCCTCCTCCATAGTACATTTTCTGGCAACACACTATGCTCAGTGGCGGAGCCATTGTTGGAGCCATTGTTACATTTGCTATCAATTTCCACAGGGCGAAGCCGAGTGTTCCAACCTCAGTATATGCAATCTTCGTTGCAATCATGACTTCTGCCAGTCTTCTTGCATTGGCATTTATCATCTCGCCAAAGAAAATCATTCGCCATGATGGTACACACCTTGCGGAATTCAAGAAAACTACTGTGAAGGAGGAGCTTGTAGGCATGTGGCGAGCAGCATCAACGCCCAAAGTCTTCCTCATGCTGTTCCCAATGTTTGTTTCTGAGTTCGCTCTTGGGATCCAAACGAGTTTCAATGGCATGGCAACCTTCGGTGGCTCTTCTAGATAATCCATGCTAACTTTGTCTAGGATATTACTTCTCTCTCCGCACTCGAGCTCTGAATACAATTCTATACAACGTTCTCCAGATCATTCTTCCCGCCATCCTTGCAGCGCTCCTAGATGCACAATGGATCGGCATTCGCAAAGTTCGCGGAATTATTGGCGTTATCTTCACTGCTGCCACGACGATCTCTCTCGCGACCGCCGAGCTCATTTATTTTAAGCAAAAGGTAGATCGGACGAAACCCGGGCCATCTATGGACTGGTCGGATCCAGGGTATGCAAACATCATGATTCTCCATCTGCTCTGGGGTGGCTGCTTCTGCTGCTGGACTTTCATGGTGCAGTGGATCATGGGTTCAATGTCGAACAAGCCAGAGGTCCTCTCCCGATACGCTGGACTATTTAAAGGCACCTCAGCTCTCGGTGTTTGCGTCGCCTTTGCAATTGACGCTAGGAAGCCACAGTATTGGGTTGAAATGGCTATTCATTTCGCGTAAGTAATTTATACATCTCTATAGATTAAGGGACATGCTGACATGATATGCCGAACAGTCTCTATATGGTCGCAATTTTCATCATGTTCTACGTAGTCTGGTTTTCTATTACAGATACAGACTATCTAAAGGAGGACGGGGTTATTGTGCCTACGAAGGTGGCTGAAGAGCTCATTGGCCCGGACGGAGTCTCTTTGGATACAAATAAGAGCTATCAGACTGAGTTCGTTGAAGAGAGGAAGTAAACGTATTTACGAGCAAAATTAATAATTTTGGTGCCTCGTTTCGTATAGTTTCAGACCCGTTTATTTATCTTAATCTAATCTATCTGAGATGTAACAATGGACCATACTCGCATTCTCAGTCATGCTTTGAACCTTTAAATTCTATTTTTGGCTAAACAGTGTAATTTGGGCCGTAGACTCTCCATTTTATTCCACGTCCATGTCTGTGGGAGGTGAGATGTGGGCAATGGTATCTCCAATTGGCTACTAGTGTAGAATTGGACTTGACCCCATTCGTACCCCACACCCCACATCCTCGGCCGTCATTTAGCTAGTCCAACCCAAGGCAAGGTAAGATAACGCGTGCCCCCGCCTCCGGTAGCAGACGCGGGGATCTAATACCTGGACAGACGTCCGCCAAACGCATCCAAACCAGTTTTTATTATTCTAATGATCTGTCCAGGAGACTAATTATATTATGTGAGGAAACCGTTAAATGCCTAATCATCTATGCCCCGTCCCAAGGTCGACCCCGCATCTCGACGGCGGGTAGCGCGTGCTTGTTGCTATTGTAGGGTCTCGAAGCAGAAGTGCGATGGCCTGACGCCTTGCTCTCAGTGCGTGAAACGGAAGCGACCAGAAGCCTGTAAACGCCTTGCTTCCGACGACAACAAGGAAGAAGCCCGCCCCCAGCCAGATCACGCATCCCCAGCCTTGAACCAGGCCGAACCATCCCCCCCAGGTATATCAGATGTGGTTACATCGACCCCGTCCGCGCCTGTAGCAATCTCGGGGGATAGCGAGACGCCGTCGTCGGTACCTTGCCCGAGAGGTTTGCAGGCCAGAACCACGGTGCCAGAGCTTCTTGTGCCTCGAATGTCTGGGATGATGTATGATATGAAAGGAAAAGCGGGTATGTATCGTAACTTGTTTAAATCATCATCATATTCACGTACTCTGACACCCTGAAAATACAGTTTACCTAGGCAATTGTGCAACACTACACTTTCTACAGAATATCCAGCAGCTGATAGCCGATCAGTCGAACGACGTATTCTCATCCTTGAACTCGGATGTCGCCAATATGTCATTGATGGAGGAGCTACCTCCCTTCGAGCTACAAGATATGGAGCCTCATCTACCTAGTGATGTCGGAGACCTTAAAGACTTGGTTGATGCCTACTTTACTTCTGTGAGCCGCTCCTACCATGTGGCTAGACCACGCCGAGAAATGTAAAGGAGTCTGGGCCGCTAACATGAATATTCAGACTTGCGGTATTATTGATATTTTTGATGTAGCCCAGTTCATGTCTGAATTTAGGCACTGGATAAACGGTCTCATCCCCCCAAAATGTGGGACAGCTGCAGTCATTTACCTAGTCGTTGCCCTCGGGGCACAAGCAAGGGGATCAAGCCTGCTCGACAGTCGACGAGCACAGTCGTTCTATCATCATGGGCGGCTGATAGCGCTCCAGGAACTAACTAACGATCCAACACTGGAGACGATTCAGGCATTTTTACTCATTAGCATGTATATGCTAGGATGCAGCCGAAGGAACGGCTCGTACTTGAATTTGGGAACTGCAGTTAGCGCTGCGAAATCTCTAGGACTCCACAGAGACGAGGCCAATGCAGCATTTAGTAAGGAGGAACAGCAATTAAGGTAAGTTTTGAAAGCCGAGGCTTTTTGGGTTTATCAGTTACTAAAATCATATCTCAGGTGTCGCATTTGGAAGACACTTCGCTTCCACGACTTATTTTTCAGTGCCATGATGGGCCGGACATCTGCCATATCAGCCCGAGAATCTAATATTTCCCATGCTCAACATCCAGTGCCAGAATCACCGAGCCTAGAATTCCTCCGCGCAATATCCCTTGAGGAATCCGCCCGTGCCTTCCTAATCATTGAGAGGATCATCAACGAAGTGTACACCAAGCGCACCGTACCTATAGCGCTCCTCCAATCAATTGGCGGCGAGTTGAAAGAATGGAGTTATCGTCTTCCTGCGGCCTTAAGAACGTCCGTCAATCCGCGGCATCCGAGAGAGTCGATCTTTCTCTCACGTGAAGTCGTGCTAAGAAATACGCACGTTGCCTGCTCGTATTATTTCGCGATGATGCTTCTCATGAGGCCATTTCTTATTGCGCATCTCAAGGCTAAGTCGATGAGTTCAGGCCTGGGGCGGAGTGCTGCGGAAGAAAGAGAAACAGACGTGTCTCCCGAGATTTATGATGGAGCAATCGCCTGCATCGACTCAGCAATCTATACGCTGCAGTTGCTCCGCGAGCTTCTCGTCGCCGATATGCTCTTCAAAAACATGCCACTCGCAATGTGAGTTTCATGGATTGTCGACGCTTTGCCCCTTGAAACTAACTGAGAGAATAGTGCATGGATCTTCGTAGCAGCCCTTGTTGTCAGCTCATCTCACTTTGGCGGCATAGGCCCAGAGAAAGAAATTGAGCAAGCTATTCGGAATACCGACGAACTGCTACATTGCTTTGCTGCGAATAGCCCACAGGCGGCGCGTTACCACCATATTGTGAAGAGGCTGTTTAAAGCTGGCGTAGACCACCAAAACAGGCTTAAACAGAGAGCCCGACTATCACGAACGACAGTGGTAGCAGAGCTGTTTCGACTGAGCCCTAGAGAATCGACGGAGAATGCGACAGACGGGGTCGCTCCGAAGGATTCGGAGGATGAAGAGGTGGCGTATCAAAACCTTTGGTCCACACCACCGGAGAACGAACTCCCAATCTACACATCTACATATAAGGGGCAAATGACTCCAGGGGCGTCGAATATAGCCCCGGATGGGGCGAGCGGCCAGTTTATTGGATCCGGGGGAACCTCGTTGCAGGGCGGCGAATACCCTGTTAGGCGGCAAATGCCCGGATTCGTTGCACAGACGCCTGGCCTTGCAGTGCACGAGCAGGAGGATGCCCGTGCTCGTATGGCAAACTTTGAACACTTGTTTTCCGGGCCGATTGACTTCGGACCTATGCTGGATCATAACTCCCTGATGCTCACGGGGAGCGGGAACGGGAACGGGAATGGGAATGGGAACGACATATTTGATTTTCATTGGGTTTGACTGGACATGGAGGCGAGATCGCTGTAGGCGGCGGTAACCTGATTACCGATGGCGGAGTGATGCCGCTCAAGGCTGCGCCGAGCGCTACTCTGCTCATCCTTGAGGCGGAAAGGGGCTCAGATTCCACGTTATGCCCATTGAGAGTAATAGACAAGTGGATTACAAGCATGTGTATGGCAGAGAATACGGGATGCCCAATTCTCTTGAGTATGTAACTATTCTCCCCTTAGATGGGAGAAAATATCTTAAAAATGATGAGAACTTAAACCTCGAACGCAACCCCATTCAGCTTCAAACGCACTATTAGCATTCGTGAATAGTATGACCATTGTTAGGCATATGTTTTGTTCTATATCATCTAGGTCTATTATCTAAGTCTATTATCGAAGTACAGATCCTTATTGAACACGTACACAAAGGTTACCCTGACCCCCCGTACATCCTTCCTCCCTCCAAACCCCTTTTCCATACCTACACCGCGCCACCAACATTCCCAATCGACAGCGACCGACGCTTTGCAGCATACCGAGCACTTTACCGCATAATTGCAGACCCAAAATCCCAGGACGACGTCGTGCACTAGTAGTATGGGAAGCTGTGGCGCGAAGTATTCATGACCACTATGCCTTCCTCCCCTTCGGCACCCGACAAAGCCAGTAAAGAAACACCGCAGCCGCAACATTGAACACAACGTATACCCACAGCAGACCAAAGTCTCTCCAGCGGGTAGCCCAGTCGACATTTATGCGCTCTAGAAATTGGTTGGTGCTGTTCAGCTGGCAATAATCACACTCGCCGGTAGCCTGCGGATCGCGAAGAAAACCACCCGCTACTGAGATATATTCTCGCATGTACTCTTCGCAGCTCTGAGCCGCTGGTGCGAAGAAGGTCTGGAACTCTGTGCTGTCGCATGAGACTGGCGCTTGACCTAGTGTTGATGACATGAAGCTTGAGACAAGATATGTGAATGGATTCACCTAATATCATGTTAGTGTATGCTCGTAAAATCCGGGATATGATACAACATACGCGATACATAAAGATCCAGAACCGTGGCAAGGCGCTCGGCCCTGCTAGAATGCCACAGAAAGCGTACAGCATGATTGAAGCCAGTGTCGCGACAGCGCCCGCAATCGGTTCATTTGGTAAACCAGCAATAATCATATGTGCTAGCGAACTTGCAAAGAGAAACGCAGCAACGATAATCAGGAGTGTCTGGAAAGCACGGATGTTTACGGAATCAGTCCACTCAGCGTTTCGGTAGAGGCCAACTGGGTAATACCAGACAAGGAAGCAGAAAATGGCCATGAACTGTGTATAATGTGAGCCTGACATCCTTCAAGTGGGTTTTAGGTGCAACTTACAGCGTTCCAAGCCATCTCTACCGCAATATTAGAGAATACAAACGTTTGCCAAGCATATGTTTTTGACTGTCTTTCGCGAGCCTCGTAGAGCGTCCTTTGACTAACGAACATGGGCATGATCTGGAACAATAGCTGGATGAGGACGAAGAGAAAGATAAAAACGCCATACATCTGGTTTTGAAGTCCTTGCATGGTGTTGTCACCCTTGAAAAAAGAGAAGCCAATTAAGAGAGAACAACCGATTGTGAGGAGTGCCTTCGAGTAGATGTAAGATGGTGTCCTCCAATATTGTTGGGCGCAGCGCAGGGTGACTGCTCGTAGCTGGGTCATGAAGGTTGCTGCGAATTCTTGATGGCTTCCATGGGATGAGTCCATGGTAGCGGAGGGTTGGCTGGCAAGGTCTCGTAGTCTAGCAAGCTCTATTTGCACGTTGGTGTACTCTTTGCTCTCTTTCCAGACTGCAGGCCAGTCGGTAGGTGTATGGGCCCCGGGGGCTGCACCTATCGCCTCAAGCATATACTCGCCAGGGTTAGTGCCAACAGGGCATTCCGGTGCACCATTCCGAGCGAAATAGTCAAGGAGCACCTCGGAGTTGCGACCAATATCACCAAAGTAGACTGTACGACCACCTTTAGCAAGAAGTAGCAGTCGGTCAAAGCGTTGGAAGAGCAACGATGATGGCTGATGGATCGTGCACAAGATGGCCTGGCCGTTCCGGGTAAGCTTTTCCATTAAGTCGCAGATAGACCAAGACGTCTGACTGTCCAGGCCAGATGTCGGTTCATCAAGAAACAGAAGGAGCTTGGGGCGGGCTGCAAGTTCGACACCAATGGTCAGGCGCTTGCGTTCTGTAGGCGATTAGTATGTGATGATGGAGCAGGTATAATAAAAAACGTACGCTCCACATTCAGACCTGATCCGGGTACACCAACAACAGCGTCTGCGTACTGTTCCATATCCAGCAAGCAGATGACATGGTTGACATATGACAGCCTCTCCTCGCGCTTGTATTCCGGTGGTTGTCGCAGAAGAGCCGAGAATTCAAGTGCCTCTCGTACCGTGGCAGTCTCTAAATGGATGTCTTGCTGCATAGCATAGCCGGTTTTTCTCTGGAAAGACTCGTCCCGCCCTCGTCCGTCTACCAGCATGTTTCCAGAAATCACACCCATGGTGGTTCGGCTAGCAAGAACGTCGAGCAACGTGGTTTTGCCTGCGCCCGACACACCCTGTTAGTGAGTTAGCATTTATCTTACTCTGTTCTGCCTAATAAAGCTCACCATGAGTGCTGTCAGAGTCCCTGGCTTGATCCAACCATCGACAGAGTCTAGGATTGTACGAGACTCGCCCTTGATTTCAACTTCATAGTTCACCTTCTCCCAATGGAAGATCGATGCCTGCTTTTCTACGTTGTGCTCCGGGCGATCGCTATTGCTGATCTTCTCGCCATCGTGAGCAGACGCACTACCGGTTTCTTCATCTCCTGTGTCTCGTTTTCTCTTCGTCTTCATGCTGGATCGTCGGAAGACAAGGACTTCGCCCTTTGAGCGCTCCGAGGCAACAAGCTCACTCATCACGAGATGTGCGATAAGTAAAGCGAATGTAATCACAACGATTATTCCGTAATTGCGCCATCTGTTTCCGTACTGGTACTGAAATGCAGTCTCAACAAATGCGGTACCACTAACAAATTCCGCACCAGGCTGAGAGCCCTGGACAGCGCATGCTCTTTGATTTGCAGCAATATTTTCGTAGAAGGGGCCACTTGGAACAAATGCAGAGCAATTAAATTGACGTCCGTGAAACTCATTGACCATCACGCTTTCGAATCCATAGGAAATGGGGTTGATCCAACGAAACCAGCTCGCCCATCTATAACAATTAGTAAAGACTTGACGAGAAGGAGGCTTGCAAGGTTAATGTCCTGCAAATATCTCCAAGGACCATTTTCCCACTTCAGTTGCAGTAAGAGGCCGGGAGAATACGCACCCTCTCATATATTGTACAGGAATGGCGAATCCAGTATACATAACGAGCAATATAAGGATAATCGAACTTGGAGCCAGAGCTTGTGCGATGGTCTTCGTCATCGAGGCAAAAAGACGGAAAAACATGCTCATTGATAGTGTCATAGTAAAGGCAACAAGAAGGAAGAAAAAGAAGGGACCTGGCTCGCGGCGTAAGTTCGCCATGAAATATAGCGTAGAGTTGACAATGAGCGAATTCGTAATCTTGTAAGGCATATCCACTATCATCGAGGAGAATGCTTCGGCACTTGGGTGGTACAGGGCGTATCGGTTGTGCTAGTGTTTATATTAGCAGTGTAGTCGGCGAAGCCAATGTGCGTTTTCACCTTTTCAACAATCGTTCGTTTCGCATAAAGAGAAAATATTTCTAACAAGCTGCCAAATGCGTTGAGGAGGACCTGGTGCAGATATTAGTCACCCTATAGGGATTGAACGACATGCCTAAAAGGCAATGCGAGTTGGGAATAACTGACCATCATGAAGAGAACACCGCCACGCATAAAGAACGATTCTGTTGTTTCTTTCAGATTGTAGTATACGCTAGCAATAATGAGGGCCTCGAAGAAGTTGATCGTTAACATGGCTAATGGTACGGAAGGGTCGTTCTTGATCTTCCGAATGTCGCGCCACATGCAAAGTCTTATCTGTCCCCAGTATGAAAGCGTGTATGGTGATTTCTGTCGCTGCTTTCGAGACTTCTCGAGTGTTCTTGCTTCAGCGAATTTTTCAAGGTTGTCTCCACTAAGTGGATGGTCCTGGCCGTACTTCTCAATTTCATGGAGCAGAATTTGCTTTTCGGGGCTCTCCTTCCAGCACCGAGAAAAGTCGTCCGAAGTCCGTGGTGTTGTGTTTTCATACCCAGCTTTGATCCGGCGTTCTGATGGTGAGGTCATCGAAGTTAGAAAGTCCGGAGTGGTTTGTGACGCAGGACACTCGAAACCAAGGCGCTCGAAATAGCTACGTGCGGCGTTCGCAGGACCAAAGAATATCTGACGACCCTCATATAGGACAATAACCTTGTCAAAGACCTATTGAAACTTAGTCGAGTTCTAATCTTCATCGGTGTATCACGAACCTCGTAAGCAGCTTGTGGCGCCTGGTAGATAGCAACACAAGTAGACGCACCAAACACATCGCATTGTGTACGCAATGTCTTGCAAAACTCGACTGAGTTGGCTGAATCGAGGCCGCGCGTGGAGTTATCCCAGCATTGCAACGGAGCAAAGCTTAGGGCAGCTTCTGCAATCGTCACTCTCTTGCGTTCGCCTCCGCTAACACCTCGTACAAAATCGTTGCCCACTTTGGTGTTCACAGTATGGCCCAGACCGAACATCGCCATGATGACCTACACGTAGTTAGCACAGAATACGAAGACAAGCATGGGCAGCGTACATCACGGAGGTGTTCGGCGTAGCATGTTCGACTAACACCACCAGGTATCAGACGAGGGGCACGAGCCAGGGCGGCGAAATAGAGCGTGTCCCCAACACTCAGTTCAGCAAAATGCGCGTCTACCTCCGCTGTGTAGATAGCCTCGCCCCTAAACTCGGTGTTCATCTTCCTAGCTGGAATACCCTGAAAATTTAGGTAGGATTCTGGACTGACTTGAAAGCCATGGGTCTCGCCAGCAATCGTCTTCAGCAGCGTAGAGCATCCGGAACTGCTAGGTATTAGTGATGTAGGAAGATAATAATAGGCGGATGAAATACCCAGGTGGACCTAGAACGCAAAGCTGCTCGCCAGGAAGTAGCAGTCCGTCGAGATCTTGCAAGATCTCTATTTTCTGAGTACCGCGTCCGAACAATGATGGCAGCTTCAAAATGTAGTTGCCTACAGTAGACTGAAAATCCGTAGGAGATCCTTTGCCCCAAACATTGAGGCCTCTAAAGGCAACACCAGCAACGCGAGGAATGGCTTCCTGGCTGCTATAGCGCAAGTCATAGAACGCCTTAGCCCAGTCTCTCGCTCGAAACCGGTCGCTGTTAGGGTTTAATCGGCTATTCTCGGCAGCAGAAAATGGTGATTCAAGGTAATGTTGTTCTGCCTGGGACGTAAACTTTCGGACAAGCTCGAGGACTTCCTGATCTTGTAGCCTCTCATGTTTGATCTCGTCCCTGTTTTCATGCTCCGAACTCGAGCTTGAATAGACGTTGATATGTTTAACGATTGGAGTTTCGAGACGAGATGTCTTCTCTGCAGCATCTGGCGCATCGGGCATGCTGAACTTGTCTAGGGCCCGTAGCGGTCCACGATGGATATATCCTGAGCGATTTCAATAGCTAATAGGTCTCGTGAAATAGCACAGCAAGGGTATGATGATTATATGATTTCATGGAGGGTATATGCCTTATATTTGTCTGAAGATAGACGTTGTGAACCGACCTGAATGGAAGGCTGACGCAGTCGCAGCCGCGTCCTTTTAAATATTCTCATCTTCACACTTTGAAGAGAGCCCCCCTTCCGGAGTCTTTCAACCCCGAATGTCCAGTACCCAATCCTAGCTAGGCATGACACCATTGCAATGCCCAAATGCCAATGCGGAGCCTTCGCTGCGGCTAAGAAGCTAATTTGCATGTCGTAACAAGGCACCAGCCTAGAACTTCGCCTTCCATATCGTGCAAAGCTCTGCATTCATTCTGTCCGAATGTCCGTACGCTGGTACATAATCGATGGTCGTGTGTCCGGACTTTCGGCTTCCGGAGTCCGGCGAACCACCTCAACCTTTACACTAGTCAAAGAATAGTCAAGCGTTTTGTCTTGGGCCCGGGTGGGGCTCATTAGCGCCTGAACTCATTGACAGTACGAGTACGAGTACCAGTCACGTTCTAGCATTGCACGTATAATCCCATGCCCTGTATTACGAAGATTGAATGCTGAGAGACCCCCCTGAGGAGGCGTCCATTTATTCGCATATCTCTCGCAACTTCGGTCATCAGTATCCCCGGACTCAATCTCGATTTAGCAGCCAACTTTTATCATAGCACGTGAGCAACTGTAACCTCTTACGGAGGTGAAGAATACGTCAATCCGGGACACCCTTGAATCACGATGAAACTTGCCGTACCGTACCCGAATTCTTTCTTTGACAACTTGGTGCTGATCATGATCTCAGTGCATGCGCTGTAAGCGGAAAAAGGTACGTGTAGTACTCGCGAGCATACTTCTAATATAAAAGCATGCTGGTCTGGTGGTTAGATATACTGGCAGGATCTCAGCATCACACAGTTCCCTTTAGATCGATTGTGCCAGGACCCAACTCCTAACGATGCTAGATCAAATGCGACAAAATAGAGCCGATCTGCCATCAATGCATTACCGCAAAGACAGAATGCCAGTATGGCGAAAGACGACAAAGATCAAGGATGCCACAGCAGCATGGGTCAATGCAACACTTAAGTGAACGACTTGAGCTGCTGGAGAGGCAGATAAGCCGTCCTGGTACTGAATGCTCACTGTAAGCCTTTGTACTTGCGCGGCACTGCAAGCTCTGCTAACAGCTTGCTAATGATATAGTCCTACGACCTCACCGCCACACGAATGTAACCCGCCGTTTGTGGCAACCACTGGCATAGATCCAGTACTCTCTCCCACAGCGTCGTTGATGACTGGCGATGGTCAAGAATGTGAGTGTCCCCCTGAGCGTAATCTAATCATATCTGTTGTCTTGTGTCAAGACTCAAGGGTGCTTTATATGAGTACTAACAAACTGTAGCATGGGTATACCGCATGGTCTCGGACGTCAGGCGTAATTTGCAGAGTCAGGAAACCCCTATTAGTACGCCAACGCCACGGATAGACGATGCAATGTTATCTCTCAACGAAGCCCTCGACGATTTAGGCAAGCTTCGAATACGGACTGATGCCCGTGAAGTTGACTCAAACCTCTCTTCTAAGGAAGTTAGGGCAAGCATCGACGCATTCGTCGAACTCATGGGCAATATGGTCGTACCAGGAATATTCGCCGTAGCCATCGATGCCGATCTACTCCGTGTGTTACCCGACATCATCAAGTCATCGTATGTCAAGGTAGATCCGGGTGTGTACGTTATGTATTACAATGCCTTGTATTATGGTCTTCATCAAATCCGCGGTCCCGGAGATGCCCTTGCTCAAAGTATGTATCTAAAGGTGTTAGAAGCTGTACCGGCGTGGCTCGATGCCTCAGCCAATACAGACTTGGACGGCCATACGGCTGCCCTAACAGCCTGGACAGCAATCGTCAACAACGATTATCAGCTTTCATGGAAGTTCCACTGCAAGTCATGCCATTATATCAAGATTAGGGGAATCGATACACTAGATGTTATACCAGCGAAGACATTTGAAGAGGAGGACAAAAGGGACTCCCTACGATATTTGTACTGGCACATCCTGTCCACTGATGCATTATATCGCCTAATATACGGCAAACCTACAGTGGTATGTCTACTCCCGATGGTACCTTAAGAGATCCGTGTCCTTACACCCTTTCATTCCTACCACAAAATTGAGCTATACTCCCTTTAATTATTGAGCTCCTTTCTTGCAACTTATATTGATTAACACTGATCCACATTGATATTGGCAAAGGTTCGATGGGCACCACACAAGATTCGACCACCAGCTATTCTTAGTACAGAGAACATGCATCCATCCGTCTCTCGGGTTATGGTGTCAGTGGTATGGATCAGGTACACACAAATGACTGCAGAAATGCTTAATGAGATTGACAACAATCTTTCTCGCGAGCGAGACGGAGGGATTCAGAATAAAGTCGATGATTTCTGCATACAGCTTGAGAACCTAATGGCAGAGTGGAAGATGGAATCAATCATGAGAGACAATGACATGCCGCAAACTCTTCGCTATCTCATAGCAGATCATGTTATGAACATCTATGCCACCATCATAGGAATCAAGCGACTAATCAAACCGGCACCAAACACAAATCCTGTCGATGATATCACACTTCGCGCAGCTCGAAAAGTTGCTCAGATCACTATAGATTTCACCATAGATCCGGTGCCTGCGGATACAGCTCAGTCTGTTTACTTTTAGTACGTCTAGTGCCATATCTAAGTGGTGTATTTAAACCCCCATACTGACCCTGCCCCGCCACAGCTTCATAACCTTCTACCCGTTCTGTGCAGTATTCTCACTGTACGAGAATATCTTAGCATGTGCCAACCTTGAAGAGTGCGAACAAGACCTCCGGCTTCTGGAAAGCATTGGCGCGACCATGGCAGAAGCATCTACTCTACGAACCGACTTTGTACCATTCGCAAGAACTATCAATGCGTTAAACAAAGTGTTACGAACGATTCAAGACGAGCGGCGCAAAACAGGGAGTCGAGATGATGCAACGGGAGAAACAGCCAATACTATGCCTGAGTTTGACATGTCGGCTTTGGCATCCTTTTCAGAGTTTCCCTCCAACCTTGAAGAGTATAATCAGCCATTGGGCTTCATTAGAGCCCTAGAGAATGACTTTACTTCACGGAATTGGAATGAAGGGTGGTGGGATGTAGGTTCTGATCTAACTCATACGTAGAGGTAGTAGGAGTATCCGATCCAGAAGAAGTTAGGTAGCACTAATGGCACGATGGAATCTAGTGGTTGAGGATGGCTCTGCGGCAGGGGCATGGTGAAGGGGAACATAACTACTTTCCCATACGGGTGCTGCATCCGATTTAGCTGGGACCTTGTGTCTTCTATTTTGTGATCTACAAACAGCGCTACTGTAATCACACAATGTCTCACTTTGAAAAGAAACCAGGGTATACCATACCTGGTGAAAGTATCCACGTAGTCGGTCGTGACGCAAAACGGCCTCTACGAGATTGGCAAGTGAAACAATTAAAACCCGTAAGGCTTTTGTGCGACTAACTATGGGCTTCTGCTTCAGCTATACCTGTAACCGCTGTCAGGTGTATGTGTTCACAATAGTAACTAAAGGTATTTAAACAGACAATTGCCTCCCGTCTACTAAGGCATCTCCCTATACTCCTTTACCTCACTCCCTTCGGCGCATGCTACAACACTTTGTCACCTATACCGAAAATGCAGCTCCTCCTTCCTGCCTTATACATGGCTGCGATTGCAGCTGCTCAACAATGCGAGGGGGCTATGGAGTGTTGCGATTCCCTGCAAAATAGTGACAGCCCCGAAGTTATTCAACTTGCTAGCCTCCTTGGCATAGTTATACCAGACGCTCAAGTTGTTCAAGTTGGACTTACCTGTGCGTTTCCACAAAAGCACCTCAAATAAATCCTAACCAAATATTATGCAGGCAGCACAATGACAGCGAGTGGCAACACCTGCGATAGACAACAGGCCTGTTGCACAGGCTCTAGTGTGGTACGAATCCAACTAACCTTATTTTGGAAACCTGTCTAATAACTACGTTGTACAGAACGGCGGCACTCTCGTTTTGGGTTGCACTCCTGTCAACGAGTAACACACTACGTACCAGAGGAATAGATTATGGTATAGTATGCTACATGAAAAGGTGTTCTACGACAAGGGAACCGCAGCAAAATTTTAACAGGGTATCTATTCAGTTAACAATGGGGAAATCAATCGTAGCTGAATGTATACAGAATGATTAAATTTAGACTGAGATCATATTACGTTGGTGGGCGATTGCTGTACGAGGATACGGATCTTTGTTCTAATTCAGTATATAAACATTGATTTTGAGGATAGCAAGGCTTACCTGACCTCATCGTAGGCGCTTAGGTTCAGATTCAATTCAATATCAGGTTCTTCTGCAATGGATATATCACTTAATTGGCGCTACAGAAGTTAGAGGTTGGTTGACTTCATCATCAATTCCTACTTTTAAGTCTTTAAAAAGGCCTCTTATTATTATAGTATCAGTTATGTCTTAGGACTAATAAAGGACATATCTTCGATCTCTCCAAATGGCCACTTAACAATATGATGCCAGCGCCTATCAAGACAAGACATTACTGCAAAGAGCAGTCTCTTAGCTCTCCCTTCAAAGTACCAGTGAGAGTCTAATCGTTGCAACAGAATGCAATAGTGCGCCACTAGAATAAGCGCACCAGGATGCCGTTGGCTGAGCAAGTTCAAGTATGCTTCAGATATGCGCATAGGCCATATACGTAGGGCATCCCAGGCAGTAAAGCTAACACTCGAGTCCTGTGTGCACGAGAACGCCACGCCAAGTTCAGTGGCAGCATCCCGATATATTTCACAGACATCTTCTGACCAAGAATCCTCAAAGCCCTGTAAGGGTATAGCTGATAAAAGCGAATCCATGAGGGGCTCCTGTTCGGCCTCTGAGAAAGTGATAGGAATCTCCCATACTGAGACAAGAGACCCGACCGGGCCCGACTCAACCTGATCCCATACATCGCAGAGCATAGAGCAGCCATTTCGGATAAAATAAAGCCAACTTGGTAACACTTCCAAGGTGTTGGATTCAACGAGAAAGAGTTGCTCGTCTTCCCTTTCTGCTGCGAACGAGTATATCACAAGGAGGTGGGAAAATGCAAAAACCGCATCGCAATTATCCTTATTTGGATTTTCAATCGCAGATCGGAAGAGGGGCATTGCTCGGTCTTGGTGTACTCTTCCTCTGATCATAAGCTCCCTCCCTTGGCTAGGATCGAGATAAGCAAGATGCAACGCGGCGCAGGCCAAAATTCCGTGAAATAAAAATGGAAATTGGCTAGCAATATGCGGCACTGTAACTTGCCACACGGTTTTCGTTCTGGCATCGGTAGCTAGACTTAATGATGTGGACGTAATATAGTGATGTAGAAGGGTGGAATCACTCTCATCGAGCTGGCTTTGCAGAAGTAGCCTACTGATCGACGGGGGATCAGTGTCATCGACTTCACCTCCGTTCCAATTTAACTTCTCAGTATATCTGTCGCAGGTATTTATGGGGATGTTACTCCGCGTAGAGTCAGTAGCGGGGTACCCATGGGAATTCGTAAAGTATCGCAGAAGATTGCCTCTAAAGAAAGTCTGCAGAGCGACTGGATGCCAGTCAAAATCGATCTGGCCGGAGCGGCCGTGGACAGAAAGCCAGTGGCCCTTCATGCGCTTCGCAGACACACAGAGATGCATACATCCTTCGTGCATGCATTGCAGCCCATCATGCACAGGAAGGAGCGGCACAGGGGATTCGGTATTGCGGATTTCCCTTACTTTATCTGGTAAGTTGAGGTCGAGTTTTGAGATATACTGCATGAATGGGCGGCGATGGTCACGACGGAATTTATGCAGTTCTTTTAGGTGGCGTTCAATAGCATTTGGCTGGATCGCATAGCGGCAAGTCGCACAGATCACCACCTTGTAGGCAGGCAGGTACTGCAGTAGTTCGGCGGTGTTGGTAGCGGGACTGAGTACGGCCATTTAAAGCGATCCCAATAGGAAGCGTGTCGATGGTCAATCTGAACACAAGGTGCCGGACAGTTTGTGTGGCGTGCTTTATGTGTGGTGTGTAGGACGGAGCACTCATCCCAACACAGCAACGGATTGATTACACACCAGCAATCGCGTCACCCGAAAATATCCAGGACCGTGCCTCGACCACCAATCGTGGGGCAACAATAAGGTAAGTAAAGCGTTTTAATTATTGTAGTTTCATGTGTTTTATAATATATGAGATAATTTCTAATAGATTTAACAAAGCTAAGAAATACTAATAGCCATTATTAGGAGAATGGAATCTGTTGTAGTTCTAAGAATGCAGAGTATTGTAGCAAGATATTGATTCTGATACGCGACGGGATAATTTATATAAATTAAAATCTATTATTACACGCAAATACTCATAAATAATCAGTTCATGAGCTCAAACTCTCTTCGGTCACCCTCGCTAGTTGCAGTAGCCTTAATTGTCCACTCCCATAGGTCTTCTTGCTTACTCTCATCATAGCTATCCTTGCTCGACTTGATAATCTCCTTTCCCTCAAAATAGACACCACTCTTGCCCTCAACGTCGGCACCAACTGCAAGGCGTGTCAAGTTTGCACCAGACTCTTGCGGGGTGTGGATATTCGGACTGATGATAAAGCGCAGAAGTGGAAGAATGCGAGGCAGCAATCGAAACCATAGAAACTTCTCCAGGGAATTACCATCTCGAGCAAGACCTGTGCCAGGCATAAGACCTGGATCGAATGCAACAACAGTCAAGTTTCTTTTCGGCATAGCTGAAAGCCGTCGGTGAAGAGCGTATGTCCACATGACGTTGGCTAGCTTGCTGCTTGCGTAGCGTTGACGGCCAGCGCTTTTGGCAGAGTCTGGTGTCGGATGGGCTAACTGTTCGGCAGTGACATATTCAGCATCTGGAAGGCCAGTCTTCTGAGCCGGGTCGTGGGTGCCACTTGAAGTGATTGCGATGCGGGCTTTGTCGGCGAGGTGGGGAAAGAGCAGATGAAATAAGAGCGCATGGCCAACGTGGTTGATTGCAAACGTTGACTCTATTCCATCGCCCGACATTTGAACTTCGCCCGGGAACTGTAGCCCGGCATTGAGAACAAGGGCAATGATGGTAGGGAATTGCTTGGCTTTCCAAGATTCAGCGAAAGCCCGAACATTTGCGAGGCTAGAAAGGTCTATTGGGAGAAATATGACGTTCTTCTGGTGGGTAGTTTCGTTTATCGATGCCGCAGCGGAGTCGGGGTCAGAACGTGAACAAATCACGACGAGGTACTCGGGGTGTTGTTGAGCTATACCGAGGGCACATTGGAAGCCCAAATTGGCAGTTCCGCCAGTGATGAGAGCCGTATGGGTGAAGGACATGATGGTTAACGAGGGACTATGAGTAGAATCCAAAGCAGCGCGAACCTACTCGAGTCTCCGGGAGGTAGGGCACCCCTTATATAAATTTACGTTCAGAAACAACAGAGGTGCACTCGAGTTGTGAGCCAATAGTTTTAGGAATGGGAAGTCATCATGATCAGTCACATAACTAGGCAAGCATGTTGACGCGTCATTTGAGTAGGCACAATCCATATTAATCGTCTAGTAGAGGTCGAGTTGAACGGCGCCATTGACCATTGTTGATATTCCGTGGGAACGGCACCGTCGATTTCTTGTGCTACTTGCGCTTGCAACCGACGGTGCCGTTCTGCGCTAGGACAAGAATGGATGTCGCACCCCCCCACCAAGATATATTTCCCGCGACATAGCGGACCTCCCTGGATATATACGGACTGGACAAATACACGAGGGACTCCCCTTAGCTTAATCTTACTCCTTTGTCTAGCTGGGATGCTTCAAGACGGGGTAATGAGAGAGATAGCGAGATTCGCAATTCGTAATGGTGTCGGTTGGTCGTAATTTGAAGTCGTGGGCACTTATAATGCCCCACTTCTCATTCTCGCTTTCATTCTGACAACTAACCTGGGCTGGTAGAGTCTTCGGAAGGATGGACTTAGTACAGTACTATACTAACTTATTGAAAAGTACAGATGTAACTTCTCTTTTCACAATATTTGGCTGCAAGTATCACTTCAAAGCGGCTCGTAAAATCGTTTATCCGCAGCCGAATAGCTTCAAAGTCAACCTCTCCATGCTCAATTCAAATACATGCCCCTCCATATAGCGCATCTTGGATATGCGTCGTGCAGCTAGACCTCCTACCCGCGTCAGCAAGGCCTGCGATAGGTGTAGGAACCAGAAAAAACGCGTGAGTACAGTAATAACGTCGTAAAAAGTTCATGACGATTGATTGTAGCCACACAGTGCGACTTCGAACGCCCCTGCCAACATTGTATACATGCGCGGACGGAATGTGTCACGAATACGGCACCAGTCACAAAGTATAAAACCCCTTTTCAAGGTAACCCAAGCTCCAAGCTGAACTCGCACTAGAAAGCCGCGACTATGTAGACATATCGACGCAGAGGTGCCCAGCCAGACCGTGGGCGGCCGGAAGACCTCGTCTCACCCCCACGTATCTGAACAGCAAAGTGCATCAAGCTATCGTAGCAGCGTCTCAACTCACGACGAGCCCGAGGAGATGGGCCAAGCTGAACTGACCTGGGATACGCCGAACGCCTTGGATGCGGGCGACAACTACGCGCCTCCGAACCAAAATCCACGGAAACGAGGGAATTCCCATTTGTCCGACTTCGATGCTGATTCCGCGTTGGCAATAACTCGAAAGGTACAGTTTTCTCCCGGAGTGGTAAAGGCTAGTTGCAATTGCTGACGGTGAACAGATCTTTGGGTCTCAGAAATCGCGGGCTTTCATTCACAGAGCTACCTCTGCGATTCCTGGAGGGGGATGTCGGGATACCAGCGGCACAAGGACCTTAAACAATGTGTTGTCTCCGCTGGTCCCCGTTTTCGAGATAATTGGAATTGAGCTACCAACATACGAAGTTTGCAACAAGCTCTTGGAAACGTACTTCTCCGCTGTTCACTGGTTCTCTCTGGTGGTCTATGAGCCGAAGTTTAGAGGTCGATATAATGCAATTGTGCAGACAGGATTGGCCAGCCGCAGCGACCATGGGTTTTTGTTACTACTGCTCATGGTTCTAACCATGGGTTGTTGGTATACCCCCAAGAACAAGTCCAGTGACCTTGGTCTCTCTGTAAATGACATGGAGGGTATGCGAAGCCAGTTTTTAAAAGTTGTACAACGGGATTTCATGGAACTTATGGACGAGGATTGCCTAGAGTTTGTGCAGCTCTGCGCACTCCTCGGGTCATTCTACCTCTACCATGGCCGGCCACGATCGTCTTTCTCCATATTGGGCGCTGCAACAAAAACTGCACAGGCGATGGACTTGCATCGCGATTCTGAAATAAGATGGAACTTCGAGGACAGAGAAGAGCGAAAACGAGTCTGGTGGACAGTGTATACGTGGGATAGGTATATCTGCATTGTCCTTGAGTCTAGCACGGATCTAACCTTCATATAGATTTGCTACTATAACTTACGGAAGACCTCTCGGCATCAATGATAGAGATTGCAACGTTCAAACACCATCTGAAATTTTAGAGAATGTCCATTTTTACCCACCCTTACAAGCAACACAGATATGTCTATCAACGTATCAATGCCAGCTCAATTTAGTATACAAGATTGCATCTCCGCTTCTAGAAGACATATATGGGATGCGCACTTCGCACAATATGGATCGCTGTTCCCAGCAGAAAATGGTGGCAGAAGCGAACCAAGCCTTGTTGAAGTGGCAGCAAGATTTGCCACCTCATCTCTCATTTGACAGACTTAGCGATCTGACGACTTATTCTTCGACGGAAGAAAAGATGCACAGCCTACAGGCTTTATCATTACAGTTGACATATGACAATATCATGGTAGTATTACATCGCCCACTGCTGGCTGGCCGTGGATCCCTCGAACGATCGGTAGCACCGGAGACGATGTCTCCAATCTCTCCATTTTCAGATGATATGCGGGATATCAGCTTCAAACGATGCTTGAGATCCGCCCTTCGAATCTCAAACCTTCAACAAAAGCCGAACCTGCTCTCGCTCGCCCGTACGACGCACCTAGTGTCGTTTTTGGGCATGAATTTGTTCACTGCCTCCGTCGTCTTATTTATATGCGCCCTGTCGGACACCCTTTCTGATACAGCGCAGGAGGCGAAACGTGGCTTAAAAAGGACATTGCAGATGCAGAAGTCTCTCTCGAACCATGCATCTTTATCCATGCAGTGCACCACGATCTTGGAGGACTTGGTGCAACTCATCTTGAGAAAGGAGATGGAGGAAATGCTGCTCGACAATTCCACGAGCGACGACAATGCCCCCACTGGCTCCGCGACCCGGAATGAGGAGCTTCATAATGCGGGGATGAATGATAGAATGAATGAGGAGATGGCGCCGAACAGATCGGAATCTCACACTGCAATACACTCAACCGAGTTCGACATTACTAGCCAAGAGGCGGCACCTGCTGAAGGCTCTAATTTTAACCAGAGCTTGAGAACTCTACAGAAAGGTATGCATTTGTACCAGACTGCGAAGCTCATGCTACTCATGGGATACTGACTATTTTAAGTTTTCTACGATAGCAGTCTCCTACGACACCAGGGTGATGCGGATGTTGATCTAGGTGCCCGCAAGGACTACGAGAATTACGTGGCAACTGAACATAGTTCCAATCCGGAAGGGATGATCGGCTCACAGGACATTGGATTCAATGACGGCGGCTTCACTGGCGTTGAGGACCTTGGCCAATTCTGGTTGTGGAATCTTGAAGACTTTAATTATTGAGATTAATCACATCTCCAGCTTCTACAGCGCATGCGTCCACCCCAGCCTGCGGATTCATTTACGAGGACCATATATAATGCTCTTTATTCCTTCCTGCCTCCCTGCTCCTACAAACGCTTGCTCAGCACAGTCGAACTCGAACGAGTGAGTTATCAGCTCCTTCAGACTGATTTTCCTAGACTTGAGAAGCTCGATTGCAAGCTCGTAGTCTCCTGGACCATATCGGAAACTTGTCTTGTATACTCCTTCCTTGGCACATAATTCACCCACTGGAAAGATAATGTTCGAATTTCCAAGCCCGGCTTGAATGAATGTACCGCCTTTCTTCATCGCAAATATTCCACTACTAATGCAACTCTCTACCCCCGTGGCGTCGATGATGACGTCTGCACCAGCTGGGATGTCGCATCTTGACATGATGGTCTTTGCGTTCTGTTCCGGTGCTAGTTGTTGCATCTTGTAGGTATGAGTTGCCGCGTATGTTTGAGCAAATTCTAGTCGAGAATCTACGATGTCTGTTGCGACGACGGTGGATGCGCCGAACGCTTTAGCCACAGCACAACATAAGAGACCGATCGGGCCTGCTCCCATCACCACCACCGTCTGCCCGATGGTGATGGATGCGAGTTTCGTGCAGTGCACAGCAATGCTTAGCGGCTCAACTAGCGCTCCCTCCTCTATCGAGATATGTGGTGGAAGGATGAAGCAGAAATCTTCAGGCACGGTGTAGTACGTCGCCAAGGTCCCGTCGATTGGGGGGGTTGCTGCGAATCGCATCTCGTCGCAGAGATTGTACTTTCCAACGCGACAGAATCCGCAGGTCCGGCATGGGACGCCTGGTTCCAAGGCTACGCGATCGCCTACTTGGACAGTCTTGACGTCTGTCCCGCATCTGATGATAATACCGGCGGATTCGTGGCCGAGCACAAGTGGTTCGCGCACCACAAATGGGCCAACCTCGCCATGCTTCCAGTAATGGATCTATGAGAACGTTTAGCATCAGCTAGAGCCCCGTCTGTCTTAATTGTATGTTACGTACATCGCTTCCACATATTCCAGTTGCCATTATCCTCACGAGTACATGTCGGCTTGTAGGTAATTCTGGTGTAGGTCGTGTCTCATAGTGGAACTCGCCTTTACGTCGCAGAACGAAGACTCGATTTTCCTGCAAAGTAAATTGTCAGCTGTGGTGAGCCTTAAAAAATGTGAACTCGTGGATGCACCTCAGAAACATGTAGAGTACTGCCGTCCGTGCTAGAGGTCATTATGGACGGAGATGGTAGTGAGACAGGCATGGTTGCTTTGTGCATGTATCTGTACGAACGACAGAAATACAGACGGAAAAATAGGCCATGAGGATTATGTTCTCTTGCTACAATAATCACAGCTATATCTGAATTTATCAACCCCCATGCCTGGCTAAGGGCCGGATAAGAGATTCCAACAATGATCGGAGCCAGATTCTTGTTGCGGATGCAGATCGGATCTCAGTTGTCGGAACCGACATCGTCGGAACCGATCCTCAAGGCACATTTTTTTCCCGAAAGACGTTCATTTATTGGCCCACAAATATGGGTCTAGTTTTCGCGGGAGGTGTAAGGAGTTATCGGAACCGACAATTTCACCCATCTCAATTTTGATGCTCTACAGCGATGAGTGAATTTCACCCATCGGGATTCACTCATCATACTTCATTGGGTACCGTACGGCGAAAATCGTATTATACGGGCCTATGCACCAGCTACAGCAAAATTAAGCAAGTTTTACGACTGTTTGTACCCAGCCCGTATGGATACTTTCGTGTCGTACTTCTCACCCCATGGGGCGGAGATACTCTCCATACTTTTCCCCGCAGCGGCAGGGTGAAAACGTAGTTCGTCCTATACTGTGATGTGGGGTAGCGTGAATAGGAAGATCTCATAACTTATAAGTATTTCTATGCCCCTCTTGCAAAAATCTCCTTGCCTTCCCTACTCAAGCTTCTACCCTAAATGTAGTCAAGCACTGCTCTCGACTTCTCCATTTACTATATTATCTCCACCATCCCTCTCAACATGGAAAAGGAGGATATCCCCAAAAGCAGCGAGCATGAAACCATGGCGTCTTTGAGCGACAACCAGCGGCCCATTGAATTCCCTTCACCAACCAAACTCACTTTCTTAGAGCGAGCTCTTAAACCAACCGTCTACATCCCCCGTTATCCCAAATGGATGATTGGCAAACGTCTTCTATGGGCAACGTGCTTATTTGGATCATTGGGAGATGCCCTCTTTGGTTATGACCAGGGTGAGATCTATAGTATCTAGACGGGCTGATTGCCTAAGCTAATACGCAATTTCTTAATAGGTATAATGTCAGGGCTTCTCGTGAATGAAGTCTTCGTGAAACGGTTCTTTGGTGCTTACGGAGGGCTCCATGGAAATGCAGGCACGGTCAATCCATCTCTCATTGGTACGTTATAATTATTGCTACTACTGCGGCTTTCACTGATATCACATTAGGAATTACGGTATCCTGCCTTCAACTCGCTGCCGCCATAGGATCACTTCTCGCTGGTGTTCTCGGCGACATTATGGGGAGGAAACGATGTGTTAGAGTCGGTGGTTTTATCTACCTCAGCATGGCTTTTGTTCAAGCATTTGCCCCAAATCTTGCCTGCTTTATTGCAGGACGAACGATTCAAGGCCTTGGTGTTGGGTTTCTTTCCATGACCGTGCCGGTCATCCAGACCGAGATAGCTGCTCCTCATAGGGTATGTCCGTTCACTGAACTGATGCATCTTTATAATACTAATCGTCTGCACAGCGTGGCTTGATGGTGGGCGTAGAGTACACGTTTTTGATTGGTGGCTATATGCTCTCCTGCTGGGTGGATTACGGCTTCAACTTTCTGCTTCCAGACAACGTTTCATGGCAAGGCCCCTATTTCGTCCAGATGGGCTTGTCTTTCATCTTATTCGCGATGTCATTTTTCCTTCCAGAGACGCCTCGGTGGTTAGCACGGAATGGATTTACACAAGAAGCCTTAAGAACCGTTGCGGATCTCCATTCAGGGGGTGACACCAGTGATAAAGACGTCCAGCATGTCTTTTTGGAGATACAGGAAGCCGTACGCTATGAAGCGACGCTAGGCAAAGTTACATTCCGGGTAAGCTGACTTTACCCCCCTTCCCTTATGTATCCTGTATTAACCCTTGGTGGTAGGAAATGTTCACCACATATCGGAAGCGGACAATTGTCGGTATTACTGCTCAGATGTTTGCACAGTTAAATGGAATTAACGTCATCTCATTCTATCTGCCAAGCTCTCTTGCTGCAGCCGGGTTTGATAACCGGCGGTCACTGCTTTTCACGGCTGCGAATGCCGTCATCTATACTTCTGCTACAGTTCCAGTCTGGTGGCTTGCAGATAGATGGGGGAGACGCCCACTTTTGATATTTGGAGGTAAGTGCCGCTCGCTATCTCCACGAGGGAGAGAGAACATTAGATACTGACAGGTGTCGCTTCCAGGAATTGCCATGGCGGTGGCTCTCAGCATCGTTTGCGTTTTCAATCAAGTGCCGGGACTCGACGTGCATGTTCGAGCCAACGGTATCTACAGTTTTGTTGTCATATATAATTCCCTGTACGGTGCTACCTGGGGTCCTATGCCTTGGCTGCTGCCAGCTGAGATTTTCCCCCTTCGAGCAAGAAGCAAGGGCATGGCTCTTTCGACATGTTCCAACTGGTACGGAATAACATGGCACCCACGGTTGTCTTCCTCCTAATGACGTATGCTAACTGAAAGTTCAGGATATTCAACTTCATCATCGGCATGTCGTCCCCAGATGCATTTGCGGGCATTCATGGTTACTACTACGTTGTCATTGCGGGATTCTGCCTATGCTCTGTTGCCCTGGTAAAATTCTACTACGTGGAGACCGCCAACCATACCTTGGAGGAAGTGGCTGTGGCATTTGGGGACAAGGCTTTCTTACGCCAAGACGACCACGTTATGGCCTCTGCTCAATTATCCCGGCGCGTTTCTGTAAAAGACGGCGTTGACGTATAGATAGGATTAGAGTAGCCGTTATGGAAACTAGGATTTCGTAACAAGTAGGATCAGAATGCTAATTATGGCTATTTTAAAACGAACAAGTTGGTTGGAGATGTGGAGTTATGTAGGTGCGGGAAGATCAACGGGGTTAATTTTCCCACTGTCGCACATAGGGGATGTTGGATTGGCTAGATAGAGGCACAGACCGACGACCCGGACCAATGATACGCATCATTCACCTCTGTCAAAGCTGCGACATGCTGCGGCCCGTTCCCATACCTTTGATTCTTTTTCCGTCGAAGTTTCAAAACTACTACGGGAGGTGCCTAATTACCGTACACGGTATGATTTGGGATTCAAAGTGAGGTGGTCAGCGGTTATCGAGTGGTTGGTTGAGTATGCACACAGTCCTGACGTTTCATCTCAATTGGGACATAGTTGCAAGGGTACGATGTTGGATTCATATGATTTTGGCTCAACCAACAATCACGGAGCCTTTCCATGGAGTGCACAGCCACCTCTAGTTTCATTGACAACAACGCTCTTATACCATTATAAGGCCATCATAATGCGTCCTTACACATAGTTCTTGACGTGCACATTAACCTTTGTCTACTATTGAATTATTTTCGACTTCTACAGCACTACATCGACATACTATAGTGTAATAACCATGACACAACACACTGAGGGTGGCGGCCCCTCTAATGCTACAAACGGAAGCTTATCTCTCAGGCAAAGAGGCCAAGAAGCGCTCTTTCCGACTTCACGTCGGGATATTGACCTCTTCATCGAAAATGCCGTATCCACGGGTAGAACCATCAGTGAAACATTGGCCGATGAATTGAGGCACGGCGATTTTGCGAACAATGAAGAGAATAATCTTCGCCCTATTCTAACGCTTGCCGAAGAACTTCGTAACTATCAGTCTCCAGTTGAGTTTACGATAGGCGTGGTTGGTGATTCCGGCGTTGGTAAGTGTCTCTCTCTTACATGGTTGCCAATTCTAATCGTTTTGTAGGGAAAAGTAGCTTGATTAATTCGCTACTTAATGTACAGCGTCTAGCAAAAGCAGTAAGATTATGGGTTTGTGATTTCTATGCAACCTTTTAACAGTAATAGGGTGCGGATGGGACGGCTTGCACATCAGCTGCAACAGAATATAGGAAAAAACGCACGAGTGATCCTGACGCCTACAACGTCGAAATCGAATGTATGGATGACGGAGAGATTGACGGTTTGTTACGACAGTGCGTCGTGGATTACAGGCAGTACCATCTTCGAGACCTAGATCATCCTCTCGCCAACTCGGAGGAAGAGGTACTTCAAAAAAAAGCCAAGGTTGCTTGGGATACTCTCATGGCCGCATTTGGAAACACTCCTGGCTGTACCGAAGTGAGATTCCAAGATCAGGCCATCTCCATTGATTACATACAGCGAGAAGTTCGTGCATGGAAAGATGGCATTCAGTGGCCAGTTGGATTCAACGCTCCAGGAGTTCTCATCCACTCCGCAGTTCCTGAAGACTGCGTCAGCGGGATTGATACCTTTTTAAGGGGGCGTATCTGGCCATTTGTGAAAGTAGTACGGTAAGAAGCGATGGCTATTATTATATACGATCCACTGACACTGGTTAAAAGAATCTATCTTGATGCAGAGGTATTGAACAGCGGCCTTGTACTTGTTGATTTGCCTGGCAAGTTTTTGTGACATATATTTGGCATACCGACTAACTTTAACAGGTTTCCATGACGCTAACTCAGCCCGCGTCAGCATAGCGGAAACGAGGCTATACCGGTGTGACAACATATTTGTAGTCACTGATATTGGTCGTGCTTCTGCTAACCAGGGCGTCAATCAACTTGTTCGACAACTAGGGGCAAAGTTCAACAGTCTTAGGCGATCCCAAGGGATTGCTATTGTTTGCACCAAATCCGAGGTACGACAGAAATTGCGGGTTCGTTTCTCGATTCGATTAACATATAAATAGGTTTCTAGAACACAGGAGGCGGAGATTCTTCGGGATGTTCCAAGCACTGCAGAATTTAATACACAGATCACAGACCGTCTCTGGAATGATATAGCGGATGAAAGGGATGATAATAGACCAACTTTGCACCTTGAAGCCAGGTATTCGCCCCAAGGCATCTAAATTACTTCAATATCTGACGAATGGTAGACGCACAAATCTATTTATATTTGCACGCAACCAGCATGTACGCAGACTACTCAGAACCACCTATGAGACCAGAACACAAACTCGTCGAATTGAGATTTTTTGTGTATCCAATAATCTTTACGGTGAAGCTCAGGCTGAGGGTCGGGAGCTCGACGCTCGGATCAAGCGACCAGGCCGGCGTACTACAAACGCTACAGAACAGAACCAAGCCATACAAGCCAAGCTAGATGGGTCAGGGATTGACCAACTGCGGGACTTTTGCCAAGGTATTCCGTCGAGGTCTCAAATCGCAGAGACGAGGCACTTTCTAAACACAAGAGTGCTAGACCTTTTACAAAAGGTTGAGCTCTGGTGTAATGCGCGGAGCGCTTCTGAGGATCATCGACAGGCCCCAGTTGAGCTACTGCGTGCACTTCAAGCAAAGCTTAGAAACGTAAGTTTTCTGTGTCTTACATGGCTTGAGACTAAACAGAATTAGGATTTTGATGCCTCGTTAGCAACAACCTATGACGAGTTATATGATGCTAAAGTAGAGATGCTCAGACGACCCTTTTGTTAGTTTTGCCATTGTACACATATTAGAGAAATGAGCTGATTGAAGTGTAGCTCAAGGTGTTAACAGCAGACTTTGGGAGCTGAAGGCAATTTCCTTCACTGAAACTTTATCAGGAGTTCGTCTTTAAGGGTTCTATATGGAAAATGTATGGCTAATGATTGTGTAGTGGGCCGTTCGTATGTGAATTGATACATACCGTTAGATAATTTCAACTAACAGACATACAGCGACCTTAGATGCATTCTGGAGGCAAGATGGTGCTTATCGAACTCAAGCTTCTCAGGGGTATGTCGACTGGAACGCAAACTTTATACAGGCAATGGTAGAGCGCTTTGAACCAACTGAGGCCTCATTCCAGTCCCGGAGCAACGAAATATTTGAAGACTTGGAGATATTAGTTCGCAGCAATCTGTCAGAACTAGAGGTTGGTCTACGGGGTATGTTACAGTAACAGAGCCGTCATCATTCAACAATTAACCACATTATAGGACTTGAAGGGGTGGAGTTCTTCATGCAAACTTTTCGCCGTCGACGCCGAAATCTTGCCTATGAGATAGAGCAAGTAACGACAGTATTCTGCAGCCAGCTACAGTATATATAGTCCCCATCGTTGTAATCAAATCCGCTAACCTCCATTTCCCAGACTTGTCTTCCACGATCTCCTTAAGACTCATGGAACATCGTATGTGCGGCGTCACATGCTCCCAATGTATCAGTCAGTTGTTGAACCAGGGAGCGGCAAAAGAATTCGAATCATCCAGAAGCTGCGCACTACAATCAGGGGTAATCGCGAAGACCGAAAACTCTTTAGTGTGATGAGTGATTTATTCCTCACAGAAATGGACAATCTACTCAATGAGACCAACGAGAAGATTAGAGCAGCTACGGATAGGTGCTGTGAGGACATTCGGATTGATCTTAGACTGTTGGATGTGGCTGCTCCGGCCGTTGATCAGGGATTCTTTATTCGAACATTGTCCAGTTTATTAGAGCGATCAAAGACCGATAGAGATCAAGCTCAGAGCGAGTTTGATTCTCAATTCCCAGAGCCTGCATCGTCTGTTTGAACAAATATAGATGGTAGAATGAGGTCGATTACATGGGTCCCGCTAGCTAGTTGTGAATTTTATTTTGTGGTTGTTCCTTTCAGATGCCAAGGGTCTGGTGACACGAACGCATTCCAAACCTGTTGGGACTGTTCGGATCAGTGACACCATGATTGATGATATCCACCGAATATACTATCACGCCAAAAAAAAGGGGGGGGGGGGGAGGGAGGAGGGTGGGGGGTAACCTGTACAACTCTATTCCCGACTGACGTAGCTACGGACATCACAATTACAAGCGTGAGAAAGCATCACTATAGAATTAAGCTTCTATGGAGAGACGAATATTTACAGCCCATGACCGCTATCTAATCCGTAGAAAAAATTTAAGCCCTCATCGTCAAGGTTTGGCCATTGATACAGTGGCACCCCCTCCCCTGTGTTGCTCATCAACGCGCACCACGCGTCATATCCATTCATTACCGAGGCTGCCTCGCCATCCGCCAGACTAGGAAGAAACGCCGTGTCGTCGTTGTAGAACTGGGTTCCTTCCTCTTGCAAGTGCGGCCAGCAGAGCTTCAGGCTGATTTCTCGACATTTAGAGCTGTTGGGGCTTAGTTCTGACATGGCGTCCATGACAGCTAACGAAGCTCGTATTTGAGAGCGCCAGTCAGGGGCCAGTGGATGCCGTGGGTTGTGTCTTAAACAATGGATGGGGACCAAAGTGGCGTGGAACAAGAAGTACCTGTAGACGATTGTTAGTTTGGCTCAAGCGTCCGTTTACCTGAAGATGATGACAACTTACAAGACATACCACGCCGCGAGTCTGAAGTGTGACCGAGACATCCAATACTCTTCGACGGACAAGATAGTCTCCTTTGCTGCGTCAAGACATCTGAAAACAGCTAAACTTTCGGTGCTTGATGAGGCTTGCTGATCGTATAGTGACGAGCTTAGGGCCCATCTAACTAGGAATGGGCGATACATAACAATTCTGAGATTTCGGTATCGCCACTTCGAAATTCCAACGCCGAGCGCATGTTTTGATCCCGCTGGAGGAAAGTCGACGTAGTAGTGTGGCCATTGTGCGAGCCAGGCGCCAATGTTTTCATCGTCCAGAGTGATCAGTTCCGCAGCATTTGGGAAAGATCCGGTAATAAGGCGATTATAGATGCCCATCGTCCTAAGATGGTACGACGACTGGATCCGAAGATACGTATATAAAGTCAGGCCGTCGGCCTCTGGCGGGTATGGTGCTGAGTCCGAAACCAGATCCTACGAGGCATTAGTGTTAAAAGACTATTAGAATTCATCAATTTCCACTGACCTCTTCATGTATGCTCATCGGGAGGGCCGTCTCAACTCCGGCCTGAGGCCAGTTCAGGGGCCGCCCATAGGTTACGGTGGCACCAACATCAAGAACACAGAGGGTCCACCATACCCTGCGGCGAATTTCCATCTGCAGCGGGGGGAGATTTCCCTGTTCAAACTCTTTATGAAGACCCAGCCCGATGCCCAGACGGAGGGCTACTCCACCATAGTTGTAGCCCGTGTTCGGCTTGTTCCTTTTTTGAAGGTAGGTAGCTGACAGGCCGAATGCCTGGACAAGAGTTAGGTTCCCAACCTCGAGATTGTCAGCGAACAAGCTTTTCTGTGCCGCTTGGAATATGGGCAGGTCCGTGGCATCGGAGCAGTTGCTGCTGGCAAACGAACCAAGCGCAGCAAGAATATTGGCGAGGGTGTTCCAATTCTCCTTATCAGGGCGAGGCAGGGTGCCATCATATTGCGCCCGGAAAGTCGGCTCGTGTACGATTGGGAAGGTAGGATGATAAAATGAGAAGAAGGCGTCGATGAGATTTCCAACTACTACCCGGGTTAGTATGGATTGCGAACGATACCACTGGGTCTGGTCCGTCTGCTGCTGGAATAGGGACTCTAAATGCTGTGGTTGAACTCCAGCCTCAGCCCCTTCCCCATCCTTACGGGCTGATAATATCTGGCGCAGGAGAGCAGCTCCGGAAACAGCACCTAGGTAGCCTCTGTGGTCGCCCACAGACAGCGAAGCCATGCCATCCACAATATCTTGTGGAGCCTCGCTGTCCCCAGCATCCATAGCTGGCCCATACGCGGACCATGACGACTCATTCCACTCGAAGTCGTTAGCTAGGGAGGGTGCAAGCTCATAAGATCCGGCCGAGTGTCCAGCTCCAGAGAGCGGCTCTACCCCCAGTTCAATACCGTGTACGAGCTGTGAGGTCCCGGCTAAATATGACGATGAAGTCGCCTCACTTGATCCGGAGGGAAGAGCTTCAGGTGCGGGGATGTTGTTGTGGGACGACGGCGTCGCAGAACTGCTGCTGGGATACAGAGGTAAGCTGCCTAGGGCTGGCCTTACAGCAGCTGCTCCGTCCATCATTTCTGCAAGCTGCGCCTCCGTAAAGTGGCTCCTTAAGAGGGCTTCTGCTTTTTCAAGTCGCTCCTCTAGGATCGTGAGTTGCCTACAGTTATCCATATCAGCAGGCGGAGCTTTGGGTCCAGAAGCTGACAACACATGTCGCCAGAAGGATTGCCTACTTTCTTGTCAAGCGGGTTTTACTATGCTTGTCGTATAGACAATGGCGTCTATACTTCTGGCATACTGCGCAGACAGGCATAGTGCCGTCGCACTCGACTCTCCGCCGACGGCATTCTCGACACGAAGTTGGCGCCTCCGCCACGGATCCTCTTGCTACGCTTGCTCCTGGAGGAGAGAATACAGGAGGTTTGGTGTCCATAATTCACGTAGATCAAACATGAAGAGTCTTTTCACTGGGTTTCTTTTGTCATGTGCCGAGTTTTCATAACTCGTTCCATGTAGGCATCTTAAAAAAACCGCCTCCGCAATCCCCGATATTAACCCCACAACATCTAGAGCCGATGGGTGGGGCAAATCAGGAGTTGTGTGGAGGGCTTTGAGTGGCGCACCAATGTAAGTGGCGCAGTCAACACCATTCATCCACATTAGGTCTAGGCAGTCTCCGCACTCTTTACAATATTTGGGTTACTTTCAACGATCCGGTTCATGGTTTAGCCGTGGTCGAAAGCAAAGGGCGTTCGCGAGGCGATGTGGAAGCAAGATGTGTTCGCGACCACCAAATATTATAGGTACATTTACATAGTAAATTGTATATAACGTGACTTATGGTAACAAAAAGAGAAATGTAGTAGAATTGTTCTAATAAAAACATATATTTATAATTTTGTATTCCATACTATTGTGCTTACTCTAGAGTCTAGATTTGTAACTCCAAGGGTGACCATTGGCCTACAACATACTGGATGGCTATGGTATAGCGTCCGCGGGTATCATCGGTGTCGATGGTCTTGAACAATTTAACTCCACCAGGCCATAGTATTGCCTAGCAACCCATTCTAGGCTTATACCAGGTATCTAAATCCCCTCTGCATCCTCATAGACTCGTCAGGCTGGTTCATCACCTCCTTAACAAAGTCAGGCTCGGTATCCAAGGCCCTCTCCTGCTCCTCGAGCTTCTTGTTGAGGTTGGTAAGGACAAAACGGAAGATGAAGCAGCCGACGATGGTAATGCCAAACATGGCCGTCACGATACCGTAGCTCTTGCGGAACCCATTCGCCGGGAGATTCCAGACGTACGAGCCGGCAACATTACCAAGCTGACTAAATGCGTTGACCATTGCGATTGCAACGGCGCGCTTAGCAGGTGGGCGCGGGAACGATGAGCTGATCCAAGAGTACAAAACAATAAACCTAGTGATTTATCCTCGTTAGTACTTCGTAGACAGTTTCTGGTTTCCACCGGGAAAAGATGAAAAGGGGGGGTTGTGGTATTTCTGACGGGAAAGGACTAACCCTGCGTAAGAAGATGCTTGCAAGAAGAGAGCGACATATCGAGCAGCGACATTCAATGTACTCATGCTGATCACGAAACCAACTAATCCAACACAGATCGGTCCGACAATGTGCCAGAACTAGACAAGTCTGTTAGTTACCCATGGGTAAATCTTTAGGATAATTTTCGACTAACCTTCTCTTGATGCCTATCGGAGCTCCAGGCAACGATCAGAGAGAAAATACAAGAACACACCCACGGTGGCGCACTCATGAGTAGAGTTGGCACATAGCCGAAGCCGAGTGTTTTGGTAAGAGTAGGCTGCAACAGAGTTAGAACCATGGGGTACTGGAGGCGAGCGAGAAGGAGATACTTACGAAGAAAGCGTTGAAGGAAAGGCCAACAACGTAGGCGGTTAAAGTCAACATCAGAATGTACATCTTAGTGTCTTTCAAAGCCATGAGCAGTCCACCGAAGGCCCCTTGGTCCTCGGAATCTGTGTCAGCCTCGCCAACATCCTCGGTCATCCGCAGTTGGGCTAGTTCAAGCTCCTCCTTCGTGAAGCCACGAGTGTTGTGGGGCAGGTCAGGGAGAATAAAGGCAGCAGAAAGGGCGATGCCCATAGTGATGGCTCCCTCGACTAAAAAGATAAAACGGTCAGCAATTGGTCTAGCGACGACTAAATCAAGGTGGCAATAGACTTACTCCAGAACAGCCAACGCCAAGCAGCATGACCCAGCACACCTTGCATGTTTGAGAGCACTCCAGCACCGATAAGAGCCGAAAAGGCATTTGAGATGAGATTTCCACAGAAAAGGATGGCATTCCTTGTCGTCAGCTCTCGGCGGGTATACCACTTCGACAGGATGAGTAAAGCTCCCGGAAGGAAAGCAGCCTCAATAAAACCGAGGAAGAAACGGATCAACACCATGCCGGCAAAGTTGTTCACCACACCCGATAGGGTTGATACAAGGCCCCAGACAATCATTACTGCGGAGATGTAGAGCGAGGGGCGCTGGATTTTGTTCATGAACATGTTGGAGGGGACCTGCATGAGAATGTACCCAACGTAGAGGATACTGAGGCAGGTTGCGTATTGGTTGTTATCCAAGTGAAGATCATCTTGAAGACCCTTTAGTCGCGCAGCAGCAATGTTGTTGCGATCAAGGTAGTTCATAATGTAGATGAGGACGAAGAGCGCGCATCGAGAATCGAGTTTCCGCTTCAGGCTCTTCTCAACACGCGCGCGATGCTCAGGGTCGGCGAGCGAGGATAGCCCGACAGCATTCTCGTTGGGCGCCGTCTTCTGGAAGTTTTCGATTCCTTCAGAAGTCGGCTTGTCGACCTGGGCCGCATGTGCGCCCTCTTTAGATAATTGGTCTGCCATTGTGTCGTTTCTCAGCTTGACCGGCAGCTTAAGAGAGGCGACAACGAGTGATTGGGATGAAAGAGCAAGAGAAAAGCATTCAACAGAAACTCTCAAAAGATCCCCACGAATCTGGGGTATGGGGTAATTATAGTTATAGTTTTCTGTACATCACCTGGTGAAATTATTTGCCGGTGACTTCAATGGAGAACTCACTTCCATGTCGATCTCAAATCTCAACGGAGGCTCAACTAACTGGCCCCTCTGGGGTCCATTACGCCTTGCTAGTTGGAGTCTAGTTGGTAAAAATTCATGTGGGTAGGCTGACTGTCAGCCACCTATCAACGTGCCCGATCGTGCAGAACTCGCCCCAAGACGAAAGCGCGAGCTTAACATGACGTTTCGTTCCAGGGGCCTGCAACTGCTGTGGGACCAAAGGGACCACTAATTCAGATCATCAGATGGCAAGTAAAAGTCTCGGCCAAATTGTTTCAAATATTTATATAATATTTCACCGAAATCCCCACGATCGAACCATGCTGTTCCCCGTATTCAAGTAGACAGTCGACCTCACACGTGGGGTAAAATGAGGGGTGATCTTAGGATTGGGGAAACCCCAGCTCGAAAAAGCGAAGTGGTCGAGGAATTCCAGGTGTTTTCTGTGGTCGCCACCCTTTAAATGCGCGAGCAGGGGCAACTGGCCAATCAAATACGCGACTACATAATTCTAGGTACATCGGCCTCGTTGCCAAGCCCATCGTGGCTTTTTAACGTATGTTGCCCCTGTATAACTATGTAGGCTTGGCATATATTATAGCGGCATTCTCTATATAACACCCACAGTAGCAATAATTAGTTTATCAGCGCCGTTAGTTTATTAAGACGTTGTATAGAGGCTGGGGAGGTTGACCGGGAGGCTGACTGGGAGGCGGTCAGGGCGGGGAGAGCGGTGAGGCGGGGATGTAGGATATTGTGCTGGGAGTGCAGAAATATTATGTCTGTGGATTGAAGGCCCACTCAAGGGGTATCTAGAGGGGATTGTAGTGAATGACTATATCTGCAGTCTTAAACGATCTATTTGTGAACAATGTAATAGGTGCGGGGGTGAGATGAGATGAAATGGCGTGGCGTGGCATTTCCTGTGCTGTTCGCGAAGTGATGTCGTTATAATTGATTCCTAGTGAACAATCGCTGTTAGTCAAATTTTAGCATGTTATCTTTCATGTACCCAAAGGCTTATATAGTAACTGCTCATGATTCAATATCTCCGAGGAGGCAGGTGCCACGTTTCATCTAGGGTGCCCCATGGGGAATCGGTGGTCCCAGACCGCCGGTTCGGAGGATTTCCAACCCAGGCCGCGGTCTGGGTTGGAACTCCAGGGCAAGCCGTCCAGACCACTGTGGTCCCCCACCGGTTTCTTGGCAGACCGGTGGGGGACCGTGAGTTATTGGCTTCAAACCGGCCATGGGTCGGTCTGGGTCGGTCTGGGTCGGTCCCCCGCTGGGGTCGGTTCCCCGCTGGGGTCGGCTCCCCATGACACACCCTAGTCTCATCGCCGAACGCGTACCTCGCCAGGTGACCTATCTGTTGCTCGATATTTCTTTGCGCTCTACGAAAATAGAATGGATTCAATCTCTAGTGGGGATGTGTATTGCCCTCCACTGCGTCAATACTTAAAAATATCCTGCCAGGGGACTGTGGCTTCTCGTCGAACATTAAATGAAACAGCAAAAGCCTGATCACTCTCGACGAGCTGATCTTCGTATTGTCACAACTATCCATGGACCCCTTATAAAGTACTTACTGCTGGCGAATGTACCATGGCTATGTGCTTCGCAACAAACTTATAGATACGAATGGTTTAAATGAAACCCCTCCAAACGGGCCGCAAGGCAATGTGAGCAATCGTATGTGGACTACGATGCGTCTCATGGTGCGCCATATAGTCTCAAGTATAAGTAAATTTATTCTCATGATATCCCTAGGGAAACCCCCAATACCTCGTATTTTCTTCTCTGCGCTCAATGAGGAACGATATCTCTCAATATTACTTGTAATCCAATCGACCGGTAAAAATACCTCCGCACCCTCGACAATCTCTTTCTGGATACAGTAGCTCCCGCAACTTTCAAAGTCACTCCAAGTGATCTTGCTTCAAATAAGAGAAGAGGTGTTGACCTGCTTCGGCGCATAAAATATATTAAATAGAAGATGGATAAACGAGTCGAAACTTTTAAATTAAGGTTATATTATAATAAGGTCGTAATATGACATGACGTGGCATAACAAGCGAGGCGAACACAGCAACCTAGTTCCCCCTTAAATCAACCATACTCTCCGACTTGCTCTCCGGGGTGCCGGTGCCCATGACAGTCCGCCTAGGTAGATCCGTGAGGGCGATGAAGCTGCGCCGAGGCGGGGAGATGAGGGCCTTGAACGCGGGGATGGAGGTGGATATGTAGATTACGGCGTTCCAGAAGCCCTGGAGGGGCAGGAAGATCGACTCGATAAAGTTAAGGGGGAAGCTAACGAGCTCGGGGTTCACGAGGGTGGCGACTCGATTAATGGTTGCCGGAACCTAAGGGGGAAAGATGTTAGCTTGGGCGGGGGAGATTTAGATGAAGGAGACAGCTCACCCAAGTTATTAGCAACGCGAAGAAGAACAGTAAGGCACACTTGAGGTAGGCCCAGGCAGCCCGGTCGGCGGTCGACGTGGTGCGCCGCTGCGGCGCCTGGCCATCATTCCTTGCCGTGGGCTCGATGGAGGATTCGATATTAACCGCGTAGCGGGGGTATTTCTCGGCGCTGGGGCGGGCCTTAAAGTTGTCGCGGTCGCTGTCAAAGGCAGTGTCAAAGCCAGATTCGAGCACGGACTCGCTGGTGATGTGCACCTCAGTCGTCTTGGAATTGACGGGCGCGTCACCGCTGTCGGCGCCGTCGTTAGGGATGGCGGTCGTGGTCGCGTTATCGGTCGTTGTGTGGAGGTTGCGGAATTGGCGGTGGTTCTTATAGACGACCTTGCCGACGAAGGCGTAGATGGTCATGGTGATGAGGAGGACGACCCTGGAACGATTAGAATCCTGCTTGGTGAGAAGGGTGTAAGGATGCACATACCAGACGGGCCCATAGAAGATCGCAATGCGCAGAGCGTTCCACTCAACGGTGATCCAGCACCAGAGCTACGCGGAACAGTTAACAGCCGAATGAAGCACAGGAACATGCCAGACTCACTGTCGCGGATCCGAAAATCCTTCCCTTGTCCTCAGTCCCAGCGAATACGAAGGCGATGGCAGGAACGAAGGGGACGCCATAGCAAAACAACAGATATTTCAACTCTAGGGAGCGAAGTTGACTTGCTGAGTAGCGGTGAAAAAATGTGAGGTAGACGTTGAATGCCATAGCCAACGTCCAGAGGGAATCAGCGGGCATGAACCTTTAGAGAGTCAGCAGGTAGATTAAAAAGGCGGAAAGGCAACAGAGAAGCCCACTCACATCTGGATAATAAAGGCCTGAAGCTGGCATAGGGGGGAAGTGACGCCTGCAGCTATGCCTGACCGAGATATGAGAGTAGCAACGTTGGTGGCCATGTTGCCCCATGATGCATAGAAGACGAGGCGGTTGATAGGCTTGTGGAAGGCCTCTGAGTAGAGGTAAGTGCTAATAACGAAGACGCTCCCAACTACTGAAAAAACAGAGGAGACACGCTCTGCGGTCTGAAGGGCCCCAAGCTGGTAATTGGTGAGCGACATGATGGCTGGTGATATAGGCCGCAACGAGTATTATACAAATACTGTGCCGGAGGTCGTCTGGGGGAAATACTGCTGTTACAACTCAAACATGAAGCTTAGCTGGCAAGAAAAGGCGCGCCAGGGAGATATACGTCGATGACAATGTTTGCGAGGTGAGGAGGTGGTCGGCGCGAAGGTTCTCCTCGGGCATTGGAGCGCTCGGTCAGTCGCCGACGAGACACTATTGGAAGCAGACGATCGTGGAGAAGAGATAGATGGAGCTAGTGGCTTGCTAATGCGATAGATGCCGGTTAGATGCACGGCACGGCAGTTAAGAAACGGATAGTACGAGCTAGTATCTCGGTCTCCTACTCGGCGGTGGCATGTCGGACGGAGATGCGCTCGGAGGGGCAACGAGAAAGGAGAGAAATCATGGCGATGATGTCTGCGTTGAGTTCGCGGGATGAAAAATCGCATAGCGGACATGCTTTGCAGGGTTGATAAGGGTGTGTGTGGCGCGCGGGGGGTTCAGACAGCGGAGTTGAGACAGTGGTCGTGTGTGTGGGCGTCGCATGAATCAAAACACCAGGGTCCCTTGAGGCCGCTTGCTCGGTGATGCTCGCTCACATTGGTTACGGTGGCTGATGTTCAGGAGAGGGTGGATACAGTAAGTGGGCTCGAGTCAGAGATCTCCGTTGGATGATGGGGGTCGAGCTGAGGAGCGTGAGGGGTTAAAGGGAGGTCGGCGATGCTACTCCAGTACAACGTACACAACATATGGCGGGTGTACTGTAGAATAAGCTGACGTGGGACGGCTGGTGCGTGCCTGGCCGAAGATAGCGCCGTAAACCACATGCAAACCAACACCAACGCGCAAACCAACGCGCGCGCAAACCCACATGCAAGCCCACACGCAGGCCGCCCTGTCCCGTCCCTCTGTCAATCGACGCCTCCCGGCGTTTTCTGTGTAAAATCTTACTTCGGACCGCATCTTATAGGCTGCCAAAGGACCTCTTATACCTGTTGTTGCAGTCCTTCCCATCCCTCTCCCCCGCCTTAAATCACGAATTGCTTGTGTAGAATGCAACTAATATACTATACTCTGCACTATAGCAATTGGCAAAGCTTGTTGTCAAATCTCATCGTGCCGTCTCCTCCGCCGATCCGTCTGTCGATCCCTCGATTTATTGACCGATTATTGATATCGATTCTCCCGGCTTACACATAAAGCCCACTTATTCCGCCACTGCAAATTAGCGACCGTTAATAGCCATCCTCGCCACTCCCCAAAGTGGCTAAACTAGAAACCGCCCTCCCAAAGTAGTCCACATCCCCGGATTCTACACATCAGCCTAAACACCTGCTAAATTGTAACAGAAGACGCCACCTCCTGATTTGAGGGCGACTCGTCCCCCCTGTAGAACTAATCCTACGCCCCTAGTTCCCCTGTGGAACTAATCCTACCCCTAATTCCCGAGCCCACCCACGATTCTTACACTATAATTCCCGCGGCTACAACTCGTGCAATTCCTACGCAAGCACCTAGATTACGATTCTCACGCCTTCAATTCACATCCCTATAATTTTTGCCCCTTCGCGTTCTCGCCTTTGTAAGTTATTAGGTCCCACAGATCGACCACGGGCTTAGTTGGTCCTGAAACGAGAACGAGTACCAGGTCAATGGCACCACACCCATCTCATCTTCACCCTGCCACGTTCTCTCGATTCCCCTCCATCACCTCCCGTCAATGCTCGCCATCCCCACCTACCAATATCAAATTCTCTATTTTCCAGCGAGATCCTAACAATACTATCATCCCCACAATTTACAGTCAGGTGAAGCCTTGTCCGCTGCTCGTCCTATACATATTGGCGTTCGCTCCGTATTCAAGTAACCTCACCTTGCTTGACGAGTATATCCTAATTACAATGTGAAGAAGGGTCCACACATCGGTATTTTGAGCATTGGGCTCCAACCCTCTTTCGAGCAAAACTCTCCGCACCTCATCCTCTAATCGTGGGGGGAAGCAATATGCGCCACCTCAAAGCGAGAGGAAAGTAGCAGGAGGGTTTGGGCTCAAAACCTAGTGCGTCGGCGTTCTGAGGTAACCGGCTCACGCTAAGCACCAATTGGGGAGCCCGACGGTAACACTGGGAAAAGCCGTCATTTTAGGGCCAAAATGCTACCGTATCTCACTCTGCCAGTCCTCTTTTCCCCAACACAACACATGCGATGTGGTGAGGGCCCGTGCGTGATATCATCCGTGTTAGCTTTGACGCCGATGACCGGTGGCGCGGAAGGAATCATGCTATTGTACGACTCTGTTGTACGCAGACGTAGACCGGACTTGTATTATTGAAGTTATCCCACTGAGTTAACTACTAACGTTACCCTTCAAGTCCAAGCGTGCACTGCCTTGAGGCTAAGGAACATTTATAATTGAGCTCTCCACGTCAGGTACCTCGATTCGAAGTCTTCTCAGTCTAACTTGAGTAGCATCAGCAATTAGAACTTCAAGAAGATTAGAACGATCCTCTCTCTATCGGCCTTTATCTCCAGTTGACACATAGTAGTCCACCCTGACGAAACTTACTTGACTATCGAGAATGTAACTGCAATGAACTTCACCTGCGTCAATTTCTCACCGAGGGAACATGCAGCGACGACGGCGCTACCGAGAACACCGAGCAGACAGACTTGGTGAAGTAAAAACAGTCATATCGTAGTCACTTTGATCAGTTCGTCCACTATCAGGCAAATAACAGCTGTAACAGACTGTTTTGTTGCATTCTACCGTTTAACTTAGAGCACTTTTGTGACGTTATATCTATATCCTCCTATGAGTTTATTCATACCACAACCTTTTCGTTAGGAACGTCACTCTTATCGTTCTCTAATTGAACAGCTTTCCCGCTATGCTTCGCCTTTAGATCAATGCTGCTCGTGCAGGCACTAGCAATAATTGCCATCACACCAAACGCGATGGCCACCAAGTATGTTGTGCTGAACGCGCTAACATACGCCTGCTTCACAGCCAAACCAGACGCATCGATTATACTCTGGGTGATTCCTGGAATGTTCTTGTATGCTGCTGCGGTGTTGAGCTCTGCAGCCTTGAGAAAGGCTGGCCAAGTGCTCGAAGCTGGCGTGATCCCGAATACCTCGAGATTGGATTCAAGGTCTCCTGCAATCGCAGAGGAAAATCCGTTGTTGATGACTGCGGTATAGACTGCCGTTGCGATAGCGCCACCCAGAAGGCGGAAGGTACCAGCAAGGCCCACGGCGATACCGCTAGGAGGTTTGTCAGCTGCTGACCGCTGTATACAAAAACAGAGGAGTACTTACATGTCAGTTTGATCGTCGATACCTAAACTCAACATGGTGAAGCTCATAAGCTGTGGTGGAGTTACCGTGCTGGAAAGACAGATTATGGTAGCGATGGCTTGCTTCTTGCTATCCAACCCAACCGTGGAGAGAGATCCGATCAGGGCAGTCTGGATAATGGTAAATGCAACAAGTTGCCAGCGTTCATGGCCAACGTTTGCGCAGATAAATATAGTGATGAATGCGGATATCGTTGTGCCCAGAGGAATCATCTCGGCGTAGAGACCCTTCTGGATTGGATCTGGACCAGTGTATAACAGCTGAGATTGACGAGGCCACAGGACATTCATCGAATAGTACAGCATACCACCGACGAAGCAGACAATGAGAACCATGGTGAACCTAACGAGCAAAAGTCAGCACCATTGCATAGCGAATGAGAGGGGAAAAAGAGAATGAGCACCTACTGTCTCCATCTTTTGAACAGTCTCGGTGGCATGAGTGGATATGCGAGATCTGCATAAGCCTCCCAGAAACCCAGAGCAACCAGGGAAAGCACACCAGTGACGATCGGTGCAATCACATGTGCATCCTTCCATGGATACTGTTTCCCGCCGTAGTTGATACCAAGGAGAAAAAGAATGCAGCCCCCAGCAAATAGGAACAACCCAACGAAGTCCATCTCCTTGACCAACTGAAGCTTCGTTTTGCCATCGATGCGATGCTTGGTCTGGAAGGTTGGAGGGTGGTATGCAAAGAAAAGAAGGACAAGGGCTGCGGCGTGGAAACCTGTCATAAAGTAGTACGCGCCGCGCCATCCAACTGAAGTTGTGCCGATAAAACTCCAAGCTATGAGGGGCCCACAGAAAGAGATGATGGCCATGAGATCGAATAAACCTATTGATAAATGATGAGCTTCATATCCATGCAGCAAGTGGTCCACGAAGGAAACATACCTATAGCGTATAATCTCCACGAATTCGGCACAATCTCCTGAATACACGCGTAGGCCATCTCCTGAATACCGCTTCCAGTACCAAGGATGACGCCGCTGGCAATCATCTGATTGATGTTCTGTCCAGTGGCGCCAACGATACATCCAACAAGAGCAATGCATGCTCCACCAAGCATGAAATATCTGCGGCCAAAGATATCACTAAGACGTCCGCTGACTGAGACAGTAATGCTGGCAGCCAGGGTCCAGGAGATGGTGACCCATGAGTAATTTAGGCTAGGACCAATCGACCGATTGATCTCGGCCAGTGTCGTGGATGGAATCAGGAGCGTCAGGATGTAGGCATTGAATTGCATAGTAAGTGCCTATGAAAAGTAAGTATCAAATCCGTATCGATCAGAATGTTGTATTTCAACGTACGATAAAAGCAAGTGCCATCTGCCATGTTAACCTAGGCTTTATTTCATCCTCATAGTCTGGCAGCGCATCAGAGGGACTGTCCGAGGTCGAATTGGCAGACTCCTTCTGTACAACCTCAATCTTCTCGCTGGCCAACTCATCATTGCTAGAGGCTGTCTTCATCGTTTCGCCTTAATAGTATAACTGATGGGCGATTCTATGCTATAACGATTTAACACAACCCACTAGGCTACTATCACTATATATATTGTTTTCATAGCGACCTTGGAGCTCGCAAGTCTCTTAAGTAAAGGCAAGGTGCAAGAATACTGCGGAGTATCTTAGTGATTCGTGGTCCAGAACTTGCGACAGTCGAGTGACATCCATGCACGATCCCCCCCGTATTTCCGTGTACATACAATGCATGTATCAGATATCTATGTAGTATACAGCAAAAATCGTGCCTATCTCCAGGCTCTTGGGACTTCAGAAGCATCCGTACGTCAACGGGCAGGACTGAAAACCTGGGTTTCGTTATCCGGGGTAAGGAGAAGGTTTTGCGGATAAGTACGTATCGTTATATGGTTGGTTTACACAGAAAACATTGGTTGTGCGGGGAAGTGGGTCTAGGGAGATGCCGAGAAAAGAATAATGGGGGGAAGGGCTGTCCGAGGAATAATCCGGGGTTAATACCCCACTATCTAACTGACTTTACATAGAAATGCGGTGCTGTTGACAGTCGTTCTCCGTTCTCCGTAGCCATCCCATTTTAAAAAGCATTTTTTGTTATTAAGTGGCGTTGTATACGAGTTTGTTGAGGTGTTGCAAAAGCGATGTTGAGGCCTAACCACGGTACCTGTGACCACCGCCACAACAGTCCACTTCGGCCAGATGCTGTCCTGCCATCTTCCGTCCCGTATATTTCCAAGCTCACCTCTACAGCTCTTGAGCTTTACTTGAGTTTTTTGGCCATTACATAGCTATCATTACCCTTAGCAATTCTCGGGAACCTTTTATTTCGTTCAAGTACGGAGATCCACGGTTATAGCACGGTAGTTGGTTAGGGTGGTAACTCCCTGCATACAGCTCGCTCTCCATAATATCTTAAGGAGTAGTAACGTTAATTATCATATCCGCATTACAAGACTGTCTAAGCGGCAGAACTGTCAGTGTTAGCCCACCTAAGAGACGCGGTCATTTAAGCTGTAGTTATAATTAAATAGGGCAAAAACTCCATATACCTAGTAAAACAGTAAATAAATTCTATGTACCTAGTTCCATCCTACGTGACCCAAACCCTAAGTATTTTATGTCTTTTCCCTCTTAATGTTATAAATTACATAAGTTCTGTTAAAAATAGGACCTTTACACTAACGAAAAAGCTCCATAAATAAAAGCTGTGTTTTTTAAGGTTTAATGTAACGTATTTCACATATGAGTTGGCTACACGGACTAGTTGGCCACCAAAACACTAGAATTGACAATTACTACTACTACACTACCACCACCCTACATAATGACCCTTATTCAATTGTAATTGATTCCTCGTGCCTCTGGCACGTACGGGAATTATGGCCTATAATACCACATAAGCCACAGCGCTTCTGTCGGCCTGTAGAACCCACCCGCCGACTACTTTCACTTACCACCTCTGTACGGAGTTGAGCATCAACCTCAGCACTCTGAAGGATATCCTCTCCCTCTCATACGGAGAGACTACCCCCTTGCATTATACGCCTCTTACGCTTCCTTTCCCTCCTCTTTTTCTGTTCATTTGCCGCTTGTAGAGCCTTAACTTCTGCCTTAAGTAGAATAGTAGAATGCATCATAACTTAAGCCCCCTTAACAAGGCAGCTAATAGCATCATTAATTAAGGTAGGAGAGCTATTCTGATGTTGTACGACACGGTTCTTAATATGCTCTGTTTGAAAATTAAGCTCCCTTATAGTTTGGGGAGTCTTTGAAGTCTAATTGTTACTCTTAACTATAGGAGGAGTTAGAGTCCTCAACTGTAGATTTAAGTGAGAGAGGACACTCTATGGCTCGTACGGAACTAGCCCTATAGCTCGGAAGCCGCTCTTAATGTTCTGCTCTGTAAATGTAGCTTTAAATGCTTCTTTAAATGTAGAGAGAAACTCGAGTTTCGTAATATGGTTTAGCCTATTCCGTACGAAGGTTTCAATCTAACGTCTATACGAAAGCTTTAGTAGAGTAAAGTAGCTAACGTTAAGTAGTTAAAGAATGTGCAAGGAGTGTAGTAGTATATAGAGGGTGATTATCTTCCGTTCTATGTAGTAGTGTTGAAATTAAGCAGAGAGGTGACTCTTATGCCCGTTAAGAATAAGAAGGCGATAGGATCTAATCGTACGAGTGCTTATATGTCGATCGAAGTGTTAAATCTACTCGTACCCAATTAAATTTAAAGTCTACCCATTCTCACTTAATGTAATCACCTAATCGTCTAGTAATCCTAAGTCCTTGTACTAAGCAGAGAGGTGAATCTACGCCTTAAAAATGATAAATGGCGGAAGTGCCTATCCGTACGAATTAACACCTTAGATAATTAACACCCACTCTCTATTTCCTAGCTGTATAGTCTTTAGACGACTCTTTGCTTCTAAGCTTGTAACTACCTTTGCAGTAGCAATAACTCCCATTAAAAACCCTACTTCATCAAAGTTGTAGATGTCCTGCTCTAAGATTCTGTATTTTACAACTATGTTTCGTACGAGAGAGAACTACTCTTGAATTATCTTTAGATCTTCGCATTTTGCGCGTTTATAGTCATACTTCTAACTAAACTTTGCTTTGATTTCCGTACGACGCTTAATGAAGGTAGTAGTCCAGTTCTTTCTAATAGGACTCTTACCTCGTTCGGAAAGTAGAAGGTCTGCCATTTCTCGTACAGCTTGTGGCCAGGGTGGAAATCCACGTGAATCTAGGTCGAGGATATACTGAACAAGAGCTGACTCTTCGTATAGAGTCAACTTCTGTAAGCTAGGGGTAGAATCGCGTCGGGAAGGCATTCCATTCATTCTGTTGCTAAGGGTTGACCGTGTTACATCGTACAATTCTGCAGCTTGGCGGACACTCTTAAAGTGTCCATTTTTAATTGCTTGGATAGCCTTTAGTATTCTATCCTCTTTATTAGAGTCTTGGGCTTGTGTTGGTCGCAGCATTGTCAATTGTAGTCTAGTCGACGCGTTTTGGTGTTTTTAGTGTTTTGGTGGCCAACTGGTCCGTGTGGCCAACTCATATGTGAAATACGTTAATAGAAAAATTAAAACTTAAACTATCAACTAGGAACAAGGAAAGAGAGGAAATTAACCTTAGCTTAGTGTTCTGTATCGCCTTCTAATTTGCTATTGAGTCTAGATTTCGAATGCAAATTATTCGCAACCTATTCATACTCTGCTTCAGCAACCAGTTTACCCTCCATGTCCGCATTGCGTAATCTAGTCTATAAAAATTGCCTGGGTTTCCAGTGGCTCATCTCTTTCGCCGCGTGTCTATGTATTTTACGCCAGGGTTTTACTCGGAGAAGCTTGTATCCTTTCTTTCCGTGGTGACATGGCTTCGAGAAGAGAATATTTTGCTTCGTAATCCATAGGCGTGAAATCCGTTACATAGAATAATCCAAATCAATGTGCGTAATCAGTTGACGTTCAAAATTCAAGTGATTGATCTCCCGCGATTTTCAGTTTCAATGTTCACTCAACCCAGACAAACGTCTCACATTACTTTTATTAAATTCTGATATGTATGGTGAACCCAAGTGCGAAAGCATCCACTGACAACCCAGCAGAGTAAATCACAGCACCCCACCCCTCACCTTTTCACAGGCACAACCTTGACATTCAAATCCGGCTTCTCCCACGTCATATACGCGCGCGCCCTGCCCATCTCCCCCGCAGGATTCCAATTCGGCGCCCCGTCCACGCTGACAAGGTCGAAGTTCCAGAGAAGCCGAGCTAGGATAATGCGCATTTCCATGTACGACAAGCTGCAAAGAAAAAATGTTTTAGCATCGCGCTGTTGTTTTGGGAATTAAATGTTAAGTGTTGGAATGGAACTTACTTCCTACCGATGCATCCACGCGGTCCTAGCGAGAATGGCTGCGCGGCTTTTTTGAGATCGCTGTCGTACTCGTTCCCGATCCAGCGCTCGGGGATGAAGGTGTCGCAGTCGCGGAAGTTGGCTTCGTTGTGGCAGGCTGCCCAGCTGCCGACGGAGACGGCGGTCTAAAGTTGTGACAGTTAGAAATGTATTCGGATAAACGATAACGTTGCGGAAGTGAAGATTTAACTTACTCCACCGGGGATCCAGAGCCCGTCTACCGTGTCGCCATCCTTTGGAACCGTGCGTAACAGTCCGGTTGGCACTGGAGGATGGATGCGGAGACCCTCTTCCAGGACCGCATTCAGATAAGTCAAGTCGCTCAGTGTCGAGAAGTTCATATCCTTTTCGTCGGCAAAGGTTGACCTGATTTCATGCACGAGTTTCTGATACTTCTCTTTATTGTAGACGAGGCGTGCAAGGATCCCAGATAGAGCGTTGGCGGTGGTTTCCGAACCAGCGACGATGAAGAGCGCAGAGTTGACAATGATCTCGTCCTGTGCAAGCGAGTACTTCTCAGCCTGTTTCAAGATGTACCAGATGAAATCCCTATGCTCCGTCTTCGTCGCCAATCTTCGCATGACCTTCTCCCTCGAGAACTCAAGATGCTGTCTCCGCATCTTGCGGATCCTATCCGGGATCATGCTCAGCAAGAAATTCTGCGCCGTCGTCCCCGCAGTCGCCATCCTGCGCGTCGCCTGCTCGATCGCGCCTGCCTTGACAGTCTCGAAGATGAGGGACACCCAGAAGTGGAATTCCCCGTCCTCGAGGCACCCAAAGGGCTCGCCGAAGGCCAGGTCGCCGATGATGTCAAACGTCGTAAAGTTGAGCCAGTCAACCATGTTGAACTTTTCATCCCTTGCAGACATCTTGCCCAGCTGCGCGATGAATGTGCTGACGTAGCCCTGGATGATGTGTTCCTGCTCCGACAGCGCCTTCAGCGAGAACGAATGCGCCAGAGCTCGTCGCTGGCGAGCATGGTTCTCGTCGTCGGACATGGTGAGCGTGGAAACGCCGATGACGGGCTCGACGGAGCCAACGTGAATGGGATCCTTGTGGAAGTTGACATGGCCATTGCGGTGTCCGTAGATATCCTGCCAGGACTGCGCGGTGTTGAAGTGCAACTCGTTGGGCGAGACACGGACGACGGGGCCATATTTGTCGTGCATGAGCTTGGTGTCGAAGGGACCGCGGCCGCTGAGCAGAGATATGATGGACGGGATTGGAGAGATGGCATTGAGCTTGGGGCCGGGGAACTTTGAGAGAGGGCTGAAGTAGAGGCGGTATACCGACTGTGTTTGTATCAGCATAACGTTATTGCAGGAATGGCTCAGAATTTCACATACCAATACAACAAAATACGTGACTGTCTGTAAATATGATATTGTCAGTGTAAGCGTTCTCAACAAAGTCAGTCGCAAGCCAAAATTACTTACAAGACCTGCGGAGAGAACACAAAACATCCCTAGCGCGCCTAGAAGGGGTTTTGGCTGTATGGCGGGGTCCATGATTATTGTCTGTCTAATATGGCTTTAATTGTTATAGCAAAACGAAGGTGGTTGCGAGTGATAACTTTAATGCTATTCATGCCTTCAAGAAAGAAGATTGCTATATATGACAAATCGAGATTCCAGAAGGATTAACGTTACTATCGTGCCATCTGCTATCTAGAATGACGATATGGATGCGATAAGCATCAGAGTAACTCATAGGTAAGGTAGTTAGTCGTGAAGCAAGCTCAAAGATGGGAGTCAAATGGTGGATGCATCCATGTGTGTGCATGCGTATCGCGCGGGTATCGTTTCCCGCATCCTGCTAACATCGGTTTTCCCCGCTAAGTCGAAAAAGTACATCTCTTTCCCCGCTCCCCAGATGGTTTCAGGGACATAAAAAGTGGGAGAGGCTCCACTTAGAATGCTTACAGGGACTACATGGTCGTGTAAACCTTTAGTAGCACTAGCAATAAGAGATTGCTCAGTCTAGCTTAATTGCTTTTGTCGATCAGGTGTAGTCTACGCAGAAAAGCCTCGCTTCTGTGCTAGAGCAAGCTAATCTTCATTAGTAAGGGTTTTCCGTCCCATTATAGCAGATATTGAAAAAATAGACCCAGTTGCAGACAGAGGACCTTGAAATGTGAAGGCGGGAGACTGGCCCTTTATACCATTTTCCTAGCTCAGCCGTACTCACCTTCCTCACCCATCTAGCTCACCCTACTTACCTTGCTCACCCTGCTCACCTTGCTCACCAACTCACCTAGCTCACCGGCGTGCATCCAATGTCGCGGTGCAATGCGTCGTCAAAATTAACCCACTTTTAGATGGTCGAGGTGGTCGAGATGGTAACGATCACAAAATAAGGGGCAAGGGCGGCGAGGCTCACCTACTAGGCCGGATAGCACCGATTTAAGTATTATCCATATGTTTGCTGGAGATCGGTGGATTAGTAGTTAGGTGGGTGACCACCAGCGAATACCCACTGTTGTATGTTTTTTTTTTTGCCGTTTTTATATGGTAAATTTTGGCCCCCGACCAATATAATCTAGTTCTATGGTTCATAGTGTTTTTGTTCTCTCTTCATGGAGAGAACAGAACAAATGCCATGGCTTTTTGATTCGGATATACGTTATATTGTCAATTAGCTAGCACCTTGGCAGCCTCGAACGTCTGCCCAAGAAACCATTGCTTCAGCTCACCCTGCTCGCACCCCGCATCACCCAAAGACCACCCTTGAGATGGCAAGAAGCACAGATTCTATCAGAGGCCTGTTGTCACGATTGAAAGTATTAAGCATAAATTACAAACGTGTGTATGACAGAGCGGACGGGATGCACAATTTTTTAGAGTCAGTGGCCGGACGTGATAGTAACTCTCATGTTTCGGTAAAACTAATAGTTGAATCCAAACTGCTAGGATTGGTTCACTTTCACGGAAAAACTTTCCTTTAGACTAACATTGGCATATGGTTGGATATACTTCCACGAATCTACAAGTGGCATTCCTGCACCCTTGCTGACATTTTGACATCCCCGCATAAGCTTCGATTTAGCCTAAGAGAAGCATACAGTAGGTATCACGAATCACGAACAGCATTCACCAAGGTGGTATGAGTAGGTGGGACAATAATACATCAATGAGATGTGAATTAGTAATAGTTGGATAGCTAGTTCATTCAAAACATATATGGGAAAGGAATGCCCATCTTCGAGGAGAATTCTGTAAGCTCAACACACTGACTCGTTCTCCAATACAGCAATTCACTGTCTCATAATACATTATACTTCCAGTCGCCATATCTTATAATTGCACCTTCCTAATGGAGCATACAACACAACCCGTTTCCGATGGTCTTAATCCCGAAAAGCCTCGTGATGCACAAGTCGAAAATTCTGAACCATTACAAGCCTATGCCAACACCAAGGCTCTAAAGCAAGATGCCAAACAGGCCACGGCTGCGGAACACAGCCTTAGTTTCTGGAAAGCTATAGTTACCTACCGCAAGGCCGTGTTCTGGTCTGTCATGGTATCCACGTCAATCATAATGGAGGGTTACGACGTGACACTTATTGGCAGCTTCTACGCCTATCCCACCTTCCGAAAGAAATACGGACACGATTATGGAGGGGAGGCAGGCTACCAGCTGTCTAGTGCATGGCAGGCTGGCCTTTCAGATATGGGAGAGATTGGAAAAATTATTGGAGCTATATCAAACGGCTATTTCACTGATATCTACGGTCACAGAGCTGTCATGCTCACCAGCCTCACTGCTCTAACTGCTTCCATCTTCATAGTCTTCTTCGCTCCGAACACGCCGGTACTCCTTGTTGGAGAGTTCTTTTGTGGTATTCCATGGGGAGTCTTTGCTACTATGGGCCCTGCATTTGCTGCAGAAGTCTGTCCTTTAGCTCTACGTGGACATCTGGCAGCGTTTGTCAATATATGTTGGGTGATAGGGCAGTTCCTCTCCGCTGCCGTACTAAAAGCATTAGTGAACAATACAACCCAGTGGGGCTATCGGATTCCATTCGCTCTTCAGTGGATGTTTCCGCTTCCACTCGCCATAACATTGTGGTTTTGTCCTGACTCGCCGTGGTGGTTGGTGCGTGCGAATCGTCTAGATGATGCTGAGAAGTCACTGCAGCGTCTGTCTAGCAATGCAGATGCGGATGACATTAGACAGTCGGTTGCGCTGATGGTCCACACTACAAACCTCGAGAAGGATATGCAATCTGGCGCTACTTACAAAGCTTGCTTCCAGGGAACTAATCTTCGCCGCACGGAAATAGCTTGCATGGCCTTCCTGTCACAAGTCACGAATGGGGGTGCGCTGGTGTACAGCGCAGTGTACTTTTTTCAACAGGCGGGTATCAAAACAGATGCATCGTTTGCGATCAATCTCGGCGGAAAAGGTATAGCGTTTGTTGGCACGGTGATATCGTGGTTTTTCATCCCAATATTTGGACGCAGGACGATATATCTAACGGGATTTACTATCCTCGTGTGCGCCTTATGGATAATTGCCATCCTAGCTTGTGTTCCACAATTCGCAGCCATTAAGTTTGTGCAAGCTTCTCTCTGCCTCGTCTGGCTAGGCTCATACTCAATGACTGTCGGGCCCATTGTGTATACGATTGTTGCAGAGATTGGATCCACGCAACTGCGCACCAAAACGGTCGTCTTGGGGCGGACTACGTACTACATTGGAAACATTATAGGACAGGTCTTGGAACCACATATGATGAACCCAACAGGGTGGAATTGGAAGGGCAAAACCGCTTTCTTCTGGGGAGCTCTGGCCCTGTTAACTAACATCTGGGCATACTTTCGACTCCCTGAGACCAAAGACCGCACTTACGAAGAACTCGATATCATGTTCGACAAAGGGATTAAGGCAAGACACTTTAGTAAATACGAGTTCAGGGATGACGAAGATTAATTTATAAGGCCGGAATAAACCCACGAGCAGCACAAGACTGGATACAGCAGTAATACAAACAATATATTGCTTGTAGCAAAGGGAATTTGGATTTGTTTCATGGACGTTAAGGGAGATTCATGGAGTTATTTAGCTGGTGAAGAACCTTTATTGCCATATGATTTCCTTGCGCCCTATTCAAAAGCCCCAAGAGTTAGTAAACATACATATATATTTACAATTGACACCTCTGACAGCCATGCTTTGTTTTATAAGTTTGAACTTTCTATAATAAAGCTAGGGCAAATCATATTCTCGTTGATGTGATCCGCATTTGGCAAATCATTTTCCTCCGCACGCAGGGCTGCCGCTTCTGTGGTTGTTTCTATGCCTGCCTCGAGATGACGCTTGACCAGTCTATCCATTGCGGTTTCACGTGAAATAGAAACAAACCAGCTGCATATGGTGTTAGCATGGCCCAAATCGGTTGGTTGGCTACGGGGTGAGAAGAATGGGGATACGGACGATTCGTCGACTAAATGCTGGATTTGATCCCACGGATGCTCGTTTAAGAGAAGGTAGTTTCCCTCTAGAATCACGATTCGTTGTGATGAGGGAATGTAGATGTCGTTCTCGATCGGATCTTTGACGGCGTGGTCGAAGCTGGGTGCGTGGAAGGATTGAGCGGGGTCGTCCACTTCTGTGACTGGATTCTCTCGCAGGGCCTTCACTAGCTCCACAAAGGCTTCGCCATCAAATGTGAAGGGGGCTCCTCGCCGTCGGAACGCGCACTCAGGGTCTTGAAACGTTCTAAGGGTGGATTTGGGGTAATGGAACCCATCCTGTGTGTTTTGTACATGGTTAGTGGGTGTCGTGACTGAAGGAAGGAAACAGTTCTATAAATGACCTGCGACGGAAAATATATGAGAAGAGTTGGACGTACCATGGGAAGAACAGTTATACTGGAATTGGGAGTACATTTCGCATTCCATATTTTGGTTAAAGCAGCTGATATCGTCGTCTTCCCAGACCCGGGAGTTCCGGCAAAAGCTACCAGAATTCGTCGATGTGATGAGGCAGGATTCTTTTCTAGGAGCACTCTTAACCTCTCGCATAATGTGGTAATAGTTTCGTCCATATTTGTTTTAGCAAGGATAGATGTCGTCGAAAAAAAGGTCGGTCGCTCTATTATCAGGGGAAGATCAACTAGAATATTGCACCATACTCTGGTACCCCCAACTAATATACAATCTCTTCACGTAGTGGATACAGAAAATGGCCTCAATAGTTATCGTTTTGATATTGGAGGCAGTTTTATTTGTAGCAACACCAAGAAACTCCACTTGGGTCGCTGTCGCCATTAGCCGCCTATGATTGGTCGGAAAACAGTCTCCCGCCACCAACAGCGACGGATGTCGTCGCTAACTAGACTAATCAAGAAACCAGCGACAATCACTTCCGCATACTATATAGCACCTTGGTTTGTCAATATGATTCCCGGACAACAGTCGCCCGATCCACAGAATGTTAAGCCGCAAACGTGACACGAAGGCGTGGTTATGGGGTCTGCATCTCCCCGCAGTACCCAGCGACGGTTGATGGCGGGGAAAAGGTGGGCACCAAAGTTTTCTCCCAGTGTATAAAGTGTGGAGAAATTCCCTTCAATCTATCGCATCTTGATGATCATCACCAATATCTTGCCTGCACTCTGGGTTTACAAACTCTCTCTGGGTATAGACTTTTAATACGCAGAAGATGGAGAATACTGAGCAACTTTCCAGCCATGAATTGGCAGTCGAGCCTCCGCAGAAGAAGGGGTTCACTCTTCTCTTTGAGAACCCATACCTTTTCGGAGTTGCCTTGGTAGGCCACCGCACCCAAAAAAGAATTCAAAATTACTTGGCTAACGAGTCGATATGATAGTTCTCGTCACTGGGAGGCTTCCTCTTCGGTTACGACCAAGGTGTTGTCTCCGGTGTTTTAACTATGGAATCATTCGGGGCAGCATTTCCACGTGTATTCATGGACAGCGGCTTTAAGGGGTGGTTTGTTTCCACCATCCTGCTCAGTAAGTGACTTAAATTATTATGGCGTCTCATGACCAGCGTCTCCCAATAGTCAGTGCGAAATGCTCATATAAATCTAGCTGCTTGGTTTGGCTCCCTTGCCAATGGTTTGATTGCGGACCGTCTCGGAAGAAAACTCGATATCATGGTTGCTGTAGTTATTTTTGTAGCAGGCTCTGCGATCCAGGCAGGCGCCGTCAATGTCCCAATGCTATTCGCAGGCCGGGCAATTGCCGGTCTCGCCGTAGGGATGCTAACAATGGTTGTCCCTCTTTACATTTCGGAAGTCTCGCTTCCTAATATCAGAGGTGGCCTTGTCGTTCTCCAGCAGCTTTCGGTCACCATTGGTATCTTGTTCAGCTTCTGGATCGACTACGGCACTCACTATATCGGAGGCGTCCGCTGCGCTCCAGACATTCCATATTCCGGAGGCACTTCGGCCAACCCTACCTTCGATGCTTACAACGATGTCGGTCCCGATGGCTGCACGGGCCAGTCAGATGCATCATGGAGAATCCCTCTCAGCCTGCAGATCCTCCCTGCCTTCATCTTAGGTATTGGAATGCTTTTCTACCCCGACTCTCCCCGCTGGCTCTTGATGCAAGACCGCGAGGAGGAGGGGATAGCCACTCTCGCTCGCCTTCGCCGCAAGCCCGCTGATCACCCATCCGTTATCGCTGAGTCCTTGGAGATCAAAGCAACCATCCTGCTTGAAAACACCTACATCCGCGAAAACTATGCCGGTCTTTCTGGCCTACGCCTCGATGCCGCACAGTACATATCAATGGTAACGAAATTTGCCCGATTCAAGCGCCTCGCCATCGGCTGCTGTGTCATGTTCTTCCAGCAGTTCATGGGCTGCAACGCAATGATATACTACTCGCCGACTATGTTCAAATCATTGGGACTCGATGGCAACACGACTTCTCTCCTCGCCACAGGCGTGTACGGCATCGTCAACTGTCTGTCCACACTCCCCGCCCTCTTCTTCATCGATCGCGTTGGCCGCAGGCCTCTGCTTATGTGCGGCGCGGCTGGCACATTCATCTCGCTTGTGATCGTTGGTTCGATTGTCGGTGCCTATGGTGAAGGCCTCTCTGAGAATAAGGCTGCCGGGTGGGTAGGAATCGCGTTCATCTACGTAAGTCAACATCCTGTCCCTTACAAAGTGAGGGAGAGAATCTAACATCACACCACCGTAGATCTACGATATCAACTTCTCATACTCGTTCGCCCCAATCGGCTGGGTCCTTCCGTCCGAGATCTACCCACTCTCCATTCGCTCCAAGGCAATTTCTATCACCACCTCTTGTACCTGGATGTCGAATTTTATTATCGGCCTTGTGACCCCAGACATGCTAACCACCATAACCTGGGGGACGTACATCTTCTTCGCTGCCTTCTGTTTACTCGCCTTCGCCTTCACCTACTTCTTCATCCCTGAGACACGCGGAAAGACTCTCGAAGATATGGATTTGGTGTTCGGTGACACTGAAGCACACGAGGAGAAGGAGAGGATCCGGGGGATCGAAGCGCAGCTTCGGGGCGTGCATATTGACGGGACGGAAAATGAGAAGGATGCGGCGATGGCGGAACATAGAGAGGTATAACTCAACCTTGCCATGATGGATAATATATCGTGATTCCGTGTTTAGATGACTGTCTTTTGAGATCAACGATATGATGATTATGTGTCTCCTGGCGGAAGCGGCATTAGGCTCCCCGGTTGCAATCCAAAGCTGCTCCAGTCTAGAAAGTCCATCCCATCCCCGTATTCGCCTACGAACATGGAATGGACATCGTCAAAGAGGCCTGGGTCTTGCAGCATGGCCTCGGGTTGCTCAGCATCGAAGAGCATTGCGCAGAAGCGGTTGATGACTTCAAGACAACGACCCGCTAGCTGATTGGTAATTGCGGCGTACGAGAGGAGATCTTTAGTGACGCGAAGGTCGTCGAGCCAGGATGGTGCCGAGGGTGACGTGGATGTAGTGATCAAGAAGATAATTGGAATTAGTCCAGCCTGGAAGAGGAAGTAGCTATAATGCACAAGTCAATAACTGTCACGTTATATACGGCAGAAGCGAATGAGCAGGTATAACTGACAGCATGTACCAACTACCTAGCCTCGACGGAATGTTTGTTGTCATATATTGCGATATGCTCGCGATTGTCTCCCTCGCGCTCTGGAGGCACAATTGCCTACACTGTGCCTCTTCCGGATCTTCAGCGTCGGAAATATCTTGAGCAGTCCAGCGTCTTGCCGCCCAACGTAAGACGATTGGGCGAAAAAGAATGATGCGTAGATTTGCAGCGCGCCATGTCAGGCGATATCTAGCTAAGATTAAAGCGTCGTGTTGGTGTACATCAGGGTTATCAAGTTGAAAATAAGGAGGGATTGAAGCCTCCCAGTCGTCGATAGGCTGCTGGAGACTGAGTAGTTCGTGTGCAACTGGCGGGGGGTTGGATATTAGCCGGTGATAGACTGGGTTTGTAGCTTGGTGGAGCTTAGATTGCACGATGAGGCTCGAGTAGACTGTAGGTGAGTCAATCTCATCTGGCAGGGAAGTGGTAGTTGGAGTTAGATGCTAGGTTGTTATGTTAGTCGGGTTTCTTGCCTTGGTATCAGAAGATATATAGCTTACCTCTTCATGGATATTCAGAACTTGATTGGCATCCATGATACTGATTTCAGGTAAAAGCACCGGGCGTCCGAAGGTAATCGACGCCCCGGAGTCAAAGATGTAAACCCCCCACCAAACACGTCTTCTCATCTCGCGTTCTAAATCACTTATCTTCCATCCAGGGAACTCTTTATGTAGGCCAAGACTCAATGCCATCCTCACAGCAAGGCCTAGATAGTTCCAACCGGTATTAGGTTTGTTGCGTTTTTGGGTATAATTGCTCAACAAGAGAAGGGCCTGCACAAGCGCTAAGTTGCCGACTTCAAAGACAGAAGTGTCTTGCGAGTGCCTGTTCACTGCATGGTAAAATGTGTCGTCCAGTGTGGAATCTTCCTCACCAATACTCCAAGCCCCCAGAGCAAGGACTGTATTGAGGAGTATCGGCCAGGTTTCACCTCTAGGCCGCGGGGACTGACCCCCATATTGAGCTCTAAACGTTTGTTCATGGAGGAAGGGATATGTTGTGTGATAATACCGGAAATAGGCGTCAATGAAGAAATTCTCCGAGTATCCAGGTAGGGGTGCTGTAGGTCCTGGGAATGTGGCAGTGACAATGGCAGAGTTATTCATCGGCACCTGGTTCAAGGATTCGAGCCCTAAATCACCAACCAACAAGGCACGTAGAGGCATCACACTCGATGTAGAGCCTTTCATAGGTTAGTATATTAACAGGGGACTTTTTTACACGGGTTGAAAACACTCACCGAGATATCCTGTGCCCTCTGGTTTCATCGATAAGGCCGCCATGCCATCTGAGAGACTGCTGAATGTGGTTTCTTCCACCCAGTCGAAGCCGTCTGGCTTCTGAGGCAAAGATTCCTCGGCCCCTGGGGATGCACTGTCTCTTAGACTGGCACGACCTGCGGACATTCCGCCCCCTGGCCTTGACACTGGTGCCGGATTTCGCTGAGGCGGTGCATGGTGGGTTCCATTCTCCGTTGGGCTTAGGATTTCATCGATATTAGCGTCGGGTAACAATTCTGAGAAGGCTTCTTCAAGTCTTCGTATCCTGTCTTCAGCAGCCGTGAGATTCCTACATATAAAGTAGTGAGTAATAGCCCACGTCTAAGATATAACAAAAGCAAACAAGTATCTAGCTAAATGGCATGGAGTAATCGAAACGGTCATCTTACTGTCGCGTTAAAGGGGTTCGCTCAGCTCTTGGGCTGTATGTGCATTCTTTGCCCTGCTGGGAACAGACAGCGCATGAAGGCCGCTCTTTTGAACACTGCATTATGTTACTATCAAACCATACTCATTTGGAGTGAGAGAGATACTTTGAATTTCCTTGCTCTACATTCATCACACTGGAATACCTGCGTCAGCACGAGACCTTAGGAACGAGGTAGCCAGGGCGTCATTACCGCCGCAAAATTAGCTAAAGAAGCTTGAGGAGGCATTTCCTATGCCTTTTTTCATCGCCCTGTCGATTATTATATAATTTCCATTTCAAGTACGAGTAGGATGGTAATCAGTGTATAGTTGAAGCTACAACGAGAATCAGAAAGAAATCCGCAGGCGACTTGCTCACGTGCCGCCTAAAAGTCTGTACAGGGACCGTGCGTTCTTGCAAGCAACTGCGTACAATGCAATTCCTCCTACTTGATTAAATTTTAAATAGTATATCCCTATGATTGAAAATAAGAACATGCATTACTATGTCTACAGTCTATAATGCTAGTAATTTATTTTAACACCATCGTTGGGAGAAATTGTTGAAATTGTCGTCGCTGATAATGACTGAAAACATGGTCCTTGTTCTGTACAGACTTTCCCGCGGCACGGGTATCGTGATTAATAAGCTAAAGTGTGGAGTGTGGGGAAAGGCGGCTTCTGGCACGAACAAAGGGGGACTACCCCTCCTTTTAGACCATCTCCTCTGTAGCTCTACTACAATGTATAATGATAGGTTCAAGCAAGTTGGCGAACTCGAAATTTTGAAATGTACGGTTAAGCTCCGAAAATTTTCACTGAACTTCGAAGAGTAGGCTGTTAGCTTTCCGACTTTGGCACATGAACCAAAAAAATAATCTATGACGTCTCCCACTGTGATAGCTAACCGCATATATTTACTACGGATCTTCGGAGTTTCATCGAAAATGTTCATCTCTCAATGGTAACCCCACTATCACCATCGAGACTAATATCTTGTGGGACACTCGCTTTGAACTATCATTCTTATCCAAGGCCATTTCCTACAACACGGAGAAGATCCCAGATCGCCCAGCTTTCCCAAGATCTTTAGACACTAGCTAGCTACCTAAGTTAATGCGGCTCTCGGATTTAAGAGTGAACGGTAACAGCGGAACTTTAACTGTGGTTCACTAAATCCGAGACTCTCTCTGTGGCGCGGAGTTAATTGGACTTTAGATTCACGTCTATTACTACCGTTTATTAGTGCCGGTAAAGAATCTTGGTGCATTGCTCACTTCGATGCTTTGATTTCATAATATTGACGTAAACCTCGGAGCGCCATGTGGCGCGCTGCCCTTCGAATATAAAAGTAGTGAAGGGCCCCTTTCACTTTAGGAAATAAGAAACTTGTTTATTTGAGCATTTGAAGGCATTCAACTCTACGATAGCCCATCTAGTCCATTACACAGCACCCGCCTGATCCAATCCCCAGCAATATGTCCGACTTGTGGAAACCCGCCCCGGAGCCGGAGACTGAGCTCGGTCGGTATCGTATCCTGTCTCCCACGGCGGGTATCCGCGTCTCGCCCCTCCAGCTCGGAGCCATGTCGATCGGCGATTCCTGGTCCAGTTTCATGGGAAGCATGGACAAGAACGCCTCTTTCAAACTGCTTGACGCTTTCGCTGAAGCCGGTGGCAACTTCATCGACACGGCTTGCAACTATCAGAATGAGCAATCCGAGGCTTGGATCGGCGAGTGGATGACAGCTAGGAAAAACCGGGACCAGATGGTCATCGCGACTAAATACACAACGGATTACAAGTCCCATGCGCTCGGGAAGGGACATGCTCCAAACCACTGCGGGAACCACAAGCGGAGTCTACACATGAGCGTGAGAGATTCGTTGAAGAAGTTACAGACGGATTGGATTGATATCTTGTACCTGCACTGGTGGGACCACACCACCTCGATTGAGGAAATCATGGACAGCCTGCACATCTTAGTTCAACAAGGCAAGGTGCTATACCTCGGTGTTTCCGACACTCCTGCGTGGATAGTTAGCGCAGCGAACACCTACGCCAAAGCGCATGGGAAGACACCGTTTAGCATCTACCAGGGAAGATGGAACGTTTTAATCCGTGACTTTGAGAGAGAAATTATCCCAATGGCGCGACATTTTGGTATGGCTCTCGCACCGTGGGACGCCATGGGGGGTGGGAAGCTCCAGACAAAGAAGGCACTCGAAGAGCGCAAGAAGGCAGGAGAGGGACTGAGGAGCTTGCTTGGCAGCGGCGAACAAACCGAGGAGGAGGTGAAGATGAGTGAGGCACTGGCGAAAGTAGCAGCAGAGCACGGGATTGAATCCGTTACAGCCATTGCGCTCGCGTACGTCATGTCCAAAGCGCCATACGTGTTCCCTTTGGTTGGCGGGAGGAAGGTTGAGCATCTGAAGGATAACATTCAGGCACTCAAGATCCGGTTGACACCGGAACAGATTGCATACCTTGAAAGTATAAAGCCATTTGAAGTTGGCTTCCCACATAACTTTCTTGGCGAAGACCCGCATGTCACAGGTAAGACTTCAGGGCTTCTTGCAGGCAATGCCAGTTTGAGTTGGGTTAGGTCGCCTGCGGCTATTGGGGCTGAGGGAAAGTGATAGCAATGAAACGATCATAGTATTAGTAACCAATCAATCAACTGTATCAAGTCTCTTTTACTAAGAAGTATAAATTTGGCTCATTTAAATCATGGAAATTCGGGCCCCTGGTCTTAGGCTTGCTTGCTCCAAATCCACTCGCCATACCTCGCCCTTGTCTTCTCGATGAGTGCTTCAAACTCTAAAATCTCCTGCTCGGACGGCTTAGTCTGATCTCCCTTCAGAGCATGCATCGGTGTATTGGTACGTTCGCGAAAATAATCCACTGCTGTCTGACCCTGCTCGTCCTTCAAATTCGGGTCGACGCATATTTCTGCCTTCTGTAGCTCTACGATGATCTCAAGATTGGAGTACATCCCTGCCAGGTGGAGAACGGATTGGCCATGCAAGTCAATCAGGTCGAGGCCTGCGCCATTCAGCCATAGGGCTCTGAACATCCCAGGCTTATTCGCCCGGATGGTCTTCATGATTGGGGTTCTCCCGTCGTTATTAGGAAAATCCATATCGCCGCCAGCGCTGACGAGTTCGGCATACATCTTCACCAGAACGGTGTTTTCTACCACGCTCCGAGCGTAGATTGGGGAGCTGAGAGCTGTGTCTTTATCATCATCCATCGCTTGCGGGTTGGCTCCATTGCTCAGCAATAGCTTCACCATCTCCACAGACTGCTCGCGAGTAGCTAGGAACAACGGTGTCCAGTTCCACTTATCCTTAGCGTTAACATCTGTCCCAGCTTCTATCAGTATTTCAGCACACTGCAGCTTTGTGGCGGCGACAGCAATTGACAGGGCAGTCCTGCCTTCGAAGTCTCTCAGGTCTAGGTCGGCTTTCCAAGAGAGAAGGAGACGAACAGCGCTGATGTCGTTTTTCCAGGCAGCCCAGTGCAACGGAGTGCATCCGCAGTCGTCGATCATGTTAATAGATGAGGGGTCAAGCTCAAGAGCTGTTGTTAGGCTCATGTTTTGATATCCAAGTACCGCATCGTGCAGAACTGTTGTATGTGAATACTCCTCGCTCTGGTCGATTATTCGATGATAGATGTGTGCGGCATCTTCGTGGAGATCCTTTTCATCCACTACAAGTCGCCACTTAGCCATAGCATGGGGAGAACTAAGGGTTGTTAGGTACAAATAAATTAGTGGTGAGACTACACTTACGATCCAGTGTCATCAAGATGTATGGAGTCGTGAGGAAAATCAATAAGAAACCGTGCCGTTGGCCAACATTTGTAATATCTTAACGCAGCCTGCCAATATTGTTAGCGGACTAATATGGCATACTACAGGAATTTGCACCGTACCAAGAGTAAAGACTCTCCCCTCTGAGAGATATCTGTGGGCAATACTTCCTTCTGCGCGAACAAGTACTGCAAGCGCGATATGTTGTTGTTGGTAATGGCTGCCCAGACATCATGAGTCTCTGGTATCACCCTTGGAACCTTGAGGTGCATTGACGCTCCTTGGCTATCTAAGCTGTTTTTCCAGGAGACGGAGAAAGATACAGCCCTTCGGATGATCCATTGTGGAAAAATATAGTTTAGACGAATCGAGCTTTGTGAGTGATTTAAGCAGCTTGGGTGGCTGCAAACGCGAGGAAACCAGATGGGGTAGGAGTTATAGCTAATGAGAAACTGTCCGACGATGCTAGAAACAAGTCCTGGGGTTTTCATATTGCCCATTTTGTGGCAGTCGCATCTACAAGTCTTTGGACAGAGTCTATTAAGTGTTGCTTGAACTTGCAGAAGCGTTGTTTCAGGATTACGTGACAAGTTCGCCATCCTGTCATCGTGCTTAGGTTTTTCCCGCGGCGAGATTTCTTCGTCCTCATTCGAAGAACTGGTAACTTGGCCAAGTCCTAGAGACTGTGCTGTCGTCGGGCTTGATACCGCAGCTAATGATAGATGGGGTGGTTTTTGGATGGACAGATGATCAACTGCCTCCTGTAGTCTAGCTGCGTCGTATTCGTACTCTTTGAGTATCGACTGTATATTCGTGTGAATCTCAGTGTCTCCAAACGTGGTTTGGGACGGCTGGAGTTCTTCAAGTTGCTCTAGCTTCTGAGACATTATATGCTTTATTGAACTAAGCCGGGAAATGCATTTTTGCGTAATAAGTGAGTAGTCGCCAACATGGCTCGGGACGTTTGTAGTTGGGTTAATTGCCTCCAAACGGCTTCTGACTCCATGATTAGCTTGCGATGCCTCTTTGAGGACCTGCAAGACTGCTATAGAAGATTCCGTATGCTGCCTCACGGAAATATTTGTCTGTGATATTGCAGGTCCTTCAGCAACTTGCTGCGAAATTTTATTGATAGCCTCTTGGAAACTCTTTGTGGCTTGGTCGAGGAGTTTGTTGATCTTATCAAACCCCAGTTCAGAAACCTCTTTAATCTCCAACACGAGCGCTGCTTGCTGCAGACTATCTATAACTTAGCAAAGTATACATCACAATAGCAACCACTTCACCTTTGATCTGGTTGTAGAAGCATCACTGCCTCAGCTAGAGCCGTTCTTATTTGACGCACTTTATCCCGCCGTCGAATTATGTCCCGCCGGTGATGGCGCCACTTAAGAGCGGGCATGATCTTGCGGCGTCTTGAGTCTGCACTCAGCATCTGCCGTACTACCGCCTCAATCATCCTAGCCAGCTCCCCAACTTCACCCTCGAGGCTTTTGACCACTGAATGAACATGGCTCAAGTCGGGAGATGGCAGGGCAGATTTAGAGCTTGCTAGAGATTCCAACACTGCCCGAGTCCTCTCCAAGTATCCATGAACGGTTTCGAGCTGGGAAACTGTCAGTAGTGGCCTGGGGAGAGCTACTGTTTGTAAGCAAATACTTCACCCACCTCATTATGTAGATCCGATATCTCGTCTGGAGCTGCTATAATGGTAGCGACCTCACGAATCCCGGCAGTGATGGCAGTCACGGCCTGACAAAGGGCAATTATACTTGCGCATATGGACAACGGATCCATTTTACAAGTGGCACGGTGCCACCCGTATCTGGACACCCACGAGGATAAAGTGGCCATCGTAGGATTATATGAGGCAGCAGTGTAGGGCGAGCAACCAGGTTAGTTGCCCGAGACAAGGGTCTGGGACCAATAATAATAGCAACACGTGAATTCAGCGTGAAGCCCTGATGTTTGCCCAACACATCACAAACTATGGCTGTAGACTTGTTTGCGATGGCACCCTGTGCTAAGCTTCCACTCTAGGGCGGTCGGTGGTCATTATTTCCCTCGTTAACTGATCGTGTGAAGGGGGGCGGTAGACGCGGTTCGGGACGATGGGCGGGTGGGGTTTTGATCGAACTTCTTGATTGCCCCGCTATGCTATGCTATGCTATGCTATGTGCTGTAAATGCTCCATCCACTACCAAACCAGTGGTCCGTCATGCAAATGCCCGCCCATCCACCAAAAGTAGCCAGCCAGTAAACCCCAGCACCGAATCATATATATAGCTTATTCAGCAGATCTGATATCCACATCTCAACCTCATCACCTTACCGACTCAACAGTTCCCTCTCTCGACCACACCATGTCCTCTGCCTCACTACCACCACTAACAAGATCACCCCACCCCTCACCCCCCGTCCGTTCTACTTCCCCCACTCCAACCCCCTCAAACCACCACTCCCTCCTCACTCTCCTCTCTCCACCCCACAGCGCCGCCATAGCCGCCCTCGTTGTCCGTGGTCTCTTCCCTCTCCCCCCTTCACTCACCAGATTGCCCGCCTTAACTCGTTCCCGCGCCGCCCTCGCATCGCACGCCACAATACCGCGCACATACGGCGCGATATCCGTAGCGAGTAGCGCCATGGGGCGGTCCACGCACGACGCTTCGAGGTGCGGCGGCGGGAAGAGCGGTTTCTCGGGGATTCCGAGGGGGTCAAACGCTAGGCTGTAGTGAGCGCGTGAGATGCCGCCTGGAGGGGAAGAGCGAGACTGGGTGATGTGGGTGAGAAGTTGGGGCTCGGTGACTGGGGACAAGCCAGTGCGAATAGGGCGGGGGAGGGAGTTGTTGGCGTAGGAGCGGGCAAGGGATTTGAGGGTGCCTGATAGGACGAGTGGAAGGGGAGGTGGGGAGAGAGGAGTGGCGGCAAGGAAGGTGGAGCCAATGGGGAGGTCGGCGAGGGTTTTGGCACTAATTGGAGGGTCGGTGGTGTCGAGGAGGATCTATCGGGCGTTAGTAATGGAATGTACAGGTGGGTAAAGGAGGATGGCTCACGTAGTTTGATGAGTCTAGTGTGCCAGTAGCACAGAGGTCGGCGGCGCTCATGGCGTCGGTGAAGATGTCATATGATTGAAGGGCCTTGAGACGTTTTTTCTTTGAGAGCTCGACGGGTTTGCTGGCGTAGGAGCTAAGGTCAAGCGTCGTATGCCAGTCTCCAGCGTCGAGTTCCCATCCATTCCACGTTTGCTTGATGATCTCCTCCTCGATATCATTGATGCCGGACGGATCGCACAACGAATCTCGTCCTAACCAGCCCATACCATTCCTATAAGTGTCCTCGCTCACAACCCTGACAGTGTTGCCATGAGAATCTTTATCTATGCCAGCCGGCAGACGGGGGTAAAACCAATCAAATCCACCCCTTTGGTCACCTACACCAATCTGGCACCAAAATTCGAGATCTGTCATTGTAGCTCGAAGATCGAACTTCTGCGCTTTATACAAGGCTGTGACTGCTGGCCGCTTCAGGGCATGGCCTTCGTTTGCAGCCACCAGTAGCATGTAATCAACTGCAAGATCAACTGAGGGTGGTGCGAACCGAATTATGGCGTGCAATGGCAAAAGTTGGTTCAAAACAAGAGACTCGTCGTTGCAAGTCATGATAATTGGTCGCTTGGACTGTGATATTAAGGTCAGGACTGTCGCCCAGAACTGCTTATCTTCCTCAAAAAGAATATCGACCTCTTCAAGGAGAATCAGCGACTGCTTCTGTTGCTTTGGCTTTTTTGCTGGAGTTGGATCTGTTGAATGCGAAGCAGTCTCTGAGTCTGGCTTTCCTTTTTTTGCTTTTGGCTCTTTTGCTTTTCTTGCAGTAGATTTGAAAAAGGTCTTCATTGTCACTTGCCGGCCGCTCTTCAGATCAGCATCAAGAGCATCCGAAGCGCGTTGGAGGTCTTCACAATCGTCCAATTTCTGCTCTTGCGTTTGCTGCACTAAGTGGTTCCTTGTCATATCTCCAACCTTCTCAAGGATATCTTTGCCGCTTCTTCGACTGCTAGAGTTGATCTCAAATACTTCGAAACCAAGTTCCTTCGCCACAGCGTAAACAGCGGCAGTCTTGCCACACCCATTTGGTCCGCTTATCACAACTGCGTTTAAGAGCTTGTTGGGCTGCTTTGAGTTCATCGACTTCAGATCACCGTGCCGAATAACAGTTTTCTTCGGCCTACCAAGGCCACCTCGTGGAGATTCCTCGTCGGACTCGGATACTTCATCCATATCGTTGGCTTCATCGTCGCTAGACACAATGAAATCTTCCAGCTTCTTTGACTTCCGCTTCTTCTTGCCTCCACCGTCTTTTTCCGCCTTTACAGGTCCAGGCGAGGCTCGAGTATTGCTAGAGTCAGCTACTTTCGTATCAACAGCAATAACAGTCAGAGATTGTAGCCATTCTTTCAGTATGAAAGCCTCTCTTCCATTTTGCAAAACCTCTGCTGCTGAATGTGGCGCATATTTGTGTATCCATGACTGAGTCTGATATTGTGATTTGTCAAAGGCGCTTAGAGTTGTGGGTATGCTGCCAAATAGCTTATTTATCACTGGGTGAGGAGAAGAGCCCAGGCTGTCCCTGCTAAGTTCATCCTCACTATAATCGTCTGTGAAGCGTCCTGATGTCACAGCAGATTTTAACTGCGGCCTGATACGTCGCTGAAGTTTGTACCCCGATTCGAAGTGGCGTTCCGGCACACGAAGGCATCTATCCGGTGCATTGAAGTGATTGGCGCTAAGGTCCTTCAGCTCTTTTCGCACAGCGTTTATTTCGAGCTTGGCGGCTATAACATTCAGAATATCTTCGTTGGCGGTGGCCTCACTAGCCGTATATTTAGATTTGTGGTTTTCGGATTTGAGCAACGTCGACGGTTCTCCCATTGGAGTCGGCGAAGGGTCATTCTCTAGACCTCTGATATGGGTCATCCCGCTAGGTGGCCATATCGGTTCGACTGCCCCTGGGAACTTCATGAGACTATTGGAGTTTCCGAACGCGGCGAAAGAACTGGAGTTGGGAGGTGGGCCGCTGGGAGTGGGAAGTAGTCGGCCTGTGGCTGGCGCTCGAAACAAGGCTGCTTGCTGGGGAGCAGATGCAGCAGGTTCGGCAGAAGTATTGTTGCTACCGCTCCTATTGGGCTTCATGGCGGTTTTGCCGAGGAAAAACGGGTGTGGGGATTTGGTTGTGTTGGCTTTCACAGGACGAGTTTCGACCTCAAGTTTCTGTTTCGGGGGTCCCTGTACTGGTTTGGTAGTGCTCAATATGTGGTCGATCTTGTTCCCTACGCTCAACCGGCTGCCTGTATCCGATCCGTATTTCAATGTAATAACTAGCGATTTGCGGTTTTTGCGGCCCTTTGAAGGGGCCTGGTCCTTGATGGATCGCTTGGGTGGAGAGCCAATTGTGCCTGTTTTTATGTTGAAATGAAGTATTTTCTTCGGCTTTTCGTTGCATAAAATAGGATCCATTGGCTTTCCGACCGGCTCCAAAGTGGCTTGCTCTCCTTTCGACATGGTGTTTATAGTATTGGGCCTAACAGCCTCCAATGTATTCAGGTTGTAATCCGCCCGGCCCTCAAAACCATGGGTCAGAAATGGTGCTCCATGAGCGTTTTCGAAGCCCAATCCCCTAGGAACGTTGCCATTATTCTCAACCGCCCCTCCCAGCACTCCATAATATGGTGGGAGGATGCCGCCGTTCAAATCTCTTGGGGTCGCTGAGTTTTCGAGCTTGGGATAATAATTCCGGTCACTATTGTCCTCTGGCGGTGTCGTCTTCCGTCTCTTCCGACGTGATTCGTTTAGATCTGTCTCCATACCTTCACTATTTTGATGTACGGTGGTTGGTAAAACAGCCCCTTCAGACTGCCTTGGGCGAGGTTCAAGGGGTGTAGGCCACACATTGTCGTGCACATGGTCTAATGATGCTGACGGTGGAGTATGTGTGCTTGGTTCGGCGGTGCCTGGTCGTGCAGTATGTGGCAGGTCGCTCGGCGGAGTTGAAGCTGGATTTGAAGCTGCGAACCCGAAACGTTAACACGCCAGTCGACCAAATGCATGGCTCGGAAGTCAGAAGTAAACATACAGTTCGATTTGCCAAAAAAGGGATGAATAGTTTTCTTCCTTTCATTAGTATCCACCATTGTTCTGGCAGTCACCGCTGCCATTTCACGACCTGAGTCCGCCCATTCACTTCCCTCTATACGCGAACTTCGCGTCACTCAAAATTAAGATATGGTGATGGATATGACGTAAATGGTGATTTTATGAATATAACGGCAATCAGAAATGACAGGCAATGGGCATGTCTCGGCTGACTTTGGCAAAGGTGTTTTTCTGAGAGTATTGTCCTTCTATGGCCGACAATGTTCGAAATTCAACCAAAGTGGTTCCTCTTGAAGACCGCGTCTTGTCGCGAGATGTCCGAGCTTCACGATCAGCCCCACTAAAATTAAAGTTTGACCTGAAATATTAGGTGTCAATTATCTCGGGTCAAACTTTCTCCAAAAAGTTTTGGGAAGTTCGTGATAACGAAAGTCACCGCTCTGGAAGACTTCACCTGTATATATATTTGCGCACTTCAAGCGTAGCGCCAATATGTCGTCCACCTTTACGATTGAGAAGCCACTTGTAGTGGCCTCACTTCCCCGACCTGTCGACCATTCCACCGGTCGTTATTTTGTTTCTGATGTTCATGGTGGGACACCAGGCTCGAGAAAGCGTAAGAGAGCAGAGTTAGCTGTGGGAATTAGTGGTGAAGGTGTGAATTTGTACGATGTAAGTAACCTTCAAAGAACCACCGTTATTGACAATCTGCTAACTTCAATCAAGATTCAATCGTCAAAACTCGTCACTTCATACGCTCTCCCTCCACAGGCTTTGATCACTTGCGCACCATACTCTCTAAGATTGAAGCAGGGCAAAGGGCTTGCTGAGAGAAGGACATACGCATCTACAACAGAAAATACTCCTCGAATCACAGTCTTCCGTGAGACGACAACAGCAGAAGGGCAAGCCGATTCGTCAAGTGCGATCCACCTTGTCAAAGGTTCAACCAAACCAGTTGTTTTCCTCGGCGTTGCCCCAGAACAAATTGGTTCGTCCAGTGACAACCTACTTCTCGTAAAGTCCGATGGAGAGATACAATGCTTGGATGGGGATGATCTGAAGTTGAAATGGACATCTCCGTCTGCCGCCGTGAGTAAAAACTCTGCCATGCCCAACGTTGCGCACAAGATTGAGCTCGTCAACCTCACCGATGCGCATACCGCCAGCAAGGGGCTCCTCAAGGGACAGCCTGAGGCATTTTCAATCTTTTCAGAAGATGTGGATGCCAATGGGTTTAACCCAACCCTTCTTGTCCTCATTTCGAGCCCAGTCGATGCCACTGGGTCCGACAACCGCACGCTTCATGTTCTGGCTCTTCCTCGGGCTGGAGACAGTGCGTCTACCACCCAGGTACACTCGGTCCAGACCTTACTCTCTGTGCCAATTCCATGGCTTCACTCGCAGCCGCCGTCGAATTTCGGCAAATTACAATATGATATCCATGTTTCATCCGGATTTTTGTACGAGCTTGGTACCAGATCACTCACAATCTACGACTTGGTGGATGGTACGATCAAGATCAAATCGCAACTTAATATCGACAATGTAGCATCATTCTTACGACTCAGCGGTACATCTGTAATGACAGCCACGAACGAGACCGTCGATATCTACAACCCTACATACCATTCTATCCAAGCATCCACCAACCTAGACAGCATCCAGGGAGAGACTGCCTCGCGAAAGCGGAAGTTAGATGACGCCGAGGATTCAAGTTCGAAACAGTGCGAGCTGGTGGCATATTCCACAAAGCACAACCTTGTGCACGCGATCCTTGGTAGCCAACTGGTAGCATTTTCGATAGAGGCACGAAAGGATATTCCAAGCCGCCGTCGCGAACTTGGTTTGCTCATAGATTCGGTGGGTTGCGGCAGACGCCAAGCAACAGATGGGAGTTCCGGAAAGCTGCACCGGGTCCCACTGAGCTCACTTTCATCATATATCCCTGGGTCGAACCCGGCTGTCGACAGTACCATGCAGGAGCAATTCTCAAAGCTCGATCGATGTGTTGCCGAGCAAGACATTGACGGGTTCGAAGAAATAATGGCACCAGAGCTGAAGATGTACCGTCGGAAGATCGCGCCTTTTGTGAATGGACTAGCGGTCACTAATGGCGTCAAGTCCAGTGATGGAACAGCTGTGCCTGAATGGATATGGCCATCCACACGAAGTGGGTATCTTGAGGTCGACCCACGTTGGGTGCAGTACGCATTAAGCAGGGTTTTCAGTTGGTCCAGCCAGAACGGCGAGCAGAAGCTTCTTGTCGTATTTTATCCTCACAATGTTGTCAACTGGCTCCTGGAAACCGGCAACCTCAACAAAGTCAATATCGAGACTGCGTTGAAGCATGAGGCTCGCAGTACTGAGTCCTATGTTGTCCCTGCAGGGCAACTAGTATCATCTCTCGTCGATATCGATCCTGAGATGAAAGTCCTCCTCTCTCTCATTTCAAACAACTACCTCGATGCGCCCGAGCTTGTGCACGCCATTCGCGTACTCATGCAGAGCCTCGAGATTCTTGACGATGGTACCAAGGCGGACAAGCCACTGCTTCTCACAGAAAACGAAACCCCTGCCAATAATGGCGATATGGAGACTGAAAACGAAATAGAAGAAGCAGATGCAGCCTTGCGCCTGGCGGAATATCAACTTGGAGACGGAGCCAGCATTCGGGGCCAAGCGTTGAGTTTGGCATTGGCTAAGTTACATTCTTGCCCCTCGGCAGCAGTCGTGCATGCTCTACAGTCAAACTTGACATCGAGCGAAATTGTGTCTCTCATCTACTTGCTGCGCTTTGAGCTTGCGCGCGGGGCGTGGACCTCGAAGTACCTGGACGTTGTGGATAGCATTGACGAGGACACCGGCTCACAAGACAGCACCATTGTCCTCATTTCCAGTCTAGTAAATAGCTGCATTGATGCCATCGGCTCGGGCGGTTGGCTTTCTGGGGACGCAATATTGGCCGGAGGGGATCGTTTCCAGTCAGAGGAATTAATCTCCAGCTTAAAGCTCGAGGTCAGTGCGGCGTTGGAAGGCATTGAGGAAGCGACCTACCTCAAGGGCCTCACCTCGGAAATGGTTCGCTACGGCGAAGCTGTGCAAAAAGCCCTACCCGCAAGTGCAAAGAAGCAGAAGGTGGACAGTTCTCAGAAGGGGGGCAACGTGCGAAAGAACCAACCAATTACCGTTGCCCAGGTTGGGAAGGACGCGACCATACTTCCCTTCGGATTGAAGGCGGACCAACTGATCTCGCTGATTAAGATTGGGGCAGGTGGGGAACTACAGCGCCGAACTGCGCGGGATATTGGAAGGCTGAAGAGCAAGAAGGTTGGAAAGTACTCGCAGGAGAGGATTGTGATCTAGAACCCCCGGTTCAGGTACTTTGTGCTCAGTGATGTCGGGCATTGTTGGTTTCAGGCTTACGGACGGGTGCAGCCGCCGTCGGTCCATGCACATGCATGTATATTGCGAAGAGGGGCGTATAGGCGCCAGCGATCCAGTAGTAAATGAGAAATTGTTGGTGATAATGCGATGAGGAAGGCTTGTTTCACGGGCGACGGGGGCGGAGCTGAGGCTGGCGCACATATTGGGGGGAGCTTGTTGGTTGTGTCCCGATTCAGTTCGATTCAAATGGTGGAAGTACTCAGCCACAGCCTGATCAGACGAACCAGGGAGGGTGTTTGTGCCACACGATACATACCAGTGCGGGCGAGGCAACAGCTTGGGCAACCGAGTATGAGCCATCATCTCTCTCATTCAATCATTCAATACATTATAAATTATTCCATGCACATTGTTGATGCACATTGTTGGGCATTAGAGAGACTATTTGTTATTTGTTGTGAATATGAAACCATGAGGTATGCATACCTTATCACCAACATCGAGTCAGTCAGTTAGTGTACATAATTACAGTACAGGGCATTTTATACAGCCTTGTTTTTGAATCACCTTCTAGCTCGCCCGGCTTGGATCATCCGTAGCCCGTGGGGGGTTCCAACTGTCCAATCCTGTATCTCCGTGCTTTCCCAGTGTTCCCCACATCCCTTCCACAAAGAACCCAAAAGACAGGACCCCGCGGCTTCGACGTCACAATCCCGTCCAGCGCGCGTGCAAATGTCCCTTATCCCTCTGTAGCCGCTCAAACAACGTGGACTTTATATGGGAAGTGGATGCATCCTTTACTCAACTTGTGTACTTGTACTTCGCTTCTCCATATCACGAATACTACGAATACTACGAATCCTTCAATAATCTATTCATCTACATATCATCATTACTTTATTGCATTATAGCGACTCTCTTCACATGAATACAACCACTTAATATCGGCTTCTGGAATCCTTTGATGTGATGACTTTCGGTTCTAATCCGGCGGATATAATTATTGTACTGGAGTTCACCCGCCGGCTGTACCGACAGTGCAAGAACGCCGACGATGCCTACTTCGAGATCGGCCGCGAGATTCGCGCACTCCATACGGTGCTGCGACATCTCAAGTACGAAGTGCAGGCGCCGGAGTCGATACTCAACCGCGACCGGGCGCTTTATGCGCGAGACCTCGCGCCGCTGATCTCCGACTGTCGCTTTACGCTGGAGGACCTGGAGGAACTTCTGCGGAAGTATGGCGACATTAAAAACAATGATAGGGGTGGGAGCACGACTGGACGGCTGTGGAATCAGTTCAAGTTTGGCAGTATAGAGATGGACCAGCTGGGCACTGTGAGGGTGAAGCTTATAAATCACAAAACGAATATCACGGCGCTGCTCGACACGATACAACTTCACGAATCGAGTAGGGTAGCGATGACACTGGATAATCATGGGGGACAACTGGATATCATTTTGGATAAAGTGGACAATATTGCGTCGCGGATGGGTCAGCGGGCGGCCTCGTTAATGACTACATATGAGGATGACGATAAAGAAGTGTGGAAAAGCTTTCGGCGAGAACTGGTCGCGGAGGGGTTCTCTAGCGACGTTTTAACTCGACATAAAGTGAGTACAAATGTTCTCACTTTGATTTATGATTCGTGAGCTGACATTTATCTAGGATGTATTACGAGCCTATATTCGGCAAATCGATCAGAACGGACTGCTCGAAGATATCCCAGTCGCTGCGAAGGCGAGACAGCCAGTGCTATCAGTAAATACCCAGGAATGGCTCGAACAAGTTCAATCACCCGCATCTGCTTCCGGCCCACCTTCGTTCAACACTACCAGTTCTGATTCCTCGATAAAGGAGCTTAGAGTCGGGGAGGATAACAGCAAATTCCTACAGACAATGAAGAATGAGCGACCAAAGCCAGAATCTATAACGACGGGTTGGAAGGAAGGTATAGGCGATACAAAGGCTCCACCAGTCCAACCTCTACCACCCCAGGTTCCAATACTTTATGCCCCGCCAGTCCAACCTCCGCCAGTTCCAGCTCTTCAACGTTCAGGCTCTTCAAACAGTAGAAACGGTTACGGCTATGCCGTCGCCGCAAGTCCTCCAACATCCGTGCAGCTCAGGTCACCAATACCAGAACCAGAGATCTGCACCACAGAGTCCATCCTCGCCGACGACTCCGCGAACGAAAGCAGAATTCGAATGCTCGAAGCACCGCGAGCAGACGGGAGACCTCGACGACAATCAGACCAGAACGACAGAGACCAGGGCAACTCCCCACAAGGCTCCCCCGCCAGCTCCAAAAGCGCATCATCCTTCACCGATGCAAACGCCATGGCTTACCGGCCTCGTCCCCAACAGCTACCTGTCCCAGTTCCAGAAGGGTCACTATATAGTGCCTCACCGCGTGGCTCGGGTGCCTTGCCCATACCGGTGAGAGCCGCATCCCACCATCCCACAGACCGGTACGGACACAGCCCGCGAAACATCACCACATCCGTACCCGCCGGCCTGGCACCAGACTCGCAGGGCCGCGAGATCCCTCGGGACGCAAAGTGGACCAAGATTCGCCGCCGTCTAGTCAGCACTGAAATCCTCGAAGAGGACCGACTCAGATATGAAGCGTATGTACCCCATCTCGACCCCACCCACTCCTATATACAAGAACATAACTAACCCCACCTCAGTCGTCCCGAGTACGTCGCAATCCTCGGCGTCTTCTCCCGCTCCCAAATTCAAGACCTCGCCATCCGCACTGCCGCCCTCCGCGAATCCCGCCGTCTCCGCTCCCAAAGCACACGCGCTCCCCGCCCCGCCGACCCCATCCCCGCTCCCGCACCACCCAAGAAATCGGTCCACTTCCCCGATGAAGATACCAGGATCTCGGATACGAGCGATGAGTCGTCGTCGACTAGGAGCTCGGCTGATAGACGGTATAGTCGTGATCGGGCTAGAAGGAGGGAGGAGGATGGAGATAGGGATAGGGATAGGCCCCAGTTTGCGCCGAGGAAGCAGGGGCAGTATAGGATGCCGCAGTCGTGGATGGAGAGTTCGAGTGGAGCTGTGAGTTCGGAGGGGCGAGAGAGGAAGGGAAGGGAGAGGGAGGGGAGGGAGATTGGGGGCGCGGTGAAGGGGGGTGCGGCGAAGGGGAGTAGAGGGTCGCAGAATAAACGGTGGTCGGAACGGTTTACGGCTGCGAGTATTGGGGGTGCGGCGGGGAGTTTGCTGAGTGTGTTGAGTGAGGCAGCACAGGATATATCGCTGTGAGGTGAGACTGATGGCGCATTTATGGGTTTGAGGGAAGGGGTTTGTATGTTTATTGGGATGTGTTATGATTATGGCAATGAGTATATGACTGGGATGACTTTATGGGATGATTGTTTAGGGTACGGGAGTTTTGGATTTTATGCGGGGATATTATTATACCACCTGGGCAACAAATAGCAAATAGAAACTCATTTTGGGGTCGTTAAATGATTCATTCTCGAGAGCAGAAGCTATACGCCAGTGCCTCGTCCATTTCCTTGGTCGCATAATAATTTACAGTACAGTTCTTTCAACGCCCTTCATCACACCTTAAACTCATCCCACCATCTCGCCTTATCCATCAACATCCCCTTCTCATCAAACTCCACCCCCTCCCCCTTCAACAACTCAATCTTCTTCTCCTGATTAATCCCACTGGGCGCTTTATTCCAATCCCCCATAAACCCGCCCACAAACCCCGTTGAAGCAATACACCTATGGCACGGCTACAGATACTATCAGCTCTCATCCTCTGACTTGGGCAGAAACTTGGAGCATAGGCATAGTCGGTTGACAAATGGATGGGAAAGGAGAGACTTACGACTTCGGGCGCAAAGGGGTTATTCCTCAATGCTCCCCCGATGGCGCGTGGACTCGAGTTCAGGGCGTCGGAGAGGGATTTGTAGGATGTGATGCGGCCGGAGGGGATTTGGACGAGGAGGGCGTAGACGCGCTGTGATGTTAGCTCCCCGTCTTCTCAAAATTAGAGGTGATAGATACCTCTTGATACGGCGTAACTTTCGCTGCCATCTTGCCTGTGGTTGCCTGGAGGCGCGGTATGGAACTGAGATAGTCTTTTGGTGGTGATCAAAGTGAGAATATTGTCAGTTCTCTGATGTCGATAACGCGTTCGGTTACGAACAGTAGTAGTGGACGACCTTTATTACCACCTTAGAGCAGGTAAAAGCAGATTCTCTTATGTCCACTTCTGTGGACGCGATAAGTTTATTTATATGAGCAACGTCCACAGTTGAGGCTCATGGGAACTTGGTTGCCCCACCACGCTAGAGTCCGGTTGCTCCCAATGTAACCAATCAGCGCGCCAGGCGGCACGGGAACGCTAGAGGTCTCTTTAAACACCTTGAGAGTCTGGAGCCGCTGCTTGACTCTTATTTCTGGCGGGGGTGGGGGGTATATGATATCATACTATTGAAGCTTTATAGGTAATCTTACAAATCTTATGTTGTTGGGGGGGGGATTAGACAGGATCAGATATTCGCCACTTTCAACACTGCTTGACTCATACGGGGGATCGTTCTCGACTCCAACATCAAGGGGTCTCGCGTTTGGTTTGCTATAGAGCTCAGCTCTACTACTCTAGGAATAAACTGCTGTTGCACCACCGACATTTGCCATGCCCATATCACATCTTGAGCCACCAGTGGCAGTTTCTAACTGAAACTGCTCAACTGCCAAAATAACCGTGCCCATATTAGACCTCCCTTATAAGAGCCTTCCCCTTTTGCGTCCGACATTCCAGATGCCGTGAAAAAAAAATCAATGCAAATCAAAAGGAATGTCTAAAATTTTCCCCGTAGGATTAACCAGAGCGTTCATAATATTCTCGAAGATGGCCTCCTGGGAGTTCTGATGGCCCTTGGGGCCCACAGATGACCTTGAGGGAGACCATGACGATAGTGCCAAGTGGGCGTCCGGAAACCGCGTAGATAAAATGTTCAAAAGAGCGTCGCTCGAATCCTCAATATCCATTAAACACATCCCATTAGGGCTCGTGGCTATCAGGACGAAGCTCGATTTCCAGGGCTGGATGGTGTAGAAGATCTCCTTTGGCCTTGGCTTTGGCACTGCCACTCGGCTGGGCAATCCCGAGGCCACGGAGTAGAGGTCATCGATCAGATCGGTTTCATTCATACCCACAGCTCTGGATTGAGGCCTAATAGGCGACATGTGGCTGGATACCGAGCCCTTGGCAGCTGGGCCTTCTGGGACTGATGGGAGCTGATGTAGCACGGGCGTCGCAGGGCCTTCACTGGCGGTTTTACTCGCCAGATACCCAAGGGATGGTGTTTCTGAAGCAATCGACCGTGGCGACTTCAATTCAGCGTTTCCATCCTTCGCCAAGCCCTCGGCGTAAACCCGTGGTGTGACACCTGTAATCTTCTTGAAGACCCGATGGAAGTGGCTCTTCGTCAACCCGGCTTCTTCAGCCAGGTTTGCAAGCGACGGGATGGAGCCCTTCTCAGCCTGGATCTTCTCGATTGTGTGCCGCGCTCTGGCCACGAGGGTAGCTTGTGGGTCGTGCTTGTCAAGATCCGGTTTGCACCGCTTGCAGGCCCGAAACCCGGCCTCTTGTGCAGCAGAGGCGTCGTCTTGGAAGACCACGTTTGCTCGGCGCGCGAGTCGAGCACCACATGTCGGGCGACAATATATTCCCGTCGTCCTAACGCAATACACGAAGCTGCCGTCGGCCAGGGGATCATGTGCTTCCAGAGCAGCCCAACGAGAGGACTCGGTCAGATAAGAGGCCATCGCAACGATTGAAGTCCAATCAGTCTTTTTCCTGCGCGTCTAGGGCGGTAATACAAGAAAATATAATTAATGTTCAGCTCATGGCCTGCGGGGTAAGCAGTGGACGGACGCTGCAAGATGACACTTTTTGCGCAGGATCCGTGACAGGTCAAATGTCACTGGGATAGCTCAACAGGTGTCCTCAGTTCGCAGAGTTTATGCAGGTTCCTTCAAACAGTTCATACACCGAATATCAGGGCCCACATGCGATGAACAGTCAGAGAAACAGATCGAATGTTTCATCCCGACTTCGCTGTGGAAGAGCGAAAGAAGAAATATGTATGAGTGATGAAGAGTTTGATTGTGCTTGAGCATATGCAGCATGAAGCAGCATGGAACCAGAGAGATTATGTTGAACCAAGATGAACCAACAGTAGTAGTGCGTATGGTGTGGTATATTAGAGATGAGTCACGTGCTACAGGGGCCAATGATACTCGGGATCCTACCGTGGTACTAGAGGTAGTATAGCGTAGTATACGCGTATTATAGCGAATTATAGCAAATTATAGCAAATTATAGCGAATTATACCGTACTATAAGATACCAATCGCGTGGCTGTATTGTGGCATTTCTGTCATTTCTGGTATTTCTGGTATTTCTGGTATTCCTGGTATTCCTGGTATTCCTGGTATTATTGCGGCGCCACTTGGTGTAATTAACTCGTGCACCTCGTGTAACTGGATAGCTCCGATCCATGTGCGCCCCTCTAATCTACTATAATCCTTACTTACTCGACTAATTCCGATACTACAATACTACAATAGAACTACTAATAGTTATCGCTCACCGCTAACAGTACCGGAGCTAGACCGACCGGCAGAATATCCACCACCTTGGGGAACCTCTAGTCATAGATTGTCCAATCGATGGCCCATTCTCCCATTCAATTGCATATAGAACAGAGATAAATAATTCATACTGTAACCTTTATTACTAAATAAGGGAATTCACCTTCACATATAGAGCACCTGTATCATTTCTGCCCATCCACTTTGCCCCACAAGTATTGGGCTGGGAATGTCCACTGAGGCGCAAAGCTGGTCAAACTCAAAAAGATTTCAATCTGAGCCGTCCAAGCAGAAATCCGCTAGCGAACAACCACTCGTCCCTCAAATACCAGAGGTATTCCTCACGCATTCTCTCTTTATTCCTACAACTCTCCAGCAAACAATAGATCTCGAGATATTGGCGACCCTCTCGACTCGTAAGCCCTTATCTGGGGAGTCCACTCTTTGCCAAGTTCATAGCGGTCCCGCTAAGAGCCAAGATCCTCGGTTTTCTGCGCTCAACATTGGCGCCACTGGACCTGAATGCACCCTTTACAAATACGACGCTCGCTGAGGAGGAATCTGTAGCTTAGGTCTATACAAGCATACCTAAGCTTCAGGATACTGTTCGAAACGCGCGCGACAAGAAGTTCTCCAAAGGACTTGGCGAGCCCATAAGCAAGGTGCCACTCCGCGGCACAAGCCGACAAATTCGAGACATCGAAGCTTTCGGAGCCGCGACCTTGACTCAGTATGGCGTGGGAGCATCTGTCGATCAACAAGCCTCATTTGGTGTATCTCATCTTAGGCGGCTTCACCTCTCTGTTTATGTTATGTTCGTCCTTTATCAAGGAAAGACTATACATCGGCGAGGCGACTGTCGCCACCATCTGCGGCATCATCTTTGGCCCGCATGCCGCCAACCTCATTGACCCCAGCACATGGGGAAATGTCGATCAAATAACCCTCGAATTCTCACGAATCGTCCTCGTGGTCCAATGTTTCGCCGTCGGCGTCGAATTGCCGAAATATTACATGGAGAAGCATTGGAGGTCCGTCACCTTCCTCCTCATACCTGTTATGACCTTTGGATGGCTCGTTACGAGTCTGTTCATTTGGTGGATGGTTCCTACGCTGAACTGGCTCGAGAGTTTGGTTGTGGCCTCCTGTGTCACTGCCACGGATCCCGTCCTGGCCTCTTCGGTCGTTGGTAAGGGAAAGTTTGCCAAGCGCGTACCTAAGCATTTGCGTGATCTTCTGTCCGCTGAATCGGGATGTAACGATGGCATGGCCTTCCCTTTCGTCTACCTGGGTCTTTATATCATCCATTACAAGTCCCAGCCCTCACAAGTGGCGTTCCATTGGATTGTCGTCTCAATCCTGTACGAATGTGTGTTCGGTGCCATATATGGCTTTGTCATCGGATACATTGGCAGACGAGGCATCCGATGGGCCGAGAAGAACGATTTGGTTGATAGAGAGTCATTCCTTGTGTTTTATTTTGTCCTGGCACTCTTCTGTGCTGGATCGGGTAGTCTGTTAGGTGTGGACGACTTGCTTGTTGGCTTCGCCGCTGGTGTAGGCTTCTCCAACGATGGATGGTTTACACAGAAGACAGAAGAGTCCCATGTTTCCAACGTCATTGATTTGCTTATCAATTTGGCGTATTTTGTCTATTTCGGCACCATCATCCCTTGGGATCAGTTCAACTCACCTGAGCTGGGAACTTCCGCGTGGAAGCTGGTTATTATTGCGTTATTTGTCGTTTTCTTCCGGCGCATACCGATCATGTTAGCTCTCAAACCATTTATACCCGACATAAAAAGTTGGCGAGAAGCACTGTTTGCGGGTCACTTTGGCCCTATTGGAGTTGGAGCTATTTTCATTGCCATCCTCGCGCGAGCAGATTTGGAGACGGGTTCCACGACGCCTTTAGCAGTGCTCCCAGCAGAGGGCACGCCGCATTATCATCTCATCGCGTTGATATGGCCGATTGTAACGTTTCTCGTTATCACCTCTATTATCATCCACGGATCCTCGATTGCTGTTTTCACGCTCGGAAAACACATCAATACGTTAACACTGACGATGTCATACACGACTGCCAATGAAGAAGGACCCTCTTGGATGAACAGACTGCCCCGAATTTCATCACAGTCCAAGTCAATGTCCAAAATGTCGGATACTGACGCCGACGACATCAAGATGGAGGATCTCCCACCAGGAGCGCTTCCACCTGTTGGCGTTCCAGGAGCTTTCCTTAGAAGGCAAAAGGAAGAAGATACGGGCAAACCAAATGCTCGCAGTTCATCTATCATACCTAGGCGAAGGAAGAAGTCCAAATGGGACGGATATGGACCAGGAGGACCTGTCAGCCAGTCGGCTATCGCGCCGCAGCCTCGCAACCAAAGCCAAAACACATCTGCAACCTTGACGCCAGAGTCTACAAGCCATGAAGGCGAAGGAGAGGGCGAGGAGGAGAGGGGCGAAAGAGTAATTGGAAAGGTTCAGCACGATGAGGAAATGGAAGAGATTATGCACCATGGCGAGGAAGAAGAACGCCCAGAACACCACAAGTCCAACGCCGAACGTCATCCCCACACATATGAAGCTTATCAAGAGGGCGATCACGTTATCATCGAAAATGAAGATGGCGATGTCCTCTCGGTCGAACAATCTCCTCCCGAGGAGGGTAAGGAAGAGAAGCTTGGCGAAGTCGGGGCGAAAGCAAAGGAAGCTATGGAGCACCCCGAGACTGGCTACAAGCAGTTCAGGAAGAAAATCGGCGAGTGGAGGCACCGTGATGAGGGCGAGGAGCAGAAGCCCAAGCAGAAATCCAAACGTGGCCCAGCACTGGCTTACCAGTTCGGTAACACTGTAAGTTTATGACGCATATTCGATATAAATATTGTCACTAACTCTCGCAGATTATTGTCGAAGATGAAGACGGCGAAGTCGTTAAGAAGTATGATCTTCCATCTCACAGGGACACTAAGAAGGCCGAAGCAGGCGCCGCCAAACCAAAAACCCCACGTAAGGACAAGGCAGGAGAAGAGGCAGGCGCACAAGAGGGCGAGAGCTCCGAGGCCCAACAGACTGGTCAAAGCAAGCTGATCCAAGGTCTCAACAAGTGGAGTGGCTTCAACGCAATCAAGGAAACCCAAATCTTCGACTCCTTCAAGGAGAACAAGGATGACTACAAGGACGACGAACACATCCGCTTCACCATCGGCAGCGCCGGCCGCCGCCTCACCAAGGAAGACTTCCTCAACGAGATCCGCTCCCTAGACCCTAAGGGCCGCGCAGCCGTACTCGAGAGGTCCGACGCACCCCCCGCCATGAAAGATCTCGCGCGCAGAGACGCAGACGCCAGCATCCCCGGCTCAAACCGCCTCTTCAGCGCAAAGAACGTGCAATCCGGCGCCTCCGCAGCCGCTGCAAAGGTCGTCGGTGCCGCGATGGCAGGTGCCCACGCGCCGAAACCCGAAGAGCTGGACGGAGCAGCCAGTAGCAGCAGCAGCCGTAGCAGCGAGGACGCCGAGGAGCACCGCGCGGTGGCTAGGAAGCACAGAGCGCTGTTCGCGCACGCGCAGGACTCGGAGGACCGCGGGGCTGGCTCGCCGGGTCGCACTGGTGTCATCGCGTCGACTGGGTCGCCTTCGGGTGAAGTCCCCGAGTCGGCTGCGGAGCGAAGGCGCCGCGAGCAAGCACTCAAGGGGGTCGATGATGATGATGTTCCCGCCACGAAGCGCGTAGCTACCCCTGCTGATAGGCGCAGAGAGTCTGCTACTACGGCGAGGAGAAACTTGGTCTCTGGAGCGACGAGAGATGATTCCGAGACGCCTGCTGAGTGGAGACGTCGTATCGCAGCGCTAGGACACAGCGAGGAGCAAGAAGGCGATGAGGATGAGGCGTCCCCGACTGTGCCGACGCTACAGAGCCAGTCGTCGACTGTGAGCGGGAAGAGTCGCGGGATCCGGTTTGCAGAGGACCCGGTGCGAGGACGCAAGTGAGTGAGTGGGTGGAGACGACGTACACAATACCAACAATAGATTTGAAATTTTCGCGGAAGCGTCGTTTTCTAATTACGATTTTCTTGGGGATCTAAGGAATTCGAGCGGTTTGCTTTGTTTTTTGGGGCTGGGGAGGCTTTTGTTTTTGGGAAATTTTGGGAGAGCCCCAGAATGGATGCTGGTTTGTTAATAGACTTGTGGTTTTTCAAACGGATTCTCATGGTTCTTATGGGATGGTACTGCGGATGCAGAGGTAATGGTTGTATGGGAACGTGCGGGTTATGACTATATGGGAGCGGCTCTTTGGTCGGGGGGGTTTTCGGGATTCTTGGGACTGGTTTGGGGGGAACTACCTCTGACAGTTTTGGCAAGATGGGCGAGAAAGGATCTCGATGGGCTGAGAGAGGGCCTAATAGTTAATGTCTTTCTACTGAATCATAAGGAAACAGATACCAATTTCAAAGGATTACCTCGAATCTTCAATGCCCCCTAGCTTGTTCGTGACCGCGCACATCTCACAATCACAATATAGTAGTAGATACCCATCAGTCGTTGTAAAGAGATCTATTAATGGTATCATGAGTCCTTAGTCGAAAAAGCTATGCCAAAGGCACTACAAATACATTGTCCCTCCCCCCCCCCTCAAGTTCTACAGCCGCAAACGCCGAGTCTCGGATGCTTGTATCAGCACCCTCGTTTCCCTCCCGCAGCCTGCTTGTTCCGACACCTGCGCCATGCTAATGAGCCTGTTTCCTTCTCTCGCAACACACAATCATCAGCATCATGAAATCTGCCGCCCCACTACATCCTCCTTCTCGGGTTTTTCCCCATGGGTTCATTCATACATGAGCATCAACCCCTTGCATCATACTCCAAGGCGAATCAAGGACTCGCCCACCCTCCTGCAACATCGACCCACTCAGCCATGCAACTTCCCTCCTTCCCTTCCACATCAACAATATCCGTATCGCAGCGGCATCGGCACCCGACGCCATTCTCCTTCGGGTCATCCCAGCTGTCCCAGTACTCGTCTTCCTCGCGCCTCTTGCGCGGGTTGGTAGTCGTCATCTCGGGCCACGGGTCGCGCTTCAGCTGTCGCGCTGGCGCATTGGCAGGGCAATGCTGGATGGTTGTGTGGCGGTATCCGAAGTCGCGGAAATAGTGGACTTGGCTCGGGGAAAGGAGGGCGCCAGCGGCCAGGGAGTGGATAGGTGCGTCACCCCACTGTATCTTGTTAGCAAATACTCTGTTACAAAATCAGGGAAAGGGGAAACGTACCCTCTCCATCCAGAAACCGCCACTGCGGTCCATCATCTGAAAGAAGTCCTCGTACTCCTTGCTCCTGAACCAGCTGAGGCTTGCAATCTCGAAATTCGACCAGAAATGGCACATGTTGTATTTCTCGCCTTCCATGGCTTCTGGGTCGACATCAGGTAGTGATGAGCCCTTGCGGAGAATCGGCTCTGGGATAGGAGGCTTGTAGCCTGGCGTGTCTTCTGGGCGTTTCTTCTTCGGTCCCTCTGGGTCAGGCTCGACGAACATCTCCCAGAGCCCCTTGGACTTGATGTTGTTGGTTCTCATATACGCAGATGCATATCGGAAGATATTGGGGACTGTCTCCTTCAATTCCTTCACGGCGATGGTAAACCCGTATGTCTTGTTATTTTCGATCATCTTTTGGAACGGATCACTGCAGTCGTTAGTTTGGCCCAGCAACTATGGTATAGAACGCTTACTAAGTGATATCACAGAAGTACTTGATCTCTGGCTCGAGGCGCCAGTACCACTCGTACTTTTGCAACAATTCATGCTTGTAGAAGAATCTATTTTCATTAGCGACGTTCCATTTCAAAGGGTCCTGTTGTCCGGACATACCCAGAGTAGAATCTGCACATGGAATGGTAGCTCTCCATGCCACCATACATAATTGCGGCGTCGCCTTGCTTTGCAATTCCCTCCTTCGCAACCCGTGGATCGATCCAATCTGGAAAGCCCCACATGCTCGGGTCGATTTTCCCAAACTCCACCGACGAACTGGTATAGTTTTGGACCGTCTCCTTGAAAGTCGAGTTGAAGTCGCCGTCATTGAGAAAGACGTATGGGTAATGATACCATCTGTTGAAATGGCGCTCAATAGACTTGATCGATTGGATAACCCCCTCCAACTCCTTATTTCTTGCCAAAACAACAAACGCGGCATTAGCCCTTGGCTTCGTGGTATCCGGAACGTCGCATCCTGTCACAAACACCTTGTCGTACTTCTCGCTAATTTTCCTGTAAATCCATTAGTTACGATCCTGAGCCATCCGTTCACGAGCCATACCTTATAGCTGGAGGACTCCCCCCCGGCGTTAATAACCCCCTTCCCGGTGACGACGGGTGCCGCACAAACAAAACCAAGATGCAAACAACGACCATAAAGGGAAACAAAAGCACGACGCCGAGAGGTACGGAAACGGCCGAATTGCCTTTTAACCGCAGGGGGCGTCTGAAAAATGCCCATCTAGAGGTCTTGTTTTTGCTCCCTGCCTCCTTCATCGTGGGCAAATCTGTCACCGTTGGCAACCGCTTCATAGCGCGCCGCACAACCTCCATAGCTGCGAAGGTATTTCGATATCGTGGTTACTGTATTATTCGCATGTGGACTTCCGCACCAGCTGTATTATAATCGTCGCAATCATGAATAAAATCGCACGCGCAATTGAGGGTAACTGTAGAGTAGCAAGATCCAACTTGGGCCCTGTAGAGTTAACAAGGTCCAAATTGGGCCAAGGACCCAGAGACGGGAAGGAGACACCACAATTAGTTGCACACCGCCCTGTACATCAACAATTCTGCCGTAATTTAGCCCCTCGAAACACCAAATAAATGTAATCACGTGCACTACTTTTTACCAACAGCACGGTTTCTATATTCAGCCTCGACGACCCCGCCTTGGCACTATCACAGCCAATTAACAATCCTCTGTCGACATGTCCCCCAAAATCACCTCCAAAAGTCTCTCATACGATTCGGCTCTCCCCCCCTTCCTCCAACGCCTCCGTGCCGAGAACACTGGAGGCTCCACAGCCGCGCCACGCGCCAGACGCGCCCCGAATCCTGACGCCGACGAGGAGGATGAGCCGGTCTATGTGGATGAAGAGGGGGCAGCTCTCGACGATGATGAGCTACACAGTTTAGGTGTGACGAAGAAGGGCGGAAAGAAAGGCGAGCAAGCTGCAGAGGAGGCCAAGCCAGAGGCAGTGGAGCCAGAAAGGAAAGAGGAGAAGATTGCGGCAATTGGGGCAGCGAGGAAACGAAAGGTTGGGAAAGTTGTGGGAGCCTCGGAGGAGGAAGAAGGGAAGGGCAGTGATAAAGCGGCAGTCACCCCCGGGAAAGATAAACAGGCGCCGCCACAGAAGAAAAAGAAGGTCAAGAAGGTGAAGCTGAGCTTTGGGGATGATGAGTGAGGATCAGATGGGCTGTGCTTGGAGTTCATTTGAAGGCAGGGGGGTGATGCATTGGGTGGTCGGAATACTGTGCATTGGCTATAGGGAACAGGGATTGTTACGGGTGGCGTTCGGGAGTGCCTAGAGATACCCATTGATTATATAAAACGCGTTTATTTCACGCCATGGAAGCTGTCAACACCTAGATATAGCGCCCATACTATGCGGTCCCTTTAATAAGAATTGACCATGTTGCATCAGAGGCACAGCAACTGTGGCCCTTGGCAGTTAGGTAAGATACTAGACGGGTTTCCCACGCCCCATGGCGCTCAACAGTAAGGTTTTGCATTGAAGATGTGTGTTATGCGAAGCTATATCCCACCAATTCCTAACCCCTTCCAAATACGCCCCTGAAGACCAGGCCCCAGCCACCGAATCTAGCCTCAATCGACGGCATCAAAACGAAGCAAAACACGAAAGGCCGCCCCGCCGCCTACCTCGCCCAGGCATAAAAAATGCTCATATAACTTTGGCGAGTGATTCTTGTGGACGGAAGGAGGAGGATCCAAGTCGAATCGAGCTCATTTCAAAATGAAAGAAGAACAAAGAAAATCGTATAATCGCATTGCTGTTTGCTGGTCCACCACCGGGATTTCCATATTTCCTGCCAACGCCGTGTGATAATCTGGATGGATAATGTAGGAAAATTGAGACTGCTGGGTAAGTATTGTGCAGGATGTGCTGTTGGTGTGTTAAAAGTGTGATTGGGAATCTTGCTGAATTAGATGTATATGTCCGAGTTGCTGCAGCTCTCCATTGAAATCATCAGATACCAGCACGGTGGGTCGCTCATGCCTTCGATTGCACGAAATCCCAGAGCATTCGCACGAGAGCGTCCGGGAGCGTGTAAAGGTCGACGTGGAATTCGCCTTCTACAGTATCATCAGTGACTGGAGACTTGGGGCGCCAGAGGCGTGGAGGGGGTTTGGGAAAGCAACGGAGCCTGACCCAGGGGGTCTTGGGAGGGACAGTATTCTCGGGTCCGGGGGTTTGGGGCTTGACAAAAAGTATGGGCCGAGGTGGCGACTTACGGTCAACGTCGTTTTTCGTGTATGTCTCGTCGGACTTGTTGTCGTGGATCATCTGTACCACTTGGAGTAGATCATCCTCCTGCAACTTCACAAGCCCGTCGGCAAGCCTGTCCATGTCCACCTGTCCTGTCTTCTTCTTCTTTCTCGCGTCGGCGTCGCCACCCTTCTTGCGCGCGCCGTTCGCGTCGTCTGGCACGGGTCCCGACTTGCGCAGCACGTCGAGGAGGTTGGGGTTTGGGTTCTTGAAGTTGATCACATGCTTGGCCTCGTATCGGGGCTGCGCAAAGTTGAGATCGTGCGCAATTGTGTGCTTTCCGCCCTTCTCAACTGCGTGGAGGTCGATAGTCAAATCAAACTCTCCCCAGCCCTCATTCTGGCAGCGGAACGGTGGCTTTTCGAATGCTGTAGGATATAGATTAGCTCCCATCTTTGACAATTCCATGTAGGGGTCATACTTTGAGTTGGATTCGCGAAAGACGCATGTAAATTGTAGGTTGCCTTTGAGAAGATGTTCGCCTCGATCTGGTTGCCGGCCTCATCCAAAAGGAAGATCTCAATGCTCCATAGCTTCATTGGAAAGCCCTCAACTTCTGGGGCACGGCCACTGTGTCGCAGACAGTCAGTAAATCTGCCTTCCGCCGGATATGAGCACGAATGCGCGTTCACTCACGGAATTGTTGACTGCTCAGTCACCACCTTCACCGTACGTTTGACCTATATGAATCAGCGATTGTAGGTGATAAATGCAGAACCTGTTCACAAGAACTTACTTCAACCATTATAGCGATTTGTTTGTGTTAATGCGACCAGATAGATGGCAGTTCGTGCGAGGCAAATATACGCTGGTGAATGTTGAATGAGCTGTTGCGATTTTGGAGCTCACGCCGGAATGGGTAGTGATATCGGTGGACGCGGGGAGCTCAATGGCGGTAACCTTAATTAACCGAGTTTGTGTTTCGTGTGACCGCGTTTGTCACGTGTTGAACTCGTTATGACTTCACCTAACAGAGCAAAGAAATCAAGGTGCCACAAATGAATTTGACAACAAATTTCACTTTGAAGAGTGATATTGTAACTCTGGTATGTGTGGAAACCCTTTGACGGTGATCTGGGTTTCACGCGACCCGTAAGCGATATATATCCAGTGAGATGGTAAAGCTAAATTCACATATGGATATTAAATACTCACATTAAATATTCCTAGAAATTCCTATTGATTCCACCCAAAGCCTATCAATAAAAAGACATCACGCAACATTTTCTTTTACTACGCTACAGAAATGCTAGCAACTACATGTTAGTATCACGGAACAGTTTTGTTCGTCGGATGTTCGTAAAATCCCGAGAATTATATTGCTGTGCCAAATGACTGGAGGAGAATAAAGCATCGTAATCTAACTTAAGTATCTAAACCATTGGATAATAATCTATGGCTGATTAACCTTCATGCATTGCGCTTCCAATATCCTCCCAGCTGACATATCAGTTGGACCGCTTCGACCGCTTCAAAGTCCAGGCCAATCTGAGTGCCACCATAATGTATGGACACGTACTACGGGTAACTGCTTGCATCTGAGGTATATGCAAGCCGGGGGAGGGGTGATGACGGGGAATATAGAGTTCATGCCAAGAGTTTCATGAGGTTCGTAATTGCAATGTGAAAGTTCTTTGTTGAGATTCGAATTGACTCCACAGCTTAGGAAAGCAGGCTAAGTTCAAGCAGAAGCCTCGGTGGAAGCCTCAGCAGCAGCGGCAGGCTTGTTGAACAGGGCCTCGTTCTCTTGCTGGGCCTTGATGAAAGCCTCCTTGAAAAGGTTGGCGTCTGCGAGATATTTGTTAGCCCCTGATTCGATTCAACACGTTGTGGTTTGGGATATTTCTTACTCTCGGAGTTGGCGAAACGGATGGCAAAAGTAACGGCCTCGGCCTCTCCCTCGCTGACATCAGCAGCGGCGTTCCACACCCAGCTCCTGTCGCTGCCAACGTTTGGCGAGAGCTTCATCTCAGGGACAACTAGCGGTGAATCAGTACTTTATTCAAATCGGCGGGTTATCGTCTCCACATACCGTAGTGGTTGGCGCAAACCTTGAGGGTCTTATCTCTGCGCATAACCAGACGTGTCTTGCTGTTCTCCCTGTGCTTGAGGAGCCTCACATCACCGGTACCACGCTCCTTCCACTCGTTGGAGTCGCGGATGAACTTGAAGAGCTTCGCGCGCATCTTGAAAGTCTGCTCCTCAACCTCCTCGCCAGTCTTGACGTCGACTTTGTCGGTGAGATGGATGACGGGCTCGAAGTGGACATCCTCAGACTCTGGTGCCTCGTCCTGTTGAAATCCGGTAAGCTCGTGCCACTGGTGCGGGGTAGGTGAGTTCTTCTTACCTCTGGGTTCTCCCCGGCGGCGGCGGCCTTCTGTGCCTTGGCTGAGCCAGAGTTATCGCCACGGTCCTCATCCTCGACCTTCTCCTTCTTGGCTCCTCCGCCGAACATGGAGAAGACGCTGTCCTGCATGTTGGTGGCGGCGGCGGTCACGGTCGAAGCGGCGGTGGCGGCAGCATCGGTGGCGCTCTCTACTACGGACTAATAAAATCAGCGTGCGCCCAAAGTGAATCGATGAGGTTGGAAAGGGTTTCGGAGTTACTTACAGTAGGTGCCACTGTAGGGGTCTCGACCTTTGCCTCCTCGGTGGTGGTCGCCTCAGTGGTTGGCTCGACGGTCTTCTTCTCCTCAGAGGAGACAACAGCCTCTGGGGCAATGTCGACCTTTTCTTCAGCAGTAGACATGATGAAAGTTGTATGTAATAGCTATTTCAGATAGTTGTTTTTGTGTTGGGGTAGAGCTGTTGGTCGCAAACAAAGGTTATACCAACTGGATGGTGGGGTTGACGGTGTTTGTCAACACTGAATTTCTTAGATAACTCGCTTGTGCGCCGCTAGTCATTTCGCGGGCAAAATTGTGTCTGAGAGGCTACCCCTGATTATGGAGTGATGGCACCCTTGAACAACTCATGAACCCAACGTCAAATGTCGGCCTGCCACATGTCGTGGACGTGTCAGAAGCAAGTTAAATAATAATATACCCTGGACAATAGAACTTATTACATTAATCACTCAAAGATTCTTCAGATATTGCTTATGATAAGTTGTTATTCCGTGAAAGCGTGACTGGTACATTCTGCCTGGTCTCACTACCCCTCAATTTCCGAGCCAGAATGCAAGGCAGACGTGCACGTATTGCAAGGAAAACAACTAAGGGACTGATATTCGCTGGAAATAAACTGGATGCTTAAAAGCAACTGAGTATTACTACCACATCAGTTTTCGCAGTTTGTCCATTTCATCATCACCACCAAATATCGTCTCAATCCCACTTCGAGCGAGCTCATAGACCTCCTTGGGCTCCAAGCCAAAGTGCTCAGCAGTCAGGGCATATTCATTCGACAAAGCACTGCCAACAACCCCAACATCATCGGTCTGTATACCAGGTCAGCTTTTGGTCATAATAAATCCCACTGATTCTCTTACGCAAAGTGTTATTGGGCACCCCGTGCCTTTCCAATACATGAAATGGTGATCCGCGAAGCTCCCCGATATCATTCCAAACTTGACATTACAGCTCAAGCATAGCTCCAGGCCCAGTTTCCGCTCAATGATAACCTCCTTGATATCATCCGGGACGTGAATAACATGCCCGATGCGATCTGGTCCGAAGGAAAGCAAAGTACGGAGCTCGTGCTCAGTGGAAGATTGGGGAGCTTCTGCGAAGTGGATAGTGGTTTTGAGGCCATTTTCTTTGGCCCTTGCGAAGGCAGACCGGAATATCTCGACATTGCCCTTTGCGGGATCACCGCAGAGATCAACGCCAACGACTCCTTGGTCTCTGTACCGGAGAGCTAGGTCAACGACCTCAGATGCTTCTTCTTCGGAGTTCCGGCGGTCGATGGATAGTATTAGTTTGGTAACCATCGTTGGCGATTCAAAGCTTGAGATGGTCGAAAGCACGAGTTGCACATAAGCTTCCTTGGTAATTCCCGCTTGCTTGATGAGACGTGGCGTTGTTCGCAGCTCAAGGTAGACCACGCCATCGTCCTGGAAGTCTTGAAGGACAGATTTGGTAGAATATGATATGCTTTCCGCATCGTTGCATAGCTCGTAGATATACTTCGAGAACAGAGGGAAGAAGCTGCTCAAGCAATGAGCGAAATTAAACACGGCAGGGGAATCACATTTATGAGAATAGTAATAATAATAAATACTCAAAACTTACGTTACCAAGTCGAAGGCTTTGCTCGGATCCAGCACCTGAAGAGGGTCAGAGATACCCGCGGCTCCGTCTGCATCACGTTGCTTTTTGGATAGCCATATTTCGTGAAGGCAAGTCGGGCTGATACTGCCACTTAAATGGGCGTGTAGCTGAGCCGGTTGTTAGTTATGGTTACCAAAGCTTTGCTGGTTGGACACAGCTGTGATAATATCTCAGGGTGCGGGAGGCTGAGCTCTAATATATGGGCCATACTTCAATCTTTGGCATGGACTTGGCGTCCAAGCCATGTAAAGGATCCATGTCTAGAGAGTACAACAGCCTCACTGGCCACTACCGACTATGTATAGACTGGGTAAAGGCGATGTGATAAGGGGCAATGCCTCGGCTGGCTCTGGGTGGCAAAAGTGTTGGATGGGAGAGAATCGCATAAACCGCTACATACCCATGCGCTGGATAATACGAATTCGGCAACCAGCGACGGGAGACTGAGATGTACTAGGGTCATGCAAGTGACTGCAGTATCCTATAACTGTTCTGGAATAACAACCCCCTGAGGAACAAAAAAGCACTAATAAGGCCAGATTATGTGGATTTGATCAGTCAGTTCGTCTCTTCTTGTGGGGATGGTTGGTTTAGTAGCTGCAGTTAATTGTGGGGTAGGGAACGATGCATCGAGTCTCCTGCTACCATTTCGACGTGGTAGGATGAGAGGACAGGATCGGTCTGAGACAGAAAGGCACCGTACAAATCGTGCATTTGGATTCTGCACTGTTGCCGCGCGACTATTTAATGTTTTTTCCCCCCATACTCTCAGCACAGGACAGTACATTGCCGATCTGGACGAGGTGAGACCCCAGGGTTAAGTGCGGAGGATACAGTTTGCTGAGATGTGGATCAAATGTCTCCCATCAGCAGTTAGTAGTGGGGCACACATATGCGGCACGGAAGAATATTGAATTTGTAGCAAAAAAGGTGAAAGACAAGGTGTGTTACTGCAACGAGAGTGCTGTGCGTCTGCATCAGCATCTCTTCCTTCCGGGCCGATGCGAGAATCGTCCCCATTGAATGCAACAGCTCTAAATTCTCCGTGCCCCTGGCTCAGTTTCGCTGTTAACCGATATGGTGCATGCATGCGTACATACATACATAACAATACCGGTTTTGTATGCAAGGTAGCTTACCAATGGGATTGCCTTGGAGAGGCATCCATCGCAGCTTTCTCCCTTCTGGGACATATGGACGTTATTCGCGTTTTCGTTGTATCTGTCCGCGATGGCCATCGTCGATGAGAGGGAGGAGCCCCATGCGGTTCTGTACACCCAGGACCTGGGCTGAGCCGTTCGTGCGTATTCACGTGCACACACTCAATGGATGCTCAGCTCCAGCTCAACGCCACTGAAGAAACTTGGCCGCGATCGAGAATCAGCCTATGGCCCATGTCTTCTATTATAGTACCGCAGTACTATATTACTGGAATTAGTCGCAGTAGTTGTAGTACTCTAGTTGTCAAAAACAACAGTACAAGACACGATAGTTGACTCCTTTTGACCCCTTTGGGACTGCGCTGTTCCTAACTCCGTTTGGTCTCTGGAGACATCTGCCTGTATGTAACTGTCCGTGCCCCTTGGTGAGATTGCGCCAAGACGTGTACTGTGCGTGCAGGCTACAGGCTACAGGGCCCCTCGCTCCCGTTGACATCTGATTTGCAGCTCTTGGGTGCGCGTGTCTGGTAGTTGGTTACTGGACCACTGTGGGAAAAAGCTTTGATAAGAAGGAGCTGGGTGGTGGTGGTGGTGCCTTCCTACCTAGGGGTTTAAAATGGGGGTTTATGGCCTCGTCAGCCCCCACTACACCACGACTATAGCGCTCTCGTACCCAGAGAGCCTAGAGTACGAGTACGCATAAGTTATCGTTAGTCAATATTTGTCCCATCGGTCGCTCGGTGGTGCCCTCAAAAATGGCTCATAAGGGGTAAAAGATCACCAAGCGGCACTTTTGTCCCACCTCTGCTTTCTGTCGCTGGCTGCCGCCGTCAATCAAGCGGCAGACTGCACTAACAAATTGTCCCGTTGTTGCCGCTATGAAGGTAATCAGCATTATTTCAGCATTCCGCAAAACGGTTCGGCGCAGGGCAGTGTGCAAGGCAGCGCAAGACAATGCAGGATCAGTTTCTGTACTGTTACCTCCGCTTTTTTTTGTATTCCCTCGAATTGATCCGGTGGATGACCCTATGAGCTGGGACATGTTCGCGCCCTTACGTGACCCTCTCATGACATGTTGGACCAAAGCGCATCATAGAACACTAGAGTACTCTGTAGCTCAGATGTAGCTCAGAAAATAGTGCCATACCAACAAAAACCAATTTTGTGCATATAGCGTATGTAGCGTATGCACTGTATGTACTTCTATACCCTACTGAGCATAGTTACCGTCCTATAGCACACAGGGAAAGGGAAAAAAGGCGAGAAAGGCCCGTCTCCGAGGCTGGAGTAGCTGGATGGAGAAACATTGGGGCATCCCTAGAGGCATCCTAGAGGCATCCTAGAGCATCCTGGAGCAACCGCAGATGCCGTAGTGCGGAGTTGTGGTGGACTGTGTGGTGGACTGTGTGGATTTCTCTGCAACTTGTATGGTCGATTGGTGGTATTTAGTGGTATTTCGTAGTATTCTCTGGTATTAGTGGTGAACTGTCGCTTTTAATCCAACTTGGGTCTTGGTCAGCCCCCCCCCCCGTCCGTTCACCTCCCTCCGCCGTCCACTCTCCTCTCCACTTTTAGCGTGATTTCGCTTCACAACGGCGGCGCTCCGCTTTGCCAATCCGAGCCCCGTCAAAACCCCAAAGTCACTCATCTACCACTATTACCACTACTGACACTACTGACACTACTACCCTCACCTACCACACTGCTGCCACTGGGCCCTCATTCTCTACTCTGATCCTACCTCCCTTCCACCCCCAACTACCTCAACGACCTCAACGACCTGTTCAATTGACCACAACCCATCGTCCTCCTCGTCGATCTCCAATCGAGTGTATAAGTCCTCTATATCGGCAATAGGGTGAATTGTTCTCAAACCTCCTCATTCGCTTCCGGCGCGTCCCATTCTGCGCACCAAACACGAAGCTCATTATTCTTCCCACCCCCCAACTTCCGAACCCGAACAGAGCTCCTGATCCACCAACAACAACCCCAACACCATGTCGAACGAGGTCTCCCCAGAGGCGATGCAATCGCGCATCCAGCAGGCTCGTCGCGAGGCAGAGACATTGAAGGATAGAATAAAGCGAAAGAAGGATGAGTTAGCAGACACTACCCGTGAGTTGTCCACACCCCCATGAGACTGCTTAGCCAAGCTAGAATCGCGATTCGAATTGCTGCTAACGCCGATACTGCAGTCCGAGCAGTGGCTCAACAACAGCAGGAGCCGATTCCGAGGAACCACATGATGAAGGCTAAGAAGACGCTGAAGGGCCATCTTGCCAAGATCTACGCGATGCACTGGTCAACTGATAGGAGGCATCTCGTATCTGCTTCTCAAGACGGGAAGCTCATCATCTGGGACGCATACAGCACAAACAAAGTCCATGCCATTCCACTCCGATCGTCGTGGGTCATGACCTGCGCATACGCGCCGAGCGGAAACTTTGTCGCTTGCGGTGGATTGGACAACATCTGCTCAATCTACAACCTTAACTCCAATAGAGAGGGACCTACTCGGGTTGCGAGGGAATTATCGGGCCACTCCGGATACCTCTCCTGCTGTCGCTTCATCAACGACCGCAGTATCCTCACTTCATCCGGCGACATGACTTGCATGAAATGGGATGTCGAGACCGGAACAAAGGTCACGGAATTCGCGGATCACTTAGGAGATGTCATGAGCATCAGCATCAACCCCACCAACCAGAATACCTTCATTTCCGGCGCATGCGATGCTTTTGCCAAGCTTTGGGATATCCGAGCAGGAAAGGCCGTACAAACATTTGCAGGCCACGAATCCGACATCAACGCAATCCAGTTCTTCCCAGACGGCCATTCTTTCGTTACTGGGTCCGACGATGCTACCTGCCGTTTATTCGATATTCGCGCGGACAGAGAGCTCAACCAATACGGGGTAAGTTGAGCCGCTCATAACTGCGATTGACTTTTGCTAACATTTATTTAGTCTGATGCTATTCTTTGCGGAATTACTTCCGTGGCGACATCTGTATCCGGAAGGTTGCTATTTGCTGGTTACGACGATTTCGAGTGCAAGGTGGGTAATTCAGCGCGTGCTAGTTGGACGGGTGCTAATATAAATTTCAGGTCTGGGATGTTACTCGCGGGGAGAAGGTTGGCGCATTGGTTGGCCACGGCAACCGTGTCAGCTGTCTGGGTGTTAGCAACGATGGCATGAGCTTGTGCACAGGTTCATGGGACTCTCTGGTAAGAATCATGAGCCTCATTATCATTGAGCACGTACTGACCAATTCCAACAGCTCAAAGTCTGGGCAATCTAATGGATACCACAAATTCAACATCGAGATTCATCTGTCTCCCTAAATTTACGGCGAGAGCCATGTCATGAATTTCCGACAACGATATCAATCAAACTTCCCTTGAAACAGTCACCTCTACGAACACCACCATTTCCATCACCTTCTCGCGGCGTACTCGAGCAATGATATCCGGATAGCTCTCCCATTTTAGCGAAGGAGAGCTTTAAAAGACGCAGCAAGCCACCAAGATCTGGCTGAGACGGTCTGCAGTTTACGCATTTTTTATTCTTGCATCATAATTCCCTTTATTTTGTTCAGCTTTTTTTTGTTTGTATGGGTGGCTAAGTCGAGCTGCGCTCTCTGCCCTCCATTTTGCTGGGTTTGCAAAGATAATTCGCCAGTCTACCGACCGCCATGGAGTCGCCTCTACTACGATCTTCGATTTTGTCTAGTCTATTATGGAGGAGGGGGGAGGAGGGGGGAGGAGACGCAGGCAGGAATGCAGTGGATGGCACCCCCTTGAGGGTCGAAGCTTGGTGCCTTTACGGGGCGTCAGGTGTTTCTCGGTCACAACGTTATTTGGCTTTTGAAGCTCCAGCCATTTTTTCCTATGCCGTTGGATGTGGTGCGAAACTGCTTGTAAAAAAATACTTCAGAGCGCACGATTTCTTGTGAGAGGCTTTCCTTTGCTTTAGTGGGAGATCTGGGGTGGAGGAGTGTTCTAGTATTAGAGAAAATGGGAACCACGATAACTCTATAAGTGTCACGCATGATTTTGAAGGAAAGCTTCGTATTCTTATTATCTTACGACCCATTTAGTAGTGAATCTTTGACCCCATATTCCACAATATAGAAGTTCCCCTTGTTGTGATTAATGCTGACGTACCTATTGCCGTTGTGGGTAATTGCAGGAGTAGGATCGGCGTAACAGATGGCTAGAAACAGCATCACATGAAAAACTACACTATGATCCACCGCGACACTTCCAATCTTGACAGCTCTAGAACGCGAATGTCTCAAAAAGAACAATCGGACGTTTCCCGACGAACCGGAAGAGAATATGCGCGGAATTAGTGTTTTTAAACGGATAACTGTCACCGTACTTGACATCCCTCGGCATTTTGCCTTCGAAGTCGTTGCCGAGAGGCTGGAGATGGCTACCCACATACTACAGTTCCCAGGGTCAGTTTTAAGTAAGAGAACTGTCATCACAGTTGTCTATGACAGTTTTTTTGTCTGAAGTGACAGAGCGACAGGTCGTATAATATTGCCATCTTCGGGGACAGCCGTCAGAACATGTTCAACCCAGTGCCTTGTCTCATCTGTCGTCAGCACCTCCTGAAACCGACGAGATCCTTTCAAACATAAGAAGCTTTATTCCATCCCATATTCTAGACAGGGCGCCGTGGCGTTTTGTATTTGTGTTTCTATTCCCCCCCCTGTGCTCCGCAACCTTGTAATCCTCTACCCCTCCATATCCCCTTACCTCGAGAATTTATAATTTTCGGGCCGCAGCCAAAAGACCACAAAAACAAATACGTAGCCCACAAGAACCCACGATCCTAGCAGTATCAGCCTGAGACCTGACGAATGTAGCACGAGGGCGCTCCGCGAAGGAGAGACACGACGTGACTCGGGCTTCCTTCCCTCCTACCGGACATTTACCCACTACCATACAGGGACCCTGCAATTGGCGATCTTGGACGGTGCGGGACACCGCCCGCCACAGCGGTTTCACAAAAGTCGGCAACCAACAAGTCACCTCACCTTCCCCAAACGCTATAAGGCACAATCCCCGCCAAACACGAAAGAGTGGAAAATAAAACAATTCCCATATCTGTGATCCAACAGACCAGCTCTCCTCACACACACAAACGCCATTCCCTCGACCGCAGCGCAACATCGTCCGACTGCTGCACACACCCCGCGCCCGCCCGCTCCGCTACTCCAACAACGCCGCGCGCACTAGCACGTCTCGGCTCACCGCAGCAGCACCGCCGCCCAAGATGGCAGCACAGACCCCCGCACAAGAGGAGTTCCAGGCGATACTCGACAAAGCCTCGCGAGGTGGCGCGCCGACCGACCGCCACCCCGAGGACGCGAATGGTGGCGCCGACGAGATCGACGAGGCGGACGAGGAGGCGCGGTACCGCGCGCGCCAGATGGAGGAGGCGATGCGGGCGCCGAGTGGGGGAGGGGGAGGGGGGAGACTGAATCTGCCGCCGCCTAGCTTTGATAGTGGGAGGACGACGGGGGTGAAGGGGGTTATTGCTGATGCGAGGAGTTTTGAGCAGGCGAGGAGGGAGGGGTCGAGGAAGGTGGGGGGGAAGGAGGGGAGGGTTAATGGAGGGGGGGAGGAGGAGGCGATGGACGCGTTGGATGCGCTGGAGGAGGATGAGGAGTTTTTGGAGAAGTGGAGGGAGGAGAGGAGGAGGGAGTTGGAGAGGGAGGGGAGTGATATTAGGAATAGGAGGACGAGTCCTAGTGTGAGGCGGTTTGGACGGTTTGATGAGGTTGATGCGCTGGGGTACTTGGATGCGATTGAGAAGGTGGGAAGGGAGACGGTGGTGGTGGTTTTTGTATATGATATCGAGGTATGTGTCCCCTTTCTCCTGACGCGGTTCCTCTCGTGTTTTTGCAAGCATATACTGACCCCCTTTTGCAGTGCGGAGTCTCGCAGGTTATCGAAGAAGCTCTTACCCCGCTCGTCGCGACACATCCCGAAATCCACTTCGTCAAGGTGCACTACGACGACATAGAGTTTGATAATGCAGGCGTGCCGGCCATCCTGGCGTATAAACAACAGGGAGAGCTGTTTGCGAATCTCACATACATCATCGACCAGATACCCGAGGATACGAACTTTGATACCCAAGCTTTGAAGAATGTGCTGAGGAAGCACAAGGTCTTATAATCGCATTTTTCTTTTTGGCTGGGCTCTGTAGGGTACAGACTACGAGGCTATTGCTGCTATATTTGAAGCCTTGGAAGGCATTGTATTATACCTAAGGCGTTTTTGAAACTTTGGGAGATAGAGGATGGGAGGATAGTAAAGGGGCCGGGAAAGGGGCATAGTTAGACACAACACAATAAACAACATACAGCGCCTATATTCATGCTTTTTACTATTGTTCGATGGAATAGTAATATTATCCTGTGCCCGCACAGGAAGCACAACCTTGATGACTATCAAGCCAGCCCAAAAGTGCATCTCAGACCTGAATGATCGCTCCAAGGTAGTATCCTCCCACCTCCCTGTCCCACGTCCCGCCCGCCTGGCTCCACAACAGTTCCCGAATCCATAACCTCAATATCCCGCACCACAAGCCCAAGCAGCGCAACCTTATCCATCCTATTTGGTGGGTACGATGCTTTTCCATCTATGCCCCACGTAAATCCATCCTCCCCCTTTCTCAGCTCGTGCCACGCATCGACAAGTCCATTCTCCTCGACTAGCGTTTTATCCTCTGGCAACACCGGGTTGAAGTCCCCAGCGATGATCCCGCGCTCTGCACTGCGGAGACTAGATGCCATAGTGGCGAGTTGATGCGGGCGACAAGAAGGTACTATCGCCAGGGAGTCGAGATGCACGTTAACCAGTCGAACGCACTTCTCATCCCCCTCTTCTCCAGAAGCTGATCCCGGATCTGGCAGGAAAATATCGCAACACAACGCATCTCTTCCAAACTTACTCTGGAATTTAACTCTCCACACAGGCCCCATCCTCGCTCTCCCCGAGAACCGCGCTTTGGAAAGAAGCGTCATCGTTGCGAATATCTGCCCGCCCCAGTTTTTCGAGTCCGGCTCGCTTGAAAACCATGATTCGCGGATCCTCTCGTCGCCTAAGAGTAATTCGAGCGAGGGCCGTGAGACTTCTTGTAGGAAGATGATGTCAGGTGATGGGGTGAGGTTGCTGAGGTGAGAGAGGATGGCTGAAGTGCGGGGTTGGGGCAGGGCTTCGCCGGCGTCTATATTCCATGTCGCGAGGACAAGGTTTGTGTCATGGTCAGTAGCCTGGGGAGTGGATGATGCGTGATAAGAGGATGTTGCATCTATACAGCTCCATCTTTGGGTGGATGGGTTGAATTCATGCCAGTTTTGATACTTGGGCGTGAGATCAGGTTCTTTGCTGAAGTGTGAGATATTCGGGGACTGCAACGAGGTAGCGCTACGAGAATCACTATTTTTATAGCGGCCAAGAAGGCGTGAGATTGTGTTGCTAGCCATGGGAGTAGTGCTGGTCTGATTGAAATTAGCCTTGAGCTCCATATTGTGACATAAACGGGAGAACCTTTGTGATAGCGAAGCGCGTGAATTTTCGACAAGCGTCAAATTCTGCTGCTTTCAGTGCAGGTGTTATGCGAGATGCCATATAATATAATATGACGAACGCAATAATTCTTTGTGAATATTAGTTGAAGTATGGAAGATAAAGAGAACATATGGTGGCATTGCTAGCGAGGTTAGTTATCACTTTTGACGTGGACAGACCGTCAGTCCGTCTGTCATAGTACGGGTACTAAAATAGTCACCCAGAAACTTAAGAACAGGCTGATGGAAACCCACGTCGCCGCTCTAAATGTTCACCACAACAATAAATGAAAATAAAATGAACTTTAGAACAATAATTATGATATCAAAGTCTTTCAGCAAGCTAGCTATAGTTATAGTTGCAGTTGTAGTTCAGGTGCACGGACCTTGGGCACCACTAATCGTACCCGTCTATGTCAACTGACAGCGACTTCACCCTTGGCGTTATCGTTATCGCCACACGGCTGATTACCCCACCTTAACCAGCCAGGCATCCCTCCTTCACCAAGATATCCTCGTCCGCGTCACCAATAAACCACGAAACATACAACGTGTTATATTCATTTCAGGTGTTTGTCTCATACGGTTTGATATATGAAGAGAGCAGGAACTACTTATTTGACGAAATTTGGGCAACTTCAAAGGAGCTATAACTCGGCCGAAACACTATTCGCTGGTAGGTCAGCCTGTCAAAGTCGACATCGTTGGCTAGTTTCAACCCACTTTCTGCTGCGCTGGACCGGACCTGATAGTTTTAAACCGACCCAAACAACCTCAGCTCATAAAATCTTGTAGTCAGGCCATCCGTGTAGGTCCTTCCTTCACTTGCATGTTGACAGAAAAACCTCCCGGTCGTCGCTTCTCACTACTCGTTTCTCGATATTACTCAGGCGTCATCAGACACCACGGCTAACGTCATGCCACTACCCAGTGCCCATCCAGGTTCGAATCACACAACAAACACTTTACACAGGCCCATATACTCACAACTTGGTTATCCAGTTCCCGACGGTGCGGTTCCTGAAGGAGTCGATGAAAGAGTAGCCAACTGGCTTGAGGACCATCCCGACTCGGCCGAAGACATGGCTACCAATACCCCGCCACGAGAGGCAGACGCAGGCAGTCTCACAGATTCTACATACGAGTTTGTCGACGACGATACCGAGAGCAGAGATGGGAACGCAACTGAATCTGTAGCCTCAGCTGACTACTGCCGCCCAGATGATGTTACGAGCCTTGCCGACACAGAGAACAGCTTCGACGACACCGAATCCGAGAAGAGCCATGCCACAGGTGATACACCCGGTCTTGATAGCAATAACGAGGAAGCAGAAGCGCAAGAGATCGGCCAGAGTGCAGAGAGCTTTCTCCAGACTACCACAGGAACTTCAGACCAGCCGATCATATTTGAGGAGCCACAAGCCCACCGTGGTCCGATAATCGCCAGCCTTCCTATCAAAGATCTCTCCGAGGATGAGATTAAAGCGATAACTCCATACTTGAAACTCCGTGGTAACCGGGTGCCAGATCGGATATCAGCTAGCCTCAGCCAGACTATGATGAGCACGCGAATATTGACAACTGTTGTGCCCTTGAGAATCTTGTATGTAGGCAGCCGTGGCGCGATGCATGATATTATTCGCAAGATTGGAAGTGCTGTTGCCGCCTACATGGACAGCGACCCGTCATCAAGCAGCTCCTCGGCGACATTTTATAACGTCATACCAGTGAGTGACTTTGGATCGCACCATGCACCAGAGATCGAGTTGATGCCTTCCTCTGGCTGGAACTTCCAGGTTGAGGAATGCTTGAAAGCAGTTAACTTCCCTGCTGAAAGTACACAAGGAAAGGAAGGTATTCTGGAGTTGACGCTTGATAAAAACACATACCGCTCTGTGCCTCAAAACGGGGAATTCCATGTTCAGCCAAAATGGGAGCTACCTCACCTCTCGATCTTCTACTGCTCGGAAAATGATACGGAAGAAATGCGTCAGACACGGATGGCAGCTAGCGAATTTACCAGCAGGCACAACATTGCACAGATTTTCATCACTCACAAACCAATGCTTGAGAAGCCACTCGAGTGGGAAATCCCACTTGGGCACCACCCCATTCACTTGTCACTGGAAGCCATGTTCTCATCAAGCATGCCAAGAGGAACTGTCCATCTCAGAATGCCAATTGATTTGGCATCTTTCATGAGCATTGATGCTCGTCAGATGAACAAGAACTTGGCTTATATCACATTCCGGGCTATGACGGAGCAAGGAGAGACGTCTGAAGCCGCTGGCTCCTCTGGATCCAAAGTTGTCCGCCAGATCCCTAAGACTACTCCCGCGGTCAAAGGACTTACCAACGTAAAGGCCACTAACTCACGAAATGTCTCCCGATTCCTGACGGGGCTTGGATGGAGAGACTTGGTACCACTCGGCTTACTGATTACCGGGATTCTGGCATCCATTTTTGCAAACTTCTACAGCTTCAAACCGATGCCTGCAAATCTGGTGTCGATCAATGGAAATCTGACTTCCACACATCCGTCGCCAGTTACCGTCATTACCTCCACAACCACCACGGAATCGGCAGTAATTAGCGGTAGCGCATCATATACTGCTCGAGTTCAGACAAAGACCATTATCAAAACGATTGATGTGGAGGAGGTTCGCTCCAGCTCAACAAGCATATCCCTTGTCCAATCTAAGGACGTTAGTGCCGTCGCCGAACCCTACGATGGCCATACGATGGTATGCACTGCTGAACGTCTCGATGATCAGGAAGTCCTCATACGCATCCCATCTGCCACGAAGCTGAGTTGGCTTGCAAAAGAGGCCATGCTTGTCAACGTCACACGCAACAACGAAACCGTCGACATAGAGCGCGTATACAGCTCACACTACGGAATTATCCTCCATTTTGCCCGCCACGAGGCCCACGGAAATCTCCAGATCTCAGTCATCACAACCAAGCACCCCAAGATTAACAGGATCCTCCACGTTGATCTTGGGTCATCGTGGACCCGTGGCTTCCACGAGACCCTAGACAAGCTTTGCCAGCGCGTCTATGACGACGTTCTCCCTAAAGACTTCAACCTTGATGAGACGCTCACACGTATCGATGAGTGGCGCAACCAAGCCGTCCTCCACGCTCAGTTCCTTGCTCACATTGGCCGCCAACAGGCCGAGGTGCAAGGAGCGAGAGCTGCGGAGGCGGGGCGCGAACTAGCAACGCAAGCTATAACCACTGGGGTAGAGCTTGCAGATCGTGTGCGTGAGCCGCTTGGAGCTGCGCTGCTGAAGGCACAGGTGGATAGCAGAGCACAGTGGCTGCGCTTGACAGGACGAGTTGACGAGGCCAAGGAGTACCAGCGAAAGGCCAGCGAGGCAGGGGTTACTACTGGAAAGTGCTCTCAGAATACCTGTGGGTGGTTGGGACGGAAGGTGACGAAGGAAGCAGTGAAGGAGAAGGAGAAGCCGAAAGACAAGGCTAAGCCATTGAGGGATTCGCTAAAGGAGCAGAAGGAACAGAAGGAGACGGAGGCACGAAAGGTTGTGTTCAAGGCGCGTATCGCGGAGAAGAAGAAGGAGACTAAAGCTCGGAGGGACGTGTTGAAGGAGCGCAAGGCAAGCCGGAAGACTTGTAGTAAGAAGCGGAAGGCATGCAGGTCGAAGCGTTAGAGGACGGATGGAAGCGACTAGTGTCGCTGATGTTGCTGGAGATTCGTGAGCTTTGATTTTTATTTTTTTGCCAGATTAAGGGGGGATGAGAGTCTCTGCTTCTTACTCGAGAGATGGCGTAGGTAGGACGTACGTACTCAGTCAGGTACTTTGTTATAGTTACGTGCAGTGCTAGGAATTAACAAGATAAATATTGCGAATATAATTCTAATATAATATTTTCTGAGAAATGAAAAAGGACGCCTCCTTATCATGGTAAATCAGTAGAGTATGGGCTTCAGCACCCCCATGCTCCCGCACCTGCCCCACGTGGATATTGTTCTGCCCCGACCTACCGCCCAACCCGCACCTTCCCCAACGAACTCTTGGCACTATTTCCAACAACTTCTCAGCTATCTCACCCTCCTCCTTCCCTCCTCCGTTCCACACACGACCAAATCCAAAATGTCTGACGCCGCCACATCCTCCTCCGCAGCCGCGGCGCGCCCGGCCTCCAACTCCCTGAAGGCGAACTACCTCCTCGGCTACAATGCCGTGTCCATGTTCTCATGGCTCTCGCTTCTATGGCATGCCGGGCTGAGCCTCAAGGTCGAGGGCCTCGAGTATGTGCACCCGCAGGTCGACACCTTCTGGAAGGTTACGCAGTCGCTCGCCGTGCTTGAGATTGTGCACTCTGCTTTCGGTAGGTCTCTCTTGTCTTGTCTTGTCTTGTGTGTTTGGGCGTGATCTCGCGTGCGGTGATGTGGATTTGTTGAGCTGACAAGCTGGATAGGCATTGTCCGCTCGCCCTTCATGACGACACTGATTCAAGTTGCGTCGCGCTTCCTGATCGTCTGGGGAACCGTCACTCCGTTCCCGGAGGTCGCGAAGAGCTGGGTGTTCATCAGCCTGCTAATTGCGCATGGTGTCACGGAGGTGATTCGCTACGGATACTTTGCCATGGCGCTCAGCGGGGAGACGATTGAGTTCCTGGGGTGGCTGAGATATAATACGTTTATTGTGCTGTACCCGCTCGGCATTGCGAGTGAGTGCTGGCTCATGTACCTTGCGATCCCGTACGCGAACGAGGTGTCGGAGCTGTGGGGATACTTCTACTACGCGATGCTGGCGATTTACATCCCGGGCACGTACGTGCTGTATTCGTACATGATGAAGCAAAGGCGGAAGGCTATGAGGGGCAAGGCGGTGGAGAAGAAGAACCAGTGAGGTTGAGGGCGAGGAAGGCTGAGACGAAGGGGTAAAAATGATGTGGGATATTTAAGTATGAATAGATGATGGCTTACTGTATATTATAATGGAAATGAAAGGCGCGAGTAGCGCTGCGTTTGCTCGAAGATTCGTATATTGTAACATGGCTGCATAGATCACTTCAACGCCGTCATGAAAACGGTTGACGGAAGCATGATATTCGTGTCGTGCAACTAGTGTGTGGACACGTGCCGGGCAAGGGAATGAACGCCTGTTAAGGAAGGAGCAATGGATGCGCCTTCCCATGTTATTATTTTGAGGGATGGGTCGTTTTTTCCCTCTTTTTCAGTTTTTGGGCGGCATCGTTCCTTCCCGCCCTTTCGGGTTTGGGACAGCATCGTTCCTTCCATCCCTTCAGTACTGGTATGGTTCTGAGTTCTTAGCTCTTGCCATCCCAAAAACAAGACAGTCTGTCATAGTTCTCGGAAACCAGCAAAATAGAATCATGTATCATAACGTCTTCATTAAATCTCTAACCGCCTTTGCGGCAAACTTCTTCCTCTCGGCTTCTGGCATACCAGCACCTAGATCTACTCCGTGTTAGCCTGCACCTACGTATCTGGACGACCGCGGATAAAAACTTACCTCGCATAGCCTGCATCTTCAACATTAACGCCTCCAACCCCTCAACACTCTCCTCTTCCTCCTCGACATCCTTCCCAAAAATCGGCCTCCTCATCCCCTCCACGTCCTCCTCTCCAATCTCAAACCCGCCCTCCAAGTCCCCTTCAAACCCCAACCCCAACTCCTTCTCCAATCCCTCTACCCCCCCATCCCCGCCACTCCACTCATTGGCCTCCAATGCCTCTCTAACCCTGTCCACACCCACCACCTCACCGGACTCATCCTTTCCCGTCGCAGCCCCATCAACGACCTCCCAGCCCTCTGCCCAACCCTTGTCATCTTCCCCAGCGGTGGCATCAAGGAGAACACCGAGACGAACAACCTCCCCCGCGTCTCCTTCAGAAACACTGGCCACTCTATCTACTTCCTTCAATACCCTCTCCAACTCATTCCATCCTGCCCTTCCTTTCCCACGGTTAAGGAGAACCACGTACCCTCCAACCGCGGCAAGGACCTCTGCCGCCTCTTTCTTGCAAAACATGTCCGCCCACACATTGATCCCATCAGGATTGATGATGTCAATCCATATCTGGACGTCTGCTACGTAATATGTGGTCTTTAGACTGAGCGGGTGGGATGAACCTGCGAGGGTCCCCACTTCTGCACTGGGGGGCGGTGGCGCGGTGCCTGTTAGATCTGTGGGGTGTTAGTTCGGTATTTCTGAAGGAATGGAAGGGAAGACCTTTGAGGAATGTGCTGGCGGTTGCGTCAGAGGGGGCGATGAGGAGGATGCGCCGGGGGTCTTTGACCTGTGGCGCTGTTGACGGGGTCATTTTGATATTGAGTTCCGAGCTTGTTTTTTTCAGTGGCGAGGGCGTATCTTTTACTCTCCTCTCTCGATTCGTTCTTTTCCTGCTTTATTCAATAAAATCTCCGTTTGCCCTTTTTAATGCGCCGCGTAATCTATAACAGTTTACAGCGTCCTCAGTGACATTGGATATAAATCGAAGGCCAACACGTGAACTCCCATACGCCAAGCCCCACCAACCACTACCCCACCATTACCAAAAAATCGCTCACACAATGCCGTAAAATCCAACCTACGTCTTCGTTGCCAACAATAACCGGCTTCTGTGGTCCAATGGTTAGGATTCCACCCTTCCAAGGTGGAGGTTCGTGTTCGATTCACGGCAGTTGCAAACATCTGATTTTTTTTGGCGTTTCTCTTGCCTCGTGGAGGGGTGAAATGTTCCCCTCTGTATTTTCTTTTGAATTTTTTATGTACTTTTTACGATGGGGTCCTTCATTCTTGCTGCGGTTCTACGTCGTTCCTGCCACCAATAACCAGCTTCTGTGGTCCAATGGTTAGGATTCCACCCTTCCAAGGTGGAGGTTCGTGTTCGATTCACGGCAGTTGCAAAACATTCATTATTTTTTGGCATTTCTTTTCCTTCGCTCGATTCACTTTTTGGGTGTTAGGTGGGTGAAAGGCTTTCCTTTTTATTTTATTCGCTTTATTTGCTTTTTATGATAGGGTCTTTCATTCTTGCCAACTTCTGCTTCGGTACAGTGTAAATGCATCATTCCTACCACCACGCTGATTTTCACGCCCAGAGAACGGGGAAGTAGCGACCCGCAAAATAACAACGAACGAACGACTTCTTGTCAGGAATCGAATGACTAGCTCTCAGAGAGGCCTGCGAAGGAGTCCATTACGAGGACGACATCCTTATTGTGTGAAACAAGCTCGGCGGCTCCATCCGCGAAGCCATGGTCTAGTGGCGTGGCATCAGAGGGCGGAGGGGTAGGGGGAAGGCTGATAGCGGGGTAGGCGTGGTTGACGAGCGAGTCAACAACGTCTTCGAAGATGTCGAGCTGGGATGTGCCAGACGCCAGGGGCCAGAACGTATGTGATAGGTGTTTCATACCGCACCATTACTATCGTTTTCATGCAGCAAAAATTGGGAGGCAGCAAACTATGCAGAGAAACACATACAACACGACGTCTGTCTCGCTCTGGAGCCTGCTATAGGCAGAGGTGCCAAGTCACCGTGCTGAAGCGCTTACAACCTTGTAATATTCTCAGGCCAACGACTCCCTAGAGGCAACATCCTCAATTGCGTTGTGATCCCAAACGACTCAATGGAGTTGCTAGCCCTTTTTTGTGGATGAACAGCAACCAAAGCTGATACGACGTCCAGTAAAGTTGCGGTGTTTGAGTGCATATATGAACTGCATATTAAGCGCCCACGACACATTACTCCCTTGGCGTTTGCAATAGGCTTCAAATATACTGTTAAATTGGGCCCTAATAGCCATACCTTGGATATCAACAGAAAAGCTCTGCAATACAACTATGCTTTCTATGTCAGCATGTCTACAGCCATTGTTCCAAGCGGTGGCAGCGACAACTCAAATGTCTTCACTCAACAAGGCACAGTCGATTGGACATTATTATCAGGGTCAACCGTGAACTTCACTATTGAAATCCTTGCGCGGTTGTCGAAGGCTGGCGTTGAACCGATTACAGCTGCGATGGGCCAGGCAATTTTTGCTGGGTTCAATCTTGACCCAGATGGACAAATAAGATTCTCTAGTACTATATCACGCTTGAAAGCATTTTCGTCGTATGGAAATGTTATGTGGTTTGGATTTGGAGTGAAGCACATTATCCGCACATTGTCCGAGACGGAGCAAGGCGCAACATGTGCTGCCATCTGTGCTTGTCTATCGGTCTCATACGACAAGTTCTTTTGCAGCAAAGTTCTAAAGGCTCTTGCCGACCAACAAAAAGCCCCGAACACTTTAGTGCCATCTCTTTCTCAATGGGCGGCTCTCGCCAACATATGTGCTGGGGCGGTATCAGGCTCACGATTCCCTCAGTTAGTAGAAGTATATTCACGCATAATGCAGTCATATGATGGCGATAGCAGAAATGCATTACAAGAGACAACATCTCCTGACAAACTTGCAAGAGCTATTTTAGAGCTTGGAAAGGTTTCCTCTGGAACTGTTCAAAGTGTCACATTTATTGGCGGTGTAGATTGCGGCTGGCTTGCGGCTCTTGCACAATGGCTTCTATCTCTTAAGGTGGATATTGTGGCCGCGGATGGCTCAGTCTTATACTCTAGTAGGACATCGGTTGACCCGTCCTATTATCCCCAGGTCTCAATTGTGCAGGGATTGGGCCATAATGGCCGGGGCAGTTCAACACTCTTTAAGAGATCTGTTTTCGTTATGCCAGGGAAACTGTTTTTTGGTGCCAAATGGGATTTAGTCGACCGCCAACGACATTTTTTCTCGGCGGGGAGATCGGAATGGCGAACCATTTTGCATGATACATTTGGTGCGGATTTTGATACACTTCTACATCCGGAGATAATACAGGATTTTGCGGAGCTTCTCTGTTGCGGATTTTCTGTTTCTGATTCAGATAACGGCCAGCGCCATGTCGATCCCTGGAGAGGCCTTTCTACGACCAGTACAGAGAGTCGACTCCTGCAACTTTCTTTTGCCGCACAACGCTTGCCTGAGCTTATACCCGTATGTCAGATTGCAAAACAGAAAGTCTATTTTCAAGAGAGAAGTTATGGCGAACATAATACCTTTCCAAGAGTACTTGCGCGCCACTGCTCGTGCGACCAATGCAAGTTTCATCGAGAACATCTGGCTGGAAAGAGTGGTCATTTCCCTCTAATCTCGAAAAAAATCTGTTTAGAAAAAGTCGCCTTAGCTATTTTTGAGTATATTTGGACCCTTTCTTGGCTGGATATAGATGAGAATGTTTACCCATCTGTTCGTGGCTTGCTTCTGACGTATAGAGGCCAGAAAACAGACCGATATGACGACAGTTTCCGAACAGATACCATAAAAGACAAGCTTTTCCAAAAACCGTTGATGTCTAAAGCCATAGAATTATTTACTGGCCTCCCCGAAACTGACCATCAATGGGCCTGGGGGTTGTCGGCCGGATGCAAAGCTGGTGTTTGCGCCTATCTTCCGTCGCTAAAAAACCCAACAACTTCGCCGCCGGAACAGCTTCGCGTCATTGTAGTTGCAGGCCACATTGAGTGGAATAGTAAAACATTTTCAATGGTCAAAGACGGACGGAGTGAAATGGTCGAGGTATCATTGGGAGACCTCGCCTCAACTTTCGTCCAGACTTATGGCCTCAATGTGGACCTTAAGCTACGTGTGCAAGAGACCTTTACGTCGGATGTTTTAGAGGCAGATCTCTGGGTTTCAAGCAAACCAATAGAGCCGTTGCAGCGCATTTCATACCACGATGGCCATATAGTCGACCCCCCGCCTGCGTCTAGCTCACCTACCCGCATACAAACTTTTGGCGCTGCGAAAATAAGAGCAGCCATTATATCTAGCAGATTTACATCTAGCTGCCACTCCGAGTCAGTAGAGACGAATGCTCTCTCTATTGATGGACCGATCTGCTGGTCCGGCCCTTGTTCTGATGCCGCCAAATATCTGTGGGTTGATGGCTACAATAACAAAAGTTATAGCCCTACAAATGAAGAGTGGGCGCTGATATCTCAAAGCGAATGTTGCCAAGAGATAGTCCGGGGACCATATCAGCTGCTATATTCAGTCATCTGCAGAATGAAGGGAAAGGCCAAAATCCGCTTAGGCTCTGCTACTTGTTTGATGTGCTTATTGGGAACACATCGGAATCTACGAGGTGTAGAGCATATCAGGATTGTTATTGGTCGTGGCAATCACGGCCACAGCAGGTGGTCCTATTCTCATATTCGCAATCTAGAGCGTGTTACTGTACATTCATTCCTGGGTAGTAGACCTTCATCGCAGGTCCTTCTCACTTCCGCAAAATTTCCCTCTGGGATGCCAACTAAACAGCCGCCCTTAGGGCCAGACAGTGCAGTTTCTGGGATTAATCAAGAATCGAATTCTGGTGTCGTCCCAGGTCGGCCAATGCTTCTCGCTACGCCGCAAACTGCACAATCGCCCTCTGAGCCAGAGAATACAATCTCCAGTAACAATCAACAATCGGATTCCAGTGTCGCCCCAAGCCCGGCGACACTCCCTCCTACGTCACGACCTGCACAGCCGCCCTCAGAGTTAGGCCATACAACTCCCGGCATTGATCAAAAAGAATCGGATTCTAGTGTCATCCCAAGCCAGGAAATAAAGGGCGGAATACCTCACCGAGGACGGGACTTTAAGAGTCCCAATCCAAGAGAAATCCAAAGGGCTAGGAGTCTGTAATCAAATTCCCGAAGGGCGTGGCTGGGGGTTTAGGGGCGCGAGAGGGACTATATATCCCGAGACGGAACGGCTCTAGGAGCAATGCGGTTGGAGATCGACCAGGACAATAACTGGAAGGGGCGAGAGTAGAGTACTATGACTAGGGATATATATTTTCTTTATAGCTATGAGCATTACTTGAGCGGTCTCGAGGGCGGAGTTAAGGGATTTCTGCGAATTTAAGAATTTGATAATTACAATTTAAACTTTTATAATGGGATTTTAACATTTAAAGGCCTATAATATGATGAGCACAGTCTGGAGATCGAGCCTGCACGCTCTATCAACTCTTGCTATACAAACTCACATTAGACAACGGCTCTATAAACCATTCATTCTACTTACTTCCTAGAGTTACTAGAACCTATAATCCCGCTCGAAATTTTAACCGCACACACACCGTCGCCGCAGGGATTATCACGATTTAACAGATTTTATAGGCCGCTATGAATCTAAACAGACCTGCAAAAACACCCATATTCATATAATACCTACAATAACTTACCACCATCATACCCTCACCTCACCCCAAAAACACAACCCCCTTACCCCTCCCTCCCCGCCCCTTTACAAACCCCGCACCACCAACCCCCCTCACCACACACCTCCCACCACCACCCACGCACAAAACCCCCAAACCCCTCCCCAAACCAACTTTTCCAACAACAACCAAACTTCCCTCTAAAAAAAATCAAATATATATAAATAGCAACCCCTATCCCATAATTTTCCCACCTTCTCAAACATTCTAGCACACCCGCTCCCACCCACGGTTCCGAGCAATCGCATTCCACCGCCCGCCTTGGTCCCGACCGCACTGATACTTGGCTGTTGTGTCCCAGCATCACGTAATCCCCCCCCACAAGCGACTCCATCGGTACCTGGCGCTAAACCTGTTCCTGTCGCGGGTCCACATAGGACTGTGATGCGCTGCGGGACCTCGCTGGCTGTATCACCGGTGCTGCACTGCAGGTTGGAAAGGGCCCTGTGTGAGGGACGGAGGGTTTGTGGGATCTACGAGACAGGAGGGAGGATACGATTGTTTTTGGAACGGCAAAAGGGGCTTCAACTTACGTGTGTACTGTGTAGTTACGGTTACGAGTAGACTCCTCGTATCATCCATCTACCCTTCGTATCCCCATCCCCATCCCCCAAGTCCTCTGTCCCCCCATGCATAATCCTCCTCCCCATCGGCGCACACACACACACATTTTCGGAGCACGATACGCCGGAGCGGAGGGAACGCATGCGGCCGGGTGGGTGCAATTGTTTCTCCGTCTCGGCCCTGGGTGAGGCGTGCGTGCGGGCGGCTAGTATCGCGAGTTTGCTTGTTGTGTGTGTGTGTGCCGTGTGGGATGGTGGGGTGGGACACGGGAGGGGAGGTTGTGCGATTGTGGCGAAGGCGGGAGGGAGGGTGATTGACGCGACGGGATGGAATGGGATGGAGGTGCAGGTAGGGAGGTGGGTGGGTGTGTTTGTTTAAAGGGGTTCGGGGGTTTGGATTTTGATGGGTGATGGATGATGGGATAGGAGGTGGGTGGTGGGATACGATGGAGTACTCGATACGATGCCAGCACTGTCGAGGTGAAGATGCAGGTACAGTACAAACGTGCTTTGTAAGGCTGTCTGTCACCGCCACCGTGCCGGGTTGGTCGGCTGTTTGATGTTTACCCATCCATCCCCGTTCTCGAGCATCGTGTCGCGACGCCATTATGCACGCAACTAAGTAAGTAAAGTAAAGTAAAGTAAAGTAAGCCCCCCCCTTAACCTAGCATACGAGGGGGGTGTAAGTCCGCAACCATGTCAGAGAGCAGCCTTGTCAGATTGTTGTCAGATGCGTGGCTTGTTTTAGTCTTGGCGCGATGGAAGGAAGGAGTGGTATGGTATCGGTATGGACGCGATTTCCCTGGTCCTGTTTACGCCCACCCATCCTCCCTCACTCCCTCCCTCCACCGCCTCTCCCTCCTCCCCCCCCAGCGCATCGTCGCATGGTGGAACTGGGAATATGCGACTGGCAGCTAGCACCCAGACCAGACCCCCCCAATCGATCGACTAAACTAACTGGCTCGCCAGACAGGGAACAGACGACTGAGACCACACCACACCCCACCCCCTGTCACAGAAAAAGGTGCGACGATGGGGGGGGGTTGCGTCTGGCCTGTGACGCTCGCGTGTGGACCAATCGGGGGGGGGGGGGGGGGGGGGGGGGGGGGGGGGTGGGGGGAGGTAGGTGTTGGAATGGTTTTGGGAGACCCTTCTTTTTTTTGGCGCGCAGTGGTGATGGGGGGTTTTGAGGGTTGGATGGATGGACCCTAGGGGTTGGGTGAGGGTTTTTGGTTTTACGGTCGGTGAGAAGGGGGGATGTTTAAAGGGTGTGGTGTTTAAAGGGTTGGCGTTGAAGGGTGTCAAAGGGTGTCGGGGGATGTGAACACGGCGGCGGTGATGGGGCGGGTGGGTGAGGCCGGAGGGGGTGAAACGGTCTCAGTGGTTGGCCGTCGGTGAGGGAGTGAGGGAGTGAGTGAGTGTGTTGGGGATGGGGATGATGAGTGGGATTGAGTAGTTTGTATGGGATGTGTGTTTGGGATACGTGTAGTTTTGTATGTGTTGGTAGGTTAGAGGGTTGGGGTTAGACAGTTAGAGGGTTCGATGTTAGAGAGTTGGACGGTTAGAGGGTTAGAGAGGGCAACTACATCCTCACCACTCGTCTCCTTTTCTTGGCTGTATTGTGAGATTCACTGGGTGTATGTGTTTGTATGCGTGTGTGCTTGTATGTGTGTATTCTTGTTACTCCTCGGCGTGATGGATGTTGTGTGCTGTGTTTCCGTGCTTCGTACAACACCCCGTACTCGTACTGTACGTGTCTGTCTATACTGTACGTGTCTCTCAGTACTGGACCTGTCTCTCAACGAGTATCATCCATAGGAGTACTCTATATACTTAGTTACTCTATCTATATACACCCACATACTCTATACTTACTCTATCTATACACACACCCACATACTCTATACACTTACTATATTTACATACACTGCATTTATGGTACAGTGCATATACACACTACATACACACTGCATACACTCTGCATACACACCTACAGTACCTGCATTGGCCTGTTTCTGCCACTCCTCGCTATAATTCCCATACTCGTCTCTATTGGCCCGTGCTGCGTCTCAAGTCGCCCGTTCGGTCCATTCTGCCCTTTCTTCCTTCTTCCTTCGTCCTTCCGCCCACATCCGCCGCCCACACAGACCCAGTATACCCAGCCAGCTAGACGCACACTACGGCGCTACTCTAGACTCTACACCCACTCTACACACCCACTCTACACACACCCTCTACACACACCCAGGCCAAGAGTTTGAACACGCCCACCTAACACCCTACGCCCACCCACGCCCATGCCTGCACCCACACCCACACCACCTAAACCACGCCTAGCCATACTCACCACCACCACCACAATCCACACCCACTCCCACCACCCACACACTTCTCTCCTTCCCCCCATCCCCCCGTCCGTCCCCCATCCCTCACACCCCCATCCTCAACCCTCACACCCCCCCTCCCCTCCCCTCCCCTTCCCCCTTCTACCGCCCTTCCCTTTCCCCTTCCATCCAGCTGCTACCTAACCTAAACCCACCACCCACCGCCCACTGCCCACTGCCCACCACCCACCACCCACCACCCACCAACACCAACCTAACTACATCCACCCACTAAATCTACCCACACTCCACCAAACTTACTACCACCACCCACCAAAACCTACACGCCCACCTACCCACCTACCCTACTACCCTACCTACACTCCTCCTCCTACTCCTACTCCTCCTCCTTGACTCTCCCTCCTCCCATCATCGTCGTCTTCACGTCGTCGCTGCTGCTGAACGAAAAATCTTCTTTTCCTCCTCGTTCTTCTATTTTCTTTTCATCGTTCAGCCATTACGGATACCTGTCACTCCTTTCAGGTCCGATACTTTCATTCGGCTCAACAACCAGCTATTCCAATCTCGACTTTACAACTTCGAGACCACACTCATTTTCTGACCAACGACAAACGACAACAACACACACAATCACACACCGGATCTTCATCCAACGCTAGTCCAACAACAACACGACAACCCCGCGCCTCGAGCACGATCCTACTTTCTATTTCCTGCCAGTTACAGCGAACCATTATATACCGAGTCGACACGCTCCTCTCATTCTCGACGTTCCTTACACACGATCCCGCCCGACCGGATCTCTCGATCGACACACACCGCCGCTCTCCGAACTTCGGCAAGTGCTCGACCACGACAACCACCACAACACGAACCCGCGAGTAAACCCGTGACCCTTTGTTTACCTGGCAGGCTGCATCCACGACCCGGTCACCACCCGCTTCCCGGCGAGCTCAGACACCATGTCGGAACATGGGGACAACGAGCCGAAAAAGATGGCCACGCCGTCCCCGTCTCCCTCCGCCTCCGCCTCAAACAGCAACTCTGCCTCGCGACGCCCGCCGCGGAAGAGCACTTTAACGCAGCAGCAGAAGAACCAGAAGAGACAGCGCGCGACACAGGACCAGCTGGCCACACTCGAGCAGGAGTTCCTCAAGAACCCGACGCCGACTGCGTCGGTGAGGGAACGGATCGCGGATGAAATCAACATGACGGAGCGCTCGGTGCAGATTTGGTTCCAGAACAGGTATGCTGAGAGCTAGACTCTTGACGCGACCGGTGTACTAATGAAGACGTGTAGACGTGCCAAGATCAAGTTGCTGGCCAAGAAGGGCATCGAGGGCGGTGAGGATATTGATAACATTCCGGAAGGCATGCGTCAGTACCTTGGCCTACAAACCATGGAGTCTGGCAGGCCTATGGGCGCAAACTTCATGGGGCGCGACGGACTTGTGTCTTATCGCGCAGGAGGCATGATGGGTGCTGACCAAGGCCCTCAGGGCAAAGTTCGTAAGTAAAACCCCTTCAATGTACGCGGTCCCCTTGCTAAGACCCTGAAGTCATCCACCATTTCCACTGTAGGTCCCTGCAAATTGGAACCTGGAAACGAATTGGCCAAACTATGATGGACCTTATCATTTTCTACTCGCCCAAGAAGGAGTGCATGACGTACTATATCAACAACGACCAGGCTGGTTACAAGATCGAATACCCTTTCGCATACATCAAGAACATCTACCTGGAAAATGGCGATATCGACGGAGGAAGTCAAGGAGGACTAGTCGTGGAGCTTAACCGCCCCCCGCTGTTCTTCATGGATTGCTCTGGATCAGGAGGGTTTGTTGATGTTGGGGATTTCACAGAGGAGCACCAAGCTTCGCAAGTTTTAATACACAGGCTTGGAGGACACCCGAAGGTCTTGAGTGGACAACTAGCTAAGCTTGCCAACCTGGATTCTTTCATCAACCGCCACAACCCATTCGAGTCGCAGCACCAGTTGGCCGTTTCGGCGCCCAACTCTCCAATCGGACACCGCCCCGCATCCCAACCAAACTACAACGCGCAGGCACACGTCGGCATGTTCCAGGAGCAGTGGGGTATTGGCGTCCACCCCGGCGCGCGCGGACCAGGTCACAAACGCCAGAGGAGTAGATCCGTACCAACTGCGATCGATTTCTCCATGTTCAGCGCGCCCATGCCGTCCTTCCTCATCCAACACCCTGCCGAGCACCAGTCTCACCACAACCCCAACATCTTCGCGCCCATCCCGCAACAGCCAAACAACCTTACCCCGATGGGCTCGAACTTACGGATCGATACTTCGACGGGCTATGGCATGGATTTCAGACAATACCCCATGTCTGCCGCTACTACGACCCCGCCATCCGACTATGCAAGCCCGTCCTTCTACTCCCAAGGTCCCGAGACCGGTCCCCTCCCAGCATCCAGCTACAACACGCCCTACACCGTTCCATTCCTCTCCCCTATGGTCGACCCCTCCTCTATGGTGCCACCCTCTGTCTCGCCTCTCTCCTTCATGAGCCACGGCGACCCCGCCATCGTCGACCAATCACCCCCACTGTCCATGATGCACCGCTCCGGCTCCGCAGACGCCTACAACATGAACCACGCCAGCCTCTCCGACGACGGTTCGGGTCTCAACGAGATGTACTCCAAACACTCCCTCACCCTTCCCATGCACCAGAACTCCCCGTCACCCGCCTACCTCGAGCAATCACAAGCGGATATGGAGATGAGCCAGCTCGTCGAGTTCGAACCCATGGACCCGGCCGGCCTATCCCCGGAACCGAACTCGGGTCACAGATGATGCCTTATGACACCCCACTGACGGCCTTGGGTTTCGCGGGTTGGTTACGATGCGGTGTTTTTTTCATACTTCTGGGGTCGGGATCGGAGTGCATAAGATTGGAACGGGAGCGGATTTTCGTTGGCGTTTTGAAACGTTGGGTTTTGTGGGATTTAGGTCTTTAATGGGAGGGTTGTCGGAACGGGGACTTGGGGCTGTTGATACTCTTTTGCTTTTACGGCCGATGTTGTTGTTGTGTTTTTTTGCCGCGTTGTTGTGAGGGGTTGTTGTGTTCCCTCCACTCACGCACTTTTGTCGTTGTTGTTCTTGAATGAATCTCCTTGCTGTTGTTGTTTTGTGGTTACATTTTTTGCGCGTCGCGAGCTTTATACTGCGGTATTTCACGCGTCGTTGCTACTCTTTTACCTTTTACTTTAACACCCCCTTTTTTGTTCTGTCTGGCACAGCGTTTTTTATCTATCATATCATCATTTGTCCTTTTTTCTCAAAAACCCTACTCACCAACATCTTGTTTTGCGGTATGGGAATCTTCGAGCTTACGTTTTGTATTCTTGCTTGTTCTTTTGTTTTTTTTGTTCCCTTTGTTCAACACTAGTTTTTCTTGCGAGTTGCGTTGGTATGGCATTGTTTTGTTTTTTTCGAGCAGTACAGTGCGGTTGTGCAGTTGTGCAGTCTTCGAGCAATACGCGGAGAGAGTGCATTTATATATACCCTTTCTGTATGGAAGACCGCGGGGATGGGAGTGGGGGTGGTGGTGGTGGATGATTTTACTGAAGTTGGCGAAGTGGAGGAAGTGATCAACCACTTTGAGAGAGAGAGAGAGAGAGGAGAGCTGGGACCGCAAGGGTCGCGGTGGACGGACGGATGGTGATCGTAAAGACGCCGGATGTCTCGCCCGTCGCGGGCCCCCTGTGGTGCCTAGGGGAGATATTAACGTGGACGGGTGATCTTTTATCTTTGAAACCGACTTTTTTTTTTGTTCACCTTTTTTTTTTGGGCAAGGGAGGTCTTATGTATGTCCTTTTAGGTGGAGCAGTCCATCCACGGAGTGTGACTGGGGAAGGCTGGAGGCTGAGGAATGGGACGAGTGGAGGGATAGGGGGAAGGAAAGGACGACGGACGGACCGACGGACGGTGGGGTAGTGTTCGTAATTAACGTACTTGTATATCGGTCGGCTGAGCCGATGGATGGGAATTCATACACATCTACACCCGATTTGTGCCTTAACTCTTGTGTGCTGTGAGATGATACCTTGCTTAGTGATATGTCTGCACGTACTATATATAAAGTTGAGGGAGTTAAACTCTTTCCCCCCTCCGCCTATACTGTCCACTACATCATATAAAACCTAGGCATTTCGCCCCTATAAGGAAGGAACGAAAAATAAAGAATATGGCTACCCACGGTCGTTCCTTCCCTATATAGTCGATCGCCCCTTCCTCGCATAGTCGGTCGTTCCTTCCCTTAGTAAACGTAAAACCCAAGAGCAGGAAAGACCGTTCCTTCTCTCTGGAGTCGGTCGTTCCTTCCCTTATAACTATAAAGCCCAAGGTTAAGAAGGAACGGTCCTTCCACCTGACGCTGGTCGTTCCTTCCACCTGACGCTGGTCGTTCCTTCCTCTCTGGAGCCGGTCGCCCCTGCCTTTTAAATGAAAACCCCTCTAGGAAGGAAGGACCGGTCCTTCCATCTTGAGTCGATTGCTCTTTCCTTTGAAGTGGGTCGTTCTTTTCGTTCTTTCCCTTATAACTATAAAACACCTGGGAAGAAAGGAGCGCTCCTTCCTTCTAGAGCTGGTCGTTCTTTCCCTAAAAACTGTAAAAATCTAGGAGGGAAAGAGCGTTCCTTCGCTCTAGAGTCGATCGTTCCTTTCTTTCCTTTGGAGTCAATCGCTCCTTCCTTATAAATGTAAAGCCCCCCAAGAAGGAAAGAACGCTCCTTCCCTCTTGAGTCAATCGCTCTTTCCTTCTGGAGTCGGTCGTTCCTTCCCTATTTAAAGGGTCGTTCCTTCCTTCAAAAGTTTGTCGTTCCTTCCTATATTAACAGATCGTGCCTCGCCGCCCATAACTTGCCTGCAACTCAGGAGCTATGGTGGATACCACATAGAGGTGCGGCATCTTCCCATCAGCCATACATAAATGATATGAATCTTCAGTGTATGCAGCCAGTCTACGTATCTGATTAGCATGGAGGACCGGACGCGGTTCACGGCTGCGCTGTCGGAGTTTATGATTCAGGCGACACAGAAAATGGAGCCGGGTGCGTTTGATGTTGTGGAGAGGTGTGAGGGGGCGAGGCATTGTGTGATGGTTGGTGAGTCGGAGTGGTCGGCGGGGGCGTTGAGGAGGGCGGCGGGAGAGGTGGTGTAGGGTGTGGTGTGTGCGTGGTTGCTGTTGAGGAGGTGCACGGCGTGACAGTAGGTGGTATATAGCTCATATAACTCACATATAGTGTGTTCGAATTTTTGTAGAAGCCGAGTAAGTCCTACACATCACTATAGAGGATGAGTTTCCCCTCACTCCCATCCCAAACTTCCATCCAGACCCAGGCCCTACCCGCCTCTCCCCAGAGCAATCCAAATGGGTCCGCATCCTTCTCAAATACCCCATCCGAAACGCCCTGCGCGACCTTCTCAGGCGTTGCAAGACGAAGGAAGTGCTCCTTCTGCGGTGCCTCAAGAACCAAGGCATTGCCTGTGATACCGTGACAGATATTGGGCTCTTTCGTCAGGAGACCCCTCTCCCACGTCACCTTCCTCCCAAGCGCAATGGCCTTATCAATCTTCTCATGCAGTGCCGGAAAATACTGTCTAATAGGCAAGAGCGAGATGAGGACGCCCGGCGCACCGTGGCAGAACTGCACAAGCCCTATCTCTTTCCCTTCAATAACTGGCCAGTTGCCCTCGTCTCCCTGTAGCTCCAGGATTTCTAGGAGATTGCTTTCCAGCTTAGGTGCGTAGGACGGGTCACTCAGTACGATCTGGGTCAGGATTCCAATATCGCCGTGCACTGCCCCTATATATTTCCTATCGCTCCAGCTCCACGGCTGCTGGGGGAGGATCTCGTCGATTAGCAACGTTATAACCTCGTTCACGGCTGTGGCTAGATTAGGAAGCCACTTTCGAATTATGCGCAGAATATAGAGCGCCCCTGCGCGGCCCTTCATCCACTCGCAGTAAGTTGGATCTGTTTCCAGACTGCGGAGAGCAGATATCACTTCCATTGCACGACTCTCATCTTGGTAGAGACACGCCTTGATAGCATTTGAAGTTAGAAACTCGTTAGTAATCCCACAGCTTTCCTCCAGCAGGGGAGGCACAGAGTCCTGTCCTAGCTCGATGTAGGCCTTGCACCAATCCACCGGTAGCTTGCCCTCAATCTCCAAATCGGGGTGTTTGGTGGAGAGGGTCCAGAAGAAGTAGGCTATGGCTGTGGGACCGACAAATAAGCCGCGGTGGACGTGGCCGCGGAAGAGCGATGCCCAGGGCAGCTTGGGTGGACAGTCTCGAATTATCCGGGATGCTGACTGGATGAGATATACCTTTGGGTCTCCCAATCGGAGCAGTGTCGTTGCATCATTCTCGAAGAACCGCTTGTTTTCTGAGAGTATTGCGGATGGATCAATAGCCATGGTGGTTTTAGTAGCAAAGTGTCAATGGGATAAGCTTTTTAGATTCACGGCACTAAGATGTATATTGCTATGATGAACCTACAATATAGGGTCCAACGATGGTCATATGAGGGGTCGATCGTATGTTGGGATCATCTTAGCGTTGTGTTACGAAGATGTGAGTGTTATGTAAGCAGTAAGCAAGATGACTTCCCAGATATCCAAAGGCACTGTCGCATCGTTGATTAGAATATTTAGTCTTTCAAATGCGCTTTGCCAATAGGCATAGCATGGTCATATTTTACATCCAGATAGATATACATTATGAAGACCCATATATTACACGTCCCCGAACCGGAGTTTGAAAACCCCTGCCCCATAATCTATCCCCGTAACGCCCCATAGCACCCACACGTCGAACCGATGATCATCTATCCAAGATAGGACGCAATGTGTCCATGACGAGGCATCAGATGAACGCCAACTGGTTCAAGTTGTGTAGTTCTGCGGCAACGATCATGTGCTGCATGTGCGATATCTATATTGTACAATTCTTTGCTGCTGGTTGTGCTTTAGTGGCGGGAAGCAACTATATTTCGTGTAATCATTAATATGCCGTCGTTGGGAAGGTAGACGACGGCTTTCTCGAGGTAGCTCTAGAAGGGCGATTCTGTCCGGCCGGATATTCGACGAGGAAGTTGCGCAGAACGCTCCTTCCAGTCTGATCGAATACTCGACGAGGAAGTTATGTAGAACGACCCTTCCATATCTGGCCGAGCACTTGACGAGGAAGTTACGCAGCAACGCTCCTTCCCTGTCTGCCCGAGAACTCGGCGAGGAAGTTACGAAGAACGCTCCTTCCCTGTCCGATCAAGACTCAACCACGAGACCTCAGCAGGCAGGCTAAGCACTCTCGTAGCCCCTCACAACAACCGCACTCATCCAAGCTGTCCCGAAACCTTCATATGCTCAAACTTCAACGCCTCGCTATCATGCAATTCGAATCCAAAATTCCACAACCCCCTCGCAGCTCCAATGCTGTACCTCTCACTGGGTTTATCCGGCTCACCGAACACCTGCTTCATCGTCTTCCTCCCAATATGCTGAATAACACTCGGCGTCAGCGCCCACCTCTCAAAATCCTCTTCGATCGCCCACGTCTCAACCGCCACATCCGCCGGACCGGGCGGCACGGACTCCAACCTCGCCACGAGCTTCGGCATGATGTCCTGCGAGAACACGAGGCCCTGCGCGCAGCAGCCGTAGTTGTTCATGAGGCTCACTCCTGGTGGTAGCGGTTGCATGCTGACGCGCCCAGCGAGGAAGTAGAGTATGATGCTGGCGGGGACGAAGCCGAGGCAGATCGTCGCGATGAAGGAGTTTGTGAGGTTCTTGCGCGCGGAGGGGGCGCGGTTGCGGATGATAAGGGCGAGGAGCGCGGGGATCGTCGCGAAGAAGATGCTCCATGCCAGGTATGTGGGCCACTCTTCCGAGTTCCATCCCAGGAACTTCTCGGTGTAGAAGAGGCGCAGGTAGACCCATGTCTTGTTCTCATCGTGCTTCTCCTTCACCTCCTCGAGGGCGCGGAGCGTGTGGTGGTACCACCCGTCTTGTGCCAGGACATCGTCTTCGACCATGGCGATCCAGGTTGCTCCAGTTTGGCGGCAGTGGTCGATCAGGTAGAGGAAGTCGAACATGAGTTTTTCGTTGAACTTGCGCTCCTTCTCCAGTTCCTTCAGGTGAGCCATCTGGGAATCAGAGACATTGTAGCTGAGCGGCGCGTCGAGCAGTCCAGACAGCCACGGCGCATTGAATAAGGGGTGGTCGGAGGGATTCGTGTGTGCGAACAAGACCGCGAAGTGAATGCTGTTCCGCTCCTCTGGTGTCAGATCCCGCACCAGCGATCCGACGGCTACCTGTACATATTGGTCTTCGGGCCTCTTCACACTCGACATGCCAATGCAGAGGGTGGGTTTATGGGCGGCATCGGTGCCGCCAAGGGTGTTTCGTGGCGGGCTCGGCGAGGTCGCCTCGGCAATGAGGAACTCGTTCACCTGCGATTGGCGCACGACGCTGTAGAAAGGGCGGTATCCCTCTATGGGGTCGAAGAAGAAGGAGCCAGGGTCGCGGTAGAATGTCTGGTGGCAGTAGACGATGGCGGCGAGGAAGAGCAGCGACAGGGCAGTGAAGGCGTTGATGTGCCACCGCGTGAAGGGGGAGTGATGCCTCACCGTCAGCCCGCCATTGGCGACGCGTGAGTACCCGCCGGATAAGAGCCCGCGGCCCCAGAACATAGCTGCGAAAGAGTTGATGTCTGGTTCTGGGATCTGGATATAATATCTTAGGGGCAAGGCAAGATTACTGAGGCCAAGAATTTAAAGGTGTCGCGCGCGGCCCAGCGTATACGAGTAGGTAAGCAGCGACACTAATCAACTACCTACCACCACCCCTTGGGTTGGTGCAACAGCCTTGTCTTTCATTTGGAACAGCGCCGAGCTACTTCCAAGGTAATTCCCCCAAAGAGGCAAATAAGAGTACTTGGCATGACTCTTTGGCACTCTTCCATTCGCTCACACCCCAGCATAGCTACGATTAAGTGGGCCTGGCTAATTATACACTGGTTATACATAATATAGCTCATTTTTGGCCGAATCTGGTAATTCTGTAAATTGAGAAGAGAGACATTTCTAATCTGTCACGTCTCGTCCCGACTTCAGTGTTCAAGATACCCATCATTTTTGTTGATCACCGACGGTCGGCCCCCGCAGTTTTCTGCTTTGTCAGGTGCAGATCCTGATTTGGGGGTTAAGGGGTCCATCACGGGACCACGCCGTTGACGGGCCAGGCACAGATTACACAGATGATGGTATCCAGAATGAACTCATTCGCATTCCAGCGTCCGTCCCTATATCTATAACTATATAAATTTCGCAATCATGGATATCATAAATCTCGACAAAACGCCCCTCCTCCATCCAGCCCACGCTAGTAATCAATCACTCATAGATCCTTTCATCCTCGTACATCCTGTCCCATCGAGGCCATTTTTCAGAAATACACACTGCGCTTCTTCTTGACCTTCTGCCTCCCTCCCTCCCCTTCAATTCCTATCCCAAGCAGTCTGCTCACACTCCCACTGCTACTCCCATGCGTCTGCGGATGGGACGTCCCCGAAGTGCTTCTTTTATTCTTCGTCGGCGGCGGAGCGGGAGCATTTGGACCAGACCACCACTAATCTCATTAGTTCCCGTCACCACGTAGTTTCATAAGAAAACGAGATGCCCTTACGTTATTCAAGGTCTGTGATGAAAACGGCCCCGTCTGCGCCGCATTAGCGCTCACTGGGCGCTGCACGGGCGAAGGCTGGGAGTGCGGCGCTGAGAAGTGCTGTGGGAGCTGCTGCATCGGTTGCGCTTGGTTATACAGATTCTGTCGATTCTGTTGCCCGCTGGTATAGCCCTGCGGCCGTGGAGGCATCGCAGGCCCCTGTATATATGAAACCGGGCGTGCTGGAAGCGGAGGTGCGAAGTGAACACTCGGCCTAGGACCGCCTTCGTCGCGCACGGGAGCAACGCCGTATTGCTTGCGCAAGCGCTCAGTCTCTTTTGCGACCTCTGCATCTCGGCGCGCCTGCTCTTTAGCTTCAACCTCGAGCATCTTCTTGATGCGCTTCTGCTCCTCGCGGTCGCGGCGGTCTCGCTCCTTCTGCTCGTCTCTGCTGCGGCGGTCGCGATCGCGCTCTTCAGACTCGACTTGTGCGCGTAGGCGGGCGGTTTCTTGGTCGATTTGCCATTGATCCAGAGGGCTCATGGAGGGGTTGTTGGAGGGAGGTGCGGCTTGAGTGCGTTGCGGGGGTGGGGCGTTGGATATTGGTGGTGGGAGGGAGTATGCGCCGAGGGCGGGGATGGGTGCTGCGGTTTGCCTTGCGCCGCTCATCACGGGTCCGGGTGCGGGTCCGCTGAATTTGCGGACTGGGGCGGCGACGGCTGGGGCGGCGACAGTGCCGATGTTGAACATTTCCTTTGAGGCTTCGAAGAAGATATCTTTTATGACAGTTGCGCCCAGTAGAATCACAACCTCGAGACCCTTCGTATCTTCGACATCCACGCGGTGCATGTTCGGCTCGTACATCGTCATCTCCTTGCCCTTCCTGAACATTGCAATAGTGATATCCGGCTCCTTGCTCTTCTTCCCATTTGTCGACTTCCCCGCCATGAAACAAGTAATATCCCTCGACAACTTCCCATCCTTCTTCCACTTAAACGTCACCTTAGGCGTCGCAATCGACGCCGCAGGATCATCCTGCTCCCTATCCAGCGACGACGCCGACGGCAACCTAAACGTCTGCTGCGGCATCTCAAACTCCCAATACGCCGACGAATTCCACGACCCCGCGATCTGCTTCACAGCCACCTGCTGATCGGGGTTATACAACTGTATCGTGAAGCTATTAGGCACGATCGGCACCGGCGGCGGGGTGAGCCCGTTATTCGCGCGGATCTCGGCCTGCGAGAGCGTCGGCTGCGTCCATTCTGGCTGCACGAGGACTTCGGCGTACAGCACGTCCGGGTTGTGCGAGTCGTAGAGGGCGACGGCGTAGCAGTTTCGCGCTTCGGGGGTTTGCTTGGGGTCGGGGCGGCGGAGGGTGTATTCGGGACTGAGTTCCTGGCCGCCTTGGCCTAGGTAGATTGTGCTTCGGAGGGGGTCGTCGGGGTTGGGCTTCATGAAGAAGGCGGGGAGGTTTTCGTCGAGCATCTTGGATGTTATGCTGCCTTGCAGCTAGTGCCGTGGGGGAGCTGTGGATGGTGTGGTGAGCTTCAACGAAGACATGCAATGTATGCAGAGATGATGGCCCTAGGTTATAAGCTTATATGGCCTATGTAAGCCCTTGAGAAATGCGATTTTGACTTGGTTGAAGAGTGGGGGGCGAGTACGTTGCAATTACGACGCCTCCGCGAGGCTCAGGACAAGGTGTATTGCTTATCAGCCTCACGGGTTGAGGCTGAGCCTTTTGAGTCCCGCAATTTTGTACCTCGGATTTATTTTTAGCAACACATTTGGTACAAAATGAGAGGGGCAACTGACGACGACACGTGAGGAACGTCAACAATGAGACAGAGACCACGAGGCACTGAGAAATGCAGCATGAATGTGGGGGAACGAAAAAATATAAACAGAATAATAGATCCTAAAAAAAGCCGCCAAGGTTGAATCCACCCATTAACCAGTGGGTTGGCAGCCATCTACCGGCTTTATAAGTTGCAATTTTCTCATCCTCCAAGAAGCGGATTTCTTGATCGACAAGTGATGAGCAGTTGTTACATAATACATATTTAATAAACTTAACTACATATACTTATCAAAATCTAATTCACTCTCAAGATTTAACGCTGTGCATCCGCTATGAGTAGTCCCCAGGAGCTACCCCATAGACAGATACTATGCTATATTCCCCCTCCACATCCCACCCTTCAATACACCACGTGTGTTATTACACTACTAGCCATAGCCCCATCCTCCACCCCTCAAAGCCTCAACTTCCTCGTCAACAACGTGCTCGGAATCCTCGAACTCTCCTTAATCTCGACCTCATCCCCCGGATGCGCCCTGAACACCACATCCGTCTCCGCACTCGGCATTCTCTGATGCTTCCCTCCCCCATACGCCTCAGGAACGGCCGGTACGTCCGGGACGCTGCTCCTCTCCTGGCTAGAGACACTAGAAGCGCCGCTATCTCCTTGGTTCTTCATCACTCGGTTCGTCTGCTGATTCACCCAGCTTGTTACGGTGCGGAACCTGGGCTCTGAGTCACGCGAAGTGGTCGTCGTGGCAGTATTGACAGTGTCTCTGTTTCTGTGGGTGCCGAGCGTTCGGGGCGTAGGTACGTTGGCCCATGAGAACCGTGGGCCTAGGTCCAGCCCGAGCGTTTGGTTGTTAGGCTTGGGTAAAACTTGGGCGGACTTGTTGCTAAGGTATGTTGTTGTTGGTCCTGATTCGGGGATATCAATTACAGCATCTCCAAATCCAGATGAGAGACTGGAGACCTCTGACATCCGGGGGTTCTTTCCATTGGCTTGACGGTACGCTGGTGGAAGGACGGGCATTGGAGGGGGATCATCCCTAGATGGCATGGGCTGTTGGCTCACAGCGATAGGCGCCGCATTTTGTATCAACGAGTTGCGCGAGTACGGTTGGCCCAGGCTTGGGTCTTTTTCATACTCGGCGGCTCTTAACTGGATCATGGGGTTGAAAAATGCCGAGAAGCCTCGCGAGTGGGTTTGAGTTTCAGAGGGGGCAGCTGTGCCAAAAACGCCGCTAGCATGATAAAGGGACTTTGAGGCATTACTCTGAGACTTGCGTTTGCTTCCGCAACAGTTGAAGCAGCCGAAGGCATCGGTCTTGCGGAGACGAAGCAGGATGTATACTACAAAGCTGAGTAAAAGCACGCCGCCTATAACATATTAGCTGGTGTTATGAATTGGATTGCGTCATCCTTACCGACAGCACCAAAAGCGATCAGGCCATTTGAGGCTTCAGGAGTAAGTGGTGATGGTTTGTTGTTGGCAGCGGCTGAAGCTATCGTAGTTTGGCCACCAGTCTGAGAGACTGGGGTGACGTTGCTTGGCAAGTTCCGCACAGCAGTAGGATCCAAGACGGCTGATAACGTCGAGAGAGGGGTGCCAGAGATTGTTGTGAAGGCGACCAACCGAGACTCGGTAGCGTCATCTTCATAATCTGAATCGAGATCATCGTCGGACTCTACGCCGGAGTCAATGCCATCGTCGGAGTCTGAATCGGAGCCAGGATCAGATGAGACAATAGAGTCAACAGCCTGACCCTGGGCCTTCTGCCCGGCAGCACCTGTGGCTTGGCTGTTACCGAGACTGACGCGGTCTGCACTCTGCAATTGTGCTGTAGGTGTTGGAAAGGCCATGGTAAATTCTGGGTTAAACCTTGTCAGTTGTCCTGCATTACTAGGTGTAGGAGTAGCAGCGGCTTCTGCTGAAAGTACTCCGGTAGTTCCTGCCACTGCCACTACTGGCGGAGCTGATGATGCTGGTGCGTCAGGCGATTTACTAGTATGTTCCGTTGGCGTTGTGGTAATGATAGCTGGCCTACTCGTTTCAACGGCGTCAGGCGATGGTTTGTTCGACGTAATAGCACCGGCCTCTGGTTCGCTCGCCGTGGTGGCGACAGGAGTCGACTTGCTTTCTACCTCGGCGGCATTGGTTTTCTCGGGAGCTGCAACGGCGGTAGAACTCTGGCCACCACCAAGGATTGGATCGAGGGCACTGTCAATCACAGAACTAACCCCAGCTATCGCATCGCCTAGTATCCCTCTCTCCGTCGCTGCGGGAGCATTGTCACTATTCGAACCGCTGATCGCTCCAGCAGCACTGCCAACCGCAGAACCAACTCCAGCTATCGCATCACCTAATATCCCTCTCTCCGTTGCTGCGGGAGCACTGCCACTGTCCGAGGCGCTGCTCACTTCACCAGTGCTGGCACTATCCAAATCGACCACAGCAGGTTCCTGTCGAGGCGATAGTCGTCGACCTCGCCTTAATTTCGAGTCTCTAGATGTGTTCGGAGCCCTCTCTGGCTGAAAATCCCGCAGTGCCCTTCGTTCTGCCCTTTGTTCCCTCACGCCCCGTTTGGTCGATGGCGGAGAAACCGGGGGTAGCGGTGTCGAGAAAACAGCACCGAAATGGTTGAATGGAGCCATGGCTTATGCCTTCTACCGAGCTTGATAGACAATCGCTTCAAAGTCGTAACATAGAATATACTGATTCGGAAAGAGAGGCAGGTCGAAGGTCGGACGTAGAGTATTCGTAAACAAACAAAAGAACCAATTGAGAATTGAAAAAATGTCGAATGAACCAGCCAAACTACAGAAAATGAAAAGAAATGAAAGTGTCGTATGTGCCAGCCATACTACGAAAGGATGAAGAACTTGAGATCATGAGGATATCAACAAGATATGGATGGGCATCGGGTAGACACATGATTCCGCGATCTTGGCATGACAGGAAACCCCAGACTTCAGGAGCAAACTGCCGCACAAATGCAACGGGATCCTTCCCTTTGACGCTGAGATCAAGAAGCCATAGAACTGAGTGGAGATCAGGAGCTGTGATCAACCCCGAGAACGCCTCGTGTGCCCAAGCTTGCGACAGCGATATACATGCGAACTCACCAGAAACACGGCGGGGAGGAAGTAACGCTTGAGAGAATCCACACAAGCTGATGCATTATCAAGCGGACCTTACTGGGATATTGGGCTATGCCAATGCGCCTAGGAGGTATCTTGACTGCAATTGGAAGAGATCGCAATGCGGTTGTGTTGCGCGCTCGTCCTGAGGCGTTTCAGTTCCGTCTCAAGCGGATGAATTGTCGTAGTTCGTGTTTTGAAGTCGGCAGGCGGGTCTTGGCGTTTTGCGGGCCGAGAACCGATGCCAGCTACCAGCCAACCTACCACTTGTGCACATCCTGGCATTCCCATCCTATCCTGGCATAGACCAATAAGTTAGGGTAATATAGCCAGAGAGAGTCTATCAAAAGCCATCATGCCGGTTGTTGTGAGTCCCATGAGAGAGGAGGATATCGATGGCGGTATAAGGACGATTCAAGAAGCGTTCGCAAATGACCCATATAATTTATGGATTTTTAACGATCGATCCAAGGTAAGTTGCGTTTGCCCTTGTTTCATGAGGAACACACGGTATAAAGAGTAAACCGGAGAAGTTTCAATTTTAATTACACGTCCCAAACAAAAATCCGAGTTCTATTCTAAGCATCTATTTGGCAAACGAGTTCGTTGTTGGCGCCGCTAACAACCAAACAGATTGATTTGAATCGCAACCGTGTATCTCTTCGCATCCGCTGTCTATGGGGTCTACGTAATGCCTTGTTCCATGTGGCCAAGGAGGAGGGCTCAGATAAAGTCCTTGGGATTGCTATGTGGATGCCGCCCAGGGCGACTAACAAGCCATTGACGTGGGGCGAGTGGTTCTGGAATGGCTTCGAGGATTGGCGGCTCTGGGGAAACCAGGTGGCGATGAACCTGCAGTATGGGCGAGGAGGGTTGAACGTCAAGGTAAGAACGATGGCTCCACCATGTGAGAATGTAATTGACTCTGTTAGCGATACTATATCTGGAAAGCACGTCAAGCGGAAGCCCATAAGGAGGTTTGGACGGACCCGAAAGGCTACTATTTTCTGAACATCATCAGCGTTCTACCCGAAGCACAAGGAAAGGGTGTCGGAAGGGCCTTGTTCAACGAGGTCACCAAGAAGGCAGATGCGGAAGGTATCAAATGCTATTTGGAAAGTAGTCGGGACGAGCCGAATACCAAGATCTACGAGGCGATGGGGTTCAAGTTCGTCAGGGGTATGGACTGCGACGATGACGGGGAGGTTTGCAAGCTCTACTGCATGGTTCGGGAACCGAAGGTGATAGCATGAGCCAGGCAGCTGAGACTGCCCAACGAGAATCCCGAGATGGTGTGGTTGCAAAGCCCGAAGCTTGCATCACTCGATGATGGCTGCTGATGCCTGAGATGGAGGACAAAGTAGCTTCAATACTGGTCAGCATTCAAGCATTTGAGAAAGCGTCTTGGCTATCGGAACCGTGTATTCCCATAGCCAAGACGCTTTCTCAAATGCTTGAAGAACCATCTATTCCTGGTGAAAGGTGGGATTGTGAGAATCTTAGGAATCTGAGTCACGCTGGTAGAGACATGATAGTACACCAAGCAAGGGAACAATAAGAAATGAATAATGAGACGGTTCTAACACGTGTGACAGCTTGAGCTCTGAAGTCTCACTTGTGTCCCATTTCACATGGGAAGCACGAGGCTTGATTGATATAAACGCGTGAAACCGGCTTAGGCGTCAAGAATTCTCCGATATCATCCGCATTCTGCGTGCCTCGGTCTCGGTGCCGTGACAGCCATGTCAAATGTCCACAAGGCTGAACTAAAAGATCCCTGTGGGGCGGGACGAGAGGGGGTCGGCGACAGGAATATGGTTGTTGCCCCTATTTATCATTGTATGCTCCTATTGCGAGAGCTCTGTTTGTGACCTCAGAATGAAGCTGAAGAGGAATTCGAACACGGCCGCACGTGGGTACTGTACCGTATACCGCAAGATAGACAAAGCCAATGCCCCCACATGGCTCTCGGACTAGAGTAAAGGAGAGAGAATCGTAGCTGCCGCTCCTCCGAAATCGCCGTCGCGTCATGTACAGTGTACTGTACATCAATCCTGACACTAGTTTTGCTAGTTTGCTAGCTCCCACATCTATAATAGGGCCGGCGAAACCTCTGTGAATACGGTATGAATAATTGAAAAGGGACCAAGCCTTGGTCTCCCATTATTATAAGTCATATAAGTCACGAAATGCCTCTTGAGGAGCTGAAGATGGTAAGTGACAAGCAGATAAACTCGACAAAAATATTGGCATTATATATTTCCCCCCTTGCAACCGGCCGCAAAAAAGAAAAAAATCTTATTATCAGTTGTGACTCGCAAAAAAGTGAGATATCTTATCAGTTGAAAATCGCAAAAGATCCCTGCACCTAAATTTAAAAACCGCGCTATGTCATCACCTTTGCTCATCCATTCACAAAGCGGCCGCCTCGCATAAGGTTCCAGGCGCAAAAACAAAAATTGCTGAGAATTCCCCATAGGCCCCCCCTCCCTCTCCGACTCCGCCCTTTCTCTCTGACTCTCACCTTTCCTCTGGCACGCATTGCCAACTCTCGAAGCAATGGCTTCATCAATCAGAGCTTCAACGATGCTTCAGTCGCCCTCAATTGGGCTCCAGAGCGTTGCTCGTCGCTCATTCGCCACTCTGCCACGTGCGAGACCAAGCACCAGCTTCGTCAATGCGAGCAGACTGCAGCAGTCGTCGCGCAGAGGCTATGCGGACATCAAGCCTGTTGAGCCGGTGAAGCCTCGCCGCAAGTTCAGAACCCTCAGGTGGATGTGGAGAGCGACCTACCTCTCTCTCATCGGAGGTGTAGCTTACATGGGATACGGCATCTACGAACTGCGTCATCCTATGGAGCAGCCAATTCCCGATCCAAACAAGCAGAACCTCGTTATCCTAGGTAAGACCTGAAGCCCTCCGTACCCACGATAGCTTCCATCGATCGAGAATCTAATCAATTGCTGCAGGTACCGGATGGGGCGCGGTGTCGCTGCTCAAGAAGCTCAACACTGAGAACTACAACGTCATTGTAGTCTCTCCTCGCAACTACTTCCTCTTCACACCCCTTCTGCCATCATGCACGACCGGCACCATCGAGCACAGGTCCATCATGGAGCCGATCCGTTCCATTCTGAGACACAAGAAGGCCGCCGTTACTTTCTACGAAGCTGAGGCCTCGCACATCGACCCAGTCCGCAAGACCGTCAGCATCGCCGATAACTCTGAGATCAAGGGCACCTCTGCTAAGACCGAGGTCTCCTACGACAAGCTCGTCATCGCCGTTGGCGCCGAGAATGCCACCTTCGGCATCCAGGGTGTCACTGAGCACTCCTGCTTCCTAAAGGAGGTCGGTGATGCCCAGCGCATCCGCACCAAGATCATGGATTGCATCGAGACCGCTACATTCAAGGACCAATCGCCCGAAGAAATCAAGCGTCTCCTCCACATGGTCGTCGTCGGCGGTGGCCCAACCGGTGTCGAATTCGCCGGCGAGCTCCAAGACTTCTTCGACCAAGACATCCGCAAATGGGTCCCCGAGATCAGCGACAAGTTCAAGGTCACTCTTATCGAGGCCCTCCCCAACGTTCTCCCTTCCTTCTCCAAGCAGCTGATCGAGTACACGGAATCGACCTTCAAGGAGGAGAAAATCACCATCATGACCAAGACCGCCGTCAAGAAAGTCACCGAGAACACCGTCGAAGCCGAAGAGACCGGCCCCGACGGCAAGAAGACCACCACCATCCTCCCCTACGGCCTCCTCGTCTGGGCCACCGGTAACGCCGTCCGCCCCATCGTCCGCGACCTCATGTCCCAGATCCCCGCGCAGAAGGACTCCCGCCGCGGCCTCGCCGTCAACGAGTACCTCGCCGTCCAGGGAACCTCCGACATCTGGGCCACCGGCGACTGCGCCGTCGCGGGTTACGCCCCCACTGCGCAGGTTGCCGCGCAGGAGGGCGCTTTCCTCGCGCGTCTGTTCAATACCATGGCTAAGACTGAGCACCTCGAGAATCGCATTGATGAGCTCTCCACCTCGTTGAATGTTACTCGCACCGATGCGCCGGTTGTTGCTACCGAGCTCGAGGACCTCCAGAAGAGTCTCCGTCGTATCAAGGATATCAAGCCGTTCCACTACTCGCACCAGGGATCGTTGGCGTATATTGGAAGTGATCGCGCGGTCGCGGATGTGACGTGGTTTAATGGAAACTTTGCCTCGGGTGGAAGCCTCACGTATCTCTTCTGGCGCAGCGCGTATCTGAGTATGTGCTTTAGCAGTGAGTAACCCCCCTCCCCTTACATATCTCGCAGACAGAAATCTAACATCCATCCTCTAGCACGTAACCGCGTCCTCGTCGTCGTAGACTGGCTCAAATCGAAGGCCTTCGGCCGCGACGTGTCTCGCGAGTAAATCAAACAAATCCGCCGCATGTAAAACAATTTAACAGGCTGGATCCGGGACCGGTGGGTATAGACTGGGGATGGTGAACGGGCGACAATTTTTCTTTTCCTAATTACGACTCTTGGGATAGACGGGGTTTTTGTTTTTGTTTTGGACTTGCGGTTTTGAGTAATCTTGTACGATGGTGGGAGGAGGAAGGGGGGGTTGTGTGCGGGGGAATAGAGCCCGAAGCTACGCTTTCGGACCCAGTGGTGTGAAGAAGGGCGGGGACCGGGGTGGTGAGGGAAGGGGGATTCGGGGTATGTGATGAGGGTGCACATACGGAGCACGCGTGATAGAGAGAGGGGGTGAAGGGCAGACGCAGTGGTTATATAGTTGGACTATCTAGAACAGCGCGGCAGCAATGTATACCTCTGAACCAAACACACATACATGAAGCAATCATCACACAATCTGACCATCTCATGGTTTCAGAGACAGAGAGGGAAGCCAAAAAGGGTTTGACAATCACACAATCTGACCATCCCATGCATTCACAAACACGACGAGACACCCCAAACCAGTGTTGAGTAGCAAAAATAATCCAAGTGCAAAGATCCTCAGATTCGCATCTTCTTATCTATTTTCGCCCTGCACCAAACACACCATTCTTCCTCCCCCCTTTCCCCATCGTTATTCCCCCCCGTCGGGTTGAGGTCCCCCCCCATCCTCTCTCCCTCTGCCATTCTGGTAAAAAGCCCACACACGCACGCAAAAGCAAACCCCTCCAGGTCTCGTTCCTTATTTACATGCCTAAAAGCAGAGAAAGAAACAAAGCCTACGCCTTCGGTCTCCAGCATATCCCCGTTCCAGTCGTACCAAATATATGTACCCAAAACCCCCCCTCCATCGCCCACGCTCCAGACCAGTCCAGTCTCCCAGACACAGCACACAAGTAGAAAATTAAACCTCCTCAAAAGAACCACCAGTCCTAATAATTATGTCTTTTTAATAGAGAAAAAAAACCGCACGGAGAACAATTTGGGTAGAAAAGGAACAGAAAAGGCAAATGTGCAGGTCGCAAAACCCCGTTATAGCTCAGATAGCAAAGGAGGAAGGGGGCTGGGAAACGGCCAAACATGTACAAATCCCCTCGGCCCAAGTGAAGAAAGGCAAATAGAGCACGCCGTCGCAAAACAAACACGCTTGATGCTGAAATGACTCAGAAGGAACTCAAGAAGAAGAAGAAGAAGACGGTGCGAATTTCAACTTTTATAGTATGAAAAAGCCCAAAAGCACAAACAGAAAATGAGGTGAGGGCGAAAAGCAAAACAAGGGACACAAAAAAGTAGGGGCCGCCGTTTGAATGAGTAGGGCGAGACGAAAGAGTAATTAAGGCGACCCCAGTAAAGTTAATTAAGGGTGTGAGGAATAATGCGTGTTCGCTGATGCTCGATTTCCGTAGAAGAAGAGCGTGTTGTTTTTGCCGTGACATTCGTTAATGTTGCGCTGCAGGACGTTTTATGCGTCATTCGGAAAGAAAGGAAGTGGGTGTCGAGGGGTGTGTGGGAGTGAGCGAGTGTCCCTCTCGGTGTTGTGTTGTGGGTTTGGCTCATGTGAGCTATCGACATTGAGGACGATGGGAGAAAACGAGCGATTGACTCCGACCCAACCACCAAAGCCACGCAGCCGTGGTGGTAGACGAAGCTTGCCCTGTCTTCGTCAAACGTATAACCCCCTCAAGGAGGCGACCCCGGCGGAATCCCATCATGCGTACTCCTCCTCACCAAAAACGCCTCCCCCCTAAACGGCCCCCTAATCCGTTCCGTCGCCGCCGCCGCCCCCCCAAGCAGGGGTCTCCCCTCCTCCACATCAGCCTCAGTCTCCGCCTCCGCCCCCTCATGCGCCGTATCATTATCCGACGTCTCCTCGCTGCCTAGACCATCACAGCTCCCCGGTCTCGCGAGGGCCTGTTCACGCAGCACCGCAGCGCGATCGCTCAGTAGACGCGCTTCCTCTGCTGCACGCTCGGCGCGGATCTGTTTGCGCCACATGTTGTAGTAGCGGCCCTTTTTGGCGAGGAGTTGGTCGTGGGTGCCGCGCTCGTAGACGGAACCTTCGTGGAGGACGAGGATTTGGTCTGCGCTTGTGATGGTGGAGAGGCGGTGACTATATCAAATATCAAATTAGTAAGGGTGCTCATGTGGACAATAATGGGGAGGGATTATGGTGGTGCTTACGCTATGACAAGCATTGTGCGACCGACGGATAGGCGCTTGAGTGCTTCCTGGATGTGTTGTTCGGTCTCTGAATCCAGCGCTGCTGTTGCCTCGTCGAGCATGATGATGCGGGGGTTCTTGAGGATGGTGCGGGCGATGGCGACGCGCTGCTTTTCGCCGCCGCTGAGACGGAGGCCGCGCTCGCCGACTTTGGTGTCGTAGGCGTCGGGGAAGGAGAGGATCTTGTCGTGGATACTGGCTGCTCGGCAGGCATTGAAGATGTCCTCGTCGGTGGCGTTTTGGTTCGCGTAGCGCAGGTTGTACATGATTGTCTCGTTGAAGAGGACTGTATCTTGCGGCACGACTCCGATGTGGCTTCGTAGAGACTTGATGGTCAGGTTTTGGACGTCGTGGTTGTCGAGTAGAATTCTACCGGCCTGTTCGTTGTAAAAGCGGAACAGAAGGCGGAAAATTGTCGATTTCCCACCACCAGACTCACCGACCAGTGCAGTTGTCGTACCCGGCGGACAATCAAAGGTAAGGTCCTGCAATGCGGGTTTCCGCTGGTCGTAAGAGAATTTGACGCCCTCAAAGGTAATCCGTCCCTCGCACTTGTTCAGATCGCGTGCACCAGGGTGGTCCGTAACAGTCGGCTGCTCTTTGAAGAGCTCCAAAAGGCGCTCTCCATTGATCATGGCGCTCTGCACATTCTTGTAAAACGTGCCGAAGAAGTTCAACGGCTGCTGCAGCTGGGCCATGTAGGTGATAAGCGAGACGAACTCTCCGACGCGACGAAGTCCTGAAGTGACTTGGTACGCAGCGATGAGGGACACAACCAGTAATCCGAGCATGAAGATCATGTTCTGGACGATATTCATGACGCTCAAAGAGAGAGTAACCTGATATTCCTCGTTCTGGAAGTTTTGGACAGCCTTTCTGTACCTGTTCGACTCGTACTCCTCAGCACCAAAGTATTTCACCGTCTCATATGACTGGATCGAATCGTTCTTAACTGCATCCTCCTCTCTGTCCGCATTGATCATCCGTCTCCGCTGCTCCGCACGCAGCTGCGCGAGGCGAACAGTCGCGTAGAGGTACCAGAAGGTGACGACGCTGAGAGTGAGAGAGTAGTAAATATCGAATTTGATCGAAAAGTAGATGATGGCAAGTACCAAGTCGATGAGCATCGGCAGAACCTGGAAAGTGATCTGCTCCAGGAACGTGTTAATCGCAGCACCCTTGCTGAGCGCCGATAGGACCTCTCCAGTGCGCTTCCCCAGGTGAAAGTCCAAGCTTAGTCCATGGACGTGCTCAAACGAGGAAGTAGACAGCGCTTGGTAAGAGTACTGGGAGACTGGAATCCAGAGCACAGCTCTCCCGGCCGCAAGGAGTCCAGACGTCCCCTGGAAAACCTTGTACACGATGAGCAGAGAAATGGCCAACCACGGCATTGACGGGCCTGTAGGTCCGCCCTTCAGCATCTGGAGAATACCCTCCTCTTCCGGCTCATCTTCGGACAGCAAGTCTGTCACATTGCCCATCTGTATTGGGACCAGGACATTGACCAGGCGCTGTAGCAGCACCAGGACAAAACAGACAACCACTGTGATCTGGAGCCTCAATGACTTGTTCGGCCACAGATATGGGAAGAATAGCGAGTATCCACGCAGGTATTCCCACCAGCTCCTCGAGGGCGCAGTCGTGGGTCTGTAAAATGCCGCCGAATCGGTAGGACCTGCCGGGCCCTGACCATGTCCATTCATAGCAGCGTCACCGTTTACAGCAGCGTGCCCATTCATGGTAGTAGCACCATACGCCGACTCCCCGGGCGAATGCCCTCCGTTCTCGTGTTCCGTGTTTCCATTCTCTACGTGAACATCACCGCTGACGGTGTGTCCATTGAGCAAGGGCGTTCGCTCGTCCCGCGCCGCAGCGCGCTCGCGAGAGGTCCTTCTTTTACTGGGCGAGGATGACTGCTGATACGAGAAGAACGCGTAGAAAGCCACGCAGAGCACCAGGAAGAGGACCCTAGCCGCATCACAGAGGACCTCGACAATCTCCCATTGATTTGGAACCTCTAATATAGGCGTATCTGGGTTCAAAGAATTTATTTCGCGGTGCGGCGACGTGATATACACCATTGTAGCCCCAATGAGCACAAGCTCCCCGACCAACGCAACACTCCATGTTATCAAATGAACGACACTCGGAGACGGATGTGTATCGACCAGCGAAATGAGAAAGAGCGAGTAGAGAAACGCCGCGCCGATCACGTATGCCTGCGAACCCCCCAAATTAGCCCGAGTTCACCACACGGCAGAGTTAAGGAGAGGAGAGAGGAGAGAGGTCGTGTGAACATACCGCAGGCGCCTCACCACACCACCAGCCCTCCTTGCGCTCTGAGACGGCGTGCACCACGATATTAACAATATTCCCGACAAAGGTGCCAATCAGGCCCACGGACAGCCAGCAGAAGAGCAGGCTGCGGGTCTTGCCAAACCCATCGTTCGTCGGCACCGGGGGGCTATTGCTGGGCGGTCTCGAGGTTGGCGGTAGGGGCTTGCCTCCTGGGCCCGTGAGGGTAGATCGAGAAGTGACAGACTGGTTGCTGGGCGAGGAAATGATGCTGTGCGCAACGAATGCAGTCAGGAAGACCACCAGCAGCACCAATGGGTATGCGTATTGGACGTAGTGAAGGATCCAATAGGCGGTGCCAGGTGAAGAGGGGGAGCTCGCCATGGCGGGAATTGGCTCTGAAGAAGAATCCATGGCGGGTATATTTTTGTTGGGTTTCCTCCCGAGATCGAACTCCCTCCGCTTGCGATCCGAATTATGATTATTACCGGTTCTGGTATTCACTCATGCCTGCCTGCGGGTGCGGGCGGTTGGACTGGAGTTATATGGGAATTGTTTTCCAGGTAGTAGGGTAGGTAGGGTAGGTAGGGTATACCGTGTGGACGGGTGGCGAAGCTGTCGTATGTATGTATGTATGTACGGAGTATGTACGGAGTAGTATGTACGTGGGGTTGCCACTACGGCGGCAAAATTGGTCTTAGTCGAGCGGCCCAGATCGCACAACTCGAGTCAGGTGCTTCGGTATCTGACAGTTTTGAGGAGGGACTATGATCAAAAATAGAAGTTGGTGCGTAGAAAATTCGGGGGAAAGTGCGAAAGACCGTAATTATCTGGTCGTGCAGAAAAAGGGCAGCGACAGGTATTGTATGTATGATAACGAGTTTCCCGAAGTTCGGATTAGTTGTGATTGGTATTTGGGGGGGAGGGGGGAGATGGATGGGGAATTTGACGTGGGAAGAGAGACCCCAAAAAAATCCCCGGGGATGGCGTAACTCTTCGTGGGGTTTATTTATTTAGTATAGGCCAGTATGGACCAGTATGAGCCCAGTAATGGATCAATAATAGAGTAGTAGGTAAGTCCTGAATGCGGAGCAGTTTTTGTTGTGTTTTTGATAGGGTCTGTCTGATACGCAAGAAGGTCTCTTATTCCACCGCCAGAGAGAGAGAGAGAGAGAGAGGGGGGGAGGGTGGAGAAGAGTGATGCAATGGCTGGCTGGCACCGGCAATGGAATGGGTTATTGACTGTTTCTTTTTAATTGACCTGTTGAAAAAGAATGCGGTTATTGTGGTGGTGGTATAGTGGTATAGTAGTTGGTCTTGATGGCTTGGATAGCTTGGGATGGGCTTGGACAGTTTTGTGAACTCCCATGCTAACCAAATTAACTAACTACTGGCTGCATATGCGGCATCGCATTTTTTGATGCAGCTACTCACGCACCACAGTACCACCCACTTCTAACTAAGCATTCTCCGGGGGGGCGGTCTAGAGCAGCAAAAATTGGACTGGAGGCTGTCTGGGAGTCCTATTCGCTGCTAACATTTCTTAGCTGGTGTAGGTGGTTTAGCTGGTGTAGCTGGCGAGACACTTTGATGTTTACTGTTGATGCATTCGCCGCTGCATTCTGGTACTCTACGGCTGGTGCTGGCTTGCATGCTGGCTTGCATGTAAAGTACATACAAATACGTACGAACGGTGTAGTGCAGTGCAGTATACAACAGTTGGGTAACTGTGTCTGGATCTCTATCTGTATCCCCGGCCGGGAGGATTAATCTAATATCCGTCGTCGCCTCGTCTTGTCGCATTGATGGGCACAGTCGCACCTATTATACTGTTACTCTACTACTACCCTACCAACAAATTATTATCCCGAGCAACCTCCTGTCAGCTGTAGACGTCGTCTGAGCCTTCATTATTCCCATTATTCCCATTAATCCCATCAAGTATACACATACATCATACATACATAATATACACATACACACATACACACATACACACACACACACATACACACATCCTTACCTAACCAACTACAACCACACACCATCAACTCCCCTCCATACGAGCTCCTCTACGAGTAAGGTAAGTAAGTCCCTCCATCCCCTTCCATCCGGCCTAGTCCAGCCCATCCCAACATCTCAAAGAGGCAAGCATCCCCCTCCTATATTGACAGACCAAAAAAAGCCGTAATCATAGTGTGAGCCCAGTGTGAGCCCAGTATGAGCCATTCGTCCCTACCATTCGTCCCTGCCATCCACGATCGCCAACCCCAAGAACAGGCAAGACAGACCGTCCCATCACCCCATCCCCCTCACCCTCACTCACAGGTCACCCGGTCACCCCCCGCCGTGTTTCCAAGCCGCTTGGTGTGAGATGCGCTGGGCACAAGACAAGATGTCGGTAACCAACGCCCGGATTCTACCCTCCCCTATGAATGACCAGCCAAGCTGTTTTTACCACCAGCCACTTACTAGTCCCGTTACTCACTCACTCCTCCCTTGAGATCGACGCCTCTCGACGCTCTAGGAGGAGGAGGGGGGGGAGGGTGCAAGCTAAATCCGCCCGGGTCGTCCCTTCCAAGGCCCCGCGGTACCATTCGATTCAGCTTCAAGGGATGGATGGGTGGGCTGGTTCAGTTGGTCAGGGTATATGTGGGAGTGGGCGGGCGGGCAGCCTGTGTAGAGACCACTCACTCACTACCGAACCCATCTTATTCGAGCCAACGTGATGGATGGGGATCTTCCTTTCCCAATCCTTTTCGATTATTCAACTAATCTAGCCTCCGCGGAGTACATACTACAGTATGTACCCCAGCTCAGTCGGGTATGTCAATATAGATGGTCTGAAAATGATTAAGACTGCCGTATCGCACTATCCTACTCTGCCATAGTAGTCTACAGCAGTAGTGGACGGTAAGTGCGTACGCGTGGAGTGCTTCTAATGCTCTAGTACCGTACCGTACCGTGCTGTGCTGCTCTGATGTGTGATGATGATGCTCCTTCCCTCACGCCTTCGTCGCATATCTCCAGTCGCGCACAATCGAGGCTCCCTCCCACGCACCATCGCGCATCCTGTCCGTACGCCGTACGCAGATGTACAGTGCAGGTTAATGAACGCCTCTGACACCATCACCCAAACTTCCCGCATCGCATCACCTCGGCCTGATGCACAGTCTGCAGTCCGTCTAGCTGCAGTCTCACATTCGAAGCACCGCACGCGGCCCAAACTCCTCCCACATGCTCAGTTTTTCTCAAACACTCACCGTCTTTTCTCTCGATCGGTGTAGGTAGGGGCCGCGGAACAATATACCGCCCGCCCCCCCTGCTACTCCGACTCCCGCTCCGGCGTGCATATGGGAGGATGAGATAACTCCGCAGTAGTGAGGAACCTAACTTAGGTCATGTCTACCATCTTACCACCCTGTTGGGGAGGATGTATTACCAAAGGTACAGGAGAGTGCGTGTGTGCGTGTGCGTCCATACAAGTAACATGCCTGTCAGCTTGCAGCTACTTACTTACCTTACTTTGCTATTACCAGAGAGCCAACGGGGTTAGTGAGAGTATCAGCCTGCATTGTCCGGGGCTAGACTGGCTCAGGTTCCGGCCGTTTACAAGGGTTTCATCTCCGCTTCATCCCCGGACCTATGCCATGCCATCTCACAGAACCTCGAAGCTTTGTCAAACCACGGAAGAGGATATATTGACCATCCCAACGGACGTCGTCTGATGATCAAACTCCTCTCGGAATTGTAACTCGAAAGTCGACGGTAAGCTGCTCATGCCATCAGCCTTTCCCCCTTCCCCGAGCACCAATTCCTCAGCAGCGGCTTCCAATGTTTGCCTTTCCGCCAATGGATGCCGCTGCTGTAGTGTGCCCTTGACTCTCTCCCTCTTACCTTCCCGTGGCCGCTCTCGCACCACGTATCTCATATTTCCGCGAGAGCGTGTCCACAGTTGATCACACCGGTAAGTTACAGCAGCTGAGCAAATACCGGCTGCACGTCCTTCCCTTCCGCCTGAGCCACAAAGAATACGTGTTCGATTGACAGACGATGACCGTGGCCAGGAACATGGATTTCGGGCCGTACCGTTGGCAACTGGGCGCTTGAGACGAAAGCAGCAGCTCGGTTCCCCCCCCAGCCCCAGGGAAGGTCCACGGTCGTCTACCAGACTTTTCGATCACTCACCGCCACCAACCTCCCCCCCTCTCCGGCTTTTTGTGGTAGGCCAAGGGATGCAGGACAAATAGGCGGGAGCGGGTAGGAGGGAGAGACGTGTTCGATTCCCGAGGTGATAGGATGGGCGGGGTTTGTATTTGGAAAAGTGACAGAGTGTTCATTTTCTCGTTGTCCGGCGTTGTCTCGCCCGAGCTTCGACCGACGTCGTGCGTGCGAGCGCCGATGATGAATAATCTGGGGATGCCGTTCAGGGCCGCTGAGATGGAGGGCTGCTGGGACGACTGCTCGGTGACGACACTGGGTCTGTCTCTATATATATAGCTATGTGCGACCGGTTTATGGGACCTGTAGAAGCGTACGGCCACGTGGGGGGAGAGCTGCAACAGTCCCAGAAGAGTGGAAGGTGCATTGATGGGCGCAAAAAGATTCGTTCTGGTGATGGAAGCTTATCATTATGGAAGGGTTATCCCAAGGCTCGTGGGGGCTCAGCCTTGTGTGTCACGTGATGTCGATTTGGGGGTATATTGCAATCGGAGGTCAACCTTCTGTGTAAGGTCTATTGATCATTCTTGAACTAAGATCGGGGCTCGTATACTTTGTAGTAGTAGATGCTACCTTCTGTTATGCAGTACTTTGAAAATTCTCTTTGAGGTTTTATTTTAAACTCATATGGTTGGCGAATATGAATCGATTATATTTCCGGTAATGAAATAATAAAATAATTATTTCCCTCCCACATTATCGAATCAATTACCATTCTTCAATATCCAATCCTTCAATATCTAAACCATCACATGGATATTCATATCCATCTCAACATAACCTCAGTCCTTACTACGGCTCCTCGCTCCTCGCACCTTCCCCCCATCTCCCACACCTCCGCGGATCTTCCCGCCCCCATCAATCGCCACTGCCAACCAACTCACCCAACGCCGCAGCCTAACGGCAAGGCTGAAGAACTTCCCAAATTTAACCCATCTCTCAACCTACCCACTCAGTCCCCCCCAATTCCAAAGCGACAATGCTGCGACGATAACACCCATAAATACTGGCAAACCGCTGTTTTACGTTGATATTATAATTGCAGTTTGCATAGCGAGGAGATATTGAGTTTGGTATGTAAGTCACCCGGCCGCTGTAACTGTGGGTGAATTGGAAGAGTGAGATACTGACGCCTTCGCAGCTACTTCCCCTCACCAAGCCGAATATACAATTGCCCAGCCAGCCTCCTCAGAATCCGAATACCCCCCAAAAAGACACTGGAGTTCGGAGATTTTGCTATACACGAAGAGTCGAAAGCGGGGGCTTGTAATAGCTCGTTTTTTATACACGATGTCACAACCGTCACCAACAGGCGTGGTGATCCCAAAGACGCCCGCTGCTGCTGACGCTGCAAACTCAGAGTTGAGGTCGGAGATTAACGCTCAGCTTATTAAGGATGGGCATATTGAACGGTACGTCTCGCTCCCCCTTCCCCCCCCCCCCCCCCCAACCGACCCCCAATGACATAACCCCCCCCGCGCACCCTCCCCAACTACCACCCACCCACTAACACCCAACAGCATCCACAACCACCTAAAACACATCCTCTCCTCCGACGCCTCCGACTGGCCCACCCGCATCCAACAACACGCTCTCGCGCTGCTCCGCTCCCCAGACTCAGAATGCGACACCTTCCCAAGGCTGATGGAGCGGGTGATGGCGGATATTAGGGAGGATACTAATGCGGCGCGACGGGAGGCGGGGGCGAGGAAGAGGGCCGAGGAGAGGGGGGAGGTTTATACTGGGAGAGGGGAAGGGGGGGATATGAGGGATACGAGGGATAGGAGGGGGGAGAGGGAGACAGGGGGGTTGGAGATTCCGGGGGTGGTGATGCAGGAGGGGGTGAGGATTACGAGGGAGTGTTTGGAGATGGTTGTTGAGGTTAGGCCTTGATTTTGGGAGGGTTGACGAGGGAGGATTAATTGGGGAGATGGGGACAGGAAGGATAATTGAAGATGGGAGAAAGAGGTTAAAAGAGAGCTGATGGAGAGGGGAAGGAGGCATGGGGGCCGGATAGAAGTATGCATTTGGGAAATCGGCGTTTTTGGATATCGATTACTACTACTACTACTACTACTACTACTGATGGGAGGGGCGTTTCGGATACGCAGCATTATCATCACTTTCCTGGCGGAACGCATAGGTTTCGCTGGATGTTAAATAAATAAATACACAGGACGGGTGCAAAACATATATTTTTTCGGGAAGGGCGTGTGAGTGTTATGAATGTGATTGTGGGGAGGTCGGAAGGGAATTTTTGGGAGATGATTGGACTTGATTGTGGTGTTATGGAGAGGAAGGGGGAAATTTATATTTGATTGTAGCTGATGATGATACCGGCTTTTTGAAGTGAATCTGCCTGGACTTGGTAATTTAGAGGGAGCAAGCTGGAGTTTTTGGTTCTCTATTGAGGGCCTTCGAATCTTCGTAGCTCTTTAACCTTTTTTATATCCCTTGGGAAGTCTGTATGTAAACCATAGCTCGCACAGTATAGAAAAAATAGTCTGCAGTTCCCTACATCCTTCATATAGATGTCGAAGTTGAGCACGTATATACTGTGACGCTGAGGATGATTCTTGAACTTATGGAATCGTACTTTGTTTTCGAGAGGAATTGGCTGATGAAGTGAGGATGGACAAGAAGAGTCTATGATATACCATACCATGCCATGCTGGATACCTTATATGGGACTCTTGATGTATTAGTTGCAATTTACAATCTCGACCTGTAGCTCCCCTTCACACATCACAGCCTCAAAGAGACAGAACAAATAACAAACCACCCATAGATTTTCTATACTACAACAAATCCGCTCTCTCCCCCCCCCACCAATCTATCTATCAAATCTCACATCCCCCATTCCGTACAGTCAAGTCGCAAACACACATTTATCTGTACTCCGGCTTCACGAAATCGGCAAACGTCTTCGGCTCCTCGAGCAGCGGGTGCGCGTAGCCGTGGTCGTGTCCATCATCGTGGTGGTGGTGGTCGTGGTGTCCGTCGTCCTGGGGTCCGACGTACTCCATCTTGTAGACGGAGCCGCACTCGGGGCAACGCTCGACGGGGCGCTCGCGGGACATCTGTTGGGGGGGATGTAGTGTTAGTTGAAGTTACGGATATGGTGGGAAGAGGTGGAGATGGGACGTACGGTGAGCCAGATGGTGACGTGGGAGTCGGCAGGGGAGCCGGTGCAGCCAGCGTACTGCTCCTCGCCGAAGGACTTGACCATGATGGGGTCGGCGATGGTTCCTATTTATAATTAGCATTCCCATTCCCCTTTCCGCATCTCGAGTATGTCTCCAAGATTGTATGCGCGGGCCGGAATTCCTCTCTTACCGGTACGGCTGGAATCCAGAGGCCTCATGTCGAAGATATCAATCCCCTCCATTTTCCCCAAAATCTCAACACGCTCGAGACCAGTCGCCTGCTCGAGATCGGTGGAGATGGTACCGGGCTGGGCACCCTGGGGGAGGAGATCATCGTGATCCTTGATCTCTGCATCTCTATTAGCACCTATCCGTCACCCAAAAAGATTGTTGGCGTTTTAGCGGGCCGTAGGACATACCAGAGAAAGGCTTCGCCTTCGCAGCGACGCTGTACTTGTTGGCCTCCTCTACACACACGAATTAGCTTTCAATCCCTCAATCCCCATCTCCACGAGCGGCGATGAATGCGATTGACCCCTCTATCCCCCTTCCTCCCTCTTCCCTCCTAAACCGCATTCGCCCGACACCACCTCGGGAAAGCCTTCCTCGGAGAAACTTACGGCGAACAATTGCGCTGGAGAAGCTGCGCCTGATGGCTGGGTTGACGGCCGCGCGGCGGGCCGCGATCACGGTGCGTTGGAGGAACATTGTTGGGCTGGCAATTGAGGTGTTGGAGGAGGTGCTGGAGAGCTGGTTGGGCTTGGTGGTAGTGGTGTTATTTGATGACCGTGAAGCCGAGCGGAGCTAGTGGGATAGGCACGTGACTTTGGTATGAATTTTTGGGTCAGCGCCGAGGAAATGGCTAACGAGAGATTGGATCCCCGTTCCTGGGTAGGCGATGACGACAAAACTTTTATGGCTGAACTCGGATTTATTCAGTTGGTTGTATTTACGTAGGAAATGGTATGGTCACATATGTCACGATTTAGAATTTCAGTATTTAGATAGAGCATGCTATTAAACAATCTATGGCGATACGACCAAGTAGCAAGAGAAAGCAACGACTCCCATCCGTCTTATCTAACCCTCCCTTCACTCCCAACGCTGTCCTGTAACTCATCGAATATTCATATCCCAAACCATATCGCTGCTAGATGTGTAGGTCGGCCGACCCGGAAACTCGAGTCGACCTTGCTAACCTCTAGAGATACTTGCTGCAGAGGAGCGAAACTCCTGGAGAAGCAAGCCCGATCATGCCCTGTGACACCCACCAGACTGAGATGCAAATAAGAGAAAAATAGAAACGTATAGAGTACATGGTTAACTAATCGTAAAGGCTGTCATCGTTGCCGGCCTCGCCGAAGCCACCGCTTCCCGCACCGGCACCCTGAGCTTCTGGGTCACCTCCCTCGGGGAACTTGAAGAAGGCACCACCGCCGGAGCTCTTCATCGACTGGGCGAAGGCCTCGTAACGGCGGATCTCGACGTCGGTAACGGAGCGGCGGGCAGATGCCATGGCCTCCTCGAAATGTGCCTTGGTCAGCTCTGGAACTGGGTCCTCGGCATCCTCATCCTCCATATCGACATCCTCACCAGCCTCCTCGCGAGCCTTGCGGCGCTCGATATCGAGAGAGATGGCCTCCTTAATGGCGAGCTTGACGGCACGCTGAGTGATGAAACCCAAATCGGCACCGGAGAAGCCCTCGGTCTTGGACGCAATGTAGGCGATGTCCACATCAGGAGCGACAGGGGTCTTGCGGAGCTGGGCCTTAAGGATACCAGCACGGGATGTCTCATCTGGAAGCGGGACGTAGACGAGGGTATCGAGACGTCCGGGACGGCACAGAGCGTTATCGAGTTGCTCAGGTCTGTTGGTAGCACCGATAACGAAGACGTTCTTCTTGGAGGTCATTCCGTCCATTTCTGGGATTTGTTAGTTTGTGATAATCTGGGGAAAGAGGGGAATTAACTTACCAGTAAGAAGCTGGTTAACAACACGGTCAGATGCACCGCCAGCATCACCAACAGATCCACCACGCGACTTGGCAATGGAATCCAACTCATCGAGGAAGACAACACAAGGAGCAGCAGCTCTGGCCTTGTCGAAAATATCACGGATGTTGCTCTCAGACTCACCGAACCACATGCTCAGAAGCTCGGGTCCCTTGACGGAGATGAAGTTGGCAGAGCACTCGTTGGCAACAGCCTTGGCGAGCAGTGTCTTACCAGTACCTGGAGGACCGTAGAAGAGAACACCACGAGATGGCGAAAGACCAAACTTGAGGAACTTCTCGGGGTGGTCGACTGGGTACTGCACGCTCTCGATGAGCTCGCGCTTGACGTTCTCCAGTCCTCCAATGTCGTCCCAGCGAACGTTGGGTACCTCGACAACGGCAACCTCGCGAAGAGCGGATGGGTTGGAGACACCAAGGGCGAAGCGGAAGTTGTCCATGGTGACTCCGAGGGAGTCGAGAACCTCGGCATCGATGGTCTCCTCATCGAGATCGATGAGATCCATCTTCTCACGAATCTGCTGCATGGCAGCCTCAGAGCAGAGAGACGCAATATCGGAACCGACATATCCGTGGGTCTCGGATGCGATCTGCTCAAGATCAACGTCATCACCCAACTTCATGTTCTTGGTGTGAATCTGAAGAATCTCGAGACGGCCAGTTGGGTCAGGAATACCAATATCAACCTCGCGATCGAAGCGACCGAAACGACGGAGAGCAGGATCAATGGAGTTAGGCCTGTTGGTTGCGGCCATGACAACGACATTGGATCTAGCCTTCATGCCATCCATCAAGGTGAGAAGCTGGGAAACGACACGGCGCTCAACCTCTCCGTTGGTCTTGTCACGCTTTGGTGCAATAGAATCGATCTCGTCGATGAAGATGATTGCGGGGGAGTTCTTCTCGGCCTCCTCGAATGCCTTACGTAAATTCGACTCAGACTCTCCGGCCATCTTGGACATAATCTCGGGACCGTTGATCAGGAAGAAGAATGCACCAGTCTCGTTGGCAACTGCTCTCGCCATGAGGGTCTTACCAGTACCGGGGGGACCGAACATGAGAACACCACGGGGTGGCTTGATACCGATCGACTTGAACAGCTGTGGATGTCTGAGAGGAAGCTCAACCATCTCACGGATCTGTGCCATTTGCTTTCTGCATCCACCAATATCATCGTAGCCGACCTCGTTGAGGTTACCCTCCTCGTCCTCACGTTGAATTGGCTCGCCCTCGCAGTGAATGACTGTATCCTGTGCAACAACTCCGTACTCCGGTGGGTCTACCTCGACTACCTTAAATTCGACTTGTCTCATGCCACCTCGGACCATGAAGAGATCGCCTTGGCGTACCGGCCTGTATGATTCGCGGAAGTATGGTGCAAGGAAAACATCGAAGAGGGAGCCAGTAAGGCCCTCGACGGTATCGGCAATCGGAAGAACCGCAATGCGCTTGGCCTAAGAAACTGTTAGCACAATCGTATGATCCTGTGAGCTTTCCTGACGTACGTATTTGATGTCCGGACACGGGTGTACGGTAATCATATCTCCGTGCTTTACGCGGAGGTTATGCCTCACAACACGGTTGATACGTGCACTTCCGTCATCCAGCTCGTCATCGGCCAGAACGATAAGAACGGTATCCTTGCGCTTCTTTCCCTTGACCAAGACGGTGTCACCACGGAATAATCCTAATACCTCCATGGTGTTGTTGGAGAGGGCGATAATAGAGTTGTCATCGTTGACGGCATCGGTAACCCTGTTTGCAACAACCATCAGTATTTGTACACCATTGAATTCACAGAGATAGGCTTACATTAACGAGTTTGGCTTCTTCTTCTTCTTGAGAATAGCGGTGGCAGTATCGTCGGCCTGGGAACTGTCAGTATCCGATATGGGCCGGCCAGATCGTACGGTGGCGTTATATGCTTACATCTTTGTGTTCTGCGCCAGAAGCGTCGCTGCGAAGCCAGTCAGTAAACCTATTGCCATGAAGCTCGACCTCACAAGTAAACTCACTGCAAGTTAACCTTCTTCTTGCTGACATGGTCCGGTTCGGCAGACATGGTGATGATGTGAGCTCAGATCTGGCGATAGACAAGTGGTATGAGTAGGATGTCCTCGCGGAGCTGTGAATGTATTGCTCTAGTGAAGCAAGTAAGATATTGGGTCTGTGACTGCACGGAACAGTTGTGATGATATGTCACAGACAATAGAAAGTGTGATGGTTGAAGTGAGGAAGATGGGGTTTGGAGTTGTGAAGTGTCCAAGTATGATGATGTTGATCAAGGTACAGAAGCAGCCCAAGCTTCGGTGATAGGTACCGTAGCCTACTAGCCTCGCTTAAGTGAACTGACTCTTGTTGCTTGTCGCCGCTATCCTCCGGATTCGACAGAGTTCCAGGGCGATTATGAGAGCTGGCCAGTGCGGATTGTTAGCGGTGAAATGTGGCCCAAGGTTGGCGAAACCAGGCAACGAGAGGGTGCGTGGCTACTTTTTGAAAATGGGCGCAGAACCTGATGATTGTTCACTTTATTTTATTTCTTCTGAATCACGCTTTGTACTTTATGGCCTTTTTCTGCTTTGAAATAGGGCTCTGTGTCACTTGATATGCAGATAGACTTTTTTAATCGCTAATATTTCCACTACAGTACTTTTTAAGACGTTTCTAGAAGCTCACCCGTCCAAAGTCGCCTTCTTGCTTCTGAGGTGATTCCAACCTAGATTCACCAGACCAAAATCACGTGATAACAAGACACGTGACATGATTTTATAAAACACTTTTTGAGAACAACCAAATGGTTGTCTGAAAACAACAACAACAATACTCCATGCAACCAGAAAATGCTCGAAACTAGGCTTAGACAACGGGGGAATAAATACAGAAACGGATGTTATAGTATGACAGGTAATAGAGGACGCCTAGAAGATCCTCTACGGCGGAAAAGATAGCGACTGAGAGAAACAAGCTTCCAATCCAGACTATGTGCCTTGAGAAACGGATAACGACTGAAAGAAACAGGCTTCAAACAATTCCTATGACTTGAGCAACAGAGGAAGAAAAACGCTACATCTTCACCAGAAAAGATAACGAGTGTGAGAGACGAGCTTCGAACAATCCTGACTCGTGTGCCTTAGGTAATGGAGGATGCCAAAGGCTTCATCACCACCGTAAAGGAGAACATGTGTGAGAGACCCTGCCACGTCTGCCTCATCTCTATCAATGGCCGCGTGCATCCTTTGACAAAAAAATAACGAATGTAAGAGACGAGCTTCAACAACCATGCTTCATGCGCTTCACCTATGTCGATGCCGGCGTGAATCTCAGGAGAAACGGTTGTGATACTACCAACTTATGTTGGGTGATATTTGGCCGCATCGACCAAGCCGAAATGCTACCACGTACTCGACCTGCTCAACGCCGCTTCGCAGGTATCCATCTCTGCATCCGCCTGGCTCCTGGACACTTCTGGCCATGAATTCAACCTCATTCTCCAGTCGATGATGCGTAACGTTGGGGATGCAGGCACACGCGAGTAACGCTCTGCAGCCAATGCCATGGCCGATACTGGATATGGGTTGCGACCTCTATTGTAGAGGAGTCCCCCCGAAAGCATCAAAGACAGGAACTCACGGCTCTGGCCGAATGAACGGGGTGATCCTGGAGTCGGGATGGTCGAGTAAGGCATACCAGACGACGATATGGTCGAAGATGGCATGTCAGAAGACGGTATGGTTGAAGACGGCATGCCAGAAGACGGTACGGTAGAACAAGGCAAGCCAGAAGACGGTATGGTCGAACAAGGCAAGCCAGAAGACAGTATAGTAGAACAAGGCAAGCCGGGAGTCGGCAGAGTCGGTCGAAGCGAGCTAGGGATTGGTGTAGTCCAGCTTCTAACCGGAGAGCGAGGGACGAAAGAGGAAGTTGTTGGGTGCCCCGGAGGACTGGCGGCAGACGCCATATGGTTGCCAACGCCGTTGAGCCGTGGCTCGTATGGGTTATATGTGCATCTTCGTTTCGGGCTTCGCTCTGGGCTAGAGTTTTGGTCTTCGGAGCTGCAGGCAGAACCCTGCATCGAGCGAGTTTCACTGGGTTGGTTAGCAAGTGGCCAGTCTGATCTGCCTCCCGTGATATGAAGCTCACCTCAGGCCTGGGGTGAGGGGTCTTGGTCGTCCCATTGACTCGTCGCTGTCGTACCCCGACATATTTGAAGTCGAAACCGGTGGCGGATAGAATGGATGAACAGGCTCAGGTCCCGTGCCGGTATTTGGAGTCGATGGCGGGACTTATGCTGCAAGGCTAGACTTGAAGCTTCAACGATGTGGCGATTTGCTTCGGGGTTTATTTGGTGAGTGGTTAGCAGCTAGAAATGGTTGGATAGCAACTGAGGGGGCAAAATTAAAAGAAATGGGGGGATGCAGGTGGTATTTATTTAATCAAAGCTCCGAATCACCCCAAAGCTGCCTGCACCAGCAGCATATCAGATCTGGTCTCTGAAAGGCTGGCAAGGCTGCGCCGCGTCCGGCGGCTGGTATTGGAAATCCTTCGGCATGAAACCTTGAAACGACGCCCACGTAATTAAAGCGACTGAATGGTTCGACCGGACGGCCAAACCAGGTCTGCATCCCATTTGTTGGGCGTGACCATTGCAAAATTTGCATCCCCAAGGTGGTGTTGACTGAAATGATGACGCTGAGGTGGGGGAACCTGAGGTGTGGGGAGGCTGTGCGGGTAGCAAGGCTAGGCCCGACGACAACTTTCCCTATCCCCAATAACAATATCCATGGAAAAGGAGATGAAAAATGACGATTCTAGGCCTCCGACAGTGCACTAGCAGCGAGCTGAAGCCTGATCCTTCTCAATGTTGAAGTTTAAACCTTCCATCCTTCATCCGGCGTCAAACGCGATTGGCTGTGGTTGTTGTTGTTGGGGATGCTGGTGCGCCCAGTGCCCAGCCTCAGCACCAGCCACAGTAAGCCCCCGTCTTGCTCCTGCCATATCACGATAATCGAACTATTGATCCAGTACGTACAGTATAATGGCGTCTTGAAAGAGGCCAAGTTCCAAGAAATACTCTTATCCCCCTCGGTCCTACTGGAAACTCCGTGGGGCCGGCTAATTGCTGAATCTGCTGCTTTTGAGGATGTCGAGATGACCTCTCATTTACCCGGACCGTTTTGATGCTCACGAGAACCTGAATTCTCGTGCTGAAGAAACGCAAAAGACCTGCCCTCCAATCATTCCAGCAGCCTTACCTTCGGTCAAGCTTGATGACCGTTCCTTGTTCCTGCATTTACAGTTTCCTCCAGTCTCGTGCTCCCGGTATGTGTCAGCGAATTGCTCCCCGCATGAGAATCTCAACGGCAAAGAAAGCGTATGGCAGGCAACAGCCGGGCCAGAGATTACGGCACGGGAATCAAGCATTTGCCGTGGAATTAAATCCCTCTGGTAATGCTGGGAAACCCATGAAGCAGCACAGCCTTATCGCTGGATGAGTTCTGCAGGAGGCCCGAAAAAGAGTGCTTACGACATGGTCACTTTGATAGGCCTGGTAGTGCATTGCAAGTCTCGCGGTGGCGGGACGGGACGTTAGTGTCAGCGACCTCGAGCCAACAAGGACGACACCGACGATGCCATGTAAGCAATGCCCAAGGAGCAGCTCCAGACCCGCCCATCCGTCAGCCGCGCAGCTCGCGCAAGTCGCGCGTAACTCATATCTCGGTGGCAAACTTTGGGGAGACACAGGGATGCCAAGCGCTAAGCCCATGTCAAAGGATCCTTCAACACGGCCACGGAGTAAGAGGATGGTGGCAAACCCGATCGGTGCTGATGAAAATGGAATGCGAATATGCTTTCCGCCATGTTAATGCGCCTGGGCTCTTCCTGTCATCCACTTTCCGAATACGGTTCGGACTTAAGCTCATGGGGTGAATCCTGTGATGTCCGTGTATTTCGTATACCCTCATGCATTGTGGCGTTTTGGACACCCCACTTCTGCTGTTATGGGATTCGAGGTATGGACTACAGGCCAAAGCGTCAGCCTGAAGCATTCCTGCAGTGGTGGCCTTGGGACAGAGATCAAGCTCTTATTTAGCCTGAATCGTCGTGGTATGGCTGGTAGGTGGCGACAAATGGCACAGCAGACTCGCTGAGGTCGGAATCACTCCACACCAGATGGCACCGGACATTGCTTCACTGGTCTATTCCATTGACAGCCGGAGATTGCAAATTTGAATTCCGTGAACTGATTTTCTAAATTCATAAAATGGTATTCGAACGCTAATATATCATTATTAAGCTACTCCTTTAGTGCTCCATATCACCGCCGCCGGATGCGTTGGATAGGCATCCCCAGGTATAAGTCCCCCACTACGTGACCAGTGTCGCTGCTGCCGGGTGCGTTTTATAAGATTTACTAATCAGAAGCCCCCCCTCCGTGCTATCCTTGAAGAAGCAATTATGCCCTATGGCTAGGTTCAACACCGAGTCCCAAACGACACCCACGCATGGAGCCCCGAGTTCTATCAGGTTGATACAGCCCTGGACGCAGCCGTCGAGGCTGGTAGCGTTTATTCCCCCAGTGTCCTTGCCGGGGGCGAAGTTGGTTTCGCAGTAGAGGTCGAAGTTGAAGGCAGTCCCGGTGTTGGAGCTTTTGATGGCGCGGGAGGTGCCGTTTATGGCGGGGCAATCTAGAGGCAAAGCGGTGGTTGGGACGGGGCCAGTGGAAGAGGTAGTCGTTGAATGAGGTTGTGTTGTTGTTGTGTGGGAAGCTGACGAGGGTTTTGGTCAACGGGGATGCTTCGATAGCTGGCCTGGGAGAGCCAATGCCTGATGGGATAAATACCTGTCTTTGTGGGAGAAGTGCCACTGCTTGATGATCCGGAGACGGCAGGGTTGTCGACACTATGTGCGTGTTAAAACCGTTGATTTCTTGCCGGCGGGGGGCGATAGCAATATGGCTAGCTGGGAGGCTTTCGGAATTGGAGGCACTCACTTCTTGTTGCTTGTCGAATGTTTCGACCCAACAACTCCGCCAACGACCGCGGCCACAATGACAGCCACCAGTATGATGCCAGCAGCGATAGCGAACGTGCGCTTCCTCAACCCGCAGTATGTTGCGGTTCCTTTACGATGAGCCGGCTGGGCGCTCTCTAATCCACCACCAGGAGCAACCTCGATGCCTTGGTATGCCGGATCTCCTCCCTTTTCTAATTTTTCTACCCCACTGCTGTGCGCAACCTCTAGACCTGGTTGCGGCGGCACCACCTGAAGCCCTTCGTGCGCGGGGACGACCTGCAGGCCTTCGCTTTCGGGGTATTCATTCCGGGCCATGGCGACTTCTCATATACGGATTCCTGGCGTGTAATCGCACGGTCACGCTTTGGATAATGGCTGATGGATTCTCATATGGGGAGAGTGGCTGTAGGGCGACGTTTGAGAAATGAGGCGAAAAGAGAGAAGAGTTCCGATGGAGGAGATAGCCAAGGTAGAGATGTCTATCACTGACAGGAAAGCTCGACCAAGGCCAAATAGACCCCCACTTGGGTCTCCTGGGGTAGAAGCCGCTGGTGGTGGCGGCCCATCGAGCTATTCAGGGGGACGGCATGGTTTGAAATCCTTCATTACTGCCCTCGCGGTGCCGATAGGCACAGAGACACAAGTCTTGCATTCAGCTCATTTTTATACCCACAAAAGTTTACTCACTGAGGAAGTGAATCGCAATAACCCCTGCTAGATCTGACAAGACCCTTGGAAGGTGGGTGTGGCGCATGCCTGTACGTGAGATTAAGCAATCATGGCATTGGTCCGTGGTTTTACTACTTCCCAAAATGTCTAGAATACCCCACTAAGCGCCTGGAAGGATGATGATGATCAATTGCTCGCCATCACCACTGTGTTAAAGCTTCTATTATTATTCTCACCGAGACTTCATAATCCTACGAATCTGCTACTACGTTATTCTACCATATCCTCTGCCGACCTCAATCCAGCCCCATAATCGCCCGCGTTCGGCGTGCGCAAAATTGTGTGAACATGAAATTTCTCGGGCTCGGTATTTGATAAGAAGACGCCCGAGTGATGGTCGAACTCCATAATGATAACCGAGCTCTGGATGCGGTAATAGAATGCATCGTCGTTGCCCCACCTGCCAATCCAGCAAAAATACGTCTCGTTGAGATGGTCGGCAACTTGCTCCAACCGGATTTTCCGTGCCGCATCAGGTAAATATAGCACAAAGTGATAGGCGATGTCGAGGATTAGCTGCTTCTGCTTGGCCGTGAAGGTAGCCGCAGATACTCCTTCGAGAGGCACAATGCGGTTGTCGCGGAACGCGCCGCAGACGTGGCGCTGGTCGTCTGGGTTCCAGCGATCTTTCGCCAAGTCGCCTGATTGGAGCATTGCGGGGTCCCGGAGGAGTTTGAAGATCTGTGCTTTCTCCTGGGACGGGCCGGGGAGGCTCTGCATGAGCTCAAGGCCGAGGTTTCCCTCGTCATGAAGGATCTCTGTTCCTGCGAATGGGCCGGCATCTATTAGATTTGGCTCGGCGCCGGTGAAGGTTGGGGAGATGACGATTTGGCGGCCATGGAGGAAGACGTTCAGACAGAGGTGATGTCCGTATAGGGACCAGCCCCATGGCTTATCTTTGGACGGGGTGCCAAAGACGAGGAAGTTGTAGGAGAGTTCGTTCATGATCTTGGGAAGTTCGCATATTTGCCCAAGATACTGGTTAATGCGCATAGCTGCAAGAGCCTTTTCATACCCCTCTTTGGAAAAGGTCGCCTTGAGGACATCGAGGACAGAAGCCGCGGCTTTGGCATCTACCTCCTCGAGCCGGAGCCCAAGTGGTCGTAGGAGTATCTCTGGGTTTGACCATGCTCGCCATTCTTTGGCGTTTAGAGGAAATGAAACCTTCTCTTTCTGCTCTGGGTTGATCTGATCGAAGACTTTGTCTACTGCTGTTACGATAGACTCAATTGGCACGCCTTCATCTTGTGGCTGGAACAAATTCGGGATGACATTTCCTGCCTTCTGGTCAATATCAGACTCCCAAGTGGAGATTGGGAGGGAGGCAAACCATCCGTTGTCAGTCCCTTATATGGTTCTCGTAACAGCTCCTGCCATGTCTGGGTCAGATCGTAAAGCCAAGGTGGGTTGTGCGACTTCTGGAAGTTCTCCGCGTATTCGTAACAATCCTGAACCTTTGCGGTTTGAAAACGCAGAGTGTTAAGGTCTGGAATGTACTTTCGAAATCCCGCGGACTCCTTACCCTGTTCTATGCTGTCCTTTGAGCCCATAGTAGTTGGGGATAGATTATTTTAAGAAATGAAGGCGTGCAAGAACGATCAGGCAGGCATTTAACAGGTATTAGACATCGACCAACTTAGCATAGGCGCTTCTGGTATTTTCCCACCCGTCTATATAACAATAACCTTACAATCTCCTTTGGAGTTATGGCCTATTATGAGATCTGGGCATGTGGTATAGCTGTCGGGCCCTGGCCAGCCGTATCCGACTAAGCCAAGGGAGTTGACGGCAAACGTGGGGTTTGAAGGTACCATCCCCACACCCACTTGCAAGATATCCCACAGGCCACATTAGTAAAAGTTAGACGCGGATACTTCCCCGCGCAATATATCCGGCCTCAAGATGTACAAAAACGGTCAAGTTGTGGGGATGACGACCTCGGCACGCATTGATCCTTCCCCGAGTACTGTATTCGTGGACATTGTGGCACTGGTGGATGACGGGAAATCCATTACCCGCGACCCCTCCACACCTTCCGCTGCCCCTCAACCTCACTATCCCACAAGGTATGCCGCCGACTTACTGGAGCTCTCATTGATCTGCGGATGGGGAAAGGTGTCGGAACCGGAATGGGGATAAACGTGAATGCGATAGCGGTACTTTGAACTTTTTTACTTCTGCGTCCTCAAAGCTGTATTTATTTTAACTAATGCCACACAAGCCTCGAATTAATTTACTCTCATCTGATATATCCTTGACCTTCAATTGTTGAAAGCATTGTCAAGTATCATAGTTCTCAGTTCTAAATACGACTCGTACATTAACCATAGTAGATCAGTGTCAAAATGGCGGACGAAGTGAAGAAGTTGAAGATATGCATCATCGGCGCCGGTATGGAACCTATTCTTTGCTGAACGGCTTTGCATGTGGGCATTGGCTGACCGATCTATCTTTACAGGCATGGGCGGGCTGGCTTGCGCCCTAGCATTGGCCAAGAAGGGATTCCAGGATATTGAAGTGTTTGAGACAGCCTCAAACCTCGGTTTTGTTGGCGCCGGTATCCAACTCGCTCCTAATATGGTGCGAATTCTCGATAGGCTTGGTGTCTGGGGGGAAGTGGAGAAAGAAGCTGTTATTCTCAAGGAAACAAGCATTAGGCGTGGGTGCCACGCATCCCCCCATGCAATGCCTTGAGCTGACCTTAATAGAGGGCGCAACTGACACCGAGTTGGGACATGTGTCACTGGACCATGTCTACAAGACTTACGGCTATTACCACTCGGTCGGCCACAGAGCTTCCTTAGCAGGTGCTCTGTATAACGGCTGCAAGCGCGAAGAAAGCATCAAATTCCACTTTTCCACAGTCATGGGAGGGGTGACATCTTTCTCTCCAAAGCCAACCTTCACAGCTATACCACGAGACGGAGAGCCTTACACAGTCGAGGCCGACATCCTCCTATCCTCCGACGGAGTCAAGAGCACAACCCGAGTCGAAATGCTCAAACAGATCGGAGCCACCGCAGAGATCATAGACACAAAGCAAGCCGCCTACCGCATCATGCTGACGCGCGACCAAATGAAACACGACCCCGAGCTCCTGGCCCTCATCGACGGCCAGCGCGCCACCCGCTGGGTCGGCGAAAAGAGGCACATCATCGCATACCCCGTCTCCGGGAACAACATCTACAACCTCTCCACCACACAGCCTGATACCAACTTTGCTGCCGCCCCCTCCGAGACCTACACCACCAAGGGCTCGAAATCAGCTATGCTCGGCGTCTTCTCAGACTTCTGCCCGCTCATCCAGCGCATGCTGAATCTCGTCCCCGAAGGCGAGGTTTGCGAGTGGAAACTCCGCGTGCACTCCCCACTTCCGACCTGGGTCCATGGCTCCGTTGGCCTGGTAGGCGACGCGTGCCACCCGACGCTACCACATATGAACCAGGGTGCTGCGCAGGCGATCGAAGATGCGGGCGTACTGGGGGAGGTGCTGGCTCTGCTGCCAGATGGGAGTCCGAAGAGCATCAACAATGCGTTGAGAGTGTACGAGGGGGTGCGAAAGGAGCGGGCGGAAATGCTGGTTGAGCTTGCGGCGGCATCAGGGCGGGCAATGCATTTGGGAGAAGGGAAGGCGAAGGAGGAGCGTGATAGGGCGTTTAAGGAGGGGAAGGCGGTGCCGGATAAGTGGGCGGATGCGCAGGTGCAGAAGACGATTTATGGATTTGATTGTATGGAGGTAGCCAAAGAGGCGTTTAAGGAGGAGTTTGGGAAGATGTAAGAGCGATCGTGTTTAGTTGCCAATATACAAAGCATCAACGTCACGATTTTTGCAGCATAGTATAACTAATACTGTGAATGACTATTCCCATTGCATGATTTAGTCGATATTGGTATGGATTAGAGAGTAAGTTACATAACTTTATTAAACTTGCCACACAGTGCTATATAAAAAATAGGTCTGAGGCATCGACTACTAGCCTTACAAACTAATCATGGACCAAGTTATTGTCTTCCAAAATGCAGGGTATCCGAGCCAAGAAGAACATGAGAGTTGCTTCAAAATAATAGCAAACATCCTTAATCAAAGAAAAACTGTGCCTACAGTCGGCTGAGATATTGCACATATAGAGGTAAAATAAGCAAGCGACCAAGCGACATGGTTCGCCGAGGCACAAGCACTAACTATACTCGCCACCATTAAGCCTTTGAGGTCTCTATTCCCTGTGGCTCAATATCTTCCTCTTGTCTGATCTTCCTAAATGAAGGACCGCGCCAATGAACCACTGCTGTGGGAAATATGCTCACGCCCACAATAAGCGCCACGGCAACACCAGCGCTGGCAGCTACGCCGACGTTTTCGAACATAGCAGGGAACCTAAAGAGATGAAATTAGCTTGGCTCTCTGTTAAATCGAAGCATATAGTAAATTTATGAATATACGAGAAATGTGCTGGGGATAGAAAGGCTGCATACCAGAACGGCCCAATAAACCCCCACATCTGGCGCACAAATGTGATAAACACGCCAATGCTAGCTGACTCCTGTGGATGGCAGTCAACGGCATAGGTGATGAGCACGGTGGTAATGATCTGATTCCCGCCACCGGCAAATGCAATCCCGATGACAGGAGTGATATCCCACTGGAGTTCCGGCGCCTGCGCGGTGCGAACCAAGAAAACTATTATCCCGATGATACCGAGCATAAATCCCGGGTAGCTAAGCCACAATCTGAACTCCGGTGCTGGCGCGCGACCAATCTTCTTCGCGCGGCGGTTCATCCAGGTATCTGATAGAATGCCACCGAGCTGTTCACCAATAACAGAACCAATGATGAGGCCCAGGAATTGAAGGCCGAGCTGTTGGTCGTTGAAGTGGAATTTCTCACCGAAGAGCTGGGGTAGCTCGACAGTGACGAGGACGCTGCAGAAGAGGAAGGTCATGGCGTAGGCGATGGCAGGGAGGAGGATGCAGAGCTTTCGGCTGAGGAAGAGGGGCTGGATGAACTCGTAGGCGCTGATGGGGGAGGGATCGATGCGGCTGAACTGGAGGTATTCTTGCTTGAAGTCCGAGCCGTGATGCGTGACACCGTTGCGAATGTAGCGGGTTTCAGGGCCGAGAAAGAGGTAGAGGATGAATTGGACGCCGTTGATCTGTTGTCAGGGGTTAGAGAGAGGACTTGGAGTGTGAATGGGGGACTTGCAATTGCGAGGATCCAGTAGATCCATCTGTAGCCAACGCGCTCGGCGACGAAGCCGAATATGAAGGGTGAGAGAGGCACACCGATGGTGACCAGCAGAGTCCAGATTCCCATGTACCGGGCACGTTCCTTCTTAAAGAATGTCTCCGTGACAACGGCGCTGCCGATGGCTGCCGGAGGGCTGATGAAGAATGCAACGATGGCTCTGCATACGGACATCGAGTTATAGCCTGGGCTCTCTGCGCAGCCGATATTGCCTACCAAACTGCAGATGAGAGAGAGCAGGAAGACGGGGCGGCGTCCATAACGATGCGAGATTGGCTTCCAGATAAGCGGGGCTACTCCTAGAATGGCGATCTGGAGAGACGTGAGGTATGTGATGTCCTGGAGCGGCCTGCCTAAATCCTTTGCCATGGTTTGATAGGCAGGAATAATGGAAGCCGCAATGAAGGTCGACATGCAAGCGTGGAACGCAACGAGAATGAGATTGATAACTTTCTGCAAAGTGGCACTTGAGTTAGTCAAGCTAGAAGAATCCGTAGAAGTAAGGCAACATACCTTCGACGAGGTCCAGTTATAGGGGTCTGCATCTCCCATTCCTGGAACTGGGTCAAGCTCCAAGGTGCCATGGCGCTGCATCAGGTATTCTCGATGTTCTGGGGAAAGTGCATCAGTAGTTTTGGGATGCACATAGGCGCCGCTCTCTCCCGTAAGTTCTATGTCCTCGCTATGCTCTGCGCTGGGTTTCCCTGGGCCGTTGTTGCCATTACTGGGCAGTCCAGCAAGGGCTTGGCTGAGACCTTTTTCGTCTGTTGAGATCGCCATGACTCGCAGTTCAAAAGAAGCTTAAAATACAAACAAAACACTGGCAATTGCCTCGATTGAGGTTCTCACGGGATCTCCGGGTAGCAAACTGTAGGAATTGTCCTAAGGGGTTATGACGCAAGCCGTGGGAAGCTACAGCCTTTTAGAAAGAATAAAAGGACTGTAGAACAGCATGAGATATGTGTGATGGGTGAACTATCGCAGGTTCCAAGAGCTCCTTTTATGGCTCATCTACCGCGTTTTGTAGCATAGGACCGGAGCTAATATGATAACCATGTCGAAAGCCGGGGACCAGGACAGTTTACGGCCAAAAGGTGGAGTCCCCGCATGCTTCATCGCCGTTTCCCCACGTCAACCCCTCACAATCAATGGACCACAGCCATCTCCACAGTCTTCCCCACAATGCATCTCAATGTAATTCCACGTGGAAAAGTGGGAAAGTGGGAGGAAGTATGGACGCGGAATCTTCCATGTCCTCCGCGGAGAACTCTGTGTTCGACTCTGTATTGTTATCCGTTCCCCCGCAAATGGATTGGTGGGCCACAGCCGCCGTCATAAACGTCTGAATCCACAGTAGAAAGTTAGTTTATCTGGGGAAAGTTAGAGCTCCTGGTATCGAACGACACTTTTCGGCATCTATTTATCTGCGCCGAGACATGGCCGCGCGCCCAGCTCCATCAAACCGGTAGATCCTCGGCGTGCCTGATTCGACCAATGTGGAGGCCTGTGCTGTGTCTGGGCAAGGCTTAATAAAACCAAGAAAGACCAAGTCCGAACGACGCCACTTTCTGCTCCATTATGATGTTAATAAATCGCCCTTAGTTGCTGACTGATGCGGCGGCAGTAGGCGACGGGAACGTCTACCCTTATAGTACCGCGGAACCACCCACTTTTTCACACAAGGAAGGTAGCAAGAACAACGATGGAATGTAGATATTGCCGAAAGACATTCTCCAAGGGAGAGCATTTGAGGGTAAGTTATAACTAGCGCTGCGCCTCGAATCAATTATTAATGGGTCACTTAGAGACATGAACGCTGCCGTAAGAAACCGCCCGTTGTTTCCTTGACAAATGGTCACCAATGCTTAACAATTGGAACATTCCATACCCGATTGCCCACGGCTAACAGTTGGATGCAAAGATACTGGATCTCGCCCCTTCGTTTGCGCCGACTGCAAAAGACCCTTTGCGCGGCAGGATGCCTTGATTCGCCACGAGAGACTGCACACGCGCAAGGAAGGCGCAGAATATGCCTCCCCTGCCTCAAGCGCTGCCACTCAGGCGCCGGCGGTGCCGACATCTATGTCTCAAATCGTCAACACCGGTGTTAGGAGAACTGCGCCCAGTGCTGAGGTTGGAACGCCAGAGCAAACGTGGATGGAGCAGCAGTCCATGAACTCGGATGTGCCAGATATGCTCCAGGCCCCCGACATCGGATCGGATCTGATATGGCCCGATTCGGAAACGTTATTTCAGACAATCATGTCGATGGATTCGACGAACCAGTGGCAGATGCCTCTGGGTACGCTGCCATTCTTGCCTGGTGTTCAGCAGGCGGGTAGCGATATCTGTGACAGCCAGAGCAACAACTTCAAATCTCCGGACTCATTTGACGACCGCGGGCCGGCTATTAGTGCTATCCCATCCGGAGGAAGCCATCGTGCTGTGCACGATGTTAGTAAAATGGTCTCCAACTTAGTAAGCCCCTGAATACCTTGCGCACCATGTTTTATAGCTCACCATATGGTTAGTCTTCAAGTGTGACAGCGGCAATAGAAGCTACTTCTATCACTTCTGTTTTCCTAGACGAATGTCTGCATATGTTTTTCGTCCGTTTCATCCCCACATTCCCCGTCTTGCACCGCGCAACATTTGTATTCCGAGAGAGTACGCAGCCATTACTACTCAATGCTATGGCAATTGGCTCCTTATATCTTGGCCCTAAAGATTCGATTGCGAAGGGCGAGGCCTTATGGCGGCTGGCACATATTGCTGTTGCTACCAACTGGGAAACATTAATTACACACCGTGGACCATATGACTCCTGTAAAGGGGTTCAGCTTGTTCTGACCGCATTATTGGGGCAAGTGTATGGTGCATTATCAAAGGTATTTGACTCGACCCAGCGATATAAGACAGGATGCTCATACATCAACTTTAGAACAGGGACGTCCGAACCACGAGCCAGGCATTCCATGCAATTGGCTTCTTTTGGGCCAGACACTGCGGAATGTTTGATAACCCCCCATACCCAACAACCAACCTACCACCGCTCAATGCGCCAGAGGCGACGATAGACCAAGAATGGAGGATATGGACAGCCAGAGAGATCCAACAACGAGCGCTACTGGGCCATTACGTGCTCGATGGCCTCACAGCTCGCATGTCTGGAAGGCCAACTTCGGTTCGCCACGCCGCCAATTCCCTAAATATTCCCAGCGGCGAAGCAGCTTTCGAAGCGAGCACAGGCGTAGCCTGGCTGAACTGCATGCGCTCTGAAAACCCAAACCCACCAACATTCCGAAGCATATTCTCCTCGCTCTTCTCCCTCCAATCGCCGCCCCCCACAACCCTTACATTCTCCGCCTTCTCCTTCCGCGTTATCCTGGAAGGTCTCCAATCCCTCGTCTCCGACTGCGCCGATGACCATGCCACCGTCGGCGTTCCCGCCAAACCTGAAGTTCGCAACGCCCTCCTTCAGGTCTACACCTGGATCACAGCAAGCACACACCTCCCCAGCGCTGACACCCTGGAGATCTTGCTCCAATGGCACACTACCTGCCTCAACGCATGCATTGACTCCTCTCTCCTATGCCGACACATCTGCGCACGCTACTCCATTCCGCAGCACGTCTGGGGTGGTAGTCAAGCTGCCATCCCTGGCCTCGATCTCGTCAAGTGGGCGAACTCAGAAGATTCCCGTACGGCGCTTTTGCACGCCATCGCGATCCAAGAGATGGTTGAGCAGCTTCCGAGGGGACGGGCGCATGTAATTCACATCCCTAGCTGTCTGTTTTCAGCAGCGACGATATTTAGTGTTTTTGCGCTGGCGGGGATTGCGCAGGTGAACCTGCCGAGCGTGGTGGATTGGAAGTACCTTGTGTCACGAGCTGATGATGCATCGGTGGCGATGACAGCATTGGCGGAGGCGAGTGTGAGTTCGGAGACGAAGAGGTTTGTGATGGGGGAGCATCCGTCGATGTTTGGGGTGGGAGGGGCGACGAGGAATTTGATGTATGAGTTGAATTCGATGCAGAAGCTGTTTAGATGCTTGACATCGCAATGGGGGATTTCGATTGATATGGAGGTTGTTATGGATCAGTGGATTGCGCTTTGTCATTGAGTAGGTTCTGGAATAATCATGGCTGAACAAAGATATCATTTATTATCATATGTGTATTCATAATGTGAAGTGTGTGTGAAGGAAGTGAAAGCCTCGCAGCCGCCTCGAAAGCCTCAAGCAACAAAGCTTCGTCAGGGGCTCGAACGTGCCACCTCCTTCCACCTCCTTCCTCAAAAACAAGCAAAAAAAATATAAAAACATATCCAGACCCAGACTCGAACTGGGGTACTCCGTCGGTTCTCAACCTCAAACTCGGGGTGCTTGCCGAAGGCGAGTTTGGATGCTATCCAAAACCGGTTGATAATTGAGGGACGAACATCTTACCACTAGACCATCCAGCCTTTTGAATTAAAGAGCATGCGTATAAAACGCTATATACACCGGACGTCTTGCATAGGGGTAGGATTAGTAAAGAGGGGGGGGGTGTATGTGTTTGGAGAGTAGCTACACATCACACACCTCGAGGTGTTGGAGCCCCGAGGGGCATGACCCGGTCATAGACCCAGACGAAAAGCACGCCAGCTTAAAGACTCTCGTCCGGATTTTACATCCTATAGCTTGGGATAGTCGCAGCGTAAACATATACAAAATATATATCTGTAATTTAAAGGCCATCTATCCGCCCAAATATCTACAACCAACACCAACCCATATATACACAGCACCGCACCCGTTATACCCATCACTCCGCAACAAGCCCTGGCCACTTCTCAATGATATACTCCACCACAGCATCCGGTCCTTTCTCGACCTGTAATCCTTGTGGCAGCGCCATCGTCTTAATCCCTGGCTTCGTCTCTCGTGCAATTGCCTGGATCCTATCGCTCTCCTCGGGCGTCCACATCGATGCACAGAACTGTTGTAGTTAGCGCCTACTCACTCATTCTCAGCTGGGTTATTCCTAGCGGACTTACCAAAACGTCTGGCTGGTTCTTCTCAACCAAGTCTTTCACTTCATCGATAGCTGCCCATTCGTCAGCAGCTGCGTTTATCACCTAAAAGAAGGAGAGACTGCTGGTGAACAGTAAGGAAAAGCGTACTCTCAGCATTAGCAGCGTGGATAATCGTGTAATCCGCCTTCACATCCTCAACCACGCGCCCAATAAGTCTCTTCGCACGCTCGGGGGCCTTGTTGACCGTGACCAGCTTGAAAGGACCAAGGGGCTTGTTCGTGTCTGCCATATTTGCAGCTGATAATTTCGAGACTTGAAGCACAATAAAAAAAAGCTGTAGTATATTCGTATGTTCGGTTTAATTCGCAGCGGTAATTATAGATTTCTCAAAGTATGTAAAACAACGAGGGGGAAATGGTTATATTGTATTACGCCATCCGTCTAGCTCATGCCGCGGCCCTGTCTACCTGCCTCTCTCTCAAGGAGGGGCTGCGGCATCGGAATCCCATCCCACACACGGCATATCTCCATGTAGAAGATATCTCGGCTGCCTCGCTATACTGTTTGACACGAACTCGCCTCAATTCCTTCCGTCCGTCGTCATCCCCACGCGCCTTCGAAATGTAAGATCACTGCCACCGCGGCCTCTGAATCCCCTAGCTCTCCACAACAGCCACTGTGGGGACCCCTGTCGTACGGAGGTGGGGATGTGTTCGGGGGTCCAGGGGTCGGGTATCTCTTCTCCCGGTGGACCCCTCACTATTAGTCAGCCGATTTAGGGAGGGGGAAATCACGTGCTAGGCTCCGAATCGGGGCCTCTATTGAGAGCTGTTTGTGGATTGATAGCTGTTGATTATAGAAGAAGGGCCAATTTTTTGATTATTTGAGGCTCAAGTGCATATTTAGTCTGGGCATTATTACAGTGAAAGATATAGCAACGCCAAGTTTCCGTTTTTTTGCGATAACAGCAAGCAAGCACCTTGAGACCTCTCCGTCCAGCTTACAAATATAACGCTTCAAGATGGCAGCAGCTTCATTCAATCGCAAGTACTCTAAACAAACCGGAAAGCGCTATCCCTGCATATTTCTAACACTCAGCACAGGTCTAGTACGCTTCATCCCCAAAGCAGACAGCTCAGCGATCCTCCTCGGCCAGCCCGCCGACAGCGCCTTGGACGTCGGTGCAGCTCTGCGCGCTGGGAAGGAAGTCCTCGTTGATATCTTCAGCGGCAAGTCTGTGATTAGCCCCGGGTCGAAGACGGGGAAGACAGAGTCGATAGGGAGGCTTTTGTCGCCGCTTGCGCAGGAGGAGGTTGGCACGATAAGATGTATTGGGCTTAATGTGTGTGATCTTGCGAATTTGTCCTTCGGGGAGCTATGAGGAGTGTCAGCTGACAGGATTTATAGTACGCTCAGCATGCGAAGGAGGTCAAGATGGCGTTGCCGACTCTGCCTACCCTATTTCTGTATGCAATTCATCTCCGCCCTCAGCAAGAGCGTATGATCTAACTTTATTTCCCCTTCACCAGCAAGCCGGAAACTGCCCTAGCAGACCCCTGGCCAACGCCTTTCACGATCCCCAAATCCACGATTGGAGATGACACCACCGACTTCGAGTCTGAGCTCGCTATTGTTATCGGTCGTCCAGCGAAGGATGTTTCGGAGGCTGACGCGCTTGACTACGTCTTGGGCTACACGGCGGCGAACGACATCTCAGCTCGCAATGCCCAGTTCGCACAAACGCAGTGGTGTTTCTCGAAGGGTTTTGATGGCGCGTGTCCGATTGGTACGTTCATAATGAAGGCCATGTTTAGATAGTCAGCTATGGATTGTTACTGACAACGAACATAGGCCCCGTGTTGATCTCCAGCAAGGAGTACGACGTGAGCAAGCTTCGAGTCCGCGGCATCAAGAATGGACGAGTCTTGCAAGACTGTGGGACCGAGTAAGTGATCCCCTATTCTTATTCCCAATCTTCTTACTGTCGGTCATTGATGGCATTTATGAACATGATCGATACTGACATCGTCAAAAGTGACCTGATCTTCTCCGTCGCCAAGATCGTGAGCTTCCTCTCGCAGGGAACGACGTTGAAGCCTGGAACGGTCATCTTGACTGGCACTCCTGCGGGTGTGGGCCACGGTTTCTCGCCGAAGGAGTATCTCCGTGACGGCGACGAGTTCTCTGTTGAGATCTTGCCGGGTATCGGGACATTGACGACGGCGTTTGTCAATGAGAAATAGAGTGACAGAGTTCAGCAATCGATAAGTATTACAGCTTGATTAGATCACTGGACAGATTTTAGGCGGTGATAGTATGATAATCTGTACATAGAATATATTATCATGCCGATTCACGGCTATATTGCGTCTTGCATTGAGCCATTTTACTGCTCCTTTACGGTCTGTCTGGATGATGTCTCGAAGTCAAGCAGGTGCTGGAAAGGGGGGGCCTTCCGCTGCCTTCCACATCTTGAATCTAGACCAAACCTTGAAGGGGCCTTTGACTCACTCTACCTCAGTTGCATTGTTGGAGGGGCGGTCTGCCTTGCTGTACTCACGTGGATGGTTAGACACGAACTTTGCCTCACTCCTGTTGTTCGAGCCCCCCTGAACCAACGAACCGAAGGCATCTATCCGGAGGCGTGTGTGTGAATTGCTTTAATCATGTTTGGTAAGTGTTACTCGTTTCCTTCCGTTCAAAACGTGTCAGTTCCCAACAACAGCCTCGAGGTTCAGATCACCGCCACTATCCCTGAGTTGGATACTCTGTCGTGCCAACAAAGGCATCAACACTCCACCACGGTGTGATGATACCTTTATCGGGCACGGAACAGCACAGCTGTCTTAGTTAGCGCGAGCACAGGGGTCTCGTACCTTACCCATCACAAACGCATTCCCTGAGCCGCGTTGGACTTTGCCGCGAATCTGGGTCTGTGTCGAAGCCCGTGTCTCGAGTTCTCCGCCAAACAATAGTAAGCAGGCGAGAGGAGGTGGCATTGCTCATTCCACATCCCGTCCGAGTGGATGCCTCGTCAGCAACGCATGCGATGTGTGTGTGCCATTTGGGCGGGGAAAATACTTGATAGGAGTTTTATTGCTTGAGGCGTCGGCTGTAGGATTCCGAAGAATGCGCCTCTCATATCAGTTATCTATTTGGTTGATCGGTCAGCTAGCTGGGAGCATTGGCCACTGCTCATTATTCGCGGTGGGGAAATATGTGACTAGCTGAGAGCATCTGCAGATCGTGGTCTGGCTCTGTATCTCACGTGGGTAGGCCTCGGTGAGGGGTGAGTCCAACACACAACAGGGAGAGCAAAGGAAGGTGTGAGACTTGACTTCCCCTCGCATACTATGGTCATAGCCTACTGAGTGACAGGAGGAGAGACTTCTGTCTTGACATTATGAAGCAAGCATAGAGAGATTTGGACCCCAAACAAACAAGCTATGGATCTGCACGGTTGAGGTCGGCACATGAGTGATTTCCCACCTTGCCAGCACGGTAGACAAGGGCATAGACAAGGGAAGCTGTTCAAGGCAGTCAGCGTTACATCTTCCGGCTTCGCATCGCCGTCACCGGTTCGGGAATGTATGCAACTCGATGGGGATGCCCTTGCCGTGACCTGTCTCTCGCGCCTGGCCGATCTAGCCACTGCGAAGCCGTTATGCGTCCCGACAACCTGGTATCCCGATATCAGTTAACCATGTTCTGTTAGTGGCGATCATGTCGATGTCTTTCTAGCGGCGATACGGCGAGGGAGAACAATAGTAAGGAGAGGAACAATACTAAGGGCGGGGCCAGCAGGGGGATAGGGGTCTAACAGGGGGAACAATACTAAGGGGCTAAGCGACTTCCTCTCAACCACAACCACAACCACAGCAACTACAGCCCAACAACAAAAAAACCACTCCTGACGTCCAAAGCAAATGCACCAATGCGATCAATGATGCAGCCTGGCCCTTATTCGATAATCGAAGCGCCTCGATTGATTCTTCTGTTCCTTCTATTCCTTCTTTATCGAGGAACAGTCACATATTGCCTGTGACCTCGGACTTGTCGTTTATTGCAACGACTGTTCAGTTCCAGCCCGCTCACTCCGTTCATGATGCTTTCACGGTAAGTCCTCCTGACCTCTCTTCCCCCACCCTCACTTGCTCTCTCCATTCATTGCAGAACCGTCTGTCATATCTCCTTCTTTCAAGTCTTAAGCATGGGCCCCTTTCACCGTGCCGTCCCTTTCCAATACTGTTCAAGCCTGAACGGTCGGAGGAATGCAGTCTCCATACCCCTCGCCGCTACCTGGCTATCTCGAAGTCGAGTATAAGTATCCCTCGACGATCCGCCCCTTCCTCCTCTATTTTTCTTCACCATTACAAACACATCAGCTTTCCACAGACAATCAAATCAAACCAAACACTTGCCTCTCTCCAAATACATCTTTATCATCCTCCCCCAACAAATCAATCAACATGGGTCCCTCCGCCATCTCCCGTCAGCGTCAAGGCAAGAAGGCCAATGAGTCCTACGGTGCCGGCTGCGTTGTTCAGAAGGCTAATGAGTCTTACGGTGCTGGCTGCGTCGTTCAGAAGGCCAACGAGTCCTACGGCGCGGGATGCATGGTTATGTAAATAACCTACCTACCCTCACCAACCCCGCCATCATCTCGTCACTCTCAGTTCCATCCGAGCAAGCAGCTGCAGCAAATACTCGACCGAAACCAGCAGCTTGTCTCTACAATTTGCGAGCATGGCGCCTCTCTCAAACTACGCAGGATGCCAGGGCCTCGATCTCGATTTCTCTCTATCCACCGACGGGCTCTGATGGCGGGTGTGCCTGGCCGGCAATCAGTTTTGTACCAATCGTGTGCGATAAGTTTGGATATTATCCATGACAGACCTACTTTCACTACACTCTTTTGAGCCCATCATCAACGGCATCGACAGGCACATCAACGACGCGCTCCGCAGCTCCCACGCCCGTCAGAGGGTTTGGAGGGCCGTTTGTTTCTCAATCAATCTGTCTGTTGGTTATGGGACGGGGATTTCTTTTTGGATATTTTTGGAATTAGTTCACAAAAAACAAATGGGGGCTTAATGCTAGGAGTCAGGAACTCGCCCTTGAGTGGATTAGTTGCGGGGATTGGGTGGTTCTCTGCCTTTTATAATATAGCAATCAATATGCTGGTCTCTGTCATTTGAAAAGTCTTCATTTATTACTGCTACTGTACCCGTGAGAAAAAATAGGATACATGTGAAAGCGTAGTCTTCTCATTAACAGCATAACCCTCCTCCCAATTTAAAACCTGGAGAACGGCAACCTATAACAAAATAAATTAGTAAACCCATCCTCTCGTCCCAAAAAACACATGAACACCAGGGCAAAACTTACCACTTCCCCTTCAACGTAATAATCGCCCACGCATTCCCACTCTCATCAACCTCCTTATCAACCTTCGTCTCAAACGCAATAGCACTCATAATCCCATCCCCAAACTTCTCATTCAGCACCGCCTTATACGCATACCCATAATTCTGCACAATCTCATACAACCTATAAATCAGCGGTTCCACGGGCGGCATCGGCCCCGCGCGTCCCCTATCCGGAAAGCCCAGCAACTGGCTCTCCAACGTCGGCAACGGGATCCCGAGGAGGTTGGAAAGCTTCTCGACGTCCTCTTGCGAGGCGGCGGCTTGGCCGTAGAAGAGCGCTGCGACGGCGACTTCGCTGCGGCCGAGCTGCTTGGCGATGGCTTCGAAGGAGAGGGATTGGCCTGCTTTGGCGTCGAAGAGCATTTTGGAGGAGGGGGGGAGGCGGGACTCGAAGGATTTCTGGGGGGGAGGAGGGTGTTAGGGATTTCGGGGTCTGTTATGTGTGGTGTGGGTTGGGGTCTTACGTCGAGGACGGAGATGCGGCGTTCTTGGGCCATCGTTGCGGTTTGTATGTTCTCGAGTGAACTGAAAAATAGATTTGTATTTGGGTTTTGGATAGTATAAATCTTTTAAACTGACTGAACGAGGAAAGAATCAAGAAGTTATGGTTCTTGTAGAGTAGAGAAGTGGTGGTGATACAGTCGACCCAGGGTGTCATCAATCAATAATCACCTTACCCCGCCATCAAGCTGCGGGCGGAACCCCTCTGCACTGACACCCACGTCATAATGTGAGCAGATCCCCGCAGCTGGACCCCCAATCACCATTCAGCGAAACACACCGGGCGGAAGGCAGTTTTAGTCATAATCACACGACCTCCACGGATTTTATTTATTGACTTGTTTGGTGAGGTAACGGCACAGGATTGTGTGCAGCGTATTGCGTACTGTCTGGACTGATTGGGGTGTGTGGGAATGTTGTGTGGGAATCAGTTTGTAGAATAGATGTAGACTGATAACAACTACGCATACATGTCACTTAAATAAGAACACATTTTTGTATACTCAATCCATTGACTCGCATCCCATCTCATCATCAAGATTCTGGTTGCACGTCGAGGCATATCGTAGGCATGACAGCATCCCATCATCTCCCGCAGGCCATCAAAAAAACCCGTGGGCAGGCAGGAGCTTTAAAGCTACCCAGCCTCTCTCCATCCAATATCCCCATCTATCATCACCTTGTACGCACCATCTCTTCCATCCCGCGGGCCGGAGCTTTAAAGCTACCATGCCCATGCCTGATCTGATATATCCATCTCAAAAAACTCTCTCCCCACGCGCAAATGCGGGAACAGCAGCTTTTAAGCCAACTATGCCCCGACTTACATACGAAAAACTTCGTAAAAACGTGAACGCCTGATGTTGATGTGCCGGTGGTTTGGTGGGGTTTGCTGACAAAGGAAATTACATGACGGTGAATCTTTTTCGCTTATCGTGGGTCGCATCGCAAAAACTGTGCGAGGGGGTGAGGGGAAGTCCTCTCATCGAGGGCTTGGTGCTGTGTCGTGTGGGGAGTCGAATTTGTTATGTGCTGTGACTAAAGGGGTTTAGGAGATGCCGGTAAAATTAAGAGGAGTATGTTGGTGGTAAAGTAACCCAAGGCGCGAAGATATATTCGTGGATATGTAGCTGCATTTACATATCCATGGAGTCTCCACCGTTGGCGAAGTTGAAACCACCAGATTGTCCCTGGGTGCCGAAGCCGAAGGTGCCGTTAGCGCCCTGTGCCTGTTGGGCAGCCTCATCATCGACGGCGTTGTCATCCTCGTCGGAGAAGTACTTCTCGATCATGTTGTATGCCTTCATGTAAATCTCCTCGTTGGCGTTGGTCTGGCAGTCGTGGATCTTCTCCATGCCGTTGCACTCCTCAATGAAGAGAGCATATCTGTTGATGCTCTCTGGGCCCTCACCAGAGGACTCCTTGTCCATCTCTCCAACCTTGAGGATGTTCTCTAGGCCATCAAGGGCAACCTGGATGATCTTGTTGTCTGGGCAGGCCAGAAGGTCACACAGTGGCTTAATGCAGCCCTGGGCGACAAGGTAGCGGATCTGCTCAGGCTTCTGGAGACCACCCGAGGTGGCGTTGGAAATGGCCCAGCATGCCTCCTTGCGAGTCTTAAGATCTCCGTTCGACAGGAGGTGGATGAGAGGTGGGATAATGTTGGCATCGATAACAGCCTGGATCTGGGTGGAGTTGCCAGCAGTCACGTTGGAGATGGTCCAGCAAGCCTCCTTGCGAATACCATCCTTGCTGGAGCTCAACAGCGACAGTAAGGCTGGAAGAGCACCGCAGTTGACAATGACCTGGGTCTGGACGTCATCGCCGGTAACAATGTTACCCACGGAGCGGAGAGCAGGAGTCTGGACGGAAGTGGATGCGTGCATCAGGAGCTCTACAAGGCGGCGTGGGATACCGGCCTCGATAACTGCTTGAATCTTGTCGTTGGCTCCATCAGACAGGTATGAAACTGCCCAGCAGGCATCGATTAAGACCTCGTCATCGAGGGAGTAAACAAGCTTCGCCAAGACGGGGAGGGCGGGCAAAATCTACGACGGTTAGTATGATTTCACGGTTCTAAGAAGACTTTGTAAGTGACTTACAGTGTTCCAATCTGGCTGGGGAGTCTTGCCACGGCAGAAGTTGCTCAAAGTCCAGGTGGCGTTGCGGAGCATGCTAAGCTTGCGGCTATCGCCAAGAAGAGACAAAAGAGGCTTGAGAGCGCCACAGCTCAAAACGTAATCACGGCACGAAGGGCTGTCACCAGCAATATTTCCCAACGCCCAAACGGCCTGCTCACGGACATCTGGCTCGTGGCTGGCAAGCAACTCAACGAATATCGGGACGGCACCAGCCTCAATGACGACTTGTGTCTGTTGTGCTGATCCAGAAGCAATGTTGGTCAAAGCCCAGGCAGCTTCGAACTGGACCAAGGTGTGAGGCGAACGAAGGAACTCGACAAAACGGCTAACGACACCGGTCTTGATAACTTCCTCGATAGGTGGGTTTCTCTCCTTTGAAAGGAGCTTTCTAAACTTAGTCGTAGCCTGGATTTGCTTATCGATTTGGTCGGACAGGACACCCTGTACCATTTGTGGGAGGTCCTCATTTAGCTATAATGACAAAGTATGTTAGCATATGTTTCCATAGTTCATCGTTGCTATAACATATATCGTCAAAGCTCTCGTACACCACATGGCCATGACCAAGCGTCGTGCACAGACAAGCGAAGTAAATCCCCACAGCGGGGCAAAATGCGAAAAGTAAACAAAACAGCAGAATAACTGCATTTTGCTTGCAATACTCGGCGGTCTTGTCGTCACAAATGACGGGATAACCATGGGGATATGAAGTAGAGGGAGAGATATGCGTTCACGTACCTGAGACTCCGTGGGAGCAGTATCATCGTCACTATCAGGAGCAGCCCCTAACGATGCGCCCGGCCTGGATCCATCGGCGCTGGCAAGGCCTCTGCGCTTTGCAAGGTTCTCCTCACGCTTAGCTTTGCGAATCTCAACTTGCTGTTCCTCACGACGACGACGGAGCTCCTCAGGCTTGAAGGTACCCTTCGCCTTGAACTGCGTACGACGATGCTCTGGGATGTAGCGTTCAGACATAGCTGTAGTGTACTTGTGTGAGCCTTGTTCTAGACGTTGTCTGTAATGGCTCCACTCGGACGTTCGAAAGTCGTGGAGGTTCTGAAGTGTAGCGGGGTTGAAGGTGAAGTTGGAAGGTTGTGGTGTGGAGGAAGATGATTAGGTATTTCAGAATCAGAGACAAGAAGTTGCAGTTGGACGAACAAACAGGCGCCAATACGGATGCGGTAACTGTCGTGCGGTTGAGCTCCCTAACACGTGAGTTGGTATCTTTCAATGGAAAATCGGATTATGTAAGCAGAACTCAATTAGGCCCGAGGCTTGGCAGTCGCGTCTCCCACCATTACAGCCGCGTCTCACTGTAATTTATATAAATTGCGACGTCAAGCTGCCCTTCATTTATGAAATTCAGCCGCCAGATTTGACTCGTATCACAGAGAGCAGGCAGCTCACAACCTCGAAATGCACAATATAACATACCAGGTCTAGTAATTCATTACTGCCGCGATCTGTCTGCGATACCGACCTCTTTCCCACGACTTCTCCTGCCACATTGGAGCCGCAGAGATGACGGACACCATGGCAACTGAGCTATCTCCAACGATGGCTCTTCCAAAGGATTTCAAATCCATCCGGGAAATCTCTGATATGGACGCTATTTTTGTAGCAAAACAAAAGCCATTTGTCAACGTTGTTGGCTTGATCAGAGACTACCAGCCTCCGAGGCAGACTGGAGGCTCAGGTAGACAATCCTCCCTCTTTGCTGTACTGTAAATGAGCCTGAGACTTATAGATATGTAGATTGGAAAATGACCCTTACAATTGTCGACCAGTCTATCGAGGAATCATATGAGGTGGACATTATGAAGCTTAACGTTTTCTTACCTCGCCCAGACATGCCGGTCATTGCTGGTGTGGCACAGCCTGTCCTGATTAGGAGCTGTAGAGTAGGTCAACCCTTTTATTGAAATAACTGTAGCTTATTCAGTAGGTCCAAATACATTCAGGCGCTATCTCTTTGATTACGAACTTTCGTACCGAAATCCACGTATTTCCAGTGCAAACTCCAACAGACACGGCTCTTCCTCCGCCGACATCAAAACGTGGCAAGGTCAACATAGAAGAGGTCAGATACGTTGCTTGGCTACAAACTCATATTCAAAGAGGTGCATTCCCAGATTCCAGAGAATTCCAGGAAAGGGTAGTCCAAGCAACAAATCTCAAGGTAAAATCTTGCGAGCTCAAGGATGCTCGGCCAGGGATGTTTGGTGACATCGTTGGGGAGGTTATCCACATGTTTGACGTTTCCGATCGAACCACTGTGTATGTTACCGACTACACAAGCAATAAGAACTTCTACAACCACGTCATGCCAGGTGTTCACCCGATTTTTGAAGGGCGGGATGGAGATGATTTCGGGTATTCTAACTCAAAGATGATCCATAAGTCAAAGACGAATGAATGGAAGGGACCATACGGTAAAATGTCCATCCAACTTACAGCGTTTGATGAGCACAGCGAGCGATTCAGAGACTATGTAAAAGTCGGAAACTGGGTGAAACTGTTGAACGTTCATTTTGAGTTCCCCAAAACTGGTGGTCACCTGGAGGCGAAGCTTCGTACTGATCGACGTGCCCACCCAGGCAAGCTCCAAGTGGAAGTTCTTGCCCCTCCTGAGAATAAGGAAGATATGGATTATATGTGGAAAAACGCACTACGCCGCAAAAGAGACTACCAAGAGACAGTCAAGAAGCAAAAGCGCGAGTTCGAACAAGAAATTGAAGAAGTCACCGGAAAGCGCAAGCGTGATGACGATGATGAGCCCGTGAAGATGAACGGAAAGCTTCGGCGGAAGGAGAAGAGAAAGGCAATGCAAGAAAAACTTCAACATAAGTCTAAGATTGAGGCTGGCCAAGGAAAGCCCATCGCCGACACACCTGCAGAGGATAAAGCCGCATTGAATACTGCCGGTATGTTGTTAAGGGCGGATAAAATCGATTTTGCTGACTTTATAAGTGAGATGCCACAAGCAGACATCACCGGCCATTCCTCTGGCGCTTATACTCAACAACCGTCGCCGTGTACCCGCTAGCACAGCCGGTGGGAATGAAACATATGCACCTTTTGTCAATGCCAACTATCGCGCCAACCTTCGCGTCACCGACTTCTTCCCTCACAAACTCGAAGATTTCTCAGTTGGTAGAAAGCCAAACGAATTCGACTGTCTCTCTGACTTCGACCCTACGTCGGATGAAGAGGATGATATTAATACTGTCGGTAAAGACATTAGTGACTTTGTACTCCGTGATAACGACCATCTACAGTGGAGTTGGCGATTCGCATTGCAAGTCGAAGATGCAAGTCCATCCGAAAGCCCAACAAAAGAGCGTGTTTGGGTTTTAATCGATAATGAGTCAGGTCAGTTTCTATTGACTGAAAATGCTGCGAATCTCCGCACGACGCCCGATGTTCTTGCTGCTGTGCGCGAGAGGCTCTTTGTGCTATGGGGCGACCTAGAGGAAAGGAAGGCCGCCTACCTGAACAGCGCCGAAGGAAAGATCCTTCTCCCGCGGTCACTGGAGTCATCCAGCTTGTCAAGAGATGTTTCGCCTCCTCCTAAGATCCCCCAAAAGCTTATATCTCGACCTGGAGAACAGCCACCAGATAGTGACGAAGAAATGCCTGATGACGAATCACCCCCCCAAAAAGCACCCGCCGAGCGAGATCCAAACTCATTGGAAAGTATTAGAAAGGCTACCCCTAAACAAGCAGCTACACGTCTTGCTGCGAAGCTGAGGGAAATTGGAGACCAGGCCCAAAATAAGCCATTTCCGGGATGCATTCGAGAGTATGGCATCAAAGTTAAGGTTGAAGAGCCGGCTTCGGATGAAGAAAATGAGGATGACGAAGATGACGAGGATCAAAGCCAGCGAACAGAAAAGCCTGTGGTAGCGACAAAGTGGGAAAGAAAGTTTGGGCTACATGGGACTATAATTGTATGAATTGTGCCTGGAAATTCAACCCCATGATTTTGGATGATAAGGATCAGAATGGCAATTTGATACAGCATTAACGCCACATAATGTAAGGTTACAATTAATGGGAGACCTCCTTAGGGCAACCCCTACGCCCACAGCACTGCCGAATGGGTATCCCGCCTCATTTGGTACAAGGTAGACTGGACTGGGGGTCAAGAAAAGCAACTGGACCGCCGACCTCTAGTTCAACATCGGACTCAAACGGGGAGAAACAGCAGGACGTTGAGCAGCCTGAGAAACAACACAAGATCCAACTTGATGTACCTTAGTGCATACAAATGGAAAGAGTCACCTCTGACCTTGGTCAATGATTTGGTAGACATTCTGGCATCTGGTGCAACGGCAGCCTTGGAACGGCGGCCTGCATCTGCATAAACTACGATGGAGGGCTGAGCACCTCTAGGTTGGCGTATAGATATTATTGTATAGTATTATCCTAGATGAATCAAATCCCAATGCCATCATATATCATAATTTCATCGAACTAACCTGCTAACTCTCTTCCTGCATAAAATCCACGATCGCCTTAATCCCCGCAGGACCCAGCCCACGCCAAGGATAACACACATAAACCCTATCCAAACTAGCACCGAATTTCTCACGAAACTCAGTTTTATTCGTCAGTTTCAAACGCCCATTGATAATCTCATACGTCTTTTTCAGGAGCTTGAGCTTGCCCTTCCCCATGTTGCGGCCGCCGACAACAGTATCTGTCGCACCAGTGCCATACGTAATGCTGTGCACATCCGGCTCCTGGGCCACGATGGCCGCCATGGCAAACACGCTCAGGGATTCGATGGTACCAGAGGGTGCGCCTGGGAACTCGAGCATGAATTTCACCTGGTAGCCGTTCTCTGGAGCAAGCTGATGCAGAACAAGTATCGCGTGGACACGGCCATCTCGGGAGCCGTCGGTGGCGTAGAAGTAGCGGCGGTGCTCTTCGTCAATCCAGGGCCTGATCTCTGTGAGATGGACCTGAGCGCCGGCTTTGCGCCTTGCCTTCCATTCGCCGATGCGCTCGTTAACTCGTGCTTTAAGCTCTACTGGGACAGGCTTGGTTTTGGGCCATTCGAAGTTCTTCACCCTTTGGTGCTCGGCATGGCGTATCTTTCTGGCGATATCATGGTCTTTAGACGCGATATTGTTGTGTGGATCAACTCTGTTCTCTGCGACTGGGCTCAGGGTGCGCCAATTGCATTTATCACCGAGGAACTCCTCTATCGCTGGGCCCGCCATAAGCCATAAAGGCTTGAGATCTCGTCGCTCTGTCTTAATATAGTTGAGGTATCCAGAAACAACCTGAGGGTATTGTGATTTAGCGCATAGAGGCTCTCCAACGGTGATTGCAAACCCATGATACGGGACAAAACCTTGAACCGCGCCTGTGGAAGGATGTCGCCAGATCTCGTAGCGTTCATCCAGCCAGGACGTATTGGCCGCATCGCCATAGTTTGCAATGAGCTTCTCGAGAGGTTGGTAGTCTTTGGGGACGATTTCTTGGTTCCGGTTTGTCTTGTCGGCCCATGGCGGATTGGTAGTACTTGCCTCTGGGTGCCGTAGGATGGGCCCTCCTAGATGTCTAGGAAGGGATTTTGGATCCCTCGGAAAGAGTGATGCTAGCCGGATATTGCCAAGGTCAAGGAAGAGGAATGTGAGTCTCTCGAGGCCAATACCGGCTCCAGCATGTGGGGGTGCAGCCCATCGGAAGCCCTCTATATAGTCGTTCATTACCTCAGGCTCTACCCCAAGCCTCCTCATGCGCTTTTCTAGGCAGCTAGCATCGTGAATGCGTTGGCCACCGCTAAGTATTTCCTGGCCTCGAATAAAAATATCGAAGGAATTGGTGAAGTTTTCATTGCTAGGATCTGGCATTGTGTAAAATGGCCGCGCAGAGGCGGGGAATTTATCCAGAATATAGTAGTCTGACTGATATTTTTCTCTCACGAGCTGCCCAAGCCTTATTTCGGCTCTTGTGGACAAATCTTCGGTGTCAGATGGCGGGTTTCCCAATTCATCCGTCCATCCATCGGACAGCAATAGCTTGATACCCTCAGAAAATGATAATCGAGGTGTTTCATCGCGCCACAATAGGCTTTCATGAGGATAAAACTGAGATATTATCTCAATTTCTCTGCTATATCTTTCATATAAGCCCTTCCACATACTCTTTAACATTTCATCAATCAAATCCAAGGTTTCGTGGTAGTGCTCCTCAAAGGCCATTTCTACCCGCTGGTCAGCTCGTGCATGGTTGGAGTTTGAAAGTAACTAACCAAGATCTAGCCCAGTATATTCCGTGAGGTGCCGAGGTGTATTGCTGTTTTCGGCTCGGAATACCGCTCCAATTTCATATACTCTCTCAAAATCTGCAGCGATACACATCTGCTTCGCTAGCTGGGGTGACTAATTTTCACATTATTAGAATCAGCCATGATTTTTGAGTATAATTAAATAACATACCTGGGCCAAATATACTGGCCTGCCAAAATAGTTGACTTCGAAGACAGACGCCCCTGACTCGGTTGCGCTACCTTGCAGCTTTGGTGTGTGGATTTCAATAAACCCTTGGGAATCTAAATAAGAACGGAACATATTGCTTATTCCCGATTGGATGCGAAAGATGCCTTGAGAACACGTCGTGCGGAGGTCAACGATCCTATTATTTAGACGGTAAGTCTGAGGCAACGCTTTGCTATGCCTACCACCTTCGGTGCTTCCTGGAAAGGCATAAGCAGATGAGAGTCATTGAACATGGAGGAACTTACCTCGCGAGCCCCTCTCAACGCTAGTTTCACTGCTGTGACCGTCGCCAGCAGTGGTTTGGCTGCCCTGACCATTGGATTCTCCGGATATTTCCTCGTCGGATTCGCCCGAGGCCTCCTCACTTTCTCTCAGACTGAATCTCCCAATATTCTCAGCCTCGTACACAGAAAAAGGCACATGTTCGGATAATTGTGAGATCAGATGTATTTCTTGAACCTCAATCTCTGCATCGTGTATCGTTGCTGTATGGACGGTATCGGGAGGGCTGCGGACCTTCCCTTTAACAAGTACAATACTTTCTAGGGGATAGTGTAGAACGGCCCGCACCATTTGCTCTGATACAATTCCACCTAATTCATTGCCCACGCCATTGGGACGCATATTTTGATGGCTATATCTCCCTCCATCTCCATCTCCATCGTCCGGGTGGCTGGCCTCGAGCACGCCCTGAATTGTGAATGTTTGCTGACGGAAGACGAGGAATATCAATTTAGCGCTCAATCGTCGTATGGTATGTATTCGAGCCCTGAATGTAATAATATGGCCAATTTCGTCTATTCATTATAAGCTAGATTCAATGACCGTTGGACTAAGACCAGTAAAGAATAACGTACCAGAAAAGTCCAGCTCCTCGAACTGATACCTTCCATAATATTCCATCTCTTCGTCGCTTCTCTTCCTAGTCTTGCTCATATTTATGCTCAGGGGCTTATAGAGCTTGGTGAGTTCAGGCGGACCATGATTTAAAAATTTGGCATCTTTCTCGCGGGCGGAGATCCCATATTGCTGCTCCTTGTGTCTTCTTGTTTCCCTCCTTTCGTGCTTTGCTCTTTTGGGCCTTGCTCGCTGGTGCCGGGTCGAATCCTCGCCGGTGACTGCCACACCTTCCGGTACATTTCGGGCAGCAAATACCGGCCTGTGTGCAATTCGTGATGGTTCATTTTCCTCGGGTTTGCCTCCAGTCTTGAGTCGCCTGAGTGGAGCCTTTAACTTCTGCGCGAGCTTGCTTTTAATCCCATTTGGTTTGCGATCCTCGCCATTGGAAGCACCTGGCTCTTTCTTCAGTGCTTTCAACATCTGGGCCATAGCAAGGGTCTCCCAAAATTTACCACCAATGGTCAATCATATGGTTTTGAGGGTCCTGAAGGCAGGTAGCCTGATATCTCACTTTGGATTGTGAACAAAACCACATGCGCAACATGGGCAAACCATCAGAAAGAATACCAGTCAATGGAGTCAAACAATGAAACCCTTAAAAATAATATCAACGGTATAATATGATTTTTAATTGAAGGGTACGATTTGAAATATTGCTAAATAGGCAAATATATGGTACCAAGGGACCTTGTTGGACTGTGACATCATCTTCCATACCTTATTAATCTCGACCCATAACATCGTCAACCATAATTCTTACAACTCGAGCCGAGCAAACTCATACTTGTGCTTAAGCCACATACGACAATGAAAATAACTATTCAACAATAGGGCCGCTGTTATTGAATTGTTTAATGTCGTATTTGTTTCTCAAGGCATCGGCCCCTAACTGGGATTCCCCCATAATAATTTTAACCTTAAAACGATATTCTCAACACTTGCGTTTTGCTAAGAAATACCTCGCTCACTAATATTGCTTTACCGATATGGACTCCAATACTGGGTATCGGTGGCTCCTGTAAGTCGTATTATTTCCTTTTTTACTCGGGTTTTTTTCTGATATGTTAATCATAGACACCTGAAGGCTATAATTTGGAGATATCTAATGTGGATTGGAATGCTCATCCACCATCGCGCCCAGCCTGCCTCCAGGCCCCCTTCCTTCATTGTCAAAGCTCCATCGAGATTATCGGTGCAAAGAGGAGATATTTGCCTTGTCTTCTACGTCCCAGAGAAATACCACACCTCTTCGGATGAGCATCGTTTTCCAGTCATCATTAATTTCCATGGCGGTGGATTTACCTTGGGCACGGGAACTGATGATGCCCGATGGGCGCGCTATGTTGTGGAGAAGACCGAAGCTGTTTTTGTGAGCGTAGAGTATCGACTAGCACCAAAGTACCCCTTCAGCGTCGCTGGTGATGATGGAACTGACGCCTTGATATACCTGGCTGCACATTCCGAGGAGTTACGTCTTGATCCCCAAACGATCATCCTTGGCGGTTTCTCCGCCGGGGGAAATCTCGCCTTAACAATTCCTTTCATCTTCTACGAGTTAAAAAACGGCAGCGAAAAGCGCTTCTTACGGCCCAATGACTCAGATGGAGCCGACCAGAACGATTTGAGCCAGATGAACTCGCCTCCTACTGTCCCGCAAGCCTGCCAAGCTAGTTCACAAAGCACTCCTTTAATTGAATGCCGGGCGACAGCTTTAGAGACAGTGCAAGAAATTCCTCCACTTACGATATGTGCTATTGTCTCATTTTATCCTCCAACAGACTTTCGAATACCCCGCGCAACCAAACGCACGACAAACTCTCGGCCTGAACTCAACTTATCGGCAGCACTCACCAATCTCTTTGACGACTCGTATCTCTCATCGGAATACGCTGAAACATCATTGCATCTAGGAGACCCCTATCTCTCACCTGCTGCGGCCAGCGATGATCTATTGAGAGCTGCTTATCCTCAGTTGATCATACTCTATACCTGCGAGCACGACATGCTCAATGCCGAAGGAGTTACATTCGGGGAGAGGCTGAAGAGTCCAAACATCGGTAAGACCGTGAAAGGTGGGATTATTGAGAATGTTCCACATGCATTTGACAAGATGCCGAATCCAATGAAATACCGAGAGGCTGCCGAAAGAGTATATGGTGAGGCATGCGCGGAGCTAATTGCAGCTGGATTGGGGAGTGGTGCACACCAAACAGAACGGGCACAGCCCAAGCACAGTAAGACGGTAGACAGGTTTTAAGATATGAGCATTGGAGTTGATGACCATTTGATGGCTTACCAGTGGTATGTTAGCAACTCTGTATGCCAGTCGCTCTGACCCGAGCCCCGTTATGGGGCATTACTAGTTGGCCCCCCCCCCTGTCCAACGAGATCGGCAATTGAAGGATCATCACGTGGTATATGTGGAAACAATTCCTCGTCGCCATGCAATCCTTCAGGGCCATATTCGAATCCGAATCCAATTATAGCTAAGGACAGTTCATTTTATGTTATATAACATCTTGCAACCTGTAAATTCTCCATCCTTGCTTATAGATTCCAATTACTGACCAACATATCAGTTTCGGAAGATGACCACCTCTCTTCCAGGAGGATGTAAATGGCCGTGAAAGACGTTGGTCCGAATACATGACCTGATGAGAATCGCAGATCTAGTTTCTGCTCATTCCAGTCGCAGTTAAAATGTCAGACTCAAACGCGTCGCCGGCGGAAGTCCGTGTTTCTGTCATCGCTCTGGTCGTTTCATTGGTTGCACTTGTTGCTACCACCGGGCAATTGCTACAACAGTATTTTGCAACAGCAGATGGCTACCGTCGTTGCCAATCGTCCGTCATGGGCGCTTGGGGTAAGAAGACAAGACTGCGGTGGAGATGGCGTCAGTTTCGATTTGAGACGCTGTATTCGACGCCTGAAATATTCATGACGGATATGTTTTATCCGATCTGTTCGGCCGAATACCTGCTAGGGCTGAATGACATGGAACTCAATAAGCTGTGGAGTGCCCCTGGCCCCAACAACTATGGCAGACTTGCTGGCGAGAGCAGGTCTAATGGAGACCTTGTTGGCTGGCTTGAGTTGCTATCTCAGATGCACCGCTCAACTCATAAGTCATTGTCACCAGCTAAGACTAAAGATGATGTTAACCGTGAAATTAAACTCGTCAACGCACATCAACAATTTCACTCGGATTACCGCCGAATACCGGCAATAGAAGTTGTGGAAAGGTCATGGGACTTTCAGCCACCAGATGTGTCGCGGCCTTTGGCGAAAACTACGCTCAGTACTTTGGCGGTAATGGCTCGGAGGATGGGCATGCGATGGAAGGTCTTCCGCCCTGAAGATGGGATCATGCACGCCGAAGGCGGCGGCCATGTCCTTACATCGACGGTTGTGAGAACGCTTGGTCTTGTTGTTCAATACAATTACCACGGCCAGACCGGCTCTTACTTCCTGAACAATTCATATTCTAAAAAAGCGGGCCTTGGGACAGCACGTAAGAATGAAGAAATATACATCCCCACTCGCGAAGCAGACAGTCTCGGCGCAGGTGTTGTTCGCGGGGATGAAAGACTTGGCCTCTCGGATTTTGTCCTCACAACCCAGGACGATATAGTCGATGCCCTGAACAGCCTAGTATCTAGGAACGGCATGGGTGATTTGCTGAAGGAAATATTGCGATTCGACGCTGGCTTTATGTTCCCCGTGGGAGATTTAATTGCCTTTTCCATGATACCGATGTGCATTCCAAATCAAGGAGAATATATGTCACTGGTCCAGATACCTGCACCGAGCGATAATACAGGTGGAGTTACCGCGTCCAGAGCCGGCCGCCTCTCTTTCCGTGGGAGTCTTCGTGACCATCTTGGAGATGTATACTTACACAATGCCTTGGAAACACAATCCTTTGCCGACGTCTTAGAAACGGAATTATCCGCCGGTATTTCAGAAACAGCCTCCTCTACCGACCCTGCAAGGTTTACAGCATCTTGGGCATTGACAAAGATCGAGCAACTGATAATCGAGGCCGATGACGACGACAATCTCAAGAAGAACCCTCCTAAGAATGCGGAGGATGAAGGGTGGATCGTCCGCCGCAAGACTAGTGTCGTTACGCTGGCGCTCGACATACTTGCACAGTGCAGTGACTACTTCTCAAGCCTAAGTTCTGAGATCCCTCAATTCACATACCCGGCATTCCTAGATTCCCACATCCGTTGCTGCGATTTCGGATTTGAGCTCAAGGATAACTGGGACAACGGGCGAGAGCCAGGAAGCATAGAGCGAAGGATGATGCAGAACTTTACGAGATCTGAATATGATCAAGTCAGGCAGTATTTCGATAGGCTGCCACTTTTAATGGACCATTGGAAAATGTGGGGATGGACAGATAAAGGGCAGATTCTCGATGTGTGGACGGTGATGATGCTGAGGGCGTTTTGCTGGGGAATCTGCCACTTTTTTGTTCCGGGCGAGAGGGTACCTATCAGGTATTATGGGAGCCAGCTGCCGGTCTGGCTGTCTTGAGTTGATGCTGGTTTCTCAGGACGTTGTCAACCGGTTGTTAGAGCTCGAGGCGGCAATACTGGTCCGGTGTCAAAATAGAGGCTGAACCGTCTATCAGTTATAGACTATATATCATGTTGGACATTTGCCAATTATACAATCTTAATCTTTATCTCAATTCTTTATACAAGAGATCTAACCTCGAACTTTATTTACTTCCATCTCGCCAAAAGGTATTATATACAAGTGACGGTACCTTACTCCAGTCCTCTGCTCCTCCGGTTCGCCTTCCAAAGTCCTCTCATATCGCACCAGCTGGCAATATCTTCTTCTCTAGTTTCATCATCCACTTATTCGTCTGCTCGGCGAAAGATAAAGTCAAGATTGTATGTGGGAGAATCCGCGCCAAGTGCGGCAGGTAACCCTTATAGATGGCAAGGAGACCCTCCGTGCGCACAGTCTTCGAGAGACAGTCGTAGACACCCTTGTAGAGGTTTCCGTTCTGGTTGTACATTCGGGACATGATAGTATCTGCGTGTGTCAGTAAGAGTCATTTCACAGGATGGGTTTCTCATCCATAACATACCTGGTGGATGCATTACACAGCATACGACGAACCCACTCGCTGTGCTACTCGCGAGATGCAGAGCGGGTCCCTCTTCCATGCCAAAATGTTTCACTAACCTCCGCTTCGCGAAGAAGTATGTCGGCAGCTGCACGGAGCTGCCAAAGCCCGTCCTCACCATCGCGGCGCCTACACCGCGGTATAAGCCCTTCAACCCTTCGGTGCCATAGATGCTCCTGAACCCATCAAGCGCATTCTTATATTTATGCTGCGTTCCGACAGGTCGCATTGGCGAGAAGCTCTGCAATCTCGTCTTGATAAGGAAAAACGGGCTTCCCGCGGCGGCGCCAAGGATGCCGGAGGATGCGCCAGAGAAGACATTGACCCCGAGGGACTGCACCGTAGAGTCGCCGTAGACAACTTTCGTCGCCGTAGCACGGAGGGGCTCATAAAAACCGAGACGGCAGCCGTTAAGTAGGACTTGGTATATGTAGGCAGCCCCGATACCGCGGTAGATTCCTCTGAGACCCTCATTTCGAACGATGACGGTGACGCCGTGGATCGGACCCTTATATAGTTTAGGTTGTTGCGACTTGCCTTGCAGCTCGCCCTGCAATTGCATGCTTGGAAGAGTCAGCGCGGTGAAAAGGCCAGCGGAGGGGTGTGAACAAACCGGATCTTGACTGTCTCGAAGGGATGGGTTGCTGTCACTGCGCCGCAGGCTGCAACGCCGCCAGCGATGAATGCGCTGGGGGAATTGTTAGCATTCTGCGGTTTAGTCGTTCACCCGGGTGCTCCGGCTCACCCTAACGTGGTCGACATCTTTCACCGATGTCTTCTCGCAACTTCCTCTTCCTCAGCACTCAAGCCGCCTCCGGGCCGTTCTAAGACTCGTCGGACTGAGTAGACAGCCAGTCGGATATATGATAAAAGAGTGGTTATCCGATTGCGCCCCCCAGTGTGCAAACAACAAAGACAAGAAGGAAAAGAAGCCGCTGGAAAAATAGATAATATTTTAAAACCTGAGAGAGTGCGGCTTGCTGACGGATATATTGTGCCCAGAGAGCTTATGCTGGTTGATCACTCGCGTGGCAGCCGTTCGCCGAGACCGCAGTCAGAACCGGGACCCTTGTCCGTCTTAGTCTTAGTGCTTGTTGCGGACTCCGACACTCCGACACTGGAAAGCCGATCCGAACCGCAGCAACCCTTGCGACAAGGCTGAACAAAATTTGGTCACGTGCAGGTGCTACTGTGAAATTGTGGGGCATCCTTGGAGAAGGCTGGGACAAGGCGCTGGCGAGAGCTTCCTCTAATCCAGTAGCCTCACTCCGCGACGACAAGAGAGCAACTCAACAACACAATGAGCGCATAGAGAATCTATAAGCTTCTTAGGCATGATTTTGTTTTGCCATATTGCTGAATACTAGCACATATTTCCCTTTCTCCCTTTCTCCTTCCACCATGAGCTCCACACTCATGGACGTGGACTCCCCGAGGCCGGCGCCCAATGCAAATGGAGGCATTGGCCTCTCCAGGTCAGGCATCAATGTGCCGGCTATTGCGAAAGTCAGCGATATAATATCAAACTTTCGGCCAACAAGGGTAAGCCTGTTGCGAATTCACTCACTTGCCCACTCATAGCTAATACTGCCCCATTCAAGCTCTTCAAGCGCGACTATCATAACGAGCCCACGACGGTGCTCTCACTGGACTTTGATGACAAAGGCGAGCTCCTGATGACCTCCGAGACGGATGAGTCCATCCAGCTATATAATGTCCTCGATGGCACGTTCAACAAGTCGCTGTTCAGCAAAAAATACGGTGTCAAGCACGCCAAATTCACACACAAGTCCACGAGCATCATCTACGCCAGTACAAAAGAGAACAGTATGCCTTGCGCTCTCTCTGCTATGGATGACTCGAGATTCTAATTCATATTCTGCAGATGATATCCGCTACCTCGCGACCCACGACAACTCCTTCCTACGCTACTTCAAAGGTCACACTGGGTCGGTAACCTGCCTCACAATGAACCCCGGCAGCGACACATTCGTCTCCTCCTCCCTCGACAACACCGTCCGCATCTGGGACCTCAACAGCGTAAACCCAATCGGAATGCTCAACATCAACTCCCCCCACCTCACAGCCTTCGATCCCTCCGCCTGCGTCCTCGCTATCGCCTCTCCTGCCGCACAAACTATCCTCCTCTACGACATCCGCAAATTCGATGAAGAGCCCTTCGCCTCCTTCGACCTCTACCCCTACGCCAAACACGACCCAACCGCGCGCGCCTGGCGCTCCCTCGACTTCTCCAACGACGGGAAATCTCTCCTCATCGGTACAGCGGGTAATACGCACTTCGTTCTCGACGCCTTCGATGGCAAGCTCAAGCACGGCCTCATCCGCAAATCTGGCGGCGCGCGCCGTCTCCCCTTGAGCAAAGAGGGACCTGATGGGGAGGATGACATGGAGGCGCTTCACCACACCAGCGGTGACGTGTGTTTCTCGCCCGATGGGCGGTACGTGCTGAGCGGACAGCAGCGTAGTAACGTGCTCGTGTATGATATCACAGGCGCGACACAGGCTGGAGGGAACACACCGATGGTCGAGCTCGAAAGTAAGAGCGAGGTGGCGGCGATACGGTATAATCCGCGCTTCAATATGTTTGCGACGGCGGACAGGGAGCTGAATTTCTGGGTGCCGGATCGGGACTCGGTTTAAATGCCTGACGGGGGATTTGGTGAGGTGACACCGGAGTTGGAGGCGTTGGGGGGTGGTTTAAACATTGTATCCCGGGTTATAGTGCTACTAGACGGGGTATATGGAATCTATTTGGGGGTTGAAGAATATGAGGAGAGTGCTGCTCAAAGTTTATTCTGAGTGAAGAGGGTCATAAGCCAAGCAAAAAGCAGGTCTTCTCTCTCTCTAGGGCATGAAATTGTCGGGACCATTTGCTCAGTCGACCTTCTACCAGATCCCAGGATATAAAGAACTTGCAGTCACCCGAAGACCAATCTGTTTCTACCAATCTCTCACACTCGCCGACTAGCGACCGCAAGCAGGAAGTGAGATAAACGAATAATGAATTATATAGTCTATATGCTAATATGAAATACGTAGTGGTATCTATCTTCGCTGTACATAAGCCAAATACCCCTCTGACGAATTACCCGCGCTACCCTCCGCTTTCAAACTTGACCAAAGCAAAACTCACCCTTTCTACCTCCACTTACGCGCCATACCTCGTCTCCGCCACTGGCTGGCCCCTCCTCGACTCACCCCTTCTCGACCCATGCCTCCTGGACTCATGCCTCCTCCCACCCACAAACTTGCCCACCAACCCCCCAGTCAACGGCATCTCCATATAATCCCCCACCTTCCCCCTATCTTCCTTTGGAATAGCCTTCAGCGTGATACCCACGCCCTCAAAGATGATAACCACCGCCAACTCCATAAGCACCACCATAACCAGGAAAATCGCATCACTCCCCGTCACAGCATTGAACTTCGCATCGTTCCCGAACGCTCCCACGCCTGCATAGACGACACGTATAAGCAGAAATGGCAGCGCAGCCGCAAGCGCGGGAATGAGACGTCGCTCCCCTGCCTCGGCCGACGAGATGGAAAAGAGCACTCGCACGGTCGCGAGACACAGGATGACGTAGCCAGCGATAAAGAGTCCAACGGCTGCCTGGACGAGTGTTCGCGCATCGTGGACATCGCCGTCAGTTTTGGCATCAGTGAGGTTGATGGAACCGACGATGGCGAGGATGAGAGCAATCATGATGAGGAGCTGGATCAGGCGGATCAGGCGCGGCGTGATAGTCACTGAGTGGGCGCGGCGCTCGATGGATTCGATAGCGCGGTTGAGGAGGCCGAGGGAGGCAAGGAGGAGGGGGGAGAGACCGACGGAGTTGGTTATGAGGTAGGCCGTGTGGAGGGAGGTGGAGGTGGGGGAGTTGATTATGGCGAGGTTTAGGGCGCCGGAGAGGATGCGAAGGGTGCAGAAGATGACGAGAAAGATCCAGCCTGAGGAACGGCCGAAGCCATGGCGTTTGGAGAGGAAGGCGCCGAGGAGGAGGAGGGGGGCGTAGAGGACGAGGAGGGCGATGGAGATGCCGTTGCGGAAGGTTAGGGGAGTCATTGTTGAGAGTAGAGGGTGTGATGGATGAGGGGCGAGATGCTGTCCACGGGCGTGGGATGGAAGAGCGGTTTTGCAATGGAGCTTGAAGTGTATGACAACGGAGTGAAGTGAATGATGAAGTGATAAGGTTACCAAGACGGGGAATAGAAAAGCTTATATGCTCACCTTCAACGCGCTGGACATCCCGATGTGGCCAACGGCCGCGCCGGGCACTCATCTCATCTCCACTCTCATCCCACCTCAAGCCTCGTATGAGCCATCTCAGCCTCGATAGCAACGTTTGTGTTGGATCATCGAAAAGATGGGATTGAGTGGTGTGGGCCGTGCGTTGGCGGAGCACCCTTGTGGTTGGGGTTCCAGGGGAGTTGTCTGGGCAGGGGTATTGCGGCCGTAGGGGATGACAAGTACAGTGGGCCCCGTCTTAAAATACCTGTGTTTGCGGGTACAGAAGATCCTTCATATAGAGTCCTCGAGTTCTTGTGAAGCCATACTATAGTCAGTACCACTCTTATCGAATTCCTCGACTCTAATTTACCCTATAAACCTCTTTCTGTACTTACAAAAAGCAGTAATCCAGCTCAAATCACCAAATCGTGATCCCTCCAAAGTCCCAGGTCCCCTAAAAAAACGCTACAAAAGCTTAACCCACCCGGCCAAGATAACCCTAACGCTGACACGCGTCCGTCCAATAGCGCCATCTCGCCCCCATCAAGCGCACTTACCGCATCAGGCTCTTTCCTTCGTTGAGTACAGAGTACAGCCATACAGCCATGATGACTCCGCCACGCCCCATCATCATCCTACAGTAGTGCTGATGGCAACAACCGTAGGGGCGGCGCTTAGGGTGTCAGAACGACGTGGTGACCCGATTAGGGATCGCGTTTCGAGACTGTATACAGTCGTAATATCAGCCTTGAAATTTGCATCATTTTTTGCTTTGCAGTCGTGTCTTCGGACAGATAGGTGGACATATTTTGTGGAACCGTACTCCGTAGGTAAAGGATGAAGGATTGCTACCCCTAGGCAGGACGAGATGAGATTGACAGGATGCTCACTTAGAGGGCTGTCAAACCTGTCATCGGGGAGTACATCCAGCGATTTTTTATTCCACGCCCTATGGTACCATCGACGGCATGTCCTACGCAGTTTGTGAGCTACACTGGTAGCTGTTGCGCCAGCCTTATCGATGCCCCTGTTAAAGGATTTAAAGGCGTGTGTTGAAGGTATGGAACGGGAAACGGATTGGAGTTATGATACAGCGTGTATCGTGATGGCTATTGGGCATGTGCAAGGGGCTACTCTGTGCGATAGCGATAGATAGGGGTCTTCTAAGGGCGAGATTCTTATTTAGATAGGGAGATGAGTAGGACGAGGGTGGTATGATACCAGAGATAGGATACCAGAGGCAGTGAGCGAAAGCGGATGCAAATATATACCAATGAAAGACACAACATTGTGCACTATAGAGCTCTCCAGGACCGTGCGCTTTTCTATTTTTACATACAGTTATGTGAATATAAACTCTGGGAATATCTTCAATCGGGTCATACGAAAGTCGGCCACGTGATGTGGCTTGCTTCATTACGCCATGCCAACCCCAAGACGTCGCGTGGTCTTGTCCCAACCGAAGGATTCAAGTACATAACACAGTTCAAACCCATCGTTACGATCTCGTCCCTACAAATCCGTCACTGAATAGTTAACTCTTAGAAGTAGCTCTTTGACACAAGGCAGATATACAGAGGAACAAATGGCAGGCCCCAAAGTCCTCGTCTTCGGCGGCACAGGCCCCGCGGGAATCTGTCTCCTCAGAGAGCTTCTCCATCGCAATCACCCCGTGGTAGTTTTTGCCAGGACGCCCTCCAAAATCCCAGAAGATCTCGCATCAAACCCTCTCCTCGAGGTACCCTCCATCCTTCCAAGTCCACTTTTGCCCCAGCATCATGTGATACCTAGTTAACCCCTCCACAGATAATCCAAGGCACCCTGACAGATCTTGACGCGCTCTCCACCGCCGTCTCAACCTCCCATACCATTCTCTCCTTCCTCGGCCCAACCACAACTGGTAAATTTGACCCCACCATCTACTCCACCTTCTACACCTCCCTCTTCAACCTCATGCGGGAGCACTCCGTCCGCCGCATCTTCGCCATGGGAACCCTCTCCATCCCGCAACCGGAGGACAAGTTCTCCATCCTACGCCTCTTCCTAGTTTTTATTGTGCGTCTGCTAGCCAACTCTGCCTACCGCGCTATTCTGGACATCGCGCGTGCGTTCGAGGAAGCGGGAGAAGGAGTGGATTGGACGGTTTTCAGGATCGCGGGGATTCCGGGGGGGAGCGATGAGGAGGCGTGGAAGAAGGATAGGGAGGAGGGAGAGGTGTTTGAGGGGTTTATTGGCGAAGGAGGGTGGAGCGTTATGCAGAAGAGGGGGGCGTTGGCGAGGTGGCTGGTTGATGCTACGGAGGATGGGAAGGAGAAGTGGATTGGCAAGATGCCAGCAGTGGGGAAGTTGAAGGGTAGTAAGAGGAAGGTGGATTAAGGATGTTTTGTTTTGTGGCTGTCTTTGACGTTGGTTATTCGAATTGAGGGCTAGCGTGGGAGTTGGTTCTGTCATTCTCATGTGTGGGGGAGGAGAAGTGTGGCTGATGCTTCTATTCTATAACTTCCGTTTCTAATGTTGTAAATGCTGTAAATGTCTAGTACATAGTTCATAAATCCAGCGCCGGTAATGCATCTATCAACTGTCGTCAGAATGGACGACGGACTATCAGAAGTCCCAAAGGGTGCCAAATGCGTGTAGCCCAGCTGATTCTCAGATGTTAGTGATTTACTGTGGATTAAGATGCAAATGAACATACCTTCACGACACCCTTGCATCATCTCATCATTCCCCTGCATGTTTGAGGTAATGAAGATGACCTCGGCTCCAAAACTCGCCCAGGTGGCTTTGAGGAGTTCCATAGTATCTGGTCGTCCTCCTCGTTTCTTTGAGTCCCAGAGAATCATTCTCTCAGGCTCGATATGTTTGTGGATCAAACCCGTTATTGTTGGTCCAAAGGTTTTCTCTTGATCAGAGCCTATCCAAATTAGGAACCTAGCAGTGTGTTAGAAACTCCACCCATTTTTAAAAAAAATTGAGGGCGGCGAACCAATTCGGATCCTGGATGCAGGTAGACAGCGCTGCCCCAATACCAGTCCCAGTGCAGATGCGGATCCCTCTTTTAAACATTGCGGAGGCATGCCCAACACCAGCTATCATATATTAGTAGGTAGGTAGTTGGGAAGCAGAAAACGAGCATACCAAACTTCAGCTCCCTAGTCCACACGGTTTTAGGTGGATTCATAACAAGGTCCTTCGTAAAGTCACCCTGAACACCGCATATCATATAATGATGCCCGGATTTTCGGCCTTCGCTAATGATTCCAAACGCATGGTACTCCATGATCGAGGTGCGACTAATTCTTCCCAGAAGACCTTGCTGCATGCCGCGGTCGAAACGGAGAATCGCGACTTTAGGCGATGGCTAAAAGCTAAGTCAGTAGGTTTCCAGCTATGAACTACGGGGTGGCCTACAATTTCAACTTCCACAGTGACCTCTCGAAGGGTAAACCAAGGAACGAGAACACTATAGGGAATGAGTAATAGCCATCATGCAACAGGAGGGAAACATACAATATTGTCATGAAAATTACAAACCAGAGCTCCTGCGCGTGGAGCAGCGAATAAGTGTCGACTCTCCATTGCCCAAGTGTGATATCGTAAGTGTTTCCCAAGACTACGAAAAACCATGTGGTCTAGTATATGTTAGTGCCAGTCCCGAGGTTGGATTGAAGTGTACGTTCCATTATACCCAGCCATCCGATAAAGCGGTGGTGCTTCTCAAATACGTTATGATGGTAGCTAATCTAGGAGTTAGCTACTGGCATAGTTCAACAAATAAATCATAACACTGACTTGCGAACCCAAGGGAAGGCGGACAAGACCGAAATTATCACAAGGACATTTGTGATGATGCCAGTGATGATCACAGATCTGTGGTAAAGGCTTCGATGCCGTATGATGTCGACAATCTTGAATATCAACCACCTGAAGCCCTTGTTAGCCCGTTCGCCGCTGAGTTTCAATGTTGTCTTACCCAGCGCCAGAGAGTGCGCATCCCGAATGGATGCCTCCGACATGTTGCAAAATTGAAGTTACTCCAATCTTGATGCTTAATGGAGCCCACTAACCAAACCATTAGCACCACATCGTTTAGATGATAACTAAAGGGACGTACACTTCGCAAGCCATATATGGCGATTAGGTATAGGAACCGCAGGAACAACTCGTTTCGCATCAGGATTGCGCAGAGTAGGTTTCCAAGCACCAATGCACCAAGATGGCTCTCGGCATAAGGGAACCGACCGAGTGCAGTCATGATTATTCCGGCCAGGTTGAGCAAGGTGACAATGGTGAAGAACTTACGGTATGTGTTGAACCAAAGTTGAAAGGTGATCCATCGACTAATCTTCTGTTTTGGCCGCGCTGGTTTCTTGGCTACTTGATCAGGCGGCGGAGCTTTTGCGGCCTGCCACCCTTTGGGCCATTGTAGCGACAGTCGTGGCACACTTGAGAACGGAGAAATGCCTTCATGGATTGGTGAGATAGGGGACAAGGGGCCCTCGGTATGAGTTGGCATCTGGCCTACATGGGCGAGAGGTGGCAGAATCAGCAAGCTCTGCGTGCTGTCGTACATCCCCTTCTCCATATCAGATTCCTGGCAGTGGCCGCTCGGCGTAGTGGCCTCGCCCCGAGACCATGTTGAAGGCATATCGATGCCCCGAGATGCCGGTGAGATGAAAAATATGGCAGGGCCGATCACTTGCTAATTGCCAGATCGCAAGTTAACTAATTGCACAGATTCTGTGGCGATTTATAACGTTCAACGCTATGTGTAGGTGGTCCAATCCAGACTCATAAGGGCCAAAATAGAGAAGGATAGTCGCAATAGACACTTGATCCAATGCAGTAACACTCCAAAACTCAGACTTTCAACTCCAGCTCTGACGGTATATGAGGTAGGCAAATACTTGCAAGCAGTGACTGAGACGATGTTAGACCCGCCACATTCATGGTAGTTTGGGCAAGTCTAGAGCCTGGATATGAAGTAAATATAACGGGCTCTGCCAAGCTCGAATAAGGCTCTGAGTAAACTATGCCAGATTTATATGTAGATAAATGACTCCACTCTCTTGTAGGTGATGTGGGCCAAATTAGGCAGGCCTGGAGTTGAAGGCGGAATTTGCACTAGAAGAATGAAGTCTGTACTGCATAATCGAACTGTGTGCGTATCTGTGATAGATGTGAACTTGACCTTTAAATTCTGAGGTGGAAGTTATCCCAGCTGAGTGTCCGGAGTCGAGGAATAACGACAAAGAGTAATACAAAAATGATATCATAAATCCGTGATCCAAATCAGCAGAACGCAGTAACTGTTGGGCGAGCCATAGTCGTTCCATGGACTCCTTCCCTCCGCAAATCCACTTCAGCGTGATCAACGCCATGATTCCATCTATACTAGCAACACGTACATTAACGGCGCGCAGATCCGCTTACTGCTGATCGCTCTTTGCTGGCTATATGCGGCCGTCGGCGAAGGAATATTGCCTATTCGCCGTCGCCCCGCCGTGACACTGTATCATCGCCATGGTGGTGCCCGATGAAGAAGGCTGGTCTTCACCAACGAGCTAGTTGGTATTGGAGTCATTCCGCCGCCGATCAGGTACACGGTTATGCTCACGATGACTTCAGTTAGTTAGTGTGTGAAATGCCAATATCGCGGCTCCCAGAGTAATTTTGCCTATAAGCTTCCTCGGTCCCCCGGATCGGCTAGCCGTGGTAGCTTTCTGCCAAGTTCTCCGCCAGGCTCACTAGCGCTACATCTTGTAAAATTCTCATATATTTGTTACAGTAAGGCGGGTTTTTAGATTGGGTTATGGATTCTGTGATGGTAGATCGCCTGAAGGAGACATCCTCACATGACTCGAAACTGTTGGTGTTGGCATCGATGGGTTCCTGCCACCAAACGATTATAACGGACGCTCAAGGAGCTTCCTTCTTGAAAGATTCTAGAAGCCGCCCTGTCAAAACGGTTATAAAGGGCGCTAAAATAATTATGGGTGGCTAACTCAACCCTTGTAACTAATCCGGCATTTCATGGTAGATGCATCCGCCTTCAGATTAAGTTAGCGGTGTCAGAATTACACTTCCGTGTCCTTAATCTGGCACGGTAAAATCGACGGAAGGCGCACGCAACTTCGAATAACCTGGGGTAATATACCCGCCACGAATGACGAGATCCCCAGCATTCCAACCCCCCAGGCATTGCTCCTCTGGGGAAATGCAAACCGACTACCCGTCCCAAACACCCCTGCTCCCTACTTCGATCATTCCCTACCCTGGCAGCACATCTAAAAGCTGTAGCAATAACGTTAGCAGGTGACCATCGATGCCACGTTTCTGCGTCACCAGCAGCAGAAGCAGGAGCAGCAGCAGGCACAGTTAGGAATGATCGACGACAGGGTCGATATTACGCCGGAGAGATTCATGTTGGCGGCCTTTTGTGTAGTAATGCGAGATTAAGATTGGATGTGCTGAGCTGAGGTAAACCTCCTTGATGGATCGAATTGTAAAACTCACTGACTAAGCTAAATACTCAGTCACTGGTACTGTTTCCCTACTCTATTCTGATTTTGCAGCATAGTGTAGCCATAGCGTGCCGTTGCTTTCCAACTACTCTGACCTGAACGACTTCGCCGTTGCACGGATCTGTGCGAACTCCCGTACACGATTGTACGAACTCTTCGTTATTTATCGTATTGGCACCCTTATTTGAGATTGCATTTATGCGTCCTCTTGCAGATACTCAACAGCCCCTTTAGTTTGCATATTGCTTTTTTGTTGTCTCGTGACAAAACTATCGGTTCAGCTATCCGAATACTTACCTAACTCTGGGCATTGAATATTACAATACTCCCACCCCTATATTTTATGAGCTTGTGCCCTTTATCCACGATCCTAATAGTGTGGAGTTACGGTCCGCAAATATAAGAGAAATATTCGTCACAAACTGCTTATAAGAAGGCTTCAAGCTCGACAATATCTTCGTGGTTATCATAATTCAGAACAAATCAAATCAGTCAACTCCGCCTGCTCAATTTCACCATGAAGCTTCAAAACGCCTGCAACTTAGCAGCGGCGCTAAGCGTTGCTTCAGCGCACACTATAATGCAGTCATTCAATGGCAATCCAATGGGTGACGCTATCTACATGCCTAGCTCTAATATGGTATACCACTATACTTTCTTATAGCGTTTTTTTCTACGGCCACCTCTAGTTACGATTCTAACGAGAATTCAATTACAGTATCAGAGTGACGTGAATGCGAACACTCTTGCCTGCAATGGCGCGCCGGCCACCGGATTTAGGTCTTCGTCAAAGAAAATCACTGTTCAAGCTGGCTCAACTGTGACAGGTTTATGGCTACACGAACTTGGAAGCACCGACTCCAACCCCGGCGCTGACACTGATAACAAGGTGATTGCCAGTAGCCACAAAGGTCCGGTCCTTGCCTACATGAAGAAAGTCTCGGATTCGACCCAAAACCCTTCCGCTGGACCAGGGAACGGCTGGTTTAAGATCTCCCAGGCTGGGCTTATTTCCAGCACACAGTGGGCAGTAGATGCTTTGATCTCAGCAGGAGGTGTCCAAAGTGTCAAGATTCCCAGCTGCATCGAGAATGGCGATTACCTCCTCCGCTTCGAGATAATTGCTCTGCATTCAGCTTATTCATATCCTGGTGCTCAGTTCTACGTATGTTTCCCTGTGCATTTACTTATCCTTGAGCTTGGCTAACAATGTAATCATTAGGTTGAATGTGCCCAAATTACTGTCACTGGTGGTACCGGCACCGCGAGCCCAGCGACTGTTGCCATTCCTGGTGCTTACTCGGTGAGTGACCCCCCCTACCCCACTCAATAAACTCATCCTTACACATCTCAATAAATAGGGTTCCGATCCAGGAATTAAGATAAGCATATACAACGCCCAGGGGACCCCTTATCCTTCGAGCTACACAATCCCCGGCCCTCCCGTCTTCACTTGCCCAACCGGCTCTGATCCCAACCCTCCCGCAACAACCTCACCAGGCAGTGGAACTGGCGGCGGTTCCGGGACTGCGGCGAAGTATGGTCAGTGTGGCGGTATTGGTTGGACTGGTCCTACTACGTGTGCTTCTGGATCCACTTGCAAGGCTTCGGGTGACTATTATTCACAGTGCCTTTGATAGTCGTATTAGTAGATAATAGGCAGCCGCTTCATTAAACCCTGAGCTCAAGAATACGTGCGGAGGACCCTAGAGACAGCAATATTTTAGTGGGTGTTACAACTGTATCATATTATACAGCACTGGTTCGCCACGGCAACTTGTCAGAGACAGCATCGATGCACAAGTTACATTAGCTATAAAATCTTCTTGTACTCTGGCATAGCCCATTTACTCATCCATTCTGACCCCAGAACCTCGCCTGCCGTGCTCCTGTCTCCGGGCTCATACCTCAACATCGACCGCAACATCGCGAGCAACGCCTTCTCCTCATCCTGCTCAAACAATCCCATTCCCTCCTTTTGCCGCGGCTCTTGTGTGCTAAACCTAAACCGATCTTCCAACGAAAAGACACCCTCTCTATTCTCCAATGGCACACCATTGTCGTCAACCATTTACCTCGATCCTCCCATAGGAGCCACCACTCAGGCGGCAGTATCCCAAACGCATCAACCTGCCACCGCGTCACATCATCGATGTTAGCAAGCCAGGGATCAAACAGCGGCCGCTGCCCGAGGATTGACCAGATCGCACATGCCAATGACCACACATCGGAGGGGAAAGACAATGGCTTCGAGGGTTCAAAATGCGCTTCAGGAGGTCTGGTACACAATGGCGTATGCGATACATATTTTTCTTCCCTGGCAGGCTCAAAAGCCTCTCCGAAATCCATTAGAAGTATCTTAGCTTCTGGAAGTCTAACTTCATCGCTAGGCTTCCCGAGCCACACCGGCACGGTACCATGGGTTGGGATCCCGGGGGGAAGCTTCTGGCCGTCAAACCGAACGACGGGTTCCGTGGTTGGTGGGCCGTATTTCTCGTACAGCTGCTCGTCCGATAACTGATCAACTTCAGGGGGGAATTGTAGAAGGACATTGCCGAGGTGGATATCTAAAGATGAGATATTAAATGTTGTTTACTAGTAGGCCCCTCTATTGCGGAAAACTCACCTCCATGGACAATTCCCTGGCTGTGTATAAATGCTACCCCCAGAGCGAGTTGCGCGACTAATGCGCGAGCAACATCGAGCTGAAACATGACGGTATCAGAGGCTTCTAAGGCTTCAGATATGCTTGCCTGTCCTAGCGCCGTTACATAGCAAGGGTGGATTCCGTTGTGGCCTTGGATATCAAATCTGTCTAAAATAGAAGGTATGATAACTCTCCCACACCTCTCACGTGCTGTAGTGTCTTGGGCAGTAGTAGCAAGGGCGGAGAGGACATTCACCTTGCGGGGGTTGGACTCCGCTGTGCCGACCTTGATTGCCACGAGTTTCTGGGAGCGTTCATCGCGTGCAAGCCATGTGGTCGAATAGCCACCATGGCCGAGTTTGTGGACGACGCGGTACCGATCCCGAAGTTTATCGCCAATAGAGACTAGGTGATACCCCCCAGGCCGGTATCGATCCATTGGTTCCACATCCTCAATATAAACGTACTCATTTTCAGAACGATTGGATGCTCTATATGTCGACACCATTAAATAGTTCGTCTTGTAGTTGTTGATAGCCGTGCAAGGTGAGTGGCGAGGAAGTGACTTGCAATAGCTAAATCTAGGAAACGTCGGAATTAGTATCCGGCCATAGTAAGACCAGAGCGAAGGGCTATGCATTATAGCATTGTCATTATTGTAATCATGTAGTTAACGTAGAGCAATATATTTGAAGAGAGTAGTAGAGTTGGTGGTGTAAGTTTAACCCCACATTGTTGTGTCAGTCGCGTAACAATAGTATTGATGTGCCATGGCTAGTTTACAGGGGGAGAGAGTCTGGCAAAAGATGGTTTACTTGGGATCTGCCGACGAAAGAGATTTAGTTATACTATAACTTGGTTTGGATTTTGCGCGCGGGTTATATGTACTATCTGCTTCTTCCATTTCATAGAGTAGTATGACTTGTCAATGGTGATCGCTGTCTACAGATACTATCAGACCCTTGTTCAAGTCCTCAACGGGTAGTGAAGAGCAGCCGACATAGTTCCGCCTATTTTATCCAAACTACTATTCCCCACAGAAGGTCGACGCATACTAGCAGTTAAAGTAGGTAATACAGCGAAACGTCAGAAATCCATTCATAGTCTAATCATGTAGATTTAACAATCTATCTGCCACCTGGTTAGTATATTCACCCAAGTTGATTATGCCGGCAGTTTGGTGGCATGGAAATTTACCTTGACGTAAGGCTTTGTCCTTGCCGCTTTGCCTCCTTGGCCCCTTGCCCTATAAAAGAACCCATAGCCAGTTTCTAGAATTCGCATAGTTCTATCATATTCTCAAGATTAAGCCACAGAAAAAAAATCTGTCAACATGAAGCACATCATCTCCCTCGTGGCCCTCGTAGCCTCTGTTACGGCACATTCAACCTTTCAGGAATTATGGGTCGACGGAGTTGACCAAGAAGGAACGTGTATCCGCACGCCTCCAAGTAACAGCCCCGTTACGAGTGTTACCTCCAGCGACATCACTTGTAATGTTGGCGGTACGACAGGTGTTTCTGGTCTCTGTAGCGTTGCTGGTACGAGTTTATACATCCTATTCTGAACTATTAAACTGGAAACTAACAGCCTCCAGCTGGCCAGACCGTTACAGTAGAGATGCATGCTCAGCCTGGAGACCGATCATGCTCCACAGAGGCCATCGGCGGAAACCACTTTGGCCCCGTTATCGTCTACATGGGCAAGGTCACCGATGCAACAACGGCTGATGGCTCGGGTGCAATCTGGTTCAAAGTCGACCAAGAAGGCTACGACGTCCCGACCAAGACATGGGGAACCATGACACTCAACGACAATTGCGGCAAGCGCACCTTCACAGTCCCATCAAGCCTTGCCCCTGGTAATTATCTCTTGAGGGCTGAGGTCATTGCTCTGCACGCCGCTGGTTCATCAGGTGGCGCCCAGTTTTATATGTCCTGTTACCAGCTGGCGGTGACTGGCAGCGGGACAGCAAACCCGAGCGGAGTCAGCTTTCCTGGGGCATATAGCGCAAGTGACCCAGGAATCTTGATTGACATCTACCAGGATATTACTAGCTACACTATCCCAGGGCCAACTGATGTTTTCACGGGATAGGGCGACAGATAGATAGTTACAGGTGCATTAGAAGGGATGGTGGGTTTAAAGATGTAGATATATATTATAAATATCTTACTCCTACGAGGGACTGGCCCTTCTGCTAGCTATAGATTGAGAACTTAAGCCCCTTGATGCCTGAATGAGTCTATAAGACAATATAGTAATTTTAAAAGTTGGCTTTCAGCACGGGTGAGGCCTTTGGAAACCTGCCCGGCTCCTTCCCTTGTAATAGCGGCCCTCCTATCTTTCCTGCGAACACCCCATTCATCCACGCGGTCGTATACGCCACCAATATCTGCCTCATCTCATCCGGTGCAATCGTACCTAGCACATCCGCCAATGCTGTCGGGTCCTGCCCAGCCGCCTGGAGCAGCGTCGGAACATCCGAGAAGGTCTGGTGCGTCGTGTTCGCGATGTCGACCCACAGCTTCGGCCCCTTCAGCAGCGGCCATGTCGCCGGCCAGCTTTCATCGGCCATCCCGTGGGACATGAGCAGCACTGGCTGAGACACTCCTGACGAGGGCGATTCGAGGAAGGTGCCATCCATATTGATCGCGCCACGAATGCGGGTGTCCTGGCTAGCGGCGATGACGGCAGCAACGCCGCCTAGAGAGTGCCCCAGCATGGCGACGCGGTCGGTTGGGAATGGTCGGGCCCCGCGCTGGGGGAGAAGTTTGGCTATGGCGGTCGCATTGCTCAGCTGGTCGATAACAAAGGATGCGTCGGTGGAGCGAATGGGCAGGTGCTCCAGCATGGCCGATAAATCCTGTGTAGTGTCGTTGTTATAAACTGCGTGGCCATCAGGATAGGTAATGATGTCAGCGTCCCCGGGGTGGTCGATAGTGATGACTATGAAGCCCTCGCTGGCGATGGCAGAGGCAAGGACGTTATAATAAAGGCGAGGGATGCTGTAACCAGGAGAGAAGAGCAGAACGGGGACATCATCTAGTGGTGAGCAGCCGGAAGGATAGTCCGAACACACTGGCAGGCGAGCCTCCAAGAAGAGGGGCGTGAGGTTTGTTGGTATATTGAAGATCTCTTGGAGAAAAGGCCCCTGATAATCGGCGGTTTTGTCAGGCATGTAGTGGACAGGCACAGTGGATGCACACGTTGCAGGTTGAAATACCGACAGCATCAATGCCCGAGGCGTTGGTTTTTCGGCGTAAGGATCATTGCGGCCGTAGTCGATGAGGGTCCCAGTCGTCAATGTGACATTGTGCTTACCAGGCGGGTTTGGGACCAGGTACCCAGAAGTCGTGTTGGCGAGCAAAAAGAGAAGAATCTTAAACATAGACTGCATATCTGCGAGTGTCGAGAAGACTGGGGCGTGTGAGGTAGGGGACGACTGGAGAAGGGGGTCCAAACAACTGACGAGCGTTGTTTCGAATTCAGGCAGAGAGAAGACGATGGCTATCAGGTGGTAAAAGGGGCAGTTATATACTGTGCAACCTTATTCTCTAAGGACTCAGTATATCCCAGGTGTTGGCCGTGACGTGTAAAGTACGCCATCGCCGTGGAAACGCTAGGCATGGCTGTTGAGACCATCTCGGCCTTGGATGGTTTGGCAATGTCTGGCTCATCCGCATGCTGTATTGAAAATAAAGTTCTACATGCTTGCTTACACTTTCTCTATACTCAAATGTTTCATGATTATAGCTTCCGCTGCTGCGCCCTATATCCGCGTAGGCAATTTCAAGGGATTCGAGGGGCGGGTTGGGTCACCGAGGCATCTTCATGCCGACTGACCGACATGAGAAACCTAGTCGAACGGCCTTAGTATCAATGCCGGGGACCATCAGTACGTAGAGGGAATCAAATGGTCGGATATAAGGCCCGGCCAAGCAGAAAAGGGGACGCTCTTGACATCGAGAAACCAGTTGTATCTATCCATAGCGTCGTGCAGCCCGGCCAGTGCGGTTCGAGTAAGCGGTGTATCGTTTGACGCGCACTTTGCCGCGTAAGGGAACTCGGCCAGACTTACACTTCATAGGTTAGCAACTCGACTGCCGTGTATGACAGATAGTTGGGCTTGTCTAGAGAAGGTGTGTTCTATGTACGCGTCTCTCTCCTCCCCTGTAGCCAAGCCACCTTACACAGCCACTCGCTTGAGTCGCTCTCTCTCCAGCAACGACATACGGTAATTAATATTTATTCCGTGACTGGCAGGGTCTCTCTCTAAAAGACTGACTTGATCACTCCCAATGCCGCCGAGGACCACATACCACCTCGTTCTTACGGCGACAATCTATGGCGAGATCCACAACGAAAACGGCGGCTTGAATACTAATGCCCGTGTCGCCAATGACGGCCGCGGATGTTGAACAATCGCCGTTTGTCCTAGATCTTTACTCGTGCTTTATGTGAACACATCCAGAGTATCCAAGATGGTTGCCCGCCTTCTCTCCCATATGTCCTCTCTTCCTTGGAAGGCGAGGAGAGAGTTCCCCAAAATGACTATTTGCTGACGCCTTTCCAAAGGCTGAAGTCTTTGTTGGTATACCTTACATAAAGGTTTCATTCATTCACTCAACTGCAGGCGCTGTGGCTTATCTCTGAATTTCATCTTGCAAATATCTATCTAAGACATCCTATCTCCCGGTGTTATCTCCGTATGCCAATTCCTGTTGCTTCAACTCCATTATCTGCTCGCCTTCCTTCTCAGCCTCTGTTTTAGTACTCTTGAATTTCCTTCCTGGGACTTTCTTCGCGAACAGCTCATCAAGCTCCTTGTATGTCCGTCCTGCCGTCTCAGGCTGATATACCCATAAATATACACATGACAGCAAAGCCAGCCCTCCGAAGATGAACGAAACCTTCGCTCCTAGGTTTGCTTGGTCCGGGTTGAAGAGCTTAGGGAGTACAAATGCCCACATGGTGTTTAGAGCGTTTTGCGTGAAGATGCCGATGGCGATGGTTTTGACGCGCAGACGGGACGTCGCCGTCTCAGTGAGGAGAGTATAGGAAACAGCGCCTATGGTTACGTTGTAGGACCAGCAGTAGATCAGGATGAGGGAGCAGGTGCCTAGAAGATGTCAGTGGACATTCGGAGAGGATATAAAATTAAATATGGATATGTACCTTTCAGGGCACCTGGAGTTCCAATGACAGCAAGTCCTCCAGTGAGAAGTAGGTCGACGGTTAGGAAGCAGAGACCATATAACATTAGTGGTCTACGACCAACGCGTTCCACAAGAAACCAGGACATGATATTCCCAATCATAGAGATAACTTGCTGTACAATCTGCAAAATATAACTTTCGCTGGTGGAGTATCCAGCAAGTTGGTAATAGTAGGTCGAGTAGCTTGCAGCGAAGTAAATACCCGAAAAGGTCTGGATGAGAAAGGGGGCGATAGCGATGCCTGTTCGTCGTAAGTTGGATTTTCGGAAGCACTCTAGGTAAGTGGCTCCATCGGTCTCGCTTTTGACTTCCTCAAGGGTCAAAATTATCTGCCCTATGCGCATTTTAATTTCGGATGGGGAGTACCCAAGCTTCTTAAGGGATTTGGCGGCTTTAGCTTCACGACCTTTGCTGAGAAGCCACCATGGGGACTGTATTAATGATTAGCATCGGTCACTCAAAAGACCTACTACTCACCTCTGGCATAAATGGGAGGAATATTGTTCCAATAGCTGCAACAGCATATTGTGCGACAAAGGTAGAGCGGTAGGCCCATCTGCTTTCTGCGATGCACGTCAGAGTCTGAAGTCCAAAGTTCAATTAAATAGGCAGAAAAACTTACCGAGTGTGCCTGTCCCCTTGATGATGAGTGCAACAAGGAAAGGGCCGAGGGTGAAGGATACTGCAGCTGCACTGCTCACGATACCGCGAAGAACAGTTGGCGTAATCTCGCCAATGTAGGTGAAGGACACGGTAACCAAAGCGCCGATAGCAAAACCACTATCGAAGAGGTCATATTAGTAGAGTTTCTTAGATATCGTATAAGTCTAGACATACTTCATGAACTTTCCGGCGAAAAACATGGGAGATGTAGTTGCAACGAACTCGAGAGTGATGCCGACGTATGAAAATACAAGAGCAAGGGCATATGCCCATTTTCTCCCCACCTTATCTGCAAGATAGGCAATCCCGAGGGATCCAATACAAGCACTATAGATAATTAACCTCAGGAAACCTAGTTGAAGACAAAGGACTCACGATGCAACCGGGGCCCCACTAAAGGCCGCCTGCCAGTCAACGGGCAGGACATATGAATCCTTATATTTGTAACCAAAGTCCTAGACCGTAAGTTAGATGAGCGAGTTAACTTTATTACTGTGAACCAACCTTTCTGAACTCTGGAATGCCGAGCACCGCGCCACCTGCTTGGCCTTCAAAACTGTTCAAGATGAGCATCCAGATGGCGTAGATGCACCACAGCATGACCCAGGGATTATCTCGAATTGCCTTCAATGGTGTGAGCTCATGCTCCCCTTGATTGGCGAGTCGACCAGTCTGTTCGACGCTCTCAATAAAGTCAACATCGGTCTTCTCATTTTTGGGGTTCTCCATTTGTGTTGAATTTGTTTCGACCATTAAGAGGTCGGACAGAAGAAGTGCCGGTGTTATAATTTATGCAATTGTTTGCTTATAGTTGCAAGAATCTGATAGATCTTATATATTTCTTCGGATGGGGTCCGAACACCACAGTCGGGATCTCAATAGGCGGAGAAAGAACGCGGGGACGATATTGGCGCTCTGCAATATGGGGAAGTGGCGGGGAAACTTTAATCGGCGGCCAAAGCCATTCAAGTCATCTGCAAGAGGCATCTGGAAGCGCTACTGTGGTTTGGCGTTTAGACCGAGACGCGAAGGCATGGTCGCTCTTTCCGTTGTAGATCAGGAAAGTGTGCTGCGAAAATTCATGCCCCTTGAATCCATGACCGTGGTAAAAGGGGTCATTGCAGAGAAGTGTGGGGTATCCCTTGGAGAAGAGGGGTAATTACTATGGGGCTGGAATGACACCAGCCGAAAATTGTTGTTCAGATGAGGCAGGTGGAGCCACCGCATTCTTTTCTCGGAGTCCGTTGGAGGCCTGGAACGTGGAAATAGGTAGATCGGCTAAGTAGCACCCATTCCAGGGATTGGTTCAAGCCGTTCTATTCTATGTTGTATTCCTACAGTGTAATTGCCAAGCCCCGAAACCCCGCAAACCCAATGCCCACGTTGACGGGCCCGCTAAATATCGAAGTGTGGGGTATAATCAAGTCAACGACGCTCAAGTTCAGTCAGATCGCATGCATCACAAGATTTGCTCATACTATGTTAACTTGTCAACATCGATATTGATGGAACAAGTCTCATTAGAATGGCAGGTCTAGAAGACTATGCGTTCGCATATAATGCTACATTAAACACTTCTCCAATGAACCTTTCCACATATGATGAATACTCGAACGACCCCAGGTTCATAGAGTCACAGAGACAGTTTCGAGCACTATTATTCGATACTGCTCATTCTACGGGCCCTACGAGAGTCGGCAGCCCAGTACCAGGAGATGGCAAAGATTCAGATTATCTTCACCCTTCGGACTCCAATGCGTCAACGACGGAATGTGGTTCATACATTGGGACGGTTGTGTCGACAGTTGAACGCGTAATGTGGCTGAAGAATTACATCAACGAGGTAGCTCCGTGGCTCGACATGTTCGATGCACAGCAGGCCTTCGGGAGGAAAGTTCCTATGCTTGCAAAGACATCTGCTCCCTTAACGTACGCAATACTCGCCATCTCGGCACGTCAGATGGAACGGCAAAAAAAGCTACGGGGCGATCATAACAGCCTACAGCTTTACCAAGAAGCAATCAGATCATTAACGCCACAGCTTCAAGCACGAGACCCAAACATTTTGGCTGCATGCGTGATACTCTGCTGTTTAGAGATGATGTCTGCTGCTCCAAAGAATTGGAGGAGGCATTTAGATGGATGTGCGGCTCTGTTTAAATCATATGGAATCCATGGATTTAGTACTGGAATCCCTCAGGCCGTGTTTTGGTGCTATGCAAGGATGGGTACGTTTTATAGAGACCTTTACAAGATAGCTTATTGAGCTGCACCCGTGTAGTCATGTGTCTGTAATTTAGATAGTTGATGTTTCTTTTTGGCTAACGCGATACACTAGATCTTTGTGCAGCCATCATTTCGGAAGGGGATCAGGGTTCAGTGCTAGATCTCCAGAATTGGCTCCCTGAAAATGTTACGGCCTCCCAAGCAGGCGCCCTCTTTCGCTCTTCGGGAATCCCAGACATGTACGCAAACTATGCCGTATGGCTGTGCGCCCGAGCATGTCACTTGTCCTGGACTCGAACAAGAGCACATGAACCCAAAAATAGCGGGGTCAACACGGAGCCTTTCATTCACTCGTGGCACAATCTTTGGGTTGAAGTGCAGGGCTGGGCGCAAAAGAGACCGGCCGAAATGCGAGAGTTGGACTTCGCAGGTGGTGGCAGTCAATCTCAAAGCGGACCTTTTCCCTTCATTCTCTTTGCTGCTCCATGTGCTATCTCTTCAAACCAACTATATCACACTTCATGTTTACTACTACTCGGTATGAAGCCATTGTCCGTCAACACGCGCGAGATGGGTCATGTTGGCTCGGCCTTGTGGCATGCCTATAGAATATGTGGTATCTCGATAACAAACTCTCATCACGGCTGCTTGAACAATGCAATCCAGCCTCTTTGGCTGGCGAGCAAGCTACTTAGCCATCCTGCCGAGCATAGATTGATTGTAGATCTCATCAAAAAGATTGAAACAGTAACTGGGTGGAGCGGAACCTGGAGGATCCGAGACCTGAGGGAGCTCTGGGGATATGACAAAGACGACCCATCATTTTAAATTATGTCTATCTATATTCAAGGCAAAATAATACATTAAAGCTCTATAAATTCGCTCTTGAGAGCCCGTTGTTGTTCAATAGCGTCTAGATGCGCCAAAATCTTACACGATATAACCTTACCGTCGAATCCGAAATATTTATAGGCGTCTTTTCCGGGTAAACTTTTCCCAAACGACTTCATCGAGATACTCGCGTCGGCATAACGCTCCCATCCGTTCGCAGCATACGCCTCAACAACCACGACTAGCGTTTCCACCCGGCGCAACACGCTTCTTCTGTACTCGCGACTCTGCTCTTCGAATAACCTTTGGCATGGGAAGCTGATGATGCGGGCTTTAACACCATTTCTCTCCAGATCCTCAGCAGCTTCGACAGCAAAGCACATTTCGGAGCCGACGCCGATGAGTGTTACTGCTGCATCTTCCTTCTCACGGAATACATAAGCACCATATCTGACGGAATATCGATTGCTCTCCACATGCTGCGGTAGATTCTGTCTTGACGTAGAGATAATTGTCGATCTATGCTTAGACTTCAACGCCACAGTCATCGCGCCAGCAACCTCTTCTGAATCACATGGTCGAATGTATAGGAGATTAGGCATAGCACGGTACAAGGCTGCCAACTCAATGGGCTGGTGAGTAGGTCCGTCTTCTCCTGTGCCGATGCTGTCGTGGGTTGCTATATGGATGACCTGGAGCTCCTGGAGAGCCCCCATGCGGACTCCAGGCGCGGCGTACTGGAACCACAGTTAACTTCGGGAAGCGTCATGAAGTTAATGATAACGTACCAAATAGAACATGAAGAAGCTGGATGTGACGGGTATGATAGTCCCACGGTTGAAGGCAGCAAGTCCATTTGCTATAGAAGCCATAGCATGCTCTCTGATACCATAATGTATATAGCGCCCACTGTAGTTGCCATTAATACCACATACGGTTTTAAGGGTGGGCTGCAGCATAATTAGTCCTCTAGCCCTAGATATATAAGCTGTTGGTGGCACTTACACTTTGAAAGTCCACCTTTCCAGGCCAACTCATATGGACACTTGGTGATAGATCTGCAGTGCCTACCATAAAATTCGGAATTGTTTTTGCCAGCGGATTGCAAACAAGGCCTGCAGATTTGCGGCTTGCTGTTGGTGATGTGGGGAACGACTTTGGAATAACATTCTCCCAGTTGCTCGGCAGCTCCCCTTTAATTCTTTGCCGCAACTCATCGCCCAACTCTGAGTGGGCTTTGCAGTATGAATCCAGCAAAACCTCCCATTGGTCCACTGAATCAGCCCGGGAACGGAGGTCCTTTCTAAAGAAGTCATACACTTTGTCCGGAACGTTAAACCGCTCCTCTGGGTCGAAGCCGAATTTCTGATGAATATTCTTCACGTCTTCTTCACCAAACGCAGCACCATGAGCCTTGGCGTCTCCTGCAACCGCACTTCCAATACCAATCACAGTGTGGCAGTTGATGAAAGTCGGTTTCTCGCTGCTGTCTCGTGCGGCGGCTAAAGCGTTCGTGATACTTTGCACATCGTTCGACCCGTCTAGAACCTCAATAACATTCCACCCGCTCGCCGCCATCTTCGCATTGATATCTTCTGTATTTGCAACATCTGCACTTCCATCACAAGTGACGTTGTTATTGTCAAATATTAAAACAAGGTTGTTCAGTTTCCAGTGTCCGGCTAGAGAAATGGCTTCTAGCCCAACACCCTCTTGGAGGCATGCGTCGCCAGTCATACACCAGGTTGTATTGTTAATAATGTCGAAGCCAGGTCTGTTGTAAGTTGCTGCCAAGTGCTTCGTCGCCATGGCCATTCCAACCGCATTGGCAATTCCTTGGCCAAGAGGACCGGTCGTGACTTCTATCCCAGTATGCTCTCTCTCCGGATGCCCTGGACAAAATGAGTCTGGGGACGGGGAGTGGTAGGTTTTAAGTTGATCCAAGGTCATATGCTTGTACCCTAATAAATGAAGAAATGAATATTGAAACAAACACGTATGCCCTTTTAAATTGTTAGATACATTATGATGTTATGCTTGGGGGGGGTCGGGATCACTCAACCATTTGATAAGATGAATCTATCGCGATTAAACCACTCCGGGTGATCAGGAGAATATTTCATAGTGTACCGCCAAAGGGCGACACCAATTGCTGCCATGCCCATCGCACCTCTAATCCTGTTAATAATTGAAAACATCTCAAAAACCTTGTAAGTTGAGGCATACCCTGGATGACCGCCATTGAAATGCTGCACGAGGTCTGCTATTAGAACCCGAAACGTCCGCAACACCAAATCATGATCTTCGTGGTCGACAAGACTTAGGTTATGAGACTTTGACTTCACGGTGTCAAAGTCAACCAGTGTTACGGATGGCGCCATTGTTGGAATCGGAGGTGTTTGTACGGGAAATGGATAAACACAACACTCTTAAGAATCGATGTTTAGGTGGCGGTTATTATAATTGACAGAGCGCGCAGGAAATCTAAAAGGAAGCTGAGATACTATTGCTGCAATATTTGGCAGATCTTGGTCTACCTTTTTTTAAAAAAAAACTGAGAATCGAGGAATTATAGCTTTCAGCTCGGAGTTAGAAACGTTAGTGCAAAACTTATTGGAACTCTCATTACATGATGGTAAAACAACTGTAGAGTTGCTCTTAGTTCCACTTGGTATTCTTCGGTGCTTCCAACTTCCAATTGCGGATGCGGGGTCTGTGTTCCCACTTTCTCAATTGCGGGTCACGTAGCAATCAATTTTCCCCCAAGAAGATCTGGTCCAGACTTATGGTCATCTGCACGCCTCCCGTACTCAGAGCATTTTTGATGCTGTACATGTTAGTATTGATCCTTGGCGCATACATCGGGTGCCTTACAAATTGTCGTTGTAAGACGAAGCTTTCACATGTTTGCGATCCAACTGTTTCTTTACAGGACAGGTATATTAAGTCACAAGTTTACAGAATTACCATTTGTAATTTGCAATTTTGATAATTAGTACTAAGTTTGAAGCCTCTAAGAGCATTGCTCAGTCAAAAATACGTATTGGTTTCTCAAGATAGAAGCCAGGATCGTTGAATCTGAGGCCCTTGTCAAGATCTGAAATTTCAGCCAGCTCCTCCTCTGTCATCGAAAAGTCATTCACCTCCAAATTCTGCTGTAGACGTGCCTTGTTATTTGATTTTGGAATAACGGCAATGCCCCTATAGTTGTTAGTACCGCGATAATCTATACACACCTTGCCAATTTCACGTACCTTTGAGTAGCCCAGCGTAAGAGAACTTGCCCGGCTGGCCTTCCATGCTTCTCGGAGATCCTTTGAATGACAGGGTTGTCGAATAGCATCGGTACACCTTCAGCTCTCTTGCTGAATGCCCGAGGAAGTTCAATAAACGACTGTGGACCAAATGTTGAGTATCCCGTAATGGCAATTCCTTCTTCTTGTGCCATTTTGACCAACGTGTCCTGTACGAGGTATGGATGGTGTTCAATTTGTAGGCTGGAGATTGGGTGTCGACAATATGAGAGCACATCATAAAGTAATTGCGTCGAGAAGTTGCTGACACCAATCGAGCGCGCCACGCCCTCGTCGACAAGCTCTTCTAGAGCTTGCCACGTCTCCGATATGGGGACTTTGTCAGTTTCAACAATCTTGCGATCTTTATCCATCCACCAAGCCTATATACTACTTAGCATCGTGGTACATGCAGGAATGAATGTAATCCGTACCGGATAGCGCAGCGTCTCAGGCTCAATATACTTCAGTGCGACTGGGAAATGAATAAGATAAAGATCAATGTAATCCAATCCCCAGGCGTCTCGTTGTGCGTATGCCATCTGTTTGACGTGTTCTCTGCACGATCTTTAGTCTCAGACCTGAAGAAGGCTTTTGTACTCCTTACTTTCGGTGATAATTGTTCCACAACTTCGTTGTCACAAATATGTCTTCCCTCTTTACGATTCCATCCTCAACTGCTTTCTTGATGCCGAGGCCGGCTTCCTTTTCATTTTGATAATCGTAGGCCCCATCGAACAGCCTGTATCCAGTCTTGATTGCGTGGTAGACTGTGTCTGCCGTAGTATTTTGGTCAACTTTCCACAGGCCGAAGCCGACAAGTGGCATACTCTGGAATACTTGTCAGCTTACGAAACGATTGCTGCCATATTATTGGCAATGTCAGGTATGGGGTGGCTTACATGACCTGATGCAAGCTTCACTGTAGCCATTTTTAAATGATAATTATGAGATACGCGGGTCGTTGTGTTTCTACAGATTCGTATCTCACTCGGTTTGTTTTACTGTAGATTACGGGTCGACTCTTTTATAAAGGTATTGGAGAAAACAAGTCTCTCAAAAAGTATGAATTAGTGCTTCCCAGCAATCGATGGATAGGCAGTTCTCAAGTCCCGCTTGGGGTGGGGTAGTTCTCCAACGGCGCTTCTAGTTTCCTAAATAGGAATCTTATGGTGCGTTAACTGCGGGGATCCGGAACTACCTGTCTCTCAGAAGAAGTAAGCTTTGGTAACACCTATCTATATAGGATTATTTCTTGTATTTTTTGTTCCTAGAAGTTTCCTACCTCATAATATTTGGGAATATCATGTCGCCTTCGTTAATTGACGCTGTTGAGGAAACACGACAGGAGCTGGGAGCTCAAGATGTCGCCCCTGTCAAGCAAAATGGATTCAGTCCATCCCAATTTAAAAACCCAAGCCTTCAAGTCACAGCTGATCACAAAGTAAAAATGGTGGATGCGCCAATTCGAAAGCCTGGCAGCGGGGAGGTTTTACTTCATATCAAAGCGACAGGAATCTGCGGGTAAGTCTCAGGCCTCAGGGTTCTTCTCAGCAACACTGACCGAAGTAAAGATCTGATATCCATTTCTGGAAGCGAGGCAGGATTGGGTCGCTCACTGTTGAAGGCGATTGTATTCTTGGCCATGAAGCTGCAGGGGTTATTTTAGAGATCGGGGAGGGGGTATCGGGTCTACAAAAGGGAGACCGCGTCGCGTTGGAACCACAGATCCCCTGCGGAACGTGCTTTTCGTGTACAACAGGACGTTCCAACCTATGTCCCGATGTTCAATTTATCGGTGTTTATCCACACCATGGTTCACTGCAAAGATTCGTTGTCCACCCTGCTAAATGGGTTCATAAGTATACATCTCCCAACTCCCCTCAAGGCTGGCGGTGCTGACAACATCCAGACTTCCAGAAAATGTATCATACGCACAGGGTGCCCTTCTTGAACCCCTCTCCGTAGTCATGCACAGTCTCTCTCGTACTCGCCTATCACTCGGTCGCGGAGCCGTGATTTGCGGTGCAGGACCAATTGGGCTCATTGCTCTTGCAGCAGCACGAGCGTCCGGAGCCCATCCGCTTGTAATCACTGACTTGGAGCCGAAACGCCTGGCCTTTGCGAAAGACTTTGTGCCGTCTTGCCAGACATATCAAGTCGATCCTACGCTAAATCCAGAAGGGAATGCAAAAGCGATACGAGCTTTATTCGGCAGTACAGAGTACGAAGCGCCAGAGACCATCTTAGAATGCACGGGCGTTGAATCAAGTGTTATCACGGCTTCTTTTACAGTCCGGAGAGGAGGAGACCTAGTGGTTATTGGTGTTGGAAAGGACATCATGAACAACCTGCCATTTATGCATATAAGCTTATCGGAGGTAAGTTCATTTGCTCCGCATGAGAATCATCCACCTGGATGTATATGTGCTTACAAATTTTGACACAGATTAACTTGAAATTTATCAATCGATACTGTGATACCTGGCCAGCAGGTATATCAGCATTGAGTGGGGGCGTACTCAATCTTGACAAGTTAATTACGCACACCTTCCCGCTGGAACAAGCTTTGGACGCGATGGAATTATGTTCTAATGTTGCGTTGGGGAGTATAAAAATCCAAGTCGTGGATGATCGGGACATCGAGCCCTGAGGTAAGAGGGATGTGTGATAGATGTGTTGTAGTACAACCTAAGAAACTATAAACACATTTCAACTTCCAACTGTACGCGCTTCAGCAAAGTTGATTATCTCGTTGAATTACGGTACAGTAGCTTAGTATAGCAATATATATAGTTATGGACTGTAAGTTCAAGCTAACTAGATTAAACCTCTGCGACTTCCCAGTCAACCTGTAATTTCTCTGAACCAGATGAATCATCTGCTACTTCAACCAATACCCTCCTATAGGCCCTCATTGGAAACTTGGCATTATCAATGACTTCCAAGATTAAATGGTAGGTTTTTGGTCCCCATTTCATTACTTTTTCCGGATCTAACGGGAAAATCATCCCTTCGTCCTTTCCGGGGATCTCCACCGAGACCTTTTCGAATTTTCTCTTCCCGTCAGACTCATCTTTGAAGGTCAGCTCCGGTACCTCGAATTTGACTGTCCACTGCGTAGCAGAGGGCTCTCTATAGTGTAACCACCGAAATTGCAGGCTGTCAGCGGAGTCTGGATCCCAGCTCTGGGAGGCGTCAAGGTGTACTGTTGTTCCAAACCCTGTCTTGATGCGCAAAGCGCCCAACTCTGAATCGCCGTTAACTACTAGTATAGGTGAGTGGTTGACGTTATTGAAGTCGTTGCTCAGCGTCCACTGCATACGTGCGGCGAAATCCCCCTGGTATGCGTCTCTCCAACGCCAGATTGTGGCTTGGCTTCCAACATGCATATTGCCGTCTTTTCCACGAACGTAGTCCGCAGCATCGCTATAGTGTCTGCTACCGTCTTTACCAGTAAGATCCGTAAGGTTATAACGTCCTCCCCACCCACCCCATCCAGGGTGGCAAGGATCCGTGAGTCCATTCTGAATGAGGCTGAGAAACGTTGGCGTATCGCCTTCTGGAATGAATACTGGATCCGGATAGGCTGCTTTGCCATATGGCCCGATTTGGATATATTTCTTGAGCCATTCGTTGGTCACAAGACTGGAGTCAGGGCCGCCCTGGTTGAAATGGTAATATGACTCTCCCGATATCCCCGTCCAAGCAGCAAGTCCGTATGCATTCCAGCCGTGAATAGAGGCAATATAGAAGATTTTGGGAAAATTCAGTCTTATCCAAGTCCCAGAGTCGTCTTGATCTGATATGGCATACACTCGAAGCTTAGCAGCAAATGTGGCTACTTCAGTTTCAGACCGAGACTTCTGCACTTGGAGGAGAGCTTGCGCAAGTACATTGGCGCCGCCCCAGATCAAAACCCATATGTGACCGTCAGAGGCAATTGCGTCCACGGCTGCAATAAGTAGCTCGGAGCCTTCATTCAATGGGCCCCGTGCCCCTGTCATCCCGTACTCAGCGATGCCATCGCGGACGACCTGACGTAGAACCTCTGCCGTTGGATATTGACGGCTCGGAGGAACATGCGCGTTCAAATTCGCCTGGACCTCGGCATATGCATCGAGGATTTGGTGGATCTGCTGCTTGTGCGTTGACGTCTGCTGCCAGAAGGAAGTTGTTGCAACCAACCCGTCGATTTGGAACTCATTTGCATATAGTAGAAAGCGAGTGAGCGACTCCGCATCATCGGGTTCGTTGCAGATGTCTGTGAGAACGACAATGTGCGGCTTTGTTTTAAAATTCGGAAGGCTCTCGAAAGTATGAAGAGCCATGATTGTAGTTTATGAGGGTGGGACGGAGTAATTTGGAAATAAAAATTGTTTGTAGATAACTGTTTAAAAATCTTCGAGGTATCCCTTAAGTTGTAATTGCTCGCATTAGATGGATCTTATGCTGAAGGATAAATAACGGTTTCCACAGCGGTGCTGATATGACGCTTTCTGGAAACGTCAAGTGTACTTTGGAAGCGCAACAGAACCGCATCAAGCCATACTGTAGAAAAATGTAACTTGGAGCGTATGTCCCATTTAGGAAGCCAGAGCCACAAAGTTATCAGCTAGAATCCCAAACTCACGGCTCTACTTCGGCCGGTTACTACGTAGTGGGTGGACTCATTATGGAAACTGGAGACACCTTTTTCCGGAAGTGTTTATAGTTGCCTAATGGAGGATCTTCGGTCAATATTGACAGACCTCATCTGGTCCGCATTTCCCAACTTTCCAAAGAACATCGCAACGGCACTAGACAACGGCATCACAGCAGTAAGAGCTGTAAGAGCTCGATTTATATCTGTATTAATTGTCTGTTCTCTTGTATGAAATGATGGACTTATCACGTGATATATAATTGTCTTGGTCCACTATTGGTGCCCCAGACTAGTTGAATGCCATGAAGCTATGCCGTATTTTACCTCCGACTTCAAGTTCATTCCCATAATCGCAGCATCCATAAATCAACTCTGCTCACGTGTCTATGTATGGTCCTTGTTGTGGAGCAAACGACACTTTGTCGTGCTATCGTATTTGCGCCCGTTATCTAATTATCCTCGGGCTCGGGATGTCGATTCGCGATGCCACATCCTGACCATTCGACAAGCCCGGCGCAAACTAGAACCCGACAGGGTTGTTTGACCTGCAGGAAACGACGAAGGAAATGTTAGTCTTGCATGTTAGCCTCTGATATATCTTAGTGAAAACCTGGAGCCTTCTCCTTGGTAGAGACCACCGCACGTTGCCTCGGAAGCTAATTTATAACAGGTGACGAACAAAAACCTCGGTGTCAGAACTGCACGGGACGAAGCATCGTTTGTCGTTATGGAGTGAAACTCACGTTCCTTGCTACCAATCGGTTCAATCTTGTGCCAGAGGATGCACAGGCATTGCGGGAGACTACTCCCAGCAAATATGGGCATATCAGGGTCAGAATAATTCCCCATACATTGAGAATATTCTGACAGTTTTTGAAGTTCATTGATGGCTTGGATGATACTGAAGGGGCCATAAGCGATGATCATGAACGGCATAACGCTGTGCCATCATTTGAGATATCTCCACATTCGCTGCCAGGGACTCCAGATACTGAACACAGTCGAACGGCCCAAAGAGTCCCTGAGAGCACTGTGAGCGTCCTAAGACAACCACAAAGTCGGTTCCCGGAGCATTATTACCATGGTGAAGACAGCGGAATTGGTGAGTCCCAAGGTATGGGAGAAGGCAGCAATGACGACGAACGACACCACCAAGCCCCAGTGGTGTATCCACCAGTTATAGATCAAAGTCACTCCTATGAAATGCCAACGGGAGATGCAGAGGATAATGTCCAACTCGCAGATGAGGCCGATTATGATCGACTCGTTTCGGAGCCACTGCCATCACGACGCCCGCTGCCTGTTGCTTCTCTAAGTCCTCGCCATAGCACAAATGCGGGTTACGGTAAGAGCTGGCTACCACCACTACGGACGGTGTCAGAAACCTTCGAATCGGCCACGCTGAGAGAGGAACCTTCCCAGCTGCAGGTCCTTTCTAACGACAAGCGCAACCAATTACTTAAATTCTATGTAGACGAAGTAGCGCAATGGGTCAGTTTCTCCAGAGAGGTTGCACCCTCTTTTCCACCGCTTTCAGGAGCTGAATTGTGAGACAGCTAGATATATGCACCCCTAAAAGTTCCTTTGGGATTCACATTCCAATTCTGGCAAGAGACTACACACCTCTCCTTAATTCAGTTTTAGCACTGGCGGCCCAGCAGCAGTCGCTCTTTTTGCCACCGGACAGTGATGAGGCTTCCCAGAGCGCTGAATTAGCAACACTGGCTACCGCATCGATCGGATTGGACATATATAGTAGTCGAGATGAGGCTGTGGCTACATGTACACTTCTGATGATAAGCGAGCTCCTGTCAACCCAGATTCAAAACTGGAAACGCGTGCTGAAAGGTCGAATCGACTTTCTTGGGCCACTAGGTATTGATGGATTCTCTGATGGTCACCACAGCTCCACTTCATGGGTGACATTAAGACTCGGTATGTATATTCACGATCCCAACCATCTTTACGCTCCTAACAACTATGACACCTCCCCTTTGCTACTTTCATACATACATGTTTTACCATGTTGTGAAAGCGTGATAGAAGATATGGCTAACCGTTCATAGATCTTGCACTTGCCATATTCTCCGGATCACCACTCATGACACCCATCGAGAAGTGGCACCCGGTATCAATGCCATTTTCGGATGACATGAATATAATGTCCCTGGAACAAAGCAGAGCCCCTGAGTGGACTCGACGATCGATTCTGCTGTGCAGCCAGGCTGCACAGCTTTGCTTCTCGACTGAGATCTCTAATATCACAACTTCTCACTCAGCCACGGATACTTGGACATATCTCTGGAGCTCCACGCGAGGATGGCTTGAGAGTCTTCCATCCTCGATGTATCCCATTTTCACGTCTCCCATATCAGCCATCCCCTCAACACCTCCCTACTTCTTCCCGCTTATTCTCTACACCAGTCGCTCTAACATGTACGCCGCCATCATGCATCACACAGCTTCTGTATTGCTATTGCAAAGCAAGCCACCTACCGTCCGCCCGTCTTCGCATCTGAAAACTCCGACCTGGCACGCTGTGCAGATTTGTGGGATATGCATTGGGAATAATGCGCAGTGGTCTTATGATCCCACGATTCTAGCAGCGCTGATATATGCGGGGCGATTGATCAGCTACCAGGAGCAGAAGAAAGAGCTGCTGGACGTCTTGCGGGTCTTGGTTAAAGGAAGTGGATGGCAAGTGGGCGGTGCTATCGACGAGATGATTGAATGGTGGCGAGTGGATGGAGGATTTCACGTCACTCCTCTTGAATCACCCTTCCCTACGACCTGAAAGCTCCTCGATCAAAGTGTGTTATTGCCGACTGGAATCCTATTTTAATGGGTCAGGAGACACTGATAATATGACCTCCCAACATTGCTGGGTGGCACCGATCGAAGTATTAAACTAAGATAAGCTTGTAACCCACCTGCTTATTGCTCTCAATCGTGCCAATGGGCATATCGTGGAATCTGAGCCTGTTGCCACCTCAAGAGTGATCTTGGGGGTGAGCAGGGTGAGCAACCGAGCTTCGGCCAGGGGTTCAGATCAGTGGTTATTGCCAAGCCGACAGGGTCTCAGCGGCGGCACACCTCGTCTCGCGGCTCCTTCTATCCCATAAACTCCCTGGATTACTCTGAAGCCTCACCGAATGCTTTCCATTAGTAGGGAATACCTTCAAATACATTCTTCAAATAAATCTAGAGAATGTACCAGCGCACGCTCCTCAGCATCAAAGTACTACGGCCATTTGCCAGCGCATCACATGGTATCACTAGACCGCCTATCTCCTTTCTCACAAAACCCCACACTTTACACATCGTCGTCCGACAATTGTCACAAACTCCAATCACAAGCCGACTTTCCAGCAATAAAGCAAAGTGGATAACGACAACGACAGGAAATGTCATACCGAGCACCGGCAATCCAAGGCTCGTTGCGAAGCTCCAAGGGGGATTCCGTATCATAAGAGAGGACATGACGTGTGCCGAATTTCACGATTCAGTTTGGGGATTTGTCGTACGAATTTACTTCCCCAATTCGGAGGTGAGAAAAAATTAATTGGCGGCTTATAGATATACCGCTGCGTAAAGGGCAACGATGCTGCGTGGACCAGCATTCTAGAGAAACTCCAAAGCCACGTCCGGGAAACTCTCGAGGATGAGAAATGTCAGGACCTCTTGCAATTCCATGATCTACACGTTATTGACGATAAGTCTCTTTAGTAAGTCCTCACGACTTTAGACATATGTATGCTGATGACAAGACTATTAGCGGCTCATCGGTTGAAGAAGTTAGAGCCCATTTCCAAGCCTGGGTGCCTCAAAACCTAGACGCTAGACTTCGTCCAGACACCGCGTGTACGATCCCCGACGTGAGCTACCTAAGCGTAGATACCACACCAAGATACAACTACTGTCTCCTCGTAGACGAGATATGTCTAGAGTCACTGGACCACCCAGAAGGTCTAGGGCCAGTAGTCAAGCTGGTCTGCCGGGACTGGGAAAGCCCTCCTCGGAGTCCTGAGGAAAAGCTTCAGGGGGTGCAAGCGCCGTTCCATGACGGGATCACAGGGTATGATGAGGAGGATGTGGGATGGATGTACATGCCTCTTCTGTTTTATACGGATAGATACGAGAACTTCCATGATTGGGGATGGAGTGACATGTATGTGAGGCCACCGTTTATAGATGGAGGCGAGGATGAGACGAATATGGTGGGCCATTGGAGGCGAAAGAAGGTTGTAGGCCAGGAGAAGGCGGTCTCTGAAACGTGATGCTAAGGTTGAATTACACAATTAAAAAAAATGGGACTCTTGTGGTAGAAATGTATGAAATAGGGTAACCCTTACAGAGTGTACACATCCCTCGCAACAGGGGAGATATGATATAATTATAGTCAAATTCATCGCTCGCTAATTATACCTAATATAACGCCATACACAAAAAATCCCCCACCCTTTTCCTCCCCTCCATATCCCCCCTACCCCACCCCCCTATCCCAAGAAAAGCTCCAGATCCTCGCAAATTTTGCCCACACAAAAAAAAGAACCCCCTACAACTCGTCCCAAACGACGTTATCTCCCCAGTCTTCCGCTAAACGCATAAAACACACCGCCCACCGACCTACTTCCTCCCCATCCCAAACATCATCACTCCAAAATCTCAACGACTATACTCCCTATACTCCCCCACCAACGACTCAATCCCCCCCGGATACTGATCCATCGAATCCATCGCCATATAATCCAACAAATCCACTCCCCCCAAATTAACCCCCTCGCTCGTCTGCGTAATACTCGTATCCGCATTCGCATTATGAAAGAACGCCGCGCCGGGTGGTAAATACCACATCTCCCCCGCATTCCCCCAATCGCTCCCCCCAAACGCCGGACCTCCCTCCGAGACAGCGGGCGCGCCAAAAGGGTTCTGCGCGTTGCCGTCCGTGGAGCCGTAGGGCGCGTTGCCGTAGAAGGCGTTGTTTCCCAGATCGAAGGCGGTGGCGGAGATGTTGATGTCTGGGGGGGTGGGGGTTAGTTGGTATTTGATAGAGGGCTCGTTAGGGGGTTGCATACCATTGCCTCCGTCGGAGAAGGCAGGCATGCCGGGGCCGTTCCAATGTCCGTTATCGTCGCCGTTGTGTGGGCCTCCCGCGATGGCTTGTTGGGAGTCGCTGGCGCCTGCTTCGGAAGAGACGGGGGCGTGCATGAAGCGGTTGCGTAGGCGTGTGGTGAGTGTGTGCAGGAGGTCGGCGAATCGGGTCCCGAGATGCACGTCGTCGACTACGCAGTCGCGGAGGGCTTCGACGGCGCGGTCCATGAGTCCGATGCTGACTTCGACGTCATTCTTGGAGGCGCCGAGGGCGAAGGTCTTGAGGAGGAACATGGCGCCGGAGATGATGCGGAAGTAGGTGCGGACGGGGGCGTGCTTGAGGAAGCCGTTGGGGAGGAGGCCTTCGACTACTGTGCGGAGGAGGTTGCGGGAGCCGTCGACTACTTCACGGACGTATTCCTGGTCGCGGGTTGTGAAGCCGCCGTAGAGGGTTAGTGGGATTTGGTTGAGGAAGTTGGGGTGGCGGTTTTCGGTTGTTGCGGCGTTGTTGGTGCAGCGTTCGACGACGGCTTGGAGGGAAAGTGAGTTGATGTATATCCGAACATATTCGTACTCGATGGTCAAGATGTGACGAATGTACTGCGGCAGGGGATAGCTGACAAAGGTCCGTTTCCAGGTGGCCAAGATTGGCTGGAACTCGGCCAAGAGATCGAGATACTTGCCAGTCTGGATGATATCAGTGGTGTACTTGCGCGAGCGGAAGATCTTGTCATTGCCCGCCCCCATAGCTGTCGTAATTCCCGCCCAACAGTGGATGATCTGATCGTCGAGCTCCAAGTCGGGAATGTAGTTGAATGAAGCCAGTATAGACGCGTTTGTGTTCGGTGTATTTCCATCCGCAGAAGACGTCCGCTGCTTGCGCATTTCATCATACGCTCTCAGGTTCTCAGGCACCATATTGGTCCATCCAAGTCGCCCCGCAAGTTGGGTCACGTAAATCAGCAGCAGCTTTTTGATGCGCGCAGCACGGTGGCGGTATGCTTCGTCGTCATATTCGGGACGAGCCATATCGCCGCCTACTTCCAGCAGCTGGTCGATCTGGTCGAAGACGCCGAGTTCGTAGGAAAGGCCCATAGCGGTACTCAGAAGCATCCAGCACATGCGGTCAGATCTCCATGCCGGCTCCAGCCAGCTCTCAATTCGCTTACCACCGACCCCGTTCAGAGCGCGCTGGTTTCCATCTTCATCCGTGGAGAAGTTGTCGGGACCCTCGTATAGAGGAAGCATAAGCTCGTCGGTAGCGTCTTGTGGAGGGAAATGGAGACCGCGAGGATGCCACTCGGTGAGAATCATCAGCGACTCAATCGTGCCAAGGGTCCGAAGGGAGCCCTTCCGCATCCCACGCCATGGCGCAGTGCTTGAAGTCTGCTCCCAATCAGTGGCGCCTGATCCGCAGAAACCCCCACCAAACGATTCTTGGCCCCAGAGGCAGCGCTCGATCATACCGCGAAGGTAGGTCCACAACTGTTCGTGGATTGCGTGAGACCGACACTGGCCGCCGGTTCCTGGGATTTGCAGATACCGAGATGCAATAGTCAGCAGCGTGACCGTCAGGATGGGTTCTTCCTGGAGTAAAGTGACGTGCGTCGAGGGGTTTTGGAAGGTGGGAGGCGAGATTGGTGTCATTGGCGACAGGTACCGATAGTAGCTGCAAAGGTCAGCATACGCTTCTTCAGTCAGTAGAGACAGTCAGCGACTTACTATTCGATATACGCAATAGCTTCAGCAGGAGTGAACCACCCAGCGCGGACAAAGCGGAATCTGGCCCAGGCTCTAACTGCTGTCTTGTATCCAGGGTCGTTCATGCGGTTTATAGTATCGTTATCGACCGGCATCGAGCCCCTCGTGTCCCTCGTCTCGTTGTGTGCCTGCGATGGAGGCGCCATGGGTCGTGGGTTGTTTGCCTGGGTGAACCTCGGAGTACTGAATGGTTGTGACTGTTGGAATCCTTGATTGTCGCGGGCAGAAGAGCCATCAGCGCCGCCGGAGTTGAGCAGTTTCATGCGCTTCGTCGGGGAACTGCATCTTGCATTAGCACAACCATCATATGAGAGACACCACACAAACATACCCATCGGTCGCGGCCTGGTACAGTAGATCCAGAGCATCATGCGGTCCATAAATCCCCTTCCTCATCGTAGATTGCGCCTCGGGGTTCTCATAGCGCACATTCGAGTCGCCGAATTGGCGCGACCCCGCCCTGCGATGCTCGCGCCCCGGCTGCGAATCAAAGCGATTGATACTCTCAGTTGGCGACGTAGCAACATTAGGCGGTTGGATCGGCGTATGTCTGTACGCAGGGTTTAGCGGCCTCGACCCGGTCGACGACTCCGGGCGCACCTCTGGCGGCTCCGAGCCACTATCGCTCGTATACTGCCTCTTGCGCGCGTTGCGGTCAACGAAGTCCGGGTCGTAGATGGGAATGTCATTCTCGTCGAGCCTCTGCTTGCGCCGGGTCACGGAGAAGTAGCAGTCCTTTGACTCGCGACGGCAGCGGACGCATGGCGGGGCATTGGGGTTGTCGACGGAGCCCAGGTCGCACTTGACTTTGCGCTTGCGACAAGGGATGCAGGCCTGGTAGACACGCTTGTGCTGGGTGGTGGGTTGGGGAGAGCCTTCTTTTTTCGCATTGGCGCCGCCACTGGTGGAATTACCGTTTCCGGAGGACTGCTGGGAAACCTGGTGTGTTGTTGCCATTGCTCTGGCAGGAATTTTGTTGACGGTGGTTGGCTTTGTGGTGATGTGAAGGGCGGATGGCCTCGCTTTGCGGCGGCTCTTTGGGGAGGGTTTCTCAGGTTTCGCTGGGGTTTAGATAAGCAAAGAGGGACTGGACGCGGGGAAAAGTTGACGACGAGAAGTGACTAAACTGTTTTAGTCACTAGCTCTGATCGGAGGGGATAAATGAAAGTGCGAGAGGTTGGACTCACTTTAGCAGATAGCCGTTTGATTGTTGACGATAGACCAAGTGATGGTATAAGATATAAGTTTTCCGTCTATAACCACTCTTTTCCAGGGCAGAAAAATATATAAAACGCGTGGTGGCCTCTTAATTGGGTGGGATTGTTGGGGATTGTGTAAGAGATGGAATCTCTTCCCCTGCATGTGACTGTTAGCCTGTTCCCTCACGAGGCAGTGCATACAAATAGGCGCAAATCCACAATTTGCACACGACAAAAGGAGAAGGTGAGAATGATATTCGTCCATCGACTCCCATTAGGGCATGTCCCGAACAGAAACGACAACAAATGATGGAAATAACTTTAGTCATGAACGCATCGAATAAGACATTCGGCGTGTCCAATAGTGTCAAAGAGACAATGGGGTATAATGGGTATAATGGAGTATAATATTGGGGCGTGTGTACTCACAAACGACCTCGGGTATGATTCCCAAGCCAGCCAGCCCCTCACTCAAAACACCTGCATGGAGTCAACACGAGCCACCAGGGTCTAGACCACTTCAAACTCACTCTTCTAATCTCCAAAATGCAGCGAATCTATTGATGAATCCAGTCTTCACGTCTATCGAAGACTCAACAAAGGGTAAGTATGTGTGTGTAAGTATGTATGTGTGACTGTCCGACGTGTGAGTATCCGACGTGTGACTATCCGACGTGTGAGTATCCGTTTGTGGTAGTTCCGTGGTGGGTAAACAGGTCTATTGATGGTTGAGGAAGGAAGAAGAAAGCCACCTCAACCCACTCGAATCCTCGCCTTATATATCCTCCAGCTTTTGCTGGGTAGGCAGGCCTGACTTATCCTTTTGACGCGTGAATTTGAGGCTGCGGTGACAGGAATGGAGTAAATGGTCAGAATGGGAGGTGAATTTGAAGTATGGTTGTTATGGGGATGAGCGGCCGACGACGAGGTCAGAGAGGGTAGGTGAGGGGATGGAGAGGCTTCAGATATCGATCGATACACGATCAATGAGGGAAAGACATGCCGTTTTTACTATCATACTACTCTAGAGAGCGAACGAGGACGCGAGTCGTCGTCAAAACTTGTGTTTACTCGTTAATATACCCAATACTCACTGTTTTCATATCACAGACAAAGAGACATCATATCTTCAGCGGCCACAAACATTCAATCTGTATCCAGTCTACATTTACATATCCCCCTTCAATCCCACCACCCCAAACGCCAAAATATGCCTACACACCCACCCCCAACCTTCCATCCCTCCTCACCACCCATCAAAATTCCCAAACCCCCCAGCAGCCTTAACCTTCTTCTTCACCGGCTCTTCCTCCCACCCCCCACCCTCTCCCTCTCTCTCCCCACCATCACCACCCCCCTTCCCCTCCTCAATAGCAGCCTTCAAATACCTCCCCACCCCCCCGGCCTCCTCACTCTGCACCACCGTCCCATCACCCCTAACCCTCTTCCCTGTCCACGTCGTCCTATCATCCTCCTTCCCCCCCATCCTCTCCACCTCCTCCCTCTCCCTCTCCTTCCCCTCCCTCTCCCTCCTCTCAGCCTGAAACTCCTCAAACGGGTCCACAAACACCACGACATCCTCAATAACCACCTCTTCCGTCGGCCGGTCCCCCGAGTCCACAGGCACGGCTTCGATGCGGGCAAGGACGTCCATCCCGCCGACGACGCGCGCGAAGATGGTGTGTTTGCGATCGAGATGTTTTTGTGGGCGGTAGAGGATGAAGAACTGGCTCGAGTTGGTGTTTTTCCCTTTATTCGCCATGCTGACGATACCCCTCGCATCATGGGTAAGCGGGCCATCAAACTCATCCTGAAAGTTCTTTCCCCAGCAGCTCGTCCCCCCCTTCCCTGTCCCCGTCGGGTCCCCGCCTTGCAACATGAAGTTGCGGATGCTGCGGTGGAAAATAACACCCTTATAGTACCCCTTCTTCGCGAGCTGTATAAAGTTCCACACCGCCCTCGGCGCCGTCTCCGGGTAAAGCTCCAGGTTCAACGACCCATAATTCGTTTCCAGCCTCGCATACCCCTTATTCTTCACCCGCTTCGGGCGCAACATATACTCCTCCTCCGTCAACAGCGCTCGCTCCCCGCTCGTCGAGGGCGTCAACCCCGTCGACGTAAACGACGCTGCCGCCTTCCCCGTCGTATACTGCGCCGCGTTATACACCTCTTTCTTCTGCGTATGCATCTGTGGTCTCATCACCGGCGCGCTCGCCTTCGCAACAGCCTTCGTCCTATTCACATCTCCATTCGCCTCTCTCTCTCTCCTCGCCTTCTCCACCGCCTCCTTAGCTTTCAACACCTTCTCCCCCACCCTCCCCAGCGCCGCAACATTCACGCTCCCCCCCTTCCTCTCCTCCTCCTCTCTTTTCGTAAGCACGCTCTCCCCCTCCTTCAGGAACTTAAACTGGCTCAGGTCGCGACTCTCCACATTCTGCGGGTCTTGGAGGGTAATTATATCTTTCCTGCTGAACTCGCGATCATCCACCAAGTCGCGCCACATCCTCGCCTTAACATTCAACCTCTCCACCGTCTCCCAGGCAAAAACATTCGCCTCTCCCCCATGTCGTATCGCCACAATATGCGTATTATCCGTAAACACCTTGAACGTAACCGGATCCACCATCTCGCCCAGGGCCTCCTTTCTCCCCTCCGCCGCGCCGGCGTCCGTGTCCCCGTTCCGCGCGAAGTTGAGCTTGATCAGCTCGGATGACTTGAGGGGGGCGCCGGTGACGGGGTTGGTGGTGTGAGTCGCCAGCCAGGTGCTTATGACTTCGATGTCGAAGATTGTGCCGGAGGGGGTGCAGACGGGGTGGTGGAAGGGCTGGAGGGAGGCGGCGCAGAAGTTGAAGGGGAGGCGTTTGAAGGAGCCGGGGGCGGAGCGGGCGTTAACGTTGGAGCCGGCGGAGGCGGAGAATTGGTCGGAGGACGACCATTCGGAGTGGGTGATCTAGAAAGAAAGGGAGTTAGTAGGGTGGAGATGGTGGGAGGTGGGTTGGTGATATCCTGTGGTCGTGTGGTGTTTGCGCGCCGGAGTCGAAAGGGACTTACGTAGAGTTTGTCGGTTCCTGTGAGGGTGAGTTAGCAACGACTTTGGATTCAGAGCGATCATAATAGTAGCTTACCTTTACCCATCTTTGCGGTTGCTGAGAAACTAGCTTGTGACGGAGGATGTTTATAGTTTTCAAGGAAGGCGGCCGCTGGCCGAGATAAAGATATCCCCAGGATCTAATCTTATCAGTAGCGCCTTGCGCTAAAACAAAGTATCTAGCCTAGCAGCAGCAGCCAAGCCAGCGGTAAAGTGCCAGTATGAGAACCTCCAGCGCCTGGACTCGCCTAATCCGACTTGATGCAAGGGACGATGAGAGCCACGACTACAAAAGCAATCGAGTTTAACTCAATGCCACCAAGGAGGATAAAACGGGACCGTCACCGCGGAGAAAACCCGCCGTAGCAAATAACCCCCCACAATACCCCAACCCAATTCTAAGAAAAGCAGAGCAACCCCCGCCCGCCGAGGAGTCCAAAGTGATGACCTCACCCTCAACCCCCCGACGACGACAACGACTACGTGACAAGACCCCAGCGCAGTTGCTCCGGTACGTCCGCAGGAAACTAGCTATCTACGACACCGCCATCGCATCCGGACAACCCGTTCCCCCCTCCTTCTCCGCGCGCTTCGAGCCCAATGCGCGGAGGCGCAGTCTGCGCTCGTTCCTGTTTGACGAGGCGACGTATAAGGAAGAGGTGATGCTGGGGCGTGTGAGGGAGTTGAGAAGGTACGAGACGATGTTGAGGGGGCTGATTGAGCTTTTTGAGCGACGACAGGAGGTTCAGGATAATCTTGGGCGTGTCGAGTCGTTGGTGCGACGGGCGGGACAGGAAATTGATGCTGCTGCCTGGTCGTAGAAGGCGTGTTGCTGGATGGGCTGGCAAATAGTTGATAATCACTCCACATGCGAAATCAAGATCAAGATATAAAGTCTCAACTGCATTCAGCATATCCGCTTCATAGCACCTACGTCCCAGCTCCTCTTTCAACAGAGCAAATCCAACTAGCTATTAAAAAAAAACTCCAAGCCCAATGCAAATACGACCTTCTCCAGCCGCGTGATCCCATCCATACTCCTTAAACCCACCCAACCAGAGCTATGATGCTAGCCATTTTCGCTTTCCAAACGCCTTGCAATGTCACCCTCCTCTCCTCCCCTTAACACCAACACCCTCGCACCCCTTAAAACCCACCATCCCACCAATCTAATCACTCCCCTTCTGAAACCTCATCCCCACCACCCAAGTCCCCTCAAACTCCACCCCCCTCCTCATCCTCATCCCACTCTTCTTCCACACATTCTTCGCAATCCCCACATCCACCACCCACAACCCCCACGCCCCCTCTCCCGTCCCCAACCCCCCCCTCATCGCCTCCAACAACCCCGTCTTCGGCACCCCGAGACTAACCACCAGGGTGGCCTGAATCCACAATTCCCTCCCATCAAGCACCATCGGCACGCCCGTCCCGGGGTCAAGACCCGTCGGCACGTCCAGCGCCAACACCGCGGCGGAGGAGCGGTTAGCCCACTCAATGAGCTCGAATGCCGTGGCTTGGTCGCCGGTGCGGAGTTCTTCGAAACTGATGGTTAGACCGAGGAGGCCGTCGATGATGAGTTCTACGGGGACGGCGGTGGATTTGAGATACTCCATGAGTTCGATCTTGGTGAACACCTTCCCGCCAAATGAGCGGAAGACTTTAAGTTGTCTGCGCACACCCTCCAGGAGCTCGGGTTCGCGCTCCAGCCCCAAAACGCAAATAGCCACCGTAGCGCCGTGATTCCGCAGATGCCGTCCCGCAGCAATAGCGCGAATGCCTGACTTGCTATTCCCCGCATAAATCACAACATAAGGGAGTGTATTCCCCTTCCTCAGCGTCCTATGCCTCGCCCCCCCCAGATTCAGCGTCGAAAGCGCCACCTCCGCAATCCCCCTCCCGGCATTCTCAGTCATCATATCCTCCGTCAGTCCCAGCTCGCTATTCGCGATATTCTCCAAATTGAGCATCTGCAGCGCCGACGCGACCTCGACGGGCCGATCCGCGGGGACGAGGTAGAATGAGGATTTCGTTGTAGACGCCTGTTGTGGAGGAGAGGAAGGGGGGGCGCGGGATTTCGCGCGGGGGACGGAGATGGATTGCCGGGACTGTGAGTGTAGCGATGATGTCTCCTTCTTGGACATCGGCATGCGCAGGCGCGACTCCGCGCGACGGGAGGTTCGTCCACTGCCTGACCCGCGCTGGCTGACGCCCATCATATTCTCCGCGTCCTCACTATCGCCCGCCTCGCTATTCCACGCCGGCGGTTGTTGTGCGCGGCCAATACCATCAAGTACATTCTCCGTCGGATGCAGATTCCTCCCCCCCATCGTCCCCGGCCTGGGTATCCTATTATGCCCAACCAACCGATCCTCATCCGCCGTCACATCATCCGCTCTGATCCCCTCAAACACCGTGCGTTTGTCGAATTTCGACAAGCTGGCTTCGAAATCAAAATCACCCATATCCTGCACATCAGTAGCGTCCTCAGTGGCCCAGCCATTATCATAACCTCCCCCACCTTTCCCGCCACCACCCCTCCTCGCTCCCTTCCGCAGCGTCGCGAAGGGCTGGAATGAGGGGTTCGGCTCGAGTAAGGGCGTTTGTCTCCAGCCTTTTGAGCGATTCGTTTCGGTAACGGGGATAACGATAGGGAACCCGTCATCCCCATCCGTACCCTCCGCCGCCTTCCCCCTCCGCGCCCCCTTCGCGCCCCGTCCACGACGTCGCTTATTATGTCGTTCCTTCGCCGCCACCTCCGCGTCCCCATTCCCCAACCCACCACCATCACCATCCTCATTCCCCCCCCCCAACCCCAGGTTCCCCATCGGATCCACCAAGATCGCAGCGGGTGTAACCGAGCGCTGCTGCTCTTGTGCGACCTTGATCGCCGCCGAGGAGTTGCGCGACATATGCACCACCGCCGGTTGAGCGGGGTAAGGAGGGATGCCGGTGCTGGTTGAGGGGGTGGGTTTGTTAGAGTCGAGTTCGGGGGTGTACAGTTGCGGAGGGGTGGGGGTGGGTGTTGTTATTACTTGGGGGCGTGGGAGGGATGGTCGGCCGACGCTGACGATTGCGGGGTCTTCGAAGCTGGTGGGTTGTTTGGGTCTGGAGATTGACTGTGCTCGTGGGTGCGCGGCTGAGGCTGCTTGGAGGGATGGGTTGGGTGCGGTATTCTCGTTTCCTGCTTCGGCGAGGTCTTTGATATGACTAGCTTGAATCGTGATTTCCGTGATATACTTCCCATTGCTCGGGCAGTAAACTAGAAAGGCAGTTAGCTAGCTTGTCCGCACTGTAGTTTGATGTGCTTCAAAGGTCAAAGGTGTCTTCAATTATCCGCAAAGGTGAACAAAAGCACAACAAATCACAGACAGGGTCGCAAACATACCATCTGACAACGTCAAAGATTGTCCCGCGACAACACTCGACACCCTCCCCCTCAACTGCGCATCCAGCGGTGAACTGAGCGTCACCAGCATCGTCAGGCCCACAAACTGTTCTGCCATGACTGCTGCTGTCTTTCTTGCGTCCGTCGTTGTTGCCGTATCCCGTCCCTTCCGTCCTCAGCGCCCTCGTATCTCTTCTCTTCTCTTCCCTCCACAAATCCTATCCTCTCTCTCCTCCCTTTCTCAAAACCCAACCAGAAGTCAACAACAGCGACAATTCACACCCGTCCCAGCGTCATGAAGTTATCCTCTATTCTCGTAGTTGTTGCGTTATGTTGCGTTGCGTTGCTTAGAAAGTATTATCGTGTGCCAGGTGCGTGAAATCCAAATGTATGTATATCAACGGGAACGGAAACAATTAAATTCACCACGAACGGGTGGTGGTGGTGGAAGTAGTTAGTTAGTGGGTGACCATGCGACACGGGCTGCTGCACTAGAGTGGGTGCGGCGGACAGGGAGTTGGGGGAGCTAGTGGGGATTTGGTGTGGTGTAGCCTTGTGGTGTTACAGCCTGGTTGTGGGTCGGAGATCATGGGGTTCTCATCTGTCTTGTAGGTGAGGGCGTTGATCTTGTGATAATTGCAGGATTATGGGGTATATTGTGTGAGGATTCTTGGTTTGAGATTTTTGGATACGGGGTAGGTATGGAGTGAAGACGGTGGTGTGAAGCTCCAGACTTCTTGATTGACGGGTTGCAGATCGAGAGGTCCGGAGCTGTACATCGCCGTCCTGACTTCCCACCCACCCTATATGAATGAACAAGATCGCTATTCTACAGTACTCTAGCCGTCATCGTCAGTACGAGACAGAAACAGAGGGACAAAAGAGTGTCTCAAATAGTCAAACATAAACATAAAAATAATCTTTTAATTTTCCATAACCTCGTTAAAACCTCATTCTCAATTCGTTCATGGCCGGCATTACTCCCCCTCTCCATTCAAACCTTCAAAACCACCTCCCCCGCCGTCTCAGCTCAGTCTTCCCAAAAACGAAAACCGGCAGTCAGTCGACTCTGTCGGGGGGCCAAAACTTTTCCCAAACCCCCATCATTACTCATCATCAACCAAACAAATACACATAATACACCCTCTTCCCTCCCCTCCCCTCTTTTCAATCCCACGTCATTCCCCCCTCTCAACCCCCCCCCCCAACAACCCCCCCACCCCCCACACTCCCCTCCCTCCTCCTAACCAACAAACTCTTAAACCCCCCCAGCACAAGATCCAACCCCTCCTCACTCCTCGCACAAAACCGATAACTCCTCTCCTCCGTAATAACCTGCAAACAATTCCTCTTCGTGCGGCTTACGGGATCAATTTCCACCACATTAATGATATTCCCCAGTTCCAATATTAGTAAGGGGGAGTACTCGTTCTCATCTTTGTAAAGGGCGAAGGTGCGAGCGCGAAGGACGCACCAGAGGTCTTTCCATTGTCGGACCCCACTCTTCGACTTGAGGTAGAGAAGGTGCCCTTGCCAGATTACGCGTTCCGGGTCGGCGTCGGGGGTGATGTTGAGGCCGCTTAGTTGGCTGCCGTTGCGGGGGGGGATTATGGGACGTTGTTGCTGTTGCGACGGCGGGGCAGACGGCTCACCTATCTCGGGAATGGAGACCTGCGAGGCGCCAGCGGCTTTGGGGCGGAGAGAGGGGTTAAAATGTGTTTCGACGTCAGAGAAGTCAGAGTGCGACGCTGGTTCCGTGCCGGAGTACTCGAAGTGCGACGCGCGCCTCGCTATTTTCGGATCCAGCGGCGCGGGGTGATGAACAGGTCTAACGCGCGCAGGCGAGGGTTCTGGCGATGAAGACCCCCGCTGAGTTTCCAGCGGCACATCGCGCAGTCCCGCCGCCACCGTGCGTCTCCTCATCTCCGCATCAAGCCCCGCATAATTATGCGTCATATTCGTGGTAGGGGACGCCAAAAACATCTCCTCCTCCTCCTCCTCGATGCGCGCCTCGCGCCGGATCAGATCCACCCATTCGGCGGCGTCGGGCTTGGAGAGGGCCTCGAGGTGGTAGTTGCGGGAGGGGGAGAAGAGGCCGAAGACGTTGTGGCGCTTGTGTTTGGGGTCTTTGAGGAAGGCGACGGCGGTTAGGTCGGAGAGGAGGATTTTGTGGCGGAGTTTGGATTCGTCTTGGTCTTTGTAGATGGATATGGAGGTGGGGCGGAGGACGAGGTAGATTTGTTTCCATGACTGGAGGAGGGGGGTTAGCTAGATGTCAGGAGGAGGGGGACTGGGCCTAGGCCTGGGAGAAAGTGTGCGCGCTCACCTTCGTCTTGCGCGTCCGCTTGCGCACGTAGCCGCTCTTCAGCACGCGATCGAACTCATAGCTCCCATTCTCCGTGACGGCAGAAGAGGAGAAAGCATCGGGTGCCATCACGCTATTGCGCACCTTACTCGCCTGCGCCGGTGCCGGCACCGAGACAGCCAGCGGCGAGCGCTTGGCCTGGGTCGTGGACGAACCTGCGGGTGTTCGCGGCGGGATCATCTGTGGTTGTGCCACCGCCGTCGAGGCAGCTGTGGCGCGTGCCTTGTCCATTTTTGTAGTTGGGAAAGAAGAAACTAGGTATTATGTATTATATATCGGTGGTAGGGGAATGCGAGGCGCGGTTGGCGGCTCGAGCAGAGATGCCGGGGATGTTGGGTTGGCGGTTCATCTAAGGTCGTTGAAGAAGCTGGTGAGGAGGAGTGGCGACGGTCATTAAACCTTTCCAGCCAGCTACCGGATGGGATCGATCGATTCGGGAAAGGTGAGGGAGGGAAGTCGCGAACACGGGGTTTGTGATTGTCTCAATAATGCGGCAGAGACATGGTGATCAGCAGGCGAGAGTTGACAGACAGTAGTGGAGGTGGTGGTGTGCAGAAGATCGATTATTGAGGTTGCAGTTCGTGGTTGGTGTACGATGCGATGCGATGCGCATTGACGTTGCAGCTTTCAACAACAGTTTAGTTCAATTCAGGCCTTTGAATATAAATGTTGGAAGAAGAAGTTATAGTGGCAGGCCATGAAACGAGCAGCTTTTGGTAGGGTTCAGGGCGACAACGGAGGGGTTTCAAGGGGGGCAGCGACGAACTGTAGTAGTAATCTTACTGCGTGTTAGTTCTGGCGCCGTGGTGGATCGTAGCCAGCAAGGGAGGGGGTTCTCGCCAATCTCGTTACCCCGTACCGTACGCCAGTAAGGATCGTAAGGTTTCTCCGTTCTCCGTATATAGCCGTTCTGCCGTCCGTGCCAGCTCGTGGCTTTTTGGTGGGGAGGAGATGGAGATGTGTGAGACAGACGGCTATTAAAATAGAATTATAGATATAGGAGGATATATACCGAGGTGCTTAAGTGGTGTAAGGTTGGCCACGCGAATTTATATATATATATATATATATTATTAATAAAAAATATTGATATTATTACTAATACTGCTGCCCTATTTACTAGAGAGTCGCGTCTCTACGTGTTTAATCATCACGTAGTGGTGTATGAATCACCCTCACTCACCGCACATTTGGTATACATAGAGTTGGTTAGTAATATGCACAGCATACCCAGGTCTTGTACCTGGGTATGCTGGGTGCGTTAGGAGGTGCAGTCAGTGCTATAAGTCACTTACTTTATTACTGTACTATGCACTAAAAGTGACTCTCCCACTCGTTACTCATCCTCACTCATCCACCCCGCCACTCAAATCGCCAAATCGCCAAATCGCCACTATCAACGACTATCTGTGAACTGTGACGCACGCCACGTGACCACCCTCTCGTCTTATCTAATGGCGGGGTGAAATAGTAAAATAATACTATCCCCGACTCCGAGCTATAAACAGAGAATATTCCCAGCATAGAATTTTATTTCCGCCCAGCCTCTGCCTCTCATTTCGTTCTTTACGCCAAGGGAATATATACCAGAAGAAATAAAATCTCAGTATTTACTGTCATCTACGCCCTCTAACGTTTTTTTATTTGTTTAGACTAGACTTTACCTTCCAGAGCGCTTTTAGTCCTCCGCCAAAATGGTGGTGGTAAATCCAGAGAAGCTGGTCAGCTTGCAGCACAATGCAGATGGTGTGAGGAATGTGAGTGGCAGATACGACAGAGAACCCTATGCATATAACTCTATACTGACAGAAAGGAAGATCTGTATTTTAGCGCATGTTGTGAGTAAACCCCAGGTCCCCTCCCCCGTCCTCTCAAGACCCCAACTGACCCCTCCACCAGGACCACGGCAAGACCTCCCTCACCGACGCCCTCCTCGCCACCAACGGCATCATATCCCCCAAACTCGCCGGCAAGATCCGCTACCTCGACTCGCGGCCCGACGAGCAGCAGCGCGGCATAACCATGGAGTCCTCCGCCATCTCCCTCCACTTCTCGATGATGCGAAAGTCCGCGCCGGACGCAACACCCGAGATGAAGGAGTACCTGATAAACCTGATCGACTCCCCAGGACACATCGATTTCAGCAGCGAGGTGTCCATCGCGTCGCGGCTCTGTGATGGGGCGGTGGTGCTTGTTGATGCCGTGGAGGGCGTCTGCAGTCAAACGGTAACAGTTTTACGGCAGACGTGGATTGAGAATATGAAGCCCCTGCTTGTTATTAATAAGATGGATAGGCTGATTACGGAGCTGAAGATGAGCCCGGGGGAGGCGTATATACACCTCAACAAGCTGCTGGGACAGGTTAATGCCGTCCTAGGCAGCTTCTTCCAGGGAGAGCGGATGGAAGAAGATCTGAATTGGCGTGAGAAGGTCGACGAGAGAGTCGCTGCTGCGGCAGCGGCGAAACTTAAGACTTCCGCCTTGGACGAATCCGATGTTGATGTCTCCGCATCGGCCGAGTACGAGGAGCGCGACGACGAGGACATCTACTTCGCGCCCGAAAAGAACAATGTCATCTTCAGCAGCGCCGTTGATGGCTGGGCATTCACAGTTAGGCAATTCGCTAGTTTATACGAGAAGAAGCTTGGGATCAAGCGGAACGCTATGGAGAAAGTGCTCTGGGGCGACTTCTACCTCGATCCCAAGACCAAGAAGGTGCTAGCGCACAAGCATCTAAAGGGCCGCAACCTGAAGCCGATGTTCGTCCAGCTCGTCCTGGAGCAGATATGGGCAGTTTACGAGGCTACCACCGGTGGCGATAAGGGGAAGGGGTTCGTGGATTTCTCTCTTTTCTTCCTAACTCCTTTTTCTTCTTTATACTATACTCTCGCCTGTACCATACTCCTTATGCAATGGAATATCCCTCTAATACGATTCCCGCAATAGTGACCCTGTCATGACTGAAAAGATCACGAAATCACTCGGCATCACCCTCCCGCCAAATCTCAAGCGGTCCCGAGACCCGAGGGCGATTCTCACAGCGCTCTTCTCGTCGTGGCTCCCGCTCTCGACGGCTATGCTCGTCTCGGTTATCGAATCGCTCCCCTCGCCACCCGCAGCACAAGCTTCAAGATTACCTTCATTAATCGACGCCTCCCCGGGCTTTGACCACGTCGACCCCGCCGTCCGCGACGCAATGGTCAGCTTCAAATCCGCCAAGGGCGACCCCGTCGTCGCATACGTCAGCAAAATGGTCTCCGTCCCCGAGAGCGAGCTCCCACAAAACAAAGGCCGCGTAGGTGGAATGCTAAGTGCCGAGGAGGCAAAAGAACTCGGTCGTCGGAAGAGAATCGAGATTGCGCGAGCTCTAGCAGCAGAAGGGGCCGCAGCAGAAGCAGAAGGTGGTGCCGACGTCCCAGATAGCGTTGATAGCGTCGTCGATACCTTCGCCAATACTACCATCTCTGCGCCAAACGGGGGCGAGGAGGAGAAGAAGGTGGATAAAGAACATCTCATTGGATTCGCGAGGTTGTTCTCGGGAACCCTCTCCGTAGGCGATTGCGTTTACGTCCTCCCTCCTAAATTCTCGCCCGCACACCCACATCTCAGCCCTGAGCCACATAAAGTCACCATCACGGGGCTCTATCTCCTAATGGGCCGCGGTCTGGAACCGCTCACCACCGTCCCCGCCGGCGTCGTCTTCGGTATTGGTGGTCTAGAGGGACATATTCTCAAATCCGGCACGCTGTGCAGTCAGCTCGAGGGAAGCGTCAACTTGGCTGGTGTAGCGATGGGATCGCAACCTATTGTCCGCGTGGCGCTGGAGCCGGAGAACCCGGCTGATCTGGAGAAGATGATTCAGGGGCTCAAATTACTTGTTCAGAGCGATCCGTGTGCAGAGTACGAGCACTTTGAGAGCGGAGAGCATGTCCTCCTTACTGCGGGGGAATTACATCTCGAGCGCTGTTTAGGGGATTTGAAGGATAGGTTCGCACGCTGTGAGATTCAGGTCGGAGAACCGATCGTTCCGTATAGAGAGACGATTGTTAGAGCAGAAGAGATGCGGCCACCTGCGGATAAGGAGCTGGGTAGGGGAACGGTAGTGTCAATCACGACATCTAAACAAGTCACAGTCAAACTACGCGTCCGCCCTCTCCCAAAGAAAGTCACAGACTTCCTAGTCAAGAACTCCGGAGCCGTGCGACGCCTCTACTCCGACCGCAAAGCCGAAGAGCAAACCCGAAACCAAGACGCTCAATCCGACGCCGCCTCCGACAAAGACGACTTAGATGTCGGCGCCGTCGTAGATACAGCAGTCCTCTCCCTCGAAGACTTCAAATCCCAACTCCTCACCGCCTTCGACAGCGTCAAATCTGAGCGCGACATCTGGGCTGGTGTGATTGAGAAGATCACCGCCTTCGCCCCGCGCCGCACTGGTCCAAATCTGCTTATAGATAATGCCGGGATCTGTGGACGGTTTTTAAGGTCTACTGACGCTGAGGAGGTCGCGTCGGATAAGCAGGAAGATGCGCAAACGATCCAGCCAAGGGATTTCGCAGATAACATATCCTACGCCTTCCAACTCGCCTGTGCCCAGGGCCCCTTGTGCAATGAGCCCGTCCAGGGCATCGCAGTGTTTTTGGACGAAGTTACTGTTGCGCCTAACGCGGATGACTCGTCCTCGCGCGACCAGCTCGGTCGGTTGACGGGTGAAGTCATCAAAACAGCCCGCTCAGCCATCCACGCCGGTTTCCTCGACTGGTCACCCCGCCTTCTCCTAGCGATGTACTCGTGCGAAATCCAAGCCTCCACCGAAGTCCTGGGTCGCGTCTACGAAGTCCTCACGCGTCTGCGCGGCCGCATCTTATCCGAAGCGCTTAATGAAGGAACACCCTTCTACACCATCCTCTCCCTGCTCCCGGTGGCAGCGAGTTTCGGCTTCTCTGACGAGATGAGGAAGAGGACGGCGGGGCTGGCGAGTCCGCAGTTGAAGTTCGCGGGCTTTGAGGTACTGGATGAAGATCCCTTCTGGGAGCCGAGGACGGAGGAGGAGTTGGAGGATTTGGGGGAGTTTGGGGATAGGGAGAATGTGGCGAAGAGGTATGTGGATGGGGTGAGGGAGAGGAAGGGGCTGTTGGTTAGGGGGAGGGGGAAGGGGATGGGGGAGGGGGAGAAGGGGAGGACTTTGAAGAGGTAGTGGGGGTGTTAAGCTACAGTAAACGTAAATTTAGGGGGGGTTTTAGAATCTCTGAAATGTTGTCTCCACAACCGTCAGGGTATCAGTTTAAAAATTATGGGCCGGCATCCCTTCGGCAGTTACTCTTAGCACTACAACCAGCTTATAAATCGAAAAGCATTGTAGATTAAAAGGCACATTTTTTCGCTCCTTTTTATCAAAATTTCGTTGCTTTGTCAGCTTGATATTCGCCTGGGTGGATATGGCGGGGTCATCCCTTGGCGTTGGCGGTGCCGAGGGGTAGTAACCAACAGATTTGGGTGGCCCTCTGGCCAATGAAAATGACATCATGAGGGGGATATTGGCCTTAAACACACCTTATCGCCAGTTTAGCGGCGAGGGGTATTATTAAGCCATAAGGCCTGTACGCTTTTACGCCAGGCGCATACTTTTGTTGCTGGGGTGTATATATTGCGATTTTCTCCTCTTCTCTCGGGTCTGTTTGTCTGTTTGAAAAGTAGTTCGGTTTTCTTCTGTTTATAGACAGCTTTGACTTGCTTCTCCCCGCGCATCACCAAGCCGCCATTCTCACAAGCCACCACCCCCCGGGACAGTAAACAAGAACACCTCCAAGATGACGGCCCATCAAGATATTGAGAACAAGGCACAAGCCGGAGTATGTCCTTCCTCCCCCCTCTCCCCCCCTCACTCCCTCAACCCCCAACTAACCCCCCCCCAGATCTCCTACTTCACCCCCGCCCAATCCCCCCCCGCCGGCACCGCCCTCCCCAACGGCCACCCTGTCCCCAAACTCTTCCAACCCCTAACCCTTCGCTCCCTCACCCTCCAAAACCGCATCATGCTCTCCCCCCTCTGCCAATACTCGGCCAAAGACGGCCACCACACCGCCTGGCACCTCACGCACCTGGGCGGCATCCTGCAGCGCGGCCCGGGGTTGACAATGATCGAAGCCACCGCCGTCGTCCCCGAGGGTCGGATCACCCCCGAAGACAGCGGATTGTGGCAGGATTCCCAGATCGAGCCGCTTAAGGCTACGATTGAGTTCGCGCACTCCCAGGGGCAGAAAATCGCTATTCAACTTGCGCATGCGGGGAGGAAGGCGAGTTGTGTGGCGCCGTGGTTGAGTGCTGGGGCTGTGGCGACGGAGGCTGTCGGGGGGTGGCCGGAAAATGTGTTGGCGCCGAGTGCTATCTCCTTTTCTCCAGGGAACTTCCCAGATCCTAAAGCGATGACGCTCCAGCAGATTGAGGAGTTTAAGGTGGCCTTCGTGGCGGCGGCGAAGAGGGCGGTGAAGGCGGGGATTGATGTCATTGAAATCCATAACGCGCATGGTTACCTACTACACGAGTTTTTGTCGCCAGTCAGCAACACCAGGACGGATAACTATGGTGGTTCGTTCGAGAATCGCACCCGTTTGACGCTAGAGTTGGCGAAGTTGGTGAGGGCAGCGATTCCGGAGGGAATGCCGCTGTTCATGCGTATCTCAGCCTCCGACAACCTCGAACACGCCGATTTCCCGGGCGAGAGCTGGACGCTCGCCGACTCCGTCAAACTCGCCCCCCTCCTCGCCGAAGCAGGCGTGGATCTCCTCGACGTCTCGAGCGGCGGGAACCATCTGGGCCAGAAAATCGCAGCGGTGCCCGGATACCAGGCTGAGATGGCGAAGACGATTAAGAAGGCTGTTGGGGACAAGATGGCGGTCGGGGCTGTGGGGTTGATTAATAGTGGGAAGTTTGCGGAGGAGATTTTGCAGGGGAAGGGGCCGGGAGAGGAGACCGCTGAAGGGGTGGATGCGATTTTTGTGGGGAGGGGGTTTCAGAGAAATCCGGGACTGGTGTGGGATTGGGCTGATGAGTTGGGGACGGAGATTCGGGTGGCACATCAGATTGGGTGGGGGTTTAAAGGGAGGGGAATTAAGAAGCAGGAGAAGAAGTTGTAGAGGGGGGGGTCAGAAGTTAGATAGGGGCATAGATCTGAAGATAGATGGATAGATCTTACTTTTCGGTTCTCAGATAGAGTATTATGGAAGCCTTATTCCTGCCGCAGACACTTATATCAAACGAGACAAGCCTTGCCAGCGACAGTCTATTCTTTGGAAAATGAACGTTTTGCAAACCTGGAACCGTAGGGGGGCTTGCGCTTTCATTCGGATACATCACTATTATAGCCGAAATTCCCACTTCGAAGTGTAGCTCGATTCCTGCCACCAGTATCCTTACCGCTCTGTTCCTGTCACCGTATTCCTTTCACCGTGTACCTATCACCGTATTCCTACCACCGCGGTCGGGAGAACACTCTGTTCCTGCGTCCTCTTTCTTCTTTCATTCCGACCCTTCCTTTACGGGTGGGGCTCACTCTAATAAAACCCACTCAAGCATTGTACTCGACCGGCGTTTTTATCAAGGTAGACTTGAGGTGAGACTTGTTATATATCCATCCCCGCGCCTTGATTTCATTTTGCAAGCGCCCAATGCACTTCAAGTGGCTTGATATATGGGACGATCCCTTGTCCCCGTGTCTCTACCACCGTATTCCTGCCGCGATGCCACCCGCCAGCGTTCCTGTCATAAGAAGTGCGTCTTCCGTAGTATTCATACTGAGACGCTCTTTCCTCCACATCCCTTTTTCCCGTGTTTCTGCCGCCGGATTGCTAGCGTCATGGTCCTGCTGCCACGTTCCTGCCGCCACAACTCTCATCCACCACCGCCGCGCCGACAACCCCTTTACTCCTTCCACATCACAACCACAACAACCGTTCCTTCCCTCTCACTTCAACAAACACATACAGCCCATCTTCCCACCCCCACCGGTTCGCTTCTTCTCGCCAAAACCTCGTCTCCATGAGATTTATTCGGTTCCTTTAACTTCCAAAAAACCAATATCTCGTCCTACAGACGTCGGGGAGAGTTCTCATACAAGGCAAAAAAAAATGCAAAAAATAGAGGATTCTCCTAGAAAGGGGGAAATACCCACACCCAACCACTGCATACACCTGTTAAGTGCAATTGAACTTCGTGGGTCCTCCAGGATGATTGACAGGTACTTGAGCGGGCCAAACGAGTGCAGATCGCTGTTATGCTCCTTCAGCCAGCCAACCATCCCAATTAATATGTAAAAGATAAACAATATTATATAGTTAGCTCCAAAGTCAACTTTATGGCTTCATTTGCAAATACAGCAAGTAGCAATGCTTTTTATAACTTGAGATCAAATATGAGAAGAGCTCTCATATTGAAGAATAATTTGGGAAAACTAGAAGAGTTGAAAGCAATGCTGTGGTGCGGAGTAAATAGAGAGTTGTTCTGCTGCATCTGCATGCAAAGAGGGCGGCGAGGGCGGCGATGGAGGAGGGGGCGTGACATGAGCGCTCACTAGAGCGCCATCCAAGCACGGCGTGTGAATTGACATATGAGAAACACCCACAGAACAAATACTCTGCCATCTTAAACATCCTTTTTATGTGAAAATGAGTGCTCTAGGGACTGGATAAAAGAATTGTATATTATTTAGTGGGTGTCATCGCGGTTTTAAGTGAGTATCTGGAAGAGTCATACCGTTCACCTCATATTTGGATATGGCCTAATCGGGTAGGCTAACAAACCCGTGACTGTGTTCTCACAACAACTTTCGATATATCACTTATTAGCTTATGAAATTTAACATGTAGTCAAGTTTAAATATAATAATACTCTTCTTAGACCATTCATTCGACCTCCACAGAGTGGATATTCCTATAATGGGGCTGGTGATAATTATGAGCACGTGATAGAATATTATTATATTACGCAAGGTTGTGGTGTTAGAGTTGCTGTTTTTAGCTTGCATTGTCTGTCGAACATCTACTATGTCTCTCACATTGCCGCTTCTTGTGAAAATTAAAACTCCTAACAAGTAGCAAACCCATTTAACGTATGTGTCCTATGCTCCCTTATGCATCCGCCAGCCTCCTCGAGTCAGCTTTTGTTAGCCTTTCTAGCTGATGCAGACACATTAGTCGTATGCTTAGACGGCAGTTTAAACCCTTCTCCGTACCGCTCCATAAATTGCGAATCTCGCCCTTCTCTCTCCATATCGTCTGAGGCAGTTGCAGTCTCGCCTCCTAATCGCGGCTCCCTTTCATTAGTGGTATTGATGGTGATGGTAACCATATCTCGCGATATCTGTCGGACAGTCTCGTTGTCAAGATAGCCACCTATTTGCCTCGACCTCCACCCAACCGCCCGATTTGTACCATGAAGAGTCTTTCCATTAGCTGAAACCATGACTTGCACCGCATCGCCCGTTGCATGATTCTCAATGATACTTATATTTTGCTCTAAATGGTTGCCTGCCGTGGATAGTATATCCATAGACTTCCGCGTTGACTGCCACTCTTCCCGCAACCTAGTAATGTCGGCTGCATTCTCTTGAGAGAAGGTGGCAGGCTCCAGCTTGTTCATTAGCCTATCAAAGAGCTGCTTCTCGTGGCTGGCCAACTGTTGGGCCATTCGAGCAAGACTGCCCTTGCACTCCTTTAGGCCATCGTTGGTGATTTTCTCAGGTATAGAGCTCGGGCCGTCAGCCGCATTAGCGCCAGCATTATGTAGAGTTGTGCGATGAATTTGGTCAATGTGTTCAGAGAGCTGGGAACAGATCTGTAGACATTTTTGTGTACTTAGGCGCTCGTCCTTTATCCGCTTCACTTCAGATGCGTTTAGTTCTGATCCAGCTACATTTTGACTAAGTATACGCTCAAGCTTCTCGTCCATTCTCTCAAGGTGATCCTCAAGGCCAGCTCTAGCGGTATCAAGGAGATCGTTATAGCTCTCAACGCTTTCAGCTGTAAGGGCAGACAGTCGACTGTGGAATTTTAAGGTCAGCGACTACTATAATGCACCAAGCGGCATCATCAGATACTTACAGATTTGCATCAGAGAGAGCAATAGTTATAGTCATCTTGTAGCCGGATAGAACTCGTCTAAAGCTGTCAATGTCGTCCCCCATATACCTCAACCTAGCCCAATCTCGGAAGCTCGTACGGCTGCCGCTCGACCGCTGAGAACATTTGTGTATTTCTTGCTCGAACTCTTCGCAGGCCTTGCCGCATCGCCGAAGAGGAACCTCGAGAGCAGTAAGATCTAGGTCAGTAGAGCTTATCGTCTCCGTAAGTGAGCCTAGCACTCCACTTAATGCGCTGGTCTCTCTTGCGAAATCCCGTACGCGCTCTTGGTGAGAATTAAAGCTGTCAACTGTCTTGTAGAGCGCGACGCTTGCCTGGAGGGCGAACGTGGCCAGATCTACTAACCCAGAGGCCATTGTAAAACAAAGGCTACTCTAATGCAACAAAGTAAAGTTAGGACACAACACTTTTGCGATACAGACCTCAGGATTAAGTAGGATGATATTGTTGTCGTGGTTCTACAAAGCGTTCATGTTTTCATGTAGTGCTTTGCGCTACAACTAGACGGAGCGGGGTGTGATATTCCTTGGCGATTCTCTTGGGCGGGGTCACGTTGGACCGAGGAGACACAAGTTGTGGAGGTCAGAAAGCGGCGGAATGCCTGTGCACGAGCGTTGCCTAATTAGGTAGGCACTAAGCTTAGGCGGGTCAAACACCACAATCTAGATTATAAGTTTATATAAGGTTGTGGTGTTGGAGCGGCCGTTTTCGGCTGGTGTTAGTTGCTGCTTTACGCAGCCCTGAACACCAACATCTCATCACGTGCCTAGCTTGTGGTAAGTACCTTCACATAGTAATTTGTATATAAAGGTACATAAATATGCCATTATCCGAAATTATCACCTCACCCCCACCCTCACTCCCACGCTCGCTTTCGGGGGCTTCTGGGTCTGGAATCAGCAAGGAGGACACAGGCGGTGGCTATGGCAAGGTGTCTACCAGGGCATGGATCTGGCAAGAACGCCTCCTTGCTGAAAGAACGATATTCTTCACCCCTTCTGCCCTAAAATTCGCAGCTCAAACTCCAGAGGAATTGGGAGGCCAGCTTTGCGGAGCTGGGCCAGTGCCTTCTTCCGGAGGCGCTCTTCCTTCCGGGCCTCAACTCCAGCTCTACGGAGCTGCCTCTGGGCCCGGTTTGCAGCCTGGCGGGCTACCCGAGCTTCTTTGGCTCGGAGCTTCCGGGCCTGAAGCTCGTAAGCGTGGGTAGCTGTAAACTCACCTCCAACCTGAAGTCGGTCCCGGCTCCGGCTTGCCCGCTTCTTCGAGTCCTCCACCTGCCTCCGAACAGCCCGTAGGTCTAGCTCTTGGAGCTGACCTGCCACTACTACGTCTTCTGTGCTGGCAAGCCAATTCTGGTAGCTCTCCTTCGAGGGGCTGCTAAAGCCTCTATAACCCAGTGTTTCCAGTGCTGTAGCCCCTCTTCTACCCACTGAAGAGTGGAGGGTTTAGGTGTAGAAACCTAGATTGGCAGTGCAGGTGTAGGCTCTGTAGTAGGCAGGATGTAATTCAGCGCTAAATTCTAGAATGTTCTACACTGTAAGGCCAATCTCAACCCCAGTCAGAAGTTCATCCTTTTGTACTACAGTTTTATTTAATTACGCCAATCGTTGCGATGCAAAGCTCTCCAGTCATGATACTTTTCTTAGTCGCCCATCTCATTGCTCCCAAGTGTGGTCGCAACCCAGAGCGTCGCTTTGCGCATTGATCGGCAATGGAGTGATCAACCTGCATAGACCTGGCAGGACATGACTTGAACACGCGCAGGAAAACCTAGTAAGTACTTAGGCAACCTTTATTGTCAATAGGTTCCCAGGCGACACCGTGAGGAAGAGAGCAGGGAAGAATCCTTACCGTAGCCGGACTTCAGCCGCAGCCTTATTACATTAGGCGGATGCAACTGTACGTTACGGGCGAATAAGAAATACCCCTCACTATTAACGACGAGATGGTGCTGGCACCAACTTACGAGAGGAAGTGCAATATAGGCTCTCGCTGGCGCCTTCCCCACCTTTGTAGCTTCCACGGTCCATCGCGATGTCATATCCCAAACAACCAGGCAGGTCTAGCAAGCAACTAGGAAACATTTATACGAACGAAAACGCAATAGTCCACGTTGGGGATATACACCATATCGGTAAGCCCTTTTAGATATCAAAGAGGAAAACCACTGACACACGATAGGCCGAGAGGATCCCCTCGACCTCCTCCCATTTGCAACAAATGCACCGTTTAACTCCTACGACGGCCAACACGAACCCACCTGCCTTCCCGACACTCGCGTTGACCTTCTACAACAAATATATGATTGGGCGGATAGACAAGATGAGCGATGTATCTTCTGGCTAAATGGCTTAGCTGGCACAGGAAAATCAACAGTTGCGCGCACTGTCGCCCGCAGATTTTATGAGCAGAAGTGCCTTGGAGCCAGCTTCTTCTTCTCAATAGGTGGTGGAGATGTGAGCCATGCTGGCAAGTTCTTTACCAGTCTTGCTGTGCAGCTCGCGTATGCTGTACCATCTCTTCGAGAACATATCTCCGATGCTGTTTCTAAGTGCAAAGATATTGCGAACCAGTCCCTCCACGACCAGTGGCGCCAACTTGTCCTCCACCCATTATCAAAGCTGGACGACAACAGTCGCCAATGCTCATATATCTTGATAGTTGATGCGCTTGATGAGTGTAAGGACGATAATAATATACGGATTATTCTGCAGCTCTTAGGTGAGGCTCGGTTGTTAAAGACAGTACGGCTTCGGGTCTTTTTAACAAGCAGACCTGAAATTCCTATCCGATACGGTATGCACTATATCCCGCAGGCTGAACATCAGGACTTTGTTCTTCATAGTTTATCTCCATCGACTGTCGATCATGATATTTCAATATTCTTAGAATATAATCTTGCAGTGATCAGGCGGGAATGGGACCTTGGGCCTGGCTGGCCTGGTAATAAGGTTCTCGAACAGCTAGTTCTAAATGCTAGTGGCCTCTTCATTTGGGCGGCAACAGTATGTCGATTCATTAGTGAAGGAAAACAATTTGCAGCCAAGAGATTGGATGCTGTCCTTAAAGGCAGTAGCGACGCTGTTACTGCACCAGAAAAGCACCTTAACAAGATATACGCTACAGTCCTTGGGCACGCTATTACAACTGAAGGCGCAGCAGAGAGGGAAGAGCTTGTTCACATGCTGAGACACATTCTTGGAAGTATAGTGGTCTTGTTCTCACCACTTTCTGCCTACTCTTTAAGCAGGCTTCTCCAGGTTAATATACGGCATGTTACCCGGGCACTGGAGGGTCTTCATGCTATCTTAGATGTCCCAGAGGATCAAACGCACCCGCTCCGTCTCCATCATCCTTCATTTCGCGACTTCCTCCTTAATAAAGATCGATGTGGCGATTTCTGGGTAGATGAAAGGCAGTCACATCAGATATTAGCCGATTATTGTATCCGTCTCATGGCTATATCTCTTAAGAAAGATGTTTCCAGTCAAGTAGTCCCTGGCACATATGTGGCTAACGTGGAGATTAGTCAAGTAGAGCAATTTCTTCCTCCAGAGGAGAATTACGCATGTCTGTACTGGATCGGGCATCTTCAGAGGAGTAATACTCAGTTTTACGACAATGACCAAGTCCACATGTTCCTCCAGCTACATCTCCTTCACTGGCTTGAGGCACTTAGCTGGATGGGAAAGACTTCAGAAGGGATACTTGCAATATTATCCTTAGAGGCACTTGTTCCGGTAAGCCTTCGCTATAATATACTATAGAACCTTGACTTATCTATATCAAGGCTGGACAATGTCCCAATCTATACGCGTTTGTCCATGATGCAAAGCGATTTGCCCTGTACAACCGGTCAGTCTTCGAGCAGGCTCCCCTCGAGATATATTCTAGTGCACTCTTATCCGCACCAACAAGGAGCATAGTGAGAAGACTGTTTAGGGACCAAGTACCCTACTGGATTCAGACATCGCCTAAAGTCCCAGAGGATTGGAGTTCCCTGCTACAAACGCTAAAAGGTCATTCGGATATTGTTAGCGCTGTTTCCTTCTCGCCAGACAGCAAGATGCTAGCATCGTCATCAAGGGACAAGACTGCTCGGTTATGGGATGCAATCACAGGCGCTCTTCTGCAGACGCTAGAGGGCCATTCAAGCTTCGTTAATGCTGTTACCTTTTCACCTGACAGTAGACAGTTGGCGTCAGCATCAAGCGACAAGACTGTTTGTTTATGGGACGTAGTTACAGGGGCAGTATTACATACTCTCAAGGGCCATTCGAATGATGTAACTGCTGTTGCCTTTTCGCCTGACAGTAGACAGCTGGCGTCAGCATCAACAGATGAAACAGTCAAGCTTTGGGATGCAGCTACAGGCGCTCCTCTGCAGACGTTAGAGGGCCATTCAAGCTTCGTTAATGCTGTTGCCTTTTCACCTGACAGTAGACAGTTGGCGTCAGCATCAACAGATAAAACAGTCAAGCTTTGGGATGCAGCTACAGGCGCTCTTCTACAGACGTTAGAGGGCCATTCAAGCTTCGTCAATGCTGTTGCCTTTTCACCTGATAGTAGACAGTTGGCGTCAGCATCAGCGGATAAAACAGTCAAGCTTTGGGACATAACTGTAGGTACAGTTTCGCAGATGCTGAAGGGCCATTTGAACGACGTAACTGCTGTTGCCTTTTCGCCTGACGGTGGACAGCTGGCATCAGCATCGAAAGATAAGACAATAAATTTATGGGATCCATTGATGAAATCAGTGGCGCAGACACAAGAGGGAGCTTATAAGTCCTCGTTTCTTCAAGCCCAGAGATCAACTGACGAGATATCTTCAAACTTGGAGCGCGCCGACGCTAAGGAGAGTATCGAGCCCCAGATTAGAGTTCATGGCACATTTTCAGATTCCGGATTTGCCTCGATGTCATCTTTAGCCGCTCCTAGTATAAGTAATCGTGTTGGCCAAACCCCAATTCAAGATAAACACAATATTGACCAATTGCCAACAACTCCTAGTGATCAAGGGGACAACCAAAGCCCAGAGAATGAGCATAAACCAGGAGCTAGGACTACAGAAGCTGACAATGATGATTTGCAATCTGTCATTTCTGATAGGGACGAAATCTCCTCGCAAATTTCAACACAAAAAGCACAACAAGAGCTGCTTGCTGAAAAACACTTGGCTACTTTGTTAGGACAAAATGAAGATCTAAAGCCATTTTATGAAATTGCTTTAGGGCAAATGGAAAAGGAGCGCTTTGTTAACAATTTTCGAAGAATATTAAAGCGGTATTATCTCGACCTTTTTCAGTCAGCAAATACAAATCTTGAGCGAGCGACAGTTCAAATATTAAGGAGCAGGTCCACGCGAGTCGGAATAGCGCAAGGTGTTGTGGATCGACTGACTCCCGAAAGTAATGAGGCTTATACTCAGCTTTTAGCTGATACACAAGACATCGAAGACAAGATTTCCGATTTAGAAAGTTGGATAGCTAGCAATCCTGGTTTAGTACCACCGCTAGAGCCTCAGGATAGTGGAGATGTAGTAGAAGGACAAGTGGACGACTTAGACAATATTGCCTCTGACAGTGATCAGGAAGGAGAGGAACAAGTCGTTACAAGTTATCCTTTACCAAATGTCGCGGGGATGGAGAGCTTTCTATTCCAAGGCAACGCATTTCGTTCACTTATAACAAACACTTGCCTCTTTCTGCTCCCTGCGTCTCTCATTTCTCTTTCTCGAGTTCTTATGACGATTCCTTATAACAGGATATATTTCTCCTCCGAAGACAATCTCTCAATCCTCAATCGAGTTCAAGGATTTGTAGAGGATCACACAGAAGAAAATTGGAATTGGTGGCCACTGCAGCCACGAATGCGGCCGTTAGGAAAAGATCAAACGCGAGTATATTGGAAATGCGTAAGAACCTCTAGATAGAGTATTGTGTGGAATTATCTAACAAGATGTAGCACTGCGGCAGAACTCAGTGGGCAGAGATTTCACTATCTCAAGCAAACTCGTATCGATTAATATTACAAGAAAATAGACCAGTCTTGCAGAACAATCATCTCTGCAGAATCAAGCAGAAAAATTCGTGGCGCGCTACTTTGGGGAAGATGACCACTAAGACAGTTGGCACTGTCTCTACAAGAACCCAGCCGCTTACGACGCCAGGAATTACTCAACCACTCACCCCGACCCCGCAAAGTATACAGCTCAAACCAAGCAGCGGTAGGGTACGCCAGGCTACTAATATCCTCCACAATCCTGCTGAACCTACTACAATTAATCGGAGTGAAGTTCGGGTTGGAATTAGTGAACTATCAGGAGGCCCATATGTTCTTTTTGGAGTCAAGGGTCCACGACGTACGTTGGAGCTAGAACAAATAGAAGTCAATGAAAATTCCGACGACAATACTTTTTTCCAAAGTCTGACGCAGGCTTATAGAAAACACCGAGGTTTTTGGCGGTATTGGTTCTCGATCTGGCAACTTACTCACTGCGATTTTGTAAAGGTTTGTGTAAATCCTTTATATTATATATTGACTGACAATGTCCAGTTTCTAAAGCTTAGAGCAAATCGTATAATTTTTCATAGCAAGAGTCTTCCAGACGATATAATATACGAATATCGACCTCGTCCGCCCACAGCCGAAAACCCGCCTATCCTCCCACACGAATTTGAGCTAGCTTTCTCAGCATGCTCTTCTAATTGCCTGCTCTCCACCTTGCACGATTGTGTAGATCCACCCATTGGGAAGTTTGCGGTAGAGCGGATTCCGAAACGGAAAAGCATGATCCACTTCTCTACTAATAATTTGGAATTTGCGTGGGGTATCCAAGCACAACACGCCATCTCAGCCCTCAGGATGGTAGTATACCATCTCCTTATCTTCGCTAGCACATTTGGATTTTGGGCGTGGTGGTTGGTATTCCATCCAAATGATTTGCAGAATGCGGCCGTGCCGCTCACCACAATTGTCGTGTTGCTTTCACTGTTTTGGGGCGCAGCAGGTGTTTTGAAATTTAGGAGGCAGGATTAGGTGTGGAGTTGAGTATAGCGAAACGTTCCTGTGCCCTATATTAGAGAGAGCACAGAGGTGATGGCACAATTCAAGAGGCTAGTATTGGCACATGTTAGGGGTTTGAATCCTTGGGCAGAAGTTTACTTTTGAAGTTTCGCTGCTTAAGACGTTCTGGGCTAGCGATGGGGAAGCGCAAGACCTGGAGACATTAGGCAGACCTCATGATGGTCACGGCAGCTCTTCAAAGTCCATCCCCTTGATCACCGACTTTGGCTGATCTACGGACCGCATGTATGAAATTGTGTCCGTATCTACATAGCCGGAATTGTCTCCGAGGTTCTGGATGAAGAGCTAGTAATCAAATGATATTGAGGACGGGTTGACTGGTCAATATTTCGACCATCCTGGCTTAGATAGGCATCGTGGACATTCACATGGATGGGTTCTGGATCATTATCGAGGAAAATAAGAACTTCGAACCTAGCCCACGCAACAGGAGGACCAGCTTGGGCTCTTATACTCGGTGCAAGAGTTGAGACTGTTGGCGGGAGCTCGTGGATTGGCGGAGGGCGAGTTGGATGGGAGGCGTAAGGAACTTTCGCCTCTTTAGTGCCTTTAAGATTAAGTTAGTCTGTAACGCTGCTTCCTAAAACGATAGGATACACAGAGGTTTCTTGCGTAAGGGTTGACTTATCAGAGGAAGCAGGGGATCAGACACAAAGGCTTCAAGTAACGCGTTACAGTATATAACAAATATTATATTGAGTTGAGCACGAAACTCTAATCTAAGAAATAACTATCTACTTTTGAAGTGGCGTCGTGCCAAGGGATATATGGATAGTATGGATATATTAACATATCCTTCTGTTCCATGTATCCAACGTGATTCTTCTCCTGGGAGCCTAATGCTCCTGGGAAAACCCTTCTCCGGGGAGAATCATCCTAGGAGCTTACTAGTCCTAGGACAGCCCTCCCAGGAGCCTCCTGGTCCTAGGAGAAAACTCCTAAGTTGGTGTCCCGTAACCTGCACCTCCGACACCACGATCTGGATTACCCTATCAATCATCATGTTGGTGCAGGGGTTGCGGAAACCCGCTGTAACAAAGTCGCCCTGCGTTTCACGTTGTAGTGGTGGAGAATAATATGATCCATCGGATAAGCCAAGCTAGCTAGGCTGCGAGGACCTGAGAGTAATTATTTTTCTTGCCAAGTCGGAAGACAACTCCCGCTCTGATCGCCAATAACCATTTCATACCGTTACTGCTCCTGAAATGGCCCTGTGCTGGCAGCATGTAATGATGTACGGTTACGCTCGCGCTACACCTCACTGAGCCAAAAAGACTACAATATTCCAGCTCGGCTGGAATACGCGTAACACGCTATATATACTGTAACGGTCGCACGCCGGCACCCCGTTACACAGCACTCGCGGCAGCTAGCCTCTTTTCTTTCAAAAGAAGGAATATTTCTGAACTATGCCTACTGTGAAGACAATTGCTTTAAAAGCATCGAGTAACTAGCAGTGGCTAGATAGAACAACATTTAAAGTCAGACGACTCTGTTAGCAATAACTGTCTACTCTCAGTATCTACCTGTCTACAATCCTAGGGGTGTTCCTGTATCACCGCCTTGAAATGAAGGTGAAGCGCAGCCTACAACGCATGGATGGTTGCAGCCCCGATAGCCTTCGAGAGGGACCTCTACTTTCGATCTCCGGGATGCGAGTACAGGCCCCTAACAAGCTAGGCGGGCAAACAGAAATCGGCCCTTCTCTCGAAGATCAGCCTCGACGGAGGCAGGCGTCGCTGCTCTCAGTGCCTATAACTCATAATGTTGCAAAAGGTAATGTAGGGCAGTCTCGCAAAGGCCAGCGCCATTCCACCGCGAGATAGTCGGGGAGGAAGCTGCCCTTGCATAGAAGTTGAAGGCGGCGGCAGGCCTGTCCATGCGCGTTGCTCAATTAGGCGGGCGCTAAACCCGAAGCTCGAACACCACGATCTAGATTATAAAATATAATAAGTTAATTAAAAATAGTTTTAATACTCACACCACTTGAAGTTAGAAAAGCTCATATTTTATCTAAAATTTAATACTACGGATATAAGCTATTAGAATTTATTTCTTCGGTTCTATTTATAAGAAACTGGATTGCTGATTGTGGCCCTGAGACTGTGCGCCTTGGCTTAATAATAGTTACTGTGAACACCGATGTTACCCGCAATCTACCTTCCGGCTTTTGGGCGGCACAAATGCTTTAGGCATTTTATTATGTACTTATAATTTATCAGTGTTCGGCACGGATACCAATATACCCTTGGTATCCGGGTATATACCCGAGTATATACCCTACCTGTCGATATTCTAGAGTATCCGGTGTATCTGGGTATATACCCGGGTATATGCTAAGAGTAGCCAAGCATCGCTAAGGCTTCATTTTAGAGACGTCGTCTCGACGATATGCTTAAACTATAGCCTTATAAGCATACTAATATCCTTAATATCTAATTATTACCTATTACTTAGGCTATTTAGTAGTTCTAGTAACCTCTATAGTCTTAAAATGATATTTAGTAATAGTAGTAATATTATTATAAAAAAGTATAATAAGTTATTACTACTAAAAGCTTCACTTTCATATGCTTTTATTCAGCCTCATGTATCCGGGTATAAACCCTACTCTACCCGTCAGATCTTCGCCGGGTATATACCCTACCCGTGAGTTTCACGGATACTACCCGGATACATATCCGCCGAACACTGTAATTTATAGTGTCTATTATAAACGTGCAAGCTGAATAAACCATAGCCTTGGCTGTACCTTCTATTAAATTTGTAATTTGACATATTCATCCCTCATAGCCTCAGCTTCCCCCGAAGCTGTATTTTAGTGCACGCTTGCGCGGCCAGGTCCAACAGACCTCAAAACCCCTAGTACACTAAGAATTCGGACTTCAGAAGTAATCTCAATCTTCTTCGAACCACTTATCTTCCAAAAGATCTTGGGCAGTCAGCCGATCTCTTGGGTTGAGTTTCATCACCCTGAGCACAAACTCTTTATCCTCCTTGCAAGTTTCTCGGGCGGTTGTAAGATGGAAAGGTCTCATCGACTTCGGAGGGGTGTTTTTCATTATCCACACTAAAACCGCCAATCTTTCCTGGTTCGCAATCTGCTCGTACGACTCTGGAAATGGTCCGAAACAGATATGGTGTCTCATCAGAATTTTGACCTCGTATTCATCATGGCCTACGGAAACGTCTGGTTTGAAGATGTGGAACCCTTCTCCGTATATGAGACTGATAAGCTGTAGTATCAATAAAATTAGACCGAGAATAAATAATTTAGTGTAGAGGGATAATTTAAAACTTGCCGTTGCACCAAAAGACCAGATGTCAGTTGCGGTACCCCATCTCATTTGCAGATGTGCTTCTGGGCTCCTAAACATAGGTGTTCCTATCGAGTCCCCATCCCGGGCATGAGTAGAATCCACATGGACAGTGCTCCCAAAATCAGCCAGTTGAACATCCTTAAACCGAATTCCAACTGGCGCATAATTCGCAAGTATGTTGCTTAGCTTAACGTCTATAGTGCATCTTGGTTAGAGAGTTCCATATAAACGCGGTATTGGTCACATCTCAAGAAACGGACATGTGTGAACAAAACCCTCAGTATGCAAGATAGCTAGCGCCTTTAGCACCCTACGTGCGACATATTTAACTTCAAGTCGTGTGAGGCGCTGGAAATTAGAAGCTTGGAGTACGTCGACATCTAGATGTCTTAAGTAAGACTCGGAGGGCTGTGGGTGGATTCAACCTCGTCAAGTAGCGGGCGGATGAATGGTGTTCGGTTTTGGAACCGAATTAGAATATCTCGTTCGTTTTCTAGGCGAAAGTGGTTAACACTTTTAACAACTACATTCTCGTTGTTTTGGTTCCATCAATGGCATTAATTAAAGCCTATAGTAGGACATGTTATTTTAGGAACGCACGTTGCTAGCCACACGCAGCCCTGCAGTTGCTTCGTAACTGTATAAAGGCTGTGTTTACCCTTCAATGTTTGACCAAGCTTCATCGCAGTACCCATCTTTTAGATGGCCATTGGGAGAGGTGGTAGGTGGCATTTACGTGAGGCAGTGTCGAACTATGCACGTGATGTAGATTCCAGCCTTAAATTTCATATATCACATTCATGGGATTGTCTATGTAGCCTATGGTCAACATATAACTTGGAAGCTATTATTGAATTCGCAACTTCATATTCTTATCTATATATCTATCAACGCTCTCAATACTCAGTAACCTGCTTAATGCTATCATAAACCCCTTCACACACCTGTCAGTAACTGTCGTACAAATTATAAAGGAAGGTAACTTACTCGCAACATCTGGGATATTGAGCTTCTCATACAACAACGGCATATGTATACTCCATCCCGCACACCTCTTCACCGGCGCCTCCAGCCTCAAAAACGTCTCCTTATCTTCTTGGATAGCGGCGGCAACCTCAGCCCCGATACCCGCATTAATCATGCTCTCATGAACCACCACACAACGTCCCGTCTTCCTCACACTCTTTAGAACAGTCTCCTTGTCCCACGGGTATACCGTCCTCAAATCGATCAACTCCACGCTCAATCCCAAGTCTTTCTCGATGTGCTCGATCGCTGCACTGCAGGTGTACAGAGGGTGGCCATATGAGATCACAGTCACGTCGGAGCCTGGCTTCATGATCTCCGCGGATGATAGAGGGAGAGTGTATGAAGAGACGGGGACTTGCTCGACGGCAGCGCGGTAGAGGGCTTTGGGCTCCATGAAAATGCAAGGGTCGTTCGAGGCGATGGCCGCCAGCAACAGGCCCTTTGCTTGAATGGGACCGCGAGGCATGATGACGCGCAGGCCGGGGATATGTGTAAATAAACTCTCTGGGGATTGCGAGTGGTATCTTTGCTTGGTTAGCATCTTATTTTGACAAAACCGAAATACCTGGGAAGGGAACATACAAAGCACCATGACCAACCCCACCACAAGGCATCCTAACGGTGAGACCACCAACACCCCTTCCATTCGTTCCATCACGATACCTATACTTGGCCGCCTCGTTCACAAGCTGGTCAAAAGCCGGGTATACATAATCCGCGAACTGAATCTCGGCTACAGGCCGCATTCCTTCGGCCGCCAGCCCAATCCCGAAACCCAAAATACCCTGTTCAGTAAGCGGTGTATTAAAGACGCGATCACTGCCAAAGTTCTGCGACAGGTTCATCGAGCACCGAAATACTCCTCCAAAGGCCACATCTTCGCCGAAGAGGAGCACTGAGTCGTCTGTTGCCAGAGCGGTCGAGAGCGCGTCATTGATGGCTTGGAACAGGTTCATGCGCTTCGTTGTGCTGTTTCGAACTTCAGCAGAGAGCTCGGGGTTTCTTAGAGCTGATTGAGAAGAGTGACTGAGGATTGGAGTCGTGGAGAAGTCTGTCGGTATGTTGAGCCGGGCATTTGGAGGGCTTGTCGAGTACTGGCGGCCACTTGCGGTCGAGGAAGCGGATGAGGTGACGGCACGTAAGACCTGCGCCGTGGGGCGAATTATCCTGAGAGACTTCATGCTGGGCAACACTCTACAGGACTCAAAAATGAATTATGAAGTTAGAAGAGACAAAGGGATATATCCCCATTCTTTTCAAAGCGTTGAAGTATGGGGAATGCGGGCGGGGAGGGCTTATCGGCTACCTGCGGCTTGTGGTGGGAGTCGCATCGTCGAGTCCATCCCGCTTCCAGACCCTTATCGTCGCACAGGCCACGCGATTGTTGCTCCGTCAACCGCCAAGTGACGACGCTGACCCTGCAATTACGAGATGCAAGGATGCGGTCGCAAAAGATGTCGACGATACCGATTAATTAATCTATTATTCTAGAACGAAGGCATATACAATTGAATAGATCGAATTATCGTTTTGGTCGCAAGGATAGAATGCCTCGCGAGGCTGAACGACCCAGAAATCGGGAGCGAGATCCGGATAGAGAGCGAGAGAGGGAGCGGCGAAGACGTGAAAGGGAAAGAGACCCAGAAAGGGAGGAGCGACGGCACCGCGAACGGGACCCGGATAGGGAACAACGACGGCGTGAAAGGGACCCGGAAAGAGAGCTGGAGAGGGAGGAACGAAGGAGGGAAAGAGCGAGGAGGAAATCCCGAAACCCTGATAGAGATTCGAGGGACTCGAGGGACTCCCGGTCAAGGGAGGAGCCGCCTTCCTCACAATCAAGTTCGCAACCCCTATCCGCCGATTCACTAGCGAAACTCAATCAACTCAATAAGAAAGAGAAGTCGCGAAAACCAGAGAAAAAGGCGGAACGGCCCAGGAAAAAGCGTCACAGGGAAGCGTTCAATGAGAAATACGAAGCGATCGGTGTCGACAAACCAAGGCGGGACAAGAAGAAAAAGAGGCGAGTTGTGAGCGGCGCCTTACTAGAAGAAGGGGATGGAAAGAGGTTATCGTATATAAGAGGAGGAGGTTACGACAAACAGGCGGAAGCAGATGCAAGGAAGAGGAAAAAGCGGATATGGATCATTGTTGGAGTTATTGTTTTGCTACTTGCCATTATTATACCCGTTGCCGTTGTTCTTTCCAACAAGAACAAGGGCAGCAACACAGCCGCAGCGGATACAGCGGCGACGGCTCCGACGCCTACAGGACCGGCGAATACGAATTTGGATGGCGTTGATCCTGCTAGCGTACCAGCAGCTGCGAAGGGGACGCGATTGGATCCTTTCTCCTGGTATGACACGGAGGATTTTAATGTCACGTACACTGGCGCGACAGTTGGTGGGCTGCCAGTAATAGGGTTATTCTCGAAGTGGGATGACTCTGCGAAAGCAAACGACAAAGTGCCAGCATTGAACCAGCCATGGGGAACCTATGCAAGTAGGCCCGCTAGAGGTGTCAACGTAGGGGGCTGGTTATCGATAGAGCCGTTTATCACGCCCTCGCTGTTCAGTGGTTATAGCACGAGTCTTGGGGTTATTGATGAATGGACGCTATGCGAGCACCTGGGCCCGGCTACCGCAAAGGACACTCTGGAGAAACATTACTCCACATTCGTGACGGAGCAGACGTTTGCAGACATCAAAGATGCAGGCCTGGACCACGTCCGTATTCCATTCTCATATTGGGCCTTGCAAAATTACTACGGCGAGCCTTACGTCGAAGGCGTAGCATGGCGATACCTCCTCAGAGGGATCGAATGGGCTCGCAAATACGGTCTCCGCATCAACTTAGACGTACACGGTTTGCCAGGTAGCCAAAACGGCTGGAACCATAGCGGTCGCCAAGGAGACATCGGCTGGCTCAACGGAACCGACGGCGATGTCAACGCCGAGCGATCCCTCGAGATCCACCGCTCCCTCTCGGCATTCTTCTCCCAGCCGCGCTACAAAAACATCATCGCCTTCTACGGCCTCGTCAACGAGCCCAAGATGACAGCCTTACAACCAACCGACGTCTACGCCTGGACCGAGAAGGCATACGCCATCGTCCGCGCAAACGGCATCACCTGTCCTATCGTCTTCGGTGACGGCTTTCTGGGTCTCGAGAACTGGAAGGGGCAGCTGCAGGGCCATGAGGGGCTGGTGCTTGATGTCCACCAATACGTGATTTTTAATGTGGGACAGATCGTCTATACTAAGGAGGCGAAAGTCAAGTATGCTTGCACGGGCTGGACGGGGCAGGCGGAGCAGAGCATGGATGTCTCGACGGGCTTTGGACCAACCCTCTTCGCTGAGTGGTCACAGGCCGACACCGATTGCGCCACATACCTGAACAACGTCGGCTGGGGAAATCGCTGGGAAGGCACCTACGACACCGGCAACCCCCTAACACGCGTACTCTCAGCAACATGCCCCACCAACAACGGCGGTCCAGTATGCTCCTGCACGTCCGCAAACGCGGATCCAAGCCAGTATTCCGACGGGTACAAGCAGTTCCTGCAGATGTTCGCGGAGGCGCAGATGGATAGCTTTGAGCACGGGTGGGGCTGGTTCTACTGGACGTGGCAGACGGAGACGGCGACGCAGTGGAGTTATAAGAGGGGTCTTGCGGCGGGGATTTTGCCGGCCAAGGCGTATGCGCCGGAGTTTAATTGTCAGAAGACGATTCCGGATTTTGCGGGGGTGCCGGAGAATTATTGAGGGGGTTGATGGGATGGGATGAATGAGTGTATATTTGGATGAGTTGTTGTATATGTGGGATGGCGTTTTTTTGGAGGAGCATTTGGAGGAGCATTTGGAGGAGCGTTTAGATGGGATACCACCAGGTGGGTTTTGGCGATATTGGTGATATCGGGGGGAGTCTAGCATAGCGAGCATATATTTTGGATTTAGCTTGGTATAATCGTATAATGTTCTCTTGAAATAATATGTCTTGTGGTATCCGATACTTTCCTCCGTATATGTACACTATGTTCATCTTCTAAACTTTCCAGGTCGTATATTCAAACACACCCCGCTGTCTCCAACCAAAAACCCAACCACTCGCGATCGCTAGCTCTTCGTTGCCTCCCAGTCTACTGTCCCCTTAAGCCGTAGCCTCCCACAACCTAATCATCTTCACCGCCCCCACAAAGCTCCCCAACAACCCCACCGTCAGCGGGCTAATAATCCCCCCCTCCAAACTCCAATGAATCGTCAGCGGCGCATATCCCGCATTAATCCACACCTCCCTCCTCCACGCCAAATCCTTCACTGCCTCCTCCCCCTTCTCCCCCACCACCGCCTTCCTCTTCCTAACCTGCCTCTCCCTCGCCAGCCTCACAAACTCCAACGCCGTATGCGCGGCCCAACACCTACTACTCCACATCCACGCCTTCCCCTGCTTTTCGGCGGTCCACCCAAGAACCCCCTTCGAGCTGAGATACGCCCCGTTCTCGAGGACTTGGTAGATGGTATTCACCAGCACCTGGGCGTTCACGATATGCCGCTCCACTGGATCAGCGGAGGGAGTGAGGATAGCGCTCTTTCCCCACTGCCACATCCCGAAGAGCCCGAAGAGGCGCGCGAACATGCGCACGTCGGAGCAGAGGGCGTAGAGGGCTGCGAGGCGGCGCGCGGTGAGGGCGTGCTTTTCGGAGGGGGTGGTGAGGCGGGTGAGGAGCGAGGAGATGGCGAGGGAGGAGTAGCCGAGGGTGAGGAGCGTGGCGTCGGTGCCGGAGGGGGTGGAGATTATGCGGCTGAAGTGGGTGAGGAGGCGGTCGGTTTTGGTGAGGTAGAGGGGGAGCCAGGATTGGAGGGTTTTGACGGAGGGGGGCGCGGGGGGAGTAGATTTTGTGAGGGAGGAGGCGGGGGGAGAGATGGTGGGTTCGGTGATGGTGATCGGCTCTGAGATGGCGACAGGCGCGGAGACGGCGATGGGCTCTGGGATGGCCTCGGGGACGCTGGCGGGCTCTTCGACAGTCGTGGGCTCTGAAGACTCTAAGATAGCCGTGGGCTCGGTGATTATGGCGGGCTCCGGGATCGCAACGGGCACCGCGTCAAGTTGAACGTCCGCCATTTTGAATATGAGACTGGATGGATCGCTGGAAATATAGGCGCGCTATAAAAAGAGAGACGACGATGGGAGCGCTTGCTATTTAAGAGTGTATTGACAGATTAGGGGTTTTGGAGGTTAGAAAAATATTGGTTTACATGCATGTGGTTTGGTGGAGTACCATTTCCGATAACAGGAGCTTCTGCCGAGGTTGACTCGTATCAGTGGGAGGGTTAGGGTCACGTGAGTGTTTGTTTACGTATTAGGCTCCGAGTAGCTTGTTGGGCTGGATGGTAGGCTGGATGGTCTAATTACCCAACCCTTTTGGAGAAGAAGGTTAATGCGGAATAATTCATGCGTCTTTCTTGGTCTATAATGCCTTATTAGTATCAAAATTCATGCGTGGTAGCCAGGGGCAAGAGAAACCCGGCAACCAAGACCAACACCGTAAATCAAAACAAGAGCCATTTGTATCTATCATATCATCTTTGCATTTCTTATTCAGATTAAATGTCTCCATGTATCCTCGGATATGCTGGTCTTCCAAAAAGCACCCAAACATCCCAAAACAAGATATAACAAGACAAAACAACAAGCCCAATGGATATCGTATCAACACGTCCGTCCCACCCCTCCTACTCCCACCTAGTAGACCGGGTTCTGGCCACCGAGACCACCGGACATCGATGGAGCTCCGCCCATTCCGGGCCTTGGGTAGTCGTCTGGCCTTCCGCCGCCGGACTCGTAGTGCGCCTTCCTCAGAGCCTGGAGACGCTTCTTCTTGGTCTTGGCGTTGATGTAGGTGCCGATGAGGAAACCGACGATGTTGAAGAAGGGAACCCAGGTCTCCTGGGGCAGGAACTGCTGCGCGAAGGCGAGCGTGATGGGGGAGGTCACCCAGGATACCTTCATGACGGGCATGAAGCCGGCCTTCCAGGTCGAGTGGATCGCGTGGATGTTGCGCGCGCCGTTGATGATGGCCATTGAGGTCAGGTAGATACTGTTCTGGATTGGCGCAATCTGTGATGGGACAGTTAGCTATGGTCGGGCTGCGACGGAGTTCGTATGCGATGCGATGACTTACGAATAAGTTGCTGAACAGGATCTGCAGGATCTTCGCCTTCAAGCTCGTGCGGTTGGCGAAGATCTTCTGGAGGATGCTGATGAGGACGTGGCCGACGGGTGCCATGATGAAGGCGCCGTTCGCTGCCATCAGCGGCACCTTCGACGTGAAGTAGTGTCCATGCTTGCTCCTATCCTTTGCGATGTACGCCGCCAACAGCTCTTGTAGACCGCCGAGGGAGCCGGATGTCAACATCTTGGTTCGGAGAGGGTTCTTCTGGAGCTGCGTGAGGTACGCCTGGACACGGTGTCAGTCAATTGGATGCGCAATTCGATATTGGGATGTCTTACGGCGAGGTAGCCATTGGCGACTTTGCCGGCAGTCGACGCGGCGACCTGGTTCGCGGCGCCGACTGTCGTCTTGACGGTGTCCTTTTCGAACTTGACCGACATCGTGATGGATATTGGTTATGTGGTAGGTTGTGTGTTATCTGTGGATGTGGGACGAGGTGTCAGTTATGAGGTTCAAGTCGAGCGGCCAGATCGGGGATGCTCCCCCAGTTTGTTTACACTTATACTAAGTGGGCCGAGTACACCGAGGTAGTTTGAAGGGTTCTCCGCATCTCGAATTATGGGGAGTATGTTTCGAAGGAGTGAGCTGCAGGGTAATTCTAGGGACTTACCTAAGCTTGGATATGATTTTCTTTCACGATTATCGACGTGTTAACTGGTAAAAAAGGAAGCTCAGGCCAGCAGCAACGATGATAAAAGTTGGGTGGTAGATTGGGTTGAGTTTGGCGATGCGATGGGTACGTGTAGGTCGACACCTCACCTACGGTTGGTACCAGCGGCAGTAGTAGTGTACACAAAAAGGGATCGCCCCAACAACCTGGCCTGGTTGTCGCCGTTGGCCGTCAGCTTACAGGAGTCGAGCACCCGTCCAGCCCGGAAAATTAACACCGCTTGGACCTATCGGAGTCATCGGAATGCGCCGCCGATTTCTCCACCAGGGGAAGATGAGAAGTGGCTGGCTGAGGCTGAGGCGACGACAACAACAACACAATAACAATGCAAACAAACAGTGTAAATTGGCGACAAACATCACCAACAAACGGCATAAAACAAACAATCAGGGATTATAAAATACTATTTGAACTGCTGCCTTGTTAATGTACGAGATGCATCAAATTGGAGTTATTCGTGGGCCGAGTGGTGAGCCGCTGTACCTATTTAACCGCGCCTCTTGAGAGTTAGTACTGCATGTATGACACTTGAATATAAAATACGTGGACTCTCAGACATGTAAGGATTTATATACTTCTATTTTTCTAGTAGTAGTCTATGTGTCATTTCATTTTGAAGCGTTTGTATTTTGGAATACAACTGCCATATGGCATGGCATCTTGAGCCAATGCTCTTCCCCTTGCGTCCTGCCGGCTTCCTTTCTTCTATAGTAACCTTATCATTGGGTTATTGTTCGATATTTCATATTTAAATGAGCTATAATGTATGTCCATTTTCTCGTCCTCTTTATTAGCCTGGCTCCAGAAAGCGTTGTGGACTGACATGCTCAATTGTGGCATCAGTCAATTTGGAAATATGTAGTATCATATGAATCTATATCCATAACCTGACCCATCTTTCCCATGGATTTTGTGCTCTTTATGTTTTCTTAGTAATATTGAAGTGCACGCTCAGTTTTCTATATCGAGAATCGACACGTTGGTAGCTGTCGCGCATAACTGTCCTGTCAGTTCCTGAGCTGCTAGATCTCCGCGGCAGACACTGGGAATAACTTCACTCAAGAGCCCACTACGCGAACGCCAGAGGTAAACAGAAACCTCTCTTCCTCCCACAACCCATCGCGCCAGACAAACCAGCAAAACTCCACAAACAAACAGCAAACCAACACACAACTTCCCACATCAAGAATGGTCAGAGGAGTACCACAAAATGCCTCCAAACGAACCACGAATTAAACCCGAGACCCCTGCTACAAACAACAGCCCAGCACAAACAGCAAGCAGGTCGCGAGAGATGATGTGTACACACATCACCATGGTCAGGATGTACTCCATCGACATGCGGTGCTCCCTGTGTCTCCATCCCGGGTCTTTTGGGTGGGTATACAGGTGTTCCCAAGACCGTGAACTCATGATTGGGAATGCTTACAATGAGGGAGGTGTGGTGAGTTGTTCCGGAGAACTACTTGTTAAGTTTGACACTGGTCTCTGACAATAAAATCTTCTAGAATGGCCTTGATAGCCTCTTTGATTCTTTCACGGTTCCAGCAGAACCTAAGAGGAGAAGTGCAGCAGCGCGTGTGCGTCCGGTGTCTTTCCTTGAAGAGATGGGGCCAGGGCAGCTTCAGGCGTATAGCCCGCAGCAGCTCAGCATACTTCTCGACCAGAGAACACACGTGAGTTCCATACTTTCATCCGATCTTGGGAAAACACATATTCTCTCCAGCTATTATAGTTCGCATACCTTTGAACCAACGTCTGACTTCAAAACAGGTCCTCGACGTCGCAAAGCGCCACAGCAGAGACCTCGAGATATACCGCCACCGCGAGCAATCCGTCCTCAGCCCCTACTCAGACCTCGGCAACGCCTCCGATGAATCCAAACTCTGGGTCCCAAAACCAAATGAAGAGTGCCAGTTCAAAGTCTGCCACCGGTGCCGCCAAGCATGCGGCGAGCGTTCTTTTCTTAGCCTAGACGCCATCGCCAACGATGAGATCCCCATGACAGCCATCTCTGGATTCGGCTTCAATATTCTAGGCAAGAGGCCTGTGGTTCCACGCAAATGCGCCATCAATTACGGTCTTAGACCAGATCCACGACCACAGATGGTATTTAGACCAGTTGCAAAGGGAAAAGGTCTAGGGATTAACATCGTCAAGACTCCCCATGACCAGCTCTCGGAACAGGTTTCCATTCAACTAAGCCCCTTTGATGATGAACCAGGCGCCGATACTACATTCGGGCAGTCGTCTAACGCGTACGATTCTTCCGCCATGGCTAGAAGTCTCAATCTCGAATCCGATATTGAAATCACCCCCATCGAACCAGACGAAAGATATGCGCTCCGACGAGTCCTCCATGTCAACATGATTCTCGCAGCAGAAACTGCCAAAGCCGACGCGGTAGAGGGAAGTAGTCTCCTATCCCACATCCGGGCCGCGGATACGCCACCAAATTCTCCTCGCCTTCGCGCGGCGAAAATGGATGATAAACAGGGGAAGCGCCCTGCTGTGCTTCGTGGTAGAAGGTATAGTTTTTTCGCCTGGTTGTCAAATATAGTGAACTGAGGCTAACTTCTCTTAGCGATAATTCTCTCCATACCAACGCGGAACTCCGTCGTAAGTTTAATCTTGATGATGTGGAAGGTGATGAGGAGGATGATATAACGTATATTCTGCGGAAAAGACGCTTTTACCTCGCGTCTGATGCTCAGTCGGACTCGAAGGAGGAGGAGGATGGGAAGTCTACTTCGGAGTTTGCTACTACTATGGAAGTGGAAGATAGGGATGCTGAGGGCTCGACTGCTAAGCCGGTGGTTGTCACCAGAAGAACAGTGGGGATACAACTTTCCGATGTGGTCACGCAGATATAAGCCGAATATTTGCTCCTGGATTTGGGAATATACTGGTCAATAGGGTCATCTCGATTTCTTCTTTCTTCTTCGCTCGTGGATGATACCCCGGAAAGAGTTGGCTAGGCCTATGGATGTAGTATAAGCAATATCGCACCAGCTGGTCCTTAAATCGTGGTTAGATCAAGTAGCCACAAAAAAACAAGCAAACAAACAAACATTCAAAACTATCTTAGTTCCATTATTACCCTTGTGACATCTTACAATTGAGACGCTGTTTTTATACAAACCGTGGGTGCCTGTCTGATGTAATGTGAGTGTTTGAGCTCGGGAACAATTCTGCCGGCAGAACCGACTTACCGCCTCCCCGCCAGCTTCACACCAACACCACACACGTAAACGTGCTTGCCTGGACCAAACATCCACCCACCTATACCTCCCAAGTCCCCAACCCGCCACCCACATCTCGAAACTCAACCTCCATCAATTCATCCCATATACCCAAACCACTCAAGCAGCTACAACCCCCCCCATCACCACCATGGCGTCCTACGAAGGTCCGTCCCTCCTCTCCCCCTCCTCCCCCAACTACCCCACTAACCCCCCCGCCACAGTCGAGCACAACATCCAACCCACCACCACCCCCTCCACGTCCCGCCGCCCCGACATGTCCACCTTCTTCTCCAAGCTCTCTCAAATCAATCTCGACCCCCTCACCCACAACAACCCACACGCACAACCCACCCCCGTCGACATGCGCGCCACCTTCTCCCTCCTCGCCGATTCCTACTATCAAATCCGCTCCACCACCTCCGGCCCCCCTGCGGAGCTCTTGACTTCCCTGATTACCGAGTTAGAAGAAACGGCTGATAGTCCGCCGAAGGAGGTGGAGGGGGTGAGTCAGGCGTTTTTGGACAGCTTGGAGAGGGTGGATAGGAAGAAGTTGAAGGAAGAGAGTTGTCCGATTTGTGGAGAGAGGTTTAGGGACGATGAGTACCCCCTCGTGGTGGTGTTGCCGTGTCATCCGGGGCATTGGTTTGATCTCGAATGTGTGGGGCCGTGGTTGAGGTTGAAGGGGACGTGTCCGTTGGATCGGAAGGCGGTGGGGGAGAGGAAGAAGGTTGTGGTTGTGGAGGATAGTGAGGAGGAGGATTATGATGATATGATTGCGTAGGTTGGCGGGATGGGATTTTTGATACCAGATTGGGGGGGTTGGTGGTGGAGTGGAGTGAGGTTGGCGTGGGATGGAGTTGGGGGTTTGATACTGCAATGCAAGAAATTGTATCTCTCATTTAAGATGTGCTCAGATATTCATTTTACGCTGCCTATGGTGAGTGCAACATAGATCCACTCCCCTATATAACCCTTCCCAACACCCACCCTCCTCCCCCCAAACCCCTTCTCACCAGCATCAACCCATCCCCTCCACTCAGGACTCTACTTCTTCGCCGGCGGCGGCGGAAACATCCCCGCCCACCCCCCATCCGGATTATCGTGTCCGCCATCCTCCCCCCAATACGCCGCCGGCCCAGCAAGCGCATCCCAATTCGCCGCCCCATCAACCCCCATCACCATCCACGCCAAAATCCCATCCTCAGTCCTCTCCCCCAACAGCACATAATCAAAAAACGGATCCACCACCTCCGTCGCACTAGGTCCAATCCACACATCCTCCTCATTCGTCGTCAGCGGGAGCGTATTCGTATTATACGGCTCCGCAGCCTCCACAACAGCGCGAAGCGAGGCGTCGAAATAGAGTTGTCCGATGTGCGAGACGTGGCCGCCGGTGTAGGTGCCGTTGGGGAGGAGGGTGCCGCCGGTGTGGGTGAGGACGTGTTGGTGGGTTGCGCGATTCCAGTAGTGGCCGGGGAAGATTGTGGTGAATTGCACGACGCCTTCGGAGTCGGTTTGCTGGACGCCGCGGAGGAATGTGGTGTTGAGTCCCGAGTACTCTGTCGGGTCGCTGACGCCGGAGTACTGCCCAGTGGAGTTAGCGGACCAGGTATCGACGATGAGGTTCGCGGGACCGCAGGTGGAGGTGTCGATGAATTGCCAGTCGAGGTATAGCGGGACGCCGGGTTGGTCTTCGGCGATATTGGTGCGGAGGAGCTCTTGCGCGACGAAGTAGGGGCCCGTGGCGCCTTCGGGGGTGAGGATGCAGGGGGAGGTGGTGCCGAAGACTTCGGAGGGGGGGGTGGTGGAGGTGAAGTCGTGGGAGGAGGTGCGGTCGTGGGAGACCTGCATCCATTTCTCCACGTCTGCTAGGTCGCGGCGGTGGCGCATGGGGGCTGGGTTTGTTAGTTGTGTATTGAAGATTTGGAAAAGGGGGGGCGTGCTACCAGTGAGGCCGCGTTCTTCGCGCAGGCGTTGTGCAGTGGCTGCTCGGCGTACGGCAGCTTGTTTCTGTAGCTCTAGAGACGCCGCTGATCCCGAGCAGGCCTGGAGTGAGCGTGCTCCATTTTTGGTGTGGAAGGCCTGTTCACCGAGGGCGCGGCGGAGGAGAGCAGGGTCTTTATGGTCTGGATGGGCGAGGGTGCCAGAGAAGAATGTAGCCGCCACCAAGGCCGATGCCAAACCCAAGATGACAACCATGTTGAGGCTTGGATTTATAAGAAGGGATGGGAAGGTGGAACTTCGACGATTTGGAGCGTAGGGAGCAGGGGAAAGGGAGCCCAACAGCTCGACCAAGGGGGGGCTTTATATATCCGCCTCACGGACGAGGGGCCCATTTGACAGACAGCCAGATCGCGGGGCATTCCATTTCGAGATCGTGACTATAAGAAGCAGCTCAGCTAAGTAGCTCAGCTTTAGCCATTCATAACGACCGTAATATTCAGCAATCTCAGGCTTCTATAGCACGTGTCATATTAAGGATCAGGACGCATACAGGCAGTCATCAACAACGCCCTTGCCGAACTTCTTCCATATACAAAACCAATTGAAACCCGGAGCTCCCAGCGCCTGCATCGGCATTACCATCGAGGCTGAATGGCTAAAAGCTTAATCCCGGTTGCTATAACGCACGGTCGCGGCCGTCCGTCTCGGTAGGGTATATCCGGCGGGGAGGACATAACAAACAAATGACTATCCAACAGATCACACGGAGCACTATAAATCGCATTTATAAGATCTTGGTAAAATAATCCTTTTCCCGGAAAATAATGCACAAGGAGGATTGAGGCGGTAAGCGTTGGATTTGATTAATTGCACGCCACGTAGGCACCACTCAGCTATCCCCAATACGGAAATACGCATCGTCGAACTCCTGGTTCTCGAGTCCCGTCGTGTCGTCGCCGCCTTCGAAATCTAAGCCATCGAGTAGATCGTCAAAATTCGTTTCGTTCCCGCCTATGTCCATAGCTAGATCGAGATCAGCGCCGCTCATCCCGATGCCATCTTCCCCATCAAGATTAATAATGTCGCCGTCCCCTGCTGTATTCACACCGGTGTTTGTTGTGTCGAACATGTTGATGTCTCCGCTCTCTTCCGGAACCTGGTTGGCGTAGCTCTCTAAGCCTTGTAGCATCGAGCTTCCGTCGTCGTTGCCGAATGGTTGGTCGCTGGCTTCGCCGAAGGTTGACAGGTCTATGTGACCGTCGTTTTGCATGCTGTAGTCTTGATCTTGATTCTCTCCTCCCGCAGCGTTATCCGTACCGAAATCAAAGTCGTCAAAGTTGAGATCCGGGTGGTCATCGTGTGCGCTTTTGGGGCCGAACAGAGACTCGTAGGTCATGTCGTCGTTGGTATCCAACGTGTCCAGTGGTTCCAGCTCTTTACTCGGGACATCTTGAAGTTTATCAACTTGCTGGACGTCTGCCGCTGATACTTCTGGTTGTTCGATGCTTTGTTTGACCTCATCCTGCGGCTTTTCAGAGACCTGTGGTATGTCGGCCTTTGGCTCCTCTTCAAACAAGTCCATCGTATCCAAAGCCTCCTGCTTCGTCTGATTGCCCACCTGCACAGCGGTAGCCAATGGCTCCGGCTTCACCTGCTGGTCCATTGTTTGCGTCTCGCGCGCCTCTTCAATCTTAATATGCGCCGGCTGCTCCAACACCCCCCCATCACTCGCAGTCATCCCACCCTGCGCACCATCCACCATCTCCTTCTCCGTATCCACTTCGGCCGGCTTCGCAGCCGGATTCCTCAGCTCCTCCTCCCTCCTCCTCACCTCCCTCAAATCCCTCGCAATAACCGCCTTCGCCCTAACCTATCGCATCAAATCAGTACAACTCCCCCCTCATATCCTAATCCGAACAGTCTTACAATATCACTCTCCAGCTCATCCAAAGCGCCATGAAAACTCGTAATCGCCTTGGGCATATACATCTGCAACCTATCATTGTCATGCGAGATCGTTTTCGCGCCCTTCATATTGGCAGAGCGCAGGGCTTTGCCGGTTTCGATGAGCTGTTTTGGGGGCCCCGTTAGTATTAAACTTTCTCCACAAAGATTTCGTCGTGGGGGAGCACGCACAATGTTGTTTATCAAGTTCTGCAAGGTATCAAGGTGCTGTTGCTGTTTAGACTGCAGCTTGGCTGGCTGCTGCACGCCGGGTCGCGGTGCGGACATGGTGGTGGTGGTATGAGATGCTGGCTGGTGGATAGAGATATATGTGTTCAATTGGTTTGGGGTGATTTATAGGTGAGCTCCGAGGCGGAATGGGGAGTTGGTGGAGTCCTGAAGGGGAGGGCTCAAGGTTGCGGTTCGGGCCTGGCTGAAGCTATGTTAGTGCGGATAAATAATGGCCCGCGCCCCGTCCCCGCGTTTTCAATATCAAGTTCGGCAGGGGGTAAGAACAGTTCTTCTTATGACAGTATTTTACGCGTATTCACGATTACAAGCAGGGCTTCTAGTGATTATTAAGAAGTGACAGGTTCACCAATTTCAAGAAGAAGAAGAAGAGCAACTCTTCAATTATCCATAGTCAAGACTATGTGTATTCATTCTCAGTCCCCTACTCCCACCACAGCCAGAAGTAACTCTCCCTGCCCTTCAAATAAACGTCTCCAATTTAAAGATCCCGATCAATCTTCCATCCAAAAACCATCATTACATGACAGGCAGGCGCCAGTGGCGCGCTACGAAAAAAATAAAACAGCCAGGGGGTAGTCGCACGATAGTATAGAGAATTCGTCAAACTCGTCACACCACCACACACAACACGAGAAAAATAAACCGAGCATACAAAGGGGCCAAAAACACGCAAATTATATGCCTCATCGTGGAGTAGAGGTTGGTAGTAGTAGAAAGAGGTAGGAAGAAACTAATCCTCCAGAGTTTCAAGCACATAAAAACATATCCCAGAAAAAAACGAACACCACATGCTTTTTGTTGATTTGAAGACACGAGACGACAACATGATATCATAGCTTCTGCACCTTGCCACAAGACGAGAGAGGAGAGGAAAATGGGGCGATTGTGAGAGAGAGAATGCTATAATAAGAAAACCCTAGGCAAATCATCGCTGTGAACTATCCAACAAATGGTTCCCACTGTCGCTCTGTCGTCGTCATGAAGAGACCGAATTAAAAACGCAGGGAACAGAAGAAGTAAGTGATAACCGAAACCCCGCACCTGACGACTCACACGCCGCCACCCAAAAACATGATCAGGGGAGAGAGGTCAGCGGTTCAGTCGAATTTAGGACCCGAACTAGCCTTGGTAGCCACCAAAACCAGCTTGCCCGAACCCTTGAGAGGCCGGTTGGCTCCATTGAGCGGTCGGCGTCTGTTGTGCACGGCCGTAACCACCTGCGCTTGGTGGGCCACCGTATCCCATTGGCTGGCCTCCATACCCGGCAGGAGACTGTTGAGGTGGTCCTCCGTAGCCGCCTGGCTGGCCACCATACTGTGCTGGGGACTGCTGGTTAGGCATGGGTCCGGCTGATGGGGGGCCTTGTTGAGGTGGCATTCCACCGTACTGGGGGAAATATGCGGATGGTGTCCCAGGGTAGGCAGGAGTCTGAGCACTCTGAGGGCTGTAGCCGGTTGGGGTTCCCTCAAACCCTGGTTGAGAAGGTGCCTTGTCCTTGCCCCACTAATTTGAAAGTTAGTTTGATTTCTGGATATAATGATTAATTAACTTACGCTGCACTTCAATGGGCGGCCGTTGACGTTGTAGCCACTCAGTTGGCAAATCGCCATAGCAGCGTTCTCGTGTGTGTCCATCTTAACAAAAGCGAAGCCGCGATCAGACTGGAAGCGGGTCTCAACAACGTATCCAAAATTCTGGAAAAGGGGTACAAGGTCGTTCTGGGTCGTGTATGGCGTAAGGTTGCCAACGTAGACGGTGGTTTGCCACTGGGGAGTTTGCTGGACAATCATATCGTAGCTTTGGACACCGTGGGTCGGGAAGTGGTGGTGGCCGAATGGTGTAGTTGGAGTAAGTCCAGTAGAAACCATGGATTGCTGCTGGGAGATCGATGGCTGGCCCTTTTGATTCGCCCAGTTACAGCGTATCGCGCGGGATCCGAGCCACTCTCCATCCATTGAGCTAAGAGCCTTTTCAGCATCTTGGCGCTCACGGAAAGCAACAAATCCGTAACCACGGGACCTTCCGGTCTTCATGTCCCACATCACTCTTGCCTCAGAAACCGATCCGAAAGCACAGAATGCCTGAAGAAGGACCTCATCGTTAACCTCATTCGAAAGGTCACCAACAAAGATGTGGAAGTGGTTAGAGGTGTCCTCCTTATTAGATGTGTTGGACTGGTATGCCCAGTTAACACGAATTTCCTATTCCGGTTAGTCATACAAATTCACTTATTCCGCGTGATATTGTACGTACGGCTTGGTGGACACGTCTGCCATTCAAAGTTTGCATAGCACGCTCTGCTGCTCCTGGGTCATCGTACTCGACGAAACCGTAGTTGAAGCCCTTTGACTGTAGCTGGTTAATGCGATTAGCATGCTGCATATATAACAAAGGGGTGTGAGATAAGTGTGTCTCGGGAGTTGGGGGCGATATCTCTATGCCACACACTTGTGCGCATATTCGGGTATCTCATGGATTTGACACATAAAAAAGGTGATACTGACAGCACCAACATTCTTGTCGGGAATGATTTTGACGTTTTGGACATGTCCAGTAGTTTCGAAGATTTGGCGCAAGACATCCTCAGTCACGCGAGGATCAAGTCCACCAACATAGAGCGCACGCTTATTTGGCTCTGGGGCCGCACGACGAACGAACCCGCCCTGGCTATCTGGAGACATGATGACCCCATTCTCACCCGACATCGGCGAGGTTATAGCTGTTGGAATGGGATTCGTGTTCTGCGGGATGATGACAGGTGGGAGCGGCGGAGGAGGCATGTGCGGGTTGCCCATGCCATTCTGGCCGTTCTCGTAGCCTGGAGCACCGGCAGTTCCAGGTGGAGGTGGGAGCTGCGTCCCGGGCGGAGGAGGGGCTTGGTCAGACATCGTCTGTACGTTGTGAAGTATTACTGTGCTTTTTTTCGCTGCAAAAGTGACTGCGCAACTCGAGCCTTTGTTCGATGCGAAGAGTCCGACGAGTATGAAACTACGTAGGAGTCTAAAATCGAGATGTACTTAGGATCGTAGTATAAGATGAATCGCGTTGCAGGTCCCCAACAGTAGTATTAAGAATCGACTTGGAAGGACTCGAAATGATTCGAAGGAATCGGATCTTGAAATGAGCTTGATTGGAAAGGCAAGTCGAAGAGAATCGACGACAGGGAGTATTTCAAGCGATGAACTGAAGAAAGTGTGAGTGTGGGCTGAGAAAAAAGCCTGGATGACAACGAGGCGCGCAAAGACGGGCTTCTGTTATACCTTTCGCGACTGGAACAAATCGAAAGACGTGGAAGGAAGATCAATGCGATGACACCGACTGACGACGATTATGACTTAGGACCCGGTAGAAGGGAAGAAACACAAGCAGAAAGGAGAAGATATGGGAGAAGGAAGAGATGAGAGAAGTAGAAAACCACCGCCTCAAATCTCAAAAATCTCACAACGGCCTTGGGTCGATGAGGATATGTTGGTATTAGAGATGGAGGAGGGAGGGATCGAGGACAAAAGGTGGGGAGGTGGAAGGTGGGTGTGGAAAGGGAGGGAGGACCAAAGACGGCAGTGGGATGAATGGACACCCGTAAATATGCACACCCCCACGGTCGACAGAGCTTCAGTGGGTGGTATAGGTGGCATAACTCTGGTATAGTACTACAGTGGACGACAGATTACGGCAGCTACTACATGCCCTAAGCTTAATCGGTCGCCGTAGCTGCGGTATGTGATGGGACGCTGGTGAGGTCAAAAGACACGGCCGGGGGTGCGTCGAGTAGAATTAGCGTAGTTTCACTCGAAGCGAAGGGATGGAAGGGACGCTACTGTATGTAGGTACTATGTATGGAGATGTAATGGTCAAGTGAGGCTGTGGGGGTCTGTTTGTCTTGAACAAAAAATAACGACGAGGTCTTGTTGGTCCTGTTGGTAATAGAATAGTTAATTACTATGGTAATGGTATGTTCTTTGTGAGCTGTTCTTTTATATAATATATGAGATATATATAAGATACAAGCAAGAACACCGGAGACAGATGGGGTGTGAGTGAGTAAAATCAGAGATGGTACTTCCGTCTGTTCTATTTGTGCCTGAAAACCACACCCAAACTCAATTGGCTGGTTGTACAGTACTATACTGGCGTGCGAGATGTGATAAGGTGGGCTGATTGTGCATGAAACTCCTGCAGGGTACTTGAGCTGCGTAACTTGCTCATAGGTTGTGCGTAAGTTGTGCGAAGAATGGTATCAGAGAGTATATAGAGTTAGATATGAGATCAAGTTGATCCTAAACATTGTAGTGTTCATACCGAGCGCACAAAAAATATATAAAATGTCTTGGATTTAGGGCTGGCGGGAGGAAAGACGCGCTTCTAGGGAGTAATCCTACAATTATTAATTTACCCCTATGTCAAAATTACATATCTAGACTTTATGCAAATTGTATATAAGACGGGAAAAAATGATAAAGAATATTTGTTATCCCCTTGACACAGAAATACCTCCATGCGGTCTCATCTGATCCTTAAACATCCAACATAATCCTTCCTCTAGAATGGATGGACCCCTTAACTGCGCCTCAAGCCGCTTCCTCTTGCCAAATATAACAGATCGCCATGTCACGTGCCACCGCTCTACATGGTCCGTGCTGCTCACCACTTTGAAATCGCCTAGCGAGTCGCGTCAAACCGCGTCAACTTCAGGTGGTAAGGTACGTACTACAATCGCAGGGAAACAAAGTGAACGACTCGAACAACTCCGCCAAATAATCGCACCCACGAACAAAACAGCAGCCATGAGCCACTAGCCTCCCTTTCACTCACAGGACACCCGGGCAAAAAGCATTCCCGAACAGCCTGCAAAGTCGATTGCATGATATCTGCTCGACGACGCTTTTCGGCATTCTCCACAGCAACCCCTCTCCTGCGTGCGAGTTGCTGGAAGGCGCCCCTCCACAGCCCGCACACCTGTCGAGTCCTCGTCCCGCACTTGGATGCATACATCTCACACAGTCGAACAGCTGGTTACTCCAGAATCGCCGACGCAATGTTAGGGCGGGCAGTACAGAGTTTCCAGGCTCCGCCGCCGCGGAAGGAAGCATTGGCGGCAGCGGAAACGGCTAGGAGAGCAGCCCAGTCTCCGGGGTCGAGTCAGGGCGTGGATGATATGTTGAAGAATGGGAAGAAGGATAATAGTAGGAAGAGCATTAGTGGGTGGGCGAGACCGGTGTCCCCGAGCTCGTCGGTGCCGTCGAGTGCACCGTTGTCGGTGTTTTCGAGGACGAATTCGGCTTCTGCGTTTTCGAGACCGACTACGGCGGGGACTGTTACGTCGACTGCTTATGCGGATACATCGTCTGTGGCGAGGGGGGTTTCTGCGGGCCCAGGCAGGCAAGGTGTTGCTGGGGATAAGGTATGGATGTCAAGCTCAATTCTAAGGGAAGACATTAACGAGAAGGCCAGGTCGTAACACAAGCAGCAGTTATTATCAATTCCGGCACAGACATTGTCGACTTAACACAAGAAGCTCCAAGCAAATCTCACGCTCCACAACCAGTCGAATTCGACTTTGACGATTTTGACGACGACAGCGACCTGGATCTCGAAGTGGAATACCCACTGGCATTACCAACCTTGAGTGCGCCACCTAGACAGCCATTGACCTCGATGTCCTCGAATAATACTAACTTCCCAGCGTCAATGCCTCCACCGAAACTGTCAGCAACTCCTCAACACCTCACCAATCCAAGTAGTGGTCCGATACCATGGTCTTCATCTCCACAAGCACATCTGGGCCCGCCTCCAGGGGCTGGGGCGAAACGATCTACTTTCCAAGAGCCAGAACAACAAATTACAAATTTGATTTCGTCTGAGCCGTCCATCGATGCGAACCCTCGACCGGCTAAGAGGAGGACAACCCCATGGGCACAGCGGGCGGCAGAGGAGAAGGATGTGCAGCCACAGGAGAGGGAACAAGCAGCTAGAGGTACCCAATGCTTTAAGTGCCTGGGATATGGCCATTATGCTGGGAGCTGTACCAGAGCACGCCCCAAAGACAACTCAATTTCACATGACGAAGATAGCTTTACCCCACTGCCGAAAGAAAAATCATTACCCTGGAATACTACCGCAAGCGCTATCAAGGACAAACGGGGGGCGTTCAGGGAGCAACAGAAGACTATGAAAATGAAGAGGGAGCAAAATTCTATAACGGAGATGTTCAAGACTAAAACAAAAGGATCGACCACCAAGGAGGAGAGGGGGGCTAATATATTCCTCAGCTCGGAGCAGAGCAATGTCTTGGGACTCGTCACCGAGCAGAAGAAGAGCGTGTTCTTCACGGGTTCTGCGGGAACGGGAAAGTCTGTGCTGATGCGAGCTATTATCGCGGAGCTGCGCAAGGTGTATAAGAAGGAGCCTGATCGGGTTGCTGTCACCGCGTCTACGGGTTTGGCTGCTTGCAATATTGGCGGTGTTACGTTGCATAGTTTTGGTGGGATTGGGCTGGGGAAGGAGTCTGTGCCTGACTTGGTGAAGAAGATTATGAGGAACCAGAAGGCGAAGACTCGGTGGTTGAGGACTAAGGTTCTGGTCGTCGATGAGGTTTCGATGGTCGATGGAGAGCTGTTCGATAAGCTGGAGGGCATTGCTAGGTTCATCAGGAAGAACGGAAGGCCGTTTGGTGGGATTCAACTGGTTGTTACGGGGGATTTCTTCCAGTTGCCGCCGGTGCCGGATTATGGGAAACAGGTTAAGTTTGCATTCGATGCTGATACCTGGTCGACCTCGATTCATCACACTATTGGCTTGACGGAGGTTTTCAGACAGCGCGATCCAGGTAGGTCGAGTCGACGTTCATTTGTAAGGGTGTTGGCAGCTAACCGTTGACGTAGTATTCGCCAATATGCTCAATGAGATGCGCTTAGGCAAGATCAGTGATGAAACCATGAAAGCTTTCAGGAAGCTAGATAGGCCACTGGAAGCCTCCGGTCTCGACGCAACTGAATTATTCCCAACTCGAAACGAAGTCGACAACTCCAACTTCATGAAGATGCGCCAACTCCAAGGGGCCGGCAAAATCTACCTCTCCGAAGACAGCGGCAGTGTCCGCGACCCTCAACAACTCGAGCGCCTCCTCCAAAACTTCATGGCGCCCAAGAAACTCGAGCTCAAGAAGCACGCACAGGTCATGCTGATCAAGAACATGGACGATAACCTCGTCAACGGCTCTATCGGCAAGGTCATCGGGTTCATGAACGAGAAAACCTTTGAGGTCTACGAGGGCGTCGATCTTGACCCGCTCGACGACAATGCGGGGTCCGACACGGAGGACCCACACGACGCGACCCGCGAAGCTAAACGTCGCGTTAGAGGCATGATGAATAAAGACCTCATCGCCGACACCGGCAAAGAATACCCCCTAGTCCGCTTCTTCGCCGCGGACGGCACATCACGGGACCTCCTCTGCCAGCCCGAGGACTGGAAAGTCGAGCTCCCCAACGGCGAGATCCAAGCCCAGCGTCGCCAGATCCCGCTCATCCTCGCCTGGGCGCTCTCCATCCACAAAGCGCAAGGCCAGACGCTGGAGCGGGTGAAAGTTGATCTGCGCAAGGTCTTTGAGAATGGACAGGCATATGTGGCGCTCAGTCGCGCGACGACGCAGGAGGGGCTTTGGGTGCAGAATTTCAATCCGAGGGCCGTGATGGCGCATAAGAGGGTGGGGGAGTTTTATGATAGTTTGTATAGTGTTAATAAGGCGTTGAGGCATCCGAAGGTGCAGCAGGGGAGGGAGAATAAGAAGCAGGAGAAGGTGCAGGGGGAGGTACAGAAGTTGGAGGATAGGGCGATGGAGGAGGTGCTGGATTGGGATGAGGATGAGGAGGCTATGGCTGCTTATGGATGAGTTTTTCTGGGGTTGGAGGGGGCGTTTTGGAAGAGGGGGTGGGGGGAAGTGATATGTAGATATAGACAGATCTGTCGACTCGGAGGCATCGCTACTACGTATAAACACATTGTGAGTGTAACGAATAAATAGCTTGTAGCTTCACACTCTACTCGTAGCAAAAATTACAACAAAATATGAAATAAATCAACTGTAAAATCTTTACCTGTAAAATATTCCACTCTGTGCTGCCGTCGCTTCCCACTGACGGGTGTGCCGAACAGCCATCATGCCTGTTGTCGTCCGCAACACTTCGACCCGCCGGTCCATCCTCGGCACCAACGCGGTCGCCGCACGGAGGGGGATTAAAGCCCGACGAACAGGTTTCTGGGATGGCCTTTGGGGGTATGTATGAGGGGTGATGCGATGGGTATATATGTTCCCTGGTCGGTCGATATTGCGGGTGCTTCTTCGCTTGCGGTTACTGGAGAGGGTAAGAGGGGTAGGTAGGGGAGAGGCGCTGAGCAGGGCATGGCAGAGAGAGCAGGGCAGGGAGAGAGCAGGGAAACCAGGGAGGGGATGTGCTTACGCCCTGCTTCTGTGCGTGAAGGATAGATGATGGGAGCGGGAGGGAGGGGTATTTCGAGGGGTAGAAGAAGCTCGGTTTATCTAATGCCGCGGCAGGGAATTATGACGGCGGTTCATGCTCTCTCTTGCGCTGGATGGGATCTTCTATGCTGGATAACCTGACGGGCTCGGCAGTTCCGCGGATAGCACACAACAGTACAGTATGAACTAGACAAAAAGCCCTTATCGTCGGCACCCTCCCCGAGAAGAGAAAGTAGTCAGCACATCGTGGCTGGACTAAGCAGTAGCAGGACGGGCAGGGTAGCCAGTCGAATACGGTAATTCACGAGTCCTCTCTGTATAGCGCTGCCGCACCACCGCGCCGCCCCGCATTGCCCACAGCAGCTACTGGATATATTCGCGAGAATTTCAATATCACCAAGGGTAGGTAGTCGCTCGCTGTATATCGATATATTCTTCAGCAGAACGGGGGGGGACCGTGTCGGCAATTAAACCTCCTTCTGGGCGAGTTGGGGGGAGAGTTTGCCGAGCCAAGTCCTGATTGTGGTTTGACAGTGGATTGGTGGTGGGTGGGTGCGTGTGGAGTACCGAGATGGGCGCGATGGAGCTCCCAGACCTCGACTCGAACCCCGCTGTCCGTCGGTTACTTCCCCGCGCTTTGATCCTATACGCACGCCACTGTGTGACGATTCCACTGTTTTTTGGACCCACGTAAGCACTGGGAATGGTCACTGCGGCGCGGCGACACTCTGGGGTTTCTTACCGCCGCAACGCCTGTGTCGTGAGGTGATATCGGCCCTGATGGTTTCGAAGGATTCGAGGCCTTGTAGTGCCAATCTCCTGGGGCTGGTTGCCAGGTATGGAGGCGATGGGGTATGGGTTGGATATGATGGCATGGGAGATGCAGGAGCGCGTCAGGGCCGTTGATGGGATATTGGATTGTGCATGAAGATGCATGAGTTTGGACTGAAGAGAACTGCCGAGAACAGTAAGAGCTCTATCCTATTCTACGCGAGGCGAGGTGAGACAACCACATGCCATCGCCATCTTCAGCACGCCGCCGTAGGGCCGGGAATAAAACCCTAAGCCCCACCTACCCGCCATCCTTCCCTCTCCCCTCCCTCCCCCACCACCCACGCTCGCATCCGGTCCCCGTCACAGACAGGCTTGTGAACGCCGCGCCGGGCGCTTGTCGATGGATGGACGGGTGTATTATCGGCAGTTGATGCGGAGACCGCGGAGGACCGCAGGGTTCTACTTGTGTGGTTCAGTTGCGACGTAGGCGCGATGGCGGAGATCGGGTTGGTGGGGGAGGGATGATGCGGGGAGTGGGGAGATGGGATGGGATGGGATAGAGTGGAGGTTGGTGCTGGATAGCTACATATCTATGGTGAGGTCGTGGTTTTCTCTTTGTACTCTGTTTGTTGTTGTGGAACAGGTATGTCTCAGTCCTGCTTATATTGCAACGACGTCGTCTGAGTGATTTTCTACCTCCTCGTTGTTGTTGTCGTCGCGTCTACTTTCCTTCCTTTTTTTTTTACCTCCCACCACGCGCTTGACGATGGTTCTCGAAGATGCCCTTGCCGTCATGGCACGGCATTGGCCTTCTGCACTGGCCATCATTGTCATTGTCCATTTCACGCGCAACTACTTCCACCACTCCCTCAACAAATACCCAGGCCCGTTCCTCGCGCGCATCACAAACTGGTGGCGCTTCTGGGACGTCCTCCAGCGCCGCCCTGAAGTCACCCATATCGCCCTACACAAGAAACACGGCGATGTCGTTCGTCTCGGCCCCAACTACCTCAGCTTCGCCGATCCCAAGGCTGTGAAGGACATCTACGGCCTCAACAAGGGCTACATCAAGAGCGACTTCTACCCCGTCCAACAATCCGTCTCAAACGGCCACCGCCTCCCCAGTCTCTTCTCCACCACCGACAACACATTCCACGCCAACCTCCGCCGCTCCATTAACTCCGCCTTCTCCATGTCAACACTCGTCCAATACGAACCCCTCGTCGACAGCACCACCTCCATCTTCCTCTCCCAAACCGACAAGCTCTTCGCCTCCCCAGGCATAACCTGCGACTTCGCGCGCTGGCTACAGTTCTATGCCTTTGATGTGATCGGGAACATGACATACTCCGAGCGCCACGGCTTTCTGGAGCGCAACGAAGACATCGAGGGTATAATCTCATATCTCGGGAAGCTATTCAGCTACGTAGCACCCATAGGCCAAATCCCCTTCCTCGACCTCCTCCTCCTCAAAAACCCCCTCTACCTCCTCGCCGCCCAACACGGCCTCATCGACGCCACCTTCCCCGTCGCCCGATTCGCCCGCGCCCGCCTCGAGGAACGCATGGCCTCCTCCCCCGGCAAACCATCCACCGGCCCGCCAGATCTACTGTCTAAATTCATCGCCGCGCAGGAGACGCATCCCAATACCGTGACGCAGAAGGAAGTCCTCACCCTCGCTGTCTCGATGGCGTTCGCGGGCTCGGAAACAACTGCTATCTCCCTATCGTCGGTTTTCTACTACCTCCTCCGTCACCCTGCTACTCTGTCCCGCCTCCTCGCCGAATTGGACGATGCGGAACAGCGCGGTGTGTTCGCTGATGCTACGCCGGGCGTTGTCTCGTGGGCCGAGGCGCAGAAACTTCCTTATATGGATGCTGTGATCAAAGAGGCGTTTCGCATTCACCCCGCTGCGGGATTACCGCTCGAGCGCATCGTTCCACCTAGCGGTGCTATGATCGCTGGGAACTTCATCCCCGGCGGCACGATCGTCGGCTGCTCCGCTTGGGTTCTGCACGGCAACCAGTCGATCTTCGGGTCCGACTCTGCGCACTTCCGACCCGAGCGCTGGCTTCCGAGGGATGGGAGTAGCGAGGAGGTTGAGAGGATTAAGGAGATGAACGCGGCGATGTTCCATTTTGGGAGTGGAAGCCGGACGTGTATTGGGAGGAATATTAGTTTGTTGGAGATTTATAAGGTTGTACCCAGTCTACTGAGGGAGTTTGAGGTGGAGTTCCCCGAGGGGAGGAGGGGGGAATGGACGTTGTGGAATTCGTGGTTTGTGAGGCAGTTGGGGTTTGAGGTGAGGTTTCGGAGGAGGGAGAAGGGGGGGTTGTAGAGTAGTTATGGGGGGAGAATATAGTAAAAATGTTGTAAATTCACATTTCGCAGGCGTGGATGCTGAGATTGGATACTGAGTGAGCTGTGGGCGGCTATATAAGCGTACGCGCTTCTGAGGCTTGAGTAGGGCACCACTCCAGTAACAGCCTGTTCACCAGAGTTTCACAGTCCTTGATGGACTGTATAACGGCCACCTTTGATGTTTGGTGGGTGTAATCGGGGAGGGGTTGATGTTTTTGGTGGCGCGGATCTCATTGCTGTCATGTAATCTGCCGCTGTCATTATCCTCTCACCGTCTGTTATTATGCTCTCGCTGTCATCGACCCCCGTTTCCTTGCTAGCCGATCTAGGCCTCGGTGTTCTACATGCTTGATAGGGCCATTTGACGTCTCTATTATACTTCCATTCCGATTTAAGCCTTGGAATTCCAATAGATACTTCATGTTGAACCCAAAATCACCTTTCTGAAGGACCTTTTGCATGATGACTAGCCCCCGTTTCTTTATCGGCCGATCTGGGCCTCGAGACTCTGGGTGCTGGCTTCAGGGTCATGGATATCTTGGTTTGCTTGGGCCCTCGTTGTCTCGTCGATTAGTACTTCTAGATCGCCAAGTAATCTTTGGAGTAACGTCTTCGAGTGCATCATCAATTTCAGATCCCATGGTGCGAATCTTGTTGGCCCGCAAAAAGGACTCGTCCGTGATGTGTGTGGTCTTACCACCCACTGGGCCACTGTCGTATTCCGATATTTACGAATATATTTTCCGGCCGCACGAGGGAGCTGCTGTGGGAGAATACCAGATAGGGAGGGGAAGGAGATGAGTGTAAACATGCAGAGTCTAATAAATAAGTTGCACAGAGCAAATGCTATCGCATCGTCTCCAATAGTTCACTATTTCAACAGGTTCGGGGAATCATGACCATGCCGATGATATTTGCCCCTGAATCTCACAATAACTAGAAGCCAGGCATCACCACTATTGACAAAGGGGGTCGTCTCAACCAAGCGGAATATATAATGGCCATGGTCCACCTACAACGTAATATCGAAGAAATCATACTTGCAACACAATCCAGTCATTTTATAAATCGGTTCACCTTACCATAGAAACCGAAGCATTCTCTTGCATCCCCCTCCCTCTCTCCGTCAGTCAAGCCACACAACCATATATCCACCAACACACGAACAACACTCACATACGATCATAGACTCAAGAGAATTGGGCATCCCGTCCGCTCTGCCATACACAAGCTTGCTTATCCTCTGGCTAATAGTCTCAATAGTGCCAGTAGGCATAGCGTGGAATCGCGGCCCCTTGCCGCCTGAAGGGTGAGGCGAGGGGTGAGCAGGGTGAGCAGGGTGAGCCGGGTGAGCCGGGTGAGGCCCTTAAGTTCTGCTAATAAACTAAGAACATTATAAGCATTACCTTGCTTAACGCTAACTATATAATCCCTATATGCTCTCGTGAGCACCGTCTCGCTTAACACAACACTACTGCATCATCCTGCATGCTCTCGTAAGCATCGTCTCGCTTAACAACACTACTACGCCACCCTGCATACTCTCATGAGCAGCGCCCTACCGTTAACGTCACCTTGAGGAAAGATGTGGTGAGCACACATCTCTACATCATTCGCGTGTGCTAGTTCTCTTCCCTTCTGTCCACCCATCACAGCATGTCTACAGAAACGCAGTCCAAGAAGCAGAGCTCCGAGCGACGACGTATGCAGAATAAGCGGGCCCAGAAAAACTACCGTAAGCCAAAGGATGCAGGGAATGGCCTATCACTGCAAGACTAATCTTACGTCTGGTCAGGAGAGCGTCAAAAAAGGAATTTACAGGTCCTCCAAGACATAGCTGGGTCTGCCTTCCCAATTAATCAGGCAAACGAGGATGGCCGATATATCCAGCCTAGAATGGGCATTTTCACCAATGCTTCGCTAGAGGCAGAGGGTGTTCATGCGGCCTCCTTGACAGACTCCTGTTCGCGAGCCTTTTCAGAGGCGGGGAGCAGGGATGGCTCATTTAGCAGAACAGGGCAGTCACGCGGTAGCTTACTCGATGCAGATGAGCAGCCTCAGTCAATTCTTGTTAGAAGACCGCCTTTAATCCCCCCTGAAAGTTCTCAAGGGTATTGCACAATTAGTCAATTACTTCAACAAGAGGGTCTAGTTCTCGATGAGAAGATGAGGCTTCAAATATCAGAGAAGAAGATAGACCTACGGAGCATTTTGGAAGCTGGGCTAAAGGCGCTTTCACACGAGACTTTACTAGACGCAGATTGCTCCTCCTCACATGGCACAAGAGAAGGGTGCGCTACTAATAGTACACAACTCCGTACAGACAAAATATTACTGTTACAAAACGCCAACCACGGATACGAGACATCCCTACCTGATATCCGCAGAAATAACCTCCGAATCAAGCAAGTCCTATTTGTTGCCGCTTGCGTAACAAATGCATCGTCTCTAGGAATCCCTCTCGAAGGTTTAAGCTGCGACAGTGCTGAGTCGCATTTCTTCCGCGACTCCATCTCAGAATCAGCCGCTAAGACGGCGTGCCTGAGCGAGTTCCTAGATTTGAAGACGCACCTACGACCGTGTGCTCCGCAACTGATGTACAGACACCATCCATACATTGACGTGCTTCCCTTTCCGACCTTCCGAGAGCGTCTCATCAAACTCGCTTGTGCTGAGGAGCCGATGATTGATGAGGACGAGTTGTGTAAAGATCTCGAAAACGACGGTCTAGTTTGCTGGGGATCAAGTCTGGGTGGTGGGAGTACAGCGATGGGATCGGGCGCGCCGTGGGATATACGGAGCTGGGAAGCGCAGAATTGGTTTATGAAGAAGTGGTGGATCTTGATTGGTGGTGCGGAAGGGGAAATCTATAAACAGACGCAGTGGTGGTGTGAGATGAGGGGCGAGCGGTCCTGTTATCCCTGGTAGTAATGAAGGTGAAGGGTAGCTTTATGGATTTTAATTAGATACTCACGACCATTTATTCTTTGACCCCTATTTACCCCGCTTTTGGCCGCTGTTTGGCTGATCGCGCGCAACATCAACAAGGTATTCCCGTATCCGCCGCGACTGTGCTCCATGTCGCCCTGGGACAGCATTAAAACAGAGCATAATTAGACTCTTAGCAACCCCTTGAAATTTTGCTACCTGAATCTAGAGCTCAAATTTCTCGCTAATCATTTCTTCACTCATAACCCAACACCTTTTGGCATTGTCCCCATCAATCGCATACGGCTGAACTATCTCCGGATCCTCACTGGGTTGGCAATCATCCAAATAAACCATGTTCTGCTCCGCCAAACTCGGATCGAGAGCCGCTCTTAAAGTTGTCGAGCACCCCTGCTGCAAGGTTTTACTTGTTGGCATCTTTTTTCCCGATTCTTCCCATTGCGCCAGCGCCTCAGCCATCGCCTCAGGCGTAAAATATTTCTGCAGCCCACTCACAATACTACCTGGATGCAGTGCAAAACTTCTCACCCCTTTTCCGGCCAATTTCTCATTAAGCCCAACTGAAAAGAGGACGTTTGCTGTCTTGGCTTGACCGTAGGCGACCGTGGCGACGTAGTCTTTCCCTCCTGTGAAATTTGGGTCATCATATCGGATATCAGACGCGAAATGGCCCACACTAGCGACATTGATGACACGTGCATTTGGCGCAGCCAGGAGGATTTTCGGCATGAGGAGATTGGTGAGGAGGAAGTGTGAAAGGTAATTTGTCGCGAGTTGGAGCTCGAAGCCATCGGTGCTAAGGCCGTAGGGGCAGGCCATTATGGCTGCGTTGTTGATAACTACGTCGAGTTTTGGGATCGAATCATCGTTAAGGATAGATGAAGCGGCCGCACGAACGCTAGCGAGGGAGTCGAGTGAGATGGGGATGAATTTTGTGGTGATAGATGGGTCGATAGCATGGATGGCATCGATTGTAGGCTGGATCTTTGGAAGGGAACGGCCAAGGAGGAGGATAGCTGCGGGTGATCCATGGGCGAGAGAGATGGCTGTCTCAGCGCCAATGCCACCTTGACTTGGGCCGGTGATTAGGAAAATTCTTCCTTTCACTTGATCCTTGAAGTCCGAGACAATGGTTGTGCCTTCCGTACTGATTCCATAGTGAGACATTTCTAAGGTACGTTGGTGTGCTTGAAGGTAGAAGTTGGAAAGAGACGTTGTAGCTAGCAGAATGATACTTGGTAGTTGGAAGGACTTAGAGGACGGAAACCGAATCGATGAATGTAAATCAAGTGTTTTTCAAGAAGTGTTGGGACTTTTATATTTCATATTTTCATTTCCACGTGTTAAGGCGAGCTTATGTCCGGCCGTTAGTCGTCGATCGCGCTAAGCGTATTAACGTCATGTCATCGCCGGTCGTCGATCGTTCATAAGAAGTCTAGAATGCAACCAAATAAACATTGCGCTGGTTATATTCATATACTAGGCCCTCATCAGCCGTAATTATCGCGTAATAGGTTCTAATCTATTAATGTCCTGTAGCTATCGTAAGCATACCTTTCCTTGAGGTGACGTTTAAGGGTGAGCGTTCCTGCATGCTCACGAGAGCATGCAGGATGAGCATTCCCCTTAAAGTCCGTTAAGTCCGTACAAACTCAACAACACGGCAGGCAATGTTTGCAGCCAGTCTTTGAAAAACAAAATAACCCCCCCTTGTGTTAAATCATTTTATCTAACAAAGCCCATTCTGCAAAGAAACATCATCATCTTTTTGAAATACAGAGTCGCGGCATGGAGACATTTCAAAACGGCGTCTCGTGGCTGAGGAGACACAGGTAAAGGAGGGAGGTTGTGAGTAGAGCAAGGGTTTGGAGTTTTGGTGGTAGGGGTACTACTGTCGTTATTCTTTGCTGTCGTTACGTTCATGCTGTCGTTCTACATTACTGTCGCTATACCAGTCAACCAATTTACGGAAAAGGGTTGCGGAGAGGGAGTGTGATGAAGTTTACTTGTTGCGTTAGGAATACAGCTACCTTGAGTTAAACAGCAGGAACGGAGCCTTACAAGTTGTCTTTCGACTTCTCGATAATGACGGAAGGAGAGTATGAATAGGGGATGTGAGGTAGATTTATAGGTGTGTGCCTGTGCCTTAAAGTTGAGAACATACCGGAGCCGTTTCAAAATCGAGCTGAGACTCAAGCTCTCTGTTTGTAGATAGTCACAGCACTTGCTATTTGAAATGTCGCCGCTGCTGTAAATGCAGAGTAATCTTGTAGATGGTATATGAACGGCTATAATCATAATTCAGTTCACAGAGGACGGAGGACAGCAAGACTATCCTGATTCTGGGGAAGAAGCAAGGCGCCCTATTGCGGAATAGAAGTGCGCTGAAGGCTACGAAAGATGCCTGTCTGTGGTATCCTCGAGATGAGTGCAGGTGTCCTTGTGGGGTGGGCCGGGGCTGTAATGGGCATATGGATGCGTAGGCTCTGAGAGTGTTTTTAGCGGGGTGGGTTGGGTGTGTCTGAGAGGTTTGGAGGGTTTGGAGGAAAATTCAAGGGGAGAACGAAAGAGTGCGTTCATAAGCCCATCCCAAGAGCACAGTCTACAGAGCACAGAGTTTCCAGAGCCTGCCTTTCACAAAACTGTACTGGGTAAGTGCGTCTTCAGCCATTTTATAGACGACGCAATAGGCAGCGATCCCTCGTTCAAGGACCTGTTCCAATCCCTGTAGCAACAATATTTCACTCGTCTGCTCTGGGCGAAGTACACTCTGAATCCAAAGAAAGCATTTTTCTCCACAGACGCTTCTCTTCATGGGCGCTGCACGTGTCCACAAAAGAAGAGAGAACGGCAGCAATGGAGGAACAACAGTAAAACTGAGTTTACGGCGACAAGAAGTTAACGACAGCAACTGTCACCGGCGAAATATTGACCCCGCGGCAATTATATGGCTTTGATAACTTCAACGGATAACGCTTCATTTCCTCACGCATTGGCCGGCGCAGCTTCTCTGGGTGGCCTGCGAGCATTGTCAGTGTAGCGCCATTATTCACCCAGCTATTGGTACGCTGGTGGCATTTTATATGTTTGAGCCACCTTCAAGTGTATCAATGAACAGCATCAGCTCGTCCACAGGATCGCACATGACAGGACCAATTAGTTAGTTTTTTTAGGGTTAGCATCATCCAACTTCCTCTCAGCCTATCTGCTTGTCAACGCTCGCCTTGCAAGTACACCTTTAGTCCCCCGCCGCTAACGTCTAAGTCGACTACCTCTACCCTGCAGTCCATTTTGTCAATAGGAGGCAGAAATTCTCAGTCTCAACGAAGTACAGCGAGCGACGTATTTTGCGCCACGGAAACACCTAGAGCAATCAAGTCGTAGATCGTCCCTACCTTAATATATTTGGCATACTGAATGATTCTCGAGGCATAAAAATAAACAATATCTCCGGGAACTTCTCTGACGCCGATGCAAGCGGAGCCGTAGAATTCCACAGGGCTTACCCACGTCTCACAGACGTCCTATTATTGCCCGAACTGCACATCCATACCACCTAGCTTCGTTACAACAACACAATACACCTGCAATGGATGACGATCGCACATCCCTCGATCCCATCAGCGGGCTCCTGAGAGCTGGCGAAACCTTCAGCAGCTAAGGACGGCTCGCCTACCCCGCAACACCACCAATGGAGCAGATGTATCTGCGGGCCCTGCAAGAATACGAAAAGCTTCTCGGATTAGAATAGGGGATTGCGGCAGAGAAAATTGTTGAAGTAGGCACGGAGATTTAGGGCTGGTCGAGAGTTCGAAACCTGCATAATGCACTTCTGCCGATCTCTCTTGTCGCTGCCGTCTTGGCATCGTCTTGTGGAACAAAAATATCGCTTAAGCCTGTCTGCCACGCGTCCCCCGTTTCCCCATGGTTCTCCTCACCGACGCTAGCTCTTCTGTCGTCCCGCAATATGTGACCCCGCCGGCTCTTTCTGTTGGCGCGCAATATGTGACCCCACCCCCTACCCCTGGATGTCGTGGTAAAACTTTATCCTCATCACGGACCTCGTAATGAGCTTGATGCGGTGCTGATGCCGATCTTAGTCCTGATTTGGATCTAGATCCTCATTAACTTTCTGACCATTCTCGCATACACGTCATATTTGTATTTTTCCTTATTTTAAAAGAGTGTTAGCTACTCGAATCTAGAGTATTAAAGGGCTAGGGCTCTAACAGTAATTAGGGCAGCTGCGCTAAACCTCTAAGGATTGAACTCGACCATCACCGTTAACGTAAAATCCCGCAATCGCCATCATGCCATGCTCGAGTTTGTAGTCTAGCACTCAGAAGGCCCGAAAGATATAGATGCAAGACTAGTGTAAGGGGATGGTCTCGTGGGATCACTAGCTTACTAAACCGGCTTTACATGATTAGGGCTAATCTACTCGGAGATTTGGCTTCTACGGGAGCTACACTAGATACATAGGAGAAGGAAGATTGTAGTCCCAACCCAATCTTCAGTCGCTGTAAAACGTACTGTATTGAAGCTATAGCTAGAGAACCTACTTTGACATGTGACTCTTGCGACTCAAGAACCCACCATAGCTTAGCACGGTAATACAACTAGATATCATGCATCCTACTTGTGTTAACCATCTTGTGAGGTTATGTCTATCTACAGCAGATGCCTAGGCGTATATTCGGATTGTAAGGGAATTTATTTTCAGGTATCTGCTTTTTAGGGTATCCTAGAGCAACGCACGTGCGGCCGGCCGTTAGTCGTCGGCGGTTTCCTGTTGTGCTGGCCGCCGAAATAGAGCCGGCGCGGGGTGAGTAAATTGGGTTTGCAAGCTAGCGATGAGTTGTGATGATGGTGAAAGGATGAGATGAGATGGGGTGGGATCACGAGAAGCTGAGATGCGGATATTGAAGTACAAGGATAGGTTGCCCACCATCACTCTTTCGCTCCTTATATAGAAGTCCATCGATGCTCGTCTCTCCTGTTCGAGCTTTGCATACGCTATATTAGCAACGTACTCTAGATACAGTCCAAATGCGCTTCTCCAAGCTTCTCTCACTGGCCGCGGCGTGCGTGACCACGGTGTCGGCGTTGACGCCTGCGCAGTGGCGTGGCCAGTCTATCTATCAGGTGCTGACGGACCGCTTTGCAAGGACCGATGGGTCAACGAGCGCGAGTTGCAATACAGCGGATCAGAATTATTGTGGTGGGACCTGGAAGGGGATTACCAATCATTTGGACTACATTCAAGGGATGGGGTTTACAGCCGTAAGTTCTTGACGAAGCATCCTATGTCCCAAACCAAATAGTGGTAGTGGTATCATGTGCGTTGTTAACTGTGGACGCGAGGGGATAGGTCTGGATTAGTCCTGTTGTCAAGCAGGTTGATGGATTGACGGGTGATGGCGCTGCGTATCATGGGTACTGGGCCAAAGACATATACTCTTTGAATTCGAATTTTGGGACTGCAGCGGATTTGGTCGCGTTGTCTGCTGCGCTGCATGCCAGAGGCATGGTGAGTTAAACCCTGTCGCTGTAGGTTGAGATTTACTCATGAGGCTGACAAAACATAGTACCTCATGGTTGACGTTGTTACTAACCACATGGCTTATGTTGGATGCGGGGCTTGCGTGGATTACAGTACCTTAAATCCCTTTAACTCGGTATGTTACGCCGCATTTGTGGCAAACATGGAACTGATATTTCGTAGGAATCCTACTATCATCCGTTTTGTTTGATCGATTATACTGACGCAACAAGCATTAAAAATGTAAGTGGTACTCAATTATTGCAGGCTCGAGATGGCTGCTAATCCAGATCTAGTGCTGGATGGGCTCCAATACCGTTTCCTTGCCAGATCTTAGGACTGAAGACTCGGACGTTCAAAGCGAATTCAACTCTTGGATCGCGGAGCTCGTCTCAAACTACACTATTGATGGCCTGCGCATTGACAGTGTCCAACAAGTCAACACTGGCTTCTGGCCTAGCTTTCAAGCCGCTGCTGGCGGCATCCATGCTCTCGGCGAAGTCTATAATGGCGATCCCGCCTACGTCTGCCCCTACCAGACCTCCATAACTGGCGTATTGAACTTCCCCGCGTAAGCCCCCCCCGACCCCTTTCTGACACCGCACTCACACCACACAGCTATTACTGGATAACGCAAGCCTTCCAAACAACCAGCGGCAGCATTAGCAACCTCGTGAACGGAATCAACACCATGAAGTCCACGTGCAGTGACACGACGCTTCTGGGGTCCTTCCTCGAAAACCACGACGTCGCGCGCTTCCCGTCGCTCACTTCTGACCTCTCACTCCAGAAAAATGCCATTGCATTCACCATGCTTATGGACGGCATCCCCATCATCTACGCCGGTCAAGAGCAGGCCTATAGCGGCGGCAACGTGCCCTACGACCGCGAAGCAACCTGGCTATCGGGGTATAACACCGGGTCCACCCTCTACACCTTCATCGCGTCGGTGAACCAAATCCGCAATCGCGCCGTATATATAGATTCCACCTACGTCACGTACAAGGCAGTGCCCAGCTACTCAGACACAACGACCATCGTACTGCGCAAGGGCCAGGCGGGTGCACAGATTGTGGCAGTCTTTTCGAATAAGGGCGCCAGTGGCAGCAGCTATACGCAAAGCCTATCGTCATCGGTCACTGGCTTCTCGGCCGGCCAGACACTTATCGAGATCCTGAGCTGCACGGCGTACACCGTTGACTCGAGCGGAAATCTCGCGGTTGCGATGGCGAGCGGGCTGCCGCGCATTTTCTATCCGACGGCTAAGCTGACTGGGAGTGGGATTTGCCCTGGACTCAGCGGCGCCTCTAGCACCTCTAGCACCTTTATCACCTCTAGCACCTCCAGCACCTCCAGCACTTCTAGTAAATCTAGCACCTCTAGCACTTCCAGCACTTCCAGTAAATCCAGCACCTCTAGCACCTCTAGCACCTCCAGCACTTCCAGCGCCTCTAGCTCCTGCAGCTCGGTCGCCGTGACGTTCAACGAGCTGGTGACGACGGTGTACGGGACGAATGTCAAGATCTCTGGCTCAATCGCTGCTCTTGGTAGCTGGAGCACGGCGAGCGCGGTGGCACTCTCCGCGTCAGGGTATACGAGCTCAAATCCGCTGTGGGCGGTTACGATTTCGTTCACGCCGGGAACGTCGTTTGAATATAAATTTATTGAAGTAAATAGTGCGGGAACGGTGACGTGGGAGTCAGGGAGCAATAGAGCGTATACAGTGCCGACGACTGGATGTACGGCGACGGTTAGTACGAGTTGGCAGTAGCTAGGGAGGAAGAGGAAGGGTTGAGGCGGGGGAGAGGAGGGAAGACAGGGGCAGGAAGCTCAGGGGCTAACGTGGAAGAGTGAAGAGAAGAGAGGGAAGAAATGCACAGAAAACTCAAAAGTTGAGGAGAAAAGTAGTTGAAAATTGAAAGAGGGAGAGACAAGGGGAGGATAGTAGAGCAGAATGGCCGAATCGATTAGCAGTGTTGCTGTCTTAGGCTCTGATGATCTTTCTCTGTACTACCATACCTAGAAAAACTCAGTGTTTCCCACTGCTCGTGCGTTTTCCAAAACTGCTGCATATTGCAAATTATGCAGCCTTCGTAGCTTATGCGGGCGCGTTGTGGATCTCCCTCAAATCTAGGTTTTTTCTCCTTCTCATTTCCGTTAAAATTTCTCCCCTAAGTGTAGCTTGCTCTAGAGATGCTAGCAGTAGGTGTCGCACCGTTTAGCCACCTTAGCTACATTTGCACTCACTATCCGTGATGTCTAGCCCCTGTCTTTAAAACAGATATTGTCGAGGTTCGACCTTCGCAGTCGTCTGTGTCTGTATAATGATCGAGTTGAGGGGCTGGCGTAGTACTGTGTGTAGTTGCAGCTTTTTTTGCGTCGGACTAGGCACAAGCTTGTAGGTCATCCACCCCCTGGTCTCTCTATCCCATGCCTCGGACCATTCGTTTTGGATCTACTACTTTAGTTTCCCATTTGCTGCCGAGTGTGATCCGAGTTATTACCACTATCCTTCATCTCCTCCTTCCCCCTATTAATTGTGTCTATCCTGTTGGTTTTTTAGCTAATGAGTTTGCTAGGTCATTTTTATACTTTTGCGTACTACATTTAACTACCAATGGGCCGTAACAGTACAATTGTAAGATCCATGAAAATCGTCGAGATATTCCACGAAGCACTATAGTATTGATGAGTCGAAAAGAACTAACGTTAGAACCCTTAAATCAAATATCAAAACCTCGAAGCGGCACACCTCGAAATACTACATTATGACCGGACCATTCACAGAGGGGTCCGCAATGGGGGCAAAACATGGATCCATTTATGAAGAGAACTAATCCTAAACTTAACCAACTTTTTGTAGACTCTCACAGCTTGTAATAATCATATTACCAGCGCGCCATGCCACGTTTGAAGCCTCTATTGCCACGTGTTACTAACCGTAACGGCCGTTGCGCAGGTCGCTGGCACGGTGTACGTGTGGTTCGGGTCCGCCTCCCACGTCACCGTTCCATCAGAAGCGACATTAATATACTTATACTGAATAACCTCTCCAGCTGGGAACGAGATCGTGCCAGCCCACAGGTGGTTGCTCGACGTATATCCCGAAGCTGAAAGTGAGGTCCCAGAGCCCGTGTTCCAGCTGCCAAGAATGCTGTCTGAGCCAACGATCTTAATGGTTTGGCCGTAGGTCGTAGTAACGATTTCGTCAAATGTCACGGCGACACTAGTCGCTAGAGTGCAAGAAGAGGCTGTGCTAGTTGCGCTTGAGGTTCCAGTTGTGGTGGTAGCGGTTCCGGTGCTACCGCTAGCAGTCGTGGTTACGACGCCAGTGACTGGTGTCTGGTTCGCGGGGAACGTACTGACGCTCGCGGTGGAGTAGGTGCCAGATACGGTAGATGTAGAGCAGGTAGAAGGTACGGAATTACCACCTGACTCGCCCCAGCTAGCTGGTACGACGCCTGCACGACGTGCTGCGACAGTGAGAAGAGCGGCGTACGACCAGGTCAGGTCAGCGGCCGAGAGTGGTGCTCCGGTCGAGCGCGAGTATTGCTCTGAAAGGTTGCCGGCCGAGGGCGTGTATGTTGCGGCGTTGGTTACAAAGCCGTCAGCATAAGTCTTCACGGCGTTGTAAAGAGTTGTGTAGGTTGAAGTAGACGATGCGTATGTTCCGACTGCTGCAGAAGAGTAGAGGTCCTTCCAGAAAGCCAGGGAGACAGAAGTGATTGTAATGCTTCCAATATTATTCCATTGGATAAGAGCGTCATAAAGCAGTTCGGCTGCCGCGAGAGTGTTGAGATACCACGGGTTTCCACCATAGTAAGAATCTGGATTTTCGGTTAGTATTGCCAGCGTTTAGGACAGCCCAACTCACCCTCTGCATATCGTCCCACAGCTACAGCAACACCTGCTGCAATGCCACTATTGATTGTGTAGATTGATCTAAAGGAATCGACAACGGACTTATGGTTGGCAAGAGCTCGATCAGAGCAACTACGAAGGTTAGCGGCTAAAAGTATCAATGAGATTGCTGCTTACGGTTGGAAGGTAGATGCATCACAAGCAGCTGATGGGTCGAAGGTATGAATAGAGCCGAGAATACTGTTGGCATCCTTGCCGGTACGGCCACTGTTGGTGTTGGAGACGACGTAACCACCTGAGTTCCAGAAGTTCTGGAGAAGGCAGAGAACTTGAGGAGCCTGTGTCAAACAGTTGGAACCTAGTCGCATAGTTAATACTAATGTAATGCGAAGGCTTGTAGATAGACTTACAAGTCTTCCCGAGTTGTGTTGCTAGAGCGGCTCCCTCGACGAGAGCACGGTGCTGAGCAGCAACAGTAAAGAAACTGTATCCACCACCAACTTCTTCCCAAAGATCATATCCTGTCTGCGACCTATGTATTGTTAACAATGAATCGTAATCTCAGTAAGCATCACTTACCAGTACTGTGTGACATAGCTCAGATCGTTCTGGATGACTGGCCAGACCAGGCTGCTCGCGGTGGAGGTGTACCCATTAGCAATCAACCATCTTGAGTAAGCAATCAGCGCCGTCGCGCGAAGAGCGGGACCGTCGCGTTGAGGCCGGCCCCAGCTGCCAGTGAAAGCAGTTCCATCAGCGTTGAATTTAGGCTCTCCAAGGCCAGATCCGTCCGAAAAGCTTCCAGACGGGTTCGAAACTGTCTGCAGCTTGGCTTGGGCAATGATGTAATTTTCAATCTCGACCTGCAGAGTAGCAGAGTACGAGTTGATGAACGTGTCCACGATGCACTTAAAAGTCAAAGCAGAGTCGCGAGTCCACGTGTAGAAGTCTGCCGTAAGTGTGAGTAGCGGAAACGAACCAGGGATGAAGGGAACGCACAATCAGGGGAGGTCTTGGAAGGACTAGCCATAACCAGACCAGATCCAGCACCCGACGCACATGCGCCAGCGGAGCCAATATTGCATAGGAGATTAGCCAAAGCAATTGGGCTTTCACTGGCGAGAAACGTATCTACTGAACGCTTGCTGATGTCGGAGACATGTGTGACGCTGCCGGGCAAAGCCAGTATTGGCTGCACAGCAAAAGCGCCAGCGAGAAGAAGTGAGAAGGAATGCATGATATTGCGAGTGGTGAAAGCTATGCGATTAGAGAAGCTGCTGAATCTGGCTGCTAGACAGGAAGGTGAGTGTAGGAAACGATCCCCTTCTTATAGCCTTCCTCTGTGCCTGTGTGAGCAATGAGGCTTGAAGCCTAGGTGGCTGATCGATCAGAGAGTATCGCCGAGGATATCGCCTTTAGTGTGTATGGCCCGTCACTGGAAATTGTGTCAAGCTATGCATCGCGCGTGATCTCAATTATGGAATATTGCCGTCGTCGATTTCATCGAAGCTTTAGCTACGCTATGAGTAACTTCGAGAATGCCACAAGGCACGTTGGCCCCTGCTCGGCACATAACGCACATTGGTGCTGTTCTGTTGTCGCTTCCTGTGCGTCACTCGAGTGCACGACAATGGCCGCAAGAAACAATTAGACCATCGGACGACTGGTGGCTGAAAAAAGATCCAAGTAGTGCTCGGCTCGATGTTCCATGTCTTTTAAGGAAGGTTTTGACCGAAGAGGGTTTGTCAAGGCTGTTAATTCGCATTGATGTTTACAGGTTTTGACTAGGTTTCCCCACTACTGCTCTCCGCATTTCCCCAACCCCCGATTCCCACATGCTCGTCCGCCACGCGGCAGACCTGGAATCCACATCCCCGCCTTTCATATAGCTTAGAATTTCGGCCCGACTAATAAGCCGATATTCACATTGAGATATATTTCGGTGACTAGCACCAAACCCCCTGTCCACTGTAAAGATATGTTCGACATCACGATATTCACTATAAGTCGATTAAAAACACTCAAAGCACGGGGCGTCTGCATCACATACTGCATATGATGCTACTGTTGTGTGATATTTGCTAGTATGAGGTTTGGTCCGTCCTGCTATATTAAGTGAACAGAACTAATGCGTATGCCTGGTAAGCTCAAGCGTCGTTCTTGCGCGACTTATGCAAGTACTGGGCTAACCGGTGGCCATGGCGTGATATAGGACCGAGACATATGCCTCTATTGTCAAGCCTTTGGTGGAGGTAGGACGGCACCGGTGCCTTCTCACTAGAAAAGGCCGCGTATGCTGTTGTGAAAAGAGAAATGGGCTGGATTAGCAACAGTTGAGGCGCCGGTAGCGGCCGAAATTTAAAACGAGGCCACATTCAATCCCTGATAATATGGCATATGCCGCATTATCTGCATATTTTTGATTATTAGCCTGTCAGAAGTGAGATGATATGTGGAAAGGTTTTCTAGCAGGCAATGGAACGTTTGGCTTATTTGCTGCCTTTTAAGTGCTTTAACTGTTTTAGGAAATTTTAGAAGACCTCCACAATCGATTTTAAAGTTGACGCGTGCACTCATGGCGAAATAACGTGCCGAATGCGGGGCTAAAGGCTTATGTGAACCTTTGTAGGCTTAAAGGCCCGAATCCTAGTGTTTCGGCAGCAGCCCCATGGCACTCGCTGCGTTGTCCCTAAGCAACTATATGCACATATCCCCATGCTGTACAGGGTTACAAGCGTTGGCTACAGAAACAAGCATTGGGTTAGTCGGTAAATGATCACGGAGTGGGCTGAACTGATCTGGTAGTTGTGCTCCGACGCTAGTCCGGGACGTGGGTTTCGGCCACATAGTTTATCCGAATAATGATTCCGGTAGTCAAACAGGGAAACTCATATAGGATTAGCGAAGTCTGGAGACCACGATGGGTCTCTAGACGGAGCAGGTCGGAGGAAGGACAGCCCAGAGAGTCGAGTGACTCCCGAGACCCTAGCTCTCCTGACTAAGGGCGGGCTCTACATTGGTTAGTTCCCAGGCTCTAGTCTCTAGAACCAATGGGACTGTAGTAACCCCACGATAACAACGATATGTTAGGTATTTGTTATCCATGATATTAAGGATATCCTTTGCACGGCTCTACTATGTAAGTAGATAGTTGTTTGCTAGATAGGAGCTTTGTGCTCAACTTAATACAGCATCTATTATATCCTAGTAACGTGTTACTTAAAGCCGTTATGTCTAATCCCCTACCTCCTCTTTTAAGTTAAACCTTTACGTAAGAAACCTTTGTACGTTCTATCATTTTAGGACGTAGCGTTATACCACCTAGGGTGGATTAAAGGGTGGAGGGAGGGGTAAGGTGGGTTTAGTGATATGTAGCTTACATAAATGAGTCGCCTACGTGTGCCAGACTCCATTGAAGATATTGCGCTTTTTCCGATCAATACCGCAGCCCTAAAGTTTGGTCAGAGTATATATAAGTTGATCAAAACACTCGAATACCACCTTGAGATACAGTGGCACCGGATAGAGACATCCCTCAAGCGGTGTCTTGTGGCTGCGGAGACACAGGTTAAGGAAGGAGGCCGTGAGTAGAGCAAGGGTTTGGTGGTAGGGGTCTTACTGTCGTTATTCTTTCCTGTCGTTATTCTTTCCTGTCGTTATTCTTTCCTGCCGTTATTCTTTCCTGTCGTTATTCTTTCCTGCCGTTACGCTCTTGCTGTCGCTGTGCTCTGCTGTCGTTATATCTGTTGACTGATATACGGAAAGGGGTTGTGGGGACGGAGCAAAACAAAAACAAAATTGACCCCCGCTTCAGTAACAGTGGTGACAGACACGGCATAAGCAGAGGTGTCCTGCCAGTGTTGGCGTAATGAGGGTGCAAAGATGGAAAGATGAGGTGGATTTGTAGATGCGTATGTTTGCGTGAAGTTGATAATACGCCATAGATAGCCGTTCAAAACTGAGCCAACTCTCAAGCCCTCCGTTCGAAAATTAGATAATACAAATCTCGATACAGCACCAAACTTGTTCTCTGAAATTCCACCACTGCCGTGAATACAGAATTGACTTGTGAGAGGTCTATGAAGAGCTAAGGTTACGAGCCGACTCACGAAAGACGAAAGGGAAGACTATCATGGTTCTGGAAAAGGGCCCAGGTTTCCTATGGCTGACTCAAAGTTATCTAGTGGTTATAATGGGTGCTTGTCTGTGGGGGCTGCCATGGCGTATAGACACAAAGGCTCTCGGGGCGTTTTCAGGGAAGATATAGGTTTGAGGGGTTTAAAGGAGAGTCCAAAAGAAAATGGATGACAGGCGGCCTTACCACCACAATCGTCAAAAGTATCTTCAAAAAATGGCATCAAATGTGGGAGTGTCTTGTATAAAGGCCTAACCTGACAGGAAGAAAGGAAAGATAAGCCAGCCAAAAAATAAATCTTCTCCACCACATCCACCTTTGTGGCAACGAGAAATTTCTACAAGGGACTAAAAAAGCTAGCTCCAAGGCGATAACAAAGATTGATGCGCATGTCCACAATATCTAATAGTGGTGGGAAGAGGGGATGACGGGAATGGAGTAACAACAGCGAGATCAAGTTAACGGTGACAAGAAGTTGATGATGGCAACTGTCACCGTCACCACCGGAACTTTGACTGGGCAGCAATTGTGTAGCTTTGATACCTTCCAGGGATGGCGCTTCATTTCCCTCCCACTGGCGGACGAAGCCACTCTAGGTGTCCTGCGAGTATTTTGTCAACGCAGCGTCATTATTTACCAATTGTTGGTACGCCGGTGACATTTTATATGTTTGAGATGCCCGCTTGTGGGTAGCCTCAACTCGTCCGCAAGGTCCCACGGGGAAGAACCTGACAAGTAACACAGAAATAGCACCTGATCTGACAGGTGGACTCTGTGGGGAACTGAAACTGAGAACGGTTCCTATAATAATAATTCATATCATTGCAGCACTCTGTGCCGAGTAAATCTATGCATAATCCCGAAAAGCTATAAATATATATCGCAACCACATCAATTACACCAGATTAATACATAATATTCTCACATCCAATCCCTTACCCCTCTCACAAAACCGGGCCCCTAACAACAGGCCTCTCCTCATCCCCCACCAGCCCCTTATCAACCCTAAACCCAATGCCCGGAACCCTCAACCTCAACGCCAAACTACTCAAAACCACACTCACCGAGCTCGCCGCCATCGCCAAACTCGCCCACACCGGGTCCAAGCGCACATGCGTCCCCCCCGGCGTGAGCGCATAGAACGCCCCCGCCGCAACCGGCAACGCAATCATGTTATACACCAGCGCCCAGGCAAAGTTGAATTTGATGCGGCGGAACACGACGCGGCTGAGATGTAGCAGCGTGGCGAGGGCTTTCAGTTCCGACGAGACGAGCACGAATTCCGCAGCCGAGATAGCGATATCGCTTCCAGCGCCCATGGCAATACCGACGTCCGCGGCGGCGAGGGCAGGCGCGTCGTTAATTCCGTCACCGACCATTCCGACGAGGGCACGGCGGGAGGAGCGGCCTGAGGTTGGCATGCTGCGCTGGAGATCGCGGATTCGGTCAGCTTTTTCGGCGGGGAGGACGCCAGCGATGATGTTTTGGGGGAGGATGCCGAGTTTGAGACCGATGGCGTGAGCGGTGATGGGGTTATCCCCGGTGAGGAGCCAGGTGGATGTTCCGGCCTCGTGGAGGGCGCGGATGATACCCGGTGCGGAAGGGCGAATTGCGTCTGAGACGGCGAACATAGCGGAGAGGTGGCGGAAGTGGTCAGAGGTTGCGGGTGGGACGGGCGGCGAGGATGGTGGGTGGGGTCGCGAGATTCCGACGAGGACGACGCTGTCACCTTCGCGCTTCCAGGTTGAGAGGACGGTGGATGCGGAGGTGGGGACGGGGATGGAGTATTCGCTCATGAGAGCTTCGTTGCCGATTAGAATCTCGGTGAAGACTTCGTCGAGGAAGGCGAGAGCGCGCATGCCGCGGCCGGGGAGCTCGTGAACCTCGAGAAGGCGGGGCTTTTGGTGTACGTCTTCGATTTCGGCTGCTGGCTGGGCGGCGCAGAAGGAGGAAAGAGCTTTGGCGAGTGTGTGCGTGCTGTTGTCTTCGGCGCTCGCTATTAGGGAGAGGAGAGTGCGCTCGGCGAGGACGGGGTGGGCGGTATCTGAGGGGCCGATCGGGAGGTACTCAGTTACGACTGGGTCACCGCCCATGGTAAGCGTGCCGGTTTTGTCGAAGACGATGGTATCAAGGCGGCTAGCTTTCTCAAACGCCGCGCCACCGCCCTTGACTAGAATACCGTGCTGTGCAGCGAGGCCGCCGCCAACAAAAAGTGCTGTTGGTGCAGCGAGGGCAAGCCCGCAGGGACAGGCCACGACAAAGACGGCAATTGCAAACTGTAGCGACCAAGTCACCCAACCACCTTGGGAGTGGTGGACGTTGAGATAGTCTTCGGGAAGGGCGCCACTTAGGCCGAGGGAGAGCCAGACGATCCAGGTTACTATGGCGAGCGCTGTGATGGCTGGGACGAAGTAAGAAGTCAGGGAATCAGCTAAACGCTCAATCGGGGCTCGTTTCGTTTGACCTTCGCGCACAGCTTGGACAATTTGGTCAAGCATCGCCGAACCGGAGGCACTGCTGATTGTCACCGTGACCGGAGATCCTCTGTTGATGGTGCCCGCGAAGACCAACGAGCCGATGTGTTTTTTGACCAATTTGCTTTCACCTGTAAGACTGGCCTCGTCGAAGTTTGTCTCGCCGACTGTGATCTCGCCGTCAGCAGGTGGTGAGGCACCATGCATCACGCGTACAGTGTCGCCTAGTTCGAGGAGGTCAACGGGCACTTGGGACAATTGACCAGTGGGCCAGTTAACCAGGACTGCAGTCGTTGGACGAAGCTTTCCTAGAAGCGTGACGGCGTCCCCAGTGCGGGACTTGCTGTAGGCTTCGATATATCTCCCGATTAGTAGGAACATGGTGAGGAAGACGACCGAGTCGAAGTAGAAGCTTGTCTCATCAACTTCCATCGAGGGGTTAGCACCCGCAGAAATCAGTTGCGCGACTGAGGACCAATATGCTATGGAGGTTCCAAGAGACATAAGCATGTTCATGCTGCCGAATCGGTAGAAGCGCTGTAGGATAGGAGTCTTGTTGCCACGGCGCCACAGGAAGTGGATCTCTTTGATGGCACGTCTGTGAAAAACGTCGGCGGCGAGGAAGTATACGGGCGTAGCGAGGAGGAAGAGGATCCATTGCGTGCGGCTAACCTGTGCTTTCCAGGGTGTCATAAGCCAGTGTTTGCTCTGATTTGAGGAAGGAACAAGGCTCATGAACACAATGCCGATTATGAAGGTTGGAATTGCTATGATAATTGTGAGGGCGACACGGATGAGTAGGCGACGTTGCTGTTGAGCGTGAAGTGCATGGGAGCGCTCTTCGAGGGTTGGCGGATGGTATATCGATACCTCGAACTTGGGGTCCAGTCCTGATATCGTGGCAATGATATCTCTAATGGTGAAATTAGGCAGTTGAGGCACATAGCTGAGCCTTAGAATCGGGTCTTTGATACTCAGTGGTTTCTCAATGCGAATCGCGTCTCCGAAGACTTCGAGCGACCGGAGCACTTTCTCGGGACAGTGGTTGCAGAACATTTGGGAGACGTTGATTTCAACCGTTCTTCGTTGTGTGGCCTGTGTTGATTGCCCCAAATCTATAGCTTTATCAAGCGTTGCTTCGTAGCCAAGATCCTCAATTGCCTTCATGATCTCGTCGAGGTGAGCCCTTCCCTTAAAATCAACACTGGCGCTATTCGCGATCAGGTTAACGGTGACCTCCTTAGCCCAGTCCTTTTTCTGCAAAGCATTCGTGATTGCAGCAGCACAGGATCCGCAGGTCATTCCGCCAACCGCTATGCTCGCCCGCCACATGTCTTTCTCCTTCCCGGCATTCGTATCGGCGACAGAGTTTAGGAGCGCTTCGTATCCGAGGTCCTCAATGGTAGATATCAAATCATCGACGTGATCTTTGCCAACAACATCTGCGGTCGCGCTGTTGGAGATGAGGTTGACATTGATGTTCTTCACCCAGCTCTTCTTTTCGAGCTCCGTCGTGATAGCATTCGAGCAGGACGCACAAGTCATCCCCCCAATAGCAACGCTCGCACGCCAGATATCCTCTTCTCCTCCTCCATCGACAACCACAAACGGCTCCTGCGACGACGGCGACGAAAGCGGGGGCTGCGAATCCATGGCGTTGACATGAGTATCCGGTTGTAGCAGAGGCTGGTGCGACGGTGTGTTTGTTAATTTTCCGTTCGGCTTCGTGGTCTGATATCCTTCTGTCCTACATAATTCGCAGTCCTGAATGTGTCTTGTCCTGAGCCTCTCCGAGTCCTCACTTCTGCCTGAATGTCTCGGCCCGCCGAACCATTCACTACGTTCGAGAATTGAATCAAGAGTCCCGTGGACATCTCCAAATGCCGATCCATCTGAAGTAGACACGTCTCGTGCGATGCCATTTTCCGTCACACTGCATATGCCGAACCCTGCTTCGGTGAGTGCATGCTGTATGGTGCATATCTCCAGGTCTGTGGGATGCGTGACGGTCACCCACGACGTGACGATCGACGGTGATACGTTAAGAGGCCGGGGGGACAGCGCATAAAGCGCATTTTCAATATTAGCCACGCAGGAAGGGCAGTGGAGGTTTGAGAGGAGAAACGAAGTCTCCATCGTCTGCGATGGTGGGGTCGAAGGGTCCATTTCGCCGAGAAGGGTATTATGAAGCCTATGATAAGTGACTCTCGACACACAACCGGGAAAATAGATAAGTATGAAATTAAGTCATAAGAAGAGAGCTTCTTATGGTGATATATACGTAAGTAACTACCTTTTGCGATGTTTGTGCCTTCACATTTCTTTGTGGCACTACTATGTCATTCGCGGTGGCCAAAACCCGCACAAACCGCGCACCGCACAAAAGACGCAGCTATCGTGCTTAATAATCAACCCCGATAATGTAAGCAAGGGACTTGGTGTTCTTGGCCAATGAGTCAACAGCTGCACTTGGGTGTCTAAGAGCATTTCTTGACATGATAGGCCCTTTGAAAGCTATCAGCTAGCATCGACTAGAAGATGATCGAACCGCAATATTGCCGCGTTGGACATGATATCATGTTCTTATACTCTCCCACGCCAACGATGGACGGGCGGGCCTAACCGAGAGTAGCAAGGGTGTTGAGCAAGTAAAGGGGAGCGAATGGGATGGAAGAATCGCCTCCGACGTTGTAGACTCGTCAACCTCTCCATGTCCGCGAGGCTGAAGCCCATGGATGGGCCTCATCTCGTGATACTTTGCTGGAATGTGAGTGGGAAGCACAGCCTGATCTAATTCCCGTGGTTATTTGCCATCATGTTGTGTACTTAGGACCCAGCATGTCAAAGTCTTAAAATCAATCCACAGCGTTACTGCCGTGGAACATCGCCACCATCGAGAAACAGCAGAAAGGTTTAACCAGATGTCAAGATTATCTACGACAACTATGTAAAAGCATAATGCACCTACACTAACTCCAATACCCAAATTCCAAATGGCGCTTCCAACAAGTAGCTTCTACTATCTCTAGTACTCCTCCTCGCTATCCTCATCCTCCGGCATAAACGCCCTATGCCTCCGACTCGTCAAGTCCTCCTCCAACCCTCCGTCCCCCTCCGAATCCTTCCACCCATCCCCACCCACCAAGCTCAACGCGACCGGCAAAAACACCAGCGCGTGGCTCGCCGCGAACACCACCAGGGCCAACCAGATGCGGAAATAGTAGAGCTCGAAAATCTTGCTCTTCGTGAACGCCAGCACGCAGACCCCAAGTAGCTTCGTGATCGTGATCCCGCTGAATACCGAGCCGCCGACATTCACCAAGGAGACCCAGGCGCGGGCGTCGCGGCCGCGGAAGGAAGCGGGTGCGCGGGCGAGGAGGGTGACGGATGGGTAGGTGTAGGCGCGCGCGATATGGGCGCAGAACTCGACACCGATGCCGATGCAGATTATTAGGTTTACGAGCGAGACGGCGTTGAGGGAGACGTTGAAGAGAGCCATGGTGCCGATGATGTCGGTGACGATCATTGCCACAGTAGCCGTTACGACCATTGCCGTTTGTAGGCTTCCAAGCAGTAGTGTTGTGATGAGAAGGATGATTGCGAGTGCTGACAGGAGGAGCTGTGTAGTCAGCGACACGATCGTTGCGTACTGATCGAAGTAGATGTAGAACACTGAGTATGGGAACACATCCTCCCCTGTTCGTTTCGATACGGCATTTGCAATACGTCTTGCAGACGCATAGGCAGCAATGAAATCTTCCTGGCTCCTCAATGGCGTGTGGCTAGTTCTAAAGTGGCTCGCTGGGATTGTAGTCTCCGCTTGATCAATAACAAGAGCATTGCCATAAGCTGCCTTTCCACCAAGTGGGCAATCGTCGTTCACCGGCTCCCTGATCCACCGTTGTAGGTAGTCGACGAATTCAACGCCCTCTGGCATACCGCTAAGAGTGATGTTCCATGGCGGATCACGGCCTTGGAAGCATGGGACTCCATTTTCCATGCAGCATTCTTCTTCTGGATTGAGCCAGCGGAAGTAATCATCGATCCAGCTTGCCGCCGGCGCCGCAATGTACGATATCTCAGGTCGCTTGCGTTCCTGCTCCAGGACGTTGGTGAGAGATAGCGACTCGCAGGTTGTGAAGCGAGAGCATATCTGCTGTTGGTGTGAACGCTGTGTCGCATTCAGGCCACGGGTGACGAAGTATACGGGTGGCCCAGCGTCGAAATAAGCGTACAAATCGTTGAAATATGGGATCAGATAGGAGTCATCCGGAATTGCGACTCGCTGATCAAGTCCCAGCTTGACTTCTGGAAACAAAGAGACGCCTGCAGCGAAGAGGCCAAAGAAGATAACAACGACGAAGACCTTCATCTTTCGGCCAAGCAGGGCAGGCGTGTACGTCTTGCGGATGTATTTCTCCAAGCTGCCTTCGTCTGAACCTTCGTAGTAACGAGAATTAACGTTCATATCTCCACCGAGGTGTACACCGGCGCTCTTGACTTTCACACACGGGAAGCAGTCGGCTCTATTGTCCTCAACCCGGCGCTGATTCAATGCCAGGACGGAGATAAACATCGTTACCTGCAGGATCGCATTGATGAAAACGGCACCCGCCGCATAGATGGCAAAGTTCCGAACAGCAGGCATGCCAACGAAAGCACCAAGTGCGAAAGCTATTGTCTCGGTTGAGGCTGACAATAGAATCGATGGCCCCATCCGCCCGAGAGCTTTTCCGATGCGTTCTTCGACAATCTCATCTGGGTGACTGAGGTTGACGCGTTCAAACTCATGAACTATGAGGAAAATATTATCCACACCAACAGCAAGAACAATGAAGGGGATGACCTCGGCGATGATTAGGGTCACTTTTACCCCAAGAGCACTAAATAGTCCAACAGAGGCAGAAATCGACATCAAAACGATTATGATACCAACGACGCCAAGCGTAAATTTAGATTGCACAAATGCCATTGAAGGGTTCCGGAATAGTGCTCCCAATGATAGAGAAGTAGATCCTAATGCCAACGAGGCATAGAAGAACATAATAAAGTAGCTGATAACCACAATCTTGGCATCGGTGTTGGTAGACTTGTTAAGTTCGGCCTCGAGACTTATCTCCGTGGAGAATGACAATCTAAGACCGCGTTCCTGTGCTTCTCCTTGAAGGCTGAGCAGCAAAGATCGGAGGGATGTCTCCCAGTCCATTGCTCTCTCTGTTTCGGGAGAGCCTTCCGCATAGTTGTTGACAACCCAAGTTGCAATCAAAGCAGTAGAGTCGATGACGTCTCCGGACTCCTCCCATCCGCCAAGTATCGTATTCGGAGGCAACGGCTGTCCTGATTCTGGTCGGCACAAAACGGGAGACTTTGCGCAGCCGTTTAGGTCTGACTTCCATGTCTTTGGATTGACTGTGCTAAAATCGTTTCCAAAATAGCCCGTCACAGACTGGATAACACATGCATCACCCATTGGCTTGAAACAAACATCGTTCAGCTTAGCACCGTAGTGTGGGCCAGTAAGCTTGCTGACTCGGTCTTCGACGTCGAACCACCACTTCAGAGTCTCGTAGCTCAGAACAGGCCCTGGACCGCCAGGATGGGTATCATTGACAAGGAAAACTTGTTCTGCGCGGTAGAACGGGTCAAAGCTCTCATCGAAGAAAGCCTTCTCCTTAGCAGCGTCAGACGCAGGGCTAACCCAAAGTCTGGCTGGATTCTTCTCAATATCAAAATTCATCCATCCCAAACTGAAGAGTGCAACGATAAGGACACTAAGGCCGATGCTTATTCCCGGAAATGATGCTGCTGCGTATCCAAGCTTTGAAAATGCACCATCGATAATTGTGTTGACTCTGTAGTTTTGCTGCGGACGATCATAAAGGGCGGCATTGTCCAATAAATCGCCTTCTTCGTCTTCGTCGTCGCTAGCAGCTATGTCTTGCAATAGCTGTAGTCTCTGATTCCTTCTTCTCGAATGCTTCGCCCAAGCGACATGCGCGAAAATTGCGGTAGCGAGAAGTGCAAGAAAAATACCATATGTAAGAATGGCGCCAAAGCTCAGGCAGGGCAGCGGTCCAACATGGCAAGCCTTGTTCTCCTTTATCTCCTCCAGCTTTGGACAAACTGCCGGACAGTCCACGCAAGCGCATCGAAATGCTTCGTCTTCGTCGTTGCACTTCTTCGGGGCCATATCTGTCGGTTTCATGTTCGGTTCTGTGTAGTCGGTCGGTAACGGGAAGTTGATTTGGAACGGGCTTCCAACAAGGAGCTTCTTATCACCCAAAAACTTCAACAGCCCTGGATAATCCTTCGCCCCTCCACCTATGAAGTCCATCGCATTCTGATTTGCGGCCCCGAATTTGACGTCCTTGCAGCTATCGTAGAACCCTGAACCGTACTCGACGCTCACAAGCTGGTCCAGCTCCGTCACAATATACTTGTCTCCTTTTTTCTCAGTCTCCGTCACGTTGATAAACAGGCTCTGGTCAGGACTGCACGTAAACGTGCAGAACAGGTTGAAGAAGTTTTCCTTGCATGCGGGGCACGCTGATATTATGGGTTGCGCTCTCTTGAGGTTGCTCTCTAGGTCATCCAGTTGCTTCCCTTCGCAACAAACTGGGCCTTCGCTCCATTTGCTTCCGCATAGCTTGACTAAATGTTCTCGTGTCTTGGGCGAGGGTTCTTCTGCTAGCCCGTTGTCTGGACATGGCAGCTCCGGTCCGAAAAATGACTTCTTCCCACAGGTTCCACGGATTGCGCAGCGTCCGGCTTCGTGTATGGGGGTGTATGGGTCGGCAACAGTGCTACTTGAAAGAGCTATCAAGCCAGCGATGACCTCCCATGCTCGACGCATCGTCGCGTTGGGGGTTCACGGGGCCGTCGGTGTTTCAGTCGATCAGTGGAGGCAACGGTGGGAAATAGTACGTTATGCGACAAGATAAATGGTGGATGAGCTCTTTACTCAACGAGTATTGCTCTATACGACAAGTTAATCTGACCACTGCGTTATGGTCATCTCGTATGCCGTCGGCCTGGTCGTGTTTGGAACTGGGATGAGTCGCACAGTACCTTGACGGTTGCACTGACGTCAGGTATTCATGTCACGTGATAGCCAGTTTTTGGATATCAATCACGTGGTTGGTCTTATCCAACTGGATGAAGTGTGGTTATAAACGTCATGTTGAACACACTATTCGGAGGACATATCTCGTCATGAAGACTCTTGGTATATTGGGGCAATTGTACTAGGATTTTTAGTTATGAGCCGTACGCTTTAATTAAGATGTTTTTATTTTAAATGCATCTTTTGAATTATTTTAATTGTGATACTTTTACACAAAATCCTAAGACATTCAAGATGACAACCCACGCCATGAAAAATGTTGAAAAGGCATTCACAAGCCACGGGAAATCCCTCGATGAAAACGGCAACGAAATTAAATCGCCAGAAAAAAAGAATGTTGATAGAGGTTTCGAAAAAGCAGGGTCACCGGATTCCGCAAAAGAAAGTGGCCATGAGGGGGTGGTGCATCCAGGAAGGCCACAACAGGAGGAGAGATTTGGGGATCAGTACAGGAAGGTGAGCTTGTCGGATTTATCTAATCAGTTGTTTGCTACATTGTCTTCAATGTTATTTAGAGATCTCAGGGACTAACTGCACTTTACATAGCCCAGTTTGGTAGGGAGCTTATTTTACTCCAATTTCTCCAAAGTCGATCATGGCCCACAAAAACATCATGAGAAGAAGAGATGAATTTCGGGAATTGGGCAGAGAGTATTTACAAGATCATGTCATCAAATTTGGGTTTCACAAGAGATATTTTGAATGCTTGAAGTTGATTTGAATAAAATCAATTGCATCTATCAGAATGAAACGCTTTGTGATGCCAACAGCCTCGTTAAAACCCTTCGTGGGGAAAGAGTGCCGTGGTTTGCTAATCACTGTGACTGCTATAAAATGTAGACAGCCCCGCGAGTATCATTGCTTGCTCAGGCCATCTCCGAGAACTGATTTGACGCCTACAAACCGTTAAATCGCATCTTTATCATAGGAATTTGAAAAAACTTACTGTGGATCTGTGATCCCACGCCGGCCATATTTTATGGCAGACTTTTGATGCTGAGAACTACTCCCAGTTAGCTACGCTTCAAGACCCGGCACAGATGAAGCATACTCTGAGAGTTTCTCTCGGCCACCGCCAACCTTGGCCCCCTTGACGTTCTCCCCTGTACACTCAGTGTGCCAAGCTAATCACTTATCAGTTTCTGGACCGATGCTTGCCGCCACAATAGCTTGTTACTCACCACTCTCGGCACAAGTTGAGCCGTTGGCTCTACTCATCATAGAGTCTGTTAATACGAAAGATGCTTTTGATCTTCTTGACCAATCTTCTGCGCATTTTTGGGCCCTCGGCTTCCTCTCTCTCGGCTTTGCGAGCCATCCTTTCCATCATAATGTCCACTTCTTTGTCAAACTCGCATGGAGTCAGGACGTCACGAAGATAGTAGATTTTGTCCTCTATTATGCCATTGTTAGCTTCTTTCCATTCATATAACTCCAGGATCAGTCGTTGAACACAGTGTCCGTCACGTTAAACTAATCACGTGCCGTCACCCCCTATTGAACCACTTGGTCGTGCCTTCCAAGCCGGGATTCCAAACTAGAATCCCAAGCTAGAACAAGCTAGAATTCCAAGCTAGAGTCCCACGCTTGATTCTCAAAGAGCCTCAAGCCTGAGTCTCGAGCTGGAATTCCAAACTGGAACAGAAGACAACTGGGAAACTGAAGCATAACAAACAGTGTCTGAACGCCGAGAGGCATTCATTCTGTTATAGAAACTCGAAAACTGACATGGGAAACAACATGAGAAAAAGAACTTACCAGCCTTTGAGCGATTATACGCACTGTATGAATCGCAGCTGGACGTCGACGTATAGCTGAGACGAGCCATGTTACCCGAAGCGCTGCCGATCGACTGCATTGTGATAGAGATGGGATGGAGCTTATGATATCGGCACTTGGGCGGAACTTTGCTCTTTGAGCCGTTGATGGCGGTCGAGCAATTGATGACTCGAATACAGGTATTCGTCAAGAAGAGTAACACCTGTCGGCTGAAAGGAGTCTTATGAGTCCGTACCAAAAGCTTTGAGGCTTTGACGAGTGCTTGACTCTTGGAAATGAGTTTTGATGCTTGGAAGGGATCGTTGACTGGTTATGACGATGGCAGTGTAGAGCTTGAGTATGCCTGGATGAGTATGCAGGAATGATGGAGGGTGGGAAGCAAAGTTGGAAAAGAGCGAGTATCTTATAGCTTTCGCCGCTGGCACTAACAGAAGTCAAGTGACAGAGGTCCATCGTATCATCAGAGCACCAGAGCACCAGAAGACATGCTTCACGAAGTTTGACATGCCACTATGAAGCTAACAAGGCCTCTTCCTCGGCGCCGCCCAATGTGGTAGACCAGAAGCATGTCGAACGTTGAGGCTCAAAATTAAGCCTTGTGCTTCAGAGCTCCGGTGTGCCGCTAGCACTATAATCCAGCAAGTGACTCACATATCCTCTAATGTGGCCAGCTACTCAATATCAGCGAGTAAAGCAAGAAACATGTTGGTCGTGGAGCTAAATTAAGGTTTGAGCCTCAAGGGCGGCTCCGGCGCGCCGCTAGCATGCGACGGGAAATAGTTGTCGAGATTGACATAAAACAGAATGGAATGGAATAAAATGTATTCTCAACTCACTAAGTGACTCACATGAAACAATTGTGGAAAATTAAATGGACTCGAAAGTGTAAAAATGAAATGGTAAACCTTACACTTGATCCGAAGGACAAAAGCGTGACACAAAATCACGCATTAGCTGTAAATTTCCATTGCTGCATGATGGCTCTCTGACGTCTATTATTGACAATATGTACACTCAGCCTGTTTTCCTCTATTTCTTAGGCTCCTCCGTCTTCTCCTCTGGCTTCGGTGTTGGGAGTTTAAACGACTCTGGCTTCTGATCAATACCGGTTCCAACTTGCTCCCATGTGCTGCTTCCACCCTCAAAGTTTCTGAAGGCCTGGGTCAACTCAAGTGGCTCAACAACAATTCGCTTCTTCTCCTCGTCGTATCGAATCTCGGTGTAGCCCGTAAGCGGGAAATCCTTTCTCAATGGGTGACCATCAAACCCATAGTCGGTCATAATGCGGCGGAGATCAGGGTGTCCAACGAAGAAAACTCCAAACATGTCGTAGACCTCACGCTCATACCAGTTGGCACCGTCGTAGAGGCTGGTAATAGATGGCACAGGCTGCGCCTCGTCGGCATAGGTCTTGACGCGTATCCGCGAGTTGTGTCGGACGCTCAGAAGGTTATAGACGACCTCGAATCTTTGATCACGGGTAGGGAAATCGACAGCCGTGATATCAGAAATCGTGGTGAATTCCGCCGCAGTGTGGTTCCTATGTGACCATTAGCTCCGTCTCGAGTTTCTGAAGCGGGGAGGTGCCGTAGTGAAGGCGAGAGGGGGCGCGGGGCGTGGAAAGCATCTAAGTACTCACTTAAGAAAAGTTATGACTGGGATCACTCCGGAAGGAGGAATGTAGATTGTGAGCTCATCCTTCCAGACGCTGTATTGCTGCACGTATTTTGGCAGGCATGACAAGACGTAGGCACCATACTTGTGCATAGCCTCGGATCTCGACGCATATTTATCGACGGGGTTTTCGACCGGGGAGTTTATTGTCTCCATAGCTAGTCCACAATTAGCACCTTCAATTGAGGTCGGAGGAGGTCTTTCGATGACATACGCGGTCGTTTCGCAAACCTCATGTTTGGAACATCACTCCCCGCCGCCAGGTTGGCAGCTCTACGGGTTGCTGGGGTAAGAAAGCAAAGGCTTCCCTTCCTTGCGGCAGATGCCAGCGGACGGCTGAGTCTCATCGACATGACGTGAAATGGAGGGGTTGGCCTGCAATCGTAATTGGTAGCTTGTAGTTCTTGACGACTTCAACAAACCATCATGAATCTACGGGAAGGTCCATGATCACGTGATTACTACGTTGCAAATTACCGAAATTTAGCGTCGTTTAAGGCGCGTTCGCATCTTCCAGATTCGACCTTTCAAACCACGTCAAATCCTTTGTTATCCACACCCCCAACGCCACCCTTCTTTTCTTATACGTCGCATTGTATGCGTTGAGAAGGCATTCGACTGCCTATAAGATCTGACATCTCCTCCCGAAATCAACACCGACTCATCCAGTACACACCCTTTTATATCATGGCATCGTCAAGTAGAGTTCAACAGGACAGCTTCATAGACGATGACGACCTTACATGGTACGCCTTCACCGCACCTACCTCTTACAACTTCAGTTTGAATAGTTGCTAACGAACAGAGAAGCCCACTATGTGTGGAGGAGTTCGATCTGTCAGATCGCAACTTCCGACCATGTCCTTGTGGATATCAGGTATGCAATTTTGGCCACTCCTCGCCCCCCAAGGATATAACCTTTAGTTACGAATACACATACGTCAAGTTACTTCTCCTAACCTTCCAAATTAGGTCTGCCAGTTCTGCTTCAACAACATCAAAAACAACATGAATGGTCTGTGCCCAGCATGTAGGAGACCATACGATGAGAAGACAATAGAGTGGAAGGTTGTCACGCAAGAAGAGTATGTTGACCAGCATGACACTTTGTTACTCTGGTGTGAAGGCTAATGAACTTTGGTTAGGATCGCACTATTTAAAGCAAACGCCCAAAAGAACGCGAAGAAGAAGGCAGAGCAACGGCATAAGGAGGCGCAGAAACGCGAAGTGGAGAGTCTCAACCGAAAGCACTTAGCTGGGCTCCGAGTAGTCCAAAAGAACTTGGTATATGTTGTTGGCCTTAGCCCTGGAATCCCGGAGCAAGATCTTCTGAAAACACTGCGTGGCGATAAATATTTCGGGCAATATGGACCTATTGTCAAAATAGTTGTCAGCAAAGCGAAGCAGGGCGAAGCACCACCGAATAATGGTTCACTGGGCGTCTATGTCACCTTCGCAAAAAAGGAAGATGCAGCGAAATGTATAGCCGCTGTGAACGGCTCGCAAAACGGCGACAGGGTTTTACGAGCTCAACTCGGAACGACGAAATACTGCTCTGCCTATCTTCGCAACGAGATATGTACAAATAAGCAATGCATGTTTCTTCACGAACCAGGCGACAATGATGACAGTTATTCTCGACAAGACTTATCCACGATTAATAGCGTCAATACACAGCGTCCGTTACCTGGACCTCCGACATTTTCTGGCCCTGTAGCACAAGCTGCGCGGCAAGCAGCGCAGGCTCAGGCACCTATACAACAATCACAACCCGTTGCAGCGGCATCTCAAGTTATGGCGCGGGACCCAAGCAAAGACGAGTTGGACAGTGGCGATGGATCGGCACTACCATCATCTGCAAGCTGGGCGAAAGGAGGGCAGCAACTAAGCAGGAGAGGAAGCCTTGCAACCAGCGCCGCCGCTTCTAGCCCAGCTATTTCGGCATCACTACCGGCGCCCGTTCATGAAGAGGAGAGTCCTGAATCGCCACAAGATCAAATTCCGCAAACGCAAGACATCGCGACGGCCGAATCTCCCCAACAAAATTTGCTACCACAGGCGCCGTCAGACCCCGTACTGGCACAGATTTTGAAATCTATAAACTATCTTACGACATTGTCAGAAACCCCCAGTGAAAGCACTGACGAGGACTCGCAACTATGGTGGCCTTTGTTCGACGACAATGGAGGTCTGAAGCGGCGCCTAGCTCGTGAACAACAAGAGGAAGCAACCCGACTGCACATCGAACAAGAACTTCAGGAAGAGACGAGGTCGGCACCCGAAGCCCAAGAGGAACAGGAGCCTGGAAGTGGTAGCGGGCAACTAGGGGGAGAGCCCGAAGATAGGGATGATGGCCGAGAGAGCAGCCAAGGCCAAACTTTTCATGATCAAAGGCGCCCGAGTGCCCAACAACCTATACAACGCAGCTCTCAAGATAGTGGTGTATTTGGCGGTATTGGAGGACAAAATTTCTCGCCCAATATCGGCAATTTAGCCACAGTTAATGGGCGCGCCCTGACACCAATACAACAACAGCAACTATTGTTGTTGAAGTCTGGCCAGTCTGGTCAGCCACAATCGGGCTTCATGGAGCAGTACCCTCCAGGAATTGGTGCTTTGGGTTCGCAACAGTCGACGTTGTTCCAACAACAGGGCCACAATCGCCAGTCGTCCAGATATAACTTCGGCGGTGATTCTGCATCGGCTGCGAAATCTATCACAAGCTCAAAGCTGCTAGGACAACAAGCATCAATGATGGGGCTTCAGCAAGGGAACCAATTTTATGGTTCCACGGTGCCAGGGCCACCACCAGGGCTTAAATCCACTGGGACTCCTCCTAGCGGAATGTTTGGACAATCTCAATTTGGCGGTGCAGCATTTGGGGCGGCTGGAAAAGATAATAATAACGATATTATTCGGGAGATGTTGAGAAATCGAGGAGGTATTGGCGCAGGGAGCGGAGGACAGGGCCACGAAGCCGGAAAGCGTGAGTTTATGTTTCCTTTTTCTCATCAGTACCCGTCCTCCTCCACTCCAGCCCCTGCTTCTAGCCTCACGGCAACGCTCTATGGTCCTCAGCCTGGAGCATTCCAAGACTTTGGTTCAAAGCAGAAGAAGAAGGGAAAGAAGCACAGACATGCTAACACTTCCTCCTCTGGGGGAGGTGGTCCAGTCGATCTTGCGGACCCAAATATCTTGCAGGCGAGGATGCCTCACCAGCAACAGAGCAATGCCGGAGTTGGACTGGGGCTGTTTGGGGGTCAGGCACAAGGTGGGTACAATCAGAGCATGATGTATGGCGCAGCATTCAGGGGCGGATGGTAATCCGAAGGATAATGGGGCGTTATTTTGGTGGGCCATTAATTAGCGGTTACCCCTACGGCACATGGCGTTTTCCCCCGAAAAGGGCTTGTTTTATGGCACAACATTTGGTGTTAGCATAGCCTCCCTGGCATGGAAGCGGGGAGCTCTTTGGCGTCGAGCATTATTTTATGCGCTTGACAATGGGGATTTCATCGGCTTTGCACGTTGTTTATTGCGGTGGGAAGGCACTACAATGGGTTCGTCATCGTCACGTCTCGACATTCTTCATGTACGTTAATTCCCCTATCCTACACTCGCCCTAGGATGGGTGGTTGGTCAATATAATTTTCTCACACAAATCTGTGCCTCCAGTAGAAGAATTCGAGACGCAAAGACGATGATGGACCCTGTATTGTAACTTTGTTCCACCGTGATCGACAATAAGCATTGGCCAAGATCATTGATCAAGAGCCTGGCACGCCCTGTCTACCTCCACCCATTCCATTACCGTCTTAATTGCTTTCACACTTGGTATAGAGTTATGCTGACAATTTCACTAACAGATGACAACCTCTTGTCCATGGATGATGATGTATCCCACTCTGTGGATGCTCTGGTTGCAGAGAGCGTTTCGGAAACTGGCGCAAGCCCTTTCCATCATGGCCTTTCCATGCCTTCGCGCACGTCGACCCCATCAGTTCCTCCCGGTTTCAATCTGCCCCATGCACACCCTTCTCCAACCCGCGATGATGCGATGGCCAAACCACAGACTAGGATTCCAGCCATACCAGCGCCGTCGCAGTACACACCACCTCGAAGCATGACCGCTACACACGTGCCTAGAGTTGGTACACCGCTTTCAACAGTATCGATTCCACCCACGCCTACCCCGGTTCCAGCAGTTGTTGTCCCGAAGCCGGGTGCTTCAAAGACCGAAGCGAGGGAGCAAGCAAAAGAAGACGTTAAGTCACTGGCGAACGACACCGGTCTCACGAAGGCGATTGCTTCTCAGTCATCACAATCCATGGCACCCCCAGGGCTTCATCGGGAAGATTTTCCTGTATTAGAGAAAGGAAAAGCGAAAGAGGTTGCTATTCCCTCTGGACCCCGAGCCATGACGACCGGCAAGAAAGCGGTGGCAACCCCAAGCAACGTTGCAGCTGTGACCCCTACCCCTAAGGCCGCCGCCAAAAAGTCAACGCCAGGTATACTTAACATTTCTGTTCCGGCGCAACCATCAACCAAGGAAGTAGCCGACAAAGAGCCACCAGCAAATGCCGCCGTTCAGTCTTCCGCATTCCCGCCACTGCCTCCAAGTACTCCTGCCACATCTTCGGGGTCGTCGGTACCAAAGGGGCCCAAATCTATCCGAGTTGTACCTACAAGGACCGAGTCGCCTGCCATTAGTGCTGCCCAGCCTTTGTCCGCAATTTCCAATTATTCCGCAACTATTTCAGGGAGCCGTCAAGCTAGCATCTCTTCTAATTCTAGATTCGAGAGGCCTGGCACCCCGGCTAGTGAGATAATTTCAGACACAGCTTCTCTTACTTCGGCTTCCTTGTCCCGACCAAGTTCCCCACCGCCAACTAGGGTAGGTTCCGCACCAGTGAGAACCACCACGAAGAGCCAGCAGAAGAAGCAACGCCGCGAGGCTATGAAGGGAAAGGAAAAAACCGAGATAGAGGCAGCGGTGGTGGAGACTCCTGAGGCCGAAGAAATTGCGCCAATTATGGGCAGGAAGAAGAAGCAAAAGAAGGCAAAGGTTAATACCAAAGCTGGTTCGCCAACACCTGTTCCTAGTCGGCCTCCAACACCGAAACAATTAGAAAAGACGGAGCCAGTGAAGGAAACCAAGGCCAACGGTGGCCCAGAAGCCTCAAAGAAACAGAAAGCCCCCGAGGTGGAGGCAACACCCAGGCCAGTTGTCGAGTCCAAGGCTGAAGTAGTCGAAGAGGCAGTGCAGGAACCCCCGGCACCTACTGTGGAAACAATAGACGAAACGTCAGACAGGCCAGTACCAACCCCATCAGCAGTGCTACAAGATTTACTCTCCCACGGGGAGGTACCCCAGCCAGATAAGCTGGCCGTCCTTAGACCACCAATGGGCTATAACCAGCGCGCTGGATTCCAGGGTGATCTGCCTGATCTTGACCATAAATTGGTTATCACTGAAGAAGATCGTGCGGCGCTGCTTTCCGGCAGGCCAGTACACAAAGTTGTGCAGGGGTCTCACAGAATCATGCTTACGCCAAATGGCGATTGTGTCCGTAACCTGACTCCTGCCGAAGAAGAGCGTTACTTGGAACTTCAGTCGCGCATCTTCCAGGAGTCAGGCCCAGCAGCTTTTGTGCCTGCCAGACACAATGCCAGCAATGGCTTCACGCTTATTGGAGGCCGCGCTGTTCCAAACGGACCACCTGCGTTCTTCCCTCCCTTGGACGGAAGCCTGACGATCCCTCCCCTTGATCCAGTTAGCAAGATCCAGCGCGATGAGGCTTTGAGCTACATCAACCAGTACGTGCTGCCATCGCTTTCGACAAACTCTCAACTTGAGCGTGCGCTCAATGCGAATGCACTGGATACGGAGATGCTTCGTCCAAACGATACTCAATCCTGGCCAAACTGGGGTACTGGAAACGGCCAAGGCGGCAACAATGCGGCGTCGCAGGAGAACCGATCTGGTCAGGAGGGACCATACGGTGCCAATAGACAGGATGGCATTCTTGCTAGCGGACTTGAAAGCATGACTGCGCATTTCGCCGTTGGCCGCGAGAGCAGCCGTGGACAGCCACTTGGTAATGTCACATTGCTGAGCCTGTCGGACAGCGAGACTGCGATGCAAAGCGCGAAGAAGGAGACGGAGAAGCTCGAGAAGAGCTTGAACCAGCTGCTGAAGAAGAACCGGCGGCTGTTGCTGGGTGCGGGTCATTGACGGCGCGCAAGGAGTTTAGGCGTTCGGGTTATTAAGATGGGCATTGTCCTGTTCGGACTTGCAGAGCTGTGCCTTAGGATCATGATCGTGAAGGTACTGCGGCTGCTTGTCGTCTGTACGATAGTGTTATGTGTATGGGTATGGAAGCGTATGGCTATGCCGGCGATTTTTGCTGGTTGGCTTGGACGCTCTTTCTAGGGCGGTTTGTAGGATTGATGTTGTTTTTCAGCGGCATAATATGGGGTTGCTTGTGTTGGGTAGCATAGCATGGGGTACCACATTAGTTGGACCAGCATTTGAGATGTATGATGATACCAGAGGATAGCTAGGCATTTACGTAAACCTATGGCGATAGCATTTTCGCTTTTAGGTTCATGAATATAAGCCTCCTTCACTCTTCTGCTGTAACTGGTCCCCGTGAAAAGCAGTTGATGCTTATTCAACCCAATTGTATACTCTATCTACCAGGTATCTATCCCCAATTCCCGGTTATTTCTATTGAAAAACTCCAAACCGTAGATCTTAGTTATCAAAGATGCCAGGGAATAACCACTCGACCCTCTTCACGGCCTCCGCTCCTCTGCCCTCGGGCTTTGTGATCCATTTCACAGCTGGGGTCGTCATGCCTTCCCAGTGCTTCGCCCTGACAACATCTGTGTTCTCCAGCTTGCAAAGCTCATCCAGAACAGCGCCGACAAGGTGCTTAGCGTTCGTGCTGTTAGCAGCCATGTGGCCCATAACCATCGCAACATCGACATCCTCGCTGCTGTGCCAGCAGTCGTAGTCGGTCGCCATACAGATCATCTGGTATGCCATCTCGGCCTCACGAGCCAGCTTGGCTTCGGGCAAGGCGGACATGTTGATGACGGATCCGCCCCAAGAGCGGTACATGTGCGACTCTGCGCGAGTAGAGAATTGTGGTCCCTCTGTGAGGACATATCATTAGTAAACTCACTCTCCCAAAGAAGATGGCTCGAGACACCGAAGCGCCGAGAACTTACCCATGCAAATAATGGTGCCTTTATCGTGCATCCTGACACCCTCACCCTCAAGCGCATGTCCGCATCGCCTCACGACCTTAGCGACCTCCTCATCGAAGGGGTCCGCAAACCCGACGTGTCCGACAATCCCGCCCTCGAAGAATGTGAACGGGCGGATGCCCTTGGTGCGATCGATGACCTGGTCCGGGACGACGAAGTCGCGGGGCTTGATCTCCTCCTGCAGCGAGCCGACAGCAGAGAAGGCAATGACGCAGCGGACGCCGAGGGAGCGGAGGGCGGCGACGTTGGCGCGGTTGGGGACTTCGTGAGGGGCGAGGGAGTGGTGGGTGCCGTGGCGGGAGAGGAAGGCGATGGCGGTGTTCTTGTGGGAGAGGATCGTGATGGGAGAGGAAGGTGCGCCCCAGGGAGTGGTGATGTTCAGGGAGGCGATGGGAGTGTAGCCTTCGAGCTTTTGGAGACCGGTTCCGCCGATGACGGCGATGTGGACTTCGCCTTGGAGGGGTTAATATCAGGGACATTTCAGGAACATCGGTGGGAGAGGGGTATTTGGGGTCTTACCTTCATAGTGATCTGGTAGGTCGGACATGGCGAGGTGGTCGAGGCGGTGTGAATTCCGGTGGTGAGGTTTTGTAGAATTTGACTTGTAGATATATGCGCCGCTCCTACTACTGAATTCACTGTTGTTGAGACGTTGTGCAGCGCTTTCGCAAAGTCCAGTCTTACCTCAGCCTCTTGCGCGATAAGCTACAAAACTTGTCTGCCCCTCCAAAACCGAAGTAATCCCGACCCCACGTTGTTACCCCTGACCAATCGACTCGGCATGTGCCCATACTCATCACGTGATATGCCATTGTTCCTGAGAAAAGTCGTTCTCACATCGACATTTAAGAAGACTACACAGATCTACCATAATAAATATGACATATAGATGGGATCTAGTATATTTAACTGGCTATATATACGTTTCCTTTATGTATGCTCGCCTTCCCGAATCAAAAAACAAATAACGCCACCCAACCTATAATCAACCGCCCCAAAAAGCAACGCTACATGAGTAAATAAAGCAACCGAACAGCCTTCTCCGCAGCTGCTATATGCCACGGTCTTGTATCCTTAACTGGATCGACAATTCCTCTGGCTCTAGCTAATGTCGCTAGACCGCTATACCATGCTAAAATCTCCCTGAGGGGGTTCTCGGCGAGCCGAGGATTTATATCCGTCCATACTATGTTCACCTCCATTACGGCAGGTACGTCAGAGCTGGATGCTCCAGTACGTTTGATGAGGTAGCCGCTGATCGCTGTTGGGCGCACTTCAAGGGGACTGTTTGAATTGTTGACTCGATGGGCAAGCACAGCACCATAACTTTGGTTGGTAAGATCGATGAGTGTGGCGTCAGGCTCAATCTTGAGTTCCCCCGTTCCATCAGTTGGGGTTGCAGTGGGAGTACCACCTGATTGATCAGGAGAGAGTATTGATGATGGTTGCGGAGTCGACACTGGTGTGGTATAGAATGTTGACTGAGATGTCAAAGTCGAAGCTGGTATTGAAAGGCCAGGCGGCAGAAGCTGCAGTGCTGGCTGTGTATCAACACTAAGTAGTGTTAAAGATATTTGGGCATTCCTTTCTGTTTCAGACAAGCCTTTCCAGAAGCGTACGTCCTGTGCCTCCATAACGCCACATTTAGCGATTATGATGCGCCAGTGAACCTTCTTAGACGCTATGATATCGAGCGTAGTCTCCCATATCTCATGAGCAATATCGGAGAACTGTCTTGTCAAAGGGGCATCTTGTCTCCCTAGACAATATGAGGCTGTCATTTGTTCGCTTCCGGTGTTGTCAGACCAAGCTGCTGTGATCCAACGATCATCTATGCTTTGAGCATAGGCAATTTGCAAACACGAGTTTTCTTGTAGAAGTGAAGCCGATGGAGTCGCCGTCAACTTGAAATCAATAGTTCGTGGCAGGGGAGGTTCGATGGCAACCGACGGCGATGCAACCCCAGCCTGAAAATCGAAGCAACGATCGTACACCTCCATGGCCAATCTTGTATAATCTGTCGGAGGTAAGACGACGAGATGCGTGCGTGCGCTAACAAAGTTCAATGGCACAAGCTGCAGCACCAATTCATTGGATACCGTCTTGCCCGCCATTGCAAGTTTGTATACTTCAAACATGCTATGGAAGGCAGAGCATATTGGCACCAAAATGTCTGGGCTTTCGGGGTCGTATACGAAATACACCACAAAGTTGGTGCTATCAGCCGCCGAAGATGCTAATAGATTGGCGACTTGAAACAAGGCCTCGCGAATAACAGACAAGCCCTGGTCGGATGCAAATCGTGTTGCCTGGCCACCAAGCTCTATGGGGAGTAAACCATTGACAGAGCCTTCCGTATTCAGCCTCTCGTGGCTCCCTAATCTTCTCGTCTCGTATGCGCTCCTTATATTCTCAAGGAATAAGTCTGCACTTTCCGCCATGCCTACGGCCTTCGGGAACACGCAAAGCGACGTGACATGTTTACCATTGCCGCGAGGAGCAAGCCCAAGCACATCCCAAAACGGCAATGCTGATGGAAGAACGCTGAGCCTCGAATCTGATCTCCGCAATTGAAGATGTGGCGACGGCAATGGAAATATAGGGTTGGGTTTTGTCGGGTTTGAGCCTTGGCTTCCTTGACTCCCCTGAGAACTCGGCATCGGGCGTGGAGGAAGACGGTTATTGCCAGTCAATTGTCGTGGAACGCCTTGTATATCTAGGAAGTTTGATAACGTTTGAGGGCTAGCACCCTTGAAGTACTTCTTGGCGGCTTGTACAACATCTTGACGAATAAGATCAGGAGTATACGTCGCCTTAATATTTTCTTCGAGTGAGCTAGTATGCCTGTTGCCGTCGTTCGGGTATCGAAGTGTATATGATATTGCCTGATCACCGAGTATTTGCGCTGCAGCAATATACTCTGCGTCCGTCAATGTATATTCGTTTGCCCATGGATTTGGCCAGGCTAAGAACATGGCCGCGGACCACCGGGCAAAATCAGAATCCAAGGCAAATGGATAGACCGTGTCTAAAGCCGCATTATTGGTCTCGTCAACTTGGCCGACTTGGAGCTCCTGAAACGACGAGGTGATCTCCTCATCATCGTTGCTTTCGCTAGTATCTTCAAGTTGCTGTCTCCGTTTTAGACTGGAAGAATTGTGCGAATAGCTACCATCCATCTCGTCACTACTGTCATCTTGATCAGACGATGGACTGGGGCTACGCGAGCCTCGCTGGGTGGGTTGCTCAAAGTTGATTGTCTGCCCAGGGACAAGAAAGTGATGGTCCGAGCCTGTATGGACGCCCCGCACGATAGACGATTTACCGGCCAGTTTGCGGCGGCGGCGGCGATTAAAGTAGTCTGTGGTCGGAAACTTTGCTCGCAACGTATTTGGAGAGACTTTAGGAGGCGGATAAATGAAGCGCCCATGGGACCCATACTTCTGGTGCAATGATGCAAACAACGCCTTGAAATCAACTCCACCAAATGCACCGGCTGGATTTAAGACGACTGACGATATGTCTTCTTGTGGTTTCGTCAGAAGAGGCTTTGAAAATACATCGAATGTGGATAGCCGCCCAAAGACATATTCGGGCTTCAATGGTGGACTAGGCTCGTCCATAGATGTTTCTGGGCCTTCCATGCTCGCCTCGGTTTTTATTTCGATCTGGCGAGCGGGGTCGGTATCAGAAGGTAAATCTGGGGGTAGACTTTCTTCGACAGGTGATTCGTCTGTATTACCCATGTGGACATCGGCCATGTCTGGAACATCGCCCATATTTAAGTCATCCTTTGGACCAAGGGTCAATTCGTTTTCGACCACTTCCGGAGCGTTGTCCTGACCAGGCATTTCAACATCTTGATTTCCTTGAAATATATCTGGTTCATCGAAGAAGCTGAAATCTGCGTCTGTAATATCGTTTTCTTCCCCGAAGAGATCATCGCCGGCGTCGCCAAACAAGTTGCCGTTACTTGTATCTTGAAAATCGAAATCTGCGTGGCTGGCAATATCCAGAGGTCCATTTGCGTCTGCTTCAGTTTTCGTAACTAACGAGCTGCTTGCATCTGTCGACAATGGCAGGCCTTGCTGGCCTGGGGTGGACACGGCTTCATCGAAGGTAGGTGTGGCGCCCACTGTATGTTGTACTCCATCCGGTGGTGTTGGATAAACTAACCCCGCCACGCTAGACCTCCGCAAAGCCAGCGGCGAATACAAAGAATGTAAATCTTGGGCTTCACTGTCCGCCTGTGACTTGGCAGCTGCTTCTGCTGCGTCACGCTCTTTCTTCCTCCTAATTATTGTTGCTTCTCTGTCCTGTTGTCCAGCGTACCAAGTCTGCGCAAATTCAAGGGGATCGTATATGCTCAACGTTCCAAATGCATCATTCGAACTTAACGTATTATCTGTCTGCCGAAAGCAGAGAAACGAAGGCCATGGAATTAATACGCGCTCTTCGGACAATCCCTGCCTAGCATTACTTGTAAGCTGGTTCAAGTAGATTTCAACCATGAACCAGGCACTGTTCTCAAGACGCTCCTTATTAATCCCTTTGCCCACAAGCCATTCCAAGCAGCGACTTCTCAGCCGGTGAGACGAGGGCTGTCCTTCATTCCCTGAGTGCTGAGCCTCGTCTGAATCAGTCGCAAATTTTGAAACGGTGGATTGAAACCCATTGTTTGCTAGGCCCTTGAAATTGCCCGTAGATCCTCCAGGGCCAAGGATCAAAGTTGCATTAGCAGGGATAGGTACATCTTCATGCTTCACAAGGCGTGGAAGATCGCAGCCAATGTAGCTCATCGATGTGGTGAGAGTCGCCTTAATCACAAGCACCTTGCTGCCTGTATAATCGCTGCTCAGTGTGACAAGCTGCAAGCGATCCTCCCCCTTTCCATTATTGCTTTGGGCGGTTATCTGCGGACCTGTGGTGGCGAGGTTTGATTTCGGCACAACTAGCGTCCTGGAGCTCAAAGGGATGTATCCGTGATCAAGGCAAAGTGCATATCCCAAAGATAAAAACACGGCCGTTAGAAAGTAATCATGAATATGTAGGCGCAGTCTTGACTGGGCAAGAAGCTGGAATTGTCGGGCCCTATCTTTCAGTGTAGGATTAATCGTGCCCGCATCATTATTCAGGCCTATGAGTGAATTGTTGACAGTAGCCTCTTTGTTCATTATTGCTGCTTGGGCAGCTCGAAAGTGCTTCTCAAACGATTCTTTTTGTGATAGAGGCTCGCCAGAATCTGTCGAAGGACTTGATATGGTATTTGTAGGAGGCTTCGATAAAGATTTCCATGATTCCAGCAGCGAGTTGGAGTCGTATGAGCCGCTGTGCTTCAATGCCAAATCAATGCCTAGATTTGAGGCAAGACTTGGCAATTGAGCAGCCCCCGAAGGAGAAGAAGCAGGTTCGGCATTATCCCCAGTCTCAAATATCCATAGCCCAGCCTTCTTATTATCTTTAGCTGCGAGAAGCCCGAGTTGCTGCAGCTGTGCGACAAGTTTGTAAAGCTCCGTCGAAACCGAGGTTGCGTCGGAAGGGCATTCGAAAAATGAGTATGCTATCGAGTTAAGTTCGTACTACAGTAAAGTTAGCAGCCATAACAAAAAATATGTGATGTGGGACATACTGTACAAACGACATTTGTCCCGTAGTCGCCGATATCCATAGTGGAGTCCAGTGGCGACTTGGGCCCAGGCAACCTCACCAGAGGGCCGGACGCGGTCTTCTATTACGCCTGGATATCCAGCAGTGACTTCCAAGTCTAAGGACGCGCCTAACGTTTTAAAGATAAAGCAGCTCGTCGTGATATACTGTCATGGGCGCAGTTGTTCTCGATGTCTTCACGGTTGGGATAACGTCGGAAACAGACTTCTCGATCCATTGCGTTTCGTTCGAATCAAGTAGTCGCACAACTTATGCATCGATAACGTACAACATTACACCGCATATACAAAGAGTTTGCTGGTGTTGCTGGCTGCGCCCGTGTGTCGTGGGTCGTGCCTGGTTGTCCTTGCAATCCGGGGTTCTGTTGTCGCCCCTCAGCCGGTAAGCAACATCGATTTCCCCAATCAGACTAACGGCGGGTATACCCGCCGCTAACAAAAGTCTAAATCTTTATCAATCCCTATCGCCGCAAAACTTCCGCGAAACTTTTCGTAGAACATCGAGAGCCACCGCCAACATGAAGCTCACAAACCCCCACGATGTGCCTGTGTACACTATTTCCGGGAGCGATACCGCAAGGCCGCTCCCAGACTGGCTTGCTAGGAAAAGGAAGCGCAGTTTGAAGAACGATGCGGAATACCAAAATCGTGTGGAGCTGCTTCAAGATTTCGAATTCGAAGAGGCGAGCGCCTGCGTTCGAACCAGTGATGATGGTGACTGGGTTATGAGCACTGGAACCTATAAACCACAAATCCATACGCATTATTTGCCCCATCTCTCTCTATCTTTCGCTCGACACACAAGTTCCCTCAACTACACCTTCATCCTTCTCTCGTCCGACTACTCGAAATCTTTGCATCTACAAACCGACAGGAGTCTCGAATTCCACACGCCCGGTGGATGCCATTACCGTACACGCCTCCCTCGATACGGTCGCGATCTGAAATATGACAAACATCTGGCCGAGGCTATTATTCCTGCCGTCGGCGTTAATTCCGACGGGAGTGGCGAGGTATACCGCCTGAATCTCGAAGTTGGAAGATACATGAAGCCATACCAGGTGGACGTTGGTGGAGATGACATGACGACTTCAGGAGGCGGTGCCCTGCAGGGAGGAATTAATACTGGAAGTGTGAACGTTGCTGCTATTGCAGAAGACAGCCACAACCTAATGGCATTCGGAACATCAATAGGAACAGTGGAGTTTTGGGATTCGAGGTCAAAGTCAAAGATCGGCATGCTGTCAGGTCACCAAGGCGGTGTCACAGCTCTCGATTTCGCCAGATCTGGGTTATCCTTAGCTACAGGAACCTCCGAGGGTATTGTTCAGATTTTCGACCTGCGAAAGTCGGTGCCGTTGTTGAAAAAGGATCAAGGATACGGCTACGCTATTCAAACTCTCATGCACCTCACGACATCGTCTCAGGAAAAGAAGATCCTTTCGGCTGATAAGCGTATCATCAAGCTTTGGGATGAAGCAGACGGCACACCATGGACATCTGTCGAACCGGCTGTCGATATCAACTGCGTCGCGCATTGCAAAGATAGCGGTATGCTCTTGACGGCGAACGAAGGCAAGCAACAACACTCGTTCTTCATCCCACAACTCGGCCCAGCGCCAAAGTGGTGCGGATTCCTGGACAACATGGTTGAAGAGATGGCCGAAGAGGAGACTACCGAGACCTACGACAACTACAAGTTCTTGACATTACCAGAATTGAAACAGCTCAACATGGGCCACCTTGTTGGTACCACCAGCTTGTTGCGACCATATATGCACGGTTACTTCGTTGCTTCGAAGCTCTACGAGCAAGCCCGCCTTATCGCGAACCCATACGTATGGGAAGAGGAACGCACCAAGAAGATCAAGGAGAAGGTTGAAAAGGAGCGCGAGAGCAGAATCAGAGGCAGCGGCAAGAAGGTCAAGGTCAACCAGAACCTCGTGGATAAGATGCTCAAGAGACAGGAGAGGAGAGAGAAGGTCGATGAGGACAGGGGTGTCCTGGGCGACGATCGTTTCGGCAAGCTGTTCGAGGATGAAGAGTTCGCCGTCGACGAGAAGAGTAGGGAGTTCCAGATGCTCAACCCCAGTACCAAGGTTGGAGACGGAGCGCCCAGGCCTCGCGGAACCAAGGAGAACAGTAGCGATGAGAGTGAAGGCGAGAGCGAAGACGAGATCGCGGCCAAGCCGAAACCCGAGATGCGCATTTCTTCATCCTCGTACAAGAAGTCCGGACATCAAAAGAGGGATACTGCTTTGGGATCAAGAGCGCAACCAAGTGGTCGGGGTGACAGGAAACGGGGCGACGTGGTTGGTGAGAGACAAATCACGTTTGCGCCAACGGTCAAGACGAAGGAGAGGGAAGCGAAGCCGGAACAACCTAAGCAAGGCAAACGAGACAACAGGCGAAGTGCAAGTGGAAATGTATTCCGACAACTATAAGTCTAGCTACCTCATGAAATACCCGATATACCCAAAGCGCCTTGCTAGTCCCGTATCCACGAGCGAATTAACGCCGAACCAACCCGTCAATACACATAACCCATCAGTACATATCTCATCGACCCCACTAATCTCTCATCACGACTACCTCTCAGTCTTCCTTCCCCACTTGGCAAACTTGCTAGGCGCTTTCATCTCAATCGCATCCGCCTTTATATTTGCCTTTTCGAGATCCTCATTCGTTATCCTTGGCGTCGGAGGCACCTCGTCAATCTTCGACATGCCCCTCGAGTTTCTCTTGGGGTTGCGCACGTTCTTTGGGAATTCGGATCGGCGTGGAGTAAGAGCAGTTGCGACGCGCTTGGCGGACTTTCTGATACTGGCGCGGATCTCCCAGGACCTCTTCTTCGCCAGGTAAAATAGGACAGACGAAACAACTGAGAATGGTCAGATAGAGGCTCGCTGGAGTATCTATGGTCAACATACCTCCGAATACCACGACAAATCCAACGACAACACCAATTGCGATAATTCCTCCCCTCGATATGGTGACAGACCCGCTACTCGGACCAGCAGCGCCGGCGTCGTCCCCACTTGGAGTGTTAGATGCTGGTACAGGATCTGTGAATAGGGCCGCGAATTCCTTCGAGGCAGAGGCTTGAGCGGCAGACATTTCGGGTGTATTACCAGTCGGAGTTGGAGTTGGCGTATTGTTATCTTGGGCGAAGGTCAAAAAGGCAAGATGTAGCCAGCAGCAGGCGGTAAATAGAATTGAAGACCCCATTATATCGTGACAGCGACCCCTCCCAATATATGAATGGCAGCAGTGAGATGTTACTCTGTGGCGCGCAGAATCGAGATTTAGCCAGCCGTCCCGCGTGTGATAGTGATATTGACTGATTCAGCGAGGGGGCGCACAAATGTAACGGTGATGGGGTGAAATGTGCGGCCATGCCTGTTTTATGGGCTTTCTGTACGCATATCATCACGCCAGGGACGGCCAGTAATTGGGTCTCCCTCCCCATCCTGCCAAGCTGTGAAACTGCGAGTTGAGATATTCTCACCAGGGGATCCTTCTCTTGATGCCGATCGCGGTTGTGATTGGCGAGAGTCAATCGTTGCCGCCGACGCTCAGCGCTTCGGTGGTGAGCAAGGGTCGTGGTGCGCCAATGAGAGTGCGAGGCTTGGTGATGAGTTTAGCGGGCAGGACGACTGCCGGTGCGTGGAGACACCACTCCATACCACGCTCCACACCACAGCTGTCAAAGTCGACACTTACAATCTTACCCAAGGTCTTGGAAACGGAGAGTGCACAGGATTGACTCTAATATTAACCTTCTGACGCCGAATGTATGGCCTTGGCCGTTGGATTGTCGACCCAAGGCATTCTTATCAGTCGTTCGTTGGAGAACTTGGCACTTCGTCGATGTTTGCCGCAGTCCACTCGTCGCTGCTTGAGGTCGTCGTCATCATCCATGATCTCCAGAGCGGCTGGTGAATCGCCCATCAAATGCGCCGTGGTGATCGGCGCCTAGCTTTGGCTTGCGGTGAGGGCAGACGTGGCTTTGTCGCCGAGCCAGGTTTCGACATCAACACAACTACTGTGGAGGGAATGAACAGGAACTGTAAGTTTTGAGGTCTCTATCTCAACCCTTACGATGATATCTGAATCTATTCAGCCATGAGACTTGTTGTATGTTGAAGTATGGAACCATATCTCATTTCAATCCTCATCGCCGACCTATGTGACGGCGCCTCCAGTCTACCCATGGGTTTCAACTATGGAACAGATGTGTGCCCTGCATCCGTTCTCCCAACGAAGAAAGGTGCCCTTCAAATATGTTTGTGCTTCTATTTCCCTCACTTCCTCATGTTGGTGCGGTAAAAATAATTATATTAAGCGCCTGCCCACAAATTTATCCCTGGCTTCTATTTTCTATGTCGCAAGCCCTGAAAGCCACGAATCCTCTATGCACTGCAAAATATTACCATGGACCTCCCTCTATTTATGGATGTCCGACTGTGGAATATATTCAGCGAGGCAGACCCGTGATATTCTGATATCTCCCATGTTGTCCCTTGAGGAGCCATCTTGTCTCTCCCCAATACAGTTACAACAGGTAATGGCGGCCTCACTTCATATTTATACATTTATCTGAACGTAAATTATTATACAAGCGTGGTTACGTTGTAAATACAATTGTATTCCATATGGTAGTGCAGTGATGTGGTGTTGTTTCTGTTGATTCTTGGCAGTCACGATGACCTGTATCGTTCCTTCCTTCCGAAGACCAAAAATCGTAGTATCCTACTACAGCATCCGATTTACCCATCCGTCTGTCACTGCCATCAAAGTTTAAAACTATCCGCTCGTCCACTTCTTTCTGTTCTTCTATCCTTCACTTTCTCTCCGCAAAATCGTTTGTATTTGCTCTGCTCTGCCTTCCTTCGCCTTCTCTTTGCCCAAACTCCTTCGTAGTTCACTGTCTACGAAGCTAAAGGTATTTTTTGGAAGGTGTACCGGCTTCAGACGGGCATCTACAACGCCAGGTGAGCCAGGCAGACCCGTTCAAGTAAGTTTTTTGAAGCACATTTAACATAACATAATATAGCAGCAACGTGGAATTCCGAAACAACTGAGCTGTGACTACAGCCACATCATGAGGCTTGGTTGACGCCATGGATGAGCCTATGCAAGATGTCTGTGCAGATCCCATCAAAAATGGTGCTGAGGAAACCCAGTATGTTTCTGTCGAGATTGACACCCAGGCGACCGATGGATACGATGACGCTTTGCTTGACAAGGACTCATTCAAGCAAATCTCAAACGTAGAGCCAAAAGCCCTTCCAGTGCCCAATCCAGAACCTCGATATGCAGTGCCACTAGATCAAGATGAGCCTGTTATGGACTTCAAATTCGCAAAGCCGGCTCATACAACACCCATCTTCAGGCCCACCAGACCCAGTGCCAATGCCACCAGAGTTCCTTCACGCAGAGGCCCAACCTCCTCGTCCGAAATATGTAGCGGTACCCAGGAACCTCATCGTAAGAACCCATATGAGTTTTTGCCGAAACTACACTAACTATTCTCCAGAGGTAAGTACGACAAATGGGCCACGTACAATTAGTGAAGCCAAGGTGTTCGTAGAAGCTACTATGAAAAACAACGAGGCTGAACCGGCGATGGAATTTGAGGCAAGCCAACGCCCTGCTCTCAAGCAAAAGGACTCAAATGCCCAACTTTCAACAAATATACCTACGGCACAACAGAAGCGAGGGGTTAGCTTTGCTGGAGGTTCAATTGATACTGATCGGCAACCCATTCAGTTAGTATATAAGCCCTATATTCCAAGCAGCTCTAACATGTGTTTGTAGGTATCTGAGACCACAGCAGACTCGACCGTTCACATCTATGTCTCTCCCGTTCCCAGACGTACAGTCTCAGACCAAGAAGATATATAGGTCAGCATTACGCAGAACAACCCCGCCACAACAATGTGCACCTTCCCCAGGACATGGATCTCCCTTTGGTCCTAATTTCGAGAACCGAGCACAGTCGCCGGCTGCCACCGGCGATACTGACTATGAGCAACTGAGTTCGCACACACCATCCAAATATATTGCCAACGAAACGTGCAGGGCTAGCATTTGTTACACAGATAATGATCGGATTGGAAAGTTGTCTCGTGCAAATATGCCTTTCCCTGAGACTACGTATTCAGCGAACCAACATTCAGACGGCAATAGCCAAAGAATGCACGAAAGCAGCAGGCCAACAGTAGCTAATAAATTGGGACGCAAAAGAGATCTAGAGATCAGCAGTCCTTGTGTCAACCTACAAAGCAAAGCCCAGGTCAGCCCTGAATTATCTCCAGAAGGGCATAATCTGAAGGAATCGGCCGATGGTCGTGGGCTCACAACACAACAGCGAGAAGTTACAACCTACTCTGGACAGGCCAGCAATCTATCCAACGAACTACTCCAGGGCATAGAGGCTCACGTGGAAAAAGAGAAACAAAAATTATTTGAGCAGATGCAAGAAAAAGATGCAAAAATCAATGAAGTCTCCAAAAAGAACGAGGATTACGAGGAAACCATCAATGAGCTTAGAAGAACCAATGCATCTCTATCTGAAAGGTTTGCAACGATGAGAGAGAAAGCAGATGCGCTAGATGATAGTCTAAACTCGCAACTTGAGGAGCACAAATCACTTGGAGATTTTGTGACAAAGCATAAATCACAAGCTGTAGAATACAGGCACGAGGCAGAAAACATGAGAATGTCACTCAATGAGGCAAAGAGCAACCTTCAGAGCCTTCAACTCTACCAGCAAAATTCCAAAGCTAGGTTAGAAGAAACCAGAGTGCTAGCCATAAGCCGTAAGTCAACTCCACGGTGTTCTATAACTTTATTAATACAGGCCACAGAAATGGAAAGTTTCAAGTCGGTGAAAGAAAGTCTCGAGACGTACAAAACCAAGCTACAAGAGGAAATGGAGAAGTCGCGACTGCTCCAAAAAGAGCTCAAGGCACAACATCTAGAGGGAGGTCTGAAGGATACCATCAAAGACCTTCTTGATAGTCACTGCTTGAGCGTCAGCGACCGGCTAGCTATTCAAGAGAACAAACTATCGGAGGCTATCAGCAATACTGACAGAGAGAATCAAAGCAGGCTTTCTGACTGCCTAAGACTACTTGAGTCGACAACAGGAAATCCTCCACAGGCACCAAAGGAGGTGCTGGAATTGACGGGCCTAATTGAAGCCCTGTCTACAAATATCAACGATCGTCTCCAAAGCGCAGACGATGGCAGTGAGACCTTGCGAAATGCCGGAACTGAGGTTATGGAAGCATTAAAGGCTCGCGTTGAGGCTCTCTTTGAAATACAGGATTCCAGGAAAGAACTTGACGACCGGATATCATCTCTGAAGATTGATAATGCACGTCTAGAATTAGTCTCTAGAGGGCTCGAAGAAAGAATTCTAGAGCTTCAGATTCAATTGACCGCCAAGGAAATCGAACTTGACAGGTGCCGAGCAGAGTCCAATGTGAAAACTGAGTGGAATCGGACTCAATTGGATGATAGGCAAAAGGAAATCGATAGATACCGGGAAAACCTAGGCACAAAGGTGGATGAGCTACGAAAGGCCCAGGGAAAGATAGAATCTGGGTCTGTTGCTCAAAATAAGCTGACAGATCTCCAAGCAACCCATGCAAAGGCTGTCAGTGACTTGGCAGATGTTACAAAAAAGTTGACGGACTGCGAGGCGGCTTTGGCGGAGCAAGGAAAAGCAGCCCAAGCTATGCAAGTGAAACACGCAGATCTCGAAGAAAGACTGAGTTCTGCAGAACAAACAGCTATTGATGTCGAGCAAGAGATTTCGCAACTCAAAGCAAGCGCAAGTGAGAGCCTCAGGAGACAAAGGGTGGAAGCAGAAACGGATAGGAGGAAGTCCCTAGAGTCTGAAAAGAGGAGTCATGTGCAAAAGGCTTCAAATCTCCTCCGTTTACGAGTAGAAGCCGAAGCAATTGCAGAAGGGCTAAAAACAGAGTCTAAAAAACTTGAAGGAGACGTGGCAAAGAAGGATCAATTGATACGAACCCTCGAAACGGAGAAGGCCACCCTTGAGGGTAAACACAAAGAACAGGCAGAGAGATTGGCCCAATTAGACCAGTGGTCTAAATCTCAAGCTAACGAATGCCACTCATTGACCGATGCTGTGAAGTCAACCGCCTTTGATATAGCCCAACTTGAAATAAAGCTTAAACAGAGTGTAGAAAAAGCAGCTGCGGATTCTCGAATCGTGAACAATATCACTGATACCGTTGAGGCTATCAAGCGCGAATATCTCGTAGTTACGAGCCGCTTGGAGTCATACGAGGGAATTGAAGCCAAGGTCCAGGACTACTGCCGGAAAGCTGGCATACTCTTCGAAGCCAACGCAGCACTAGATGCAATTTTAGAGATTCTTGCTGGATCTGAGAGTCGAGCCTCAGGCGTCGCCAGGACCCCATCGCAAAACAGTGGCCTCAGTAGCGGGACTAAATCATGGGCCTCTAATGGCCAGGCTACCTCTTTTACTCCTAAAGTTGTGCGTCTTCAAGTCCCGGATTCACCTGAAATACCGGACTCTCAGACGCCTTCTGCACCAAATTCAAGCCCGTTGCCGAGACAGGGAGTTAGAAGCAACATTTCGCAACTCAATCATGTCCTTACCAACACAACCATTCCCATCAAGGGCCATTTTGGGGAGATTATCAAAAAGTTTAACACCCAAGTGGCTGGATACCGCGAATCAAGAACTATAATGGATCCAAAAGATGACCGTCGCGACTATCCGTTACACGCGCCCGAGATCGAAGACAGCCAAGATAAAGGCGGCGGATTCACTCGCAGCCCCAGCTACAGCCCACTAAGTGAGACGAACTCTAGCGAATTTGATCAACCTGACGACTACTATATGCTGGCTTCCGATCGCACAGAAAATAAAAAGGGGCGGATGGAAGAGACGACCAGAGGACAACGTCCAACAGGAGCTTCCAAAAAGGCTGATGTTAAACCACCTAAAGCAGAAGAATATAAGCCATCGTCCAAAGTGCAGGTCACAATTGGCCCAATGAAAAGCTGCCTAAAGCAAACCTCGCCCATAAAACATTCGGTGGATGATTTGTCACTGTTGCCGAACGATACAGTTAAGACGCCACTGTCGGATTCAACGTCAATAAAACCACGGCCAAGCCGACAAATCTCAAAGGCTCGATCGGCATCAATTTCCAAAGTCCAAGACCCAACCAAGAAATTTCCTTCTGATAGCAATCTTATCCGTGGTGGAAGTACTCCGAGGTCCGATTCTAACCCTTCTTCAATAATCTCTACGCGACCCAAGGGCATTAGTTCCGAATATAACCTCCGAAAACGTCACAGGAGTTCGGCCTCAAGTGTTATGGGATCTGAACCTCCTACCAAGCAAACAAGATTGTCGCTCCCTGCTGGCCAAGCGTTTCGGCGTGTCTCGCCCTTCGTCTCAGAGGCGAGCAAAAGGCGAGAGAGCGCGGGGCCATCTCTTGGGTCCCTATAGTGATGGATTGTTGGAATTTCTCGCAAGGTCGAAAACATATTTCTTATTATATATTTAGCAGGCCCGCCTACGAAGCCTGGGGGGTTGAAGCTTTATTTGCTGGAGAAGGCGGTGTCGAGCTTGTGGAGGGGAGGATCCGATTGCAGATGATGCACCCTATGTTCTTTATATTGACGTTGCTGAAAGAGGACATTCCTGTTGCTATATCATATTGGTGATTGATATACTTATGAGCTTGTAAGATCGATTTCAATCGATTTTGAGGGGCAGAGAAGGAACGGGATATTTGTTAACATAGCTATTGCTGTCACTTATTCATGTCAAGGGGGTATCAGTCGCCCAAAAAGAAGGGGGCATATGAATCGCTGGGAAGCTATAGCACCACATTGCACAAATAACGAGACAAATATGGCTGGAATGAGCTTGTTGCTTTTCAACATTTGCTCTGGCTTCGAGGAGCCTCTGGCTTTAGATATCTCTTTTATACACTATCAATCCATCTCAAGCTTGTCCCAACAAACGCCGTGAATGCCGTCATGCCATATAATACAACCATTCCTCCTCCCCCACGGGGTCACCCTGAGCTCCGCAAAGCTCCTCCTCAGTCCAACCCCCCTGGCCTTGTCCCTCCCCAAGCCGCCCTCTCCTCGAGATCGTATCCCCTTAACACCGCCTACTTCTTCCTCTTCTGCTCCAGAAACAGAACCTGTTTGCGCACTGTCATGCCATCGTTAGCAAAAGCCCTCACAATCCGCCTAAAGGCGCATGGAGCTCCAAACGTACCAACAGGATCGTATTTCAGCATGCTCAGCGGGCGATGCACGCGCGGGCGGATTAACGTCTTGTAGTAGCCTGTCATGGCCATGGAGATGAGGCGCACGGCAATCGTGCGGGATTTGGCTGCGGGAGGGGGTTAGCTGTGTTCTCTTCTCTTGGTTGAATGTTCGGTGCGGTTGTTCGCGGTTGAGTCGGTCTGGGTATAGCTCCCGTAGAGGGAGGGATTATGGAGGCGCGGGCAGATGCGCGTAAGCGCTCCGTCGAGTAGAAGGGGGATGCGTACCTTTTTTTGCCATGGTGAGGGTTGTGGTGGGGAATTGAGGCGTGGGTTGTGAGGCTTCGAGATGTCGTCGGGATTTGGGGATTGGGAAATTCTAGGTCATGTGATCTTGATTATTTTATTGCGGCCATATATTTATGGTTACACATTTTGAGCGCCCAGGCCACTGTTGCCTGAACATGTGATCAAGCGATCCCTAATTGGGTCTAAGTGGTCCCATAAAAACAGCTGATGCCTATAATTACCCACACGTGATACCGTGTTAAGTTCGCGTCGGTCGATCTTTCGGCCCAAATCACCAATAATTTGTTCGAGAGCATGGGATTGTGGCTATGATGCCTCAATGCTTCGTATGGGTAGGTTCGGCTTCTCTGTCTCTAGATTTCTATAAAACTATGGTATTTCCCAATTCCTCTCTTTCATTCTTCAATTGAAGTCCTTTTCACAATAGAAGCACCTCTGTTTGTTACTATCAACCACTCATACTTCCTTTCTCTTCCGCAATGGCTGCCACAGGCTTGATAGACCGATATCTGGCTCTGCCAGGAGAGCTTCAATCTATGATCCTCGCTTTCTGCACAAACAATGATCTCGTCTGTCTTAGTCTTGCCAAGTATATAGTCGCTCTCTCTTCAATTGCAAAGAGTCCTCACTAACTCACCCAGCAAAAAACTCCATTCCCTCTTCGCCCTTCCTAAACCAGCGTCCCTTTTCAAAAACGAGATCCTTGTCTCGCCCCGCCACTTAGAACTTCTACCCATCCCCCACCAATGCTACACACACTCGTGGGCAGAGAACAGTGTCCGCCCCTTCGACAGATTCTACGAGCACTTGTGCAGACCCAAAGGGTGTTTTCACGATGAAAAATTCGACTGCGAGTTATGGACCCGGCTGCGTGACTGGATGCCAAATAACACACGCTACTGCGGCGGATGCCGCCGATTTACGAAGCGTGATAAGAGACGGCGGAAGGGAGCTTGTAAGTCAAATTTTCTACTGTTTATATAGACGGTGCCATTAACACCATGCAGGCAAATGCACGCGGCCAGGCCGCCAGCCGACGGGCAACAATTGGACCTACAGGAAGTATATAGGCTTCCACAGGACCTTCTGGAAACTACACTATACCGAGGCGGACCTGGCGAAGGTGGTACGGCGATACCTGGACCCGCGAACGAATACTTCGCCGTATGGACTGAGAGAACGTATAAAGCCATCTCGGAAGCTGATCGAGCACACAAGCAACCAAAACTATACCCAGGACTCGAGGGGAGTGTGGTGCGAGAACTGATTTTACCTGAACCTACATATGGATGGCCAACTGTACGATATGATATGCCCAGGGGTCCACGAGAGTGATGACGACGACATGATTTCACGAACTGACGATCAGTATATGACGGAGAATATATGAGGGAGTTTATGTGCATATTATTACCCTATTTTTATCTGCTTTATAGCGCGTTACAAGCATAGCATAGCGACTGGCGTTTATCAAAATCCACATTTACTACTGCACTATTGCTTCCCCATCACCACCCTTGCTCGCCATGCTCTTTCACTTCTCAAACCCACCTCTCCACCCCCGTCCTCTCACACCTTCATTCTACCTCACCCGCCTCCCAACCCCACCCCCACGCCACAACCATGAGGGGAAAGAAAAAAGCCTCAACCCCCGGCACCAGGCACGCAAACCCGACAATCCTCTCCTCCGTCTTCTTCCTCATCTCACGTGACACACCACCCAATCCCACCCACACCACCACAGGGGCCTGCCACGTGGGCGAAACGGCATTTGCAGGCGCGGCTGGGGCGGGATTTGGGCGTGGAGTGGAGCCCGGCCATGTCAGCTCAGGTCAGCGCAGATAAGGCAAACCCGGTATGCCACGGACGCAGCGGTCTGTGGATGGATACTTTATTAGGAGGGCGGCGAGTAAGTGGACGAGGAAGGGGAGGTGGGTGGTGAGGGGGGATTGTACGGTTGTTTGTCCGTCTAGGGGGGGGGGTGAGGTTGTGATGGGCGACGCGTGGCGGGAGGGATGGGGAGGGGTTACTGCTGCTGGTGCTGGTGCTGGTTGTCAAGGGAGTGAGTTGCGGTGGAGTGTGCAGCGGTGACTAAAGTCAGCAAACAAACGCTTACCTTGCACCGCCGTACAGTGCATTTTCGTCTGCCGCATCACAACTCGGCTCCCGGGCAGCGCACCTACCCCCTACTCCCTACCCCAACCCCTTAGTGCAGGCGCACGGATCCCTGGCAGGGCGGGCAGGTCAGATGACCGGTGCCGATCGTGGCTGCTTCGGCGAGGGCGGGGGAGATTGGGGGTGTTGGCGGGGTGGGGGAACTTCGGAACCCTGTTTGTTGTGCATTGAGTTGGGGTTGGTGGTTGGGTTTGATATCTATGGATGGATGGATGGTGAGGGAGGAAGTAGGTTACGAGATAGTTGAAGCGTGAAGAAGCGTTGGTTGCCCAGGAGGAGGGGGAGGATGGGGGAGTTACATCGGCGGGTGATCGGCGCGCTCGAGCTGGCGTGGAGAAAGGGGACCTGGACCTGGTAACTGCCGCTGCGGAACTGGCGCGGAATACCCCCAAAGAGGGAGGAAGTGTAAAGCTGGGCATCGGCGTGGTGGCGGGGGGAGCGGCCGGTTACGTTTGGTGAAGGTGTTGGAGGGGTTGCATGGCGGTGGTGGTGGCATGAAACGGGAGGAGGGTGGTTGAAACGGCTGGGGGTGGGGGAGGGTGGATTGGGAGACCGATGCTTTGGGTTTGGAGGGGAATTGGGGGGGGGGATTGGCAGGGCTGGGGGCGGGCAGAGGCGAGAGTGCTGATGAAGATCTGGACGAGGGGGGATGGGATGAGGAGTTTGGAGAGGGACGGGGATGGGTGAGATCTATCTCGCTCTGTGTGTGCTGGCGATGGAGGCTGTGGTTGGAGCGGGGACACCGGTGTGGGTGGGAGAGTGAGGGACGGATCGGATGTGGTGTTACGGCTCATATCTGCTGTAATCTAGCCGGCGACTTTTTTTGGACGGAGAGTTTACCAGCCGTGTCACCTGGGCAGGCTACACAAAAAGGCATTTATCGATAGATAGTCGGAGACACTAGCCGTGGGCTCCGCAGTTGCTCGGCCGTGGCCATGGCAGCTAGTCTGTCTGGCAGTTGTTTGCTGGGAGTTTGAGAGACGTGTTGGAATTGTGGAGAAGGAAGGGAGGAGTTGAGTTGTGGAGAAGAGAGAGGGTCGGGAGACGAGAAAGATGTCGATATAGGGAAGAGATGGGATAGGAGGGAGATAGGAGAGGAGGGTTAGTGCTTGGTTAAGTGTGGTACGGAGTGACAAAGTCCCCCGCTGTTCTGTTGTGCTGGTTGTCCACTGGCTTACTGTACAGCACGCTACAGCACACCACACCAGGCAATATCACGGCAACCTTCGATCCCTGTCTTGCCATGTGCGATGCGATGCAGGCAAACCCTCATTAACCCCTGCGTCTCTTGGGGATCCTGCCACGAGTGCCACGCCTTTCCAAGGGGGGGGGAAGGGGGTAGCAGGGAGCGGTACTTGGGTGAGTGGAATGCGCGGTGCCGAACACAGATGTACCGGAGATGTCAGCGGAGGTGCCGAGGAGAAGAGTTGAGAGATTATCGAAAATTTTCCGAGGTTGAAGTTCCGATAGGGGTGGATTACTATTCACGGGTCCGGGTCCGTCGAACTACTGTTTTTTTTGGGGCAGTCTCACTGCCATTTGGATTGTTTTTTCAGGAGATGGACGACGGGGACGGGGGGATGCCACACCGCACGCATGGTATGTGCTCGCTCTAACTACGCTGTGCAGGCAGGCAATAAGAGACATGTCGCACACGGCTACGGCTGTACCGAGACTCCACGATCTCAGCGAGATTGCGGTATGAGGGATCATCGCGATTGAAGGCCATTTTGAGGATGGAGGACGTACGATGTTGGGGTTATATAAGGAGGCGGCAATATCAAAATATCCGCTTATACGACTCGGTGTGATCCGTGCTAAGGAAAGTAGGGGATGGAAATTGAAGCTATACATAGTATGCTGACAGCGTGCAAGGTATCTACCTACTACTATAGTATGGTTTGTTTGAAGAGAAACCTTACTTGGTGTGCAATATTACCACCAGAGTACAAGTACTATATCTGTACGAATGCCAGGGAAGTTTAGTTGCCTGGGGACAAGGAACAAGGGCATTCAGAGTGACATCGCTCGAAAGTACCCATCACAATTGCAAGCCACAAGGTGGGGTGCAGGAGAGTAGGGAGAGTACCTATTCGTGGAGTACTGTCCTATGGCCGTCACGGCGTTTGAAGGGTGAGACAGCGTATGGATTTTTGTGTATGGATGGGAAAATGCGTGGTATGGGACTGGGCCAGGTAGGTGGATGGATGATGGCGGTGGATGGAGAAGGCATGGCAAACACATGTCTTACCCGTTTCCTTGTGCTATGTGCAGTGTTACTAAAAGTACTTGCGTTTGTATGGTGATCTTGCCCTGGGAATAAGTACTTTTAGTAGTATAGTAGTGTAGTACTGCAATATTCTCCAGTATGCATCTCCTTGTACAGTAAAGTCAACAAAACCCTTAAGACCCTGATATTCTACACAACAGACAGGGCAGAACAGGACCGACAAACAGAACACAACTGAACAGAGTAATAGAGTAGAGGAACAACAAATTCACTTTAATCTCACTCTGCTCTGACTCTGCTTCTTCTCAAACTTACTCGGAATCAAAGTCAGCACCATCACCACTACGGCCTTCTAGCCCTTACACTACTACTACTCCAAACTAACTCCAGCACTACTCCATCACCATTACGCCACTACTAAAAAGTACCTGATTCTTCCTTTATGGGGCACAAACTTCCCTCGATCATCCACTACCAACCAATTCCGCCAACGAAGTCATCGCTAACCTGCTAAACTGACTAAACCGACTAAACCGACTAAACCTACCTAAATCTCCCTAAACCTCCTCCAAAAAGAAGTGGAGAGAGTCGAGAGACAGAGAGAGAGAGAAGTCGAGAGTGGAGATTCCACAAAGGAACGTCCCCATCCCTTCCCTCTCACAGAACCACCACCACCACCACCAGCCACCAGCCAGCGACGACGGCGACAATCTTCTCTCCTTCCTGACCCCCATACCGCCCATACCGCCATTTCCGTTTATTCCCATCCTGTCTGAGCCTCCGTTTGATGCTGCGTCAGCCCGGAATATCCTCCCCATATCCCCCCAATCCTCTACAATTGCACCACCACTCTTAGCTCCCGCAAAAACCGACACTCCATACCTCGCTCTCGCCCTCTCCCGTTCTTTCCCAAGATTCTCCACGTTGCCGCGGCCGTGCCTGGTGCGAACTCACGAAACAAAACGAACAGACGAACCTCCCGCTCTTTCCACCCTTCTCGAACGCCCGCTCTACGCCCCCTCGACGCCTCACCGCCGTTGAATACCGTCGGATCGTCGACTTCGGGCTCTTGTCTCACATGCTCCCGATATCAACAGCTGCAACTACGACCGCGGCCCCCCGCTCCGAACAGCCTCACTCCCAGCGCACCACCGTTCTGCTCTGTGCCAGCGGATCATACCACATACCCACGAGCCCTGCAAACTAGAATGTGCAGTCGCCGAATGCTACTTTCCTGAGCGTTTTTTTTTTATAAAGTGCCCGCTATCCCTGCCGGATCTGCCAGCCGCCTGTTAAGGCTACATTTGCGACGATGGGAGCGAGCCAGTCTTCGACGTATTGCCCGGGCGACGATGGTATGTTATAGCCTTCTCTGTGGGATCATATTTGCCCATTGTCTCCTGTTATAGTCAATGGCAACTGCTAACACTTCATCTCGCAGTCGGCCTCAATCACTTCACCCTCGGACGTGTTGTGGGAAAGGGTGCTTTCGGCAAAGTCCGCATCGTGGAACATAAATACACGAAACTGACGTTTGCGCTGAAGTATATCCGAAAAGACGACAGTCAGTACATACTCAATGATTACCCCTCGACATCCTGCTGATTGAGATATAGTTGTACGAACCGAGAGCGTGAGGAATATAATACGAGAACGCCGAATGCTGGAACACCTGAACCATCCGTTCATTTGCAATTTACGATACTCGTTTCAAGATACCCAATACATGTGAGTATTTAGGGATATGCTACACCAATGGGAAACAGCATGCTGACTTGTTTGAAGGTACCTCGTTGTGGATTTAATGAGCGGAGGTGATCTGCGATTCCACATTTCGCGCAAGTCGTTTACCGAGGACGCAGTCAAGTTCTGGATCGCGGAGTTGGGATGCGCGCTGAAGTATATCCATAAGCAGGGGATTATACATAGGGATGTGAAGCCAGACAACGTGTTGCTGGATTCGGAGGGCCATATCCATTTGGCAGATTTTGTATGTGGCACCAGCGAATATAAGGAGGGGCACAACTGACTGGCTTACTAGAATGTTGCATCGGATTATACGCCCGGAAAACCCCTGACGAGCAAGTCGGGGTCACAACCATATCTATCGCCCGAAGTTTGGGCAGGAACAGGATACGGCCCGGCTGCGGATTGGTGGTCGTTGGGCGTCCTCTTCTACGAGTGCATTTACAACAAGGTGAGAAATTCGCAACATTATACATATCCAGCAGTTCCTAATCCCCCAACAGAGACCATTCGATACGCACAGCACCAAGGGCCTCGGCGAGCTAATCATGAACGCCAACCCCAGCTTCCCCGTCACCTCCCCCCCAGTCACAATGCCATGCATGCACGCCGTCAGCTCAGCACTCGAGCCCGACCCAACCAAGCGTCTCGGAGCGACATGGCAAAGCTTCATCGACAACCCCTTCTTCCGCTCCGTCGACTTCGAGGCCCTAGAGCGCAAGGAGATCGAGCCCGTCTTCGTGCCGTCAAAAGATAAGACGAATTTCGACGCCACATACGATCTGGAGGAGTTGCTCCTCGAAGAAGCGCCCCTGGAGGCACGCACACGCCGACAAAAACCCAGGGAACCGCTCGCAGAGGGCGCGACGGAGAAGGAGATCCGAGAGGATGAGCTGTACCGCATGATCGAGACAGGATTCATGCCCTTCGACTACACCCTCGCCGCGTACAACCGGTTCGTCCCCCGTTCCCCCCCCCCCTTCTCTCCAAAACCCACACTAACTTTATTTCCCACAGCTTCCAAGAATCCGACGAAGCAGCCATCCGCGCCCGCAACCCACCCCAAAGCACCACCACAACCCCCGGCTCCACCCCACGCAACAGCGAAACCGCACCCTCGGCAATGATGCGCTCCAAATCCCCCGGCAGCGGCGGACCACCCACCGGTCGTCGTCGCACTCCGTCCGTGTCGATTAACGGGAATGGGAATCCTAACAACAGCAACGGTAGCGGGCCAAGCAATGGATATGGCAATCCCAACGGTTACGGATCCTCTCCGCCATCAGACCACAACGCGCCTGTGCGCCTCGTGTCCTCCAAAAATGGAGGGTATAGAGTCAGCCCCACCACGAACCCCTACGACGTCCCCCCCGTCCCTCACCTCCCCCCTCCCCAAGCAGGCGCCAAACACCGCGCCAACGAGAGCACGAACCGGTTGACGCGCCAATCCAGCAGCTCGCGGATGGCGAGTAAAGGGGGTGGATTATCGGTTACCCTTGGGGAGACGGGGAGTTGGAGTGAGCTTGCTAAGAGAGATACGACGCTCCCGGCTGATGCGAAGGATATTGGTGGTGCGGTCGGGCAGGGACAGGGGGCGCCGGGGAAGCCGAATGGGATGTTGGGGTTTTTGAGTAGGAAGAAGGGGAGGGGACATAGTCCAAAACCGCAGGAGAAGGGGGTGTTGGGGAAGGAGGGGGCGAGGGTTGTGATTTCGCAGGGTTGAAGAAGGGGGGGTTGATGCTGTGATGCATTCATTCGCCTGCTGGCCGATTTATTTCTCCAGTTAATGGAGTTTGTTCGGTCCCTCGATCACCGAACCGACCGACTAGGCGGACCGTCTATCGCGATTGGGAAAGTCTGACAAATCGACGGATACGTGATGGTCTACATTATACCTGGTGGATTTCCGATCACCTTCGCGCCCGTACCGGTGTTCATACCTCTACACTTAACTCACCTCTTCCCTCTCTCCGGCGGCTTTTGTTTGGTTTATTGTCACTCCGACTCGACTCGGATTCGGTTTTATGCATGGCATTGCGCGGCGCCCTTTCATACTCTGCTTTTCTGCTTTTAGGCTCCTCCTCACAACTGCGGGTTTACTCGACAACACAACACCTAGTCACGTCGTGGTTATATCCCTCTCGTTCTTTTAATTGGTTGGCGATGGGATGCGCGTCGACACGGGATGCAGACGTGTCGCGGAGGAAGGAAGTAGGACATATCGATGAGGGAAGCACAAGGGGATGAACGCATGAGATGGGGGATGATACCACAAGGAACAGCAGAATATTCTCCCAACGAAAACGAGACGAAAGAAGTACACAACGGCTCCTCATCTTCTTCTTTTTTTGTTGGTTGGTTGTATGTATGGACCGGGCAGGGTATGCCCGATCGAACGAAGGGCGTTTATTTTTTCACGTGCATCCTCGCGATTTGGCTTTGTTGATCTGTTTTTGTTTACTTTGCTCGCTCGGTTTTGTTTTTGTGCTTTTTGATACCAGGGGGTGAAGGGAATCAGTTGGATGGATGGGATGGATGGCATGATGGTGGGAGTGGAGGAGGGGTGGAAAAGGGGGTAGGCAGGCTGGGAGGGGGGGTATATATGCGTCTGTGGTATGGGGGGAGTGTATAGTGGTGGTGGTAAATAGTTGTTGTGGATGCCCCAGGGGAAGGGGGGTAGTTAATATTGAGGGGGGAGGGGGGGGATGAATACAAATACCATAACTACATAACCTTACAGACAAGACAGTATGATGTGATGTGATGTGATGTTGTGGTTGAAATCTTGGGATTGGGATTGTGTACTATGTTATTCAGATATCGGGTTGTCAGATATCACGTACATCCATCCACCCAGGTAGCAAGTAGGATGTCGGTGTCAGTGAGACAGCCGGGTCGCCCGCCCCCTATGTCTTGCATGTCGGGTATAAGAATCGTTTGCCTGGCTGGGCTCGGTTGGGAGAACATATGTGCTGTCTGACTGAGAGCGCAGTGGGGGGGGTGTATCGAAATTTTTGCCCATGTACTAGGGGGTGGATGGTGGGTTATGCTTATACACACAGCTGGGATTTTGACATATCGTGGCGGTTTTAATACAAAGCATAACTGTTTTTTTTTGCCCTCTCTCTAATAATTATGTATCCCCTCCCCTTGTCCTCTCCTTCTCTCACCCCGTCTCAGCTATAGCCATAGCCATCTCATCCTCCTCCCCCTATCACTTACACCTCACACCTCCCCCGTCGCGCCAACAAATCCCACCGATCCCCCGTTATAAACGGTGCAGAATCTCGCTTGGAGATGGTGCATACACATGTCATCCATCCACCTACCGTAAGAGTCGATAACCCGTATTTAACAGCTCATCATTCGCTATACCGTACCCGCCTAAGTCATCCAGCGCACCCATCCATGACCCCATCATACATGCATACAAACTACTGTATGCGCGTTGACCGCCGCCGCCGTTGCGCGCAAGCGAGCTGAGCTGACTTGGGCTGGATGTCTGGCTGGATGTCTGGAGGTCGCCTGGTAACCGATGCTGCTGTGGGTAAGCTTAGTTTTTTTACGTTTTACTGGTGCAGGAGTGCTACTTTGTTAGGGGGGTGATTGGTGGTTTAGTTGGTTTAGTAGGGGGGGTTAGGAGGTGGTACGTGTGTGTGAGGTGTGCTTAAGCGAAGGGTTTTACTGTAGCGGGATGGGATGAGGGCGACGGCGTTACCCGAGTACTGGCTGGAGAGGGATGGTGATACAGAGTGAAGGATGGGAAGGAGCCGGGTGAGGGGGGTGGTGACGAGAAGTGGAGGTGATGGCGATGGGGAGGGGAGAGGGGTTTTGTGTGAGGGTGAGGGTTCTACAGAGTAACACAGTAACACCACAGGTGCCACAAACACTCGGTGGATATACAGACCAGCCTCGCCCTCCACCGCGCTTATACGGGCTTTGCTCTCTTCTCTTCGTGCCGTGAGACCGGGGACTAAATTTAAATCTAAGTGAATCTGAGTCCAAGTCTCAATCTCAGCCAGGTCTCGGTTCGGCGCACATACCATTTAAGACGGGTGGTATAGACAGTATGTATAGTATACTGTAGTACGGCACTCTACGCGAGCTGTGGATATTATCTGATGTGATGGGGGAAGCGACGGCGCCATCGCGTAGAAACAACTAGCACTGCGGCGCGGGTGGGGTAGAGGTGCAGTATCGTGGCGGAGATCGTCGACACCGCTACGGGTTCGCTTGGCAGCGGATTGGGGTGGGATGGGGGTGTGTGACGGGTGGTGGGGTGTGGTGGGTGTGGGCTGGAATGAGGTGTAATATGGACATTCTAGGTATGTTGAGGTTGCATTCCGGACCTCGTTTAGAGAAAGAGGAGGGGGGAGGGGAGGAGGAGGAGTGGGCTATATTAGTAGGACTAAGGGTGGTGGTTGTGGTGGGATTGAGGTAGGGCGGGTAGTACATATATGTATATCTGTCCTGCTTCCTTCGTTCCTTCTATACGGCTTACTTCGCGATTATCTGCTTGCTTCCTTCGATCCTGCGATTTTTGACGTGCTGTGAGGTGGGATTGTGCGGTTATTCGACGACGATATATTATTCGACGACGATATACGACACGACGATATACGACAAGGAGCGAGCAGAGAGGTGCCGGCTGATAGGACGGATACGGGAAAACTGCCGCTGCTGCTGACCTGATTATTTGTGAAACCCGAGGTGAGGTGGGAGTGCACGAGCCTGCTGAGACGGGGTCGACGACGACGACGAAGGCGTGGTGGAGAGGGGTATATTGGGATATTATATTATAGGCTGCGGTTCGGTTGTGTGAGTTGAGACGGATTGGAAAAGACGAAGGATTGAGTGAGGATTGGGAGGATTGAGAAGAATAAGGGCAAGGAAGGAATTGATTGGGTGACTTGGACGACTTACGAAGTACAAGCTGTTTGAGCAAGCCATTGAGCAAGACCATCTACGAACTACAAGACATTGTTCATCGACGACTATCAATCACCAAGGCATTGGTTGACGACTCCAAACATCAAAGAGGCCATTCGCCCGACTTCTAGACACCAACAAGGCATTGGCCAAAGGCAACCTACTACATCAACCAACCTCACCTCCTCCACTTCGCACAGGCCACTATGCCATCCCTCCTCATCTACGCCGCAACGGCCCTCGTCACCTACATCGGCTACGTCCAGCTCCACGCCCTCTTCCAGACCGTCGTGCGGAAGGGGCCGCCGGTGGCGGCGAACTCGTGGTGGGCGTATCTGAGCGGGAAGAGCGTGTCGGGGAGTGTGCTACTTGAGGAGTTTTATGAGAAGGTGAGATGATTTTTTTTTGTTTTTGTCTGGCTTGGTCTTTTGTCATGGGTGAAAGGGGGTTGGTGGTTGAAGGTGTGAGAGATGATAGGGTGTAATGCGTGTGATGCGTGTGATACTCCTGAGGGTAACGTGGAGGAGGGAGGGCATATGAGAAAGTGGCAGTGATGGAGATGCATTCAAGTCAAACAAGCCCAATACTAACAAAAATCCAGTACTCAAAAAACAATGAACCCTTCATGGCCGGCGGGCACTACGTCCTCCCCCCCTCCGTCTTCGCAGCAATACGCAAAGTCCCAGACAGCATCGCAAACTCCACACCCGCAAATGAAGACGTGAGTTCACCCCCCTCTTCCCCCTTTCCACCCACCCCCTAACACCCCCCAGGGCCTCGTCCTCGAGCCCTTCCTCGGCCACGACAACACCGACATAATCCACCTCGTCCGCACCACTCTCACCCGCTCCGTCGACGCCATGATCGCCCCCCTGCAAGACGAAATCCACACCAGTCTCTCTGCCTTCCTCCCCCCCGGCCCCCCCACCCTCCTCCCAGGCGACGAAGAATGGTACCCCCTAACCGTGCACCCCTCGACCCTCACCGCCATCGGGCGCATCACAACCCGCATCCTCGTCGGGTCAAAATACACCACCCTCCCCGCCTGGACCGACACCTTGGCGGGGTTCGCAAACGGTATCATAATCCAATCCATCCTCCTCAAAAACCTCTGGCGCCCCCTCGTCCCCTGGATCGCACCACTCTTCAACACCACCCGCCGCGTCGCCAAGCTTCGCGCCTTGATCCTCCCCGATGTGCGCGAGCTGCTCGCGAACCCGCCGACGCCGGGGACGTATCCGGATGGCGAACCGACTGTCCTGCCTATGATGGTGAATTATGTCTTATCCCGCCCCGGTTATGCCGAGGCGAAGGAATCAGAGGTGCTTACGGGGGTTATTGGACGGCTTCTTGATTTCTCCTTCGCGGCCGTGGATACGACTACCATCACCCTAACGCACTGCATCCACGACCTCGTCTCTCACCCCCCCTCTCTCTACGCTTCCCCGATCCTCGAACAAGCCCGCGCGGTGCTAGCCGCTAACGACGGGGTATGGACGACGCAAGCGCTCTCCGCGCTCCCCCTTCTCGACTCATTCATCAAGGAGTCGCAGAGGTTGCATCCGATTGGGCAGTTGTTGAGTCAGCGGAAGGTGCTTGATCCGAAGGGGTTGATGTTGATGCCGTCGGAGGGGTTTGAGGGGGCGAAACCGGTGTACTTACCGTATGGGGCGGTGACGCAGATGCCGTTGGTGGGGGTGCATATGGATGGCGGGTTTTATGAGGATGCGAGGGAATTCAGGGGATTTAGGTTTGCGGAGGATAAGGTGGCGAGGAGTCAGCCTAGTGATCGGTTTATGAGTTTTGGTCATGGTATGTTTTTGCACCAAGAACCGTTTTGCCTCGGGAGAAGAAGAATTGCTAACGGAGAACTATAGGCAAACATGCGTGTCCCGGAAGACATCTGGCGCTGGTGGTGGTGAAGCTCTTTTTGCTGGAGTTTTTGGAGAGGTTTGAGTTTAAGGAGGTGGAGAGGCCGAAGGATTGGCAGCTGGGGTTTATGTTTAATGCGGTGCCGGATATGAAGACGAATGTTTGGATTCGGCCGAGGAGGGAGGAGGAGGTGGAAGTTGAGGCGTGATGTGGAATGGAATGGGATGGTGGAAGTAATCCGGGTGTATTGGGATGGAACAGTACAAAGCCTGCCTCAGAACCAGAAGGGGCCTGGTTGGTGTTGACAAAACGTCCAACGTGGCGATGAAGGAGTGGTCGCCGGAGTTACAAGAGACGCGCAAGCGGAAAGCAATTATACGAATTTATGATTGAGATGCGGTGCCAAGTCTATCCACCCAACCCAGTCTATCCCGATCTTTCTACATCACCACCGCACTACCCCCTATATCAATTTTCCTATCCAACTACACACAATCTACCTATACTCCGCCATAAACCCCTCATGAAACTTCGCCAACCCCTCCACCCACTCCGTCCCCGGCGCCAAAAACGTGGTCCTAAAATGCAGCGTCCCCTCCTTCTGCCCAAAGCCTGCACCAGGCACAACACACACCCCCGTCGCCTCGAGCATCTTCATCGCATAAAACGCATCCGGGGTCTTCCCATCCTTCTTCGCCGCCTCAATCGCCTTCTGCGATAAGGTGATGGTGGGGAAGAGGTACATCGATCCCTGTGGAGGACCGCACTCTACGCCCTCCATGGCCTGGAACGCCTTGTGCAGCGCTGTGGCGCGGGATTGCAGACCGGCGAAGATGCCGTCGCGCTCGGATTTGTAGAGGTCGTATGATGGTTCGCCCTCGTTGGGGGGGTTGACCATCAACTCCACGAGGCATTGGCCGATGACGGGCGCGCAGAGGGAGATGCTGACGAATTTGTAGATCTGCGCTACGACTTCTGGGTCGAAGCCGCAGAGCTCGAAGTATCCACCGCGGTGTCCGCATTCGCCTACGATGCCCTTGGACACGGAGTGCAAGCTGACCAGCTCGACGGTGTCGTATTTCCCGGGCGTCTTCTTCTGCATATCCCTCAGCACGGCTTTGAAGCTGTGGAACTTCCCGATGAAGACGTTGGTTTGGTAGACTTCGTCGGCGAGGATGACGAGGTGCTCGGAGGCGGCGAGGTCGATCACGGACTCGACGTCCTCATATGACAGTGATGCGCCGGTGGGGTTACCGGGGTTGATGATGGCGATGGCGCGGACGTCGGTTCCGGCTTCCTTGGCGGTCGTGAGGGCGGAGGTGATGCTCGAGGCGGAGGTGGACCAGGCGTTCGCTTCGTCGAGATAGTAGGGGACGCAGGTGGCGTCGAGGAGGGAGAGGGTTGCGGTGTAGAGAGGGTATTGGGGGATGGGGACTAGGACGCCGGTCTTTGGGCCGGCGCAGATGACGTGAAGGAGCGTGTTGACGCCGGAGGAGGCGCCGGCGCTGAGGTAGATGGAGGAGGGGTCTGCGGGGTGGCCGTCACGTTCTGGAGGGGGGGATGTTAGTTTGGGGTTCGGGTTGGAGGGGGGGTTATGGGCGACGTACTCTCGATGAACTTGGCGATGCTCTCTTTTATCCCCTGTGGGCCAGTGCTTGCACTGTACGCACCAACGCTGCCGACTTGCTCGAGCAGCCACTTTGCGCGCTCGATGACATCTTTCTTATATCCGAGCTGGTTCAGGAGGACGTCCTCCTTCTCCAGTAGCGGGGGGTACTCGAGGAGACTCAACACCTGGCGGAAGAAGGTGATGGGCTTCTGGTCGAGCTGTTGCGGGTTGCCGATGTTGGCCGAGATGACATTGTCGAAGGGGAGGTCTTTGCCTTTGCCGCTGGCGAGTTGGGCGCGGTATTCTTCCGACCTGACGGCGAGCTCACCGCGGACGGCGTATTCGGCCTTGCGGACGTGGGGGTTGACGTTGTCGATGTTGAGGCTTCGCAGCCGCGGGGAGGTGGACATTGTGCGGTAGGTAAGGGGTGAGGAGCGGAGGATAGGTTGTTTGGCTGTGCAACAGAACTGTTAGTTTGGACGGTCGAATAAGAGATGCGTGGTGAGAAGGAGTATATAGTTGTAGGCAAAAGGAAAAATATAGATATGAGTGTGCGAGTTGACAAACTCGGACCGCGGGGGTTATAATACCCCTCCTTGCAGATTATCTGCAAGGGCCGCCAGCTCAACCACTGCTCAACTGCTGATCTTGCTGGGATGCACAGAGCGGCACGCGCGCATATAAGGATAAGGAAAAAGCAAGATGAGGCTTACCAAGTAACACAGTCTCCAAGCCGAATCTAGTCAAAGCCGAAGTTGTAGAGGAGGAAGAGGAGGAGGATCGAGATAAAGTGGTGAAGCGGTTACAAGCACCAGACGCAGAGACCCTTGATAAGGCCATGATGGCGGGGTCGACGCTCTTAAGTACGGCCTTTCGCAGGCTGTACTCTTGGTTTCACAGGTGGAGTAGTGGCCGAATGGCAGTCGTTCTGTCGTCGGACAGAGGGGAGTAGTGGGGTGGAACGAGACGCGATCAAGCAGGTCGAGGGACGTAATAGGGCCCTGCAGGCCAGGCACAAGGCGCGGTACAGCGAGTCGGAGTGCGGAGATCTGGAGGCGGGCAGGATAGTAGTGGGGAGGGATGACGGGTGCGGAGGTGGAGGGCGAAGTCCGTAGCCTATGATCTTCGCTGGGTTGAGAGGGGAAAAGGAAAGATCCGGCTTCGGCCGGCGTTGGCGCTCCGAGTCAGACTCCTGGCCGAGGTTTTTGTTGGGAGATTGGAGGGCGGCGAGTGAGAGGATTGAATTTCGATGATGGTCGAGGGAAGGAGGAAGGGGAGGATATTGGGGAAATAAGGAATTAAAAGGGTGGGAGGTGGGAAAAATAAAATAAATAGAGTGAAATAAAAAAATAAGGGTTTTGGAGAGCGGGAGAGGGGGTCCATTGAGAAAGCGGCCGCCTCCACTCAAGCAATCGTACCGTGTCGCTGCCCCGCGTGTTGATGACGGCTGCTACCCTAACCCACAATCCCCAGAAATCGATATAATCGCGTTAAATTACACATTGCCGTCTGCTTATCAATATATATTGGATTGTCAGCTCAATTGAGGGAGATCGTGAGATTTGTAGAAATTATCGCGAAATATCACTAATCCTACGAACGAGACGCACACAAGTAAACCCTCACCGAGTGGTTTTCCTATCTTGAAATATACGCCCTACTGCGGTGTGCCTGTAGCGTGGTAACCTAGCCTGTATGGAGCTCCACTATCATTGAACGGTGAGCAAGGATATCTATGACTCCCGCAGAGCGATAAACGGGTCTATAATACCATATAGATGCGTCAGACTTGTAAACCGCGCGGGAACTATCGGAGTGGCTCCTATAACAACGGTCTCTATGGTTCCCATACTCTTGGCCCATCACACAACAACTGTGCTCTCAGACGAAGCCTTAACACGCAGCAAGTCACGATCCCACCCACACGATGCTTCAATCAATGATCAATGGTCTCTCTGACGTCCATTCATATCATACACTATTCACCATCTAACCCCCTACTCCCCCCCGTCTACCCCACTCATCTAAGCCCTCTCACTCCCCCTCAGCCTCACCGCCTGCCCATACTTCTGCAACTTCGTGATCAGCTGATCCCCCTGCTTGACCACATCATTATACTGCTTATTCTTATCATCCGGCCTATTCGTCTCGATCACCCCCTTCCCCGTCACGCGGTCGATCGTACAAGGGATACGATCCGCCGCGATGAACTTCGCCAGGTCACTATATCAAAGATCCGTTAGCACATCCACTCTCAAAAATAGCCCTAGTTAAAGCGGGGAGGTGGGGTTCTTACCGATCGAGGAAATCCACCGAGACGCCAAAGTCGTTAGCCATGCTCTCGAGCCCTACGACGCGATAGCTCTGCAGCAGCTGCTGGTACGCGCGCAGTCGCATCTCGCGCACGAACCACCCGCGGTGCTCGTACAGGTAGCGGTCCTGCGTGAGGAAGCTCTCCTCGACGGCCGCGAGCGCGCCGAAGAACGAGCGGTAGCTGCCCGTGTACAGGCTGCTGACCAGCTGCGCCAGCGGCGAGAAGTCAACCGGCGCCTCGGTCTCGGGGTGGTCGGCTGACCCGGAGCCGAGAGTCGTCAGGTTGACGGCTGTCTTGGCGTGCGAAGGCGCGTCGTGCATGTCGGCGTCGCTGTTGGATCCGGGGCCAGCGGAGAGAGCGCCGGAGAGCGCGGAGAGCTTGTCTTCGCCCTCGCCGAGGATGGCTTTGATTTCGGGGGCGTCAACGACCTTTGACTTGAAGTCGACGCGCTTGAGTGATACGGAGCCGGCGAGGACTGAGTATACAACGAGGTTGGAGTAGGAGCACAGCTCGTAGCTGGTGAAGGTGGAGAGACTGTCGAGGAGGAGAGGTGCGGCCTGGTTGTAGTCGCGCACGGTGAGGAGGTGCAGGCCTTCGTAGGCCTTTAGGCGGTTGCGGCGGTCCCAGTCACCTCCGCTCTCCACCAGGGTCGATGCTCGCTCGACTTGCTTCTTGACGAGGACCTTGTCGCCGTAGAAGAGTCCAAGGCGGATAATCGCGAGGACCAGGTCGATCTTTGTGCCCAACACGCCCGTCTTTTCGAAAACTGCCTCGTAGCCTGCAATTGCCTTGTCCTAGATGTAATAGTCAGCATCTTCTCGTACACCTTCCTGCCATAGATCATACCTTATCACCAACTCGTGCGTAGAACTCAGCCCTCTTCCCCCGAGCTGCCTGGATCTCTGTCTCGCCAGCCTGCTCCTCAGCATCCTCTTCCTCCTTCTGGAACTTCTCCAGCTCCTCATCGTTATCCTTCTTCAGCTTCTCATACAGAGCCTCGTCCCACGGTAGGTCAACCTGAGACACGGCGTTCTTGCTAGTCACCATTCCCACGCTCGGTTTCCGTCCCGCAGGCTTGGTCGATTGTGACGACGTGCTCTGGCCCGATCCATTTAAGACGCCCTCTGTAGGATGTGCGAGGTACTTGTACAGCGGCGCCATCTTGTGTTCGGAGATGGCATCTTGAAGGCTCTTGAGGGAAGCTTGCTGTACGGATTTTGGCGCGGCTGCGTTTGTGAGGGTGAAGATGTTCTGGGCGAGAGGGAGGAGGGGGTATTTCGCGTATTGCGGTTCGGAACCCATGGTGAAGTTCGAACCTGGAGGTGGAGAGTTGGGTCGGAGATGGTAGAGATTGGGGACGCGGTTCGATTGTGAGGTCGTGGGTGTGTTTGGTGATGCTGTAATCGCCTTTTGGGCCAGAAGCTCACAAGCTCACACCGCGAGGCAACACTAGCGCCGCGTATCCTGGGACGTGTGTGGAATGTTGACAGTTTTGTGGCCTTGGTTTCAAGGCTTCAATATAACAACTTACGGAGACAATGCAGCTTCAAAATTGCAGAAATAAGCGGTACATAACAGTAATTTCGAGCGTGGAAAGTGTTTATAGAAACTACTTATAATACCAGTGCTCTTAATTACTCTTAATCACTTAAGGCTGTTGATTATTACGTTACAGCCTCTCGCAGGTGAACTGTCCACACTTCCTTCAGCCGTGTTCCATATCCTAGCACGAGGCTACTCTAGCCTTAGGCTTAACGACAATTACTGAACCTTTGATCCTCAAACTGACAAGACAAATACAAATAATTTACAACTCACAATTTACAACTTACTTCTTACAATTCAATTCTTATACCAATACATCTAAAGATATCAGACCAATCTGAAGGCCAAAATGCCTTCAGATGCCGCTGTTGAGGTCTCTGAACCTCAACCGCAACCCTTCAATGCGAACAAGCTCGAACCCGCAAAACGAAGGAACAGAACAACCTCATCCGCAACCTCCACACCCACCCATGTGAACTCAGATCACCCTGAAGGTGAATCCAACCCCCACGACTCCAAATCCAAAGGCCCCTACGAACCCCAACCCGAGCCCTTCGACGCCACCAAGCTCGAGCCCGCACGCAAGCGCCGCCGCTCCTCCATCTCCCCTTCCCGCTCCACGCCCCGCCGCGAGGAGCGTCCCTCCTCCCCCAAACCCGCCGCTGACGCGCCCCCAGCGAACACCGGCGACGACGAAGAAGACCGCCCTCGCAAGAAACGCCCCACGGGCCGCGCACGCATCACCGACTCCGAGCGTGACGAGATCCGCCAGCGCCAGCAGCAGCGCGAGAAAGAGCAGCGCGACGCCGTCGCAGCACACAATGCGCGCGGTATCCACGATGCAGTGAGACAGCATTATAACGCCGTGCCTGAGCGTGGCCGCGACTGGCGCCGCACGGACAGCCGCATCAAGGGCCTGCGTAGCTTTAATAACTGGATTAAGAGCACGATTATCCAGAAGTTCTCGCCGAGTGAGGACTTCACGCCTGGTGGACAGCAGCCGGAGTATGGTGCGCCGCCAGTTAAAGGACTATTGGTGCTAGATATGGGGTGTGGCAAGGGAGGAGATCTGGGGAAGTGGCAGCAGGCGCCTCAGCGTGTGGATCTCTACGTCGGTCTCGACCCTGCCGATGTGTCTATTGGACAGGCACGGGAGCGCTACAGCCAGATGGCTAGCCGTGGCGGCGGTGGCAGAGGTGGCCGTGGTGGACGCGGCGGGTACAACAACCGCCCCCCACCCCGCCTATTCCACGGCGAATTCGCAGTGCAAGACTGCTTCGGGGAGTCCATTGAGAAGGTGCCCATCGTGCGGGAAGTCGGCTTCGATGCCTCGGGCGGCCCTTCCCGCTTCAGCGGCGGCCAGTTCGACGTCGTCAGCATGATGTTCGCGATGCACTACGCCTTTGAGTCCGAGCAAAAAGCTCGCATAATGCTGAAGAATGTGGCTGGCGCCCTCAAGAAGGGGGGGAGGTTCATTGGCTGTATCCCGGACTCTGATGTTCTGAGTGCGCGCGCAGTGGAGTTCAATGAGCGCCAGGCTGCAAAGAAGGCCGCGGCGCCGGCGCCGGCTGAAGGCGCAGAAGAGGGGAAACCCGCTACTGCTGTTGCTAATGGCGCTGCGCCAGCGGATCTGGACGAGGGCGAGATCGCCGAGACGGCCGAGTGGGGTAACGACATCTACCGCGTGCGTTTCGCGGGCCAAACACCCGCCGACGGCGTGTTTCGCCCTCCCTTTGGGTGGAAGTACAACTTCTTCCTGCACGAGGCCGTCGAGGAGGTGCCCGAGTACGTGGTTCCCTGGGAGGCGTTCCGTGCTATCGCTGAGGACTACAACCTCGAGATGCAGTATCACAAGTCTTTTGGGGAGATCTGGCGTTCGGAGAAGGACGATCCAGTGTTGGGCCCGTTGAGTGAGAGGATGGGTGTTCGGGGACGAGGGGGTGGAGGCTTGTTGGTGAGTGATGAGGAGATGGAGGCCGCGGAATTTTATGTGGCATTTTGCTTTTATAAGGTGTAGGTTGTAAGATTCTGCTTGGTGGGATTTGCATTGGTTGGTGGAAATGGATTCATAGCGTTGGCAACTCAAATCTGGGGCCATGCTTATACGATAGAGAAAAAAGCGCACTCATACTCTGAGAATCAGGCAGAAGGTAGCTTTTAAGGGGTGGTGGAATCCTTACACACGGCGTTTCGATACAGGAAGCATAGCATATGGGTGATTTTTGCGAACTCTAGTCACTGACCTGAAAATACAAAAACATTACGAAACTCCATCTCAGCCAAAGTGTAATGTGAATTGGCTATACGCCAGTCTCATAAAATATTACACGTCCACAAAAATAACAAACGCTGCCGTCAGTCATGCATCTATAATGGTATCAAGTCCCCCATCCGCCAGGCCCAAGCCCAAACGCCATCAAACCCATCCCAATCCCATCTTACATCTGCGTCCCCGCCACCTGCACCTCCTCATACCCATCAAACCCTTGATCCTTAGAATCCATATCCACATCCACCGCCTGCCCCTCCTCCTCTCCCTCACTCTCCCCCTCCGCCGCCGCCTCCGCAGCCTTCGCCCTCTTCACCTGCCTCTTCACCATCTCATCCTCATAAAACTCCCCCAACTCCAGCATAACATCACATCCCGAGCTCGGACACTTCAACTTCCTCACACCCGGCCCGCGATTCCGTCCCCTCGCCTGCGAATTTTCGTAAAATACCGTCGCGCCTCGTTCAAACATCTCTAACAACGCCGATTTCTCAAACGTATGCCGGCACACGCGGTTGCTATATGGGACCTCGAATAGCTTCAGCGTCAGAGGACACTTGAGACTGCTCACTGCACCCGCAAACACGAGGTCCTCGTCGCTCTCATCGCCATTGTTCGCCGCGCCGCGCGTAATACGGCCCTGTGCGCTCGCCTCGGTCGTCGATGGGAACCACGCCGATGATGGAGGCAGGGGTGGCGCGTTGGCACCATGGTGCGAGGCGTCGTGCACGTGCTTCTTGAAGGTCTGGTAGTCGTTGTTGTCAGCGTAGCGTGCTCGCATCGATTTCGCGGCGTACTGCGCTGCGGCCGCGGCTTGTGCTTCGGCGAGGAGCTCCGTCACACTGGGGGTATCTGCTCCGGCGTCGGCGTCGGCGTCGGCGTCAGGGACCTCGAAGTCTGGGTCGTCCGAATTGTCGTCGTCCGAGCCGTCTACTGCGCGGCGCCTCCTCGGGTTGCGACCCTGGTGAGGCCGCGGCGCTGTAGCTGCCTTCTCCGCAACGCCCCTGATCAGGCCTTCTTGTCTCTTTAACTCCTCGGAGTAATCGATCAGCTCCCTTGTCGCCAGTTCCGCCTCCTGCGTCAGCCTCTCCACCTCAGCCTCTAGCTTCGCGACCCGTTCCTCCATCGCGACCTCATCCTCCGTCTTCTCCATCTCCCCCTCCTCATCCTCCCGTTGCGATTCCCTCGCTTTCCTCCGCTCAACCTGCCGCTCAAGCTTCATCCTGGCCAGGCTCAGTGTGTCATTGCTCTCCACCGTCGCGTTTGAGAGCGTCGTGATCGCTGTGGCGAGGTGCTTGCGGTACTTCCCGTAATCGGTATCGTCGACGAGTGTGTTGAGTTGCTGCTTTGCTGAGAAGGTGAGGGGGTGGACTGGTGGTTCGTAGGGGGGTAGGGCTGAGCGGGATGCGGAGGAGGATGCTTGGGTGCGAGGTGCGGCGGGGGAGGACGCTGCTGCGTCTTGGTTTGTGCGCGAGACAAGGCGACGGCGTGAGGACATTGCGAGGAGGTGATGATGTGTAACGATAGAGTAGCTCTAGTTTAACCTCAAATTATAATGAAAACGTTGGTATACGTGAAGAAAACGAGGGTCTTGTTGGCTGTCATCGGTCCCTGGCGATCGTTTGGTGGCGGTCAGTTTCCCCAAGGTGGGAGACGCGACTTTGGAGTGGGACACGCGATAATTAATTAAGCTGCCACCTTGCTGACTCATCACAATTAAACTATCACAGATAACCTTCACAACTGCGCCTCTTGCGATCCTTGTCCAGCTCAGCCTTCAATGGGTTTTAAATAAAAGATAGGATATCTCATAGAGAATTAGACTACGGCATTTGACTTTAACACATTGAATGATAGCTTGCCTTGTCATAACACCTACCGTTTGTTGATTGCCAGAGATAACCCACGATGGATCCAATTTCCGCCATGGGCTGCGCGGCCAGTGTGATTCAATTCGTCGACTTTGGAAGGAAACTGGTCTCCGGAAGCCTTGAGATCTATCGCTCCGCTGATGGGATGTCAGCAGAGCATGTTTCAATAGGAGATATATCGAAAGGCCTTTCCGAGCTCATTATCCCACTCCGCGCAAGATCAGACACTCGCCTTGACAATGTGAGAAATGCCAACAAGAACCGCTCCAAAGAGAAGCTCAGCGTGGCGGAGAAAGAACTTAACCGGATTTGCAAAGATTGTGACGATATGGCCCAACAACTCTTACAAGAGTTGGACAAGATGAGACTTCATGGCGGGCAGAGGAAGTGGGGGAGTTTCAGACAAGCACTCGGCAACATGTGGAATCAGAGTCAGATTACTGCGCTTGAAAAAAAACTAGAACGCATCCGCAAGCAAGTCGACACAACCCTGTTAGTCTGTCTACGGTACGTCTAAGAAGCTATCCTCCTGGCCCGCTTATACTTAATGTAGATTATAGCGAGCGTGTAGATGCGTTATCGGACAATGGAGCCTCGCGCCTTAATGACGATATTATGCAGGTCTTAAAAGAAAATAGGCAGTGGGAGGCAGACTTATTAGATGAGATCTCTAAGAATAATTGGCACGCTGAAAACCCAAAGGATATGTCGACGTTCTCAGCACACTTGGATAGATCCGTCAACCAGGAGAGTAAGGCACAGTTCTGTCGCAAAGCTATAGCTTTTCTCAGATTTCCGAGTATGAGCGATCGCCATGAGAGGATATGCAAAAACCACCGAGCGACATTTGATTGGATCTTTAAGGATCCGAGCATAATAGATAAACCATGGGATGATTTTGTTAAGTGGCTATCGAGTGACAATAGCGATGCCATATACTGGATAACCGGAAAGGCTGGATCCGGAAAATCAACATTAATGAGATTTATTAGTGAAGATCCACGTACTACGAAGCATCTGAAGCTATGGGCAAAAGGGGATCCCTTGGTAATTGGAAGCTTCTTCTTCTGGAACTCTGGCACAGCAATGCAGATGTCGCGGATCGGGCTAATGCAATCACTCCTATATCAAATGCTACGGGGTCGCCCAGAACATATACTGAAGATTTTTCAGACACGGTGGGAAGCTTATGATTCACTGAGGGGAGGTTCCTATCCGTGGACATGGACCGAGCTAAAGCAGGCATTTCAACTTGTGCTCTTAGACAAGAGCTTGCGCTTTTTCTTCCTCATCGATGGCCTGGACGAATTTGATGGCCAACATCGCGAACTCGTAGACCTCATTATCAGCGCTAACAAGCTCTCAAATGTTAAGATATGCGTATCTAGTCGTCCTTGGCTTGTCTTTGAGGATGCCTTTGAAGGCCATCCCAGCCTCTTGTTAGAGCAGCTATCGTATTCGGATATCAAAATATACGTTTGTGACAAGTTCGATGAGAATAAGCGGTACGTTCAATTGAAAAGCCGAGAGGGTAGATACGCAGCGGATCTAGTTGAGAGTGTTGTCCAGAAGGCTTCTGGAGTGTTTCTTTGGGTTTATCTCGTGGTAGACTCACTGCTGGAAGGACTGGATAACGCCGACAGAGTTAGCGACTTGCAGAGGCGCCTGGAACTTATCCCATCGGATTTGGAAGAGCTGTTCGATAAGATGCTAAACAGTCTCGAACCATTTTATTTCAGTCACGCATGTCAGCTCATTCAGATTGTCAGAGCTTCCCAGAAACCTTTAACCCTCTTAGCCTTATCTTTTGCAGATGAAGATGGGCCTCTATCGGCTATACATGCTAAAATGGAACCTCTTAGTGAGGAGCAACGACTAGAGCGAGTTGAAATGATGAGGCGCCGGTTGAAGAGCCGGTGTAAGGGACTCATTGAAGCACCAGTTCGTCAGTCCAGAGCAGATTCATACGTTGAGTATATTCATAGGACAGCAAAAGACTTTCTTGAAACTCCCGATATCCGGGCCAAGATTCTACGGGGGACTGACAACCCCTTCGACCCTAATCGATCGTTATGCAACTCATATCTATTCCAACTTAAAACACTGTCGCTTACAGACATAAACAGCATATACTGTTGGTACCATCTTCCTTGGTGCTTAGAATATGCAATTCAAGCTGAGCTTTCTGGCGGAAAGGCGTTAATAACATATATTGACGAAGTAAGTCGAACATGCGAAGCGATTACTCTGCTATATACTGGACATGGTAACAAGCCCTGGGAGCCTTGGAGCAGCCATCTCTACGGGTCAATTCAGAACTTCATAGATCTCGCCGTCCGCTGCGGTCTTTACTCATATATGACTACCAAAGTTGATCGGCTGTCTCGAAAAGAACTGGCTTCTCTTCTCAAGACTTCCGCGGAAGCTAATGGTGTACTTTCCGAATTCGATAAGACCCAAGCCCTTTCTGAGAGACCCTTTCCAGACTTAGAGATGATCAGGTTACTTCTAGACTCTGGTGCTAGTCCAAGGCTCGCAGTTAACTGCGGTTTGAGGATGGATCAACTCGAAGGGTCTTTAAGAGATTTTATAAAATCATCGGCTAGTTCCCGGGTGGCGAGAACTAAGAGATGGTCTCGAAAAGTCGACGTTTTGTTTAAGGCGAAGAGAAAACCCCAGCTTGCAAGTTAGAAGTTTGGATAGATACTACGGTGGTTGTGAGAAGATCGGTTGCCATGGCTAATTTTCTTATAATTAACAGGCTACGAGTGCTACGTTTCGGGATGGCGTTGCTGGTTGAAATATATGCAGGTTTCATATTATTGAACTTTTCAAACAATGGCATCATTGGAGCAGGAATTTTGTGTTTTTCATATTCTTGTTTTGTAGAGGACAGAAATATATCTGAGATCTACGAATAATAAAGAATAAAACCATCGCTTGGGGGTTGGAGCACAGAATCGCTCCCACATCATAGTCTATAGCCTTCCCGCTCATTGACGGCCAGATTCCTTAGCATTGCATCCTCGGGAGCATTTGTATATAGTTCCTCGCTCGAATCAAACCAGCAATTTTTGAGAGTCCCCTAAGCTTAGCTTCCACTTTTAAATGTTGCTTAATTCGCTCATTAACTGTCAGATTCCCTTGGATAGCTTCTCTCCCCACAGTTGATGTTTGGGAGGGCCTATGCATACAATTCCTCGCCTGATCCGTTCATTGACTGCCAGCCCCCCTGAATTGCTTCTCATAGCAGGCTCAATGTTTATAAGAACCTACGCGTACATTTCCTCGCCCGGAGTCAATTTGACGCGTCTCTTCCGGTGATACCACGCTTCAGTACCACCCCGAAGCATCGCCTGCCACAGTCTCTGATCCTTGTTCTCATCGCTGCAAGTCTTTCCCCTGAACACACCATTGGGATTTGTCTCATTCGCGGCCCGCAGGAGCACAAGACACAGCGCATAGTGGTCGATCTCCACGAAGTTGGTTTTGTCAACGACGCCTGTTGCTGAGGTATAGCGCTCAGGGGCCTTGGAAATTCTCTGGGTGATTTGCTTCAAGGTTGGTGCTCTCTTACGCCTCATGCCGTCGACTGCTTTGTCCCATTGAAGGTCGATCCAGTCACAGACGAGTTCGTCGTAGGCAGGTTTGAAGGACTCGCTTGCCATCCATGCCTTTACGGCTGCTTTGTTGTCGAGCCCGAGAATATAGGCAAGGCGACCGTAACTCTGGTAATCATTGAATTTGACAGGATCGCGGAAGCCAAATGGCACCACATCTACCAAGACAGTTATCTCTGAGGCAGACATGGCGGCTTGGTCTTCTGCAATTGAAGGTGAAGCCATCTTGGATCGTAGGCGATGGACAAGGTCCAGGTCAAAGGGATTCTCACAGCAGAAATGTTAGACTGTATAATATGGTTAGCATATATGATCTAATAATATATTAATGTAATAATCAATATCACCTTGAAGAGCGAGCTGGGACCGTAAATTGTGAGGCGGTAGCAGGGAGAGATTGAAGACTTTGAGATCGAAAGGGTACCGGATTGAAAAGGCGAAGGTGAGTTTGTAGAACCGGTTGGAAATGCCGGAAGTGGATTTGAGAGCTGTATGACAGATATTGACAATTTTGAGGCCGTGAAGTTATGAGATCGAATTCTTCTTGGTTGGTGAGGTGGGAGCAAGGTTGTAAAGGCGTAATATCAAAAGCTTTGGAATTGAGAAGCGCGTGTTGATATTGCCGTGGCTGAAGTGGTCGGAAAGTCGGAGAAGGATCTGAATGCTGCTTGTCAAGGGATCGGGCAGTCTGAGGCTGTAGAAGTATGAGACCTGAAGCTTGAGGATTGAACCTGAAAAAGTTGAGAGAAGCTGAAGTGATCGAAATGCTGGAGACGGGTCTGATTGTTGTGAATTAAGAGATCAAACAATCAGAGACTGTAAGAGTATGAAAATAAGAACGTCGATCTTGAGAGGGTGGGAGGAAGTTTGTAGTCGCTGAAGTTTATAAATGATAATGGCGGATCGTATGTTGAGAGAGACCAACCAAGCAGTCAGAAGTTATAAGAATCAGCCTGGACACCTCAAGATTGAAAAAGTGTAAGTGAGGCTATAGGGGCTGAAATTTGGAAATTCCGCTGACTGATCTGAGTGTGCAATAGAGCGATCGAGCAGTCAGAGGCTGTAAGACAGAATATGAAATCGAACCCCCAAGATTGACAACGTTCGGGTGAGGTTATAGAAGCTGAAGCTCAGAAATGCCGATGATGGATTTGAGTGTTGTAAATAGAGCGATCGAGCAGTCAAGGTATAAGAAAGAGTATGAGATTGAATGCTTGAGATTGACGACGACGTTCGAGTATGGTTATCGTGGCTGGAATTTGAAAACGCCTACCGACGGATCTGAGATTTGTATATCACGAGATCGAGCAATCGGAGAGTGAAAAGCATACTCAGATTGACAATGTGCAAGCGAGATTGCAAGTGCAACAGTTGTGAAGATATCAAGAACGCATCAGAGTGCTGACAGAGTTGACCTTCAATGGGAGTTGATAAAGACAATGGCAACTGTGTGCGTGCTGACAGAGAAAGCCTTGGATGAAAGTCGATGAAGTAGAATGGTACATGCTTGCGGAAAATGAGAGTTCATCGAAACCAGCAGGAAGCAGTGTCCGCAGAGGTGTGGGGTGGCAGAGGTGACGTGCCAGTAATTGAAAAACATAGAATTGTGAAGCTCGAGGACCAGCGGCCTGAGGGGGTGGATTTGAAATCCGTAATAGCAAGCTGAAAGTTGATTTAAACCTCAAATAACAGCACCCGTGGTGGCACATGAGGTGGCAGAGGCGAGCTGCCCTCCGTTGTCCGGAGAAGAAAAATGGTATGGCATGGTGGAAAAGAGAGTTGATCGAAACCGATTGGAAGCAGAGCCCATGGTAACGCTAGGGATGGCAGGGGCAGCATGCCAAAAAATTGTCGTTTTGGAGTCTGAAAAGGCTTAATATCTCTAGTCCAGAGGCTAGAGGGGTTGGACAAAAATCCTAATAGTATTAGCTGGAAGTTGGTTTTGAAGTCTGAACCGGCAGGTCAGAGTAGACGGTCTTAGTCAAGTTTGTCGGTCTAGATTTTGATTCGAAGTTCTGAACGGGCACCTCAGAGTATTAGACAGTGTTGGTAGACGATTAGTGTTGATCTAACTCAATACGACAGAGCGCCCATGATGTATCGAGTAGCAGAGAGGCAACCTGCTAGGAACTTGTCGAAAGAAAGGGGGGGAAGGTCGGAAGTTGAAATTTGGTTAATACAGCCGGAACAGCGCCGAGCGTGAAGACGAAGCAGAGGTGACCTGCGAGGGTTGCCAATAAAAAATAAAACGTTGCAGACGTGAGGACTGCGGACAACTTGTCGTGATGGGTTGGTTGGCAGAGGTGACGAACCTGTTAGGAACTTGTCATGAGGGTGCTAGAGGTAAGTCAGTGGGAGCTTGTCATGTTGATGGCATTGCGAGGGTGACAGAAGGAAGGTCGATAGGAAGATATAATGGATATACACCTACCTACCAGCCATCAATGATGTAGGTAGGTAGGTGCACGTTAGTGTTTCTGGTTGTGTCCAAATTTGTCAAGATTGTTGTGCTATGAATTGTTGTGAAGTGGAAAGTTGTGAAGTTATGGAAATTTATTTGTTTATATATAGGAAAATTATATTAGGTGTCTCGCAAGGTACCGCGCTAGATAAAGGTATATGCAATAAAATAACAAACACCACTCTGTACTCGTGCCGCTAAAGGTTTGAACAAAGGCCGATATAAAAGCTTTCCTTCAGGGAACGGTCACCCACCAAACCCGATCATTACATACACCACCTCCCCTTCCAACAAACCTATCCCTTCAATTCCCAACCTTCGTCTCCTGCGTCTCCTCATCATCCCCAGAGTAGGCGTACTTGCTCCTGGCCCTGATCTCCGCTCCATAGAAGTAAAACAGGAACGGAATACCACAGCACGCAAGCGCCAAGAACGCAAGCAGCGAACTAGCCCACTGATACCCGAGGCGGGCATACATCTGGTTGGTGAAGAGCACCGTCGAGGCACCCCAGAAGGAACGAATACACGTCTTCGCGGCGAGCGCTGAGGCGGCCTGGTGCTGGTACGAGTCGACGATGTAGTTGTTGGCGGCGTTGTAGAGGAAGATGAAACCGAAGCCGACGGGGAAGCCGGCGAAGGCGGGTCCGGCCCAGGAGACGTGTGGGTAGGAGGTCCAGGCGAAGATGAAGAGACCGATCGGGACGAACCAGCAGGAGACCATCATGGGGATTAAGCGGGTCTCTGCGGGAGGCTTGCCGTTGTGCTTTTTGACCAAGGTCAGGTAGTGCTTGTTGACAAGTGGGGCGCAGGCGGCAGAGCAGAGGACGCCAACGGCGAGAGGGATGAACATTAAACCTGTCTTGCCGGCATCCCACCCCTTGCCTTGTTGGTAAACGACTGGGTAGGCGACGAAGAACATGTAAAGGAGACCGTAGAGAACGGACATGTAGACGGAGATGAGCAGGACGATAAGTTCGCCGAAGAGAAGCTGGAATGGTCGAATGAGGAAGTTGAGGAGGCGGTCAGAGAATGGGCGCATATCGAGATCTTGCTCGGTGACATATCTCTTTCCGGAAGATTTGGAGAGTTTCTCAGCACGGCGCTTGAGGATGGTTGGCGCGTATGTCTCGGGAACGGTGAAGGTGATCAGCACCCAAACAGTACCGGAAAGGATAAGCTGGATCCAGTAAAGCCAGCGCCAGCCCTTGGCGTCAGCCAAGTATCCTCCAACGAGGGGACCAATTGCGGGGCCGATGAAGGGAGCAGCCGAGAAGGCAGCCATAGGAACACCGCGCTCTTCGTTCTTCCAGCAATCAGCCAGGGTGCCTCCAACAAGAGTCATGGGAGCAGAAAAGGCGATGCCGTCGAGGGCTCTGAAGACCATGAGTGTTGCTATATTCTTTGAGACGGCGCATGGAATAATGAAGATCACGGCGACGAGGAGAGTCGAGCCGTATATGACACGACGGCCATAGATTTCCGAAAGAGGCGCGAATATCATAGGTCCAACACCGAAACCAATAACAAAGACGGTGATCGACAGGAGAGCGACCTCCTCAGAAACGTTGAATTCTTTTGCGAGCCCCTCGATATCAGCTGTGATAACGCTGGAATTGAAGGCTACCACGAAGCAGGTGAGAGCCACACACATCGTGCACCACCACTTCATCGCCTTGGACCAATTCTTTGGGTTGTCCTTGTCGTCTGGTGTGAAGGCGACGACGGAATATGGGGTGCCATCAGCGGAAACTCCAGTCTCTGTTACTCCATCCGGCTCGTCGTGGGTGTACTCGCGGAGGTTTGCATTTCGGCTCAATGTTCGATATGGCAAATTGATATCCAAATTCGGATCTCTGACTTCCTTTTTCGACTCGCGGGTTGCAGAACGGCCTAGTCCTGATTGCCGTGTGTTGGTGCGGTCGATAGATATAGGTTCGAATGTGGTGGAGGCATGTTGCCCTGGCATTACAATACCTTCTGCCGCCATGCTGCCTATTGAGTTTGGAAGCTTGGATAGGGGGACAGAAAGAAGCAAATATATGAGAGTAGATTATATGCTGTATTGGAATAATAGAAAAGACTTCAGGAGTGGGTTGGGTGGAACCTTATATACCCAAAGGGTGAAAATATCATAATGGTACGGAATTCTACTGTACCTGACACTTCGGACCTGAACCGCACTTGCTTCAGGGACAGTAAGATGCCTCATTGGCAAATATAAGTGGATATGAGAAATATCTAACAGAGATTGGTGAAGACATCGGTAAGACGGCAGCATGACCAGGCCTGGTTGTCCTTTAAAAGCGTCTAAAACCGGCATAGTGACGAAGAGAGACGCCCATTTATGGGCCCTCCGAAGCTCTAGTGCCACCGAAGAACGGGAGTGGCGATGGAAGTCACTTTCTGACATTACCGAATACTCCCGGCGCTCTACTATCCAATAGAAGATGGTATCTCGGCGGCAAGGCTACTGCTCATTCTCAGCCTCATGAAGCTTATATAAGTCTTCAACCTCGTCGTTGCCTTCGCCAGCTGCTCCAAACTGCGGCCAACGCCAACTTACAACATTTGGCAGTATACAAGTGAACAAAAACCCTTTAAAAACTCTGATATACAAAGCACTGCCGTATTTTTCCGTTTTTATGGTAATGCAGGTTTTGTGATCAAAACTCTGTAACATAGCTGGTCCAGCCCTTTCGTAAACTTGACGACAGACATTTGATCTGCCCAATCATTATCTCATATTCAGCATTAGCGCCGGCTCATAAATATTTTCGGAGCGGGTAGATTGTGGTCTGTGCTACTTGGGTCCCATAATTCTCGGTTCTGCTCCGGGCTACCGACGGGGTCAAATCTCGTGATATGTCCAGGCCTCCATCACGTGAATTGATGTCATACCTTTATGAACTTCAAAGATTGGTGCTGGTCTTATTGGTGTATAAGACCGGCGGCGTTGAGTACTTCATATTCACACGAATTTACGTGCGGTATAGGTATATTTTCTTAGTGTGGAAGTAGTACTTGTTATGCCACCATTTGATACTTTGGCCTCTCATAATGACAGGAGGGGTATACTTCTGCCACGCACAGTTTTGTATGACCTCAGAGGTATCTGTTAGGCCTGGGCCGAACCCATACTTTCTGACTATTCGAAGCTATAGCTTAATAATGGCCTCCATAGCTGTTGATAAGGGAAGCTCTGCTTCATCATTGCAGCCCTGCTCGACATGGACCCTGTCCGTTGAAGAGATTCGAGTGCAGTATATTCATTCTCCTTTTTATAATTATAGAATGTTAAAACCATCACCTCAGGCAAGGCGACGTGTTCAATATGGCTGACCAAAATATCGAGCGATTGATGAGCCGCATGTTCGGACATGGACGGCAAGAAACTTCCGAAGAAGAGAAGACAAGGCACGTTGGAGTGGTATTCAGGCACTTGACAGTCAAAGGCGTAGGGCTTGGGGCAAAGATACAACCTACAGTCGGCGATCTCTTTATGGCATTACCGCGAAAGATTGGAGCTGTTTTCAGCGGGAATAAGAAAGCCCATGGGGGACCGCCGATACGGACAATCATCAATGACTTTAGCGGTGTCATCAAGCCAGGGGAGATGGTCCTGGTGCTTGGTCGTCCAGGGAGTGGTTGCTCAACCTTTCTGAAAGTGCTTGGGAATCAAAGAGCTGGCTTCAAGAGCGTCGAAGGGGACGTGTGCTATGGAGGAGAGTCAGCAGCAACCATGGCCAAGGAGTTCAGAGGAGAAGTGCTATACAACCCCGAAGACGACCTCCACTATGCGACATTAAGCGTCAAGCGGACTCTAGAGTTTGCGCTCAGGACAAGGACACCAGGAAAAGAGTCGAGGATGGACGGCGAGAGCCGCGAACAATACATCAAAGTGTTCTTAAAGGCGCTCACACAGCTATTCTGGATCGAGCATACACTGAACACGTTCGTCGGCAGCGAGCACGTCCGTGGCGTATCGGGAGGAGAGAGGAAGCGTGTTAGCATTGCCGAAGCTATGATAACGAAGGCTTCGACACAGATGTGGGACAATTCTACAAGAGGCCTCGATGCGTCTACAGCATTGGAATATGTGAACAGCATCCGGACATTGACCACAATGGCCAAGATATCGACGGCTGTGGCCTTATATCAAGCTGGAGAAAGTTTATACAAAGCGTTCGACAAGGTATTATTAATCGACGAAGGTCGATGCTGCTATTATGGCCCAGCAGACGCCGCCGTCGAATATTTTGAAAACCTCGGGTTTGAGCGCCCCGAAAGATGGACAACAGCCGATTTCCTCACCTCCGTCACTGACAAGCACGAACGGCGGGTGAGAGAGGGATGGTACGATAGGATACCCAAAACCCCTGAACAGTTTGAGGCCGCTTTCCGCGGAAGCGAGATCGAGAAAGCAAATTGGCGCGAACTGGATGGATATCAAAGTCTTGTTGAGGAGCAGATTCGCAGGAGAGCCGAGGCGATGACGAAGAAGACTGCGAAGAAGAATTATACGCTCCCATTCTACCTACAAGTTTTGGCGTGCACAAACGAGCATTTCTTCGTTATGCTGGGTGATCGACAGACTTTGATTGGGAAATGGAGCGGTATCCTCTTCCAAGGTCTTATTGTTGGCTCGCTGTTCTTCAACATGCCGAAAACAACACAAGGTGTGTTTGAGAGAGGGGGTGTGATGTTTTTTATGCTGTTATTCAATGCTCTCCTTGCTTTGGCAGAATTGACTGCTGCGTTTCAAAGCAGGCCTATCATGATGAAGCACAAGGCCTTCTCGTTCTACCGTCCTGCGGCTTATGCCATTGCTCAAGTTGTTATTGATTTGCCTTTAGTTCTTATCCAGGTCTCTATATTTGATCTAGTGGTTTACTTTATGTCTAATCTCCAGCGCACACCAAGCCAATTTTTCATTTCTTTGTTAATTCTTTGGACCTTGACTCTGGCTATGTACTCCTTCTTCCGTGCCATCGGGGCCTGGGCTGGTTCTCTAGATGTTGCAACTCGGTTTACAGGACTTGCCATCCAAATATTTGTCACATATACGGGGTATCTTATTCCCCCGAAAAAAATGCGGCCCTGGCTGTCGTGGCTTCGATGGATCAACCCGGTTCAATACGGCTTTGAGGGCCTAATGTCCAACGAGTTTTACAACCTCGAAGTCCAATGTGTTCCTCCAGTGCTCGTTCCAACTGGCCCCGATGCGCGGCCTCAGTTCCAGTCATGTGCGCTCCAAGGGTCGGAGCCAGGGAAGACCTCTGTTTCTGGAAAGAATTATATCATGACGGGTTTCGACTATACCAGGTCACACCTTTGGCGAAATATCGGAATCATTATCGGCTTCTGGCTATTTTTCGTTGCTCTCGCGGCGCTGGGAATGGAGCGACAGAAACCTAATGCTGGTGGTGGTGCAGTTACAGTCTTCAAGCGCGGCGGAGCTCCAAAAGCTGTTGAGAAGGCCATCAAGGAGAAAGACGCCAATGGGACCGACGCTGAAGCTGGAAGAGAGAGCTCAGACGACAACAGGGATGAGAGACCTCAAAATTCCGGTGGAGGAATGAGGGAGGGAATAGCGAGGAACGAAACGGTCTTTACCTTCCAGAACGTTAACTTCACAATTCCTTACGAGAAAGGGGAGAGAAAGCTACTTCAAGGGGTTAATGGTTATGTAAGACCTGGCGAGCTAACAGCACTGATGGGCGCCAGTGGTGCAGGGAAGACAACTTTGCTCAACACGCTCGCGCAGAGAGAGGATGCTGGTGTTGTCACTGGTGATTTTCTAGTAGATGGGAGACCGCTTCCCCTGTCGTTCCAGCGTTCCACAGGCTTTGCTGAGCAGATGGATATCCATGAGCCTACAGCCACTGTTCGTGAAGCATTTCGGTTCTCGGCTCTGTTACGCCAACCAAAGGAGGTTCCGAAGAAAGAGAAATATGAATATGTCGAGAAGATTATTGACCTGCTGGAAATGCATGATCTAGCCGAGGCCATAATTGGAGAGATTGGACATGGGCTTAACCAAGAGCAACGGAAGAAAGTCACGATTGGAGTTGAGCTTGCCTCAAAGCCGGAATTACTACTTTTCTTGGATGAGCCGACGTCCGGACTGGATAGCCAGGCTGCGTTTAATATCGTGAGGTTTCTACGGAAGCTGGCTGATGCTGGGCAGGCAATCCTCTGCACCATCCATCAACCGTCTGCAGTCCTATTTGAGGAATTTGATGAACTCCTACTTCTCAAATCTGGAGGACGAGTTGTCTTCCATGGTACGCTGGGGAAAGATAGTAAGGATATGATTGAATATTTTGAAGAGAACGGCGCCAAGGAGTGCCCGAAGGATGAGAATCCGGCAGAGTACATGCTGGAGGTAATCGGCGCAGGTGATCCCAATTACGACGGGCCTGACTGGGCGGATATTTGGGAGAAATCAAAGGATGCCAAGGATAGGCAGGGTGAGATTCAGAGGCTGGTCCAAGACCGTCGACAGGCCACGGCAGGGCACGGAGGGGCCAGGAAGGATGACAGGGAGTATGCTATGCCATATAGCACGCAGATCTTGGCTGTGATTAAGAGATGCTTTATTGCCTACTGGCGAACCCCCCAATACTTCTTTGGGAAGCTGGTTCTTCATATAATTACTGGTATGCACCAACACACCCCAGTCCAACACTTTGCCATAAGCTAACACCACAACCCACAGGTCTCTTCAACACATTCACCTTCTGGAAACTAGGCAACTCAAGCATCGACATGCAATCCCGCCTCTTCACCATCTTCATGACCATGACCATCGCCCCGCCCCTAATCCAACAGCTCCAACCCCGCTACATCTCCTTCCGCGACGTCTTCAAATCCCGCGAATCCAAATCCAAGATCTACGCCTGGCCCGCCTTCACCCTCGGCGCCATCCTCCCCGAGCTCCCCACCTCCCTCTTCTGCGGCGGCATCTTTTTCTGCTGCTGGTACTTTGGTGTCGGACTCCCGCTCGGCTTCCCCGCTGGGTATGTCTTCATGATGATCTGCCTCTTCGAGATCTTCTACGTCGGCTTCGGACAGTTCATCGCTGCAATGGCACCAAACGCCATGTTCGCTTCCCTCCTCATTCCGTTCTTCTTCCTCTTCATCGTCGCCTTCTGCGGCGTCGTCGTCCCGTACCCGGCGCTGCCTAGCTTCTGGAGAAGCTGGATGTACTGGCTAACCCCCTTCCACTACTACCTCGAAGGCCAGCTCGGCGTTGTCACAAACAACATCCCCGTCGTCTGCGACGAATCCGAGTTCGCGCGCTTCCCTCCTCCACCCGGCATGAGCTGCGCGTCGTACACTGACGAATTCGTGGCGCGGATGGGCGGCTATGTGCAAGTTGGTGCGGGGGGCTTGTGCGAGTACTGCCAGTTTGCGAATGGGAACCAGTTCGCGAAGGGGTTTAATGTGTTTTATCGCCATCGCTGGCGTGATTTCGGACTCATGTGGGTGTATGATGGATTTAACTTCATTGTAGTGTTCTTTGCGACGTGGATGTTTTTGGGGGGGGCGATGAAGATTAAGAAGGCGTTGAGTCCGAAGGATAGGAGGATTGCGAGGGAGCAGAAGAGGGCGGCGGAGAGGTCGAGTGAGGGGTGAGGGGTGGGATGTTTTGTAATTTTATTGTAGTTTTATTGTAATTTTATATAGCTCCATCTGGATCGAAATATTTATATTGTTTAATAATCATAAGCTTATTCAATATACCCCGCAGACTTCAGACTTCAACGATGGGTTATTATGGTAGTAAGCGATATAAATTTGTCTACGCAGCTTCATTCGCATCAATAAACGCCGCATTATGCTCATTATGTATTATTAATATCCCATTCCACCTATTCACACACCCTCAAATCTTTTCAGAGCATTCAAGCTCTTACCTTCCTACTCTCCCGCCGCCTCACCCACACAAACCACCCCGAACTGGCAAACGCCAGCGCGATGCCTACCCAGCTATACATCGGCATCCTAAACTTCGCCAGCACCGGGATGAGAAACGCATACGCCGGGATAGTCAAGAAATTCGTCGTCAACGGACTCGTCGCCAGCACGAGCAGCACCGTAGCAGTGAACACGCAGAATGTGCCTAGCGAGCCGCACAGCATCATGAACCAGTGCCACGGCCGGTCGAGGAAGTAGATATTGCGCGCGATATTGGGCAGCTCGCCTGAGATCAGGACGAAGGGGAGGGAGACCATGATGGAGAGTAGCGAGACGTGGTGCAAGAGCGTGTATGTGGTGCGCGAGCTCGTAGGGTCACGAGCGCGCTCGGGCGACGGCGCAGAGAGGTTCTGGTAGGTTGAGTAGAGGAGGACGGGGAAGAGGGCGGCGCAGAAGGATGAGATGACACCGGCGAGCACGCTGTCCCAGGTTACGCGGATGTTAGAGCGGCAAGAGCCGACGAGGAGGTTCAGTGTTGCGGAGAGGGTGGCGGAGAGGAGGGGGATGGAGTGTCGGGTTCCTTTTAGGAGGGAGTCGGCGAGCGCGGTGAGGGGGACTATGCCGATGCGCGTGAGGACGTACATGGGGAGTTCGGAGTGGGCGTAGGAGATGGTGCTGAGGTGGATCTTGAGCACGTAGATGATTGCGAGGAGGATGGTTTTGCGTGCCACGGCGCGGTCGAATTCAAAGGGACCGCCGCCGGCAATGCCGGAGCCGGCTTTGGAGAAGATCTTGGAGATGAATCGGGGGAAGCGGCGAGGTGTGCGCTGCGTGTATGTTGTTGGGGGAGGCTTGGTGAGGGCGTACGAGGGCGCCACGAGAGCGGCCAGGCCAGCGTTGCTGAGGTACCGGCTAAAGAGCCTGGTGAAGCCAGCGAAGGCCCAGAGGAAGAAGTGGCAGCCGACGAGTTCGATAAATGTAGTCGTAAGCGGATACGGGAATTTGTAGACACCGGCTGGACATAATAGTTAGTTTACTTGATCCAGCAGGACGAGATCATACAGAGGGGAACATACTGAGCAGGACCAGCCAGTTGATCACCATGAGCCCTATGGCCGTCCCCATTAACCATAAACACATCAAGCTTATGTAGACACTCCATCCCCTCGTTGTAGCAAATAAATATATGCCCAAGCCACCCTGTGTCAAGAAGCCCTTCCAGCCGGTGGGCCGCTGCCGTTGCGACAAGAAGCCTCCCCCACCAGACAGGTCACCCAGGTCGTCTTCTCCCGAATCTGACCCCTCGTTGGATGTCCAGCCCGTGGATATATGTGGAGATGGCGTCCTCGATATGTTTATTAGGGGCAACGAGCTGGGAACCAGCTCTGGCTGGTTATAATGTGCCATCCTGTCGCTTTCGTCAGAGCTTCGACGCCCTCGCTCGATGTCTGTGCCGGGTGTAGTCCAGGAACGGGTTCCCTCTGGTAAGAGGTACTGTATAGCAGGTCGGAAGAGTGTTGAACTTATTGTATTGTGCGCCGAGAAGGTGGGCATGTGAAATTATATGTATTAGTACAGGATCATACCAAATAGGCAGAATTGAAGTTGAAGTTCATGATCGTCGTCACTTAAATTTCCCACTGTAGTCCCCTGAGCCCTTGTAAGTGGTTCGGTACCTAGGTACAAGCGCCGCGGAAACCTTAACGGTGCACGAGCCACATGCCGAGACCTATCTTTGAAAAGTGTCAACCGCCTCCTTCCCTTCGATCAAGCCAGAAAAACTACCTCGCATGGGATATCAGCGACGCCAATGGCTTCATTACTTACCCCGCTGCGGCGGGCTCTGCCCAAGTTAGGGAAAGACCTTTTCACCTGCCGCCAATGCCCCAAATCCGCTTCCATCCAAGCGCCGAAGCTCCGGACCAGCAAAGGCCTCTCCGCCTTCCAGCCCACGCGCTTCTATAACAGCTCTGCGCCGCTGCGCACAGCTGCTACGTTGCCAGGAACCCAGGCCACGTCTCTATCTTCTCTGAGCCAGACTATTGCGAATGCTCAGAAGGAAACGACGAAGAAATCCTTCTTCCCAGATACCAGCTCCCGCGGCGTGGCTTTCTGGCTTCTCGGCAGTGCAGCCAGTGTGTTCGGCATCGTCGTCTTTGGCGGGCTGACACGGCTCACGGAATCAGGGTACGCATCTCGTACTCTCTAGAAATGTGCTTAAGCTAACCTATATACGTCCAGACTGAGTATTACAGAATGGCGCCCGGTAACTGGCACGCTCCCTCCCCTCTCTGCCGCAGACTGGGACTCCGAGTTCAACAAGTACCGCGCCTCCCCCGAATTCAAGCTGCTCAACCCCACCATGACACTTGACGAGTTCAAATACATCTACTTCATGGAATGGACGCACCGCCTCTGGGGCCGCGTGATCGGCCTCTCCTTCGTCCTCCCCGCCATCTACTTCGTCGCCCGCCGCCGCGTCTCGGCCCCGCTCACCGCAGGCCTCGCGGGCATCTCGGCCATAATCGGAATCCAAGGCTTCATCGGTTGGTGGATGGTCAAGTCCGGGCTGAAGGACGACCTCTTCGCCCCCGGCTCCCACCCCCGCGTCTCCCAGTACCGTCTCGCCGCCCATCTCGGCACGGCATTCATCTGCTACGCTACCATGCTCTGGGGTGGTCTATCGGCTCTCCGCGACCGCGCTCTCCTCGCTGACGCCACTAGTGGGCACGCCTCGATCCTCGAGCGCTCTAACCCAGCCCTCCGCCACTTCCGCCGCTCCGTCGGTTTCATCGCCCTGCTCGTCTTCACTACGGCTGTCTCCGGCGCTCTCGTCGCCGGTCTTGACGCTGGACTCATTTACAACGAGTTCCCGACCATGGGTCCTGGACGCATCGCCCCACCTGCCTCTGAGCTCTTTAGCGACTTCTACTCTCGCCGCGAGGACAAGGCTGATCTCTGGTGGCGCAACATCCTCGAGAACCCTTCGACTGTGCAGCTTGACCACCGCATCCTCGCTACCACTACGCTGACCACCATCATCGCTCTGTGGGCATACTCTCGCTTCAACCCGCGCATCGCGGCGGCGATTCCCAGGAATGCCCGCAGGGGTATGGTGGGTGTCGTCCACTTCGCATTGGCCCAGGTGGCGCTCGGTATCACGACTCTGCTGTACCTGGTGCCGCTACCGCTGGCGTCTGCGCATCAGGCGTGCAGCATGGGATTGCTTACTATGACTCTCGTTCTCGGGAGCCGGCTGTGGGTCCCTAAGAGGAGTTTGAGACTCGTGCAAAGCAGCATGGCACAGGCTGCGCAGGGTGGTTCGAAAGTGAGGGTCCCTGCTGCCGCGAGGGGAACACCAACTGCTTAAGTTGTATATTGAGAGGGGTGGATATTGTAGTATAGAATAGTGTGACGATAGTGTTCAAATATCGGGAATTAGGGGGCAGATAGCATCACAGCGGCGTTTCACGCAGGAATAGTGTATCAGTAACGGGATCTCAACTCGACTAATAGACTCAATTTTTTTCCTCTCCTTAAAAGGCCTGTCTACATTTCTCGCATACATGCCGTCGTGCTTGTGCACAGTTGGCAGACGTATCCCCCATTTGAATGGTCACACGCAGTATCCTGTTTTATACGACGCTCACTCTGGTAACATGCATTTACTTGTGCGCTGTAAAAAGTTAGTGGTAGCCTCAAAATCACAGACGGGAATTACTCACCAATACCCTCCTCAGGCTGTGCCTCAATGCCCACAACCTCAGCGGCCAACTTGGCATGCCCCTTCTGCTCCTCCTTCATAAACGGAAACGCCAAAACCTCCTTAATACTGTAACGATCGGTCAAGAACATGACCAGGCGATCAATACCCATTCCCCATCCACCGGTAGGAGGCAGACCATACTCGAGACTCATACAGAAGTTCTCATCGACCATCTGTGCCTCATCATCACCCTGCTCCTTCTGCCTCGCCTGCTCCTCGAAGCGCAGACGCTGGTCAAACGGATCGTTCAACTCAGTGTAGGCGTTCACAATCTCCTTCTTACACACGAACGCCTCGAAGCGCTCGCAGAGTCCGGGGTTGGCGCGGTGCGACTTGGCGAGTGGGGACATCATCTGGGGGTGACCGGTGATGAAGGTGGGGTTGACGCAGGTCTCCTCGATGAAGTCACCGACCATTTTGTCGAGCATGCGCGCGTTGGTGAGCGGCGGCGAGCACTCGATGTTCATCCTCTTGAGGACGCCGCGGAGGAAGGTGTTGGTCTCATCGGTGTGCAGCTCGGGTCCGGGAGGGAACTTCTCGCCGGTGGCCTCCTCCAGGGCGGGGATCATCTCCACGCGGCGCCATGGGGCTTCCCAGTTGACCTCGTACTCCTCGCCGTGCTGGGTGTGGAACTTGGTGGTGTAGCCGCCGGTCAGCTCCTTGACGAGGCTGGAGACGAGCTCCTCAGTCATGTTCATGAGGTCGTATACGTCAGCGTAGGCCATGTAGAACTCAGCGGTGGTGAACTCGGGGTTGTGGGTGAGATCGATGCCCTCGTTACGGAACTGCTTGCCGATCTCGTAGACACGGTCGAGGCCACCGACGACAAGCATCTTCAGGTAGAGCTCAGGGGCGATACGCATGAACATGTTCATGTTCAGGTCGTTGTGGTGAGTGGTGAAGGGCTTAGCAGTGGCACCTCCAGCAATGGCGTTAAGCATGGGCGTCTCGACCTCGGTGAAGTCCTTGTTGTCCAGGTACTTGCGGATATATGTGACGACCTTGGAGCGGGTGAGGAAAACATTCCTGGTGGGCTCGTTCATGATCAGATCGAGATATCTCTTGCGGTGGCGCTGCTCCTGATCCTTGAATCCGTAGTACTCATCTGGTAACTGGTGCAGACATGGGGTTAACAGCTTAACCTCTGTCGCAAAGATCGACAACTCTCCCTCCTCTCCCTTCTCAATCTTGTTCTTTGGTGCCGTGCGGCCTGGGTATCCGACAATGCCAATAATATCTCCACGGCGGAGGTGCTCATGCTGGTTTTCGAACGGCGGGGCGCCCTCTGCAGACTCTTGCAGCTGGCACATCACCTGCAGCTTAACACCCTGGGATCGGACATCGTAGAAGACGAGCTTGGTTCCAGACGCACGCTTGTTGTAGATACGGGCACCCATGCGGACCTCCACCTCCTTGCGCTGCTCACCCGACTTGAGGTTCTCATGCGCCTTGACAAAGTCGCGGATATCAGTGTTCACCTCGAACTTATGCGGGTATGGGCTCGGGTCTTGCGAAGTGCGCAGCTTGTTGATGGCGCGCGAGCGAATTTCGAAGTATTGCTGTTATACCCCGCTATTAGCCTCGTCATCGAGGGGTCGATGTACAGGGGCGTGAGACTTACGTTGGGGTTCAATTCCTTCTCATCGGCCTCGGCATTGCTCTTCTTCTCCTTCACTGGCTTAGGGGGAGCGGCGGCCTCCTTCTTCTTCTTCTCCTCCTCCTTTTGGCGCTGCTTTTGGCGCTTCTTGAGCTCAGACTTGGACACCTTCTCGCCGGTGACCTCGTCCAAGTGCAGGTTCGCGACTTGCTCCTCGATGGGAGCTGCTGCGTCAGCCATGATTGCGTGCTATCCTCTGTTTGTTGGAATAGTGGAGCGCAGAGCTGTCAAATTGTTGTGGGGGTTATTTGTGATTTTTCAAAGTTGTCGATTTTGATAGATTTATGAGATGGTGGGGCAAGTGAGTCAAAAATGTACCGAGCGATTTGTGTGTCAACTCTAAATTAACGGATTCAGTAAGATAACGGTCAGAGACAACGGAGTATGATATTTTCCGTCCCGATAATCATAAATTGAAACTGTACCTATCAACACGTGCCATCGCGTTCCGACGCGTCTCAACACCACTTCCCAAACTTCCCCACCATCCATCCCACTTCACCAAACCCCGTCAACCAACAACTCTCACCAACTCCCTACCAAGTCCTCAGCCCAATCCCAAATCTCTCCCCAGAATTCACAACAATGGCCGAATCTCTCTCCACCCCCCGCATAAACTCTACCTACCTCGACTCCTTCACCAACCGGACTGTCCGCATAACGGGGAAGGTTATCCAGCTGCGCGGTGAAGAGGCAACACTCGATTCCAACGGACACATTACCGCGCATTTGAACCGAGTACTTCCTCCCTCCACCTTCTGCCTGGGATCGTCACTAACTCCACCCAGGATGCGCATCTCACGGTCGGCAATGCCGTCGAGATTGTTGGGAAGGTGAACCAAGACCTGTCTATCAAGGTCCTGCAAGCCACGGATATGGGCGCCGATTTCAGTGAGACTTTCTCTTTCCTCTCTCCATCCCCCGCCTCCCCAAGAGCTCTTATGCACACCCCCCAGAACAGCGCTAACGAATCACAGACTATGCAGCGGAAGCCGCCGTCGTAGATGCAACACACCGGTACAAGGATATCTTCTATGCAGAGTCGTGACTCTATTTCGAGAGCGTATTTGCCGGGTTAAGTGTACAAGGAGAGAAAAAGGAAGTAAGGATGGATGAGGGCGGGCGGTGGAGGGTGGTTATGGGGAAGTAGTAGTAGAGATGTGAGAAGTCTAGGGGATTGACGAGAACAAATATGACATGAGATGAGGGGCTGGGCTGGTCGATAAGATGCGCCTACTCACTACGATACAATTACAAATACCAACTAAAATAAAATATGTGCATATTCCCTAGGATACACATCGTCCTTGCATCATGCGCAACTTACTCAAATTTAGCCAGCAACCCTTTCAAAGCCTCCTCCGTATCATATTTCTCTAGAAGCTCCTTTTTCAGTGCCTGAACTTCATCTTTCTTCTCTGCCCTAACGCCCTCCAGCATCCCCGCTGCCGGCCCAATGAGCTGCGCATCACATAAGTCCATAGCCACCGCCATAAGCAACACACTATCCGCCAGCCCCGCCATCTTCCCATCCGCATGCAGTCCATTCATCACCATCAGCGCCTTCTCAAAATCCGCGTCGCCCGGCGTGATAATCACTCTGAGCTCCGTCTGTTCCGGGCCGACTTGGTACTTGTGGTACACCCCCGGCTCAACACTGGACGTTTTGCCGATCTCCAGAGGCGTGACTGAGGCTTCCAAGACCTCGAGGTCGGGGGTCGTGCTGCTGTAGACGGAGATGGAGCCGCTGAGGAGATCGAAGGTCTCGGCGAAGCGGGTGTGGAAGTGAGGTGGGACGGTGGTACCGGGCGTCATGTGTTCAATGAAGATAGTGCGAGCTCCACCGTTTTGGGTGGTTGATTCTTCGAGATGGAAGTGGCGCTCGTCCCAGCGGCGTTCGGCGGACATGGTGGTATTAGGGATAGTCGAGATGGAATTTAATAACTGAAGCGAGAGGTGTTCCTTGACGGCGTTTTAAAGCTCTTCAATACCCTACCAAAGGAATAAAGAAAGTATAATAGAGGATCTATATAGCAATACCCGAGGATGAACAAATATATATACAGACGATACAGTAAGCTGAGTGCGGGGTCGGCAAGTTCGACGTCGAATTATGAATAAACCCTGCTCTCACTGCATACTGAACACGTGCACATGCCACACAGAGCACCGCTACAAGTATAGAGCTCGTGTTGATTAGAATTCCATGCCTACTTACTATTTACTGAGTTCTCGTGCCCTACTTACCCTTACTTTGCGCTTGAGGCGGTGAGGGGATTGGCGAAGCAAGGGGCGGTATGGGCTAGAGGCGGCAAGGGGCATGGGGGCACTGGGCTTCAAATCCACGCCATGCTTATTGACACGACTGAGACCGGTAGCGTGCAGTGATTCCAAATGTGGGCAAGATCTTAATAAAATAATTTATTACTCGCCATCATTCACCCCAAGGCGGCGAGGCATGCGGCAGCAAACGAGTTGGAATCCACGCGCTGTCCATTGGCGCGGTTGAGACTGTCATCCAAGTGCATCAAAGAAGGCAAGGGGCTTAGTTTAGAATACGGCACGACTGAGATCTCCATGTGATACGGAAGGGTTGCGAAATGTGCAGTTCCTTATATAAGGGAGGATTTGTCTGTTCAGTTTATAATCCACCCATATCTACAAAGACAAAATCCAGTGAAGCTTTAATCAAACCCAATATGACGTTTCCTGTCGCCCTCCTCAGCATGGCCTTTAGCATCATCTTCGTTAAAGCCACTACCATCCCTAGGCCAGGCATAGGCTTACGAAATTTAGACTGTACCCCAGGCGAATATATATGCGCTCAGAAGGGTTACAGCACTAGGTGTGGTAATTATCCTGGCATTGTACGTATTTCAACGCCCAGCTCTTCGCTATTAGTCACAGACAATAACAGTACACTGTAGGTTATCTGTGACGCTTTAGGCAGCTTCTTCCAAACTGTGGCATGCTGCGGAGATGGGGGGTGCCAAGATATCGATGGGGCACCATACTGCATATAAAGTATGTATTGTAACCATTTGCTTGAAAAGGATAAAATACAGACATGTATCTGACATCAAGGGGATAGAAAGGCATATCGAGCTATAAAATTACCACTTGGCAGTTAGAACAGAGGCTTTACGAGACAGGCACAGTGTGCGGCAGATAGTTACAATAGCAGATTTAATTGAATTATCTACCACTCCAACGAGCGCCTAAAATCCCAGTGCTATCCGTGCTTCTGTCAGGTGTCCACGCCGCATGTCTAAATTCTCAACCGGAACAGAAATATTTCAAATTTTAGAAGGGTCTCCCGTTCTTGAAACCCCTTGGGACGGCAAGGGGCATGAGACAGCAAGTAAGGATGCCAAATATGAGCCAGAGCATATAAAATGGAGGGTTTGTCTCCCCCTTCTCTCCGAAATCCAACACTTACCTACAAAAGCAAAAGCAAAAGCTCATTAATTTTTCGCCAGACTAGTATGAAGTTTCCCCTCGCCGTCAGCGTGGCAATTGGTGCCACCCTCGCCCAAGCTGCCGCCGTCCCCACAGGCTTACTAGGGGAACGCTGTACTCCAGGTACATATTACTGCAATCAGAGCCCTGTTTTTGAGTGTGGTACTTATTATGGCGCAATTGCATGTATTTTAACACACAGCTCTCTGCTGTTAATCGTACTAGATTATACTGCTAATCATGTGCCACAGGTTATTTGTGACGATACAGGCTACAACTATACCCCCATAGCATGCTGCGACCAAAAAAGGGGGTGCAGGGTTGTCAATGGCGAGCCGCACTGCATGTAAAGTGCGTATCCCAACCTTTGCTCAAAAGGATTAAATACAGATATCTAATATTAAGGGAATAGAATGGCGTATCAAATTATTTGGATATTCCGGGAATACATAGACCCAGGACTGATTTGCATGAGGCACTCGAACTGACTACGAGGTTCTCACATAGTAGTTTCAGCAGCTTCACAATCGGCACGGTTTATGGCACGTAGTTATAACGGTAGATTCAATTAAACTATCTACCTATCCGCTAGGTGCTTAAATCCCAGTGAGGGCTAATCGGGCTTTAGTCGGCCATCAAAGAGCTTCCCATGTACCATGCCTATATACCCAATAGATACAGAAGGGCCTCGCATAAGAATAGACCCACCATTTAGATCATGGTCTAACTGAGTGGTATGTAAGGCGGCAAGGGGTTAGAATCTACGCCACCCCCATCAGAATTACCACCCTTCTATGATCACCCAACATGTAGGCGGCAAGTAAGGACTCTGAAATATATGTCAGAGCAAAATAAGATATATGGCTCGTCTACCCGATCTTCTAAAATTCAACACTTAAACCCACATCGCCCGCAAAAGCAAAATAGCCAGTATAACCTCCCATCGAAACCAACATGACGTTCTCCCTCACCCTCGTCAGTCTATCTTTAAATGCTGTCCTCGTCCAATCAGTCTCCATCCCCAATAGCTTGCTACCCAGGTCCTGCTCCCCAGGCGGCTATGGCTGTACTTCAGGGTTTGGGTGGTGTGCTCGATATCAAGATTCAATTGTACTTATTTTCACACACGTCTCCCCTCTATTGATTATGCTAGGTTATGCTTCTAATAATATCTATAGGTTGTCTGCGATGCTTCGGGCTTAATTTCCACCTTGTGGCATGCTGCGGATCTGGGGGATGCGGTATCGTTAACGGCGCTCCACACTGCTTGTAGAGAGGTATGGTATATTCCAATTAAACGACAAATGAGTATCCTAACATTAAGCTGACTGAAAATTATACATACGATTTGGAATATGGGTATCAAGTTGTTGGGCTATTCAGGAATTCGGATCGAGACCTATAGCTCATTTGTATGGGATGCCTTGGTGACAACAGTTCTCACTTAGCAGTTAGAGCATAGATATTTCAATCAATTAAATTAACTGCCCAAAGCCCCAGTGCTGATCCTTCTTCCATTAGCTGCTTGCTGTCACTTGTCAAACTGTCCGTCTAATAGCACTGGGGCTACCAAATCGAGAGGATTGATGGTGCCGCGGAGATTCCTCATCCCAGGCTAATGCAGAATCCCACGCAACAAGGTTGAATCCTACACGGCGCCCAGACTCATGATACGTATAAAAGAATGCAATATATATGTAGAAGTATTCAAAGGGATTTTAAGATGGCAGTATTAAAGAATTTCACTTCGTATTGGGGGGTTTCTAAGTAGTATCCTCGGATTCTAATATTTTCACAAATAAAACCCCTTATAAAAAAGCAAGGACATCTACTATCCCATTCTACATATATATATATTGAAAACGAACACTTAACTACGAGGTTAAAACCACCACCCTCACCAATCCAACGTGAAGTTTCTTTTCGCCCTCCTCAACGTGGCCCTTAGCAGCACTCTCGTCCACGCCCTCACAGCAACCCCTCGCGATGGGGACTGCACACCGAGCGACTACTACTGCGCCAAAGACATTCTGCAGTGATGTGGCGCTGGTCTAGCAGTTTTACGTGTATTATTTTCAAGCGCAGTCCTCCGCTGTCGACTGAGTATGCTACAAAACAGTTGTCCACGTACTGATCGTGTTCTATAAACTGTCTGCGATGCCCGGCAACAAATGCACGTCACGGCTTGTTGTGGAACGGGCAATTGCCAGTGGATCAATGGAGCGGGGTACTGCGCATGAGGGGGGGTAGGGACATGAGAGTGGCTGAATAGAAGGATAGGACGAAGGGTTGATACTTTATTCTTAGTAAAGTCTCAGATGGTGCGGAGAGAGTATACTAAGTTCAATCGCTACCCATAGCCAAGCCACTCAATAATACCTACAGCGTAATACAAACCACTCCTACAGGGACACCCACTCAAACAACCTGCCCATCACCTCCTCCCACCCCCCATCCTCAGCTTTAGTCGCTTAAGATCCTTCGCATCCGAGGCTAATGTAGGAGAATCCTACGCCGTAAGGCTGAATCCCAATTGGTACCAAAGGATGTAATATACATACAAATCTATAGAATGGATATGGGAGGGTGGTATTGAAGGATTCTGTGTGGTATTGAAGGATTTCAGATTAGTATCGACGGATTCCAATATTCGCTCAAAACTCCGATATAAACGGACGGCTTCCTCGCCCCATATTCTCAAACTCCACAACCTATCTACGAAGCAAAACTATTACCCCATCATCAGCCAACACGTCATCCCTCACCATGAAATTCTCCTTCACCCTCCTCTGCCTGTCCTCCACCACTCTCCTCGTTGACGCCCTTACAACCCGCTTTCCATACTGCATCCGAGGTCTATATTACTGCGCTAACAACCGCTCCGACTGGTGCGGTGGTGGTCCTGCAATTGTATGTATCAATAGAAAACTCTCTGGTGTCACTCGAGCTTACTATAGTCGCGGCTCAACGTGCTGATTCGGTGTTATAGGCTATATGTGTTGACGGCAACGACGAGTATAAGCTTGTAGCATGCTGTGGGACTGGCGGCTGCAAGTATATCGGTGATGATAATGTGCCGTACTGCGTGTGATAAGGGATATGGGGAACAGGATGTAGTAGAAAGAAATGAATAGGCAAGGTGCAAATGACTGCCATATAGTTTGTAGTGAAGCTTGAAGATCACAGAAATAGTGCACGCGGTTATGAACATTGCTTCTCGAAGTGTTCGATTCACCTTCAAACCTGTGTGAGTGACATGCATGGACAGGCCAGGAATGGAAATGGATTGGCATAAAATGTGGTGGACTAAGGCCTCTTTATCAAAGGGTATGCTAGAACTAGACCGATAACCACCTAAAAAACACTTCGGGGAGCAATGTGCATTACCGCGAGCACTGCGTTGCTTAGATTCTACTAAGGTCAGGACGTTTCGGGTGTAGCAGAACAAGTAAGAAGCTCGCAATTTGATTACCTCACATATTGATTTGATACCCGATGCTAATAATATGGGTGTTCAGAATCGTTGAATACAGACCTGCTGTAATGGAAATGAATGAGCATCGGACACATTTCAATCTATATCACTCCTCTTAAAATTTGAATTATAGCACCCTATTTTGGAAGGATAGTATTCGTTTTACAAGTAACTCGACACTTTTCCCCTGATCTCTTCCGTTTATGTATCCTGCCGACCATGGCCCAGGACGACTATTGAAAGTAATACAGTTTCTCAAGCCTCAGTTTCTGTTAAATACTTTAGTCTACTACGTTTCTTAATTAACGCGCCTATTCGACAATCTTAAAAAAGAAATCAGGCAGCTATACACATGCCCTGAAAATAACATCGAAATTGCCGAAATCTCAACGTGTAGAAAATACAGGGGTATCGGAAGGTCTAAGATGTAAAAAACATGGGTCGAGATCGAGATTAATCTATAAATATAATTACTAATCCATTTGGGCCTTTATTTAGCCTAATGGTACTACGCGTGACACTACTAGGAAAGAAGCTGCGGAGTATCGGAGCACCATAATCAACCCCCGCTATGCTTTTTTTATAAAGACGTACCGAGATGTTCTTTTCGTTTCATCTGCCACAGATTCAACTTATCTTGCGTTTTCCTTCGATTTACTACTTACGTCCCTTGTCTTGACTAAAGTTAACCGGCTATGGCGCCCATCAAAGTCGGAATCGTGGGCTACGGTTTTGCAGCCAAGAACTTCCATATCCCTTTCATTTCCGCCATTCCTGACTACGAAATAATCGCTATTTTGCAGAGAGCGGAGGCCCCAGCCAATCCTGAGTTATCTCCTAAGGGTTCCCATTGCACTGTCGATTTTCCAGGAATCAAGCACTATAGATCTGCAGACGACTTCTTCGCCGATTCAGAAATCGCTTTTGTCGTAGTAGCTACGCAGACTGATACGCATGCCTTGTTTGGGGAGATGGCGCTGACGGCCGGAAAGCACGGTACAGCGACTACATTTAACCCGCATGCGATGAGCTAATGTAACCACCAGTCATAATTGATAAGCCTTTTGCAGAGTCAGCCGAGGAAGCAGACAAGATCATAGCCCTTGCTGAGAAGAAATCATTACTTCTTACCTGCTATCAAAACAGAAGATGGGTATGATTAAGTCTTCTCCGCATTTGTTTTTAGAGACTCACTTATTTTTGATTAGGATGGTGGCTTTCAAACGTTGCGGAAGCTTATTAAAGAAGACGCATTAGGGGATATCAAGGAAGCAGAGATTCACTACGACTTCGAGTCGCCATCATGGATTTCTCAATTCCCTGCGAAGTATACGCCTGGAGCTGGGATGGCGTATGGGCTAGGTGAGTGAGATTGCAGCGCCTTTAAATTAGCGTTTCGCTATGAAGATGGTCTTGACAAACGTATTTGTAGGAACGCACAGCATTGATCAGGCATTGGTCTTATTTGGCCTGCCCAAATCAGTCACAGGTTTCTTCCGCGTCCAGCGCGGCATGGAGAGCGAAGTAGAGGACTCCTTCACCATAGTCATGCAGTACGACGGACCACAGAAGGAGCTACTTGTAACAGTGAAGACATCTGTGGTAACACCAATGGCGCAGCAGCTTAAATTTCTCGTGCGCGGCACTAAAGGCTCCTTTATTAAGTTTCAGAATCGGAGTACGTGCCCACAAGAAGAGCAGATTGCTCTGGGAGCAAAACCTCTCGACGAAGGTTTTGGTTCCGAGCCAGAGCAATTCCAAGGCATTCTCACGACATATGACAGTTTCGATAGTCAGGTCCAGACACTTGACAAGGAGACAAACAAGTATACTGGTAGGTATCCTACGATTACAGGTCGATGGCTAGGAATATACGAGAATGTTGCAGATGCCATCAATGGAAAGGGCGATTTAGAAGTCAAGCCAAAGCAATCGAGAGATGTGCTGCGTATTATTGAGCTTGCAAGGGAGTCACACAACAAGGGTGTTGCAGTGCCATGGGCATGAACGTTTTCACGGCCTGTTGGAATTCTTGGGAGTTATTTTGAGAATGAAGCCAATCCGCAATCACCACCTTTACTAATTTGCCCAGTCAATGCCTGCATACTTGAACTAGTAAAAGTACTAGACCCGTCGAAATATATGGAGATTCATACCTACAAGTAATTTCATCTTTCCGTCCAAGCTTAAGCTGTGATATGACATCTTCCACATCGAGTTGCCTTTTCTGCCATACTGACGATTGCCGTGACAAGTTGATGAGAAAGATGCCAAGGAATAGGAGAGGAATCGGCAACGGATAATATATGTGGTTGTTCGAAATCTTGGGAGTGGAGGCTTAATCTTGAAGTGGTCTCAACCTGATGGCTTGAGGGTCTAAGGCAGCCGCCCGCGGCCCTGCCATAGCTGCCATACTCACCCCTACTATTTGGGGTGGGAAACCTCATTCTTGCTCCAGAGACTCTCCTAAAGCTCGAAACCTCTGATGATCATGACTCACACCGAGCGCAGAATATCGGGACTTAACTTGAATGAATCACAACAAGCCCTGAGGTGCGGGGTATTGGCCATGGACGAACCCCGCACGTAGCCCACAGGCGCTAGAACGGGGAATATGGAGCATAATCCCCGATGAGTACTGCCAGCTCAACTTCCAACTTCGACACTCCCCACCGGGTACGGCGGATAAATTGACAGCGAGGCTGAATAAAATAAGACTCCTTCTCGCTTTAATACTTCGACTCTGTTTATGTGTGTGTTCTCACAACCCATCTATTTTCCATATTTCAATTATTTCAATACTACATGCCACAATGACTTCCGTCCCAACCATTCGCTGGGGGATAATTGGTACGGGCTGGATCTCAACTGAGGTTGTCAAGGACTTGATTCTCGAACGCCCCGACGCAAAAGCTGTGCATGTAATCCAAGCCATTGGCTGCTCTTCCCTTTCCAAAGGCCAAGCGTTTGCTAAGTCCACGATTCCGCATCTATCGCCTACAGTCTATGGCTCTTATGCCGAGTGTTACGCTGATCCAAAAGTCGACCTCATTTATATCGGAACTCCTCACGCATTCCATAAGGATAATTGTCTCGAAGCCATCCAACATGGGAAGCATATCTTATGCGAGAAGGCTTTCACGTTGAACGCACGAGAGGCACGCGAGGTATTTGCTGCGGCAAAGGCCAAAGGCGTCTTTATTATGGAGGCTATGTGGACGCGTTTCTTTCCGCTTATGCAGACCTTACAACGGCTGCTGCATGATGAGAAGATCATTGGTGATATTCTACGGGTATTTGCGGACTTTGGCCTCAACATGGATGTCAAATCTTTAGGGCCCGAATCCCGTTTGAAGAACAAAGCGCTGGGGGCTGGGTCTTTGCTCGATGTTGGTATTTATAGCTTAACATGGGGACTGCTATGCTTGGATCGAAATATTGCGGACAAGGCGGAGAAGCCAAAGGTCGTGTCCCTACTGAGTCTCGAAGAGGGTGTTGATATGACTTCATCATTTCTACTGTTGTACCCTTCGACAGGGAGGCAAGGAATCCTCACTTCCACCATGAGTGTAAAGTCCGATGAAACATTCGCACGAATTGAAGGCAGCAAAGGAACCATCTTTGTTGAGGGCCCCGGAACTTCAATCCCATCGAGGTTTAAGTACGTCCCAAATAATAAAGATGAAAAGGAGAAGGTATTTGAGTTTGAGAAGCCGGGCGCGGGATATTATTACGAGGCGGATGCTGTTGCCATGGATATCCAAGCGGGGAGGACGGAAAATGCGGTCATGCCGTGGGCTGAGACAATCAGAGTTATGGAGATTATGGATGACATTCGGTATACAAACGGAGCGTTATTCCCTCAGGACGCAGAATAGTTAGGATGAATGGTCTTTCTCATGAAGTAGCCGGAGCATCGATCTGCGTGTCATGGTGATTAGGTTATTATTAGATAATTATACTGAAATTGTGCATAGCTATCAGACGGGTTCGGGAGACAGTGTCGCGCAAAGTGAGAGTTTTGTTAATAAGTATCATTAATAATAATACAGATTGATAGGGTTCCACCATTGCGAGTCAGTCATCTAAGTCTCCCCAGTATTCTTTGAGATCGTCAACCCTCCACTTTGTATCCCAGCCTGTCTCCTTCTCAATCCGTTCCAGGATTCTCAAAATCGCAGAATGCTCGCTTGGATGGCTCATTACTTTTCCAGCTATCCACAGAGGTTGCACAGAGTTCGTCCAGGAGCCGTGGTGTGTATTTGACTCCGAAATAGCACAGATCTGCCGTGCGTGCCAGAGGATTGAACGCTAGAAAGAACCACACCGTATAATTAGCGACTGGTATAAATGAAAGAGTTGGACTTAATATAGACTGAATGAACTTACCGACTGTTTCCCAAGGTTTATACCTTTCGGTTTTACTTGAAGCATCATTAGTGTTGAGGTGTGGTATAATTGATTTCCAGAGACTGCCAGATATTAGATTATAAAAATCGAGTCTTTGATTTCACATACTTGCTGAGCCGTTCCCATACAAGACTGTCGGAAATGGGTTTTGGAAGTCTTCTGCTACTACTGGAATGGCTAGAAGAGGCTTCATTTCTTCGGGTCTGTCAGTATACCAACTTTGTAGGATATCATACAACTTTTGCCATCGTAGAGCATAGCCATCTTGTTGGTTTTGCGGGCGTGATATATCAAAGTGGCTGGTCCTGTTAGAATTTAACAAGTGCAGAACGCTGGCGCAAATGAAGACTGAATAATTTGCCCAAACATCAAAAGTGTTCGATGGGTTGCGGAAGAGGTTGTGATCTTCCCATGCATCTCTACCGGAAGTCCAACGGTTAAGAGGAATAAGAGTTTCTTCTTGTGAGATTAGACCCCCACAGACATCTGTAATTAGAGTAGTTAGTAACTTATTAGACTGAATTAGAGCCGCGAAATACATACCCATTCTAGCAAAGCACCAGAAAAGAGCCTGCTCAACCTCACCCACAAAGCCATGGATACGAATGGCTTCTATCAAATTTGCACAACCATCTAAGTGCCGCCTCCATTCCTTTGGAGAACCTTGTATTATTAGTCACAGCATCATTTTAGGTCAACAGTTACCTACAGCTCATCATCTCTAAAACGCATAGAATTACACAAGAAGCCATAACTTCTGTATTTCTGGTGTGAAGCTCTGGTAACAGGAGGTGTATTGCCTCCTGATATAAAGCAAGGCTCTCCGATGAGGGCAATAAGGGGTTTTTTCTTTCCAATTGTCGAGCTGACAATGCCAATATTGAATATTTAAGCTGTGGTGATGATTTTGCCATTATCGGGAGTTTGAACTCAAAATGGCGCTGATTGTCGAACTTGTCAAGCTGAGCAGAGTTAGCAAACAGAGTATATTGTCTCTATTAATAATGATAGCGGATAAAGAACAAAACAAATCGGATTTAATAATCGCGGACCTACCCATGGGGCCAATTCATCAATGTAGTTTTTCCATAATATATACTCGCGATTGGGCGTAAGTTCAGGTGGCTTATGAGTTTCGGAATACGACAAGCAATTATCGTTGGGTAGACCATCTCCCTGCGGTCGTACCGTTTCCTGTGAGAATGGTCCTGGGTTTGGCTGAGATTCCGGAGTTCCAGACCTAGTGGCAGCGTTTGATCTTGCTGTATGTATTATGTGATTGCGAAGGGTAGTATGTAATTCCCGGTACGCTGAACCAGGAAGAAAAATGCCTTGAGATGAATCAAAGAGCTGGTTGTCAAAAATCGGCTCGTTGAAAATCCTCTGTCGGGCTTGTGGGTGCATGTTGTCATTCTCCGGTTGTCTGATATTGATGGGCAATGGTTCTTGATCTTGTTGAGAGTCTGGATGTCGGGTGTACCTCAACGCAAGTAATTCGGCTGCCACTTCTCCAGTGTGGAATATAGGGTCTGCTTCTGACAGGTTACTGTGTTGTATATCACTATACATTGGCTGTGACTGAGGTGTTGAGCCATGAATAGTTGCATGTTCATGATTCGGAGTAAGTTCCGAATCAGACATTGTGTCCATGGGCATATAGCCATCTTCACATATTGCAAATGAAATGTTGTTATATGGGGATCTATGGAAGGAGTGTTGTGAGGTGGATGAATGAGCTCTATCTGTGCTTGCCATGTATTCGCTGCTTTGAGGCGTATCTTGATCTTGGTCTTTTGAAGGCGCATTATTTTGTTTGGCTTTTGATATCTCTGGCATAATATCTGGTATCTGAGTCTCTTGTTAGCAAAGAGCCTCTGAGAAAAGTATACGCTGGTTTAAGATCTAACAGACGCCATATTGCTAGAGGTATTTTCTAATACTAACAGGATGTCTTATAGACGGGTTCTCTATAGCCAGGCTATTTGGATGGACAGCTTTAAATCTAATATCTGTGCCCCATGCACACAATTCTCGGCGATGGTGACAACTGTCACATTTCGGTCTTCTTTCATCACCTAAAAATATACTTTAGATTTAGATTTCTAGATTAATAGGCTCATTGTGCGTCTACCACAGAATCACTCACATTTTTTGTGTCGTCGGCGACAGTTGACGCAGCCGGTTCTTGTCCGCCTTGGCTGATTTGGACGACTCCGAACGGAGCTTTCACCTTGTGGCACAATTCCTTCCGAGACTGGTTCGGGCCGAGTCTGCAATTCTATAATCTCCATGGCAAATAATATGCCATAGGTGAGTTCGCCAGGGTTTTTTTTAGGGTAGACCAACGGAACAAATTAGTTCACGCATAAAGATTCACATATGGCGGGGAACGGCAGGAAGCCTGGGAGTTGGCGGCAAAAAGTGCCAGTTATGGACTAGTTCCGTCTAGTGGATTCCTGGCTTGTACCTCGACGTCTCGAGGCCCCCGTCGTCAACTTTAATTGCCGACCACTTCTATTACCTAATTGTCGGAACCAATCGTTCGTTCTACTGAAGTGGAATGAAAGGTTGGTTGTCATGATTAAGGTTAATTGCTTTCTTCTCACATAATCTTTAGTGTCTCAATCGAAGTAGGCTTCTTGAGAGATGGGCAAAAGTCATATTTTTGCTCCTTTCGGACTTTATGGAGGTATAGTATATAGTTAGGCGTCCATCTTATAAATATTTCTTCAGCTAGTCCAAATTTTGCATACCAACTACAAAGCCTTGAGGTCGTCATGGCATACCTCTTGTTCTGAGATCTTGTCTCCATCTGTAGATCCGGCCTCGGGTGAATGCTCAGCACCCGCAATAGAACCCATTGACGGATGCCAGTGAATTATGACCTTCTCTCCCGTGAATAGTTTGTCGATTTGCTCTAGTGAGAGATTCTGGGTCTCCGGATAGAAGAACCAGATCAGTGGGATGAAAAAGAAGTTGAAGACTGCGAAGTAGATGTATGTCTTCCATCCAATACTATTGATGCTCACGGGAGTAATCTCAACCACAAGGAAGGTAAAAATCCCTAAAATGGAACATTAACATTCAATTTGCCGGAGAATAGCCGGATATGAAGAGAACTTACAGTTTGAAGCAGTTGCAAGAGAAGCGGCACGAGTACGAATTGCCAATGGTGCATACTCGGCCGGCACTGCATTTTATTAGGCAAGTTTCAAAACATTAAGATATAGAGGAACTTACAGAGCCAAGGGATCGCTAGTAATCCTACGGCGAAGAAAAAATTAAATAGAAACAGCATCACAATTGCAACAACTCCACCAGCTTTGGTACCCGAAGATACAGTTCCGGCAAGTATGGCCATGCAAGCACACTGACCAGCAGCTGCGAAAAGCATGAGCTTTCGTCGGCCGAGGCTGATTGAGCGTCAGTATTCACTTTAATTTAATACCACTGGGAATTCTTACCGGTCTATAATCCATATTGGGATTAATGACGAGAAAAAGTATGCGACCCCTGTATATGTGAGCAGAAATTATCATTGGATCAAATCCATTACTCACCATTGAAGCCGGCAAGTAATAGGGCTAGATTGTGTGAAAGTTTGACAGAGTTTTCGAAGATTACAGGAGCATACTATTTCCTGTTAGTAAAAGAGCAAAAGAGGCACACCAGATCACAATAGCTTTGACTCACGTAAGTGATGAGGTTGATGCCAGACAGTTGTTGCATGAATTGTCCGCCGATACCAAGAAGAACTCTGTGGCGAAACTTTTGTGGTCCGTTCTTTAGCAACGCTGTCTTGCTACGCCCCTCAGTAGCCGCTCTTTCTTCGTTGACGGCATTCTGGATTTCCAAAATTTGTCTGTTGATGGCAGGATCTGATTCAGTTATTGAGTTTGGGTCCATCTCCAATGCCCATAGGATATGGCGTGCTTCGCTGTGTCTTTCGTGCGCAATGAGCTGGGAAGTTTGTCAGTAAACTCTGGTCTTATTGTAGCAGAGCAGTAGAATACATACCCATCTGGGGGATTCGGGAAGAAACAGTATGCCAGCAAAGGTTACAACTGCGAAAACAATCTGCAGAGCAAGGGGAACTCGGAATTGTGCACCACTGCTGACGTAGCTGAATCCGTAGTCTACCCAATAAGCAGTCATGACCCCGAAGATGTTGATAGCCAACTCAATTGCCAGCTAAGATATATGTCAGTAGTATTCTCGAGATGTGATCAAATATAAATTACCCCCTTGCCACGCTTTTTTGCTTGCATCAATTCAGAATGCCACACAGGGATCGTACTTGTGTTCATCCCATTTCCAAGTCCTGCAACAATCCGGCCAACGATCATGTGTGGGATGGTATATGCGGATGCCTGAAGCGCTGCCCCAATGCTGAGCACGATACATCCAAGCATGATACAGTTTCTTCGTCCCAACCGTTCACCAAACATGAAGCAGAATATTGCTCCAAAGAAACAACCCTCCAAAAAATGTTAGCCCGCTGCAACATTAGATTTAAGAAGAGCACTCATACGATTTCGTAGATAGCAACGACTGTGCCTTGAAGAGATGAGCTTCCAGTACCGCTTGGAGTAGTGTCAATTTCCGGGAATTGCTTTATAAAAGCGGCTCCTGACAATAGCCCAGACATTACTCCCTGGTCATAGCCAAATCTGAAAATCTAGTCAGTAACAGTATTCGCAATATGAGCGTGTGTGCCAAAGTGATTATGGACATACAAGAGAAAGCCGCAACCAGCAGTGGCTGTGATAGCCCATGACAGAGGACGACCAGTAAGGACCGTCATAGTAGCAACGGCTTGTTTTAGATGTTTGTAATTAATGCTGATTGAGATGCCAATACGAGGTTGAAAATGGCAGCGTTGCAGGATATATACAGTTTGTTACTCTCACCAGCATTCTTCTAAGGGATGACTGTGGGGTAACTGTGGGGCCCCGGAATCCAGTACGGCCAGTCTAGCACGACTAGGGTAGCCATCATTCTTCACATTTCACCTTGTACTCATTATAGCATGTCAGTATAGAGGCGCATGGGAATAGTTGTTGCCGATCCTAGCATTTACAGCGATGTCCAAATGGAGTGCATCCCTCCTTAGACGACGAAAAATGGGGTCGTGTTGGCGGTAACCGGAAAAGGAAAGTTTACACGCAGTCATGCTTTGGACCAGTAAAAGGGTCGCTTGCAACTGGGCCATCCTAGCACCTAGGGACTAGAATGCCTGCCATTTATCGACCCCGATTTCTCCGCATCGTATCCCGACCTATCCCCACTCTCGGACACTCTCCGCGCACCGAATAACAACTTCTTTCTCATCGCGTGGTTTGTCGCCTGGCGTGGGAAGAAAATCGCACTATTCGAAACCTTTACCATGACATCACGGAGAGGAGGGAGTTTGTTCCGCAGCGCGTAATCATGTACGTATAACTGCAGTCTTGCGGGTCAGTGGATACAGCGGATCTAGCAGTTCACTCTAGATGGGTCGTATCTATGCACTCTCACACTCTCACTTGAACCTAATAATGGCTGCCCTTCGTTCACATTTTAAACATCACAATTCCTTTCTTCATCTCTTCTCAACTTCAACATCATTGCCCAAAATATATTCAATTTTCTTCTCTTCCAATACTCCATTCTTCGTCGTCACATCTTCACAATGGGCTCTATATCCATCAGTCCCGATACGGCGGTGCCCGCGCATATCCTAGAATCCAGGCAAACGCCAGCCAATGCGGCCCTTTTCTCGCTGAGCGGGAAAACGGTCATTATTACAGGCGGAGGCAGAGGCTTGGGCATAGTTCTAGCCGCTGCTGTTCTCGAGGCCGGTGGCTGCGCAGCTTGCATCGACATTCTGCCCGCACCCTCGGGCGCCGAATGGAATGATCTCCAGGTTATCGCTAAGAAGTCCAACTTGCGCGCTACCTACCACAAATGTGACATCACGACAGAATCAGAGCTCTCGGAATGTTTCGATCAGATTGCCGCAGAAGGCACTCGCAATGGAGCGCCGTTGGGGGGGACAATTGCCTGTGCAGGGATCCAGCAGAAGATCCCCGCTGTTGATTACCCAGCTGATAGCTTCAGGAGAATTATGGATGTGAATGTCACTGGAACATTCTTGACCATCAAGCATTCGGCCAGGATTTTCATGGCGGAGCGCACAAAGGGGAGTATTGTCATGATTGCTTCCATGTCCGGCCAGGTTGCAAACAGGGTCAGTTTTCTTCTAAGGATTTCTCTGCATTGAAGAGGGCTAACTTCTGTAAAGGGCTTAACTTGCACAGCTTACAATACCTCAAAAGCTGCAGTTCAACAGATGTGCAGGTCGGTTGCTCAAGAATGGGGTCAGTTTGGTATAAGGGTCAACACACTATCACCTGGCGTAAGCTCATCTCGATCCCCATTTTTGGATAAGCCACTAATTAAATAAACAGTATATCCGAACAGCCATGACTGACGAACTCCTCACCGCTGAGCCAGAAGTTGAGAAGACGTGGATGGCAGGCGCTCTATTAGGCAGACTTGGAACACCAGAGGATTTCAAGGCTCCGGCGGTGTTCCTGTTGGCAGATGGGAGTTCTTTCATGACAGGGGCAGACTTGCGAGTAGACGGAGGGCACTGCGCTTCAGCTTAATATACCGCGATTGATATAAGAAATAAAAATTAGAATTAAATGTTCCTTGTGGATATCTGTTTCCATTTGCTCTCTGCTATTAATCACTTATGAAAATTATTATCAACTCTGTTTATATACTCTCAAATAACAATTCCTGGCTACTTACATTATCAATTAGACGATTCGACTGCCTGGAAACGAAATTTAACTCTTCATTATTCTATCATTTTTCCTTTTTATTTATTACCAACTTAAAACCCTCATAAACATTTTTGCATTGTAATTAATTGATTATTTTATTATACCGTTTAAGCGATTGCTTTTAACAAACAGCCTATTGAGAGATTATGCGCTCATCTTTCAAGCCCTCTAGTATTCCCTGGAGCACACTAACAACTCCCATCGCACCTGGATCTGGAATACCTCCTTCCACCTCAAATATTTCCTTGCCCACGTAGCTCGCCCTTCCCAAAACGGCATCTAATTTCCGTGTCGCTTCGGCCCCGTTTCTGGCTTCCATGACTGCGGCCTCCAGGCTGCTACCGCTAGCGAAAGCCTCTGTAAATGGGATCAACGCATCCATCAATGTCTTATGTCCCTTCCTCGCAGACGTATAGCGACAGAGCTGAGCAACTCCTGAGTTTAGAGCTAGTCGAATACGCATGCTTAAGAATCCGGGGTCACTGCCGTCAAAGGGTGATGACAGATGGTTAGTCACTGCGTTGAAGAAAATTGCATATATGGCGCCCGAGGTTCCTCCCATGGATGATTCAATTGTGTTGGATATTACCCTGAATATAGAGACAATGTCCATAGGGGCCTCTGACGAAGTCTGTAAAAGTGCAGCGCAGACGGCTAATATCAACAAGTCAGAATATGCAAATGGAAAGTTTATAAGTTTTGGACTTGCTTACATTTTACACCCTTGAGTAGCGTCTCTCCACAATCCCCATCTCCAGCAATAGTATCGTATCTTGTGATCATTGGCTCATCTGTCACGACAGATTTTAGAACAAAGCCGAGCAAGGTATGGAGTATTTCGGTGCCTATCAAATCTTCTTTCTATTCGTCAGTACTTTAATTTAAGAAAGATTTAGACGAGAAGTTCTTACCTTGAATCGCGTACTCGATATGAATTGGTGATGCCTTTGCTAAGACAGAATCGTTCACGAGTCTCTGGTTCGTATTTTCTGCGATTCCCAAAGCAGGGCTTCCAGTTATGTTCGGCCAGGCAGGCGCGGTTGTCTGGTCGTTCAGAAGAGATTCTGTCAATGGGTCTAATTCCAGTATGGTAACTGAAAATCCAGGTCCATTTAGCGATGAAACAAAAGTACCCACGAGCGTTCTTCGTATGTCGAAGCCAACTGCTTCCAGTTGGCCCATGACCTCGTTAGCAATAATGTGCAGCTCCAAAATACTTAAACCACCGAGGTTGTTTATCATGGTTGCGATTGGCTTTCCTTTGTCCAACTCTGATATCTTGAGAATCTCAAGCACATTTGCGACCGTCGATGGCATCGATGGGATCTTTTCCCTCCTCGTCCCAGGTTCATTATGGATACCTTGTAAGATGTTAATAACTGCCTGTATGATATGTCTTTAGAGAGTAAAATTACCCATTCCATATTCCAGAAGGTTGAACGGCAGGCTTTCTTGCTTCCCTCGCTTTGGTACACTGCATCGATCAAGGCTCACGCCTGCAGTAACCATGCGGTCTGAGACAGATTGTGCAACTTGGGTAACTTCTTCGAGGGATGAACTGGATAAATTAGCATTAGACGTTTGAACAAACTTGGACCGGACGAACGTACCCTCTACTCGCCATTGCGCCTGCTATCTTATGTACAAAGGCAACACCAGCGAGGCCTCGACGCCCTACAAGCTCATTGCCCTCCACCGAAACATCATCCCCAACGAATACGACATTAACCTCCAATCCCTCCGATTTTGCTTTTTCAGCAGCAAGACCGAAGTTGAGTTTGTCTCCCGTGTAATTCTTGACGATCATGAGAATCCTAGGCAGGATTTTGTCAGCGCGCGGTTTATTTCAGTTCGGATATTCACAGCTTTACCCTTTTGGCGACTTCAACGCTTTTAGGCCCGCTAAGACTTGAGAAGCCGATGGAGATGCGAATATGTCACCTGAAACGCAAACGTCAAGCATTCCACCTCCTAAGTAACCTGCGTGAGCTGGCTCATGTCCAGACCCGCCACCAGATAGCAACAAGACTTTCTGTTGGTTTTGTTGATGATAAAGGACTGATACCAAATTAGTATTCGCTGACGACAGGCGAGCCTTCTAGCCTTTCGATGCATCTTACCTCTCTGCGATTCTATTAATCTGAGAGATCTGTCCTGGCGCAAGAAGCTCTTCAGAGCCTGGCCGACAGGATCCTCCACCGCATTTACGAAGTGCTTTCCTAGAGTCATAATCGATCGACACTGGATAATAATTCTTGGATTGTAGAAAAAGCTTGCAGATCCTAAGGTCCAAGGTGTTGCCAATGATTCCGACACCACGATGGAGTTCTTTCAAGGCCTTCTTCTACATTGTGCCCAGTCGATGGCATAGTCTTGAAAACATACTATGGGCGAGGCCCAGACTACGGCTAAAATTACTGATTATGGTTATTATGTGGCCAGAACATATAATCACTTGGGAAAGAAAAAAGGCGTTCGAAAGAAAATATAGAGACGGCAGGGGATTCACTTTCCTGGACGATGGGGTTGGTTGAATGGTGCGCCTTCAGACAGCTCCCGCATCTCCTATCTCTGGCCGACTTCAGCAACCGAACTTCAATAACATCTAGACCAATACCAGTGGATCGTGACACTCAAAAAACTGTCAGCGGATAGGAATGATTCGAGTAGATGGGAAAGATTGTGAATTCGGCCGTGTCTGTCGGCAGATCCTCGGACAGTGCGGGGAAATTGCCAGGCTGCGTGTATATATTCCATTTTAGGATAGCGCCACCCAACGCCAAGTTCTATACAACTCCACGAATCGCAGTCTAAACAATTATGATTGTACCAAATAGGTAATATTACTCGCTCTACGCGGCAGCATCTTGATCTTGCGTTATGGTAAGTCAGAGCAAAAGTAAGTTAGAGTACCAAGGTTGCGGGCAAGATTTGATATACAAATTATTAGATTCTGCCCTGAAAAGGCTATATCAACCTTCAACCTTTGCGTGCTTTCGTTTTCTACTTCTCTATTACACTTTTTCCTATCACCATGGCTCCATCGGCTGTTGTTAATAACGCCCCAGAGGTTTCTTCGAAGATGTTGACAAAGGCTGAGTTGAAGCTCGATGGAGACCAGCAGCATGATATTGTGCTGCGGACGTTCCGCTGCCTCATTGCGGATCTGTGTGAGCAATTCAAGGGAGGCCATCCCGGGTAAGCTTTTTATTCGATTCTTGAATGAACATGATGTTGATGGGTTTTCAGCGGCGCAATGGGAATGGCAGCAATTGGAGTCGCATTATGGAAGTATGTTATGAAGTATTCTCCTACGAACCCGCTCTACTTCAACCGGGACCGCTTTGTCTTGTCAAATGGTAAGCCTTGAAAATCCGTATCTCAGGAAGCAATGGCTAACTCTCTTACAAGGTCATACTTGCCTGTTCCAATACGCATTCATGCATTTGGTAGGATACAAGAATATGACACTTGACCAGCTACGGTCGTATCATTCCTCGCGAACAGACTCCATTTGCCCTGGGCACCCAGAGATCGAACATGAGGGCATCGAAGTTACCACAGGACCACTAGGACAGGGGATCGCAAACGCCGTTGGCATGGCTATGGCGTCCAAACACCTTGCCGCCACTTACAACAAACCCAACTATCCACTTGTCAACAACATGACATGGTGTATGATTGGAGACGCATGTCTTCAGGAAGGCGTAGCGCTCGAAGCAATTTCCCTCGCAGGCCATTGGAAACTGAACAATCTCTGCGTCATGTACGATAATAACCAGGTTACTTGCGATGGTTCTGTCGATTTGTGTAATAACGAGGACGTCAACGCAAAGATGGTTGCGTGCGGCTGGACCGTCATTGATGTGGAGAACGGCAATTATGATATCCGAAGCATCGTCAATGCTTTAGTCGCAGCAAGAGAGAGCAACGATAAGCCTACATTCATTAACATTCGCACAACAATAGGAATTGGTAGTAAATCGGCAGGAGATGCAAAGGCTCACGGCGCGGCTTTTGGACCTGAGGATGTTGCAAACATCAAGCGCAAATTCGGTATGGATGACACAAAGCATTTTAATATTACTGAAGAAGTATACGAATTCTTCCAAGATATCAAATCCAGAGGGCAGAAGCTTGAAAATGAGTGGGCTACTTTGCTTTCGGACTACTCTGAGGAGTTCCCAGATCTTCACTCCGAATTCAAGCTCAGGATTGCTGGTGAGATGACGAACGATTGGTCAAAATATATACCAGCAAAAGCCGATTTTCCCACCACCCCGACTGCTTCGAGAAAGTCGGCCGGACTCGTGTGCAACCCTCTCGCACAACATTTGAAGAACTTCATGGTGGGCACAGCCGACTTATCACCCTCAGTAAACATGACCTGGAAAGACAAGGTTGACTTCCAACATGTAAGAATTTGACCACGCTTGACTGGCACTCTTTCTAACATCCCCGTAGCCTGATCTAAAAACCACTTGTGGAATAAATGGCGACTACACCGGTCGGTATATCCACTGGGGTATCCGGGAACATGCAATGGCGTCTATATCAAACGGTCTCGCTGCTTTCAACAAAGGAACAATCCTCCCAATCACATCCACCTTCTTCATGTTCTACATTGTAAGCTACACTACACAAACTCCGTCCGTCTTCACCGCTAACACAAATTTCTCTAGTACGCAGCCCCAGGCATCCGCATGGGAGCCCTCCAAGGCCTCCAGCAAATCCACATCGCAACCCACGACTCCATCGGCACCGGCGAAGACGGTCCCACCCACCAACCCATCGAACTAGCCTCTCTCTACCGCTCCATGCCCAACCTCCTTTACATCCGACCCTGCGATTCCGAAGAGACAGCCGGCGCCTTCATCTCCGCCCTCAACGCCAAATCCAGTCCCTCAATCATCTCCCTCTCCCGCCAAAACCTCACCCAGTACCCTGCCTACTCCTCACGCGAAGGTGTTCAAAAGGGCGCCTACGTGTTTAAGGAGCAGGACGACGCGGATGTGACGCTCATTGGCGTCGGGTCTGAAATGTGCTTTGCGGTCGATACGGCGAAGCTTCTTGAGTCGGAACACGGCGTTAAGGTCCGCATTGTTAGCTTCCCGTGTCAGAGGCTGTTTGAGATGCAGCCTGTCGAGTATAAGAGGGAGGTGCTGCAGTATCGCTCTAAGGCGCCGCGCGTGGTGATTGAAGCGTATTCGCCGCTTGGGTGGGAGCGGTATGCTGAAGCGGGGATATCTATGCATTCGTTTGGGCATTCGCTGCCGGGGCAGGATGCGTATAAATACTTTGGGTTTGAGGCTAAGAGTATTGCTCCGAAGGTGTTGGAGTTGGTTAATGATGTGAAGAGGGATGGGATTGAGAGTCTAAGGGGGGAGTTTAGGGATTTAAACCAGAAGGCTCACTGAATAATAGTGGGAGGTGTATTGTTAATAGAAGCAATTTATGAAAAATGTCTGAAATGCTACCCTGCGATGAGTCGCGGTATCTTCTCTAGTTCTACACCAGCTTCTTTATTCCCAGGCCCTGCGATGGGCCCCTGTGTCTTCTCTGGTCCTACACCAGTTTCTTTCCTCCTAGGCCCTGCGATGGATCGCGGTATGTTTAGTAGCCCTGCACCAGTTTCTTTCCCGCCGTCTCCATCGCACTACTTGTAGAGAGAGAGGCATGGAGAGGTTATCACTATCTAGGATTGCGAGAGTGGTGAGATAGATCAGTATCTTAACCAACGAACAAGTTATATCTGTGAAAGTCACAGATGTGTGTGAAGAGGGTATTCTCAATTCAATCGCTCCACAATAGCTAAATAAGCCACTCGCTCAATGCTGTCTACAGCGCTATACAAATCACTCCCACAGTTACCCAAACACCCTTCCCCTACTCAAACCGCCTGCACCCCCTCCCCATCCTCAACTTTAATCGCCACCCCACCCATCTCCCCCATCCCCTCCCCCGTATCCACACCCATACTAAAACTCGCCCTCCCCCCCCCATCAACCACCAACCCGCCTACCCCACCTCCTCCCCCCCCAAACCCCTGCCCCAACCCATCCCCCCCAAACTCCCTCCACATCGCCTCCTCCATCGCCTCCAAACTCCCCATCTCCATGCCCAACGGATCCTCATACAACTCAAACATTCTAGGCGGACTGCTCGGCATCGGCGCCGCGTCGGTGGAGAAGAAATCCCCTCCTCCTCCACCGCCACCGCCGCCGAAACCACCACCGTGGCCGAATCCGGCGCCGGCGAAGAGAAGAGCGTCGCTGTGCAGATCAGACGGGTGTGCGAGGTCAGGGAGGGCGGAGAAATCGAGCCCGAGATCTAGGTTGCGCGAGGGGGAGCGCCCGGTGTCGTAGCCTCCGTGGGTGGCGTGGCTGTCTTCCCCGGTCTCGCTGAGGAGGCGGTTTAGTGTCGCTGTGAAGGGACTTTCTTGCACACCCGTGCGATGGCGTGGACTGCGGCGTGTAGCGGGTGTGGAGCGCGTAGGTGTGCGTTGCGGTAACATATCCCCCCTTCTCGAGCGTGCCGATTTCGCCGATCTGGAAATGGAGCGCGTTATCGGTCTATGCGATGGCGTCGGGCGTGTAGGTGTTTTAAAAGGATTCGAAGGGGGTAAACGGTTCGGCGTAGTAGGTCTCGACGTCCTCAACGGATCTTCCCCAAACAGCGCAGCGAGGTCATCATCATCATCCAGCGGATTCGGTTGCGGGGGGTGGTTCTCCTTATTACAATTCGTCGGTGGCGGCGGCGGGGCCGCGAAATCAGCAGAAAAGCCGGGTGGTAAGTCGTCGCCTAGGGATTTCGGGGAGTCGTCTTTGCGTGGGGAGGGAAAGAGGAGGCGGCGGGTGGCGCCGAGCTCGTCTTCGACCTCGATGGGGGTGTGCCGTGATGTACCCATCCAGCGCGCGGGACTGGATTGGATGGCGCGGCGAAGGGAAGCGGCGGCGGTGTCTTTTAGGGATGTTGTGTTCTTGGGTGGTTGCACGCTGCCGCCGCGTTGGGCGAAGCGGGACTGCGTTATCGTTGCTGCTGCGACGTGGAGGTCCTGCTGCGGGGCGGTAGTAGAGAGGTAGTTATCAGGCGGTGCAGGGGCGTCAGAGTAAAAATGCGCTTCAGACGTAGGCAACGGCGCCTGTCCCGCCACCGACTTCCTCGGTTTCGAACCCCCCCTCTTCTTCCTCTCGCCAGCATTCTGATTCGGGTCTTTCCCCCATCGATCCTCAGGACGCTGGGATTTATACTTCGACATCCAGATGCCACACGGATTGCACATCAAGATCTCCGTAAACGCCGCCTTATCATCCGCCGCAGCAAGCGACTTCTTAATCAATCGATACGCCACCGGCTTCCCGCTCTCATCCCTCTCCACAATCTCAATCGCCGTCACCCTGCCCGCCTCATCAGAATACTCATGGTACCCCGGATCACCCTTACATTCCTGGGCCCACGCCTTGCGCCAGGCGGGCGTCTCGATGGCGCCGCAGTTGCTGCAGAAGGGGGGCATTTCGCCGCGCGAGATAGCGTCTTCGAGGCGGAGGCGGATAGTTTGTTTTTTGCCCATCGCGCTGCGTTTGGAGTACGGCTCTGCGACTGTGCCGTCGTCCATTTGGGTGGGGGCTTCAGTGGCGGGGTGAGGGGCGTCGGACCAGGTGTGTGCGTGTTGGAGGTTGCTAGGTGGAAGGGCTGGTTCGCTCGCGGCGACGGCAGGTAGGGTTAAGGATCCCAGTGATGCGGTTCGGCTCATAGACCTCGACGGGGGGCGTGAAAACGAATTATTCTGCGGCGCGTTATTCATCTGCAAACTCGGCGGCGCAATCTCCGTCTGACTCTGCTCCACGCTCTGATTAGCCTCAGGGATAGCAGTAATCGGCATCAGCGCCATCGCCGACCCCGGCCTAGGCGGCGCAAACGACGCCGCGCTCCCCCTCCTCCCCCCATTCGCCAACCCATCCTCCGACATCATACTCTTACTCCTCGCCAGCGTGCGTTTCGTCTTCGGTTTCGGCTCTGCCTTCTGCTTCGCCTCCGCACGCGGCAGCATTTTCGTAGGCAGCAGTTCCGGCGGCCCCGGCGTGACCTCCTCGATCGCGAAGCCATGGTGGACTTTCTCTGCGCGCGGCGCGGCGGGCTTGGTGGCGCGACGACGCGTGTACTTGTTGGCTGCGATGACGGGGTCCTCCTCAGCGGGTTGTCCTTCCTCGTTGTCTTCGAATAACTCACTGATGTCTCCGCTCATAAACCCCGAGTCTGTCCGCGGCATGGGTGGTAGGATCGGGCTTGATGGCGCGTGTGGGCTGGAGCGGGCGGAGGCGGTGCGGCGGAGCACGGGGGGGGAGGAGTTGATGTCTGGGGGTGTGTCGACGGGGCTGTCTTCTTTTTCGGGGGAGGTCATGGCGGATTCGATGGAAAGGCGGATGTGGTCTTGGGGGTCGTGACCGGTGTCGGAGGGAGGGTAGGGAGAGTTATACTGCCGACGTTGCTCGCCGAACTGGGAGACAATAGAGTTGCGGCGGAGCATGCTCTGAGACGTGGCACGCGACCTATTGGCCTTCAGAGAAGGAAGTTGCGGGACAGGAGTCGGTGCTCTAGGCATCTCCTGAAGATGAGAGCCAGCAGCGCCACCTGGAGCAGGTGCTATAGCAATAGGTCTAAATAGTCGGAGGGATCCCGCCGTGCTAGCAGCGACGCGGAGTGAGTCCGTTCCAGTGCCGAAAGAGGATTTACTATTCCAGTTGGTCTGCGTGATCTTAGCGCGTTTCTTCGTCGTAGGCGCCTCCTCGCCATCAGTCCCATCCTCATAACCCGACGTATTCCCACCAACAAGCGGCTTCGACGGCGCACGAGGTTTCCTTGGCCTCTTCACCGACGCCTGCGAAGCCGGCCTTGAAGGCGCCTTCTCCCTCGGACTCGGCGGCCGACTAGCACTCCCCACCACCTCCGTATTCATTGGGACATTAAACGGATCCACCGAAGTCTGCTGCAACGATGGACTGAGCAGCTGATTCACAACCTCCATACTAATCCCACTCCTCTGACTCGGCATCGGCACCGGGGTATTCACCCTATTCGCCATTTGTCCCACACCCGGATTGGACTGCAAAAACGCCAACCACTCGCCATGATCGAACCCCACCGGCATCGCCTTGCTAATCTCCCTATACGTCTCCATGCTCCTCACATACTCGCTCTGCAGCACCGTCGGCACGGGAACAAGACGTAACTTCACCTCCAGCGTCTCCGCTACGCCGTTCGAGAACAGCCCCTGGATGTTCTTGCACACGCGGCCGGTGATGAGCTGGCGCGATTGGCTGGCTGGTGCTTCGGGGGTGGGTGAGGAGGCGGCGAGGGCCCAGGAGAGCATTCCTTGGCCGACGAGCGGGTTGTCGTACTCGGAGTAGTCGTAGGCGTACACAGTGTAATCTTGACCCAGCTTGGCGACCAGCTCGGGGGAGCATTGGACGATAGCTTGGATGCAGGTTTTCAGCTCGATGACGCCGATGGTGGCGTTCTCGTCCATAGCCACAGCCTGGATCTGTAACACATGCGGCCATCTCGCCAGGCAATTCGTCTTATTCTGGTCGTCGAAGGTGTAGAGGACTTTCACTGTTGGGAGCACACGCACGGTTAGCTGGGGTTGTTGAGCTGCTGAGCACAGGACGCATACGTCTCATAGGCCTGATTGTCACGCCGGCACTCTCGCCGTCGGTGGTCCCGGGTTGGCTGGCGGAGGGTGCCATAGGGGGGTGTGAGCTGGCGCCCCGAGCGGTCCGAGACGGCGACGACATCGGGTACGGCACTGGCCCGCGGCCAGGATTGAGGAGATCTTATGAGCCAGGAAGCTTGCACATCGGTTGGGGAAGATGTCACGGTGTTGTGGGCATAGATAGGACTCGATCGCGGGGTGTCGAGTTGGTATGTTTCGAAGTGTCGTCCTGTTTATGGATTCGGGAACGCGTTGTTTGACCCTTGCCTGGTAGAGATCGGTGAGGAGGTAAAACAATTATAAAGTAGTAGATGTGTCGAGGGTATAATAGAGTAGAATGGAGTATAATTGTAGAGAATAGTAAGAGTTGTGGGTGGAAGAATTGGAAGAATTGGTATGTGGAGATCAATCACGTCGCCCTCGATATCAAGCTTCACCAGACCGCGTATCGCGTTGTAAACCCGCTAAAGCTGAGAGCGGTTAACGCTAAACAGGGGCGTGCAGGGCCGCAAGATAGTGGACCCGAAAGCCTAAAAAGTCCCCGAACCGACAAATTCCAGCCTCTCGATTTTGGATGGGGGTTCGCTAAGGGTCACTGTCGGCCCGCCGTATTTTGTGGGATGGTAAGGTATGGCAGTAAGGTAATGTGATATGCCGTTCCTTGTGTGTCAGAACCGAACCGCCAACACACCAAAAGGCCACACCGGAAGGAAATCCTTTAGAGTTCTTTGAAAGTTTTTCTCGGAGGGGGGATTTCATCGGCTATATATACTCGGCATTTTTGATGTTCTTCGATGATAACATTCTGATGACTCAGCCTCACCTCGTCAGCTAAACTCAAACCCAGGGGCCTCCTATTAATCACATGACTCTTGCTGCCTGGAATAAGAATGAATTTATTTTCCAACACCATCCATGCCGCGATGGCAATAGATGATCCGGTATGTGTAACTGGTGATATTCCTGTCAACCAAGGCGCCATCGTCGTATATTCCACAATATCGTACAACTACATCAACCCCTTATCCACAGCCCATCCACCCACCCCATCTACCCATCCATCTATCCCATCTACTCCATCTATTTAGTCAATCCAGACAGCCTTTCCATCCTGAACAGTCGTCTTTCTCGACAGAATCTCCTCAACCACCTCCTTAATGCCCTGCTTCCCGCTCCTCATCTGCACGAAATCCCTGACGATGGACTTCCTCGACTTCAGGTCGCTGCGGACATACTGAGCGACCTGGCTCTCCGTCGGCAAGTTGTACTTGGCGTGCGGGTAGCTGGTGTAGTCCTCCTCGCTTAGCAGGCCGAGCTTCTTCTCGCCCTCAACCTCGAAGAACGGCTCCGCGACGTTGTCGCTCGCCTTGATATCCTCAAGAGACGCTGGCTGCCACTTCGGTGGCTGGCGTGGCTGTCCAGGCTCCGGCTTGCGGATCAACAGCGCTGAGACACCCTCAGTGAAGTCGGGGTGGCGCATGAACTTGGCAGCGATCTGGTGCTCGCGTTGGAAGGTCTCCTTGATGCTCCAGGTCTTGCCGAGGCGCATCTGGCGGAGTGTGACGTAGACGCTGGTTGGCGAGCGCTGATGAAGAGTCTTGAGAGTCTTCTGGGCCCACTCTTGGGTCTCGCCAGTCTCAGCCTCGAGCGCCGCGATGATCTCGGGGACGCTGTTGGGGCTGAAGCAGCGGTCGATGGCCTCGCGCATTGCGCCGGCAATCTGGATTGGCTCATCGTGGGGTAGGCCGGTGGTGAACTCCTCGAGCGTGGAGTCAATGAGCTTTAGGCGGGTGTCGAGAGAGTCGTAGTCGTTGAAGCGGAGTTCAGCGAGACGAGCCTCGAGAGATGGTAGCGACGTGGAGTGAATGTAATGGGTCGCAATGCCAGCGTAGAAAACGTTGGCACCCTTTAGTCTGTCACTGGTAAGAGCGAGATATGTGCCGACAGAACCGTCCATCTTTGGGAGGAAGAACGAAGCTCCAACATCTGGGAAGAAGCCGATTGTCGTCTCTGGCATGGCGAAGACTGTCCTCTCCGTAGCAATCCTGAGTGGTGTGTGAATGCTGAGACCCACACCTCCTCCCATGGTAATACCATCCATCAGCGCCACCAACGGCTTCTTGTAAGTCGCGATCATATGGTCCAGCTTGTATTCGAGGCCGAAGTAGTCCGTTGATCGTTGCTGTCCCTCAGGTCCCTCCGAGTTCCATTTCGCCAACTCTGCCACGTCTCCACCAGCGCACATCGCCTTCTCTCCGGCTCCCTTCAGCAGAATGATGTTCGCCATGTCTGACTTCGTCCACTCCTGCATGCGCGGCACAATTTTTCGTACCATCGATCCATTCAGCGAGTTGAGCTTCTTCGGCCTGTTCAATTCGATGGTGCGCAGACCATATAATGTGTCGAACAGAACATCCTCTGCCTCGTCTCCGGGGAGCTCCTTAATAACAGCGCCATCTGTCGCCTTCGTAGCCATCTACATCCCATTAGTATCCATCTCCCATAAAAGTATTTCGGTCCTCGTACCTGCGCCCTGAAAGCTGGGTTCTGGATCTTCGAAGCGAGGGGCATCGTTGCGCGAGAGTTCCAGCTAACAGCTGCACCAGCTCTTCTATAGAGAGAACGTGAGATCATTGAGACTGCAATGCCAGGAAGAAAAGGCCTTTGATATGACTTTAAACCCCCCGTCTGTCAATAAAAATGTAGCCGCGGCGTCCTCGGATACTCTCGGCTGCCGTACTACAGTGCTGAAATGCAGTGCACGTCCCACCAAATGTTGCTTGCTGGATATCACGCTAGTCGATTTTGAGGTGGTGCAGCCTTTAATCGCATCCAGACGTGAACTTCGCGACGGCCAAGAAAAGAACAAAGCCTCACCAAACCACTCTACACATTCACCATGGCTGACACAGCCAAGATCCAGTATGTCTTTACCTCGACATCCCAATCATAATTCCAAAATGCTAATTCCCCACCAGAGAACTGCTGGCAAAGCCACGCAACGACCTCACGTACGTCCCTGCCCCTCCCCAGGCTACGAGCACCTATCCCCAGACCTCCACGCCTTCCACCCCCCATACGCCAGCCCAACTCCATGCTAACAATCCGGCAGCGAATTTGAGGTCGCCGCTCTCGAGCAGCACGAATTCACCAGCGGCCCGCTCTCGATCCTGCAGACGGCAGTGCGCTCGCACTCGCAGGTGCTGATCTCGTGCCGCAACAACCGCAAGCTGTTGGCGCGCGTCAAGGCTTTCGATCGCCACTGCAATATGGTGCTTGAGAATGTGAAGGAGATGTGGACGGAGACGCCGAGGTTGGCGGGTGGAAAGAAGGGAAGGCCGGTGAATAAGGATCGCTTTATCAGTAAGATGTGAGTTGGAGATTCTGTTCTGGTTTGGCGGTGTGATGGGAGGAGGTGCTGGCTTTGTTGATGCAGGGGAGGGTGCAGGGATGGGCAGCGTTGTTGAAAGCACTACTAACGTGTTTTTACTAGGTTCTTGAGAGGAGATTCAGTCATTCTCGTCCTACTCAGTTGAGCGGAGAGTTTCGCGTCGGTGGTTTTGAAAGGTTCATATGGGTCTATTGGTTGGCTTGGGGTTCATCATATCATAAGATTTCCGGGTTAGGACCAAACGGGGCGTTATACAAAAAGTTGATGAAATACAGTCCATGACAATTAAGATCCTTCCTCGTCTTTGTGAACGAGGTCCCCATATATCTAACCAGAAAGATCACCCCCACAAATCACCAAGCTATTCAAGCAGCATCCTACGCGTCTCCTCCGTCCGTCTCTTCCTCTATCCCCGCAAATCCAAGGAAAAACTCACTCAATCCGTAGGCTCCTGGGTCAGGCACGTCCTTGAACCCCTGTCCTCCAACATACACCGTCCTCCCCAAACTGGCCTCCATACCCCTCGTCCCCTCCGCCCCCTTCTTCGCGGCCTCCGCCGCCTTCTTCAAATCCCCCGTCTCACCAAGCGTAACCACAAACGGCTCCAACGCATCCACCAACGTCCTATCTCCAGGCTTAGCAGGCGTATACCTCTCGAGCGCCAACAACGCCTCACTCAGCGCCTTGGCCCACACCTGCTCTGTCGCCACACCCTTCCCCTGTCTCCTCAAGGCTGCTACCAGCGCGTTCAGGAAAATTGTGTAAAGCGCACCAGACGTCCCGTCCATGCTCGCCTCCACCACAGCCGCCACGGACCGCACATCAACCACGACGTCGCCGGAGGGCCGGGCACGCACCAGCATCGCCTGCACAGCCTCTGCACCACGCTTGAGTCCGATTCCGCAGTCCCCATCGCCGACGACAGTATCGTAGCGCGTGACACGTGGCTCAGCGGCGATTATACGCGCGAGGCCGGCGTTGAGGCGGTGCCGCGCGGAGACCTCGTCCATGGTCAGTCCGGTGGGCTGAGCGGCGGAGGCGGTCTGGTGCGTCTTCTCGCGCGTGGCGGTATTATCTGCAGTCCAGGTTTTAGCGAGGATTGGGGCAGCCCAACCCGTAGCTTGGCTGGGAGCGTCAAGCAGGGAGAGGAGGGTAGGTGGGAGGCCGGTGGGAACGGTGTTGAGGAGCGTGATGCTAAAGCCTGAGCCGTTGAGGCTGGTCATATATGTCCCAGCGAGGATGCGACATGGCTCAATCTGGTAATTGCGTCGAAGTTGCGCAGCGACTTCGGTTGTGATGCCGCCCATTTCTAGGGGGCTCACGCCACCGAGGTTGTTGACCAAGAGGACAACTTCCTTGGAGTTGACCTTGAGATAGGCGCGGTCCTTGTCGCTCTGGTCGAGAAGTTGCTTTAACATCGTCTTGACCAGCTCTTCGATGGTGACGGCTAGGCGTGCAGAGCCAGCCTCGTTATGGATTCCCATCCCGACTTCGGTTTCTTCGTACTTCAAGCGGTCGGAGTCATTTTGGTCGACTACATCGCGGCCAGGAACATGGACGTGATCAAGACTGGCGCCAACGCTGACAAGATTCGAGGCCGTCAGGTTCGCAATCTAGTTTTTGTTAGCATTATCACCACCAAGGGGATAGCTAGTACATACCCTCGTCACATCCTCCAAGCTATAACCCAACTCCGCCAACGCGCCCGCAATCTTAACAACTAACACCGTCCCCGCAATTCCTCTTCTGCCCACCTTCCCGGCCTTTGCCCTTCCAACACCAACATCGTCTCCCACGACCACCATATCAACCTTTACGCCCGCAGACTTGGCCTTCTCGACCGCCATCCCGAAATTCAGGACATCGCCCGTGTAATTCATGATGATGGCAAGTACGCCCTTGTCTGTGTCAACGCGCGTCACGATGCCAGCGCTGATCTGCTCCGCAGACGGCGAGGCGAAGATTGTGCCCGCGACAGACGCAGTGAGCAGGCCCTGGCCAACGAGCCCAGTGAAGGAGGGCTCATGGCCGGAGCCGCCACCAGAGACGAGAGAGACTTGGGAGGGGGCATCGGAGGGACGCAGGTAGACAATTTTGTGGTGCGAGTCGACGGCGAGAGCGGGGTTGGTGAGGGAGGCCGCAAGTAGAGCGCTGTTGACGAGGTGGGTGGGGTCGTTGAAGAAGTGCTTGGTCGACATTGTGTAGATGTTGCGGTCGACTACTTGTAGGTTTATTATATGCTTGAGGTAGTAAATAGATGGAAGAGTCGATTGTGAAGCTCAAGTAAAGCAAGGTAAAGCCAGAGTGTTACCACGATGCCTAGCTACCTGTTTCTCCGCAGGAATATGCACGTATGCCGATCAGACCACGAATTCGGTCTCACAAGAGTTGCGCAAGGTTCCAGCCGAGCTATTTTGTAGGTCTTAAGAGCTCCGATTTGGAGAGCTTCTTTGTGATTCCGAACTGGAGGTATCAATGTTATGTGCTGTGTTTCTGTTGTGTATCCATCAGTTACTCGTTCTCTCATATTATCCGCCCAGGTAACCCTCAGCAAGTAGACACCCGAGATGAATATTGCGCGAATTGAGTGGAGGTATGGTCTAAAAACTCACGGAAATTTTTCTACTATTTATTCCTTAACCCTATGCAAAATCAATCAATATAATATACAATAACTATCCTTTAATGTCCTCCGATCCCGCTGGTTGAAGTTGAACCCCTCATGACGTCGGAGCTCCCCCCCCCACTCACCGCCTAAATTCTGCCGCCTCCACCTCAAAACAACCTAGCTCAGCCTTCTCCAGAATTTCCAAAATTCACTTTCTCGACAACACCACACCGATCAACATATCAACAACCTCACCATAACCCCTCACAACACTCCCACAAACAAATACCAACAATGGCGACTACCCCTCCATCCATCGCCATCCCAGGCCAGCCCCTCGGCGCCTCAACCAAATACATCCCAGGCCCAGGAACGCACCTCCACCTCTCCCAAATCCACGCATCCATCCTCGGACCCATTCACCTCACCCACCCCCCCAAGCCAGTCGGTCCTCAGAAGCGTCTCACCAAGATCACTCCCTCGGCGCCGACACCCCTACCTACCATCTCTGTCCTGCGCAGCCCGGTACTCGACACCAAACCCGGCGAGGTGCAGACGGCGAAGCGAGAGGCTATTCCGGAGGTCGGCAGTATTGTGCTGTGCCGCGTGACGAGGATCACGGCGAGGCAGGCGAGCGTGGCAATCTTGGTTGTGGGTGAGACGGTTGGGGAGGGAGAGTGGCAGGGCGTTGTGAGGGTGCAAGATGTGCGGGCGACGGAGAAGGATAGGGTGAAGATTGCAGAGAGCTTCAGACCGGGGGATGTGGTTAGGGCTATTGTGGTATGTCTTTTTTTTCTTTCTCGTTTCTACGAGATTTCAGTTTTCCTTCTTTGCTTCTATCTTACTACTTCGGCGTCGTTTCCCGGCTCGCCCCTTTTCCCTTGCCCCTCACCCTACCCCTTTCCCTCCCCCTTTTTCCATCCCACTCCTAACTTCCCTCCCCCTCAACCCCCTATCCACCCAAAACCACATTCTAACAATCAACTAGATCTCCCTTGGTGATCAGTCAAACTACTACCTCTCCACCGCCCGCAACGACCTCGGCGTCCTCATGGCCACCAGCGACGCCGGCAACGCCATGCACCCCGTCAGCTGGCGCGAGTACCGCGACCCCGTGACCGGCACCAGCGAGCTGCGTAAGGTCGCTAAGCCTTTCTAGAGAGGTCTATCTATCTACCTATCCCCTCTTATTCGCCTTATCTATATTCACTGGGAGGGAGGCAAAAGGGGAAACGGGCGCTCTGCCAATGGTTTGCAAGCGGCGAAAGGGGAGCGCTGGAAATGATTTGCCCGCGGCGAAAAGGGCGCTGCCGAAGTCCTTCAAGATGGTGGGAGGCGACAGATTACCTATTCTCCCTGCGCCTGGCTCACGGGTTCAATTCAATCCGTTGAGTCACCTATCGTCAGCAGGCCGTTGGCAAGGGGAAGGGGGTAGAGGGGTCGAGGCGTAGAGGCTTACACGGCGTGTTCCGCGAGGTTGTGGGAGACGACAAACCACCTCTCTCCATGTGCCTGGTTCACGGATTCAATTCGCAGTCACTTATCTTCAGCGGGCAAGGGGGGAAAGGAAAGGGGTAGAGGGGTAGGGGAAAGGGGTAGGGGGGTAGGGGGTTAAAGGGATGGGTGTGCGCCGCGCGTTTCGCGAGGGGTGCGTGTGTCTGCTGCGCATGTTCTGCAAGGGGGCTGGGGTGGGTGGGTGTGGGAGGTGCCAAACTACCTATTCCCCCCTTCCACTCACCAACCCTGTATACGGCCTACAGTCCCCCTTCCAGTCACCAACCCTGTCTGCGGCCAACCCTCACCCTCTACCAATCCACCCAGTCTGCAGACCTAACGCAGGGACACAACCTCGGCAATCGCATATGTCCACCAAACCCATCATCGGGCTTGGCAGCAATCACGCCGGCGGTCCGACTCTCCTCTCACTACTCTCTCACTACTCTCTTATCACTGCTCTACTTCCCCATTACCCGGATCCGGAACAAGAACGAAAAAATCACCTCAGCAGCCTCACAACGTTACACCCCCCATCTCACCCAAGGCTTCCATCGGCCCAACTCACCCGCTGATGTGAGCCCGCCGCCCCAACCAAAGACCGCTCTAGACTATACCCCGTCCGCGATAGGGGTGTGGACCCAGTGGACCCCCCCCCCCCCCCTTCGCCTCCTCGTCCCCGCTGTCATCGCCACCACAACCACCACGTCCGTGCGTCCGGGAAGGTCCAAGAATTAGGGAGCGGGTCGGTCGGTCGGTCGGTCGGTTGGCAGAGGGAGGGAGTCTTCCGCCGTCACTGCCAACTTTCTTCTCTCTATCTCCGGTTCTGCTCTAGCTCGGTGCGGCGGGGGGGGTTTAACATGTGTGTTGGTTGGTGTGGTGGTGGTGGGTGATAGTGCGATCTGAGATCGGGAGAGGGACGCCGGGGGGGGTGAGGTGGTGGTACTGTATCGGCGAGGGGGAGAGCGTCAGTTCGGCGTCACCGTTTTATTTCGCCACCTGGCTTGCGTGATCTTGAGAGTGACGGGGGGAAGGGAAAGTTTAGACGGGGGGGGAATAAAGTTGGGATGGATGGGTGGCGAAAAGCAGGATTGCCGTCGTCGTTGGCGATGTACTTACTGTGCAGTACGCTACAAGTAAATACAGTTACAATGACAATAACAAGTTTTCCCTCTCTCAAACCTATCCAAAGATTCCCCCAACATCCGGATGCAGCAACTCCTCCGCGCCCAGTGACGTTCCCAAGTACCACTCGTGTACATTCCTCTTCCTCCTCCTCTACTTCTTCTTCCATCGTTCTGCAGAAACAATTACCCAAGATTCAAGATTCCAAATCCTCTACAACGTCGTGGGAAAACGGGTTTTCAGTTTCCAGGTCCCTGGGAATTTTTACGTAGGGTGCGAGTCGTACAAGACCAAGGATTGGATGTGGAGGGGAGGGGAGCCGGGGAGCCGAGAGGTGAGAGGGTGTGATCATGGAATTTGCCTGAGGGGGTGATGGGGTGATTGATTGATGGATGGGTAAACGCCGGGGAGTTTGGGGGGGGGTGGTATTGCAATGGGAGGGAGCTGGGGTCAGCCCTATGCCCCTCCCCCTCCTCCTGCCCCTCTTCCCTACACCTACCTACCTATAGACCAGGAGGCACGCGTGCACCCCCCTAAGCGTTCATGCTTACAAGCAAATCAGTCATCCGAGCCAAGAAAAATCCAGCCAGCTGCCCACTTCTAACCCGTCCTCCCTCCCTGCCCAGTAAAACGCCCAGCTACTACTACTACTTACTACTGCACGGAGAACAGGTCCGTCCATTAATCACTCACGCACGCACGCACCACCTTTCGATCCTTCGATTGCCAAGGCAAGAACAAGACAGGAAGGTACGGAGGCAGACGATCAACTCACTTGCTTAGTGGACGATCACGGCTCGCACGTCCAGCGCTCTTAGTATGGTATGATAATCGCGTTTCGCACGTCCGCTGTTCTTAGTATGGTGATCAGAGCAGCCAAGGACGACGGCGTGCTTGGTGACTGCGCGCGTTTCCGCTGTGCGTTCCGCTACGTTATGATAGGAGTAAAAAGGGAGGAGGGGGGCCCCGCTGTCTGTCAGCGTAGCTCTGCAGTTGCTCTAGACCCTCGCCGCAGGCGGCTGTTATGTTCGCGCGCGGTGCGGTGGAGAGCTGGGAGGGGGGGAGGGGGTTATCCACTGCCCCTCCTGCCCCTCTATCAACCACGAAAATAGGAAGACAGCTGTATGGATGGGGAGTTCATGAGGCGGGATGGTTTGGCTTGGCTTATCGTTTATCGTTTATAGTGGTGTATCGATCAATCCACTTCCTCACAATCACTCCTGGGCATCTGTAAATCCACTCATAACACTCAACCATAGCTCTCATACCCACTGTCCAGTCTGTCTATTAACTAGCAAAATAGAAAGACAGATGGGGAATCTTCGGGGTAGGTTGGAGTATTGGGAGGATACCTTATCGATTCATTGTCTATTGCCACTCCTCTCCGGAGGCGTGTAAATCCACTTCTCTCCCCATCAACCCTCTGCGCATCCCCCCCCTCCGCCCCGTCTATCACCCACAACTCCCTTGCCCAGCCCACTACCCCCGTCTATCACCAACAGCTCCCCCCAGCCCCTCCCCCTTCTCACCCACCACTCCCCCCTCCCTCCTCCTCCCTCAACCCATCCACCACCACCCAAACCCACTTCCCCGCAAACCTCAACCGCAACATCACACCATGTCTCACCCACCCCCCCGTCCGTTCCTGCATGCATCTCATGCACAGCGGCTGTCTCGGCGCGTGGTGTGTCACCCACCTGCCCCTTCCACACGCCCAGCTAAGCCACTGCACACGCCCGCGGAGAACTTCAGAATCCACTGCACCCACCACATCCACTCCCTGAAGCAAACGCCGCCGCGCCGCACGCAGGTCCAGCATCGTGGGCCACACACACACTGCACTCCACCACTCCACCACCTAACACTCCACTCCACTACACTCCACCACCCTACCTTACTACAGTAAACTACACACCACACTACATCCCGTCCCTCAGGTGCACACACCACCACCCCCGTCGATCGATCGATCTCCCACCGCCCCAAAAGTGCGGGGAACCCAGTCCAGTTAGTTCGCTTGCGAGGTCGTTGACGGGCTGAGTGGTTCGTTAGGCGGTGGTAGGCGGTCTTAGTGGGTGGTAAGCGGTCTTAAGTGGCTGCTTAGACGGTCTTAGTGGGGATAGTGGAAAGCTTGGCCTTTTGGGTGTGGGTGGTGGGGACGGCTTGGGTTAATCGATAGTTAAGGGCGGGTTTGGAGGGTGAGACAAGGCTGTTGTGCTGGGAGAGCTGGGGGGGAGGGTGAGTGAGATGGGCGCGGTTTTGCGCGGTTTGCGCGGCAGATGGTAGATCGTAGATCGTAGATCGTAGATGGGATGAGATGGGTGCGGATGGTATTTGAGATTTGGGATTTGAGGGAGTGGGACGGAAACAGGGGGGTTGTTTGGGATTGGGATTGGGATTTTGGTAGAAGAGGGGGGGGTAAGGTGAGCGGGTGGAGAGTACACCAAGGAGACAGGAGACAGGAGAGAGGGGAGCGAGGAGACGCCGCCAGAGCTCTTTGTTTATCCCCCACCACCTCAGTAATGTATCCCCAGCGACCACCTCCTCGCCACCATCCTCTCTGCCACTTCTAACACTTCCACCATCTCAACCACCTCGCTTTCCCCCTCCCGCCGTTGCCTTACTCGCATCCCTCGCATCCATCCCTCGCAGATCCAGATCCATAACCCGTGTCTACATCTACATCTACTCACTATAGAATAGTGGGTTTTGCGGGGTAGTGAGGTGAGGTGAGTAAGTGTGGTCTGATAATCTGAATCTTGCATGTAACTGTACTGTACTGTATGTCTGATATTGTACTGTACTATACTGTGGGTTTTTGTGGTCTGGGCGGTGGCTGAGGAGGGGGTGGATAGAGTGAGGAGGGGACGGGAGGTGTGAGATGAGGTTGATTGAGAGTGATATGAGGCAGTTACGCGTGTAAAGACGTGGAAGTGGCGTCTTATTGCGTGTATGCGTATACGCGTCGTTACTCCCTACAAGTCATACTGTATCCGTTATATCCGAACTATATTCAGCGGTAGAGTATCATCTCCATTGTCTACAGCAGTACCGAAATCCCCATATCAAATCCTGAGACGGGGTGAAGAAGTCCGGTTCCCCCACCTAATTGGCCCGATAAGCAATCATGGGAATTCAAACAATCCCCTCTCCCATCGATCCTGCGATTGCGATTGCGATATCCAAACCCATACCCATGGATACCATCCCATCCAGCAATGGTGTGTAGACACGGACTACACAGCTCCGTTGCTAAGGGTCGCCGTCTGGGTCGTGAGGTCTCGTTTGGTACCATGAACCCAACTTACCACCACAGTAAGCTCAACTACACAGAACAGTCAGCGGACGGGATGGGGATGGATACCTTGGACGTGGGATACCCATTCCTCCCCCCGTACCGTCGTCGTGGAGCTCACATCCTATAGCTTGGACCCTTGGTCTTGGAGCATGGGTAGGCGCTTTGATAACTCTGGTAAAGACAGCGGAAAGGAGGGGAAGGGGGGCAAAAGAGAGGTAAGGAGGGGCAAAAGAGAGGTAAGGAGGTTGGTAACGAAGGTAAGGGAGTCGTCGATGGGGATAGATGGGTAAGCTCGCTCTCCCAACTCCGGTAGCGATGCGGAAACCCCCCAGTCGGACCAGATGTTATAAGAGTGAGCAAGTGAGTGAGTGAGGAGAGGAGGGGTGACTGATCATCTGTCATCCTCTTACTACTCCTACTGCAGTTGTTAGCAACAATAACTGTGTCATTCACCTACTAGCTAACCAACCAGCTTACCTACACCAAACCAAACAATTGCCGCGTGTGGGTGCGCCGCCATCACCCCTCGCCGTCACTTGCCGCTCACTCAATCAATCAATCCCCTTGCTTGGCGGATACGATAAACGAACCTCAACCTCGCATCGCATCAATCGGCATAAACGAGAGCACGGACTGTACGTACAAGCGGGGAGGGGAGTAAGCTGGGAACCACAACGGGAGGTCATAGCCGTGGCCACGGCCATGGCCAAGGGTTATGTCTGTGCGGCTTACTGTACCTCCGTCCTAGCTGTAGGCTGGACTGGC